GATGGTAGGCTGCGGCATCATAGGTGGTTGAGATCACAATATATTTTGCACTGGAGCCAGTATCTGCACTGCGCGCGCGCCGGTGGGGTTGCATGTGAAAACGCAATCCCGACAAATGACCGCAGCTGCCAACGAGGGTGCTCGGTCGCACAGGGTCGGACTCGGGGAGCGGAGAGACTGGAGGAAAGGTCGGCATTGACCGGGGGGTGTGACCATGTGAAGAGCAAAGATGGGGAGGGAACGCGAGTGCTGGACCCAGGGTGCCAAATGCGTACGGAGTGAGCCCGGGACGGGGCTGGCAAGCGAGCGAGAGCGGGGAGGACTAACCCCATCAGTGCTCGAGGGCGGCGGGACGGGAAGCGCTGAGTAGCGAGCGCGCGCTCAGAGGGAGAGGACCCCAGGAGCGCAGCGCCTGAGATGCGATCGAGCAAACAGACGCAGCCGGATCAGGAAGGGGCGACGCCCACACAACCATGCCCACGGCCAATACGTTCGTCTCCCGGGGACGCCTTAAAGGGCCCGGCCCAACGGCCTTCTCGTCCCCCATCCCGCCCCGTCCCGCCTCTCGCTGCCTCGCTGCCTCGCTGCTTTCCTCTGCGCTCACCCCCCGCCTCCTCCCCCCCTCCTCTCGCCCCTCGCCACCCCCGCCTTCTACCACCTCACCTCACACCACCCCGCAATGGCCCGCGAAGGCAGCAAACAAGCGAAAGCTAAGGCCCTGAAAACCTCCCCTTCCCCTCCCCCCGTCCTCTCTGCCCGTCCGGGCAAGAAGGGACATATCAAGCGTCCCCAAAACTCCTTCATACTCTACCGCAAGGCCAACCAGGACGAGTTCGAGGGCTCTGGCCTCGCCCAGAGTGCGATCTCAAAGATCCTTGGGGCGAGATGGCGGCTGGAACCCGGGGAGGTGAAGGAGGTGTGGAACGCCAAGGCCGATATGGAGGCTCTCCAGCACAAACGCTTGCATCCTGATTACAAGTATCAGCCCAAGAGCCGGCAGATGAAGGACGCGCTGAAAGCAGAGGCCGCCGCCGAGAAGAAGGCGGCCAAGCAGAAGATGGCCAGCGCGTCCCCCCCTCCTCCTCCTCTCGGTCCGTTCGAGGAAGTCCACACAAGCGTCCCCCTTACCCACGTCGTCACGTACACCGCTGTCCGCGGTGAGGGCGCGTCCCCTCCGCGCGGAGTGTTTGCGTCGTCTCCATCGTCCTCCTCTACCACCTCTTCTTCCTCCGCTACCACCCCCACCGCCATCCTCTCCCGGGGCCGCTCCCCGCTTGACGGGTCGTCGCACTCGGCTTCGCCCGAGCCTCGCCTTCCTCCGCCCGGATATACATTCGCCTCCTCGGATGCCGCGTCCGCCGTCTACGTGCCCTCGCCGTCCTCCGACTCTCCTCCGTCGTACACCGAGGGCGACATGCATACCGTGTTCTCCGGCGTCCCCGCGATTTCGGACTTCCCTGGTGGGGAATTCGACATGATGATGTACTCGGAGCCTCAGTTCATGGTGAGTGGTATCGTGCTGCTGCGACGCGACGCGTGACTGACTCTTTTTTTCTTCAGCAGGGGGAGGCCATGGCCACCTTTCCGGTGGGCGAGTACCCCGGTTTCTCCGAGCTCGAGTTTGGGCGCGCGGGCGAAGTCGTTCAAGACGCGTGCATGGGCTTGTTCCGGGTCGACGGTTTTCCTGAGCCTCCCCCGCAGGAGCTTCAGCTCATTGAACAGCAAGCCCTCGCCGCCTTGGTTGCAGGTACTATGAACCCGGCCCAGCTCATGAATATGAACGAGCCCGTGGAGGGTCCCGTGGATGTCGGACTCCTCAATGATTTCGACCCGTCTATGGTGCCGATCGAAGACTTTATGCACCTCATCAACGTCAAGCCTGACGGCACCTTCCAAGCCCCTCCCTCCATCTCTGATCCCCACTTCCTCGACCAGCACTCGTTCGGCGTCCAGGCCGATACCGCCCAGTTTGCCCCGCACCAGTTTGGCTTCGTGGACCCATTCGCTACAGCGCCAGTCGACGGCTCCGGGTACCAACAATTCGTCATGCAGCCGCCCACATTCTTCCCGCACCAGTACAACTACGGGGACGCTGTGTTGAAACCCTGGCAGGTGCCAGGTGCGGTTCCGCCTTCGCCGCCCCGCGTATACTACCCCTCTCCCGTAGTGGACCCTCTTACCATCGAGGTGCGTTTTCGGTCTTGTGTCCAGCTCATGTATTGTGATTGACATTTGCCTTCTACACACAGACCGTCCCCACCCCCGATGCCCAGGAGCCTGCTCAGGTGGCCACTTTTTCACGTAGCTCGGAGGTGCCGTTCTCCTCTCGCCGCCGCGTCGGCGGCATGTTCCGACCTCCCCCACCTGGACGTAACTAGGTGGCAATTAATGGTGAGTCTTTGAGTCGAGCATGATTTATGACATCGACTGACGATCTTGCCATGCAGGATGTTTTCGTCGCCTGCTCGCTCTCCTGATTACTCGCATCTCCTGTCCCCCTCACGTCACAGCTCATCATCTCTTGCACTAGGCTCGTCGTCGCATCGTCGCATATCGTTTGTCGCATATCTCACGACATCTCACGACTCGTACGCATCTACGTTATTTGCATCGCTATCCACAGACTCGGGTCGTGCCTCACTCTCGCATATATCGTTGATTTCGTTCGTAATAGCCTCCGCTGCTCTCTATGCTTATCCCCTCTCTGGTCTCCACTGCCTTTCATGTACTCACCCCGGTTTTCACCCTCATCCCCCCCACCCTACCCAATTACTTTCTCCTTAGTTTCCTTTGTTTTGGTTGTTTGTCCTCGCTCTCCCCCACTCCTCGTCCCATCATCCCAGTCTCGCGTCGTCGTCCTGCGCTTTTTAGTCGCATCTCATGCTTTGGTTGCTCTACCATCGTCCCTCCGTTTTCCGTCGTAACGCGCATCGTGCGCATGTCCCCTTTCCCTAGCTCTACCATCATTCCCCCGTTTGCCGTCGTAGTGCACATCGTGCGCATGTCTCTTTCCGTAGCTCTGTGTTCTATCAGCACTTGTGGTGCTCAGGTAGCATATTGTACCAGTAGTAACCTGTGTTCGTCCTCGCGACGTCGCGGGGCAATCCGAATTGCTCGTGTTTTGAGCAGCCGCTTCGCGTGCACCCGCAAGATCTAGCCAACTTCCAGGTATGTCGTCATACTTTACCATCCTCGTCCTTGTCTCCTCGCGCCCCTCGCGGTGGACGTCGGGGCGCATCGCGCGCCGACGTTCGCCGATGCGCCCGCCGCTCACCCTTTGGCGACGCCGCCCCCTCTGTCTGCGTCGATCGCGCGCGCCCCTGCACAGGCGTCGGGGCGGCGCGCGTCCGTGGATTGAGCTTCCCCACGGGCGCCCATGCAGAGTCCGGGGTCCCGCCCGACGAACGCGATCATGCGCGTCTTCGCGCGCCGCGGAAGCTTTGCCGCCACGCGCCTCGCGACGCGATCGTCTTGCACGTGCTCCACGTGGACCGTGCCAACTCCGCTTTCGTCCCGGGCGCTCGAGACAGCCATTGTGGCCCGCATCGGGCGCGGGCGCTCGGTGGCCTCTGCCCATTGTCCGTCCGGAACGGGCACAAGGCGCGCGGGGCGCGCAGGGGGGACGGGCAAGCGGGCAGGGCGAACAGCGCGGATAGGGCTGCTAGACGGCCGCGTGGGCCTTCGCGAAGGCGGGGGCGCGGGCGGGCGGGCAACGAGGGGAGGGCGCGCTCTCAGGATGTGGTGGCCCTGGGGGGAGGGGTGATGCGAGAAGGCGATGGCGAGGAGGGACGTACTTGGGGTTTGAGATGGGGGCGGCGCGAGGTGGCGGACCCGACGGACGGGTGCGTCGGCGGCGCGCGCATGCGAGAGGGAGAGGGAGGGCAGAGACGAGACGAAGGACTGACCTCACATTGGTGCTCGCGTATGCCTCTAGTCCATGCATCTATCTCCTTTCTTTCTCTCTTCGCGCATCGCGCGGCTGGATCCTCGTCTCATGCCCTCGCTCACCCCTCGGCGCGTTCTCGCGCGCGCGACCCTATCCGACGCCTCCTCCGCAGCTGTCCTCAGATCCGCTTCCGCGCACGCCGGGCTTCCATCGCGACGCGCACCGTCGCGCTGGCACCCCTCGCGGCCTCGCAGACACAAAAGAGGGGCCGCGGCACGCGGTCCATCACGTCGCCGGCACCGACCGCTGCACGCGAGGAGAGCCAGGACGCCGACGTCCAGTTCCACGCCCGGACAAGGGGCGCGAGCAGCTCGCGGGTTCCCGCGCGCACCGTGCCGGCCGCACTTCCGCTCGCGCCGTTGTCTCGCGGGGGTTTGCGGGTCGGCGCTGGGCACGCGGGTCCTAGGTTTGTCGGGATCTGGGCGGGCGATGGCGAGATCGATGGCGGGGCGTTGAACGTTGAGGTTCCCACTTCCAGGTGCCTCTTCTTTTCTTTTGGGAGGAGCCCACGACCGAGAGCGGTGCACGCGCGGGCAGGGTGGGGGTGAAAGCATCGATTCGGGACCGTCCGCGGCGCGGGTCGACGCGTCAAAGGGCGGACGGGGCGGGACGATCGACGGGACGAGCTCGAGGGAGAGAGGGAGAACATGTTGTTCGCCTCCTCCCTCTCGAGCTGCGTCCCTCTTTTAACCCTCAAGAGACCCTCGCATGTACAACGGGTATTGTCCTCTTGGCGACCGCGCGCTCGTCGAGCGAGGCCATTGTTGCTGTAAGCCAGTCACGGGCGTTGATCATGCTGCATAGCAGTGTCTGCCCAAATCGAGCGCGCCGCGTTTGGTATGCGTGGTTGACTCGTGCGCGCGCGTTGGTGGCGCGCGATTGGCCATTTGTTGAAGTCGTGTATGTGCTTATATGTAACATCAGAAACTAGCTACTACAACTGCTGTTTATCGGATATGAGTACACAAGAGCTCACGGGGCGCCGATTCTATGACTTTAGTACAGGGCTCGTATAACGTCGCATTCAAAACGACAGACACACCGCACTTCAATCTTACACCGCCTCTCCAAAGAAGATCTCCATTCCTACTACGAGTCTGGCGTGCGCCCAGGCGCCTAAGCGCGTCCGCGACGGTGGCAATAGCGCGAGGCCATCCGGCGGCACACGCGCTCCCACGACGCGCTCGGCCGCGCGCACATACTCGTGCGCGTGCCGCGGGGCCGCCTCGGGTGTCGCGTGGAGTGTTTCCGTGGACGCGAGTGTGAGCACGCTCGCGGTGCCAGTGCTAGGCCCCGCCTCGTACACCGTGCCGAGCGCGTGGGCGCGGAGCGTGCTCGCCGGGCTGTGCGCGTATAGGTGTGTGGGCGAGAGAGGCGAATGTGGGGGCAGAGGAGATGGCGGGAAAGAGATGTCGCGGAGCGAGCCAGGAGGTGTGTGTGGCCAGAGCGGAGAGAGGAGCGCGGGCGGCGTGTGCGGTGGAGAAAGCGCGCGGAGCGTCGAACCCGACAGACGAACGCATGACATGGGTGTGCGTGGGGAGAGCGGGCTGAGGGGGATGGCAGCCGGACGACGGACGTCGAGCAGAAGGAGCGTGGCCGGACGCGTGGGACGATGGGGGCGGCGGAGAGTATGTTTCAGGGTGTCGTCTGATTCCTCGGCTTGCATGGGGAGGGGGGTGTACGGCAACTGCGCAGGACCATCTCAGTCTCTTCGTGCGAGTAGTAGGCGCGGCGGATGTTGAGCAGCAGTCGCGTACAGTTCGTGATGCTGAGCGAAACCGCGAACCCAACCGGGGCCTGGTACGACCCGAGCTATTCGCAATGTCTCTAGTCAGTGTCTGAGCAGCAGGTTATCATGCAAACATAACGTACGTCGCCCTTGAGCCAAATAACGGCGCATGTCAAGTAGGATGCGAAAATGCTGACAAGGGGGTATTGTCAGAAACTCAAGCATGATGTCGGAAGCGAAGAGACTCACGCAAGGAAGTTGAGAAGCGAGTGCCTATAGATCATGTCCAGAAGGCTATCGTAACGGTATGCGAGCCGGCACCGCGGGGCAGGCGAGGCTCCGGCGCATCCGCGGTAGATGAATAGAACGAGCAGCAGTGTGTCGTACGCAAGAATCGGCACCCAAAGAAGGGGGAATGGCGAGCCGACCCGGGTGAGTACGCAGTATTCTCCACCCGGAATTCCGTATGCTCGTGCTAAAATGAAGCAAGTCTTTGAATATACGTGCGGCGACGAGAGGAGAGGAAGCCTACCCTGATAGTCTTGGAAGGAGATGGTCAGAATCGCTACAACTGAGCCAACCTCGCCGAGGTAGCAGATGCTCATGAGCGCTAGGATATATCGATTCTTGTTGTAGACGATGTAGATCCATAGTAGAAGGACAGCTGAAAATCGGAAGTTTCGTCATTTTTTACAGGTACGAGAATCTGTGATGATGTACCTTCGGTGGTGAAGAGGACAATGCAATAGCCCCATGTTTCCCAGTAAAACCAGAAGGAACAGCTGAAGCCATGGAGGTTTGTCAACATCCGCCGGCACCCGCGGAGATGTGATGCAGCTCACAACTACTCGTGTGAGCATGTGCCCTGAACATATGGTGAGATGAACTTACTCGGTCGTTGATGACGGACGAGTTGAGAGCTGTCATTTGCACATTGAGGATCGTGCGAGCCGCGTGAGAAGAAGATCTGACCGTATGCTTGGAACCTGGGGTCGGAGAACACTGTCAGTCACACAGAGTCTGATGTACCGAAAGAAGCCGGAGGACGTACAAGACGACTATCAGGCCAAAGTATCGGTGCTGGTCATGACGTCAGTGCGAGAGACGCCCTGGGGCGGATGCGGGGACAGACCCAGAGAAAGGCGAGCTTGATCGCAGACCACCGCTTCTTCTGCTCCGGCAGTCAGCTCACGCGTCGATAGCACGCCTGGCCGGTAACTCACCCAGATCAACTCAATTTCCCGCTCAATGCATACCACTGGCGAGCAGCGGCGTTAGCGGAGTCTATCGCCCGACCGTCACCTCTGCACCTACGGTAGTCGTAGATGACAATCGTGGCTGTAACGACTGGCACAGGGTAAGCGCATACCAAGCACACTCTGCATTGAACCCACATGAGAAGGCCTGGGTGAGCCTCACGTCCCGGATGGACGCGACGAACTCCTCCAGCGCGTGTTGCAGCACATTCGACCCAAACGAGTCTGTCATGGTCACGGAACCTCAGGCACGACGAGTGCGCGACGTGAGGGAGAGAGGGGTTGCCAGGGGACGCACGGGTGTAGGGACGGGGTCGCGTGGAAGGCTCACCCACCCGTCTAGCTGGGGCCTATAAACCGTTGGACCAGGCGGGCCAGGGTACAGAATCCGGAGAAAAGTACGGACGCTGCTTCGCGCTCCATCATTCAATGCCGCGTCCGCCGCCGCGGGACTTCCATACCGAGCCCGAGGCTCATGCATCGACGGGTGAGGTTATGTTCGCTTCCCGTGCTCCGATATCTTCGACGCTTTTTGCCCGCCTTTCCTGCAAGTGTCAATCAACCGCACACGCGCGACATCCGCAGAGGTCCGCAGCCCCCCTCGCGAGCCTGCGAAAGTGCGCACGGTGCCTTCGCGCCGGCGTTCGGGCGTGCCGGTCGATGGGGAAAAGCCTGTTTCGTGCGAGAAAGCTTCAGGATAGCCCCCGGGGCGAGCATGCGAAAGGTGGACGCACTTAAGTACACGAAGTCGCCGGGCTGGCGGGCGGTCGCGCGCTTCTGCAACGGCGGGCTGGGACAGGCTGGGACGCGGCAGCCCTTCGTGGCCCCACATGCCGCTGTCAAAGCCGCCGCCGGGGCGCGTTCTGCGATCCCGCACTGCTGCGGTCTGCGAATCGCATGCGGGCATTGGCCGAGTGGCCGACGGCGCACGTAAATCGGGGTTTTGCCTATCGCCGCGTCACAGGCCGGTCGGGTTGAAGCTGCTTCCACGAAGTGCCAAGGCTTGAGGAGTTCCAATCGCCCGCCCGAAGGGCAACTATGGAAGCGGGGTGCGGGTTTGTTGAATGTGCGCACCGTGCTACTGCTCACTTAGTCCGGGCCCTCTATGGGATGTCGTGAAGAGGTAGCGCCGCTTCCCGCTTCGTGGAGGAGAGAAGAGCGCGTCGTCCGATGATCGCACGGGAGCAAAGTATCATAGAGGAGATTATACGCTCGTCGGTGCGCATATAGCGGCCTGGAACGTCGTGGACGCGTCCTGGGCCGTCAGGGTACTGAGTAAGCAGTAAAAGAAGGTAATGAGAGCCAGCTAGATGAACTACGGCTTTTCGACGGCCAACAAGGATGCCACAAGTGAAGCTCACCAGGCTGGGAAGGATTTAGGATGGAAGAGGATCGATGGAGATGTGCTGGGAGAGATCAAGGAGCTGACCGAGCGCTGGCTCCGTGAGCAGAATACCAAGTCACAGGCGCCTTGGCAGATTTCGAACTTCGAGTCTTCAAGAAGCTTGAGCTTGGAGTTTGATCTCCCTCATACACAGCGCACACACTCGTGGTTACGCCCGAGCCCAGAGGTCATCATCATTATCTTTATTACTACGGTTATCCTCGATGCCCATCTCGGTGGTTGCAGTACCAACCCGCCACCTGTGTCTGCCGGTTGCCCACTATATCTCTTCAACGTCCATGGCTCGTATGTCGAGGCCCCAGAGTGAAGCAGATAGCCCATCCCATGAAGGGTGAAATGGTAAAAGTAAAAAAGGTGATGGGCAGGGGATGAAGTAAAGGAGGAGGCGGGGAGGTTGCAGAGGTGGGAAGAGGCCGCCGCAGCAACGAGTGGATCTTCACGTTATAGCCCGTTCAGCTGGTTGACCGCGTCGAGGCCGTTCCCAATGTTGACGAAGTCGAGGAGAACGAAGTTCGGCGCACGTCCGGCCGCGAAGCCCTGGCACCCGCCGGCGTTGGCCATGATCCTGTGATGTGTCAACATATGGGTCAAGCGCCGCACATAAGGAAGACCTACGAAGCAACGCTGTTGGTGTCATCGGCGTCGAGAGGATCAGAGACGATAATGCCAAGGCCGAAGATGTCCTTGTTGAGGGAGTGGTTGATCATGTACATGTGATCCTCGGTGGAGAGCGGTCCGTTGATACGGTCAACACTGCACGGGAAGTTCTCGTCGGTAACGCTGAAGGGCGTCTCCCAGATCATCGGGAACTCGGGAAGGATGTATGGGACGCTGCGGTCGTCATCCGCGCCAGTGTCGAGGAAGACGACGACACGCTTGCCACTGTCGATCATGTCGCCGAGCGTCGGCCACTACGAGGATGAGAGTTAAAACCGACCGCCATGTGGTACTGAAAGTCCACTCACGTCGCTCTGCTTGACGGGGATCGAAGGAGGGACGAACGCGAGGTCTGCGATACCAGAAGCTTGGAATGCGGGGTCCCAGACGTCCTTGAGGGAGACACCTTCAGGGTTCGTGAAGATCAAGGTCAGAACTTCCTTGGGATTGGCGGTCAGGAAGTCGTGGACGGTCTTGAGATAATCCTCAACAGATCCGCCGTCAAAAAGTTCCTGCATCACCGTCAAATCTAGCCGCCATGGGTAAAGGGAAATACCTACACAACTCGTGTGGCAGAAGTGGAGAACGCCATCGTTCATGTGAGACTGTGCCTGGAGAAGGCGAACACCGAGCCCGAGCTGGGATGGGATGTCGACGCGCTGGTCGGCAGCAACTACAATGCAGAACAGTCAGCTGTAGGAGCACTTGAAGGGCGGGGACGCTTACGATCAAGCGGGTTCTCGCTGAAGGCGAAAGAGTCGTGGGCTGATCGTCTACGCGTCAATACTCCGATCAGTCATTTCCCGCGCCTGTTGGACTCACCTCCCATGAAGGTGACATTTCCATAGCTACGACCGCACAGCTCGGCGTGACCATTGCACACGTCGGCTCTGCAACGCATCTCTAAGCCTCAGCAACAGATGGGCACAAGCCATGAGTACTACTCACCTGCGAGTGTGCTGAGGGATGAGAGCACCGCTAACAGACGCCACGGCGGCGGCAGCACTCAAAAAGAGGAAAACAGCGTGCATCGTCGACGAAAGAAATAAAAGAGTCGAAGCGGGCGTGAAGGTAAGCGTAAAGAGAGACACAAAAGGCGAGAAAGTTGGGCGGGATTAAAGGGCTGGTCCGGCAGCTGGGGTCAACAACAGCACGAAGGGCCTATTTATGAGTCCTCGCAGCGCCCCGGCCCGGATGCCATGCTGCCTGATTCAAACTTCCGCGACCCCGTGCACAACGATGCCAAGCCAAGGCCGTCGTTGAAGCCATTTTGATGAGCTTGCACAGGATATCAACGACGCGGTGCGATACATAGTTGCCGCCCAGGCTGTGTAAAGCCGCGTGCGTTCTGCGCGGTAAGTATGCAAGCCTGTCGCCCGAGGCTCCTGCTCGAAGTAGTGGACGGCGCTCCAGAGTCCAGGGAACATGCTCATCTTGCAATATGATTGTGCTAAAGCAGCAACTCACTCAATGCGGTGCACGGGGCGAAACAGCGAAGCACTGCCCTCTTCTGAACAGTCTCGCGGCCATCAGCAGGAGCGCAGCGACACGGCCAAAAGGCTGGCGGATCAGCGCAGCGCACCGGGGGGTTTCAGGAACGAAACAACAGGTCAACTTGCAGGAGTACGGGAACACAGTTTGCACTGCCGACTCGGCTGTTCGAAGAGCATTCAAGTTGCGACGTGAAGGTTCACGGATGTCCGACATGCAGCAACCGTACCTCACAGCCAAGATGATGGAAACAAAGCGAATGGACGATGATGGAACTGCGTACTATGTATGTACAAAGCTCCTCTCTGAGCCAGTGGCAGACGGCGACCATGCCAGTCCGAGAAGCCCGCCGTTGCTGCTGGCCAGGATGGATTAGGGATTGGCGAGGTGTAGGGTAGGCGACGCGGTCGGTAAGACGAGTAATGAATACGCAGATCTCCAGGGCGGCATGTTGGGAGAGTGAAGGAAGCTGCGCAGGAGATGATGATGGTTGGATGCTGATACGCCCCGGGGCGGCCACCAATAGTGTGGAGAGTGATGTGCCTTTAGGTGAGAAGAGGGACACCTTAGTGGGCTAGTAAGGAGGAGACTAGTGAAGGAGGCGCCAACTATATGTCGATAAGCAAGCGCAGCCAATCGGCCGTCACAGAGCCTCGGCGGGCGGGGCCAATGACGAACAGGCCTGAGGCAGGACTTGACGTCGTTCTTCAACTCTCTGCCGTTGTCTCCTGGACAACATCGCTCGTGTCTACAGTCCGGTGCGCGCATCCCTCAGCGCATATAACCGACAGACATATCTCGCCCCGACCACCCCTCCCATCACCCGCTCTCTCACGCCGCTACACCTCGGCCTCTCGCCATGCACTCCCCAGACAACGAGACGTTCTCGACACCGCCTAGCACACCCTCGATGCCCGATTCCATACGACCCTCCATCTCACGCCGTACTAGCCGGCCATCACAGCTCCACATAATGCAGAATTCTTCCGACTGCAGCGTCGTCGTCGAGCAGCAGTCCCCCGAGATCTCAGCCAGGCTCCAGTCCGGCACTCCAACTGGGACCATGGTCAACGGCAAGACGGACAGGCATGTCGCAACCATTCAAGGCCCACAGGCAACATCCAACACACCCACGATTACACACCATTCCGTTCCTAGCCCAGTGCAGCCTCAGCGCCGGGCTCCGTCGCCTGCGATCAAATCACCTTGTTTCCTTCACTCCAAACTTCAGAGCAACTCCCTCATGGACTGGCTCGGCTCCGTATACGACGACAAGTCCTCCAATGGATCCCGAGAAAAGGAGAAGGCCGAACACACCTACCCCGACGGCACTGTCTCCGACTACAGCTACAGCGACACATTATCCCCCTACGACGATGAGGAGCGCGAGTACGGTCCCAGCCTCACCAAGAAGCTTGCGGAGACCGCGATTAGTGTGCGGGAAGTGAGCAAAAAGCTTGGTCAGTGGCCGTCCTGTCTGGTCTGCGTGCGCGCATCCGCCTCCCGGCGGTGCTCATATCGCATCCAGGTCGCACCCGCGTCCAGTCCAACATCCAGAGCGTGCTCATCGTGACCAAGGCGCGAGACAACCGTCTGATCAAGCTCACCCGGGAGCTCGCGCTCTATCTCATGATGAAGCGGAGAGGTGGCGAGCGGGGCATGATTGTGTGAGTACTCTCGTCCTTGCTGCCTCGACCGTGCTGATAGTCCTGGGCAGCTATGTCGACAACCAACTGAAGACCTCCAGACGGTTTGACGCAGCCGGCATGCAGCGCGACCACCCCGAACTCTTCGTTCCCTTCCCCAAGCGTCGCACCTCTAGTACCTCCTCCCTGTTATCTGCCCAGAGCACGACCAACGGCGACAGTTCCTTTTCACAAGAGGGCCAGCTTCGCTACTGGACTGCCGATATGTGCAACAGGAGCCCCCATCTCTTCGACTTCGTCGTCACGGTGCGTACGCACGTTCATGCCGAGCGCCACTGCTTACTCACGAGCGTGTCTAGCTCGGCGGAGATGGCACCGTCCTGTTCACGTCGTGGCTGTTCCAGCGCATCGTGCCGCCAGTGCTCCCGTTCGCGCTGGGCTCGCTGGGTTTCCTCACAAATTTCGACTTCGCGGACCACCGCAAAGTGATGGACAGCGCGATCGATAATGGGATCCGAGTCAACCTGCGCATGCGCTTTACGTGTACCGTCTACCGCGCGATCGCCCCTGAGAAGAACAGCAAGGCGTGTCGGGCCATCAAGAAGGGCGGAACTGGCGAGATCCTCATGCGCGGTATTGAGGAGAGCGGTTGGGAGGCCCTGGAGAGCGGCGGGATCTGTGGGAAGGCCGGCGAGAAGGACAAGGAGATAATGTGCTTCTCGACAAGGCCGGTCGAGTGTTTCGAGATCCTCAACGACCTGGTCGTTGACCGAGGGCCGAGCCCTTACGTCAGTCTCCTCGAACTGTTCGGTGAGTTTTCGTCCTTGGTCATTCCAGCGCCTTCCGAGTCCTCATTACCGATCGGGGATATCGCAGGTGACGAACACCATCTGACAACGGTGCAAGCCGATGGTCTGTGCGTGGCGACTCCGACCGGTTCGACGGCCTACTCGGTGGGTCTGCAATCCAACTTCCCTGACTGGTTTAACTCACATCCATCAGCTGTCGGCCGGAGGATCCCTGGTGCACCCCGAAATTCCGGCCATCCTCATCACGCCACTTTGCCCCCATACGCTCTCGTTCCGGCCTATGCTTCTTCCGGATACGATGGAGCTGCGTATATGTGTTCCCTTCAACTCAAGAAGTACGGCGTGGGCCTCTTTCGATGGCCGCGGGCGTGTTGAGCTCAAGCGTGAGTTTTGATATGATATGAAGTCAAGTGGCTGGAGCTCATTTTGGATCCAGAGGGCGACCATATCAAGGTCACTGCTTCCCAATATCCCTTCCCCACCGTCTGTGCGGAGTCTCAATCTCGCGACTGGTTCCACTCTATCTCGCGTACGCTCAAATGGAACGAACGCGAGAGGCAAAAGTCATTCGTCGTGGTGGAGGAAGAGGGCACTGGGCGCAAGCGCAGGTCAACAGTGACCAAGGAGCACGATGGTCCTACTCCCACCGTGGCGAAGCACGCCACCCCCAAGCCTAACAGCAAAGTGGAAGAGGACGAGGAGGACGAATGCTCCGACGAAGACGAAGAGAAGTTCGACATTGATGACCTCTCGTCAGCAGAGTCACCCACCACGTCCGACAAGAACAAGCTTAGTCCCAAAGAAGAAACGCGTGGGCAGACGAACCTCCGCCAGGAAGAAGAGAACCGCGAGCAGGAGCGTGCACATAACGCCGCGGTTTCCCTTGCCCGGGGCAACCCCGACCTCTCGTCGACCCCATCCTCGGGGCTCAAGTCGGGCATTGACTCCCCGGACCGTTTTGCGGGATCGCACCCTCACCCACCGCGGATCTCTCCACGCCACGTTCAGTTCGTGGCCTCCTCGGCATCTTCATCGTCCTCGTCGATCGATCAGCAATCGCAATCGACGGTCAACGGCGAGCGGGGGGAGCGAGACGACATCCGCGGCCCGCGCTCCGCACACTTCAGCAGCAAGGTCCGCATCCCGCGCGACCGCGACGTTGAGGGCGAGAGTCTGAAGACACCTACCCCCGTCGACCCCTCGCGGATGCCATTCTCGCGGAGCCGGTCCCGGTCTCGCTCACGCGACCCGCCGCGGCGCGCATTCGCGGTCTGGGGCCATGACGAGAGCGACAGCGCGGCGAGCGACAGCGATGCGGATGCTTGACTATTGGCGACCCCCACTCCCTCGTCGCGCACACTGCCGGTGCCTGTCGCGGCTGGGTAGACCTCGGGCGCCTGCGTGGCTTTCGATTTTGCTCTCCGTTTATTTCGTTTTGCTTTAACGGGTCTTCGGGAAATCGATATCTATACCTAGAAGCGTGTACTCATATATATTCGCACAGCTGCTCCACGGAGCATACACCATAGCATCATACAACAATGGGTTCAGTCACGATGCACACCTACGCCAGTCTCACGATTCTCTACACGTGCCAAAATTCAGAATAAAGAATGAACGCAGAAACACATGTGTAAAAATACTAGCTAGCCTACTTGATTCACACTCTCCATGAACGTTCACCTCAAAGTATGCGGAGAGGTGCTACGGAGAGCTGACATGATTTCAAGAGCCATTTTGCCAGTCATGCAAGAATGTTGATGAGGATGCTCCAATAGGCGCGGAAGGCTTGGATTACTAATAGGGCAGCGGGTTCGAAGTAGTCTGGGCGTAGCACTCTTTCATTCGTCCGCAGCGATTCGAGTCACTCAGGCCAACGTTTGTCTTCACGTCTGCACCTCGGCACCGCAAGTCGGACAGCTACATATATCTCAGAGCCGCGAACGCTGACACATCTCTTCCGTCTCAGAACGCACTGTTTTCGGTCTCAAACACTCAAAATGCCTTCTGTACCACTACCTGCTTCAGGAGGCTACATTCAAGCTGTGCGCGAGTCTTCTGAGGCCGTAAGGATCAAGGCAAACATAAAAGTGAGCCTGAACGCTTTGTCGATTTCATCCATAGTATATGTTTCTTTCGGCTGCTGACGGTTCGCTGAACTTCGCTCATGAGTCCGTCGTTGTCTAGATCAACGAGGAGGACATGACTCGTTTACTCCTCTCTCCCGCTTTCACGAGCACATACCAGCGTCTCCGCACAGCCCATGGCATGACCCTTCCCCTCAACTTCAGCTCCGTCGCCCAGGAGCTCAACGTTCTTTCCGTCCTCTCCGTCCTCAACTTCGCGTCTGGCTATCGTGTACCCTTACACGTCGCCACGGGGCGCGGCGCCTTCGACAACATCCGCGCCTTCGTCTTTGCCGCCTACATCTCGTCTTCGTCCGGAGGGGACGACTACTTCTCCGCGCGCGGCATGCAGGCCATCACGCCCCCCGCCGTCGCAGACCTCATGCGCGTCACCGGTTCCATCCACGTCGAGCGGCCGCACGAGGACATCCCAGGGGTGACCGTCGGCGAGCTCGGTGGCCCCATCTGGGAGATCGTCCAGATCGTCGCGCGGACGCTGAACGAGACCGGGGCGGCGCTTGCCCAGGGCGGGTACCCAGACCTGGGGAGCTTCGTGCTCGAGGCCCTCAAGGAGGGCGAGAAGGCGAAGGCGTCCGGCGGCGACGCGTGCGACGTCGCGCTCGAGCGGGTGCGTCGCCCTCCCACTCTCCCCCCAGGACACGCAGCTCACGCGTGCCTCCCTTCCTCCCGCAGCTCGTGCGCTGCATCCCCGCGTTCCGCGACGCCGCGCCGGTCTACGACGCGCCCGTGTACTGCTTCAAGAAGGCGCTCCTCACCCTGCACGCCGTCGCGCTGCGCTTCGGCCCCGCGGGCAAGACCCCCACGCGCGCGGTCCCCGCGCCGGACACCACACGCCTCCCCATCTTCTCGGACAACGTGATCCCCTCGCTCCTCGTCCACCTCGGCGTGCTCGACCTCTCCGCCGCCGACCCCGCGCTCGGCCTCCCCGCGCTCTTCCCGCACGCGCGCGACCCCGCGGTGCTCGCGCCGCTGCTCGCCGCGTCGCCCGCGCCCGCGCCCGCGGAGGTCCTCGCGCAGATGCCGGCGAAGGCGAAGGAGCCCCCGAAGGATGGCCCGCGCGTGACGGAGGCGCAGGCGTTCACGCTGCGCGGGGCCGCGATCGACGTGTGCGAGCGGCTCGTCGCGCATGGGAGGACGCTCGCTGCGGGGGCCGACCCTGAGCTTGCGTGGTTGGGGGAGCTCATGCCGCCGGAGCTCGATGCGTGGCTTTGGGCGGTGGCGAAGGACCGGCCGGACTACCGTAGACTGGAGCGGTTCGCGCTGACGGGCACGGCGTATTTCTAGCTTTCCAAACGGTGGACAACATGGGAAGCATCGGCATCCATGTAGTAGTAAGAAAGACGAGGGCGACCAGAGAAAACCAATCACTTTGTCAATTACTTTGACCTCTCATTATCGCACTCGTGTGTAAGGGAATCTAGCCACTGAAGCCGGTCACTGACCAGCAAAATATACGCCCAGGACGCTACATGGTGCAGTAGGGATTACGTGGGCAATCCGGTGCGACGGCAACTTGTCCCACGACTCGCCAATACACGTGGACCGATTGTCATGGGGCTACAAAACAGACTGTAGAGCGTATTAACAAGGACATTGGGGCGCCCTGCCACTGTCCTCAGACATGTACCATACAATTACAAGCGCGATTACAACACACACACTGCAGCCAAGACCAGGATCGCGGCTTCCAGGCGGAAGATCACCGGCCTCCTCTTGCGAACCAGGTCTTCTGCGCTCCGCAGGTCGCGTTGTTGCACCCTGGACACCGGAGCCCCATCTGGACGCTGGTGGGGCCCGACTTTCCGCTTCCGCAGTCCTTCAGATGCGACGCAGCGAGGTCCGCGATCGCGCGAATGAAAACCGGAGAGTCGTTCAGAGACTCCGCCCTCTGGACGTCCATCCCGTGCTGGCGGTCGAGGTGAGAAGCGAGTGGGATGAGAGACAAGTTGTAACACGTACGTCTTTCGCCTCCTTCGCGTACTCCAAGTCGAGCTCGTACAGCGTCTCGATGTGGTCGCTCGTGAACGCAATGGGGACCAGGATGGCTTCCTTGTGACCAAGCCTTGCGAGACCCTTGAGTGCCTCGCCGGTCTGCATGCCCATCCACGCCGAAGGGCCGACTTGCGACTGCCACACGAGGCGGTACGGGTTCGAGTGGCCGAGGCGGTCCATGACAGCGGAGACAGTCGCGGATACCTCGAGGATGTACGGGTCGCCGCGGTTCACGACGGACATGGGGAGTGAATGGGCGGAGAAGAGCAGGACGACGTTCTTGCGTTTCTCTTCGGGAAATTTCGCGAGCGCGCGCTCGATGTTTTGCGAGACCGCCTAAGAGAACCATCGGACAGCGCTCGTTCGACGACGAAGAGAGTGGAAGGGGAGATGCCAGCAGGCCGCAGGAGCGAACGGAAAGCGCATATACTCACCTCAATGAACCCAGGGTGCGTCCCCCACCTGTCAATCACACTCCACTCCACACCGTCGCCGACCTCTCCCGTCTTCCCGCGCCGATAGAGCTCGTTCAGGCTGCTGCCCGTCGTGCTGCACGAGTACTGCGGGTACTGGGTGAACGCGACCGCGCGCTTGACGCCATCGGCCTTCATCTGCTTCGCGGTCTCGTCCGTGAGCGGGCGCGCATACCGGAACGCGATGTACGCCTTGTGCGGTGCGGTGGCGGGGCTGAGCTCGTCGAGGAGTGCGGCCATGCGCTCGCCCTGGAGCTTCGTGTAGTGCAAGATGGGCGAGCCCCCGCCAATTTCCTCGTACTGCTTCTCGATCTGCGGTGTCCGCCTCCTCGCGATCCACGGGGCGAGCAGAGACTGGAATGGGAGAGGGATAAGGTCGCCGTCGGAGAAGAGATTCTTCAGGAAGTCGTGCGTCTCGGGCACCTGCGAATGTATATCAGTGAGTGGACACGAGTCGCGTGACGCGCGCGTGACGGACCGTAGACGGCCCTCCCATGTTGAGCATGACGATCGCTGTGTGCGTGCCGTCTCAGTTCCTGGCGTCGCCGCGGGCACTCAAAACACACACGCACCTGTGGGGCTGGAATGGTGCGTGAGCGACGAACAGTACCCAGATGCCGCAATGTCCAGCTCACCTTTTCCCCGCGGGGGGCGCGTTGTTGAGTGTCGCCAGCGAGCGGGTCGCAGAACGAGTGAGCGCGGCCGCACGTCGGATGTGGACGGCCATGGCGGCGGTGGGCAGTGAGTGTGTGGTCTAGATGTCGAGGGGGAGGAGTATATAGCGTCGCGCCTGACAGGTGAGAAGGTCCAATGGGAAAGGGAACATTGTCCGTGTGACCGCGACCCACGGCGCGGGTAAGCAAACGGGACTAATCTATTTACTGCACGTTTGGCCGAGCTTACTCCCGATTGTATGCGGCTAATGACCTCACTTACGGGCTTCATCGGGCCTTACAGCCGTGGCTTACGCGGGTAAGCCGGCGTTCGAAGGGAACCGGAACCGGGCTGGCTGGCCGGCCGTTCGTCCACGTCCTCCGATCACGACTGGCATGCTTGCTCTCGTTCTCACCCTTTCACCGCCACGTCTCGATGGGAAACCAGGAGCTCATCAGGCCGCCCATCCAGGTAGTGAGCGTGTCCCTATACACACTGGAGCAACGAGGGCGGTACTCCGTTCTCGCACCCTAGCACAGCTGTGCGCACCCACCACATCTGACACGCAGATGCGTTGCACACGGTGCGCACGGGGCTTCTCCCACCTGTACCCGTATCACTCGCTCGACACGGACGCGTCGGATGCCCGATCCAGCAAGTGGAAATTGGAATCGGCATCCTATGGCATAGCCTGTTCGATAAATTCAACTGCACATTGAAATCCTCAGTGCTCACTGACTTCGACGTTAATAGGTTTCGAGGCGCCGCAGCTGCCAGTACTGCCAGTCTTCCAGACATGCTATCGCCCGCCATACACGGCCACGGCCGCCGTTCTGACGTTACGTCTAGGGTTCATCTCAAAGCATTTCCGACCATGTCAACACTGTCAACACGTCCCCGGCCCATCGGAACCGGGAGCCTCACATACACATTTCTACTCCGCGAAGCTTCTTCCACGACGTCCACAAATGACTCGTACACGCGTTCGACGGTGAGGTCAGCCCGCGCTTCTCTCTGCCTCCTCGCCCAAGGCCCTGCGGCCGCGAGATCCAAGTATCAATCTACGATCCCTGCGCACGCGCTCCGAGCTCCGGCGAAGCTCAGCCAGTGGCAATCCGCGGACGACCCTACCGGTGTACGCCCCTGGCATCCTGTCACATCCACGGCGATCTCGATCTCGACGTCGTGCAGCGGACGGCGAACCTCGAAACACGGCAATCAATCTACAAACCCTCTGCCTCGCGGACCTTGCTGGGACTGGCAGTCTACCGCACGACTCTCCTTTTGGGTCCCCGACTCCCGCCGCCGGCGCGCACGCACAGGACGGCCCCCGCCTTGGGTTCCGCACAGACGGGCGGCGCTACTTCTTTCGACTGGACCGGCCACCGCTCCGGGCAAGCAGCCATAGCGGGCGTCACGCCAGCCTGCTTCGCGCTTCGAAATCCTAATACTCTCACATATCCCCTGCGTACACACCCTTGCAAGGTTTCATCCATGCTGTAGCTCGCCGTCGTTCAGTGACAGGCATGACTCAACGTTCGACGCCACCTCGTCAACCACTTCGGCGTCCTTCGGTCGCTGTCTCCGGGCCATATGACCGGATAAACGTTGGAGTCCTCCCGCCTAGTCTACGTAATGTGCAGATATCTACATGGCGACAAAGTAGTGCCATTTGCAATGCAAGCTGAACCGCTTGCGGCTTCATCGCCCAAAGAACGGGGACCGTGGGATGCCGCCGCATCTCTCGTTCGCGCGAGCCGTGATCAGGATCCCATCGTGGTCCAACGCCACCGCCGGCGGCGGGTTGGGGTCGCACCGCCAGCCCAGTCGAAATCGAGAACATCCTTCCGCGCCAGTGTCGGCGCGTCCGCGGGCGGCGGTAGAGTTCGCGCGCGGGCGTAGGGACGCTTTGGATAGAAGACGGTGAGGCACAGGTATCTCGGTACATTTACAGACGGTTAGAGAGGACGGCAGGCGACAGCGGCTACAGCTATGGGGTACATCGTGCGAGGGCGGAGACAGCATACGGATGGCTAACTATTATACAGATACATCGCGGATTTGGGTGCGTCGATCGGACGGATCGGGAGGGATATCACCAGCGTTAGGAGAAATATTGAACAGTGAGGCAGGCGTGACGGCGGGAGGGTCCTTGAGAGCGTGAAACAGGACCTGGGATACGCGGATGGGGAGGCTGAGTCTCGTGAGAGACAACGTCCCGGAAGGGAGAGACGTTAGTCGTCGCTGAGCTCGCCTTCCTCCCGCTCTTCGCGCTGCGGAGGCGGGGGCTTGCTGGGCAGATGGGGCGGCAACAGCTGCGGGCCGTTCTTGTGCATGTGGGGAGGCAGCGGTCGCGCAAGCGTGGGCATGTGCGGCGCGACTGTGACCGGCTTCGGCGGCACGGAAGCATGGAGTGGCCTCGGCGGTACAGAAGCAGGGACGGGTTTGGGAGGCGCGGAGACCGGTAGAGGGAGCGACGCGAGGGTGAGCGCAGCCGCGGGCGGGGCAGGCGTCGACGGCTTCGGCGGGATTGGAGCTGGGACCTTCGTTGGGGTAACTTTCGACTCCGGGGCCGGAAGCTTGGGCTCTGGAACGGCAGCCTTGGGTTCCGACGCGGCCGCTTTCGACCTCGAGGGCGCAGCCTTGGGTGCCGGCGCCGGTGGGGGAGGCGACGATGACTTGGGGACCGGTGGTGAGGATTCAGGACGCCCACCCGCCGCGGGTGTGACGCTGTTAGCCGTTGCGGCTGGAATGCTCGTCGTTGATCCTTTACCCGGAGTAACATTTGCTAGCGCCGATGCAAGCGCAAGATGGACTGTGACTTCGGGCGCGGGTGTAGATACGGGCAGAGGACCAGACAGCGGCGTCGGCGATGGGGTCGGCTCGCTCTTTAGGACCGCAGCGTCCTCGAGCACGACATCACCGTTTATGTGTGGTGAAGCGGCGTTGTCCTCCACATGGGTCTCCGCAGCGTCGGCGGACGCGGGCGCAGCTTTGGTCGCCGCCGCAATGGGCACTGAGACAGATGTACCAGACGTCGCGCTGCCGCTCGAGTCTCGCCGCTTGACCGGCCGGGCCCGGGGCTTCCGCGTCCGGGCACTGCGTTTCGGCGCCTGGAATTCTTCTTGGGGAAGCTCCTCGCCATCTCCGTTGTTCTCGGGCACGGGGGCGTCCTCTACTAGGTCTGAAGCAACGACCGCCGGACCCACGAGCGGCGACGGGGCGGCCGGCGCGGAGCTGTTGGCCGCCACACCCCGTGGATTGCGCGTCCGCTTGGCTGGAGGTGGAAAGCCAGAGTCTCCATCGTCCGTCTCGCGTCGCTTCCTCTTCGGACCGCCTCTTCGCTTGCGCGGACTCGGATTGCGGTCCCGGGCGGGGGCATCTGTCGTCTTCTCGGCGCCGTTTGGCGTGCCGTTTCCTGCTGACTCGTCGATTCCGGGTTCGCGGGACTTTGGAGCGCGCTGGGCCCGGGAGCTAGAGCGCCCTGCTGCATCGCCATCGTTCAGGTCTCCAGAGTCGTCGACGATGCTCAACGAACTTGGTAGTCCGAACAGCCCCGGATCGAGGGGTGGAAGCGACTGGGCCAGAGGCCCGAGGGGATGATATAGCGGCAACGATGGCGCGTTGTGTTTAGCAACGGTCTTGACGGGGGATGTTGGGTCGGAAGAACGTGTGGTGTCGGTAGAAGAGGAAGCCCGACGGGCCGGCACTCGGTTGTAGGGCGAGGCGCGTTTTCGAGCTGTGCAACACGACGCGGTCATTAAACGCGCTCTCACGTGACCCCTTTGCATCATTATGGGCGCTCACCAGCATGGGCTTCCCACTCCCCAGGGTCGTCCGCCGAGGGGGACTTGAAGACGCTTGCAGGCTTGCGGCGGCTTCGACTGGAAACCGATTTCGAGGGGCTGTTGGCAGACGGCGTCGGAGTGTGGGAGGAGGACGAGGAGCGGGCAGGGTAGACGGGACGAGGACAGGGCCGCGGGATCCGACTACAGAGGATATGTTGTCGAATGAATCCATGACGATCTGTGACAACACATGCGGACGCAGAATGCGGATGATGGAGAGCGGCCGCCGTTCAGGGAGGGGGATGACGGGGGGATGCCTGGAGAAGACGTACAACGCGCCACGCCCTCCACGCAGATTGGGCGGTCCCAGTAACAGGTGGCAGTAGACGGCAGGCGAGCAATCGTGAACCCCGGTTGATGGAGAGTCGGTTGGAGCTGGTTGCTGGCGCAGCTAAGGTGAGGGGTGGTTGTATGAGGAATGCAGTGAGGAGAAGGGGCAGAGAAGGGGCAGGGGAGGGCCCTGTAGGCAGCAGTCGTCAACGGGGCTGTTTGCGGGGTGTTCCTACAGAAAGAGCAGACATACTGAGGCAGTACGACCCTAGGATAGAGCAAGGGGAGCGGTGAGTAGCCTGGAGGCGAGGGGCAGTGAGGACGAGGACGGGACTGGGCTGGACAGCGGCTGAGGGGGAGGAAGACGCGTATAATCGGGGGGCGCACCGACAAAAAGCGGCCGGTCCCCAGCACCCGGGCTCTCAAACGGACCAGCCGGGGTACAAAGCCGGCCACGCGGTTATCTAATCTTATCTCCCTTTGCGGCGGTGCCGATCCCGCGAGCGACAGCCGCTGGCGCCCGCTCGCCCTTGTCTCCGACGCCCCCGCTCCTCCCCTCGCCACCCCGCCGCGCCTCACACATTGTCTCCGCCCCCGCCCCGGCGTCGGCGCAGCTCGGGGTCAGAAAAAGACACAAAGACATGCTGCGTGATGCTTCAAGTTCCACCTGGCGCATGAAAGCGCAGTCGCCGGTCATGCGTCTTATCGTGGTGCGCTTCGTTCGCAGTCAAGCGATTCCGGGACTCGGCGACGGCGGACGTCCTTCCGTTCCGCTCCAACGCAAATTCGACCCCGATGAAGGTGCGCAGGCTGGGCTTCTCAGAAGACCCTGCAAACGGGCGACCTGCCGAACGAACCCCACCAATCGCGACGCAGCCTGGTCACCGATGGGATCGAAAGTTGTGCTCGCTGCACCGGCCCCCACAGGTACCTACAACCTCCGTTCTCCCATTTCTGCTGTGTCCGTCCGTGTCCGGCTCGGAGCCATCCCCGTTTCGTGGTCTCTCGGTTGCTAGGGGCCTGCGCTTGACTCACGAGTTGCACCACGTATGAGGTTCCGCAATGCGTTGGCGCCGTCTGAGGTAGGCGCTTGGGCGCGCTGACACGGCGACACCCCCGCCGCGGAAGAGGTCGGACACGGAGTTAAGGTACGTGGACGTGGACCGCGAGCGGTACTCGTAACAAGCTCGCTCTCTAGGCATATTTGGCATGACTCCCGCCCGAGCACGTGCAATCGGCCGTGATGGGCCCTGCCCCGTCGGATGTCGAGTCAGGCCCAACCCCCCGCCGGCAACCTGAGTCATCCCAGGCCCTGGCCACGCAGTCCCAGGAGGAGAGCAAGACATACACGTCTAATTGCTTTTATTAACGCCTTCCCTCAAGCGCCCTCCGACTACGCACAGCAGTCGCTGCGCTCTCACTGATGTCACTGTCTTGGGGTCCGAAGTCCCCCAGTCCTCCGGAATTTATCACCCATTCGTGCGTTTCGACCGTATTTGTCCCGTATCCCCTCCCGCCCTCCCCTTTGCCGCCAACCTCCCGTGGGTTCGTCCTGGTCTTCCTCCGGATCCGCGGAATCACTGAGTATCTGGTCCTCGAATGCACAGCATAACACCGTGACTCACCGCTCGCATCCTCTGCACTCTCACAGAGGCCTACCTTCTATAAAGGTCTGCCCCTCTGTCGCTGGAGTCATTATTCTCTTCCCATCCTCCACCGTCACCGCAGACATCCTCGTCCCTTCACACCTGCAACCTGCCACAATGAGCGACGCCTACCGTACGTCGTCGTCGCCTTCGCCTCCCTCGACGTCATATACTCATGCCTCGAAGACACAGACTACCGCATGCAGCTCAACAACTACCTCCAGGCGAACGGTGGTGCACGCCACCTCACCTGGGAGGTGTATCAGACTGGGCCTCTGCACCAGCCCATGTGGACTGCCGTCTCTTTCAGTGAGTATGTTGGTCACATGTTAGGTTCCGTGCCCTTACCAAGGTTCTGTACAAGTTCGCGGCATCGAGTATGGTCGAGCCTACGGCGGTAGTCAGAACGCCGTCAAGGAAGAAGCGGCTCGCCAGACCCTGGCCGCGCTGGTAGCCGACCGTCGTGGTAGCGGCTACCACTAGCAGAGGACTCAGGACCCACACATGATTGCGCTCACCCTCTCCCGTACCATTGCTCTCCTCTCCCTCGCCGCTCTCGCTTTGTTCACGATCTCCCGTTCGTCGCTCGTCATTCCATGGGTTCTCCCACGATACCTCGTATGCTATCGCCTGCTCTCATAGCTGTAATTTCATACCGTCTCTCTGTATTCTTGGACCTGTTACATGCCGGACGCTCCGTAGTTGTATGTGCACCATGTCCATATATGTTGTTTGCTGTACTATACACTAGCTCATATGCATAATGTCGGATTTGTCTATCAGTCGCACAGACACGGCCTGATTGAACGTCTTTGCTGCACTGCCATGCCCTTGTACACTGCTTTTGAACGTGAACTTTGTTTCATGGCACTCGATCGCCTGCGTCCTCGCAGTACAGATTGTCGGAACTTGCTGGGCCGGTTGATACCATCATCCTCGAATGGGCTCTGTGTATCATGGGCATTGAGATGAGCCCCGTATGGTTGGTTGCTAAAATTTCACGTTTTATGAACAGTCCTTCAGTACATCGTCCATGTATCCCCGGAAGCCGCGGGTAGATCTAGGTCTCTGAATGACGCGGTAGGATTCACGGTCACGGGACCGCGTCAAGTGGGCGCCTCCACTTGCGTGAATCCAAGGACGCGGGCGTCTGCGATTGTCATTCGCACAGGAAGGACAGCCGCAATCCAACATACGCACCACATGCACGCTCTCAGCCACGCTGCGGGATGCCGCCCGCAATTCAATTCGAGATAGGGACTTCTGATGTTAGCGCTATGGCCCCCGACGAGTACCGCAATAGACGTGTTGAGCACAACCGCCGCCCTTCGATGTACCGCAATCGTCCTGTACAAGCGTTCCCGGAACGTGGCCTCCTGCTCCAGCTTGCCAATGAGACGCAGGGCAAAGGCAGACCACGCGGCCCACGGTTCCCCCGGCCACTTGCGGCTCTGCCACGCGGCGACGCCAGCGCCGCTGCCCACAAACGATACGCAGACTTCTCGACGGCGGCGGCGGCGGCCAGCCCGGAGTCGGATGAGCTCGGCGAAGTGTCGCCTGTTCGCTCGCGCGAACGCAAGGACTGAGGACTGAGGACTGAGACTTGAGGCTTGATTCCCGGTCAGCGAGTCGCCGCCTCTGATGCAAACCGTCCTCGAGGCTTCGGGCGCACCGATCTGTATATCGTGTGCCTGCCACTCCGAGGCGAGCGGCGGAGCAGAGCGGCGACGGCGGCCGCGGCCGCGGCGAGCACTGAGCAGAACCCAATCGTCGCGCGCGTGCGGGGCCTCCTCCCCTTGCCGGCCGAGCGTTCGCCCAGGCCCCGCGTCCTTCATCCGCTTCGTGGCGAGGCACCCACGCGATGGGGTTTGGGAACGCACCCCCGCGAGGCGGTGCACGCGCGACACCGCCTCGCGCTCTTCAAGCTTCGGCCCTGCAGGGCGCCGCGACATTCAATGCGGCCCGTCGTGCCAGCCGGAGTCGTGGCGCCGCGCGCTGGAGCTTCCGAGATCGACCGACGACGTCCGCGCCGCACGGCTGGGGCGATGTGGACCTGGTTGCGGGCAGCGTCGCGCCGAACCCAGCGTGGCCGGTGGTTCGTCCATGATGTTCGCGCGACGTCCGCGGTGGCCATTGGCCGTGCGCTGGCTGGGCGGAGTCGGAGACGGAAGCGGCGTCGCCGCAGAAAACACCCGCTGCGTGATGCGATAACCACACCCTCCGGTGCGCCTCAGGTCGACGGCGACGCGCGAACCTTGAGTATGACTTGGCCTCCGCACCCCGATGTGCGGTCTTTGTGCCACTCGCGGCCGGCTTCACCGCTGGGGCGGGCACCTTCGTACGTTGACACGCGCAGGGAGCCGAGCGCGCCGCACAGAACGAATGCGCACGGATCTCGCTCAGAGCGGTGCCCGAGACAGAGCTCCAGTCGCCAGGGGCAGTATGTCGCCGCGAGGCACTGAGCACTTATCGGCCGGGGCAACCGCGCGCGGGACATGTCCTCGCTCGAGAGGCGCGCGACCGGGGCGAATCCCGCTCGCGCGACAGAGTTCGAAGCTGTACACGTACGGTGCGCAGAGGCGCGAGAGCCGCCCAACGAAGCCCCCGGGCGGCCCCTGCTCGACTTCTGTCGCACGCGCGCCGCTGACAGCCTGGAAAGTCGCGGCCAAATTCCCGATGCTCGCGCCGCGCGGCGGTGCGCGCGAGAGGCCGCTCAGCGTTCAACGGTGCGTCATGGGCCGTTGGAACACCTCCGCGATGACTCGGTTGAAACCTGCAGCGGGGCCCCGCCGGGGGGGATGCAGCACAGTCGCCGACGCGCGCCCCGGCGATTCTGAAATACAAGATCCAACGCAGCTGACGTCAATCCGATCACCGCGCGCGCTAACGAGGTTATGCTCTCCTCATCTTGTGGTTTCGCCGAGACGACTTTGGAGTCCGTGGCTGGCACGGCGTGGGGCGCGCGGGTGAAGTCGGGATGGCCTTCGGCCTTCGGCGTCGATTACTGACGGCCGAAGAGCACAGGTACGCCAATACCGGTGATTCCGTTGTTCCACAACTGTGTTGGAGAGGGGCATGTGTTGTTCTAATCGTTTCTGCGACACATGCTCCATCTCGTATCAACGCAGCCTCCATCATTGCCTTCCTGGGAGGGTGTGTAATTGAATATTATCGAGGCTTTTGAAAGTCTCTAAGAGAATAAGCTCGAGTCAGCAAATATTGGGGGTCACGACGATGCGAAGGTACCTCAGACAACGTCCGTGATCGGAATCCTGTTGTTAGTACTGTCCCTCGAATGTTGCAAGTGACAGGCATCGCGTGGCCCTTGCGAAGCGCAGACCGAGTCATGTTGCGTCGGCGAACGCTGGTACCCAGGTTCAAGTGGCCCCGCATGTGAGGAAGAAGCTGCGCATCGCCGGAGTACTACCGGGTGAGCCATTGACCTGGCACCTTCCCTAACGGCACAGCAAAAAGGAAAAATATACAACGGGTAGGTGCGCTGGCTATCGAGGGTTTTTGGTCCGGCAGCTGCGGAGTGCGACTGTCATCGGAGGATGCGAGGGTTTCGGTCGGAGGTCGCAGAAAGTTCAGGGATATCGACTGTATTGACGCAGCTCGGTGGTTGAGAAAAAGCCGGAGCCGCAGGCAATGAACCTCCGGATACGCCGGTCGTGCATGTGGCCACATCCTCCTGGGGATGTTCGAAACGCTCGTTAGCATGAAATTAGATGAACGATCGGGATATTCGAGTAAAAACATGAAGTCTAGCACCACATCCGTACGTCCCGACTTCCCTTCTAAGCGCCAATTCGCCGCAACGACCCCCACCCCCCCTCCGAAGGCGACCAACGGCGCGGCCAAGGATTCCACGCCGTTGTCGGACGAAATCGTCTGGTTGGTAGCTTTCAAGTTACGCTGGCCGCGCTGCTGGTCGAGGGTTGCACACAAGCGCCAGCGTTGAGCGGGCGCGATCTACTACATGCGAAGAGGGCCGAGGGAGAAGATGCACAGGTGAGCTGGTTCCCTGGCATGCGCAGTTGAAGTCGTGTTGGGGGGCTGGATTGTCGTGCACTGTGGAGCGGGGAGGGCGGGTCAGCGCGACATTGCGTTCTGTTGAGGCGAGCGAGACGGTATCATAGGCTGCTTACCTGCTGATGGATGGACAGCGAGCGCGCCGATAACGGAATGGATTCCACTCGCCTCCTACTCGCCTCCTGACGAGAACGTCTGGGCCAGTGACAAGAGGCACATGATCCATCCGTTGCTGTCTTCGGCGAGTCGCCCAGCGACGGGCTACAGCTTGAAGCGTTGGTGAGCTCCCAATGTCACCGTGACGAAGAGTGCTTGCATATCGCAGGGACAGTGCTGATAGCCATGCTGGACCTAGTGCGGCGAAGTGGATGAAGATTGCCGAAAAACAGCAGGAAGGGAGGCTGCATTGTCGTAGGCAGGATTTCGAATGAGAATCGGTCTTCCGAGTCCGATTTGCCCAACGCTCTGACAAACAAGTTTGGTCAGCACTCCGACCTCGCTGGTTGCTCAGCCCGCGGCATGTCGCACTTGAAAATCGTCGTCGCATATCGCGCGTTGAAAGCCGGTCGAGTACCGGCACACGGCGCGCGTCCTCCGCTCCCATTCGCTTGTTCGCCCGGTCCGAATGTCCCGCACAGGCGCTTACGGCTCCGGGGACCTCGATAGCCGGTCCTTCGGCCGTCGGGCTGCACTGACAAACCCCTCATCCACCGACTTATAAAACAGGTCGCCCGCCCCCATCCGCTTTCGCTTTCCGCCCGGTTTCCTTTGGGTTTCCTCGCCTGTCCTCGCTGGCATCACACCAAGGAGGTCGATCGTAAAGAAGGCAAAAGCGAGTCGTTCGTCAACGGCGTCCATGGCATCGGTGTGTTACAGGTACAAACGTAAGATTAAGTGCGCCCCACTGCCACATGTCTGTCCAACCTGACTTCGGATTCATTATTACAGCGCAGCGGCGCGAAGACCCCACGGAGAAAACACCCGACCGAAACGCGATCCTGTCCAAGCCGCCGTGCGTGCCGGCCGGCCCGCCGTTTTTGAGCACGACGCGGGCGGCACCGCTCAGACGGACTCGACCTGCTGGTGCGAGGCCTTGCTGCGGACGGAGTCGTTGTCGGCCGCGGCGACGTTGTGGGGGCCGACCCGCCCGTGGCTCTCCTGCGAGTGCTCGGCGTGGGCGAGGTGCGCGGCGAAGTAGTCGACCCACGCGGGCGTGACGGCTGCGGGCGCGCAAAGGTGCGTCGTCGTTCCGTCCGTCAGTCTCGCGTCCGGGCAGAAGAGAAGGGGGGAGGAAGAGACGCACTGCGGCTGGAGTCGGAGAGGACGTAGGTGTAGAAGAGCATCGCGCAGATCGTCGCGGGGAAGTTCGTCAGTGCGGCGATCGCGGCGTAGGATCCGCCCCCGGCGGGGAGGCCCCAGATGGTCAGTGCCATGAGGCGGGCGCCGACGTCGCGCGCGGCGTTGGTCGCGACTGCACGATCGAGGAGTCAGCGTGTAGCGCGGGAGGGAGACGGGATCGGGACGTACTGCCGACGGTGGCGTAGCCCCAAACCATGGTCGCGCTGGAGAGGAAAGCCGGGCACGTCGTGTCAGTCTCGGAAGTCGGGGACTGGCACGAAGTGCACGACAGGAGGACGCACTATGCAAAGGCGATGATCCAGGGGCCAGTGGCGGGCGTCGCACCAAAGTTGGTTGGGTCAACCGAGGCGAAGATGACGAGGCCGATGAGGAAGTCCTGTAGTGGGGATGATGGATTAGCAGGGTGTCGCATAGAACCGGACAGGAGCAGAAGGTGCGTACGCAGACGAATTCGTTCAAGAAGATGCGGCCAAGGGAGACACCGGTGGGGGCATAGAGTGCGAAAACACCAGCCGGGCCGTTGGGCGTGAACATGACTGCCTCGAGCTTGCCGGACGCCTCGAGGACCTCGGTCACTTCCTATCGGTGTGGCCGAGGTGTATGTACGTTTGTTTAGTGTATGAGAATCAATATAGATTTGGGGGATTGGAATGTGAGATTGACGCGTCGAGGAATAAAGTACACGCGAACATCCGCACCTTGATATAGTCGTACCACTGGACGTAGATGAGCAGGCATGCCACGTAACTTCCCAAGATCTGGGCGGCGATGTAGCTAAGGGTTTTGAAGTGAGCGGCAGAACGATTGAGGGGTAGGGGTAATCAGGGGTAATCGGATGGATAGGAGCGATGGGGATATGCGCGGTCCGCGGCATACACATGGACCCACAGATCAAACGAGAATTGAAACTCACCGAGGGGCCTTTTTGGCGGGGAACTTGCCGAGGAGAGTAAGGCAGACGGTGATCACGGGGTTAAAGTGTCCACCAGAGGTCGGTGCGCAGACCTGGAGTGACGCGAGAACGAGGTGGAAGGAGGATTGGGCCCCTGATAAGTCGCAAAAGGAGAGGAGAACGTACGATGAGCGCGAACAGGATACCAAACGCGTACGCGGCACCGATCTGGAACATGGACGAGAGGCCGGCGATGCCTGCGGCGCCGCCCAGAAGGAAGTTGGCGGTGGAACCGACGCCGGCGTACACGTAGAAGAACACGCCCATCTGCGAGCGGGGGTTCAATGCGACCGCGCGGGGGACGAAGGGGAAGGAGGAGATACGCACAAACTCTGCGGCACACTCGACGAACCAGTGGGCCTGGCGATGGCGGACGCGCTCCCAGCCGACGAAGGCGTTCGAACGGGGCTCGATGTCGGCGTAGTGGACGACGTCGCGGCGGCGGAGGTGGTGCATGCCGGCGGTGGCCATTGCTGCGACGGAATCTGGGCGGGCGGGGGAGAGAGTGGGGAGCAGGAAGCTAGCGGCGGCGGGGGTCTGAAGGACAGATGGCGCGGGCTATCAGAAGGGCGTAATGATGCGCGTGGGCCCCATCGGGGGGCGGGGGCCGGGCAGCTCACCTGTGAAGAGCGGGGGGAAGCGTGGGCAGGGGCGTTAGGTCGACGAAGGGAGCTCGAGCACGTAACGCGAAGCCTGCGGGGGAGGAACGCGCCCTCCCGCTTACCGGTGCGCGAATTTAACGGATCGCTGGGGGCGGAGTGACAAGCGTGCTTCGCGTACAGTCGCCTTCGTGTGCACACCTGACGAAACCTGGCGAGCCGCATGACCCAGCTCGAGCGGAAAATAGATGAGGCAGGAGGCGTTGCCGCGTTGCGCTGCGTTCGCCGTGCGCGCTGGCCGACGATCGCGAGACGAGATCTGAGCGTGCTGTGTGGACGATGGCAAGAGGGTATAGCCTTGTGCATAACAGTGGGGAACCAGGGCAAGATGGTGGAGACAAGGCTTGTGACAAGGACGGGATGCACGTTCAGCACCGGGCCGCCGTGCCTTGCGCCTGTCCTTGTTTGGTTCGCCTACCGGACGCGGGGTCGAGGCGGGGCCCCGCACCGCACATCAGCCCCACGCCCTCGACCGCCCGCGCAGATGGCCATCGCTCCCCTTCTCTTCTCCTCTTCCACCAACCCTCACCGCGCACGGCGACACCGCGCGATCGCGGCAACGACTCCGAGGAACACACATTGCGCGGCTGCGTCCCGATGCCCCCGGCTCCATGGCGCCTCATATCCATCACAACGTCACAATTCCAATCGCCCTGACGCCGAGAGCCACGCACGTCCGTGGCCACGAGGACTCTCCCGGACTCTCCCAAAAGACCTTTTTTTAACGCGTCCACAGGATGGCTTATTGCCAAGCCCCCATGCCGCCGATAACCTACTAGACCATCGCGGGGTTGGCTCCAGCTCGCCTCGGGATCGCTCGTCCCCTCCGTACGCCAGGGACCCGTTATGGGCACCTGGCCTGTTTCCCCAGCACTCGTATAGCGTGAGTTGCTCGGCGTACTATCCTCAAGCGGGGGAGGTTGCTGCAAACACACGCACGCGTCTCCCGCGAGAGGTCGCGCGCGCATTGCTCCTCCGGATGCAGGCACACCTCGTGCAGGCCGCCGCGGAGACGAGCACGCGAGACACATGGGGACCGGCCGCCCCTTCCAGAACGTGCGCACATCGACAAACCGCCCGGGCGCGTCCACTCGCTTCGGGGGACGCAAGCGAGATCACGCACGCCCGGACCATCGACGCATTTCTCAGACTGGGATCGACGTGCGAGGAACGCGCGCGCGTCGGGGTCTGACCGCGCTGGATTCAGCTCGGCGCGAAGTCCGTCTCAGCTTTGGTCAGCGCCATCGCGCTTACCTTTGTCTTCGGCCAGATGCACCGTGGCCCGTAGGCCCCCGTCGCTGCATGTCGTGGGCACCGCATGTACACCATCTCTCCAGCCCCCTCGGGGCCGACACGTCATCCGTCCCGTATACGCACCACTATTCTCGCTAGTTAGGTTACTGTATCTCGGCCCTCTAGGGCGTTAGACAGGATATTAACAAACAAACAAACTGCACACCATCCTTCTCGACACTCCCCAATAGAAACCTGTCATCTCGTGCTGTGAACAAGACCAGAGCGAGCGCTGCAGGCGCTCTCTGGTTCCGGGTGGCTGAGAGCAAAGTCAGGTGCGTTTCACGCAGTGAACGGTTGGCCAGGACGTCGGAGATGGAGACATCCGGTTAGAAGACTGTGCTGCGCAGACAAGGCACAATATCCTGTGTGTGTCATATATTGCTTGTGGCAAGGGGCTAAAGTCGAAATATCAGCTTAGAGGCTATGTCAAAGGGAGAGGGCCGGAACAAGGATCAGGAAAACCGACAGTGGCGCACGGCAACACATGACCTTTTCTTGAGTACATATGCCGGACCGTGATGCGAAACGACAGCTGAAGAGAGGCAGCGAGCGAACAAGAAAGTGAAAGGGCAAGTCAATCCCGATCTACAGCGCTAGAAACGTTTCGGCGGGTGTTGAGCCTGCCGTGACCATCATTGCCTCTTTTTTTGGGACAATCATTTATATCCCGTGCACCGAGTACGGGTGCGGCTCTTCTACATGGGTGACACTTGGTGGGCGAATGTTCTCAGCCTGCCTATGGGCCTGCATCTAAGGGCTGGTCACACCCTTGGTTTGTGGTGCTCCTCACGTGTGCCGCCGGGCGTCTTTCCACGTCGTGCGCGCGCCGTGCTTTGCCCGCTCGCCTTCTCTGTGTGGTGCGTGTATTTTCATGCACCCCCCTTTTATGACGGCGCATCCGCAAACATGAGCGCGCCGTCATTCTCGGTGTCAGGTCTCGGTACTCGGCACGCCTCGAGGCGCTGCAGGAAATCGGACTCGCCCCGCAGCGCCACCAGCGCTCGTACCTCGCGCATTCGGCGGCTTTGCAGCGCATGGCACTTCGGGCATTCTGCAGTGGGTTCGCCCTTGAAGCTCGAAGAAGCGCGCTCGGAAGGATCCGATGCACGCGTGGGTTGAGCACCGCGCGGCAGAACCGGGACTCCATCGCTGCGGGTGAGTGTTCGTGCGCCCCCGGCGCAGCGCAGGTCGTGTGCTTTGGCGGGTCGAAAACCAGCAGTCATGGCCCGCGAAGGGGCGCGGGTTGCGGTACTGTTCCCGCCACTCCGACTTCAATCGCACCGCCAATAGATCGCGCGCGCGCGCGAACGCCGCTGAGCACTGAGCACTGCTCACGCTCCTGAACCATCATCGCCTTTTGCCGGCTTTGGACACACCAGGCGGAACTACGACGGAACCGGGGAGCCAACTTGCGGGGATACGGCGCAGGGTTTGACGGGAGAGCGAACGGAGAGGGTCCAGGACAACGAGAACGGCAGCGGTGAGGGGCACGGGGCTGCCGAGGGGGGAGGGGTTCGCGGTGTCTTGGTGTGCGCGGACTCCGGTGGCGGGGGCGGTCGAGGAGTCGAGCAGGCCGTGTACGGCGACCTCGGGCAAAGAGTCCGTCCGAGTTCGAGATCCACTCCACACCGGCGCACGAGAAGCCGGGCATTCTTGGCTTCGACGCGCATCGAGCCGAGCGTCCTCGTCCCGTGGGAGGTGCCTTCGCCTGGCCGGATGATGCTGCACTAACCGTCGGAGGACCTCCAGCTAGGGCAAACCAGATGCATAACAGTTGAGGAGCAGCAGGGTATCCATGGAAGAAAAGAATCGGCATCTTCTGACAGCGAATGCGGCTGAAATGGCGACGACGGTTTGAATCGTCGGCACTTCAGCTGTGTAGGGAGTCTGATCTCGAAATCAGCTAAGTGGAAGAGAAGTCGTCCGAGATAGCCTGCCTATACGTGCCACTGGAGTCGGAGGCACTGCTAGCGCACAACGCGGCCCGACCGGCCCGCTTGGCCCGACACGTCTGAATCTGTGCAGAACCGAAGGCTATATTCCAGGTATCGATGAAGCAGTCTCTAAGTTACGATACTGTACAACCGGCCCCCACCGCGCTCAGGTCATTGCATAACTTATGTATCGTATATAAGAGGGCTTCGATGAGGGGAGCGTGCGGGGCCACCTCAGGTGCGGAACGAGCGTGGTGTGCGGTCGCGCAGTAGTGCGCCGACGGCGGTCAGGAGGGTAGAGAAGATATGTAGATGGGCGATAGATGACCCGGGATTGTATTCCAAGCAGAACATATCGTACTTCCAGCCCGAGGAGTCGTTTTCGAGGTCGACTGGGGAGGGAGAGGCGGTCACAGCATAATGTTCCGGCCTCGAGTTCGTGGCAGTGCGGGTTCAGACCAGGGAGATAGGGTGCTTGCCCGCTATCCGCTCTTCGATGATCTGGACGATTGTCGGCGCGTAGACTGGGATCTGCGTGCCCTGGAAGCCTTCAGGGTAGTTGACGCTGGGCTCGTTCGGGTACGTGAGGAATCTGTGCACGAGCGAGAGGAAGGGTCAGCCAGGCACAGTACACATCGGACTTGGACACGTACGTATCGTTCCAAACGGCGAAGTGGCGCATGCCGAGCGCGGTCGACGTCCAGTGGTAGTCATGTGCGAAGCCGCCAGGGTAGAAGATCTCAATGACCGTCGACACAGGCGTAACAGGCATCATGATCAGATGCTGAACGCCGGCTCTAGTCAGCCGCACTTTCACCTACGCGCCGACCTGAAACGAGCACCCACCGTCAGCCCGTTCCCATGCACCCCGAGGAGAATCGTCGACTTGGCCGCGATTTCCAGCTGCTGCTCCTTGCTCAGCTTCTCCGCCTCGACGACGTTCAGCTCCCACCCGTGCTTGGCCGTCATCTCCTCAAGCGCGGTGACGAGAGCGGCGTGGTCCGCTTCGATTAGGTGCCGCCGTGCGCTCTGCCGCGAGATGTAGGAGATGACGACCTCCTTGTCCGACAGCCCGGAGAAGGCCTTGTGACCCTCGAGCGCCGCCGCGCCCCTCACGCGCTCCGCGCCCTCGACGACCGCGAGCGCACGGACGCCGGTGTCAACCACGCGGGGATCGATACCCGCGAAGCGGAGCACCCCGCGCCGGACGGGCTCCCACCAGAGCGTGGTGAGGCGCTTCTGGTCGCGCATGTAGTCGATCGCCTCGCTCGCGATGCGTTGGTTCTGCGAGCCGCAGCGCGCGCCCTTGAACGAGGCGGAGCGGTCCGAGAAGAGCGCGTAGGGGAAGTGCCACGCGCGCCGAGGCGCGGCCGGGTTCGAGGTCGCGACGGTGCGGTCATCCCAGTCTTCCTCGACCTCGACGGTCGTGGAGGGGAACGCAGCGCGGAAGAAGTATGAGTTGAAGCCTGGGCGGTCGCGCCAGCCGCGCGCGCCCGCGTTCGCGAAGATGACGCGGTCGACGGGCGGGGCCGACGATTTGTGCGCGGTGCCAGGCTCGACGGTCGCGCTGAACGCGCCCTGCCAGAATGCCCACGCGCCGAAGAGCCATTCGGCGCAGAAGTGGTAGTAGTGGTCCAGGAACTGCGAAGGCTCGTTGACGATGAACGTGTTGCCGGGCACGGACCAGAGCCGGTTCTGCTCGTGCTGAAAGACCCGAGATGAGCGGCAGGCGCAGCGGCACAAGACAGACTAGCCTGACTCACCGACTCGACATCACCTGCCCACATGTCCCTGGCTTCCTCAGGCGTGACGAAGCTCATGTCCTCTCGTGTGGGGAGACGCGCCTGGATGTTTTCTGGCGTGTTCTCCGCGGGCAAGCCGGTCGAGGTCATGAGTGAGATGTCTGGGAAGCTGTTCGGCCTTGTCGTGACTATGTAGATGGTACCGTTTGACATGTAGAGGTTCTTGAAAACCGTCCAGCCAGGCGCATGCGAGAGCATCGTGGTTTCTGGGATAGTGTACGAGAGGTCTACCTCATCCGAGAACGTCTTCTGCCCCTTCTGCGTCTTGCCAAGTCCCGCGAGAAGGTCTTGTAGCGCTGCCTTATCCGTTCCAAGATTCCGGGTGTCATCGTGAGCGTGAACGTGGTTCGCAGGCTGACCGTACGCGTGGTCGTGGCTGACTTCTGACACCTGACAAACATAATCAGCAAACGAGGCACCTGGCGGGCGGAGAGCGGGAAATTGGGCGAGGGGCCGCTCTCGCAAAGACTGTGCAACATCGCAGCGACCCGGACCTCTGACGACCGTGAGGGCGAGAGGGGTACGGGAACGCATGTGTAGGACCAGTTCTCGGGGCACTCGCCGAGCGTTCCACTGAATCTCGGAGGACGCGTCTAGATGACAGTGACACACGCAGGCCGACACGTCCTCAGCCGCGTTCTGTCCACGAGCCTCTGCAGCCCAGGGACGCATTCACATGCGGGGGCGCACTTCCTCCGCCATGGTAGGCGTCCGTCATCGTCTCCTCAAACATCCCCCCGTCACGTCCTCTTCCCCCAGGGCATACTTGGAAGGGGCCCGCATACACGCGCGAAAGGCAGGACCGAAAGCTCACCTGTGTACTGACGATTATCGAGTGCTCGGAGGACAAGGGTCCGATGAAGCTCGTGGCGAAATGCATCGCGGTCGCGCCGAAGAGGACGAGCGCGACATCGCGGAAGGTGCGGGAGCGGGCGAGGCCCACCATGGTTTGCGCGAGGCAGAGACGGGGAGGGCGAGGAGAAGGAAGGACGGTCGCGCGAGGCGAGGGAGCGGAGGGGAGGGCGCAGGGACAGGGAGGAGGAGGGTGCGGGAGTGGACGAGTCGCAATATATTCCCAAGTGGCAGCCTCGCCGCGCTCCGCCCGCTCGTCCGAGGCGCTCTCGCGGTGATGGCTCCCCGGCTAGCAGCGGGTTCCTCCATTCACTCGAGCACGTCGCCTCCTCTGCCCGGGCCCTCTCCGACCGCTCATCCTCCCCGTCCCGCCCAGCCGCACCCATTTCCGTCGACAACCGGTGTTACGCGGCTCGCTCAACGGCCAGAGCAGCCCCCACCGCATCGCTTCGGAGTTTCATTCGTTTCACGAAGCCCAATCACCATGATTTCGTCGAAAACTGAGCTTCAGCCTCCCTTCGCAAAGAGATCAGCAGCGTGCTCGCTTTCGATTACTGATTGATAATGACACAGCGTTACAAGGCCTGTCGGGCCCGGTGTGGAGGCCGAACGTCAGGCACAGCAGCCCGAGGCGTTGAACATCGCCCCCGTATCTGCAGAACGTTGTTTCGGAAGTGAGCGTCTTCAATGACGAGAGGCTTTGACACCGCTTGTTGTGAGCCGTTCTCGAAGTTGACTTGTTGGTGGAAGATGAGATAAGACCGTCCAAGCGCCTAATCCGGGCCGGCCGGAGTCGTTAAAATGCTTTTATACCCCTCACGACACTCGGTAAGTATCTTGAGCTGGTCTGCTTCCCTGTTCAATGCCGTACAGGAAACCACCGCCGACTGCTATGCAACGCCGACATGGCGCCTTTACTAGCTACCGTCGCTGGCCGACGCGGACTGTTATCGACGGCAGGAATATCAAGGGTCAGAATGTAGCCTATGTATGTCGTGTTCATCTCTCTCAGTTCTCCCTCACTCCCCCATGCACGCGTCCTACAAAGCTCCCTCTCCTTGCAAAGAGTATGAGTTCCCCCAACACAGACGCAAGCTTGTTGCTCCCCCTATAGATTATGAGCGCCATGCTCGTATCAACTGCAGCGGGGACAAAGACTGCGCGCCGGATGTCGGTAACGGCTGCAAGGGAGATCAGCAGCGCCGGGCCTGCTCTTTTGCCTCGTTCCGTGCTCAACACCGTCCCAAAATTCATCGACTCACCCTCGGTGCTCACCGCACACTCTGACTGTGGTATTTGGCGGTAGCTGCGCCCCGGATGCAGGCCGTGGGCGAGCATGGATTCTAGATCGGACCTTACTGTGCCTCTGCGAGGACGGCATGGGCGCACAGTTTGAGGTATAGTTCTGCATCCCCCGGCCAGGCGCGCAGGGATGTTGCCGAATGGGCGGTAAGACTCGCTCTGCGCGAACTGTACTGACTGTCATATTCTTGCGTTCTGGCTGCATAATTTATTGATGGCCTCTGCAGAACACCGCGGCGCAACGCTGCTGGTACATAACACGCCCCGCTGGAGCTGATTCTTGCCATTCTCCTCCGAAGAATGGGTCATTCCCACTTCGGCTTCGATAGGCCAGATTGGATCACTTACGTAACGCAAGCCGTAGGTTTCGGTTTGTTTTCGACTTTGAAGTTTGACGTTTGACCCTCGTCGGTCTGATGCTTCTGGCACCCCGGTCTGGTACCTTAGGCTTGAGCTCTTGCTTGGAACTACCCTGTGATGACCACGTGAGCTTTTGGCACTCAATCTCAACTTCACCGTGAGGACAGCACAGAAAACCGTTCGGCCTTGTTGAACGGCGCCGTCTGGACCTGCCAGCGCAGGGTGAATATAGTATGACCGTCGCGGCTCGAATACTACAGCTGTAATTCCAGAGGATAGTATTTGGTATGTCTCATATCTGTCTGCGCCAAGCCTCTGTGCTGATTCGATGTCGACAATGTTCCAGCCAAGCAAGTACGTAAGCCTGGCGAGTTGTCCGCTCCAGCCTCCGACATCTTCCCATCATTCACCGTCCGAGTCCCCTGGGCAACGTGGTGGTCTCAGCCGATGCTTTCCGTTCCGTGTGGCTGTCTCGCTTTTATTGCCCAGATTCCTGAAGATTCTCTGAGCCCGATGCAGTTGATTCCGGTCTTCTGTCACTTCGGCTGCCGCTCATGTGGTAGTACTCGTAGCAGATATCAACCTCGCCCGTTCAGGGACTTCACATGCACTACACCTTTCCTCCGTCCACCATCTTCCGACGATCCAGACACACTCTTCACGACCTTCCTTCGTTTTCTTACCTTTTCTTCTGGATATGTCTTATTCTTATGGTCCCAGCCACCCACCTGAGGGCATGTATTCTCTCAACAACCTCTCCGCGCCCAATAGCTCTCACAACAAGCTGTCCACCGATTACCTCCCCAGCGAATCCACCACCTCGCTGTCGCACGCGCCCTTCCTCGGCAACAGCCAGCAGCAGAACGCCTTCTACGGGGGCACGTACGCGACGAAAGAGGGCCAGCCCCGCACGTATCTGCCAGCCCCGCGCCGCGCCGCGGCTCGAGGTCGCCCTTTCTACAAGCGCCCGTGGTTCTGGATCCTTGTGGTGATTGTGATCGCGGGCGCAGCAGCGTTGATCATATACTTGGCGGTCATCCGCCCCAAGCACAACGACGGCGCGAAAAATTCGTCGCCAGCGAACAACGACACAGCTGCGGCGCTTGCCGTCCACATGGGCGGCGATGGCAGCACCGTGACCATGGAGGACGGTTCGACGTTCACGTACGCGAACAAGTTTGGGGGATACTGTGCGTGCTCGACTCCCTCGTTCTCCGATGGCGTTTCTGACTCTCGCGCACCCTGCGAACAGGGGTCTCCAACCCGCGTGACCCGTTCGACAACTCTGCGCGGCCGAACTCGTGGACCCCGCCGCTGAACCAGAGCTGGACGTGGGGCAAAGACCGCGTGAACGGCGTGAACATCGGCGGCCTCTTCGTGCTCGAGCCCTTCATCTCCCCCGCGCTCTTCCAGGATAACCCGGGCACGGCCGACGAATGGACGCTGTCCGTGGCCCTCGCGGCGAAGGGCAAGTTGCAGGAGACGCTTGAGAACCATTACGACACGTTCATCACCGAACAGGACATCGCTGAAATCGCGGGCGCCGGCCTCAACTGGATCCGCGTCCCGATACCTTTCTGGGCTATCGAGACCTGGGACAACGTCGGCACAGAGAAAGGGCAGACCGTTGCGGAGCCGTTTTTGGCCCGCGTGTGCTGGAAGTGAGGAGCGCATGCGTCTTGACTACACATTTAGACTAATGGACTATCCGGCCACGCAGATACATCCTCCGCTTACTGGGGTGGGCGCGCAAGTACGGTCTTCGTGTCCTGCTCGATCTTCACACCATTCCCGGCTCACAGAACGGTACGCAATTGGACAGCCGCGGGATCGAATTCCTCTAATCACTGCACCCACGTCAGGCTACAATCACTCTGGCAAGCTCGGTTCGCTCAACTGGCTTCACGGCGTTATGGGGCTTGCCAATGCGGAACGCTCTCTTGATTACATCCGCACCCTCACAGAGTTCTTCTCCCAGGTGCGACCGAGTTGCTTCGCCATTTCGTAATCCTGGGCTCACCGAATATATTCAGCCCGAATACCAAAGCCTCGTTCCTGCGTTTGGTATCCTGAACGAGCCCTTCGCTCGCACTATTGACCAGAACACGCTTTCCTCGTTGTAAGCAATCATCAATATCTGCGGAGTAACGGATTTGATTACTGACACGCGGGATATGAAGCTACCTCGAGGCTTACAAGATGGTCCGCAACATCACGGGTATTGGCGAGGGCAAAGGCCCTTACATTTCCTACCATGACGGGTTCATCAACCCCTCATCATGGGTTGGTTTCCTCGAGGGTGCAGACCGGATCGTTATGGGTGGGTGCATGCAGATCGACGTGAATGAAAGTAAGCGCATTCTGACCGCGACGCCGCTTCCAGATACGCATCCCTACTTCGCGTTCACCGGGAAGGCTAATCGAGACCCGGTGAACGTCACCGCTACTGGAAGCACGGATCCCTCCCAGATGGGTGGCGTTTGGCCCAAAACGGCGTGCGACTCCTTCTCGCCACTCCTGGACAAGGGGTGAGCAGACATCCGTGCTCGACGTGCAGGCGCATTGCTAAGCGACTCCCCGCCCCCCTCGACTCGCAGACGCAAAGGCTTCGGCGTGACCGTCGCCGGCGAGTTCAGCAACGGCTTCAACGACTGCGGCCTCTTCGTCGTCGGCGTCAACTCCTCCACGCACTACGGCCCCGACTGCGACTACTGGCAGGACCCGGCGAACTGGTCGGACGCGACCAAGGCCGGCATCCTCAACTTCGCGCTCGCCTCGATGGACGCCCTCGGCGACTGGTTCTTCTGGACCTGGAAGATCGGCAAGTCCACCGCCGGCGTCGTCGCCTCCCCGCTCTGGTCGTACCAGCTCGGGCTCGCCAGCGGGTGGATGCCGGCGGACCCGCGCACGGCCGAGGGCGCCTGCGGGAAGTTCGGCGCGACGGGCGACGCCTTCGACGGCGCGTTCCAGCCGTGGCAGACGGGCGGCGTCGGCGCGGGCACGATCGTGCCGGGCGCGCTCGCGGCGGTGCCGACGTGGCCCCCCGCGCTGAAGGACCTGCCGGAGGGGGCGGCGGACGCGGCGGTGCCGCGGTACACGAGCACGGCGAGCGCGGTGACGCTCCCGCCGATGGAGGTCGCGACCGCGACGGTGACCGCGAGCGTGGGCAGCGGGTGGGCGGACGCGGCGGACAGCGGGCCGGCGGTGACGGCGATCGCGGGGTGCGCGTACCCGAACGCGTGGAACGGGGTGGGCGCGCAGGTGCCCGCGTCAGGGTGCCAGCCTGCAGCTTGAAGAGGGGGGGCGGGCGATTGTCCCTCATGGTGGCTCGCTGGTTGGCGCTGTGCGCGATGTTAACTTTTTACAACTTCGATTATACTAATAGTAATGGATGGCTCAAGAGAACAAACAGGAGTTCCCCCTACCATACTCTTTCGTTGACACGTCAGGGATCAGGCATCTCACGACATTTGAGCTATCGAGGTCCGTGTGGTCGTTCGGTGGGGCTGGTATTTTTTCGATCTCGATATTAGTCCATTCGGTCTTGATTGTCAGCGCTCTGCGCAGCCAGCCCCCACGGGACTCTCGACTTCAACAGGCGCACTTCCTGGCAGCGTGATGACAAGCTGCATGCCAAGTCCAATTATGAAGTGTTACGGCCCATTCTACAAATGCGTCGCACGGGAGACGACCTAGAGCGTCGTCTGTATCAGAACTGCGCGATCGCACGAATAAAGATGAAAACACTGAACCTGTGCGTGACAAAATCAACTGTGGACGCTTAGATAAGGTTTCGCATCAGTGTGGCTATGGGCCGCGGATGCATTGCATATCGATCAAGCCACTCGTTCACCAGAACCTGTTCGTCTGCGCGTCGAACCCGTTCGCGAGTCGCATCATCACCGCCGTCGAGGTGAGCGTAGAAAACTGTCGGTTGCGGTCAGATCGGGATACCCTCAGACGTGTGGCAGAGCGGCGGGGAGAGACGCACTCCGTTGCCGACGAGCACCTGCGCGCGCTGCGCGATGAGTTGGTCGACGGCCTGCGCGATGTACCGCTGCCCGCGGCTCAGCGCGAGGTCGCGGCTGCTCGCGATCGCGTCCCATGCCATCCCCGAGCGCCAGACGGCGTCCTTGAGCTCACCGATGAACGCGGCGTCGCCGTTGGTCATGATGAACAGCCGCCACGCGTCGTGCCCGGCGGCGGACTGACGCACCTCGCGCAGCTTGTGCACGATCTCTGGCACGGTCGGGTAGCACCGGCGGCGGTAGTGCTCGATCGTCTCCGCGGGGACTTTGACGTTGCGCCCGGGCGGCTGGTGGTGTGGCGGGACGGTGAAGTGGTCGGGCATGGATGGGAAGGCGTTGACGCCGACAAAGTCTTCGGATCGCTCAGCGAGGTTGGTGCAATGCGCTTCGTAGTCGCCGCGCCTGATGTGGACGACCATGAGGCCGGGGATCATGCTGTAGCGCTCTGCGCTCGACGTTGACGGACTGCCGGTGAGGAGGCCATCCTCGAGAAAGGGCGGGAGGAATAGGTGGCGGTTGTAATCGAAGGCAAGCTCGACCAAAGGTGACCAGCCAAATTGTGAGAAGATGGGGGAGGCAGAGAGCGTTGGCCATGCGTCCAGGAGAGCGTTTCGCACGCCGAAGACGCTGTCAAAAGGTTAACGACGGCGACGGAAGGAATCAAGAGGGTCGAGAAGGCGGACACAGCATCGCGAGACGTACTGGTGATGAGTGAAAATAGGCCCCGACTTTTTGGTTGTCTGGATGCAGGCCTCAGCTGATTCTCGCAGGGACCGCGACCAGCTTCCGATCAAGGTAGACGCTGTGAACTCTCCAGGCGAACCTTGGGAGAACTTGAGGCTGTCTTCTTCCACTTTGTGATGGCATACGGAATCAAAGTATTGGCGTGCCACCGCGGGCGCCGTGTGTTCTCCGTCTGGGAACGAACCTCCTACGACCGGACCTATCGGAATTGTGATATCAGTACCGCCCGGGGCTCCCTATCTATCATGGCTGTTGACCAGTCAACCCACCTCGTACAAGCGCGGTGTAAGGTATCTGGGACGGTATCCAACGGGTTTTGTACTTTGTATACAGCGACCCATCGTCGCTCCACGTGTAGTTGTCAAAGACAAGGCTGCGAAAGGGAAGTAAGCGATCTGCGAGGCGACCGCAATGACTGGGAGGCTTACGTTCTTCCGGACTGATACGCCAAGTATGCATTCAACAAGTGCTCTTGGAGCGCGTTGCCCCACCCCAACCCTAAGACTCCACATTTCAGAGCGCGCTGATACGAAACGTAGGGAAGCAAATACCCGATGTGTGCCCCGCAACGAAGAAGAACCTGTCTTCCCAGTCTGGCTGTGTTTTGCTCCAATTGTGTTGGGGAAGTTGGAGCTCTGCAGCGTGGTACTCCGAATATAGCGGGGGAAGGACGGCGCCTGCTGGCGGGTCCTTGCGGTGCACCCAGCCCGAGTGCACTTCGGTACCAAGCTTCCAGAGGAACGCCGAGGAGAAGACAAAGTAGAGGGCAGTGAATACGATGGGCCTACGGCGAGAGACAGCGGGGGAGGAGGAGGAGGAGGAGGAGGAGGAGGAGGAGGAGGAGGAGGAGGAGGGGAAGGGTTGAAGGATATCCTCCTTGGAGTGGTGGGGGGAACGCATGCTCGAGCACGGCTGAGAGGAAACGTGAGCTGCGCATACGAGGTGAGGGAGCTTATATCCCGTCGGCCGCAACGACGGTTAGGCGGTTCAATCGCGGCTCATGTCTTCTCTTCTCCATTGGACACCGATTCTGGGGCATCTCCACAGGCCGGCAGGCATCAGAGGCAGAGTTAGATGGACGGCCCAGACGGCATCTTAATTGCTCCACGAGGCGCTGCCCGACGAGCGAAACCTGGGACGCACGGCAAGCTCGATCCCAGTTTCTCGTGGCGCCGCAGTGCGAAGCCGAGCCTCGCAAGAATCCAGGAGGTTGAGCTGCAAGCTCAATCGCACGAGGGACTCTGCTCGCACCCGCTTGTGAACTTGGTACTGAATCTTAGGGCCTCGTGTCTGCAGAAAGAAACAGTGAGCCATCACGGACAAACGAAGAATAGACGGGGGCAGGCCTCGGTCACCGGTGGTATTGCGCAAGCTCGGCTCAGCCCGGCTTTGGCTCGCTTCGAACGGCTTGACCGGAGCCGACCAGCCAAGCCAAGCTCGGGAAACCAGCTTTATCAGGCCTCCGGGCCGGCTCTCCAGCCGGCTTGTCGTCCGGAATAAGCAATTTCAGGTGACACTTCCAGAGAGCTCTCCATTACATACTGTTATCTGCATGTATGCAAGTAGTTCCTAAGTCCATTATAGCTGGTAACAAAACGATAGGCCCCTCGCACACACACAGTCGGGTCCTCGATAGGCGCTCCCGCTCCCGCTGCGCCTGTGTGCACACGCGTCGTAGGCGAGCGTAGTCGCTTTTCTTCGGGCTCCGCCACAACCGACCGCGTATCTGTGGGAAGCCAAAGGGCCTATCGTTTTGTTTCCAGCTGGAATGCGGCTCCGGAGGAAGCCGATAAGCCATCAGCTGCTCGGCTTGATGCGGCTTCGGCTTGAAACCAGCTCAAGCCGAGCCGTGCGCAACACCACAGGCCTCAGGCGCTGGTAGCATGACACAGCATGACACCGCCTCCCCACTCCACTGCCGGCCGGTCGGCCCGCAGCTGTACACTGGCGAAATTGATTGTTTCATGCACCACCTCAAATGTGCTCTTTGAAGATCAAATACTGCCACATGCGGCCTTTGGACACCCGGGTCGAGAAAAAAGACAGAACATCTGCGACATACCAGCAAGCGCTACACACGACACTGCGCAGTCAGGAAAGAATAGATATGGATTGTGGCTTCTCGGATGAACAACGCAGTCTGGAAGGTAGGCGAATATGGCTACTTGTTCCCGGTCACCGCGGAGAGCAATCTGTTGAAATTCGGTGTCCCCAGGCCGGTAACCTGGCAAGTAGCGTGAGATCGTCCGAACAGGACCAAAAACGCGGGTACGTACAGGATCCCATCCTGCAGCGGCCGTGAATCCATTGCTTCCACAGCCGGGATTGCTCCCGCGGGTGATGTCGTTGAACGCACTCGCTCCGGACTGGTACAGAAAGGGATTCAAGAAGCCGAGCGGGCTCCCGCCATTCTTAAGAAGAGCGTCGTTGAGTAGCGCAACGATACTTGCGAAGGTCGGACTAGCTGCGCTAGTACCGGAGACCGAAATAATCTTGCCGCCTTTCACGACTTGGAAGCGCTGCGCTTGTGTGGCGACATCCGGGAAGGCACGTCCCGAGGAGTTGAACAGACCTTGATTGCCCTTGCCAAGGGCGGAGAGATACTGACTTACAGCAGCGTCTTGATATGATGGCCGCCCGAAAACATTGGAAAAACCGCCGGAGGAGAAGGACGCCGCGGCCTCGGGAGCAATGCCCTTCGTCCCTCCGACCGAAGTGACGCTGATGTGGACATCAGAACTTAGCGCTGCGTCCAATAGACCGAAGACACGCACAAAGGACACGTGGACGGGAAGGTTGGCTGGAAAGTTGTACAGCTCGTGTTTTGGATCCCGGAGACGCCGCCGTCCCCAGATCCGAAGACTACGGTGGTACCGCGTGCACCCAGTTGGGCGTAAGCGTTGCACAGGTTGCTAAACCATACCATTAGCAACTGCGAAGATGACTATGTATCGAACTGACTTGGCTAGTCCGACCGGCACGTCTTTTTCGTTGAAACCAAAGCTCGTGGTGAGAACAAGCGGGACGTCCTCCTGAGCGATCAGGGCATTGATGACGTCGAGGAAGCCCGCAATACCATCGGAGTTGCTAGTGCCAACCGAAACTTGGGTAGTGTTGACTCCTGTGGCAATGCCGACAGTGTACTGCATATCCAAACTCTGCATGTCAATAGTCAGCAATGGCCGTGACCGGAGCATGCCAAACCTCACCGCTTCGGTAGTAGCGGCTACGCGATTGTTGGTGCCACCGTCAACGCTCTGTACGCCGAACGTTGTCCGCTTGTTCACGTCTGGGCGGAAGGTACCCAGGAATTGCTATTCGAATGTCAGTTCATTTGCGCGAATAAACGAGATGCGCAGTTGTTACACACAGTGAGATCGCTGGGATCCGCCGATTCGCCGATGAAAGTCGCAACGAAGAGATTATTGCCTCCGGCGGAGGCAGGGGTTGACGGAACACCGTACAGGTCTTGCAAGCATTTCGGAGTAATGACATTTACACAGGATGCATCAGGGGTGACTGCAGCCGCCGCCGATGAGGTTGGCGCTGCACGAACTGTGGTGACGGTACGCGTGATAGTGACGACCTTGCGTTTCGTCATTCGGTTGGTCAGTGGACCTGGCGTGACATCGACGATCTCGACCGTTGCGGGAGAGACGAGAGGTCCCACAAAACTGAATATAATACGTTGAATGGTCCAGTCTGGAAGACATGTCAATCACTCACGATGTGGTTGGATAGACAAAGTCGAGATGGCCCTTGACACTCGACGGGACGGAATACGCCATCGTTCGAAGGGACGTGATGTTCGTCGCGTCGTGCGTGTACTCATTGAACTGTGCACCCAACAGCGCATTGGCCTGCCCAACTGATAAGTTGATGGTCAGCCAGTCACCCGACGCGGACTGCGCCGCCGCCGTGATGTTGTTCTTCGCCAGCCACTTCTTGACAGCCTTGACGCTCTGCGGCTTCGGTGCGACGAACGCCTCCACCTGATTCCAGCCAGCCGGCCCCACATAAGAGGCCGAACCGCAAACGCGCAAGGAACAAAACAAAACTCGCACCTGCGCCTTCGTGAGGTGCTTCCCGTAGCTCTCGCCCCCCGGCGTGCTCACGTCGTACAGCGCCGTCTCGAGCCCCTTTGGATCCCCCTGGACGAGCGCGATGCGCAAGTCGAGCATCGCGTCTGGCGCGGCCTGCTTGACGTATGAGAACCCGCAGGGGGCGCCGCGCGCCGGTCGTGGACGTGGAGGGTGTCGTAGTGGTCGTGAGCGTGCGCGGTGGGCCGGCCCAGCGCGGAAAAGGAGAGGACACCGAGGAGGAGCAGGCCGGCTGCGAACATCTCGGAAAACACGCAAACGCGACGGGGGCTGGAAGAAAGGGAATGGGTGGCCTTGCCGGCGGGCGAGAAGGCGACTCCGCGCGGGACGCGGGCTTCAGGTCGTTATGTGTCCATCGACAGCGCGTTCACGGGCGTGCAACGCTGATGGCCGGCCGGGGGCCTGGACTTGCATGATTGACCTGGCGGCGTGTGCACAAGGAGAGATGATGTTGTCGCGGGCGTCGTCAGTCCATGCTGACGGTCGGGTGTTGGCCAAGGGGGGAGGTAGGTAGACTTTCTAACTACAAAAGATGACAGCGTCAGCTTGGAAGCAACTGCCTGTAGCACTTGCAGCGTTATGACGGGGTAAACAAGAGGCATTGCGGGTACACGCACCCTAGACCACACGAGCGCGCCGCTCATGATATCGACATCAAGCAAGATGTAGCCATGGTCGCAGATTGATTCCACACGATGCGACAACATACTCATGCAGTGTGCCTGAACAGATGGTCATGGCAGACGATATCAGCGGAGTGAGGGATGGGACAGAGCAGGGTGGACAGGGGTACGGGGGACGCCAAGTGGAACAATATCCGTATATGGTAACTGCCGTCAGGCGGCCTTGGACACCCACGTTGAATTACAGTCTTGATGCAGAGTAAGATGGTAGTACAGTATGTAATGGGACCGGATTGCGAGACATGAGGGTAGGAAGACGAGGCCTTGAGGACCAGTGACCACTAAAGGTGAGGGGTGTGAATCACATATATGCGTAACAACTCAGTTGTAGAAGAAGCCGAGGAGGTGCGGATACTCGAACCCGCTCTCCGCCGTCCACGTGTCCGTTCTAATCTTCATGACCTCGTCCCAGAACTTCGTCGTCGTCTGCGACCCGTCCTCCAAGAACTTGCGGATGTGGCTCTCCCACTTCTTCATCAGATGGAACTTCGCCTCGTGGCTCGTGATGTACACCCCGTCGGCGTCGAACGGCGGGAGGCCCTCCTGGTACGCGACGAGGCCGACTTGAGCGAGCCAGTAGAGCGGGAGCGCGTTGAACGAATACCGCTGCTGCGACTCGGGGATGTCGCGCGGCGACTCGGGCGACGAGAGCCACGACTGCAGCCAGCAGTGCAACAGGATTTGCACATGGAAAACGCGGACCTTGTCGACGTAGTGGGGGTTCAGCTTCGGGCGCTGAACGTCGCTGCCGGTCGCAGCTTGCTGGAAGGGGAGGCGGTCGCGGAGGTAGAGCTCGAAGAGTTTGCGAAGGACAGCGTGGATCATGAGGTAATGCGCGAACGGCGAGACATTGAAATCGCGGGGCTCGTTGCTGGGGTTGTCCTGGACGAGGAAGTTGTACATCGTCTTGATGTACTGCCCATGGAGCCTGCTCTCAACAGTGCCGTATTTGGATGGCTGCTGGAGGACCACGCCCCACTCTTCTGCGCTGGATGCTGCCCACAAGGCATCTTCGGCAGGTAGACCCAACGTAAAGTGCTCGTTGTGGAAAGTCGGCTGGAGATTAAAGTAGATCACATGACTGCAGTCATGACAGTATGAAATCCATATGGCGCTGTGCGTTTTGTGAGCCAGTGTTGAGGGGACATCGCATGGCACCAACTTACCGCTTGGCAGTCTCGTACTTCACCCATTTGCGCCATGCTGTTTCGACGGATCGAGGATCCGTAAAATCGATAGGATCGTGCTTCCACTCCCGAGTTTGCTCGATGAAACCATTCATTCGTAACATCTGAAGCATCCTTTAAACTGCAGCTCCAGAACGAACAGAACGAACGCACCATAACAATCATGCCATGATAAACGTTCGACTTGGCACGCTGCTCCGGGTCCTTGTGGTACATACCAATCGTCTGTATTAAGCACGACGCCAGCGTGAGCTGTGTCATGACATCAAATTCTGTCGCATGCGACTGCAGTAGATGGCTCAGTATTTCGAATCCCTGTTGCGTCACTCAGCTTACCAGTTCCGCGATGATTTCGTCCCGAGTCGAAGCTAGGATTTGTTGAATAAACTTCTTCGACCCGGGCGTCTTTGCGTATAGGGCTCCGCAAGCTTTCGAAGCCTTAACAAGAAGGAGATGTCGAGGTTCCTTGAGGAAAGTCGATTGGTGAAGGATCGGCAGGTGTTGCAGGAATATGGTGAGGAACGACGTTACTAGGAACAGATGTGGTCAAATGGATCCTTTGATGTAAGAGATGCACGGAAGACATACTGTAACTATAATACTCCGAGATCGAGGGCATGCCACCCATAGTAAGACCGTGGTCACCAGTAGAAGTCGACTCCATGATTTCAGTTTCGGGAATGTGTTCCATCGGATCTGGGGTGGCCCCCATTGTTGCAGGCAGCGAGTATATACCGAGCTGTGTCGGACCACTGGTAGTTTGGGTGATAATATCGAACATCTCGGGATCGAGCATGGTAGACTCCATGCGGTCGGTGAGCAACATCGTAGGATCCTGCATGAAGTGCTGTCCGGGGATGGAGGGATGCTTCTCGAAGCTGGACGTGAACAGGTCGGTGAAAAGACCGTCGTACATCTGGGTGGAGGAGAAAACGTCGCTGTAGGCGCGCTCGTCCTCGCTGGTTCCGTCAGTCGTGGCCAGCGCAGTGTTGCTCGAACCCGCGAGCGCGAGAGCGCCGGATGAAGACGCGGCTGTTTGGGAAGCGGACGCCGGCAGCGAGAGGCCGTCAAGAGTGCCAAAGCCGGTCATCGACGCCGCGAAATTGTCGAGCAGTGTGGCAGGCATCGCGAAGTCTGCGATCGGCGAGGTTTTGGTGCTGGCCGCGCCCTGGCCCGAACCAGAAGCTTCTGGCGAGTCCTGCGAGGAGGAGCTTCCGGAAGAGGCGCCTTCGGCGTCTGCCGGGGCCTTGTTCCCTCGGCGGTCTGCCGAGGTGTATACGCACTCGCGGCCGCGGGCCTTGCACTTGGCGCACGGCTGCTCGAGATCGCAGCGCACTTTGGACTCCGCGCAGCTCTTGCATGACTTCCTGCGGGACCGATTGACAGATCTGCGAGTCATCAGCAACGGCGCTCGGAGAAGCATGTGGGGCTACCTACGACTCGCAACACGTCCGTTTGTGCCTCGTCAAGAGGTCGCTCCGCGTGAACTGGGCGTGGCAGCGCTGCAGAAGAAAACCACAGGAGCCAAGTGTGGCGAGGGAGACGAGTGAGCTTTCATGGGCATCCGGGCCGGGAGCAGTGGCGGACATACTTCGCACTCATACATACGCTCATTCGAATCTGTGAATATGATGCATCGTTAGCACTTGACGAAGATGATCAGCGAGCAGAGCGAGGCCTACGCGTCTTCATGTGACGATTGAGATGGGTGGTACGAGTAAACTTGGCAGGGCACAGGGGACACAGCTTGGTCTGAGGGAGAGTGGGGATGTTTCCCCTGTGCGAGCGCATCTTGGACATCGAGCCTGTGCGGGTCACAGACGCCGCGGGGGCCGCGGTGGACGCAGCAGCATCCAGAGGGGCCTCGTTTGTGGGTTCAGCTGTCGGTGCCGGCTGAGAGGCGTCGGTAGACATGGTGGTGGCTTGCGGAGAACGTAGTGGGTTGGATTGATTAGCCGACGCCGAATTATAAGACGGCGCGGCCGGCCTGCCTCCTTTGGTAGAGCGCCCACCCATCAGACCCATCGCCGACGAGTACGGCGTACGCGTCTCAACTCGAGGCCAGTCGACGGAACCTATTAGTCCCACCCTCTGGTTCCCAAATCTACAAATCTTCACAGCTCAGTTGGACTCACGCACAGCCCAAGTGAGCCACTGCCTACGGTTTGTAAGCCGCGCTGGCTCGACACGGCCCAGTCCGTACAGATCCCAGTCTCATTTAGGCGCTGGCGATCTAATGTTGCGTTCTCGGCAAGATGCTGACTAGTTCACCTGTACCTCACGTTATCACAATCAATTGATCTGTGATCACCCCCCCGGGGTGATTCCCTTTCCGGTAACTGCGAACGGCTCTAAGCCTGCAAACCGTAGAGCCTCTACGGAAAACGATCAAGATACCTTGTTGGGAAACATTAGAACGGGGCGCATGCCCAAGTCCCCCGCCCCCCTTCCCCGACGTCCCCGAGGGCCCGGCCCAGCCCTCCTCCGCGCTTCTCCGATGCACGTGAACGGATCCCGCGCCGCGCCCCCTGATGGCCGCCTGGTCACCGCCTTCCGCCGTGCCGCCCGCCTTTGATGGCCGCCCTCTCCCCCCTGCTCGCCGTCCCCGACGACGAGCTCGCTGTTCGCGCTCTCCCTCCTGTTCCCCTCCCCCGATTCACGCCGTTCTTTTTTGTATGTACTTGTATTACTAATGCGCATCTATATACATAACTCGCCCTTCTGAGCCGTGCTCTGTGATGCCTCCACCGCCCACTGCCCCCCGCCACTGCCCGCCGCCCCCGCATATGGGGAGGGCGGGACCTTATGTCAGCATACTCAACGCCTGGGCGGCGGGCAGAACTCTGATGGCGCGGGCGCCGCGTGGACAGGCACCGCGGCAACGGTTGATGCAGCGCGCGAGGCCCGCGCCATCAGCGCGAGGTCCGCGCCATCAGCGCGAGGCTGCCGGCGCCGGCGCCTCAGACTCAACGCCTCCTTTTGATGGCAGTCAAGGCCATCGAGAAAAAGGACTTTCCTCCGATGCTGCCTCACATTGAGATGTCAAACCAAAGGATGTATATCATGAAGACCTTACCAACACCTGCAGGGAGTGCTGTATACTAGTAGACACAGTGTACCAGCAGCTTCTATGTCTGCCATCAAAGCTCTTTTGATGGTGCTATATTTCAGGCATGATGATGGGAACGAGTCGGCACACATGTTCATTGACATCGATACAGTGTACGTGTATCCACTAAGACATACGACATGAGATTGTACATAGAGTATCATAGAGACCCCGCCACTCAAGCCGTGTTCTCATTCTGGCCGGCCTGGGCAGCCCGGCGCGCAAGAGTCCGAGCATTGGGACCCCTCGGGATACCCTTATCCTTGCGGGGCTTACGGGGCACCTTCTGCGGGAGGAGCGCGCTCTGAACGCCACCCGCGACATGGTTAAAAGGGTCGGGGACGGCGCCGAGGGGTTCGGCGGTGGGCATGCCAGGTAGAGGAGGCGCCGAGGGCATGGGCGTTGGCGTGGCCTGGAAAACGAAGGTGAACGCGGTCCCAGCAGAGAATGTGGGCGTGGGTGAGGGCAGCGTGGGCGTAGCGGAAGACGCAGGCGGAGTGGAAGACGCGGGCACGGGTAAGGGCGGCGCAGGCGTAGCGGAAGACACGGGCACGGGTGAGGGTGGCGCGGGCGTAGCAGAAGACGCGGACGCAGGCAAGGGCGACGAGGGCGTGGGTGCGGGTGACGAGGGCGTGGACAGGGGCGACAAGGGCGCGGGCGTGGGCAATGAGAGTGTGGGTATGGGCGACGAGGGTGCGGGCGCGGGCGACGAGAGCGTGGGTGTGGGCGTGGGTGCAGGGGACGAGGGCGCGGTGAAGGTGGGGGACGACGCGGGCATGGTGGAGGACGATGCGGACGACGTGGGCGCGGGTGTGGGCGTGGGCGCAGGTGTCGGAGTGGCCGCACGCGAAGACATCGTGGGCTCGGGGTTGGAAACTGGCCGCTGGAGGGAGGCGATAGTGTCTGCATTGAATGTCACAGCGACTGGGTTCAGACCAGCGTCGTAAGCCTGACGCCAGGCCGCGAGCTCCTCTTTGGTGAGTGACCGGAAGCGTGCGATGTCGTTCTCCCAGGCTGAGCGAAGCGTGTTGAGGAATTTGAGGGAGTTGAAACGGCCGGGGGCCTGGAATGACTCCAGCGGCCAGTTCTCGAGGACGACGCCAAGCTTGTAGGTAATTCTTTTGGGGAAGTCACTGTACGACATTGCAGAGGGTTTCCCCCGGGTCGACGTCGACTCTAAGTACACCAGTTAGCGAGTGAAAAACACGAGAGGGCAGGGACTTACGAAGCTTCTCCAGGATTAGAGCACCGACCTTGGACTTGAGCTCCAGGACGGTATTCTTGTGCTTCTTCGTCAACCCTGCATAACCACACCACAATAAGCACTTGAAGAAGCCACCGTGTGTTGTATGTACGTACCATTAAGTCCCGTGAGGCACCATGCTTCAATGCGCGAGGACAGAGTGCCCAACGTCGCGCCAGTGAGCAGCTCAATAAACTCCTCGATGCGCGCGCTGGTCCGGTAGACCCAGGGCTTGAGGTAGTTGGCTCGCTCGCCACGGCACGCGATGAGCAGAACCTCCGCGCCAGTGCGCTCGTGGAGATCATCGAGCTGCAGCGCGGGTGGCCATAAGCGAGGAGGACATGGGGGTAGGAGGGAACTGGGCGACGCACCTCTTGGACGACCCTTATCAAGGTTGCGCGCGCATCATTGAAGTTTGCGATGGGGAGGTTGGGGACAGCGCGCCCACGCTCCTCACGCCGCTCAGTCAATTCTTCGACCGTATCGCGGCACATGTCTTCCCGGTCTTGCTCCGACATCGTGTGCCAGCGTTCGGCGAGGTTCTTGATGAACTCAGACGACACAACGTCGTTCGTGTTCATTTCTGACAGGTGCGCGTTATTTATGAAACAACGGTGACAATGCATAACATACCTTTGTTGTGCCGGCGAAGCTCCTTGCTGACGAACGCATTCCAAAGCGACAGCGCTCGCGGCTCCTTGAAACGGGAGTTGCTCTGATGAAGAATGAGTCGGTAGTACCATGCCGCGCTGTGCTTACCCAGCTCCTCGTGGAGCGCGACGGCGTGGTCCCAAACCTCATCGCGGATAGTGTCAAGCCGGTCGCTGAGCGCGCTCTTGTAGAGCCGAGACTTCTCACGAATTGCTTTCTTCTCCGCATAAGAAAGCTTCGGGCGTGTTCGTCGGTGCGAGGACCATGGTGTTTTGACGCGTCGCTTTCCCATCTTGCGCGCACCCTTAGGTAACTTCTCGATGCCGCTATGGTTGTTTGACGGGGGGGCGTCTGCTCTGGCGCGTGCCATGCCGGCAGCGGGAAGGGGGAAGCGCAGGGAGGGCGGGAATAGAAGCGGGGGTGTGGGAGCGAAGAGGCTGGTTGCTGGGAGAGACCCAGGGCGGAGTGAGAAAAACACCGCCCGAGTGTGTTGACTGGAACACGTGATGGAGTTAGCAAAAAATGTTGATCCATTGGTTACTCATCGTTATCGGATGGATACATGATGGCGTCATACAGACGCTCTAGCCGTAGCCCATCCCAGCCGTTGTACTTGGAGCCGTCGTACGCGAACTCCTTGCGCGAGGACGCACCAGCAAAAACCTGTAGCATGATCATGAGCTCGGAGCTGTCCGGGTTGAGCTCCACGAGAATCCGCTCAGCCCTTGGGCCGAGGTCGACAGGGAACGGACGGTCCCCCCCAATGGCTTCCTCAGGGGGAATGAAGAGCGTGCGGATAGCCGCGGCGAGCGTACTGAGGCCCTGGATGTCGCTGTGGTCGCGCGCGGGTGGCGCGACGTCATCCCGAATGCTCGCACCCTGCGTGAAAGCTATGGCTTATCAGTCGACGTCAGGACAGAGAGCGAAAAGTCCTACCGTGCGCGAGCGCGTCTTCTGACAGAGGCGTCTGCTCGCGCTGCTTACCGCGCGATGGGGTGGGAGTCGACCAGGAGCTTCGCGACGACACCGTGAGGGTGCCAGGGTGCCGGGCGCGACCACGTACAGGGGTGCGGGGGACCGAGAGCGTTGAGCGGAGCGGGGCCGGGATCGGCTTTTCGGCGTCGAAGTTGAGGGGGAAGTTATGGCCATGCTTCGCCATCACGTACGCGATGGCGTTCGCCACGGAGAGGCCCTTCGTGTCGAACCGCATGCACCGTCCCTTGCGTTGGACGTTCGGGTCGCCGTCTCCGATTTGAAGGCCAACGTGGATCCTAATGATAAGCTCAATACACCAAATGTATTTGTATATGCCAAGACTTACCAAGAGAGCCCGACAAAAACCCCTGTGTGACGACCAGCGAGGGCGACACGGATACCGTAAATCGAGGACTTGTTGCGTATGAGGACCTGAGCCTCCTGCACACGCCACGCCGCCAGATGCACGTCGTTGGCCGGGGTTATGCGGAAGACGGAGTCGTTAAGACCATCGATCGCCTCCGCGTCGTGCCGGTCCATGCAGCAGACGACAATGGGGTAGATGTTGGGATCATTGCCGATCCCAACAGGTGGCCTGTACAGCGTGGGTGAGCGGATGACAGCTGTGAGAGCGCTTTCGATTGAAGAACTCACCGGGTATTCATGATGCGTGGCGTCAACTGTGCGTGTGCACTCGGGCCCAGTAGGACATACCATGGGCCGTGAAAGGGGGCCTGATCTGAGTTTGATGTGTTGTGCATGCGTGGCAGAGGCAGCGAAGAGAAGAAGAAGCGAAGGGGAGGGGACAATCGATGGCAGGAAGCAAGATATGACAGACTAGCGCCCACGCTTCCCAGCTGTGATCTCACGCGAAGTTGGTCTTCGGATGCCATACAGCATTCCCTCGACATCCGAGCAGAAAACTAATACTTGACATGCATTTGTCATGCATGCCGGCGTGTGCCCCGGGTATTTGATGCATCATTTGATGCGTGTATCAGTATGGCATGGCTCGCGGCGAGGTTGCGTGCAGAAGCTCATGCAACTCATGCCTCGAGTGTGCACAAAACGTATACAAACCGTGCTGAAACCGTCACAGTAAGATCCAGGTCAAAATATTGCCTGGAGCACTTAAAGTAAACACAATACACTATGTCACATGCGTTTTAAGGCCCTCAAACACAGGGGAGTAACATGTAGCTATGTTTTTGTACCACATACAAGCCGTTTCCAACGAGCGCTAGCGCGTATCGGTGGCGATCTAGTCTACTGTGCTATGTAATCGAGAAGCGCACCTGCCTGAGCCTGCGCATCGTCATCATACATCTCCTCGGACCCTATGTCAGTCTCGATCGTGCCATGATCTGAGAAAATGCGGGGGATGGAGTGCTCCGAGGTGACCGCTCTTCCCTCACGGCGGCCCGGCGTCTTTTCGCCCGCGAAGCGGGGGTCCTTATGTAATTCATCGAGAAAGGCCAGATTGTACGCATTCTGGGCCTCACGGTGACGGATGAACTCCAGGGTCGGCCCGTGGAGAATGTCGTTGGAATCCTTGAGTTGCTTGAGGAGAGCGGCGAAGTCGTCCTGCTCGTCGCGGATGTGTGTGTGGAGGCGACGCGCATCACGATACACGATCTGGATCTCCTCGCCGGCCCGCTGCAAGCGCCGCCAGGTCCCGATCGCCTGCCGGACTTCCGGCCGCGCCCAGGTTTTCCCACTGACGTCATTCCATGATCCATGCAGAAGCGCAAACTCCCGAACAAACGAGTAGTGGGATACCTGATTCCAGTCGACGAGGGGCTTCTGCAATGCGGCAGCCACCTTGTTGTACGTCGCGATCGCCCGCCGAATGGCGGATGACCTCTTCTGCATGTTCTTTGCGATGTGTGTGCGCATTTTGTACCCTGATGTCTGCTCAATCAGCGATCATTTGCATGATCACGCGATCACTCACCTGTCTGTGCGAGATGCAACTTGTGGAGTTCGAAGAGGCGTTGAATGACCAAGCGCTGTAGCTTTCCTAGCGCCTGGTGATAACGCCGAGTGGCAATGTATGCCTTTGCTGTCGTATAGCGCGGGTCAGTGGGCAGCCATCGGGCCATGTTCCAGGTATCTTCAATCTCGGCTAGCTCCTGATCGAGGGTGTCGATCCGCGTGCGCAACACGCGGTTGACGCTCTCGGTCCGCCGCGTCTCCCTAGCGTGTGCATTGTAGTCGGTGATCGGGCCCGTGTATGGGGCCTGGAACGAAAGCCCAGGGCCTTCGGAGGACGAAGTGCCTGACACGCTCGCGTCTGCCACGCTCGCGCCCCCCGCACCCACGCCCCCCGCACTCGCGCCCCCCGCACCCGCGCCCGCGCCCCCCGCGCCCGCGCCCGCGCCCCCCGCGCCCTCACGCGCGGCTCCCGGTGGCCGCTGCCCGAGCATGAAAGCACGGGTTGTGGGGTTGCGGGTCGCGCGATTTGTGGCCGCGCGAGTCTTCTGCTCGTATTCCTCCCTGCGCGCAGGTCAGTGGCACGTCGCGGCACAACCGAAAAGGGACGCACTTCATCGCCCTTAGGTCCTCTAGCCGCTCGACATAGCTTAGAGCCCACTCGTCATCCGGATTTTCATCACGCAGTGTCGAAAAATAAACGCGCTCCTCCTCCGCAGCTTCGATCAGCTGCGCTTCCGTCAGCTGGAGCTGAGGCAGTACAGTGCGCAGGAACTCCTCGGATTCCTCGACAATTTTCATTGCCTGGAGGTAGTTGTTACGAAGGAAGATCGCGAGATTTGTGTATTTGTCTTCATCCCACCGGTGGAAGTGAAGGGTGATCAGAGCGTGCCGGCGGTACTTGCTCGCGTAGCGGATGATCGAAGCCAGTGCGTTTGATCCGCTGAAAATGCGCTCCATGGTTTCTAGATCTTCGATGCCAGCGCCCGTGATGACGTTTGGATGGTGATGGAGCTGGCACAGGTAAGAATGAGAGTACCCATGGAAAGCGTTGACAATGCAGAGTGAACCACGCTTCCGGAACTCGGGACCGGCGCTGCTCCGTGCAAGGGTACCTTGGAAGACACAGCCGATGTCGTACCCAAGGAGAATGTTGCCGGGCAATTCGGTGTTGATCTTGTCCACCATCGCGATCCCGTACTTGGCGCTGGGAATGATCCGTCAGGTACGCGCGTTGCGCAGCCATCACCACTTACAGTTCACCACTCTGGATCATGTCCGCGATCCAGAGAATCCTCCCGTGCCTGCACGCGCTCGCGAAAATCCCAGTCTCGTCGAACCCACCCCACAGCTTCTTCTTCTCGTCCGCAGCCGCTGCCTTCCAATTCGTGGCGCACGGGCTTGGGGCGCCCGCCTCTCCATCCGTAGGATCTCCCTCCGTATCAGTGGGGTCCGGGGCAGACGTGGGAGCCGGGTCCGTGCCGTCGACGTCATCGCCATCGCCTCCAAGATCCGCAGTCGGCTTCGGCTGTGCCTGGCGTGCCGGGACTTGCTTCGCAAATTGATCAACAAACGCTGGGGGCAGGTAGTAGGGGTTCTTGTGAACTCGCCGGTCCCCAACATTTCGATACTTGCGTAAGAGCCTCTTCAGCGAGTTGTTTGCATCCATGCTACCTGTTCGGTCGAAGCGGAGGGGGACTTCTCCCTCCAGCTGTGTGAGAACTCGTCAGCCAGGTACGCTATTGGCGCTCTATCGGCATAGACCAAAGAACACGCACCTTGTATCCACATGGCGGGCATCCGAAGCGTGGGCGCCAGTTCGGATCACCGCGCCCGAGCAACTCCTGAATTTCGGCGTCGACGTCATCGAGAACCTCTAAATATATGTCAAAAGCATCTGCAAGTGCTGTGCGATAGTGCCGACGGTATACCATCTGGTTTTTCCAGGTAAGCCTGACCCATATTGGCGCTATTAAGAGACTCACATAATACTTGTAACAAACGAGCTTTGCGAAAGCCTCTGTGCTGAAGGATGGCTTAACAAGCTTCAGGCACCGGAACAGTTCCAGCGTCTCGAAGGATATCGCGATCGACGGCCCGACGGGGGTGTTGCCGAGATATCCGGCCAAGGCAAGTGCCTCAACTGTCCACTGGCCAGATGATACAACCACGCTGATCTCCTTCCGCAGGCTGTACAGATCGACACACACAACTGTGTGTTCTGAAGATGGTGCCCCTTCTTCCGAGGGTGTATTCTCTTCAGGTGCTTTGCGCTTGCGCTCCTCTTGCCGGCCTGGAACACGGTACTTCCACCGCAGATAAGCCGCCTTCACGCGCGGGAAAACTTGCTTCCAGTTGTCTTCCCGCGTGCGGAGACGATCGCGCCAGGTGCGCTCATCTGTGCGCACACTGCACATGATATGTTATTTCTGCACCTGGTCATAGATCCACGTACTCACCCTGTTGTTAAGTTGTTTTCTAGAGCCACACGGAAAGCTTCGACGTCCGGGTCGTCGGCCCAAGCGCCGTCGTTGTCGTCGTCCTCGCCCGTGCCGATGTCAGCATTGTCTGCTGTATTGCTGATGTCTCCTAGGTCGAGCCCTTGCGTCTCATCTATCTCGAAGACCGCCATTGCTGCCGCGCGATCTAAGCCGCTGAGATCTTTACATTTGTGAGTTCGTATCTAGCTGCTGAGTCTCTGCTCTGGAACATACTGTTGATGAGCTCGTGACGCCGCCTGCGCGCAGCATCGTCCGCGGCATCCAGGTCAACGGCGCGGATTGTCTCTTGCTTGGAGGTACGTCCACCCGGCCCTTTGTTCTTTCCGCCCCTGTTTCTGCTCCGTGGGCCCATGATAGTGACTCCATCCGATACTCGGTTGCTGCCAGACTGCGAGAAGGACATGGTGGTAGCTCAGTCAGTCTTTCGATCCCTCTAGTGATAGTATTATAACGTGCAATCTAGCGTGATCGCCATCAAAAGGAGGCGTTGAGTCTGAGGCGCCGGCGCCGGCAGCCTCGCGCTGATGGCGCGGACCTCGCGCTGATGGCGCGGGCCTCGCGCGCTGCATCAACCGTTGCCGCGGTGCCTGTCCACGCGGCGCCCGCGCCATCAGAGTTCTGCCCGCCGCCCAGGCGTTGAGTATGCTGACATAAGGTCCCGCCCTCCCCATATGCGGGGGCGGCGGGCAGTGGCGGGGGGCAGTGGGCGGTGGAGGCATCACAGAGCACGGCTCAGAAGGGCGAGTTATGTATATAGATGCGCATTAGTAATACAAGTACATACAAAAAAGAACGGCGTGAATCGGGGGAGGGGAACAGGAGGGAGAGCGCGAACAGCGAGCTCGTCGTCGGGGACGGCGAGCAGGGGGGAGAGGGCGGCCATCAAAGGCGGGCGGCACGGCGGAAGGCGGTGACCAGGCGGCCATCAGGGGGCGCGGCGCGGGATCCGTTCACGTGCATCGGAGAAGCGCGGAGGAGGGCTGGGCCGGGCCCTCGGGGACGTCGGGGAAGGGGGGCGGGGGACTTGGGCATGCGCCCCGTTCTAATGTTTCCCAACAAGGTATCTTGATCGTTTTCCGTAGAGGCTCTACGGTTTGCAGGCTTAGAGCCGTTCGCAGTTACCGGAAAGGGAATCACCCCGGGGGGGTGATCACAGATCAATTGATTGTGATAACGTGAGGTACAGGTGGACTAGTTTTACTCAAGTTTTACTAGAGCCTTACTAGTCAGGTGTTTACACATGCATGCTTCAAAATCAATTTCGACCAGCCTTTACAATTTGAATTGAGGCGCGCATCAGTCCCTGCTCACAGGTACACGATGACCGCCTCCGACGCCAACAAAGAGACCGTCAGGCTCCCATCATCGCCTACGGCCACCTCCTCCATCTGCTGCGTGCCCTGCGCGACACAGTCCGCCGAGAACGTCCCGTTGCCGCCGATCGTCACCGGCGCGCCTAGGTCCGCGCGCGCCGTCGCGTCCGGCGCGGTCATACGCTTTGCGCGCGCCGAAGTCCTCGGGAGCCCGGAGGTCGTAAGTGCGACCGTCGCGTTCGCGCGCGCGCCCGTGCCAGCGAAGTAGGCGGAGTTGGAGAGGAGCACGCGGAGCGGCGCGCCGGACGCGGAGTAGACGGCGTACGCCGCGATGTCGCTCGTCGAGTCGTCGAGCTGGGCGAGCGTCGCGCCGTCGGCGCCTAGGAAATCTGAGACGAAGATGGCCCCAAAGTAAGGTGAGTATACTGCCTGCTTGCCCCACCAGCAGTAGGCCTGTTGAGATAATCATCAGCATCATGCAGCAAACTCGAAAAAGGAGCCGTAGAGGCCGCAAGACAAGCGATAGCAGGAGGTTTTAGCACTCACACAGTTGCCAATCGTGCCGTGATGGAAGTAAAGGCGTTCAACGCCAATGAGCGCACTCTGAAGGGCATAATCGACAATCCACAGCGCCGCTCCGAACGTAGGACTAATGCCGCCACCACCGCATGTTGCTGTGGGGAGAAAATAAATCAGTTATATTAGCGACCCAGTGTCTCCTTTGGATACTCGCCCGAGTTCGTCTCGCCGAAGAAGAAATGCTTCCCAGCGCTGCGTGAGGAGTTTGCGTCGGTCTTGAATTGATTCACGTAGGACACTATGCCTCTATGCGGCAAGTTAGAGCTTCTCCTCATGAACCATGAGGACAAGATATCCTCACGGGTGACGCATCAGTTGAGTGAGATTTGTGCTCGCGCCATTGCACGCAGACTGCGGGTACGAATGCCGGGAGATTGACTTGATAGTACTGAGTGCCGCGCTGCCAATCCTAGAAACCAAGGTCGCAGTGCTCCAACTAAGGTAAACGGCGCCTTGGAAGACATTTCCGAGCTATGAAACGGCTCTTCAGTATGAAAAAAAATGAGAACCTAGAGACAGACAGACCGTAGGTGCCATGTCGGTGAACCATTTGCCCTCGTTCGAGATGTCGATGGAGTTGCTCCAGCCAGTGTTCGCGGCTATGGGAGAGCTGGACGAATATACTGCAAGTGAATATTGTTAGCAACCGGAACTTTTTGAAAGGTATGGATCTACTCACAGTCTGGTTCATTTCCGAGTTCGACGGCAAAGAAGTTCGTCATCTCTGACAGGGCAAGGGTGCCCGCAGCAAGCGAGTTCGACTCGTGGTTGAGCTGACGGTTCAGGCCAATCGTGACATCGTCCACGGGGAGTTTCCCAGCGAGAGTGAAGAAAGACGGTCCATAGGTGAGACTGGCAGGTGCATCAGCAGGGTCGGCGACGGTATAGTTGACGGCAGATTGCAGGTTGGGATCATAGGTTGCACGGTCCCTGCGTGACAACAATGAGTGTAGGGCAAGATACTCACGTAAAAAAGAAAGACTCACTGGGTGGTTCCCCCAATGCGGATCGCGGGTGTGGCCCCACGTAGGTCCGCGAGGTTATTTAAGCAGTTGTTAGTGCCGGATATGTTCGTATAACCAGGGAAAGCAAAGAACTCGATGGAAATGCTGATAAGAGATGGGTCGACAGTGACAGAGCCGGAAGGAGGCGTGGAAGGGACAGCAATCGCGGTCGCGAAACGGAGCCAGGCGAGACCAGCCAAGACGGCCGCGCCGGAGGGAGTTGTCCACTGACGAATCATGACGGAGAACTGCAATGCTTGCTCAAAGAGGCCGCGATGCGCCCGCGGATTCACAGACTTATATCCATATGCTGTGTGCCTGAAGATGCGCGACGAAGCACGACAACGGAGCAGCAGATCGTTTTTGCTTCCACGAGCGCCGGCACGGTCCGTGACGACCACGCTTCTACGTGGTCGCGTGGACCGGCAACGCGAGGACGGGCGGGCCCCGTCGGTAGCATGAAGGGTTCAGCAGTGTCGCATGAGGAAATAACACACGCATGACGCACCTGCAAGCCATAGGATTCCAGGAAGCCTGGTCAAGGCTCTAGCAGTGCGTGATACGGAAGCAGACAGTCCAAGCTAGGCAATAGTCTTCTGAGAAGTTTGAGGTATGCATTGAGCCTCGGGCCCCGGCATCATGCTTCGAGCTCAGGAGGCCGCAGACCATTCATAACACGGTCAGAAGTGGAGATGGTATCCTGTGGTACGCCTCTGTCGCTCAGCCAGCCTTCTCACGCACGGGCCGGTGCCACGTGCTTCCACGTCGAGCACTTGGCTCGTGGTGTAGTATGGTGGTCTCGTCAAAAACAATACATCTCCCCAACACCATTATACATCAGCTGTCGTACAGTTCATACAGCCAAGAATATATCCACCTGACCTGTACATCCTCAACTCAGCGTCGAGTCCGAGCCCTTCAACCACAGAATTCAAAGCCTGGGCAACCGACAGCGGTTCCATGGACTACCATGACTCGTCAGTAACTCATCCCAACAACTTCCAGACCACACTCACCAGACCCGTCGACCTTCGCGACCGCCAAGAGCGCCTGGAACACGCCTCCGAGGCCCTCACCAGCGAGCATGCCAGCCGCGACCGCAAACATGTACATGTCGAAGCTCTTCGGGTTCCGGCGCGCCCAGCACCAGTTGAAGAGCGAGCCGACGGCCATAGCGAACGAGAAGGGGATCTGAGGCGCGACGAACGCGAGCCCGACCGCGTTCCAGTTCGGGATGTAGATCCAGTAGCGCTTCGGCACCCAGAGGTGCTTGATGACGACGGAGGCAATCGTGAAGACCCCGAGGCCGATTGCGGTGAAGCCGGCGGAGCTGGGGATGGCTGTGCAAGGAGACGGTGAGTATGCGTGGAAGAGAAGGTAGAAAGGGACGTACGGAGGCTAGGCAGAGCCACTGCTTGAGCGACTGCGACCCATGCAGCGATACTGGGAGCTTGATACGTGCACTCCAGTGCCGAGGCCTCCCTGAAAGAGAAGAGCGTTAGTGGTTCAGAATATTCCATCAAGCACCTGGGCACGCACAAGATACACGGGCTTGCAGTAGTGAACAGGATGAACAGGCCGACGTTCAGGAAAATGGCGACGACGGCTCCGCAAAGCTGTGCCACGAACTGGTTGCGAGGTTTCGCCCGGAGGAGATAACCGGTCTTGAGGTCGCCGGTCATATCGGTGGATTGCGCTGCCGACCCTGCAGCGATGATTCCCGCCGTGAGGTTGACGGTCTCTGCCGTTGCGATGCTCAGGCCTGCGCCCTTGCCAATTCCACCGAAAATGAGTTGAGAGGCCTTCGCGACGGCGGTAACAGGGTTCACGTCGGTCGTGCCCGCCGATTGGACGCCGACGAAAGAGAACAGGAAGCCGAGGATAAGTGAGAGAAGAGCCTCTCCGACGTTCATGTGGAAGATCGTCGCAAGGATCGCGCAGCACATGATCACGGATGCGAGCAAGCCGGTCGTCCACCAGAGTGTCGGGACCCGATCTTCGACGGGGGTTTCATCTTCATCGTCCTCAACTGGGGCGTCGGGGTCGGCGCGCTTGAACCATGTCTTCGGGTTCGGGTTCATGTGGTGCATGGCTGGGGTACGCGATATGAGTGACTAGGAAAATGGAGGGTTGAATCATGCATACCGGAGAAAATGAAACCAGAGTTCATAGCAAGGTCGGTGAAGGAATAGCATAACATCATCATGATACCGGGCCAGAGGATCCAGTAGCGCGGCGACGGGGCTTGAGTAAAGTCCGACTGGTGTGGGAACGACAAGGCGTTGTAGGATACCAGTGGGAATTCATCGGAGATCGAGACTCCAACAGCACGGCCGGTCTTGATCAAAGAAGGTGCGACTGCGAGCGTGATTAGTATTACTGGAACAAACATCTGTGAAAACAACGTACTGATGCCCCATGCCAAGATTGAGCCACCGACTGTATGCGCTGTGTCAGATGATGTCGATGCTGCGGGAAATCACACTCACAGAAACTCCAACTGGCGTTCAATCCAGATAGCATACCGGCACCGAAGAAAGCAGGCGTGACTGTAGGAAGGATTTAGGCCACGTTATCGTGAAAACGTAATTATAGTATACGCACATTCAATGTACCAACCGTAGTTCTCCAAGGCAATAATGCTAGTGAAACCGATGCGGTATAGCGTCCATCCAATGTGCCAGTCGAACAGCTAGAAATATCATCAGCGGATCGCTAGACACGCATGCGCTGTGACAGAAGGTGAGAGCACTCACCACCCCAGGCGCGTATGTGCTCACGACTTTCCAGCAAAATACGAGGACGAACGCGTACATTAGCGCAAGGGACTTCTTCCTCGCAACGGTCGCGCCCGTACGGCTGTTGTGCAGCGCGTTGATCGTGACCGCGGTTGCCGCGGGCGTGGGGAACGTCAGCCGTTGCTTGACGATGTAGTACTTGCGGAGCGGGATGACGAAAAATACACCGAAGAAGCCGGCGCACGCCGTTATCGCGATGAGCTTGCCAATGTCTTGCTTCGGGAGGGCCGAAAGTAGGCCGAGTCGGTACATCGCTGGGACGGCGCTCACAAAGAGGATGCCAAGCCCTCCAGCAGCTGTGTGGCAGTGATGATAGTTCGTGAGCACGTGGGAGATGGAGCCGCTGTGGAAACCGAGGGCACACCTGTCGCTGCGCTCTGAACCGTGCAATTCTCCTTGGGGCCGAAGGGACCTCCAAGCAGACGTCCGAGGATGCCGGACTCGGGCACCGCGCGGGAAAGCGGCTTGATGATGGCGAATCCAAAGATAGCCTGAATTCATATCAGTGACTCCCCCTTAAGAAATAGCGCACTAGCGGAAGGCTTACCCCGAAAAGCTGTCAAAGCTGTCGAGTCAGCATATAGGAGCGAGCGGAACGTAGGTAGTCATACCTGGGGGCCGAAGGTGAAACCCGTTTTCAAACCCAGGTAGATGTTGGAAGCACCGACTGCACGAGGGATCTCGGTGAATCACCCACAGGCAAAAGCTCATGAACATACCAACGGCGCCGAGGCAGCACCCCACGACGATCGCTCTGCATTGCATTAGTTCTCAGACTTCAGGATCTAGCACGACTGGATCAGAGAGTGCGCACATGCGCACCTCAGCGTAAGCTGGTGAGTCTCCACCATCTCGTTAGGGTCCCGCGGGAACGGCCGAGAGCTGTACTATAGATCAGTGAAGAGATGAAGAGCAGCGAAAGCCCGGCGCACATATCAGGAGTTTGGAGCTCCATCTCGTCTTCAGCCGCAATGGCCTCAGTTTCCATCATGACATGCTTCTCGTTCGTAGAGCCCTGGGAGGAGGCTTCCTGGCGTTGCTCTGTGGTCAAGTCCGACTGGAGCTCGTTTGAAATGTTCATCTTGGCTGGACGGTCGCTGTGAGATCAGCGAAGCAGCACAAGAGACAGGGACCAGCTGGATGGACAGGGGGATGGAGAGACAGCAGGCTCGCACGCCACGGGTATGGAACCCGGAGGGCATATATGCGTGCTCGAGAGTCGGACGCGCTCCACGGCGGCAATCCGACTTCTCTGTGCTGCGAACAACTGCTGGAGTCACCACGCGTGCGATGAACCCGGAGCCTGTGAACCCGTTTGAAAACTGGCAGCTGGATGCAATCTATTCGCAGGGTCGTGCGTATTCTCCCACCACTTAGCATCGAGTTGGCTCGCAAGGACCACGAGGATGGAGGAGGGCGGATCCAGCTGAGTGAAGGGCAGTGTGCAGGACATGTGGTGGAATGAATGAAGCGCCTGTGAAGAAGCGTCAGTGAAACCCCGCAAGGAAACAGAGCAAGCATCATGTCAACTTACGCACAACACATGAGATCGCGGTATTCACAGAGGACACGCTTGCGCGGTCAGAAAACGTGGCCTGGCGCAGCGCAGCGCGGCGCGGGCGTCCGCAACGCGACCAAACCGTGACGCGACAGGACGCGACCCGCTGACAGAGGTGCCAGACAAAGCTTGGCGCTCCCGGCTTGTGTCTGCTTTTCCATCATGCTCTCTATGAAGGTGGTCGTCTCTTACTTGTCTCTTACGCCCCCAATCGCGAGAACTCGTCATGGCGTCACTCGACGCCGATCCCCAGTCATTACATAGTCCGGATGCGCACTTCAGCTTCGTGACTACTGGACAGCACTCAAGTACTCAACGCCCCCAAGACCTTCGCCGTCGTCAATGAGCCCCAAGAAGCACATGTTTGTGCAGACGCAGCTGTTGTAGGAGTCTGGATGTGGGTGCGCTCTCTGCTTAATCTCCCGGTCTCGGTCCCATGCGGTACTTCTGGGTGTCGTGCATATATAAAAAACTTATCTCTTCGATATCTCTTCTTCCTCACGCTCACCCAACCACACCAATGCTCGCCCCCACCATCGCCATTATCGCCCCCGGTGCCATGGGTGCCGCCGTTGGTGCCCGTCTGGTTCGAGCGGGCTGCTCTGTCCTCACTTCCCTCGCCGGCCGCTCTCCCGCCTCCGCCGCGCGCGCCCGTGCTGCCGGCATGGTTGACGCAACCCTCCCCGACATCTCGCGCCGTGCCGACTGGGTGTTCAGCATACTTCCCCCAAGCTCTGCGCTCGCGTTCGCGGAGAGCTTCAAAGCCGCTCTCGTACGGGATGAAGACAGGAAGGGCAAGCTCGCGTTCGTCGACTGCAACGCCATAAGCCCCGAGACGGCGAAGCGGGTCGCGAAGGTGTTCACCGGGACTGGCGTTCGGTTTGTGGACGCGGGTATTGTGGGTGGGCCGCCGACGGACACATACAACCCCGCATTTTACGCCTCCGCCGAGGCTGAGGACATGGATCTACTCGACGCGTTTGTGGGTTTGGAGAAGTACGGGTTGAGGGTCGAGCCATTACGCGGCGAAGGTACCGGTGTGGGTGATGCAAGTGCGCTGAAAATGTCGTATGCAGTGAGTTCTATCTCCATCTATTGCGCATATATGCAGTGTGTACATCAGCTCTTCCACTGGATGCATTGGCACATCCCCCTGATCCCACGTCCATCCCCGATGTGCGGTCCGATCTCCGGTCTACTTGTGATAAATCTGCTATGGCGAAACTGACCATGCTGCACAGGGGATCACCAAGGGTTTTCTGGGCATCGCGACGACCATGATCCTTGGTGAGTCTAGTCTGGTCTTGCCACGTTCCCCGCGTCGGCCTTCCCCAAGATTCGCCACTCTTGATGGCTTTCCCAGCTAAACTTCGAACTCGAATCTGCCAGCCGCGCACGCATCATCCCCCGCCACTGCCGAGGCGCTCTTGCACCAGCTCGGAGAGTCACAGCCAGCCTTCCTGGCGCGCATTGCTGGCGGCATCCCCGGCATGCTCCCGAAGGCGTACCGCTGGGTGGGTGAGATGGAAGAGATCTCGACGTTCGTCCGGGACGGCGTAGGCGAGGGCTCTTCGCAGATCTATGACGGGTTCGCCCAGACGTATGCCAAGGTCGAAGAAGCACTGCCGGACGGCAAAGAAATCAAGGTGCTCAAGGGGTTTGCGGAGGGCGGGAAGGCTATTCTAAACAACTCCGGAGGATTGAAGTGAATGACATGGATCTGGGTGCGTGGTAGGGAGCGCAGACGCCGGGTGCGTCGAACTGCCTGCCCGCGATTCGTCGGCGGCTCCCTTAGGTTGTAACTTAAGCAACTACCTTTGGCTTCTCAGTCTGGGGGACGTTATGTCCATGTACCTGCCATGAATAACGGGAAGATAGTACAGCCCCGGCTGGAAGCGCCTGCCGCCGACCTCGAATCTATCACCTTGAGATGCGAGTACGTTCCTTACGCCCCGACGCCGCCGCGCGTGCTTCGCAGTCAAAGTCAAGGGTAATGGATGGATGAGTAGTTCTGAAAACCCAATCAGGCTTCCTCGGTCGCGGGATGATCTGCTGTTTGGCCGGTTCGCACGGCACGCGCTGATGATATTTCAAGTCGCCCGACGCAGCCAGCAGCACGTTCGCCTTCCCCCCCGCTCTCCCCGACGACGGCTGCCGTGCAGGTCTCCCCTTCTCCCTCGACACCCATCATGTCAGCCATGGACCAAATCCCTTTCGACATCTGGCACCTCATCTTCCAGCTCGTTTGCACCGACGGTGGTGCGGGAGGTTGTGCACTCGCACGGACCTCCCGCAGTTTCCGCGCGTTATCTGCGCTAACCCGCTTTCACACCGTCTGGCTCACGAGCATCACCGAAGTGAAAAACTTCCTCATTTGCGTCGAGCGAATTCGCCGCTTCGGCGTCACACGGCCAACCTCATCTTCAAGCCCCGCCCCGACTTCGACTTCAACTGCGACCACCACTTTGCACCGCCGCTCTGCGCCCGCTCCATCTTCACCGACGCCTTCTTTAGCCGCGTCTTCGGCGACTCGTGACTCTACGCCGGACCTCGCCCAGACGCGATCGGACTCCAGCACCCCGTCCCCTCCGATCACAATCCGCCACTTGTTGCTCTCCTTCGTTGCTCCGACGTGCGACGCGCCGCCCCGCTCGCTCCGAACATGGAAAGACTACGCGCGCACCGAACGAGCGCTCGTATTCCAAGTGACGCAAGATCATTACTCTTGGGAGGCAGCCAAGACCGTATGGAACGCCGAGGCCGTACTTCACCTCTCTCACCTCCTCACGCTCGCCGCGCCGACGCTACGCTCACTCGTCCTCGTTCAGTGCGCCGAAATCCGTCTTCCGCTCCTCCGCGTCCCCGACGGCGGCTTCCCCGCGCTCGCCGAGCTCACCCTGCTCGCGGACGACCGCGCGTTCGTGCGCGCGCCGGGCCCCGGCGCCCTCGTCTCCGGGCAAAACGACCCCTCCGACTTTGACTTCTACGGCGTCGCCAACGACTTCTCGCCCTCCGCCCCACCCACCTTCCCCGCTCTCACCCACCTGCACGTCGTCTGCACGGGCCCCAAGCTCCACGGCTGGGAGCGCACCCTGCCGCGCTGGACGACGCTCGCCCCCGCCCTCACCCACCTCCGCGTCTCGCAAGCGTCCGCGCGCGTCCCACCCGTGCTCGCAGAGCTCCTCGGCGTCCCGCCCGCCCAAGAGCCCGAGACCCCAGTCACGGGCCCGGACGGGTCCCCCGCGTTTGCCGTCCCCTCCGGCGCGGCGCGGAGGACGCGTCCGCGGCGGCGTCGACCGCGGGCACGCTCGGCGTCGCGTCCGACGACGGCACCGAGTCCGCCGCGGCGCGCCGCTTCCTCGCGGGCGCGGACGGCGCCGCGCCGCCGTGGCCCGCGCTCCGCACCGTCGTCGTGCAGATGTCCGGCGCGCGCAAGGTGAGCCCCGACGCGGGGCGGGCGGCGGACCCGGGCGCGGCGGAGCTCGCGCGCGTCGCGGAGGTGTGCGGAGGCGCGCGGCGCGAGCGCGGAGGTGTACGCGCCCCGCGTCGTCGCGCTGCGCAGCCGCGCGTACATGCCGGGCCACTGGGAGGCGCGGCTCGCGTGGGACTGGCGCGAGCGATGCTGGGCGGGCGGGTGCTGGACGGAGGACGAGGGGACGAGCACGTCTGGAAGGCGTTCCTGCCGCTCGTGCGGGGTGAGACGGGGGCGGGGGCGGGTGGGAGGCCTGCGCGGAAGGGGCGCGTCTCGGTGAGCATATCCGATATTGGGTTCGGGGGGCGAGAGCGGGCGCGCGGGGACGGCGGGCAGGGGGAACAGCGGGCGGGGAAGAGATGGTGGAATGTGCTCGCGAGTGGAGTGGCGCGGGCGAGGAGGAGGGGCGATGCGACGACGCTGCGATAACGAGCTCGGGCTCGTAATGCGGATCTTTGATGTGAGCCTAACGGACTATGTCTCAGCTGTATCCCTGTGGTCTGTGAGTACTGCCTGCAATGCACCGTCTTCCGTACTGAACGTTGAACCTTGACTAGAGGATGACCTGCGTCATGAACGACAGACTCATCATCGTCGCCGCCCCCGTCTGAGCTCAGATGAGTTCAGTGAGCGTAAGCGTGTGAGGTATAGTCCACAAACTGTTTTCGCGGCAGTGGGGTGTGTAAGAACCCACTAAGAAACGCGTTCCAGCTGGTTCCGTCGGCGCTCCGATAGATGAAGGCAGACTCTTAAATCTCTGTATAAATACATGGTTCTGACGCGTGAGGCACACGTGGATGACGAGGTAGATCCTGTCCAGCTGCGGGGGTTGGTAGGGAGGCGGTCAGAGCAATGCTCATGAGCTAGGATCAGCCGCCTCTTGCGTTTGGGCATCACTGCATTTCAGCGCTTTGTGCCCGTCAAGCTCAACGTTCAACCATTTACTGATCAAACCGTGCTGGGGTTTGCGGTACTTACGCAACCTAGGGGTAGACCCGCCGTCTCGCCGTCATTCTTCGGACAGCGCCAACAGGGCAGATGTCCAAGGGTTGACATAGCCATTACGCTTGCCTACATATTGGCAACGGTGTCCGGTCCCGCCTTCCCGCAGACTGCCGCCCCCGCCCTCCGCTTCCAGCATATATCACCGGCCTGGCGTGCGGTCGTCTCTCTTTTCTCTTCTCTCCGCCACCCCGCCGCTCTCTGCCCACATGCCTCCGCTATTCTTCTCCGACATGGACAGCCTGCCCCGTCCCATCCGCGCCGACATCTTCCGGTACGCCTGCACCGACGGCGGGCCCACCGGTGCCGCCCTCGCCCGCACCTCGCGCGCCGTCGCGGCAGAGACCGCGCCCTTCCGCTTCCACTCCCTCCACCTCACCAGTCTCCGGCAGATTGGCCAGCTCCTCCTCTGCCACGAACGCCTCCAGCGAACGCACACCGCGCCCGCCGCGCCGCCGCGCCGCCCCATCCCGCGCAGCCAAGCGGCGCTCGCGCACCGGCGCAACCGATCCGCATCGCCTGCCCGTGGGACCCTGCCCGCGCACCACCTGCTCCTCAACTTCCTCCCTGGCGAGTGTGACGCACCGAAGCGCGCGTGGCGCGCGTGGGACGAGTACTCGACGGGCAAGGGCAAGCAGCGCGAGGAGCTCGCGGACGACGAGCGCGCGTGGGCGGCGGCCAAGGCGTCCTGGGACGCCCAGTTCGTCGTCCTCGTCCCGTGGCTCTTCGCGCTCGTCGCGCCGACGCTCGAGACGATGGTCGTCCTCCAGAGCGTCGACCTCCCGCTCCCGTACGTCCTCGGTGTCGACGGCTTCCGCGGCTTCCCGCGCCTCCACGAGCTCGCGCTCCTCGCGAACGACAGCATGTTCGTCCACGGGGACATCCAGTGGTCTGCGACTCCGCGGGGCTCCTTTGACACAGCGCCGACCTCACGCGCGGCGTTCGACCAAACGGCGACGACGGCGACGCCGCCGCGCGGCTCCTTCGAGTCCGACAAAGCGGGAAGCATTGCCTCGCGGAGCACGGGGAGCGAGACCGCCTCCAACGCGTCCTTCCACGGCTGTGCGAAGACGTCGCTCGACTCGCGCGGGTCATTCGAGAGTGGCCGCAGGCCGTTTGGCACGCCCTCGCGCGCGGCCTCCCCCGCCCCCGAGTCGGACGTGGGATTGGAGCCGACCGCGGCCGCCTTCCCCGCGCTCACCCACCTCCACGTCGTCTACGAGGGCGCGAAGGCGACGCCCTGGGAGAAGACGCTCCCCGTGTGGAGCAGGCTCGCGCCGGGGCTCACGCACCTCCGCGTCTCGCAGGCGAGCAAGCTCGTGCCGGAGATGCTCGACACCCCGACGCTCACCATCCCCCGCGCCCACGTCCGCGCCCGCAGCGAGTCCCCGCACCCGCCCCCCACCGGCCCGCTCCCCCCGCTCCCGCCCCCGTCCCTCTCAAGCCTGGATTTGCACGCGCAGTGGCCCCCGTCGCCCCGGCCGCTCCCCCGCACGCCCCACCACGCCCGCTCCGCCCCGCTCCTCCGGCGGAACCGCCAGGACCCGACGGGGCTCTTCCCGAGCCTCCGCCTCGCGCTCGTCCAGCCGTTCGTGCGCGCGCCCGTCTCCGGCCACGCCGCGCGCCTCGAGGCGTTCGCGACCGTGCACGCGACGCGGCACGGCCGGCGCGGGACGACGATCGTCCTCCTCCGCGGGCGCGCGTTCCGCCCCGAGGCGGCGTACTGGGCGGACCGGCTCCGGTGGGCGTGGGCGGGCGCGATGTGCGGGGACGCGGCGCTCGGGGTCTGGGGCGCGCGCGAGCGGGAGGACGAGGGCGAGTGGGCGTACGAGCGGCGGAAGCGGCGGGAGGTCGCGGAGGCGAGGGAGCGCGCGAGGGCGCGCGCGCAGGAGGAGGCGAGGGGGAAGGAGGTCGTCCACCGCGGGGCGCTGGGGAAGATCAGGCTCGACGGCGTCGAGCTGTCGCTCCAGATGTTCAAGCCGTTGGCGGGGTTGAAGCGGGTTTTGTCTGCTATCGCTTGAGGCGTCTCAGAGAAGGACTTGGGAATGCAAACAGGTTTGTGTATTCTATTATGAGGAGTTGGGGACGTTCGGACATATCGGACTGGCTTTCTCTCCGGACCTGGAAATTGTACTTGTACGCTTTCGGTACGATAAAATCTCACTATGTCGTGCAGTCTCTCATTATTTACTAGTAGCTAGAAGAACGCATAAAGTGACTCACCGTGATCGACTTCAAGGACTCCCCAAGTTGCAGTAACTCAAACCTCACCGAATGTCCTTTCGCTTTTGTCGCATTAACCGTTCCAAGTACCGCTTATATTCGAGGTTCCTGTGGTGTAGGCAGGATGCTTGCGGTCTGTTGGATGTAGTGGTTAGGGAGCGCAGGTCCAAGGCGTCTGTTCAGGGTCGGCGGTATACCAGATTACCGTGGCAGGTTGCTTCCAACATCTTTCAACCACGACCTTCTTTAGCAGCGAGCAGAAGCCCAGAAAACCCGACTCGGCCATCGCGTAAGGTGCCGAGCCTCGTCAGTGTTCTGCTGCATAGATGACGTTCGCTCGCAGGAAATGCTGCTCGAAATTTCGGATGCATTGGCCAGCGAGAGCCTGTTCGCGGCGCGTCAATTACGAGCGACTCGGTCCAAGTATTACCGTGACAGAGCCATTGCAGGGTTTTCTCCAGACGTGTGCGTCGCACACGCGGTCCGTGCATGTCTTCTTTCATAGGTGGCTGCCAAGTCCACACCTATATATGCTTTACACGGTAAGTGCCATCGTTGGTATGCCACGCCGTCGCTCATACCATGACAGTACGGCGTGTCCACAATTCAAGCAACGGCGTGCCACTCGCGCAAAGCCCCGGCGGGCGGCTCGTCGCGGGCCGCATGGTGACCGTCCACCGGAACGAGGCTCTGCACGTACGGTGGACGGCTTCTGGGACGGCGGCGAGGTGGAGGTGCCGGACGGTTCCCCGCGTGTTCCATATGTGCGTGACCGCGGGCTCTCCAGACGGTTTCAAGGGGCCGTACCGATGCGCTGAGTGGATGCGGGTGGCGCGAGAAGATGCCGAGGGGCCGCCGACGGTGAAGACGTTGGCTGCTCGGATGGCGACGCAGAGCGCGTGTGCGGCGGCTCGAACCTCCGACCGTGTATGACAATTGCCATGTCTGTTTGCATCGGAGAACCAGCCCCCTCCCCCAGTTCGAAAGGGATGGCGTGGCTCGATACGCCGTCTTCCAAGTCTGATTCTATTGTTCAAGTACACGCATACCGTCGGAAGAGGCGGACGCGGAATAAGATGCTCATCGGGGATACAACACGTAGTACATCGTACAATTCTCAGCAGTGGGGTGCACCGACAGACCGAGGGCAAGTAAGTGCATACAGTAAGCACCGGAGCGCTGGCAGGAATCGGCATTAAGCTAGGTGCTGGAGCTCGAGGGGTCAGGGAATGGCGTTAAAAAGTCTAAGCGTACACGGGACTGGACTGGGAGACGAGGATAAATAAGTGCGTGGGAGAGGGGATAGGTCCACAGGTCCACATCGACGGCGAGCGAGTGTGTGGGAGACACTTTAAAGAGCCAGGGTCGGGGAGAGAGCCTACGACGGGACGCCAGATGATGTCCGGCGTCGCGTAGCGACCACAGAAGCAGAAGCTGACGGGAAAAAAAATAGCCGGTTCCGAAAACTAACGCGGCGGATGCTGGTCGAATACAGAGGAGCAGAGAACGGTATCTGTGCATGCCAAAGCGGCGGGCGGCGGGGACGTCGTAGGAAGCCTGGCTATATACAAGTGCTCCGATAAAGATACACTAACACGGTAATAAGGAGAGAAAGAGGAAACGAGACGCCTGACGTGGCGAGAATTGAACGGCGGCGAGAGTGAGTCGAGGTACAACATTGATTGACAGCAGCGGAAATGCGGGTCGGGTGAATTATGGGGTGCATCGGTATCATCATCGCGCCCATTTGGTATGACACGGAGATCAGGGCAGCGAGGTGGGCATCGCACGTCGTGAGAAGTAGAAAGATGATGTGGTAAGTGGTGAGCGGGCGGGCGAAGCACGGGGGGGTGAAGTCCGAATCCTCGCCTACAGGATGTCGGCATCCTTGAGGTGGTTCCGCTGGATGCCTTCGCGAACTGCGGGTGAGAGAAAAACGCGCGTTCAGGATGGTGCCGTGAGTGGAGTGGGTGGGTACGCACCAGCAGCGACTTGGATCGCAGTCGCTTTCGTGTCCTGTTGGAAAATTAGCTCACGTCCCGTACAGGCGCGACATCAAGTCTGGGGAAGCGCCGCAGGGCCAGGGGTGACGGCGACCGGAGCGGGCGCATAGCCCCCGCAAGAGGTGAAAGTGCGGGAGCGACGGGGTCTTGGCGAAATGAACGCACAACGCTCCGGGCTGCCAGCATCCCGGATACAAGGGAAGAGAAGACACGTACTACGACGGACGTGAGATACGAGTAGAACCCGCGCTGTTGGGGAGAGTGCTTGACAAGTGTGTCCCTGAACTGCTGTCTGAAGTCTGTACCATGACCACATGTCAGCAACGGTAGGACTGATTACACAGGAGACAGCGACGTACACTTCGCCGCAGTAGGAGCGTCGTTCACGCGGTCACCGTATGTGGGGATGTAGTCGACTACGCGGACCCCGCGGGTGAGCTTCTTCTGCAGAAGATCACACTTGTTCAAGAACTGTGGAGGGACGGTGGGTGTGAGGTTCCTACTAAGGTTAAATTGCATGAGTGGGGCACTCACGAGAATAAGCTGCACGTTCGCCAGAAGCTTCGTAGAGCAGACGGCCTTCCAGAGCATGATGCTGTCCTGCAAACGGTTCACACGTCGGTCCTCCGCGAGCTGTTCGTCGAAGCAGCTAATCGGCGCAAGGAAGATGATAGCGTTGATGTCGTCGAAGTACGGATACCATGCGTGTCGCTGCGAAAGGGAGACAAGAGGTCAGGTATGGGGTCCGGCACGGTCGGAGGTAAAACGTTGCTTACGAGAGAGCGGGCGCCGCCGACGTCGTAGATCAGTCACTCGCGCCCGGCTTCCGAGCCTTGCACGACAGGAACGCGATGAGGGCGGGCCAAGACGCATTGAATTGAAAGGACAAACATACCCTTCTCGAAAATGAACCTGTGCTCCTGCACGCCCATGGTTCGCAACCGTGCTCGCACGACGTCGTCATCTGACGGTTCGTAGTCGAACTGCGTGATCCGTCGCACATCGTTGAGGAAGCTGCCCGGCGCGTCAGCACGTCACACAGACCGCTCGCGGCTCCACCCCAGGGCGCATACAGCGGACGAATGATGGAGGAGGACTCACAAACCAGGGCCTTCGTCAGGCCACATCCCCCGGTGGTGGAGCACCGCACGCACGACCGAGTCCTGCCACAGCGCCCACATGTCCTCCGCGCATGCCGCAATCACGTCCGCCGCCTCCTGGACCGTCGGAAGCTCGTCCATCTGGTCCGGCTCCTCGTCTTCCCGGCCCACGTTTGACGGCCTGCTCGCCAGCGACGATCGGCGGGGCTGTGTGCCGCAAACACGTCGCGGATGGAATGAGGCCGGAGGGAAGGTGTGAGAGCGCAGATTGGCACGTACCTGGCGAGGCTCGTCGATGCTCCCTCGTCCGCCGCGGACTCTGCTTAGCGCAGACTTCCACCCGCTCCGGCTGGTGACCGCAAACTCCTTCATGCGGGCCGCGTTGCCCGCGGTCTTGGGCCCCCGGCCCACGGCGCGACTGCGCCCCCTGAGCCGCCAGTGTCGACTTCTTCTCCGGACGCGGCACCCAGGGTCTTCTCGAGCGTGCGCTGGACGCGGCTGAGGGGCGCGAGGCGCTGCAGAAGTGAATAGTGGAAGTCGGTGAAGGGGCCCGACGCAGTAGGGGGGTTGAACGACGCCTTGTCGACGTCCTCGTCGTCCTCGTCGATCGGGACCGTTTCGTCAATTCCGGGCAGCTCCTTGGCGAGGACGCGCATGATCGTCGTCGCGGAGCGGACGAGGTTGAGGTGGATGACGGCGCGCCAGGCGGCGCGCTCGGCGAGGAAGGACGACCGCGCGTACGAGAGCTGGAAGTCTGCACGGCGGACATGCGCGGAGTGGAGGTCAGAATCTGAATGCGAGGACCGATCGGAGATACTCGAAAGTACGCACTCTTCACCGTCGTCGACTTGCCGCTTTCGCTCTGGCCGAGGAGGAGGACCTTGATCGGCGGCTTGCGCCTCTTCATCGCGAGCCGCTCCGCCTTGAGCTCAGAGTCGATCTGGTCGTTGACTCGGCGTGCCTGTGCCTCCGCCTGCTCGCGAGCCCATCGCTCGGCCGGAGACTCGTTGGGCGGGGGCTGAAGGGCGGCGGTGAGGGGGTCGGGGGTCTCCACGTTGCGTTCGACCTTGCTCATGGTGGGTGGGACGCCGTGCAGGGCGCAAGGAGGTGATGGAAGGAAGGGGGACGGACGGCGCTAGGAGGAGAGGGCGGGGGCAGGGTGCGAAGACTGGTCGGACGGGCTGTGGGCCGCATTTCAGAGGGCAGGACCTGGCAGGGACCGCACGGCGGGTGATGGGAACAGCTTCGGAACCCAGAGCCTGATGATGTCGGCGGATCGCCCGGGCGCGCAGTTGCCGCCGCCCGGCACTGGAAAACGCCTGCACGCTGCGCGCGGTGTCGGGCTGCTGTCGAGCCCTACATACGACACATCTTTTGTCTACAGGGTGGTCTGCCATCGTTCCAGCACTTGTGGCGATATCCGGGGCGGATGGGTCGCGCCGGCCACGGAGGACTGGAAAAGGAAAGGCGGAATCGAGGACAGGCTCGGACCTATCTCCTGTGTCCGCGCCGGCTGAGTAAGTGGATAGTGCCGGGACCGAGTGTCGATGATGGGTAGCAACTCGACCCGCGCGGCCACACGACCTCTATCTTGCTTAGGTTCTATCTTCCGCAACGCTCGACCGCGAGCAAGCGCTGTCGCACGTGCGCACGCTCTCTTTTAGGCAACGTCTTTGCCGTGTTAGGGAAGAGTGATGTCATGGGGCGTCTGGATGCGGACGAGAGATCGTTCCTCGACGCTCTCGTTGAACGCTCGGGGCTCAGGTCAGAGAGTCCCACTGCAGAAGACTGTAGATGGCCGGCCTTCTGGAACCCACACCCGTGAAGAAGCGTGGAGAAGCGTCCACGAAGCGTCTTTCAGCTTGTACAAGTCGTCTTTGTCCTTTTTGATCAACTTTAGTACAGCACACGGGATCTTCTCGCGTTTAGAGCTCGTCAGAAATGATGAGCTTCAGCCGTACCTGAGCAATCTAGACCTCCCTGGCTCATTTTGTGTCTCGTAAGCACCCCTCGTATGCCTCTAAACACGGATCAGCTAGTAAGCACATGCGCTAACTCATCTAACCCGGGACAGCCCGCGCAGGCGTCCGCAGAAGGAGGGGGAGGAGTCCTGAGTCCGTGCTCCTATGTGGGGCAAAAAAGGCCAAGGCCGCCCTAATCAACCCTCGACCTGTCCTGCACGGCTCTGCAGGCTTCCCACATCCATCATGCCCATCTCTTGATGAACATGCTAAACAGGGCTTGTACGTATGTCGATATGAGGTGTGGGCTCCGCAATCGCGCGGGTAAGGAACGGCTGCAGATATTAATTTAAGTTCCAAGGCTGTCGGGACGCCCTTTTGTGTTTCTGCGCTCTCGGAAATATCAACGCACACCAAGTACTGCTCCGTGTCCTCACCGGTATCATCGATGCCGACGGGAAAATGCCCACGTCGAGCGTCCACGGACTTGGTGTCTCGAGCACGTAGTCAACGCAGCATTGCACCCTGCGCCACCAGGAACGACATCACTATGGTTCCCCTCCACATCTCCGGACGATCAGACGGTCGACTTCGCGCCGGTCCACGGTGCCGCCGTCCGGATGCACATGCAAGCCGGGCATGTCCCGGATTGCATGACTCGTCCAGCACAGCGGGTGCTGAGAGCAACGCCCGCCACAGGGGGCGGATGGAACTCACTTGCAAGGGTCGAGGAAAAAGGGAAAATGTGCATCGAATCCGAACGTCTATGTCTATCTTGGGCATAAATACTCCCCGGAGACTCACGGATCACCGCCCGTCGGACAGACGGGTGACGTTGAGGAACATCTCCGGCTGCGAGCGGTCGTAGCTCGTGCTCGGGTAGGACACCGGCGCGAAGTTCCAGACGATCGGCTTGGACGAGCGCTCGAACTTGAAGGCGCTGACGAGCGTGGCGAGGATGACCTCTGCGCGGCGGCGTCAGACGTCAGCGACGAGACGGAAGTGGGGAAGGAGGAGGTCGGGAGGGGAAGGGAAGGGGAAAGGACGCACTCATCTCGAGCTGGGAAAACTTGAAGCCGACGCACGAGTGGCCCCCGCTGAGGAACGTGGTCAGGTGGGAGTAGATGCCCGGGATCCGCGCGTCCTCGACCGTCTTCGGGAGCGGCGCGAGCCAGCGCGCGGGCCGCCACTCGTGCGCGTCGTCCCCCAGATCGCCCGGCTCGTGTTGACCGCGCGCAGGTTGAGGAACATCGGGGAGCCCTTGGGCACCGCGATCTCGCTCACCATCGTCCCGTCGCGCCCGCGCAGCGGCTCGGACAGCGGCAGCACGGTGTCCGCGACGGCTCTGCGGCGGTTTGAGAGCGGTGAGCGACGAGACCACGGCGAGAGGAAGGGGGAGAGGGACTGACGTGCGGCCGACGAAGCCGACGGGCGCCCACAGACGGAGGGTCTCGCGGCAGATCGCGTCGAGGTAGGGGAGCGCCATGACCTCGTCGAAGGGGATCTCGTCGCCGTAGGTCTCCTGCGCCGCGTGGACCTCGTTGCGCAGCTGCGTCTGGGCGCCGGGGTGCTCGGCAAGGAGCTGGAGGACGTGCGCCATCGCGTTCGAGGTGGTGTCGACACCGGCTACGATGAACGTCCTGGGAGGCGGTGGTTGCGTTAGTCATGTGGGTGTATGCGCGCGAAGCGCGACAGAACGTACGCCATCTGTGCCAGGAGCTCCTCGTCGGTGAGCTTGTCCGCCTGAGAGGCCATGAGGTTCTCCCTGACTGCATCGCGCTCAGCGACAGGTGCGGCATGAGAGGGCGAGATGCGACTCACGCAAAATGCTCATGACGTCCTTGCCCTCACCAATGTTGTGCATCAGTTCCTGGTCTCCGCCGTCTATCGCCGCCTTCTTCGCCTCGAAGATCGCCTTGGATTTTTCGTACACGGCGTAGGTGAGCACCTTCATACGCTGCACCTTGCGGTCCGGCACGTAGTCGAGCAGCTTGCGCCGGAACTCTGAGGGCCCGAGGTACTTGACAATGGGCAGGAAGATGCGGACGTGTGCGATATCACCGAAAGCCGGACTGCATGAAGGAACAACACAGATTAGCGGGTCTAGGGACGAGCAGAGAGGCAGCTGGGAAAGCACGCACACAAACTGCTTGACGGCCTCCGTGTACTCGTTCTTCGTCTCCTCGACGAGCGGGTCGAACGAGTGCCCCAGCCCGCCCTGGCCGACGATCTCGAGCGCCGCGCGGCCCATCCATGCGACCATGTCCACTTCGGTGGTGGTGTTCTGCACCTGCGCGGAGATCGCGTTCCGTAGCTGTGCGGGTTTCACAAGTCACCGTCAGCTGCGAGACGACCCTCCTTAGAACGCGACAACAGACCTTCCCGGCTATGGAATAGAAAGTCGGCGTTATGCCTCGCAGATACGCGGCGTTGAACACGGGCGTGAGCATCTTGCGCTGCCGTTTGTGCTGAACGTCGAAGGTGGAGAACAACCCGGGGCCGAGGAGCAGCTGGCCGAGTCTGTGGGAATCCGTTGTGAGTGCAGCTCGGACAGGGCAGGAACAGATGCTGACACTTCGGAGGGTTCTCCGCGGCTGTAGCTATCCTGATCCTTGACGAGAATGCTGTGCATGGCCTTTGGATCTGCGATTTGCAGCAGCTTTTTCTAAAAAATAACAAGAGGTAAAATTCAGTGTGAGCCGCACTAGACACATCACAAGAAAAGACCGACGCCGAGGAACGATTGGAATTTGGCGGCAGGACCGTACGTCTCGACCATGTCGCGGACAAAGTCCCAGTTATTGTGGTCAAAGAGCTGAAGCATGTGACCTGACACACGAAGATTCAGTTTTCGAACCACGATATTCAGAGCTGGAAGACGTACCGGCCCAAATTGATCCCGGCGCAGGGCCGGGAATGTTGTCGAACGGGGACGCGACAAAGAAGTTGTGCACGAGACGCCAAAAGACGAAGCCCACGAGCGCAAGCGCAGCGAGGACCAGCGTCGAGGCCATGGCTACTGCGGCTTGAGGGCAAGAAAAGACAAAGACTGGCGCATCTCCAGATCGGCATGGTACTTATATATATATACATGGATAGCGTGTGCCGTCTGATCGACGTTAGGGGGAAAGTTGATGCGTGAGTGCGCTCTGGAAGGTGAAGGTAGGCACGACCGGGAACGCGAGCATGCAGCGGTGCAACAGGTGAACGGGGGTGCGTTTGGTTTCTGAGTCTGAGTCCTGACACAGCTGTCGCGATAGCCACCCAGACAGCCAGTGGATCGACACAGACGATCAAGTTGCACAGGTCGCCACAAGTTGATCTTGAATGGTCGCCATGTTCCAGGCACCCGGGCCGTCCACGGCACAGACCCTAACCTTACATCTCCCACGTGATCTCAAGATTTTCGGACTCTGTGCCAGGCTTGTGCACAGACGCAGCTCAGTGGCGCATGTCGGCGGACCGCTGCTTTCCCTCCTCTCCCCTCCCCTACGATGCCTAACACCCTCATCGACGAACGAGTCTCTTCGGCGCAATGCAAGAAGGCCGTCGAGGCTCTTCTCGCGCATGCGACAAAACACGAAGAAAAGCAGGCCGAAACCCAGCTTCTGGGCAGCAAGGAGCAAACCGTATGGCTTGTCGTGAACACGAAAGTCATGCACCCGGAGAAGAAGATAAAGCCAGCACGGATGTATGTCCTTACTCCTTTCTCATATTCCGTTCAGCATTGTGATCCCAGTCATGCAGACCGGTGAAGTTCCCTATCGTCGATCCCCGCACCACCCCGATCTGCCTCATCGTGAAGGACCCACAACGGGAGTACAAAGACCTCATTGCCGAGAAGGGCATCAAGTTCATCTCACGTGTTGTCGACATCCGGCACCTGAAGGGCAAGTGGAAGCCGTTTGAAGCACGCCGACTGCTGCTCAAGGAGAACGGGCTATTCCTCGCGGACGAACGCGTCGTGCCCTTGCTGCCTGCGCTGCTCGGTTCAATCTTCTTCAAGGCGAAGAAGTGGGTCCTTCTCTTGTTTGTTCCTCGCGTTTGTTGAGGGTTCTCCAGACAACCCATCCCTGTCAATATCACGCGCAAGGACCTCAAGGGCGAACTCGAGCGCGCGATTTCCTCCACCTACTTCCATCAGAACCAGGGAACTTGCACGTACGTCTATGTATCTCATGTGGCTCGCCCTCTTACATACACTAATCCGGGTATACGTGCCGTCCAGGTCCATCAAGATCGGCACCGTCTCCCAAAAGCCGGCACACGTCCTCGCTAACCTTCTCACCGCGCTTCCCGAGGTCGTCAAGCACATCAAGGGTGGCTGGGACAACGTCCAGAGCCTCATGGTCAAGACGAACTTCTCGGCAGCGCTCCCGGTTTGGCAATGCGACCTCGGCACCGGCGCGGGCGGACGCTGGGAGGGTCTCATGGATGTAGTCAGCGAGGATGAGGATGCGAAGATGGACAACGACGAGGGCGAGGCGGACGAGATGGAGGTCGAGGTCGAGGAACCCCCGCCGCCCGCGAAGGGCAAGGGCAAGAAGCGCGTGGCCGAGGTCGAGGAGGAGAAGGAGCAGCCGAAGAAAAAGGCCAAGGCTACGACGGCAGGCGAAGACGTACCAGTGCCGAAATCGAAGAAGGCCAAGTCGAAGGCCGCGGACGCGACGCCCGCTCCCACCGCTTCCACCTCTGACCCACCTCCCGCGAAGACGAAAGAAAAGAGCAAGCCTGAGGCCACCAAGCCCCCTGCACCAAATGCTCCCCCACCGGTGTCAGAGCCCGCCAAGAAGAAGCGCCGCAAGTCTGGAGTCGAGACCGAAGTTGAGGCGGTACCGGCACCTCCGCTCGCAGTGCCTGAGGCGGCCCCAGAGAAAAAGGAGAAGCGCAAGCGCAAGAAGTCGCAGGTAGCATCGGATGACCAGCCACCCGCGCCGACTTCCGCCCCCACCCCTGCCCCTGCTGCCGCCGAACCCATCACCGACGCCGTGGTACCAGTGAAGAGGGAGAAGCGGAAGAAGGCTCGCGCAGCCGCAGCCGCCGCAGCCGCCGCTGCTGAAAACGCCTCCGAAGGCCCATCGGTCGTCGTTCCTGCGCCAGAGCCTGAGCCCTCGACCCCCGTGCCTGCGGCGTCCAAGTCCAGGAAAAGGAGGGGTCGCGCGGCCGCGGTCGACTTCCTCGAGGATGGCGCGGCGGCTACTCCTGCGACTGCGTCGGGCGCGAAGGTCCCTCCGAACACGCCCGCCGAGGGGTTGGCGACGGAAACGCCGGCGAAACGGAAGAAGAGCAAGGCGATCGCGAGCGTGGATACCCCGGTTTCGACCGCTATCGCGAAGCTCGCTGTCGAGGGCGAGGAGGAGGTGCCGAAGTCGAAACGGGAGCGGAAACCGAAGGGGAAGAAGGTGAAGCCGGGTGAGGGCGCAGGCGAGGGCGAGGGCGAGGGCACAGATGCGCCTGCTGCGGAACCCGCGGCGACGGCTGATACAGAGAAGGCGGTGGAGAAGAAGCGCAGGCGTAAGTCGAGGGGCGGGGCGGATGCGGATGCTCCAGCGGCGACGGTGTCTACGGACGAAATCAAGCAGAAGATGGCTGCGTCAGGCGTAGAGAAGAAGAAAGGGAAAGTACTGGCGGCGAAGGCAGGCGCGTCGAAAAGTGCCAAGGAGGAGGTGCTGGGAAAGAAGTCGAAAAGGCTCTGAGATCTGGGCTTTTGTAGACTTGCGAGTTCGCGATTGTCTGCGTTGGGTGTAGTCACGCCTTCTAGTATCCGTAGATGCATCAGATGATGTATTATGCGTTACGTTTGAGGTGTGGCCGAAGATGAATGACAAGCGGGATGACGAGGTGTATGCTCGAGAATGATACAACAGAGAGACCAGCGGGAGCAGGAGAATAAACGAGTGTAGTAAGCACGATGGCGGTATCTTCACTGTCGGAACCCAAGGGGACAGGGAATGGCAACGAGGGCGGAGGCGGAGGCGCGCAGAGCAGCGAGTGGGACGAATTATAGTGGTATCCGGTGTGGGTAGCAGGAGGGCAAATAAAGCGAACGTGAGCGGTGGATAGAGTAAGCAATAGAATCAGACAGTGGATCGCGATGTGTACAAATGCGGTAGACAGGCAGACGTCCATGGGAAGAGCTCAGTGGTTCGGTCGATTCGGTCGTTTGCCGACCTTGGACGGACGGGGTGCGGAGGATGAGATGGAGAGGGCGCCATGACCGTGGGTGGGCACGAATTCAGAATCGATCTCGGCGCACTTGAGATGCACAAGGAGATTGTGCACAAACTGCTGCTCATATCTGCCAGCAAGATTTCTCAGTTAACGGACGTCAGTAAAGCGGAAAGGAAACGTACTGAGAGTTAGTGAAGACAACAACCATCGAGTCCGAGTTGCAACGAAGCAGATTTGGGGCCATAACAAGCGACAGGTTCTGACTAGTCATCTTCGTCGCCGCCTGGATCTTGTCCTCAAGGAACAGTTGCATGAAACTGACGACGAACAACACCACCCGCCGGTTCATAGTTGGGAGGCGCCGGACGATCTGTACGCACGCCTGCGGGTCGTGTGCGCTCGTGATGCACTCGTTGTACATCTCGTCCGGCACGAGGGGATCGCATAGCTCGCGGAGCCAAAGCTTAAGGAGGGAGGCGAGAACGTGCGGGTCGTCGACACCGTCAAGGCTGTAGTAGCCCTTGTCGATCCGTAGCTTGAGGTCCGAAACGAGGTCGCCGTCGCCGGGGACGCGGAAGATGCCCTCGGACTTTGTTCCACCAAGAGCGAGGATACCATCGGCAAGGAAAGGAAGGATTATCGGAACCTTTTTGTCAGGATAGTTGCGCTCTTGCAACCTGTAGACACCATCAAGAGTTTCCCCGAAGATGGAGGGGTGGAACGCAGCATCCTAGCATAGATTATGTCAGGTTGGAATGAAACCAGTCACCATATGCTCTGCTTACCGAAGCCGTCTCTATCTCAGCAGCACCCGGTGGCTTTCCTCGAGGGCCCTTCTTTGAGATGTACGCTAATCGTCGTAGACAGTACTTGGCCATGACGTCGATCCGACCCTCGTGTTGGGAGGTCGCTTGCTGAAAGTACGACTGCAGGTAGGCCTCAAAGTTCTTTGAGGGAGGGAAGGTGACCAGCAAAACGCAAAGCAGCTGCCAGCCTCTGAAGATGCCCTCCCTACACAACGCATTAGGCATTGGAGGCGGAGAGCAAAATAAAGCACATACGGGTTAGGGTTGCCGTGAAGCTGCTTCATAACTTGACAGTAGATCTCGTCACGGAGCTCCCCATGAGTGAGTCCTTCTCCCAGCAACCAGCGTTGCTCTTCCAACAACACGTGTGACGCCGCAGACTGAGGCAGCGACACGGCTGACGCATTGACGGAAGCCATGGGAGTGATGCTGCCGCCCCGCTCCCTGTCACCCATTACCCTCTGAATGATCCTAAACGTCTTGACGGCGTCCTTATGCAACGCCCGGTTAAGATTCAGTAGTGGCGTCGCAATTGGACCCTGCAGTGGAGACTAAGTGCGCGCTCATCAGCGAGGTGGAATAATGACTTACCTTTTGCCATGTCATCAATTGAGCCACGGGGATCTTCCGCTTGAAGATGAAACCGGTGCGATGGGTCGAAAAGTAGTGTTGCGCAAACTCAGACTCTGCGAACTGCTGTATATCGGAAGCAAGGTCGTGAGGTAAAACGGGATATTTCCTGGGCGGTCAAATTAGGACTTGACAAAGGGCAGGACCGGGATGGAAACATACCCAGTGTTGAGGGATGGACTGCGGGGAGACTTGTCGTAGATGGTGATGGGGATTGGTGTCCTGCCATTCCTATCCACCAGCTGGCTCATATGCTTATTTGCCTCTGTAGCCGGTATTAGCGCCAATAATGAAAGCGAACAGGATGTAGATGAACCCGCCTGGATTGAGTACGGGATTCCCGATTTCCTTGCCACGGATACCAACCGGGTTCGAGATGCTCCTCCTCGGTTGCGGTGCAGCAGGAGTGGGTCGAGTTGGTGTAGGGGGCACGCTCCGGTCCATGCTGAGTTTAAACTTGAACCTCAACGGCGACTCGGGGGTAAGCAGGCTGTCGCCTAGCGACACGCCGCTCAACAGGCGCGGATCTGTGTTGATTTTCATCTTAGGTGGAGAGTCTGGTGGCTGGGGAGAAGAGACGGAGCGCCGGACATGTCCAGCGTCCGAACGCGATGTGCTGTGTCCCATGTCTGACGCGCTGTGTGAGGGACGCGAATCCTGAGGACTGCCGTTGGACGGAGTGGCAGCAATCATCTCCAAGGCCGCAGAGAGACTTTGTGGCTGGGCAGAGCGGTATTCCATGTACGAGGACGACTTGGAGCGGGATCGATGCAGAGTCGGTTCGTCTGTTGAGCTCTTTCGGGGAGGACTATCCTTCTTGGGCTTGGGCATATCCTTCTGCTGGGGTGTAGTTGGTGCAGATCCATGATGTCGACGATCCCGTACAGAGCGAGACACGGATGCATCGGAGTGATACGGCGAGCCGGGGATGGGCGTGAGGGGATGTCCGCCGTCGAAAGAGATTGGGCCCTGGGATCCTTGTTGCATGTGGTCGGCGCTCGATGTCGACTTGCGACTCGGCCGCTTCCCTTGCGTTCCGTTCCGATTCGAAGGAGAGGTGGGGCTCGGTGGTGTTTGGTGGGTCCGTGTTGGGGTACCTCGTGTTGATGACTGCGAGCGACGAGCCTGTGCTGGACTACCGTGGTGAGGGGATTCTTGCTCATCAACATAAGAACGTGATCGCCGGTAGGGTGTGCGCTCCCCGGAAGACTTGAATACCGCCTTCATCTCGCCAACAACTGACATACGATTCGTGATGGACAGTCGGCGTGTAAGGGCGGTGTTTTGCAGGACGCCGAGTGGAATAACGAAAGCGTCATCTGGGCGCTCCCAAACTGTCTCCCCGGACTTTGTGTGGTAGTAGTAGGGCAAGCCGCTCGCCTCGTCGAACATCTCCCACCACTCGCCATCGGGACTGGGAGGTAGGCTGCAAATCGGATGCGTCAGTTATCGGCAAAACAGCTGTGTTCAGCAGACGCAGCAAAACAAGCTCCATGACTCGCCGAAACCAACCGGTCTCATAATCTGGATGTGAAGCGCGAATAACACGAAGGACAAATGGGCGAGGTGCATATTTTGTTCACAGAGGAGGCTGCCTGTCACCTCACGATGACGTGTTGCGTGGGCGAAATGTCGTGTGAATGCCCTGATCACGACGGATCACGGCTCGCACAATGGGGCCCGTCGGGAGGCTGGATGATATTCCCGAGTACTCCTCATCCACTGATTTCACCGCGTTTTCCAAAGACTGCTTGTGCTCGACCTTCCCGCTGATGAAAAATGAACAATAAAACCGCACTCACAGGAAGTTCCCCACAGGCGGGTCCCAACTGACGTCTCCGGTCGCAGGACACGCGTAGAAGGATACTTGGGACTGTCCGAGCGCGCATACAGTCCCGCGTGAACCCGCGTCAAAGCCATCGGGGGCAAAAGCAACGTAGATCAGAGATCACAGCGGCGATTGGGAGTGTGAGTGTCAGCGAATTGGAGGCGTGCGTGCAACGGGGCCAAGGGGGCGCACCTGCGGGTCCACTAGGGTGACCCAAAAGTTGGAACCCCAATCGTCGTCTCCGCGGGCGGCGGCGTGCAGGCTGGCATGGGAAGCGCGCCGGCCGTTTAAACGGAGCTCTGGCGTGGGTAGGACGGCAGCGGAGTTGGCCATGGGAGTGTTGGGATGCGTCGGCGTTGCATCGCTTGTTGCAGATGGTTTTGAGGTCGACTGTGTCTCAGGAGCGGGAGGAGCGGGAGCGGCCGACATGGATTAGGGGCCAGCGATCAAGCCCCAGCACAAAATCTGAGACAGAGCAGAAGAGAGACAGACGTCGACTAGGTAGTATCACGGAGGCCTTGCGGGTCTGGGGTATAATGAATATTGCGCTGGCGAGAGGGGCGGAAAGGTGGGATCACGGCGGTTACAGGCAGAGCGCCTTGCTCGACCACTGTATGGGCGCTGTCTTCGCTACGAACGACGACGATCTCGCACCTCGTTCCTCTTGCTCTCATCCGAAGACGACCACGATCTTCTTTGTGCAGCACGTCGTTAGCCTGTGAAGATGCAACATCTCCTGGGGGCTATGAATGGTGCTGGATCGAAGACCAACTACAAGGTTCGCAACCGCGGATGAAATCACGCACCGAGTCTGCAATCTACACTCTTGGTTACTTCTCAAGATGGCAAGTACCCGAGCCTATCGTCTTCGTGCTCCAAACGGGATGTTTGGCGGGACCAGCGTGGCCGGGGCGGGGCGGTGGTGAGGCGTGGTCGGGGCGGGTGGTGGCGAGGCGTAGTGTCCGGGCTATGTAGGCTCCTTTTGACGGTTCGTCCCATCGGACTCTGTGAGGCTGCGTTCTCCCGCTTGGCCTACTTATTCCGGTGTTCGTGCATGCTGCCGATCTCCCAACGACATCGCCTCCGTGTTCTCAGCGCGTGGGTCTCGGGTCAACAGTGCAGTCATCCGATCATCTAGTCTTGCGCTGGTAGCACAAACCGAAAGCCCACCCAAGCACATAAGAGCTTGCACCGCGGCATTTGGAGGCCACCTGTTCGTTTTCCCATAGTTCCCTGACCAAGATAACCATCAACTACCATCAGGTATGTTGCACACACCGCCTTCCTTGCCAATGCTGAACTTGCTCTCTGTGATCCAGCCCGCCATGGTTACCCTCTCAGAAGACGTTTGGCACATCATTCTGCGCCTCGCGTGCGTAGATGGTGGACGAACAGGAGCTGCTCTTGCTCGCTCTTCCAAATTCTTCCGAGAGCTATCCGCTTTCTCCCGTTTCCACTCGGTCACACTGCACAGTCTCTGGGGCATCCAGAGTTTCTTCTTTGTCTGCAGTCCGCTATACCGTCCACCTCCGGCGTCTTCCCTGTTCACCACCTTCTGCTCACATTTATACCACCCTCCGTCGACATGGTCATCCTCGGAGACTGCTACCATTTCCGCGACCTTCACTCCTGGCGCGAGGCGAAAACGGCATGGAACAAGCGTTTCGTTCCTATCCTTACCAGCTCTTCACATGTGTTGCGCCTGGCCTCCAAACCCTCACGGTTCTCCAGCACAACGAAATACTCCTCCCTTTCGTCCGCGCTCCTACTTTCGCCAATCTCCGCGAAGTTACCATCCATCTCGACGACGGCTTATTCCTCCGCGACAAATCCGACTCCAATGCCGGTTGGCCCGAGCCAAGCGATCCGAACAACTGGGGTGTCGGCTCACCGCCAGCCGCGGATGATCTCGCCGCGGACCCACCCTTTCCAGCGTTGACACGACTCCGTCTCGTAAACCCCGGGACCCCAATGGGTGTCCGACTGTCGCTATGGCCGCGCGTCGCCCCTCATGTGCAAACCCTCGAGATCATCGCCGAAAAACAGGTCCCATCTCAGTTGATGGATCATGCTCCGGGTCCCGAAGACTTCCGCGAACTGAGACCATGAAGATCGAAACCAGCGACCTGGAGGCATCCGGGACGTCACGGAAAAGCTGTATGGATGCTTTGAGCTCGCCCTGTGTTCGTCATCCGGCCCATGGGACCATGGAGGATTGGTGAAACGGTTGTCGGAAGACTGGCGAGCGCGTGCTGCCTGGGTGTAGAAGCTCTCCGCAGCCGCAGGAAACGGCTTTCACGAAAGCCTCGCTCGCATGGATGGAGAAGGTGTCCGCAACACGAATGTAGTTCCTAACCCGTTCCTTGGATTATGTCATCGTCTGGTGTCCAGTCCATGTCTGTTATTTGCCAACGTTCTCCCATCATGAACTGATCGATAATTTCTCTAGTTGTAGCATTTTGTTGGGTTCTACCTACTGTCTTATATCACCCGCTCTATCTCCCCACCGGTCAGCCGCGATAGCGGTTGTGGTAACCGAAAATGCTCATTCACCTTCATTATGTCATACCGTGGCCGTCCGTCCACCGAGTAAGGCACGCTCGAGTCACCGTTCTGAGACCAGCTTTCAAGGGTCGCGATGTGCAGTATCGGAGAACCACGAACGGCATCGTGCTTCTGAGCTTCTTCTCTCTACTCGCTATTGCATCTGCGCAGTCAGGTGAGACGCGAGCCCGCTGAACTTTCGCTCTTTCACCGCCAGCCACTCACGGGGATGTTCTATTGATAGTTCCTACACTCGTGGCTCCCTCCCTCCTTCCTGATACCGTCCCCGCCACTTCCTCGACGCCGGGCGCGACCAATACGCTCTTCAACAAATGTTTTGTCAAAACTCATCCGCTCTCGGTGGGGGAAAACTATGCAAACGCTTGTTTCCCCACATGATGACCAAATTCACTCATGCATCCTCAGGTACGCGCTCCGACCCCGCGTCCCACGGTGGGAGTCGACAGTGCCGTCGTTCGACTCTGAGCTCTATCACCCGCGCTTGAAGTTGGATCCGAACGCAGTTGGCGGCGGCAACTCGCTTCTCCTTGGTTTTTTGTAGAGGACTCTGCAAGAGCGGCGCGTCCCCGGTCCTCTCCTTATAGCGCACTGTCGAGCATTCAGCTCCACCCCACCCGTCCGCAGCTTCTTCTTCGCTGCTCCCGTCCCACACCGTTCCACAGACACGCACGCTGCCCATGGCCTGCCCGTCCAGTCTCCTGATTGCCGAAAAGAAGCATCAAACTGCACGGGTAGTGTTCTGGGATCTTCGCACCCCTTGCTGGAGTTTCGCGCCTTGCGACTGTATGGATGACACGATTCGCCAACGCGGAGCCGCCAGTCACCTCGCGCCAACGCTCGGGGACTAGTCTAGTATGGACTTGTATCCCCTCCGGGGAGCGGGTGGTATATATCTCGCCCCACCGCGCTTCGCCCGGTTCTCACTCGACGCACCCTGGGTCGCCCTCCTGCCACTTCCTGCACCACAGCAAGCCGTCCTCCCCAACGATACTGCGCACGATGGCTAGCCTCGATCCCCCCAGTACGCTCAAGCCGGCTCAGGTCGCGGTCGGCATGATCGAGAGTGGCGTCATCAAGCATAATACGCGGGCCGATCTCGTGTTCTTCAAATCGGTGAGCACGCATTCATCCAGTGCGCTATGTGCGAGATAGCTGAGGGTGCGCGCGGGCAGTTCGCAGCAGGAGCCATGCTCTCGTTCGGGGGGCTGCTCTTCGAGATCGTGAACGGCGGCTCTCCCGGGCTGACGGCATCGAACCCGGGCCTTGTCAAGCTGCTCGCTGGCGCTGTCTTCCCCGTCGGCCTTATCATGTGCGGGCGCTTCTCCCACGAAGCGAGAGAGCGAAGGGAAGCTGACGGACGTGCAGGATCGTGCTTCAAGGGCAGGAGCTGCTGACGAGTAACATGATGGTGTGTGCGTTCCCCGCTCACAGTCAGCGCGGTGTTCACACAGGGAATATAGATCTTCCCCATGGCGTGCATCCGAGGCGCCGTGCCGTGGTGGGGGTTGCTATTGAACTGGATCAACGGTGCGCCGCCCCTCGCCTGCGGTCTCTGCCGTGCCGAACTTCCTGAACGTCGTCCACCGGATCGCAGTCACATTCGGCAACCTCTGCGGGAGCCTGTTCTTTGCTGGGGTCCTCACTAAAGGTGCGTGTTCTCCTAGTTCAGCGCGTCTCAGCGCTTCCTCACTCGTCTACCAGCCACTGGTGTGATTTCGACGGCACCTTACAACACCGCTGTCGTCAACTTCGCTATGTGGGTGCTGATAGTGGGTGGAGTAAGTGCTGTGTACTGAGCGTGCTCCAGTCACAAGGCGGTCGAACCTGCATGGCACCAAATATTCCTGCGCGGCATTGGGTGCAACTGGCTCGTCTCGGTAGCCGTCTGGGTATGTCACGACTCTCCCTTCTCCTAGTCATGAGGTCAGCCCGGTTCTCACGCATCTACCGTCGCAGCAAGCAGCTGGCGCTCGTGACACCGTCTCGAAGGTAAGCAGCACAGTGCGCTCGGTCTCTCTTGAAAACTCAAGCCGGGCGTTTTCGCAGATCGTGGCTATTTGGATCCCCATTATGGTATGTGAAGATGTCGGCAGCGCTGGATTAGTATGCTCACCATCTGTCCCTTTTTATAGATTTTTGTGGCGTGCGGATATGACCACGGTGGGCATTCTAAGCCTTTCTCGCTTGTGCTAAGGAGTCTCACGCGCCACGACAGTCGTGGCAAACATGTTCTCCGTCCCGCTTGGTATCATGTTCGGCGCGGATGTGAGTACGCACGTCGGCTCGCTTACCGTTCCCTGTGCTGAACCGTCACGCCTTTGTGACCTCAGCTGTCAGTTGCTGAATACATCCGCAAGTTCGTACACTTCCATCAGCCCGTCAACTTTGACTGCGTCGAGATTGACCCTCGTCTGCCACTCCGCCTTGCAGGTCATTTATCGCCTCGTATCTGGGCAACATTGTGGGGGCGCTTCTCGTCGCGCTACCTGCCATTTACTTCTACGCGCCTGACTACCGCGTGGGAGGCCTCCGGGACGCTGAAGCGGGAGAGGTCATTAATGCAGGTACCAGCTGCGAAGACGATAGCAGCAAGAGGTCTCAGTGAACAACGACCCTTCACGACATGTGTATTACTCACCTCTGTAACACCTCTGTGCCTTCAACTGGCGCTTGTATCACATAATCCTCGGAATCCCGTCCCACAACGATGGTTCGCGGAAGCCCCATGTGCGCTCGCTCCCACCGACACGCACGCTCGGCCCTCGGGCGAGTCTGGGCGAGTGCATTTGCCAATCGATGTCCGATGGATGCGCGATACGAGCCACCCTCCGACCTCGGCGCCGACCTCGGAACCCCCTCCGAGAACCTCGCGCGCCGCCTGATCGTTCACGCCCACCGCTATGGCAATCTGGGAGGCTTTGGTGCCCCTTTACGTACTTGCTCAGGGAGGCTTTGCGCCGTGCGGTGCGCGCGTGCTGGTGGTGGTCCGGTCGGGACTCCGGTCATGCGCGTCTGGACAGCGGTCGTACGGACGGATATTCTAATTTCTGCCTCCCACATGACGCATGCGTGTTCGGAGCGCGGAGCACGGCGAGGCCTAAAATTCTCTAAAGTGGGCGAGGCTATCGATCCTCTGATGGCCGCACAGTCCGTCCCGTGGTTCGACGATGAGCGCTGTTTGTGCAGTTCGTATTGTCGCACACCGGACGCGCGGCCGCACACGTTGTTTTCCAAAACACAATATCAAATATCCGACTCACAGGTGCCGCACGGGAACATGATGCATATTTCGAGAACATTGAGGGGCAGAGCATGAGGCTAGCGCATAGCTGCGCGACCGCCGGACTGAGCGCGCGCCAGCCGACGGAAGTTTTGACTAAGTGAACATAGCTGTATATGAATGCGAAAACCATAATTCCTTCATTTGCGGTAGACTTCTGGTCCAAGCGTTTGAGACATACGAAATCTGGGAGTGATTGCTACTCGTTCAGGTGGCGAGTGGACGCTTCCGGTAGCCGAAGAAGAGATCTGCTAGTGTTTCGAACGGGTGGCTACGAAACCACCTTCTCCGGCTCTCGCGATGGCCAACCTTCGGGCGGACATAAGGTAGCTCCGATGACGAGCAAAATACGGAAGGCGCGGCAGAATGACCTTGCTGGCACGTTGCAGAGGGCAGAATGCGCCCCACCAATTTCAATGTTGAATGAAAGAAGACCACCTATAGAAGGATTGAAACGATATCACTTCGGGAATGCATTCGCTCCATTCCACTTGATGGGCACACAATGAGGATGCCATGACGCGGGGGGTACGTCGTGGCACCACTGACCGCTCTGTCTCGCAGGACGGTCCTGGACCGTACTTTCCACGACGGCATGCCCCAGCGCGTGCGATCCTCACCTGTACAACGTTCGCGGGAATGTCGTACTGCTGATCCGCGTAACGGCCAGGAGCCTCGCCGTCGCGTCGCCACAGAATGAGGAAGAAACGCTCATGATTCTCCGAGCACGCGTACTGTAGACGTGAACATGACGAACCCCGGGGCCACACGCACCGATGAGACGCTTCCGAGCCCGAGCCAGCCCTGGGCACCGTCCAGCAGTCATCCGAACCCGAATCTCCGTCGCTCCGCTCCCCCGTCCCGCTCTTCGCCCATTTCGGGTGAGGATCCCGGGGATGACGGCACTCACACCCCAACACGCCCGCCGTGCGGTGCGTCACCGAGGCTGGGCGAGTCAGGACACCTTTTCAGCCCCTCGTGTTGGCGGCTGAGGGCCAGCCGCTCCAGCTCCCGCGTAGCGTACTCGAAGGACCGGAGTTGAGCCAGAAAACCTTCGTTCGGGAAGGCGACCGGGCGTGCGCGGCGGATGGTGAGGAGGGCAGTGTCGAGCGACATGCCACGCGCAGCGATGAGGTAGGCGGCGGCGACGCTCGCGCTCCGCGACATCCCCCACACGCAGTGGACGAGGACGCGGGCCGGCGGGGGAGTGGCCGTGGGCTCGTGCTCTCCGACTCCGATTTCGACTCCGACTCCGCTTCCCCGCCAGGACCGCCCGTCATCGCGTCGTGGATCCACTGGACAGCGTCGTCGAAGCGGGAGAGCAGGTCTGCGTCCGGGGCGTCTTCGACGGGGAGTGTGGTGTGGGAGACGTGTGAGGGGAACCGTATCATAGGTGGGGTGAGTACCGTGAGGACATGGGTGATCCCGAGGCGGGCGCAGGCCAGAGGAGAAGTCGCGTGTATAGATCCGACACAAAAAGTCCCGGGATGATCTCGCTCGCCTCGAGGAAGACTTCGTCAGAGGGTGAATTCTGGGTGCAGACTCTTCGGAGCTGGTGCCTGAGAAAGTAGGGGTAGTCGTCCGTGAGTGAACGTGGGGTGTCGTAGAAGAAGTCGCCACGGGGAGGGGATGTATCGGGTTTAGTTGACAGGGAGCCGTGCTTCGGCCTGGGACGACCTATGAACGCCCGAGACGCAACATAATGTTGATGAGAACGCGCTCGATCATGAAGTAATGGATCGTACCTTCTCTGTTGTTGCGGCGGTATAATGGGGCATTGCGGGGCTTGGCGTGGTGGAGCGAGCGTCTATGGCCGATATTCTGCGTTGAGGAGCTTGCGCGAGTGCTCGAGGAATGGCGTATGCGGGTGGGATTGTACGTGCGATACCAATACACCGGGGTCGTCACAGCAGTTGTAAGAAGCGCGGGAAAGCAGGGATACAGACAACGGTTGAGCAGAAGGAAGGTACGAGGAGAACGACGTTAGTACTGAAATGCTCAGCTGGTCTGGTCAACAAGAAACTTGTCAGCCTCAAGCGGCGAACTGCCAGCCCTCCAGGCCTAGGCATCTCGGTTGCTACCCAGCCTTGTGTCGTCATTGCGTCCCAGGAGCGCTGCGTGAGGGTGCGAGGGATAAGACTTGCCTCATTACCGAAGTTTTCCCCAGCCGCCTCTCCAGCATGCTGCAGTGAGCGAGCAGCTAGTCCGCTCCCCCATATCTTGCCGTGCACGATAAAAATGTGGGAGGAAGGCTGCAGAACGCGCGCCCGCTCCACGGGTGCTAGTCATACTGGCTTTCGGGTTTGTGCAAGCCGTGATTCTTGGGTTGATAGGGGGGATTGAAACTTGAGGCCGGAACGGCTTTCCATGAGAGGATTGGGGCGAGGGCGGAAGGCTCATGTGTAGAAAAATGGCGTCGGTGGTTGCGTAAAGAGCAGGTGTCTGCAGCATGTCTGTCGGAGAGGAGGTCTCCCCGCATGCCGCGTCCGCCACCTGGGTCCACGAGGCTCGGAGTTGGAACTGTCGGAGTCTTCAAACCCGTTCCTCGTCTCTGCGGTCGGCCCGCTTAACCGCAGACCCTGCTCAGCATCCCTGCACCCAGCTGCATCCGAATTGCCGCACAGGACCGATCGTCTACACAGGTGTCCCGGGCGAGGCAAAACCTCACGAAGCAGCCGCTCGCCACTCCCCCTATCGATTGCGAGCAACAAACCAACTGGCGGCACCTCCTCGGCTATCTGGATAGAAAAATTACATCACAAGCCCGGTGGGACTCAGGTCGAGTTCGTTGCGGGAACATCGAACCGGTAGAGGGGGTGCGTCCTTGTCTCTTCACTTGACGGTCGGGCTACAAAGAGGATCAGACGCCTCCTTGGGTGGCTACCCATGATGTTGGCACTGACCTCCCCCTCAAGGTTACAGTGATGGGCGCATGGAGGCACATTTCCATTGTTCCCTGTCCGGGTGACGACAATCGGCTTGGAAGACTCGAGCCTCGTTGCACGAGCACGAGCCCGCCACCAACAAAGCCAAGTTGTGCCTGATGGAACAAGTCAGCCTTGTGATCGATAACGCAGTCGGCACGGCTCTGTACAGCGTGCCATAGGTGAATGCGGGGCAGCAGAAGCTATAAAGAGCCCCTAGGTCGTCGCCTATTCGGCACGACCCCGCTCGCTTGCGCCCTTCCTACTACTCGCCTTCACCCCACTGCCGAGCACCTCTGCTTCACCGAACTCTGGGCCCAGCAGTGGGGGCGGCATGCAAGCGTCACTCACCCCCGCGGGCACCACCCCCGCTCATCTGGTACGTACTCGCCAACATACACGGGCAGTGGAGCGACCGAGGCTCGCCGCGAACTCGCTCTGAGATGACACGGTGGTCTGGCTCTTCCTTCTTATGTACTCGGATGTAAACCCTGTGGCACGGGTGTCCGTCCGGGTACATACCATGAGAATGGAAGAACTAGACCATGGTATGACCTCAGAGAAGTAACGCGGTAGATCGTGCCGACGTGGTTGGATGACTCACCTACTGCGTATGGGCGGCCGTTCATCGCGGTGATTGAATTAACCTTCGACTTCAGACCATCTACGGATGTGATGAAGCCATGTGTTGAGTTTTGACCGCCTTGGGGCTGATAATGTGACTGCACGCGCGTCGAACATGCCCGCGAGGGCCGTCAGCTGCCTCTAGAGCTTCGGGAGCGTCGAACGCGGCCGCAGTCCCTGGGACCGCCGAATTGCGTGCGCAGTTGAGGGGCTTAGTGGGTGTGCGCGCCGTTTGGGTAGCGGAGGACCTGGTTGCACACTCAGCGTCTTGGCACAGGCGAGAGCGCAGCTATATGCGCACCTTCATTCCCGTGTTCAGCCCTACCAGCCGCCCTCGTGAACGCCCCCCGCACACACGGCGGTATCAGGGCACACAAGCGAACGACGTCGTGCCGCGTTTGTCGATGCACGAGACGACGACGACGTTCACGGAGAAGGAGAAGCTAGACGCGGCGCCAGACATGCCCTGGTCGGCTGCTAAGTTAGACTCGCCTGAGCGCGTACGTAACTTGCCTCCTGCCCATATCTCTGGCACTCTGCTGCTTTGATTCGCTCTTTTCTGCGACCAGAACGTGCCGAAGTCATCTTCTTCGTTACTGCGCCCCTCCAGAACTCACATGGTCTTTCCGGCAACCATTTTTCCGCCGCAGTGGCATACGACTGCCTTCGATCACTACCCGTGCTCACCGCGTGTGGGCGAGATCTTAACCCAACATAACAAGAACCGTCGATCGTTGGTGCCAACGGGACTCTATGTACCACGTCCTGCATGGTCGAGTGGGATGAGCACGTCGTGCCTCATCTTTGACGTTGCCGCAGTTGGGGGACGAGGTGAGTCGTCAATGTCACCGCATTTTCACGCGACTCAACCATCCCGGATGTCGTTCTCTGTTCTCCGAGTGAGATACCGTGGTCGGGTGAGTCGTCACACGAGAAACCCTTCACCGAGTCATGCAGCGCCCCATCTCCTACGCTTCCCTTCGATATACACGTGTTGTGTCGCTGTACGCGGGAGCGATGGTATGCACTCGATCAAGCATCATGGATACTGCGTAGTCTCATATTCACATTCCACTATTTATCAGTAATGTTGTACACATGGAGTGATCGTCTATCAGCGTGAGCGTATGAGCAGCGAAACACCCACACCGACCCACAAACGACAACGCGTCAGCCGTGTCCTCGACATGCTCCAGCCTCTCACTAGCCCGAAGATCCCGAGAGACGCTCCACAAAGTTAGCTTCTGGCCATGGGGCCGCGAATAAAGTTGCCTGCAGCCTCACGCCTTGGCCTTGCCGCTCAGCTCGCGCTCGACGCGCACGAGCTCCTGCGTGTGGGGGTGGGCCCATAGCGCCTCCACCACCTCGGGCTCGATCGGGGGCAGCGGCAGGCGCGGACGCCCACCATATCCGTAGAGTTTCTCGAGGAGCGCCTTGGTGCCGGAGATGTTCGCTTTGGCAATCGTGAAGTCGCCGCGGGCGACGATGCCCTGCAGGCGGCGCGCCTCGGGCAGCAGCGAGGGGTCCGTGCGTGCGGCTTCGGATAGGTCGAAGAGCTTCTTGATCGTGTACTATTCGACGGAGCGCGGGAAGAGTGTCAGGGATGATCTCGGACGGAGCAGCGGAATCACTCACGGGAGCGACGTTTCCGAGACCCGTAATGGCACCGTGCGCATTCACGTACGCAGTCGGGAGCACGAAGTCGATAAAGCCCCCGAGAACGAGGAAGGGCGCGTCCGGGTTCACGCGCGGGCTCTGTGCTGCGAAAGAAGGATCGCAGACTGTGGCGCAGATACGGGTGAGCTTGCCCACGTTGCCACACCTGCGAGTGAAGAAAGTCAGTAAATTTGGGACCGTAACTAAAGGAGACGTAGAGGGAGGATGGACAGACGCACGTGAGCTTAACACCGCACAAGTTGGGACATTCTTGGGCCAACTCCGAGATGAGGTCAGAGTCAAGGTCAATGCCAGCGGCGGCACCAGGATCTGTGGCATATGGTCAGTCAGCGGGTGCCTCCAGGTCATGGGAAGCAATATAGGGTATTGGTTGGGAGAGAGGAGCATACACACAGTTGTAGATCATCACGGGAATTGGACTCCTCGCTGCAACTTCAGTCCAGAAGGTCTTAAGGGCCTCCCTGTTCCCAGCAAGTGCGCCCGCGAAGTAACCACTGCAAATGACAATGGCATAGTCGGCCCCAGCACTGGCTGCCTCTTTGCAGAGCTCGACGGTTTCGCGCGTAGAACCAGCGCCGGTTCCGGCGATGATGGGCATGGTTGTGAAGCCAGCTTCGTCGAGTGCGGCCCGGGCGGCCTTGATGAGGGCGATACGTTCGTTGTGGGATAGGTGGTGGGCTTCGCCCATGGAGCCCGCGAGGACGGGTTGGACTCCCGCTTGCGCCAGGCGAACAAGATGGGAAGTGAAGGTCGCGACATCTAGGTATGATAGCGACCTGATTAGTCAGAGGAAATACGCACATCGACAGGAGTTTGGCTTACCCAAGTCCTCTGTATCCAGGTCGAAGAACGAGGGGATGGGTGCATATATGCCCGCGGTGAGAGGGCGTGATACACGGGAATGTCCATTAAGGTGGACGCCGTTTGCGCCATTCATGGTGGGTGCTGAAGACATGTTCGATGAGGAAATAGAGAGGAGAGGTGCCGAAGCAACCACGTCGACGTGGGCTCAATTTATGAGGACGTTGAACTGGCGAAGGCCCGCGGCGGTCCGGCGGTCCGGGTCTCGGCGGGCGATATTGACAGGGGGCGCGCAACGGCCCGGAATCCGCCCCGTCGCTGCCGGACAAGTGGTCACGGAATGGCCGGATCTGTCAACGCCTCGCAAAACAGTCGGAACCAGCGAATATCGACAGAGCACTCCAGCGATGGCCTCTTGCACAACCACTGATACAGCATGGCAAGCTACGGCTCATCTGACGAAAGTGCTTGTATCAGCACAGACGAACTCTTAACAAGTACATTGACACACCTTGAATAGTGTGAGAGCATGAGAATACAATGTCCGTATCAGGAGCCTGCAGCTGGGAGCATCCACCACAAGTTGGGTGAGCTCGCATTTACAAACTATATTGACCACCGAAACGAAGCCATAGAAGCGATATCCGAAGCCCATTTTCACCAGCGTGACCTTGCGCATCGCGGTAACTTCGTGAAATGCACTATGAGCTACAGAGTAAGCCCAGACCATTGATGTGATTCGATCGGAGCAATTGTTGGTTATATTGGTACCGCATATAACTGCGAAAGTGCGCATGAGCTGTGGAGCACGCTCATTATCCTGATAAGCGTACTTACTACCATTGATGTCATACAACCACGGAAACTATAGATCGAACTTCACGACCTGCTCTCCTGCACCGCGTTCTATCTTGAGCAATCGTTTCGCCACGCAGCCATACAGAGGTTTCGTAACAGCGCTCCCGCCGATCAACGCTGCCGCCGAGTTCGCGCCCACGCTGGTGGCTTTAGCAGAGAGGTTCTCCTTGAGGACCCGAAGAGTAAGCGATTGCGACGGAGACTCGAGAAGGATAAGGAGCATGTGGGCTGTCAAGACTTGCTGCGCAGTCGGTACTGACGATGGACCAGCAGGTGCAGAGAGGGACGAGAAGCTTGACGCAGAAGGCGACGACGGCGAGAGCTCGTGGGTCGATAACTCCCGCAGATATGACCTACCACATGAGATGAGCGCAATAGAAGACGAAATCGAGAACCAGGACTGACATAGTTTCCTTGGCACGAGGGGGTTTCCCTTTGCTTGTACTTTTCCCCAGGGCATCGAAGGGATGCCCAGGCATGATCACTTCTCCGACCGCTGCCCAGATCTTCTCCTGTTGGTGCGGCGAGACAAAGATGAGCAAGACGTTGAAGAGCGTAGTTCGAATACGTACCACGATGCGCTCGAGTTCCGTCGTCACCTTAATTCTCTGCCGGTGGGGTGTCGCGGAGTTAGACGGTCCGTCGTCTTGAGCTGCTGGAGGGCTAACGGCGTCCTCAGGCTCTTCAGGTTCGCTGGGATTCTCGGGCGATGCTTGCGCTTGAGGCTCCAATGCGGCACCAAGTACTACAGTTGGATCCACGGGTCCATCCAGCTCGTCCAAAACTTCATCTTCGCTATCTTCATCTTCCTGATCACTTGATTGACCCGGATACGCGTCATGGATAGGTGTTAGCTTCAAGGGGGCCTTCTTATGAACAGCGGTGGGTGTTCCAAAAGACGTGGTTGAAACGTTCGCCAAATCGACCTCTTCATCGAGGAGCGAGTCACCGGTGAAGTGCAGAGTGCGAGCAGCAGCACCAGGCGTGTTCCAGAAGGAGGCCTCTCCGTCATCCAGTGGAGGTTCAATAGCATGTCCTCTCGATTGGCGCCTCGACTTGAGAGGAGCACGGAGCTTCTTTGTGGCCAGCTCTTCTTTCTACGCGCAGTATTGGTATGGATGACCGGGATTGCAGAATAGATGAAATGGGACCCACTCTTTTCCTCAACCGCTGAATCTGAGACTGTAGTTCGCTAATGCGTTGTTCCTCATCCTTAATCGCGGCTTTAGGAGAGCGGGGTGGTTCATCGGGCTCGCTACTCGGGTGCTGAACTTAAGGGTTGGATAGACCCATAGAAGGTCACAAACTACTCACTTGTTCGAGTTGTTGATTAAGAACGTGTATGCTCGCTTTGACCTCCTCTAAACGCACTACAATTTGTGCAGCTTGCTCTGCTGCTCTTGGCATGGGACGAATGGACTGGCTACGCTGGTAAGTATCGGCGTCTGCTCAGAATGTATGGATACTCACTATCTATCGAGGTATTTCAAGGCGGCGTTGGCGTAAACCTCAGGGCCATGCTCCCGAGGACCTCGTGCCCCACCAGCGTTTCCAGCCCTTGAAGATGGCGGTTTGCGAAGTGGCGTAGCACCTAAGAACTCAACTCTCGTGATTTCAATGTTGCCGGGCTCTGCTTCAGGTATGGTCGGCTGAGAGGGGTGGACAAGCGAGAAAAGGCCTATCTCTGTGGGATCAATGTCGCGAATTATGTCTCCCAGTGGTGCTTGTAGGACTGCGTGCGTGAAGGGACCGGGGATGGGACTGTTGGATACGGGAGTAGCAGCTGCATGGATAGATCTGGATAATGCTGATATTCTGTCGACATGATCCACGATATTGGCCATCTTGAAAGTTGGAAAAGTGAACGGTCCTTGGATACCGTTGTTGGGGGCGGTGAGGAGATAGCTAGTGGCACATCTGCCGCAGACCTCTCTTGCCACTTGCCCAAGTCGCGTTGAACGCGTATAAGTCTGCCCTAAGGTGTCACGTGATATGGGCTTACCTTTTTCAATTTGTAATAAGAGCTCGGGAAGTGGACAAACTTCATGTTTTTTTTGCATAGCCTGGTGCCCTTCAATGCATCGAACAGTCGGTACTTTGGGCCATCCGACTTCCTGAACTGTTGCAACCACTTGTGGCGGTTCAAGGTTCACGTTCAGCACTGGTTGAGAACACGCGGTGCAGAGCTCGCTCCGACTCGAAAGCCTGTGCCTGCACGGTGGCTGCACCGCGGCCCCGAGAAAGAACGGGTATAGGTTTATGCCGGCGATAGTTTGGTGCCTTGCTGCTCCGAGGTCATTAGAACTGAGACTTGTATCACTGAGGCCTTCTTGATGCCGGTGTGATGCTTCTCGGTATTGTGATGTAGTCCCACCGCAACCACTGCACTGCTACGTGAACCTCTTCCTCCGTCCGCCTTCTGCGCGTCGGTTCTCATACACTCTCCTCCGCCAAACTGCATTCCTACACTTGAGCGCGGCATACACCCTATCGTTGGGCGCCAGCTACCTTCCTACTCAGCGTCAATCCGACCAATCCTCTGTAACCTCGACTTCTCACCCGTACTTGGAGGGCCAGATTCCTCACGTCGCCATGGTCAGCGCGCTCGGCCAGCGGAAAGGTGTCTGGGAACCCCTCCCGCTCATCATCTATGGCTACGCTGTCCATCCGCTTTCCCCAGTCAACCGTCGCGACACCAAGCTATCTAGCCGCACCCACCTCTCGGGCTTTACCGACGCTTCCGGAGAGGAGCATCTCGTCCATAGAGACGTAGTCTCCCTCGAGGTTGGCGACAACGTGTATGCGTTCGAGAAGTACACCCCGCGAGACAAGGAGGTTGAGGGAGTATGGTACAGAGGGTGAGTTATTATTGCTCAGATGACATCCGCTGCTCGGTCTTCCGGGGCTGGTTCTATACGTGCGCGCTGTGTGGCCTGCTACAGCTGCGCGTGCGCGGAACGAGTTGTCGGAGCGGAGATGCGCGTATGGTACCATTACCTCCGGCATTCTGTTCCTGCAGTCTACGTGTCTCGCGGTTTCTCGCAGACCCCCACGGGCAGGGCTCCTGTGTCTCACAGCCTTTGCTTTTGTGCTGATATATTCGCAGATATGTCGTATGCACGTCTCGTCGTCCTCAGGTCAACTGGTCGATGGCCTCAGAGCCCTCCACGTCTAGCTCGAAGAACACTCCCCGCGCAGACGAACTTCAGCAAGTGTTCATCGGGATCTTCCCGGCCTCCCATATATTCGTCCGCGATCAGGTCTCGGACGCGGAAGGTCGATTGACGGAACTGTTCAATGCTCTGAGCAGTCCAGACGACGGGAGGACGTCGGCTGAGGTGGTCAAGCACTGGAATGATTCCCAGAGGGGGATGGATCCGGTCCCCGAGGTGGAAGAAGGCGACGACACGGCGACTCGTAAGTCGTTCAAGCTCACTCCCCCGCCAGACCAAGCCCCATCTACCCGCGCTCGTCTCCCCGTATACCCCGCGAGCATCCGCTCGGCCTCTCCCACGGAGTCTCAGTTCAACAAGCCCATCCCTCCGCGTCCTACCCTCACCTCCGGAGACGACACGCTTTCTGGCACCGACCAACCTATCATTGACGAAATCGCATCCGCTCTGCGGGAATGGCATGCCCTCATGTTCCAGTACCTCGCTCAACGCGACTATGGTCTATTCAACGTGGTCCGCGACTTCATTGAAACTCTTCACCTTGGCCGGCGGCAGCTCCTCTCTCAAACTCTCAGCGCCGAAGAGACCGTAAACCTCCGAAGGGATTGTGTCGCCCGTCTGGTCTCTGGAAACCTTTTGCAAGGCCTCGACATCATTGTTCGGCACCCTAGTTACGGCGGCCTAGTTAACGTGGACGTTGAAGGGCCCGAGATCGACCCCCGCAGCTGGATGAGCGCGATCAGGATGTATGCGCTACAGGCCGCGCTGTCCATGATGGACGTACCACTCGGTCCCAACTCACCATACAAGCTACCGCATGTTAGCGGTTCGATCGACTACTCTGTCTCTGCAGCACAAACACCCCTGCCCATGTCAGCTTCAGTGCACTCTGCGTTCCCGGACCTCCCACGTCCCCGCGGCCACTCACGCCTCATCGGTTCTCTCTCCCCTTCCACTCCCACCCCGCCCAAGGCCAAGTTCTACCATGTGTTCTTCGACCTACGGGCGTTCGTCGCGTCACCGTGCGCTCCTGGAGAAACTGCAGAGCTTTTCTTCTCTCTTTACAATAAGGCCGACGCTCGTTTCGTCTCGGAAGAGTTCTGCGCTATCCTCAACCACAACGGGGTTCTTGCCCGGGATACCTCGGTCCGCATTCGCACGCTGTTCACGGATCTCGTTCAGGCCGACGCTCAAGATCCCATTTATCTGGTCTGCAAGATCGTTCGCAACGGTTTGCTGAAGATGGGCAGTAACATGAGTTCTATTACGGAGAACCCCAGGCAAACGATGATTGGCTCAAGCTACAACGTGTCGATGTCTCCGGATGAGTCCTACCGCAACTCGAGCTCGACGGAGCCCCCGCAGAACTTCCGTCGGCCTTTTGGCTGCGCGGTACTTGAACTGTCCCAGCTCGCGGCAATGGCAGCCGAACAGACGGAGGTTTCGTCGACACGTGAACATACTATGCCGATATACGTCCCTGCCACCGAGACCACGTTCTCCATGCTCCACCAGGAATCCTCAACCACAACGTGCGCGAATACGAGAAATCGCCTAGGTGAGAATGCCGTACATCATTGTTGCACCGAAGACAGCAGCTTAACTTGTTCACAGGGCCGAGATGTTGGCCGTATCGATCAAGATCTTCTATGGGGACTCCGGGACAATCGTCAAGGAGAATTCTTCACTTTTGCAGGACACGCCCCTTACCCAGCGCTTGGGTTTCCCCGACGTAGTCTTCCCGGGAGACGTCCGGAACGAGCTCTACATCAAGCTTTGGAGTGGCGAGTTCTCTAATTCTCAGACGACGAGTAGACGCCATGTTGGCTTTCCCCGCGGTTCAGTAGGCTCTGCAACAGGCAATGTTCAGGTCACCATGGAAGTGAAGGACCAAGACGGACGCACGATCGACCGTGTTGTCTCTCAATGCAGCGGTGAACCCGAAATGACGCAGTTCCATTCAATGGTGTTCCAACGTACAACCCAGCCTCATTATGGCGAGCTCGTCAAAGTCCGCCTTCCGTTCCAGGGCGCGCAGCAGTGGCATCTCTTCTTCACCTTCCGCCAACGCAGTTCACGCGACCGCTCATCGAGTCGAGACCCTGCGGAACGACCCTTCGCCTTTGCGTACCTCCCACTGTTCCCCGACGGACGCGCGTTCCTGGAAGACGGGAGTCACACGCTCATCCTCTACCGAGCCAACAACTTGCCGCAGATCACCACTGACATGTACCTCAACGCGACTCCCTGGCTCCCAGCTAATCACCGCCCCGAGCAGGTGTACATCCCACCAGAGCTGCAGAAGATTGCCCAGCCCCTCCGCGACAGTCTCGTTGTTCGGACATCCCTCGCTTCCACGAAGTTCACGCAGAACTCGGTGCTACTCAGTCTGCTGAACTGGGAGCAAATTACGGACCGTGAGCTCCTCTCGACCATCCTCAGTAAGTTCACGTTTGTCGGCGAGGTCGAGATCGTCAAGTTCCTCCGGGACATCTTCGACTCGCTCTTTGCCATCCTCGTATCCGCGAACAACCAGCAAGGAGAAATGGACGGTCTCGTCTTCAACGCATTGGTCACGGTCCTCGGTATCGTGCAGGATCGCCGTTTCAGCAACTTCCAGCCCGTTCTCGACGTCTACATCGAGAGGCACTTCAACTGCGCTTCGGCCGCGTCTCACATGATTCACTCGATGAACAGGCTCCTTCAAGATCCCACAGCGAGCGATACCGCATCGTCGCTGCGCGCCGCTCTCAAGGTCTGGCACTACATCTTCAAGTTCATTGCGCGCTCGCGGGAGCTGCAGAAAGCAAAGGAGATCGGAATGGGCGGTGGCGCAACCGCGGACCACCTCGAGGCGACCTTCAAGCGAGAATTGCGTGCCCACCTCAACGAGGTCAACAGAATGATGTCTACCTCCAAGCCTGCATCTATCATCGGGACTCAAACGATCGCGTTACAACACTTCACCTCCATCCTTCCAGAGCTTGGCAAGGTATTCCCGATTGTAGAGCTTGTTGGGATCGCAACGACTTTCACCAACGCTATCCCGTCCGCCAAGGGCAAGATCGTCATTTGGAAGCTCATCACATATCTCCAAATCGTCAAAGGATTCCTCTTTGACAATGCGAAGTCGCGAAGTTTGCTGGTAGAAGCAGTCGGCATCTGGCTCAAGACTCAATTTGGCAAGTTCGATGAGTTCACGCAAACACTTCCTGGCGATACCGAGGCAGCGCGTGACGCAGCACGTGTAAGCTGGCTGGAGAGCATCCGTCTGGCTGTCACTGTGATCGCCATTATGCTCGACAAGCTGCAGCAGTGTCTCGTCGACCCCGACATCGTTCGGGATAACAAAGCCTTCCGACAGGAGCAGTACAACGTCGAGTACCTGCTATCCCTCCTCCCAAGGTTGATCATTCGCCATCTATATTTGCGCATATACTGAAACAGGCATTTCTCAGGCTGTTCGATTCTTATCAGGAATACCAGAATCCCGCGTCTCTCCGCGCAGTCGAGCGGAACCGATCGTCCACCCCAGTCACGAACAGCTTTCCCGTCACCTTTCCAGAATCATATCCCTTTTCCCTCGCGACGCAAGCGCCTAAAACCAACCCGACGTCGTCGACGTCGCTCAACATCAAGTCCGAGTTCAGTCCAGGCCTCGGCGAGGTCGCGATTGTGATCCTGGTATTGATCCTGTCGGCACCTAAGCGCCATGTGCAGGGCTTCCTCGAAGGGGTGCTGGAAATCGAGGGCCGAGACCATCTCGAGCACCTCCTGTTCCAGTTCTTCAAGGTGGCTCGGTCGATTCTCAACAACGAGGCGTTCCCGAAGAACTGGCTCAATGTCAACATCCTCGCGCACCGCGTGCTGCTGAAGATGATGGAACCTGTTGCGTTAATGTTCGAACGCTCCTATGTTCCGGATGAAGCTTCTGGTCAGCCGTTCAAAGCTGACCTCTGGAGAGAATGCTTCGACGTGTTGTTGAAGCTGCTATCATCGGAGCATCTCGTCATCGAGGAATTCAGCCCTCAGGTTCGTCGGTCGGCTTGTGATGGCGTAACCATCACTAATAACATTGGTTACACAGAAACGACGGGCCGTCTGGCGACTCGCGGGCGACATTCGTGGAGAAGGCGCGACGCTCCTCTTGCGCCTGTGGAGTGCTCTTGGGTGGCCAGATGAGACTGCTACGGAGGAAGTTGCTTTGGCGAGATATACAGTCAGTAGTTCCCCATTCTCGCACCGCGCTCTATACTTACTCGATGGTACAGAACTACCAGGCAGCGTTGAACTCGCTTGTCGGGCACATCGTCAACCTTTGTCTCAGCAACCACGACCAGCTTCGCGAGAACGCCGTACAGGTGCTCTACTGCATGATCATCGCCGAGTACCACACATCGAGGAGTTTCGATCACATCGAGAACGAGCTTGTGAGCAAGTTGGACACCCTTTTCATGTCGGACAGCAAGGGCGACGACATTTCGCGCGCCTTCTTCATTGGGCATCTCCGCCACCTCTTCGATTCCTCGGACGTCGACGAAGAGCTGCGGACCCGGGTCATGCTCTTCCTCGATTCGGTCGACGTCTTCCTCGAACTGCTGCTCAGTGTGCGCGACCTTCCAGAAGGAGAAGAGTTTGCGGATGATCGGGTCATCGCTACGGTATGTTGTCTTTTCGGCTCGCGTTGTGGCCCAATTGTATTGACCGGTTGTGGGTGCAGCTTCGCCTGATGAACTTCATTCGCCGGATCGGACGCGATGAGATCTACATCAAGTATGTTCACCAGCTCGTCAACGTAAGTTATTGTCCCTCCGAGTGGTTAGAGATTTCTGACCCTGTTTTCCACTAGATGCACCTGCAATCCCAAATTACGTGGAAGCTGCGCTTACCCTCAAACTTCACGCGGATCTCCACGACTGGGATCTCAACTCCTTCACTCCGCCAATGGAGGATCTTGGTCTTCCCCAGCAGTCACAGTTCCATAGGAAGGAGACACTTTGCCTGCTTATCCTTGACTACCTAGGTACATTTTCCCCGCACTATGATTCTCAAGTCTAGTAGGGTCTAACATCAGATTTGTAGGCAAAGGGAAAGCATGGGAGAGCGCGTATGAGATTTGCAAAGACCTTGCCGCCAAACACGCGGAGGTGACGTTTAACTAGTGCGTCCGACGTTTGCCGTGCCTTGTTCCAAGCTAACCTCCATCTAGTGCCCGTCTTGCTGAGATCTTGAGGCATCAGGCCGCACTTTTGGAGCACATCATCTCCGATCAGAGATACTACTCCGACTACTTCCGCGTGTCCTTTTACGGCAACTTCCCCTCGGCCATCCGCAACAAGCAGTTCATCGTTCGTACCCACCTTCTCCACGTTTGCGGAGCCCTGGCTCATACTTTTACTCCAGTATCGTGGCTACGAATGGGAGAAATTCGGCGCATTCTGCGAGCGCATGCTCAACAAACACCCCGGAGCACAACTCCTCAAGACCATGGGCGATCCTCCTGTGGACATTCGTTTCGGAAACGATCAGTACATTCAGTGCACAGCGGTCACTCCCGAACCTCGTCGCGAACTTCCCATCTTCACGAACCCAGACGTTCCGCCTCAAGTCCGTGCATACTACGAGCACAGGTTCGTAATCATTCAGCTGCTCAATGTCTACAACACTAACGCATAATTGGATCATTAGTGCAATCAACCTGTTCAGTTACTCGAGACCCCAGTCTAAGATTGCAGATGGTATGGAGGAGGTCTGGGTCGAGAAGACATACCTCAGCACGGAGGAGTACTTCCCAACCGTTCTCCGGCGCTCCGAAGTGGTCGACACTCAGGTCGTCAACATCTCCCCGGTAGAGACTGCTCTTCTCGAGGTTGAACAACGCACACGCGAATTGGCTGGTTTCAACCAGAAGTACTCCTCTTTGGCCAAGACCGCACAGCACGTCTCTACAAATGCGCTTGCGATGAGTCTGAACGCGGCGGTTGATGCTCCCTTGAACAGCGGAGTCGGTGCCTTCCGACAAGTCTTCCTCTCCGACAACTATGTTCAGAGGTACCCGGACCGAGCGGAGCAAATCGAGAAGCTGCGCAACGCGATTGATGAGCAGGTGCGTTCCAAGGTTATCCCCTCGGATACTATGCTCATGTTGTGTTCCACAGGTCCACATGATCTACAGCTGCCTCAAGCTGCATGGACAGTTATGCCCTCCGGAGATGCTCGCATTCCATGCCACTTTGGAAAAATTCTTCCAGAAGAACTTCGCGGACGAGATCCAGCGTTTATCTGTCGATTCGTCTCCGGAGCCACGCGCTGTTGGTGCTGTTCCACCTCTGCTCGTCTGCCACCATCAACGGCACTCCCATCCCCCAACTACACCAGCCTGTATGTTGCTTTACTCCCTACGAAGTGATGGCATCTGCTCACCTATTGATTCCAGCTCGACTCAACCGCTTAACGTCGGGCCGATCCATGTGGGAATGACGTCCAGTGCTCCGTCTCCGCTTTCGCCGCGCTCGCATGAGCAAGCCCTGCCTGTCGCAGAGGCGCCTTGGATGAAACAAACGCCTCTCCAACGACACCTCGCCCACCTTGCGCGCCACGGCTTCAACGGGTATCCTCGGGTCCGGGCGACAACGGCGGCAGTGACTCTTTCTCAGAGGAGTCGCCCCGAAACTCCGTTGTGACAGTGGGCAATCACCCCGTGCCCAACTTCTCGGGCGCTGCATCTGTGACGGTCTCGACGTTGGGCAGCATGGGGTCTATCAAGGGACGGTTCTCGAAGTTCGGAAGTCTCAATTTCGGCCGGCGGGATCAGTGAGGGCAGGCTTGGCCGGACGGCACTGTGAGGCAGCGTCGGAGGAAAAACCGAGTGGTTCCTTGGAACGAGGCTGAGGTCGGGTATGGGGGTTGGGCATGATGTAGTGCATCGATCTAAGGAAGAGGGCGAGTTGGAAGGATCCCACATACATACCGCAGGTCGCTATATCCACATACCACTAGTTGGGCTCCTGGCTCCGCGCGCTCCGGACGGCGTGCAGCTGAAGTTGACGTACCTGGATTGTTCGTTTAATGTTGTACAGTGTAGCTTCCCGTAATGTCTATGCTCAGATGTTTATTCTTTCTCCAGGCACGGTGCCCCGCGGTGTTCCCATCAACTGCCCCGGTCCGCCTTTCCAGGACTCGTCCTGCCTTTCCCAGGAGCACGCTCGGGCTCTGCAGGAGAAGTCGTGCGCCGTGCTCCTGGGACGTCTGATAACGGTGTCTGATGCGAATAATCCCCCAGGAGCGGTACGCACTCTAATTGCGTCAAGCTTATGCCCGTGTGGCTTGCGAGAAGCCTCCGTGCTGTGGGCGCAAGGCACGCCCACACCGCTTAGCCGCCACAATGCGAGTAGAGCGGTCCTAGGGGCGCGCCCGTCGACGTCTCACCGCGGCCTCGAGGTGGCGGGCGGAATAAAGGAAGGTGATGATCGATGGAACTGCATTATAGATGGCTAGATGCGAGTACAAGGGGGGCTAGGTAGAGACGGGCGACGGCGAATACGTGCATTAGCAGCCCCGACGGAGACGGACGCGGCGCGGGGGCGGAGATTGGGGACGATTATGCGACATAAATACCGGGGGGCGAGGTCCGGGAACCGACTACTAATAACAATAGGGGGACGCGTGGACGGGCGGGCAGGCGGGTGGTGAAGGGGACGAGGCCGGGCGGGCGGCGACGTTTGCGGTACCTCTGCGGTGTGCGTGGTGTGGTTCACCTTACCAATCGAAGGCGACAGCGACACGAGGGCGGGGGTGCGTGCGGGGCGGATCCAGACAGCTATGGCTACATACATGGAGCGTGGATGGGGACACTTAGGGACGAGACACTAAACGTAGGACTTGCGGGTGTAGGCGGGGCGGAGGCAATCGGCGTGACGGATGGTGTGTTTTGGTGGTGTGGGACGACCGGCGTGAAATCGGGAGGCGGGCGGAGAGGGGATGATTAGATGAGCGTGTGTGAGCCCTGGAGGTCGGGTAGCTTGACACGGCGGTAGTCGGAACCGTCGTACGATGCCGAGGGCGCGTGGCCGTACGAGGACCCGTACGTGCTGTGGTCCATGAACGAGCTGGTCGGATACATTGGCTGGTTGTGGCCCGCCAGCGTCGAGTCTGTGTACGAGAGCGACATCACCGGAGAGTCTGCGGGCGTGGTGAGGAGCGGGGTGGGGGATGGTGAGTGCGAGTGCGAGGACATGAAGCTGTCGCACACGTTTGCAGGGGCAGGGAGACCAGTCGCAGTGAGCAGGGGGTTTTCGTAGCCGTCGAGCGGCGGCGCGTACGGATTGCGATACGAGTGCTGCTGAGGGTAAAAGTACGACGCTTCGAAGGATGGCTTCACGTCCTGGACGGGTGACGAGGACGCAGAGTAGGAGCCGACGGCGTGCATTGCCTGGCTTGATGGTGCGAGGTTGCTCCTCTGGGGCACGGCAGCCGACGACTCCAAAGCAACAGCTTGCTTGAGCGCCGGCGGCAAAAGCGTCTGCAGGGTGATCAAAAAATAATTGTGAGGTTACCAGCTCCATCAAAAAGGCGGGGCGACTTACGTATTTTGAGATGATCTTGTCCAGAGCCTGCGGCAGCACCGCCCAGTCAAACACCTTGACGTCCTTTTCGATGTTACGCGGCTTCGGGGCGGGGAAATCCATAATCTTCTGGAAAAACTCCTCCATGCCGGCCTTGTTCTTGCTCACGTCTTCGGCCGGAAGCCCTCGAGGTTCCGGCGGATCCGGTTCTTCTCCTCGATGTTGAAGACGTCGCCCACGAGGCACTCGAGCAGGAAGATGATGTCCACCGAGGTGATGCAGCACTGCGACTGCGGCGCCTCGTCCGGCCCGACCCACTCCGGCGGCCGGTGGATGCACGACACCACCGCGTCCCCGTCCGCGTACTCGCTCGGCCGGAGTGGTTCGGCCGCGACGCGGAGCGTGCAGCCCTCCTGCACGCGCGTGAAGCGCACCAGCCGCCGGCCGAGCACCCGCTCCTCCTCGTCCCAGTCGCACACGCGCGCGAGCGGCTCCGTCGCCGTCGTGAGCACGAGCGAGGCGCGGAACGCGGCGTCCGCGTCGTCGTCGTCCCCGCTCGACCGCCGCGCGCGGATGAGCGACTGCTTCTTGAGCTGCGTGCGCGCGCCGGCGGCGTCGCGCGGGGAGACCATCGACGCGTTCAGCGCGCGCGACCGCGCGGCGCCGCCCCCGCTCGACGTCGGCCGCGAGGAGGACTTGCGCGAGCCGTGGCCGGCGGGGGGCGTGCCCGATTTCGAGGGGGGGGGACGTGGTGCGAGCGCGGGGCGGGGGCGAAGAGGCCGAGGTGCTCGTCCGCGGCCTCCTGCTTGCACATCAGCGCAGGGCTCGTGTCTGCTGGGAACGCATCAATGAATGGGCCCCGGGGTGGCTGCGCAGGGCACCGCGATCGGGAATCACTCACGGCGGCGCGAAAAGGTGTATTTGCCGAAGACGAGCGAATCAATGATACAGTTTGCCTGGTTCAACGCCTGCACCGCGACGGCACGGTCGACGCCTGGTGCGCAGCAGGGTAGGCGCTCCCGAGCTCGGGGACGATCGCCCGCAGGTCCCACTCGCCCGGCAGGTTGCTCGGGGACCCGTGCACGTCCGTGGTGAGCGCGCGGCCGCCGACGACGATCCGCAGGAAGGTGTTCTCGGTGGTGACGAAGTTGAAGTGGAGGCGGACGACGACGTACGTGCCCGCGGGGGCATCGGATATGTTGTACCCGTATACGCGGAGGAGCTGGCGCGGCGAGGTGATGCTCTGGTGGTGCTCCATCGAGGCGGCGTCGTCGAGGGAGGTGGCTGCGCGGGGTTGGTCAGCGAGTCTGGGTGTATCCCGATGCACGGAAGATGCGGGGGGGGGAACGGAACACACCAGACAGACCGAATGCCTTTTCCTGGGACGTCGAAGGCGAACGGCGAGGACCAGCGCACGATGATTGAGGAGGGGGCGGTCGAATGAGCACGACGAGGTGTTGTATGACGCGTGCGGGGGGAAGCTGGGGAGCGGGAGCGCCGAGGTCATCCTGTTAAGTGCGGGCGGGGAGGGAGAAGCCCTTTGGAGCGCAAGCGGTGAAAGAGGTATGGCAGAGGGCGACAGCGGATCCGCGCGAATCGAGAGGAAATGGGCGCAGAGGGCGGGCGCCCGGGAGCGTGTGGGGGGAGGTGGGGGGTGGGCGACGGGGGCTCGGAGGCGCACTCGGGCCAGGGGAGGGGAAGGGCGGGGAGGGGAGCGAAGGGCAGCGGATGCGGGGCGGTGAAATACGGCGGGGGGCTCCGTGATGTGCACGAAAGAGGGATGGCGAGGCGGGGAGGAGGTGGCCAGGAGCGGGATGGGGATCTGGGGAGATGATGTATTGTTGGCGGACGCGCGCGGGCGCCTGCGCATCGCAGCGGGAGGCCGAGGGCGAGTGCGAGGAGTGCAGGGTCGTGCGGACGCGATCGCCTCGTCGATCGGACTGCAAGGCGGGCGAGCGGCTGCCCAGGGCGGTCCTGCCTCAGCCTGCGTCCCGCTGGCCCATCATCCAAGGCACGCTGCGCCCAGACACCCAGCTGCTGCTAAATCAATCTTGCGTCCATCGACCCTTGGGTATCGCCACGGCACATCACTCCAACGCGTTTCCCCAGCGACCTCGCGCGGACCGTCCGTGTCGAGTGCGCCGCGGGCTGCTGGGAGCCCACTGGCGGCGGGTGCCCGTCCCCTGTCCGCGCTGGGGGCGGGACCCAGGCGGCGGCTTGTCTGTGCGGGGCCCATGCGCGGCGCGGGGCTTGTCTGCGCGCGTCGGTGTCCGGCCGCGAGGCGGGGCAGAAAAGCTGGCAAAAGGCTGAAAGTCAGTGGCCGCCACGTGCACCCCCCGGGCGATCGAGATCCCCGCGCGACGGCTGTGCGACGCCACTCCGCCTCCAGGCCATGCGCTCTCCCCGGCCGCTGCTCGCCGTCCGGCCGTCGGACACCCCCCGCGGCCCGTGACAGACCTTGTCGCACGCTCCTCCGTCGTCCGGGGGCCTCTTCTTATTCAAGGCATCATCGCTGAGGAGTGCTTCATCACCAACGGCGTATACTTAGCCTGCGCACCGCCGTTGCAAAATCCCACCGCGAAGGAGGGCTCTTCACCATCTCATCATTCCGTCTTCTTGGCTACGTCGCCCACCCTTCAAACGCGCAGTCTCGCGCCTTCTGTGAGAGCAGGCTCCATGTTTAGTAGTCATCCGAACAAGGTTGTGTACAAGACCCCTGAAATTGAGCCCCTGTGCAGAGAATGTAGACGTCGCTTTTTGTACTCGTAAGACGTGACAAGGCCCACGTACCGTGACGGAGCCACTCGATCGCGTAGCCTATCGAGCACAGCTCTGTCGCCGCAAGCCGCTACGGATTGCCACTCGCACCACCCTCTCCTACCCCGTCGACCGCGACCTCGCCTCCGCCTTCGTCGGCTGGCGGAGCCGGCGGCGGTGGCTCGTACTTGCAGACGACATGACGAGCGTCCCACTGGGGACCCTTGCCATCGGCCGACGGAGGCACCCGTCTCCGCACGACGGGCGGAACATGTCCCTCTGCTGATATAACTCGTTGGCAGTTGGAACAGCTGTCGTCGAACAGGCGGTCGTAGGCGCCAAGCAGCTCCTGCGACAGACCGCCCGTGAGCGTTCATGATGGGACTGCGTCGGACACCCAGAGGGACCCACAATGAAAGACTGGAGAGGCGCCAGCGGATCGGAGCGGATCACCTTCGCCAGCTGTTGGGAGAGCTGCTGGAAGGCCATGAAGTCCGACTGGGAGTGAGCCGGTTTCTGCGACGCGGTGGCGGTGGTCGGTCAACGGCGCCCATAGAGGAATCATTGGGCACCACACTCGCCTGTTCTCGCGACCCTATAGCGGTGGCGCTCTCTACTATCAGCGCTCGCTCGTCCTGTGCGGAATGGTCCACCGTGAGGTAGATGGTCGCGACGTTTACCGCCATGAGGCGAAGCGTTACGGGGCACGAGAGAGCCCTGCCCTTTTTCGGGGAGACGATGTGCAGTTTGTTCTTGTTCGAACGATTGAAGTTCCGGACGTAGGCAGGCAGGGCCTCGAGGCTAATCGGAACCGCTCCGTCCTCGGGCGGCGGCAGGAAAGACATGTCTCTCGGCTCGGTCTCACGATATGGTTGTGGTGAGTCCGGAGGCGGTGGTCGCCTGCGGGGCGGCACATATCAGCACCACCGCTCGCCGACTGCTGTCCACCGACGCCTCACCTCCTTTTCAGCATCTCTCTCCGCAGGTTCGAGTCGAGCGCGCTCGAGTCGGCGCGCTCGCTCTTCTTCGCCGTCTTCAGCGCCTCCTGGACCTTCTCCGATCGGACGAGCTCGCCCACCGCCTGGAGCTCCTTGAACCCATGCGTGAGCAACGAGGGCCCGGCGATGACCTCCCCCGGCGCGGCGGACGGCGGGGGCCGGAGCAGCTGGGCTGGGATCTGGCGGATGGCCTGCAGGCGGCTGTTGAGCTCCGTAAGTGTTTGGATGTGTGATCTGAGGAGGGCGAGCTCCGACGGGGGCGCGGGGGCGACGCTTGGCGCGCGGGCCCCCTGCGCCGCGGTTTGGCTGGCCGCGGTGGCCGTCGTCGTCATCCCTTGCGCGCCCTTCTGATGCTGCACCGCGGCGGGAGAAGGGGGCTCTGCGGAAACCCCGCCGGGCAGCTGCGATGACGGCGCGCCCGAGCCACCGCCGTCACGCGGCGGGGGGAGAGGTGGGGGCGGCATCATTCCCGCCGTCGCTGCTGCAGATGGAGGGGCGGCGGCGGCGAGCGTGGGCTGTACTGGGACTCGTGCGCCGAGACTCGGATTGGGAGGAGCGGCAGCGGCGGCAGCGGGGAGAGGGCCGGCACCGGCACCGGTTGTCGCCATCCTTTGCGGCGGGGGTAGCGGGTGGAGGAGCAGAGACGCAGGCGCACACTGTCACTGGTCACGGCACGTGGACCCCCGGCAACACCCGCGCCCATCGGCCTATTTTCGGCGCCCGCCTTCCGGGACAAGCGCTCATGCCTCATGCGCTCTCGGGACCCGCACAGGCTATCTCGGTCGCCGGACTCTCCATCTCGCACACCGCACGGGGAGACCGGCTCGAGATCCGGGTCGCAGCGTTGTCACTCGTTTCCTGCAGCCTTACTACTTGCAAACTGCACCCCACCATCACTACGGCACCGCGGCTGGGGTTACAGCTACTTATCTCGTGAGTCTCTCCAGTCATTCAACCCGCGTTGCCTCTTGCTCATTTCGTACCTTCGTTACTAACAGTGTGTCGTGCCTCTCCAAAACGACCTCGCGACAAGTTATGCATGCTCGCGTCACAGACTGCAGCGCATTGTAACCTGATCCTCTTAATTCTGCATCAGGATGTAGCTTTCTAGATTTGGTTCATGCGGCGATGTCCCCATCACGCTAACCTTTTTGTCGCCGAGATTCTCTTAGCTCGATCCTGAAATCTGTGTCTCGTGCCTGCCAGCCCCCCACAATTTGCTCAGCTGACCTCGAAGACTCAATGGCAAGCTACCAGGAGCTATAGCTTCTCCACCGAACTACCCATACGGCACCATCAATTTCTGACGCCTCGCTTATGGCAACGCATTAGATTCCCTGAGAGAAAGAGTCTAAAGCTTCTGACCTTCTCATACTCCATCCTAGAACGTAGTGACGTACGGACTGCGCCGGTCCTCCGCGGAGCACCCTCGAATCCCCTTCGTTGGCCTAACCAAGACGCTCCCGCCTTCCCACCTCCCATATCTTGGCATCCAACCGCACACGCCACGGCGTCCGCCAATCCGTCGTTCACCGTCGTCGCTCGACGCGCGGCAGAAGGGATGACGCGCGCGGTGCGCCCTGACTGATCGTGCGGCGTGGCCGCCGCGGGCCCTAAGGCCTCAAGGCCTCAAGCTGCCCCATGCGCTGCGAGTCTGGTCGCGGGTCGCGGCGCCGAAGGGCCCCGTAGATCAGCACCGGAAGGCGCGTCGCCGCATGCGCCCTCCGAGCGAGCGAGGTACGTGGGACCACGCGGTGCCTCTGGCGATCGCAGCGACATACCGCCCCAGGGTGTTCCTCCTGCTCGAGTCGTTGATGCGCCCGCGCGCGTCAACGTTCGCCCCGCCGCGGGAGGGGCGAGAGGGGTAGATTGGTTGTGGGGTTGCGTGGGGTGGAGCTGTAGAGCGTGTCGGAGGATTCGAGAAGACGCAGATACGGGTTCCCCTGACCCCGTTCAGCTCGACGTGCAAGATCCCGGTACGGTGTCATTGATGATTCACCGTAGCGTCGATCGCTGCCGTATGCAGTGCTGTTCTATATGAACCGATGGGCTGCGCGATGTCGGTTTGGCGGGATGCGTGGACCACACGTGATGGACGGAGCGTACAGGCGAGTATGGGATCAGCACGTACCTGGTAGGGGCTGCTCTTACGAAATGCCGATGCCGTATGGTTAAGAATCTGGTGTGCTGAGACAGACCGGCACAGGCCCCTTCTCAGAAGCTAGCGTCGGCCGTGGGTGTGATCCAAGCCTGCAGGGGAAGTAAGTATGGTGATCCCTTTTGCCAGCTGCGGGACGGGCTCTCCTGGGGAGTAAAACTTGAAGCAGTGAAGATCGGCTTTCGGCGAGGTATCAGCTCGGGATTCAATCAAGTAAGCGCGATATTTCAAATACGTCACCCTGCCTAACCTCTGACGTTATAGACGAGTATCGTGATTGATAGCGCAGGAGAAAGCATAGGCTCTGCGTGACAAAACAACCCACAATTCTTGCGTATCCGCTACAGCCACATGGACAGCCAAGCGCGGTTCGACTGCCCTCCTGTGGCTGCTTGCATTGATGCGGCGAATCACCGACGCAGGGTACAAACCTTGTCTCGAGCTAGTCCGACTCCGAAGCTTTGGGCAGCCTCTTTACCGAAACCCCTCCCCAAACGATCTATCCCATATGAGGGCCACGCTGCGCAGCCGCCGAGAATATGCCGTGTCCCGTCGCGGGCATCCGGCAGCGTGCAAAAGCCAGTTAGGCCGCGCCACAAAGGCTTGGACCGCGAGCTAGCGCTGCCTGGTGACGAGCAGCGCGTCGAACGGCGCGAGCGCGCTCGGTCATCGTGGGCGACACGGGTCACGGACGCGTGTGACACACGCCCCCGTGTAAATTGAACGCGGCGGGACGCCGACGACGACGTGACGCGCGTCCCGACTCCCGAGGGCCAGGGCAGACGCGACGGCCTGTCGTGCCCGGAGGAACGGGGCGGGGGCGGTGGAAGGGGCATGCTGGCCCGCGAGCCCGGCGACGGCGCGGGCCCGGATCTCTCCATGCAGCCCCCATCTGGAGCTTCTTCCTGAGCTTCGTGGATCGCGTCCCGCTATCCCGCGTTCGGACGCGCGGAGGCCCGTAGTGGCGACGGAGCGCGACCACGGCGCAACGGACGGGGGACGACGGGCATCGAGACAGAACACATGCGGCACGGCTCGTCGCCGTCGTCGCGTTCGACGGCCGTCGACCCCAGCGGGAGGCATCCCTGCACGAGTCGTGCCTCGCACCCCGCGCCGTTGTGATCAGGCCCACAGGCCACGGGCGGTCGTTTGTGTCATCGCCCGCAGCAGCCTGCAGGCCACTTCGCGAACGGTGCTCAGCGCTCAGGGCTGCCCGGTGCCGCCGGCTGCGAATATGAATTCATCTCACGTCGGCATCCGTCTGTCGAAAACACTGCAAGGTGCAGGGTGCAGCGGCTGGCTGCTTCCATGCGAACCACCGAACCACAGGACGACGGGATGACGTACGCGCGAGAGTAAAGAATGGGCCGCACCACCTGCTGCAGTGAAGTGCGGTCGGGAGATAGTGCGGTCCAGAAGGCTTGCTGAGCACGTGGAATGTCCAGTGGTGCAAGAAGGTGCACCATGGAAATGCTCTGAGGCAGTGTTCTTAGTGGTGCCGACGACGACAACGAGAATAAGCGCGCCGGTCGGAGCTGCTTGCCGAGCGTGTGCGTACGCGTAGTGCCGAGTGAACAGGTCGGAGATGAGAGAGACGGCATGTTGACGGCAAGTTGCAAGTATACATAGTTGGACTAGGTCCCTGTTATAGCGTGAGCGCCACATCAAACAAGACCAGAGCCAGAAAGCAACTGACATCGCATTGCACACTCAGCTGTGCACCCCCACGCCAACAAGCCCTGCCCACGCGTCCAACTCCGGGTGGCGGCCGAACAGGAAGTAAAACACGAACGACCTCGCGGACGGATCAGCGACGGCGAACGCACGCACGTCGCGCAGGCACGCCAGCAACGAGCACAGCTCCTTCAGCTCCCGCGTCTCGTCTCCGGCGACCTTGAGAGTGGAAGGCAGTGCGGTCTCTGGGTCGAGCGAGAGCGTCTGCAGGAGCGATCAAGGTGAACGCGGCATCCTACTTGTCAAGGATCTGCACGGGCATCCCGACCCCGCCGCTGCGGGGAGAGCGGTGCACCTGCGCAGGTACGGGTGCCTGGGGCGGCCTCACGCACCTCGATCCCAGTCCCAGGTCTAGTCCCTCCGACCTGGGTGTCCAGACGGCCGAGCCCAAGGCGCTCTAGCACATCCTGCGGGCTCAGATGTCGGGGCCTGGATCCCGCGCCGACGGTGGTCTCGAGCAGCACGAGCGCGAGGTCGCCATACTCGTCCGATTCGCTGCTTTGGCCGGCGAGAACGCTCCCGCAGAGAAGCGACTCGGCCGCGGCGTTCGCGGCGCGGGCGAGCGAGCTCCAGTACGCGCGCAGGGTCGCGGGGACGTCCTGGGTTTCGGATGCGAGGGGCGTGATGGCGGTGGGAGTACCCGAAAGGTCGGGCCTTGTGGTTGCACCGCGGCCTAGAAGGGCGGAGAGGGTGTTGAGTAGCGGTCCAGACTGATGTTTACCGGTGGATTCTGTGAGGATACGGAAGCACTGAGATGTCATGGTGTAGTTGTTGTGTTGAAGAGCAGAGCTGCGGCAGGGGAACAGAGCCAACATCTGTGCACATAGACGCTGAAACCGACTGATATGGCGCCCTATGACGTCAGAGATAATCGATAATGGTTGCGAGGCTACGCTTGGGGCACGCCCGAAGGATCCCTTAGTCTCTACCGTGTACATTATCCATGCCAAGATGAATGGCGTTGAGCTGCTGGCAGGCACTCGCTAGTGGCCGATTTGCATGCGAGGTTTTTGCAAACGCACAACAACAGCACATTGCCATTGATCCCGACGTAGTAAACAGGCAGCGACTCCGTGGTATAATGTCATTCGACATGCGTGTCCCAGTCAGCGAACAAGTCCATACAGTATGGATTCCGTGTTGCTCCTTGACTCCGGAGAAACTCGATATAATCGACGAGAAACCGGACTTGCTCATACGTTTCTACCGCCTTGGGGCTCCGACGGCGGCGAACGACGGATATAACCCGTTCGACGAGATGCATGGTATCAGGATTCACCGTTTCACGGGGTGCCGAAGTCTGCGTCGCAGAAGACGGCCAGCCTAGCAATCCAAGCTTGAGCATCCAGCAACAGGCAATAATACCTGCTCGGCCGATACCCCCTCGACAGTGGACGAGAATGGCAGATCCGCGGAGAGTGTAGTCGTCGATGAGACGTGTAAGATGCGCATCAAGCGCAGTAGGGTCTAATGGCGCAAGGCCTTCTGGTGTTGGCAGCCTACGTTTGACGTCAGCAGGTGAGTACTGAGATCCGTCAAAAGGGCGCACCGTAGGATATCCATGTCCAGCTCGTCAGCGGCCCGCACGTAGTCGGCCCAGTGAACCCCAAGAGACTGCAGCTCAAGGTCATCAAGGCAACTACGACCACACATTACGTTAGCAAAACCGAAAGAACCCGATGGAAGACCGAGCCCTACCAAACAATACAGGATACACCGACTCCTTTTATTCGTGTTAGGTCTGAAGGTAGGTCCCTACACACAGTATTCCGGCCTCTCACGGGGCCGTCCAATCGAACTGCAAGGATAGAGCAATGTTACTCCGGGAAGATGCGAGATCACAGGCCGAGCTCGTTACTGACCTTTCTTGCCGGGACACGAGGACATGTATAAGTTACCCAGCATCGCAGCTGCAACCGGAGGTATCACTGGCACAGCAGGAACCTGGACGCTAATCACTGGGACAGAGGGACTGGGAACAGCCGACAGGAATGCCGTTTTGGAGTAGGTACGGCTGCGGCACATGTTCATTGAACGTCACTTCGGCGAGTCGAGCACTTGGGGATCACCTCGCGTCTGTGTCCAATTCTTTGCGCAAGTCGTGGGGTGACGGCGGAGCCGATTTAAGCACAGACTTCTTGCGAATGGGACATACAACTTCCTGCAAATCCCGATCTGAACGGGCTGACGACGGCGCGATGAAAGACACCGGGCGCGCGCGCCTTTGCCGAGTGTCCTGGACGGAGGGGTCGGCCCCGCCCATGAAGGCACGCTTGACTGTAGGATGCACCCAGAAGATGCTCGACAGCTTGAATGCTTTCGTGATGGCCACTGTAACCGGCGGCAGAGGTGGCGATCGAGGGGTAATACCAATCGGCGGGGGTGGGGCGACTTTTTGCGGTGCGGGTGCGACTGGAACGGGAATTAGTCGATCTAAGTGGTGGGTACCAGGGACGGTCAAAATGACGGGAAAGCGTTGAGCAGAACGAGAGGCGTGGAGAGACAGAGCAGGGAGCAACTCGGAAGGGATAATGGTGGATATACTGTAGGCATGCCTTGGTATTGAGCGCGCATACAGCAGGAGAATGAAGAACGCACACGATAGGATGCGTTTCCGATGTTTGCCAACGAGGTTGCGAGCCATGTGCAGGTGACACATTGCGATCGTACGTCCGAGGAAGAATGATGGGGGACTCCATCGCAGCTGCGAGTTGCTCCCGGAGGTTTGCGGTGACAACTCCTCCTGGAGACAGGTACGGCGCGGTGGCAGGACCTCTGAACGTGCCGTCGTCACTACTGGTTCGCCGCTTCGGAACCGCGGGAATCGTGCGGTTGTGCGGCCACCACGCCTTGTGCTGGGCGCAACGTAGCTGATGTGCCTGCATCTCCCTGTAATGGTCCGGCATTTGCACCGAGTAAGGCACGTACGCCAGCGGGGAGCCTGAGGAGCTGGTATAAGGGGTGCGGACGCGGTGTGAGTGGTAGTGTGACACACCATTGGGACCGAATTTGAGACGGCTGTATTCACTTGCATGGTGCTGGGAAGCTAGGCGGCTCAGCTGTGCGAATGACAGCGGGTGAGCGGCACGGCACGCGGGGTGGAAACCGAAGACCAACCTCTGCGACCAGTGCGTCTTCGCGTGGGGAAGAGCTCGACCAGGGCGGGGCGTCGGGCGTCGGGACGGTCGGGAGCGGCTCGGAGGGTGCGCGCGATATCCTGGGCGCGACGGGGCGGCGGGGCGGGGGACGCACGTCATATGCGGCGGTCATAACGAGCGGGGGGCATGGGCGGGCGCAGAGAGGGAGAGCGGCCTGCGCGGGCGATGAGGAGAAGCAGCAGGCACATCGAGCGGCAGCTCACGACAGATTGATAGTCGATGCAATCAGCAGTCGGCTATGCACATACTCGGAGACTATCCCAGCTCTTTCGGAGCTGCGCATGCCGCGTAAGCGGAGTTTGAACGCGCCACAACCCACGCGTCCACGCCGTCCTGGGCGTCGTCGTCGTTGCCCGCCTTGTTCCCTGTTGTCGCTCCCGCCCCCAACGCCCCCTCACGTTCTTTCCCCCGCTCCCCCCGTCTTTCACGCTGCCTCTCGCTCACGCCGCCAATCCTTTCTCCCTCTGAGCATGTCTGCTCGTTTCCAGCAGAAGTACGACCCCTCCGATGTCCCCATACAGACTACTAGACAGCCCCAGCCCTCGGGCACTGTCCGACGCGCGAAGACACTTATCCGTCCGGAGCGCAGCGTAGCCCCGGTTCCCCTCATCAACTCCTCCGCCCAGACCGGCATCCAAGCTGCTGCCGCCGCCAAGGACGGTCCTCCTCTCGACGCCTGGCGCATCTTCTCGCGCATCATCACCTTCTGGGCCCCCGCCTTCGTCCTCGAATCCATCGGCGGTCTGGACGACAAACAGAAGCGACAAGCTTGGCGGGAGAAGATCGCCCTCTGCTTCATTATCGCCGTCCTATGTGGCATCGTCGGCTTCATCACCGTCGGTTTCCAGAAGGTGCTCTGCCCCGACACCGCCCAGTATGTCAGTCAATTCTCCCCCAAGGGCTCCGTGGCCCAGGTGCTCGGTGTGCAAGGCTGGCAGACGAACATCACTTCCTTCCCCGCCGGTGTCAACATGACCGCCCTCCTTCAGTCCCCTGGTCAGGACATCACCACCCTTTTCAGCCGAACCGCCAACCAGTACTCCGCTTGCAACGGGGTAAACTTCCGTGCAGGTGTCGAGACGCCATGCTCAAGCACCACGAGTTGCCCCCTTGGTCCCCTCACCGCTTCCAATCTCCAATCCCTCGGCATGGTCAACACTAGTTTGATCGTTGGCTACGACTGGGATCAAGTTGCGGAGCTACAGAACTACTTCGTCATCGACGGCGCGGTGCTTAACATGAACTCCTACATGGCGCTCCACCCCACCTCTATCCCTTCCGACAATGTCGACGCCGCTATTCGCAGCGTTCTCACCACCATGCCCGGATCCAGTGGTCGCGATGCCACCCGTCTCTTCTTCTACCGTTCGGAGCTCAAGGCCGCGGTGCCCTGCCTCGTGGAGCGTTATTTCGCCGGGAACATCGACAAGATCACTCCCGGATGTGTTGTCTCACAGTTGGTGCTATACGCCGGTCTCATTGTCGTCCTCAGCTTGGTCCTTCTCCGTTTCGCCATGGCTTGTATATTCAACTGGTTCATGTCCTCGCGCCTCGCCGGTCCTCCCGACACCCTCACCCTCAATAGGTCCGCCATCAGTCCCGCTGTTATGCCCGAAGGTGCCAACATCTCCATCGACAATTTGAACGGTACTGCCCCTTGGGCAGGCCCTGGTGGTGGGAAGCGCCTCCTCAAGCCCACGAGCGGGAAGGGCGCCCATTCTCTCGCCTCGTCGAATTCCACGTTGGTCAACAGGGATAGCGGTGGAGCTGCCGCGCCTATCATGAGTCTCGCACAGATTGGCGCGGAGCTGTTCGCTGTATGCCTGATTACTTGTTACTCTGAAGGCGAGGACTCTCTCCGGACGACCCTCGACTCGATCTCGACAACGTCATATTCCGATGCACGCAAGCTCATGTTCATCGTTGCGGACGGCATGATCACCGGTGCCGGAGAGAAGCGCAGCACGCCCGACATCTGTGTCAGTCTCCTGGAGGCCGACCCTCGTTTCGGTAACCCGGTGCCTATGAGTTATGCGGCGGTCGGATCGGGCTCGAAGGGTGAGAATAGGGCTATGGTTTATGCTGGGCATTACAGTACGTCGCAACTGTTTTGCCGATCTTATCACGGCTTACCTGACGTTGTTTTAGCCGTCGCTGGTCGGCGGACTCCAACGGTCATTATCGTGAAGTGTGGAACGGAACACGAGGCTGCTACGGACAAGAAGCCGGGCAACCGAGGCAAGCGAGACAGTCAACTCATCCTCATGAACTTCTTCTCTCGCGTCACGTACAACGACCGCATGTCGCCTCTGGACTTCGACCTGTTCCGCAAAGTCCATGTCCTCATGGGCATAACTCCAGATTTCTTTGAAGTTTGTCTTATGGTGAGTTTGACCGCGTGTGATCGCCATGAGGATCCTTGATCGCTGACTGCACTCATTTCAGGTTGACGCCGACACGAAGGTCTACCCGGATTCGCTCAAGTATCTCGTCAACTGTATGCACCACGATCAGATGATCATGGGTGTATGTGGCGAAACGCGTATAGCCAACAAGCGGCAATCGTGGGTCACCGCCATCCAGGTCTTCGAGTACTTCATTTCCCATCACAACGCCAAGGCCTTCGAGTCCGTATTTGGTGGTGTCTCATGTCTTCCTGGATGTTTCTCCATGTTCAGGTTGAAGGCCCGGAAGAACAGCGGCGACGACTGGGTTCCTCTTATTATCAAGCCTGAGATCGTCAAGGAATATAGTCAATCAGTTGTCACGACCCTCCACGAGAAGAACCTACTCCTACTAGGAGAAGATCGTTTTCTTACCACCATCCTTCTGCGCACGTTCCCGAACCGCAAGATGATGTTCCTGCCCCAGGCGAAGTGCAGAACCGTCGTCCCCGACACTTTCAGCATCCTCCTGTCGCAGCGCCGTCGTTGGATTAACTCGACCATCCACAACCTCATGGAACTCGTCCTCGTTCGCAACCTTTGCGGCACATTCTGCTTCAGCATGCAGTTCGTGGTCTTCATGGACCTGCTCGGCACGATCGTCCTCCCTATCGCCATCTCCCTCACGTACCTGCTCATCGTCAGCATGGCCCTCGATCCTCCCAAAACTTTCGAGCAAGCCATTCCACTGGTCCTTCTTATTGCTGTCCTCGGTCTCCCCGCGATCCTCATCCTTATCACCACGCGCAAAGTGGTCTACATCTTCTGGATGCTGATCTACCTTGCTGCCCTCCCCGTCTGGAACTTCATCCTCCCCGTCTATGCCTTTTGGCATTTCGACGACTTCTCATGGGGTGAAACACGGTTAGTAAAGTCTACGACCCTCTTGCGCGGTGGTTAACATGCTCTCCGGTTCACAGAAAAGTCGAGGGTGAAGGCAAGGGCGAAGGTCATGGGGACGGTCACGGAGCATCTGGCATTGCGAACGTTCCGATGCGCCGCTGGGAAGACTGGGAACGCTCTCGGCTCAGGAAGCTCCGTCGCGAAGAGAAGAGGAGAAGGGAGTTGAGCGTCAACACGGTGCCTACCTCGGTAGCAATGGCGAGCTCGTCCCGCGGAATGAAGTCTGGAGCCAGTACGACGGCTCGGATACCTTCTCCGTTGCATCATCCGACGACGATCACTGGGGCGCTCAAATTGGCGGCTACAACGAGAATAGCGCTCAGTATCCTCCACCACCCGTCGGGCTCACACATGCAACTGCCCTCACGAGCGCCGAGACGGTTGCGGGAGAGGACTTGGAAGCGATGCTGGAGGTCGGGTTCGACGATAGGCTGGGCATGGTCGCTCACGACCTGCCCAGCGATACCAGCTCGCCGACACCGGTACTGGGTACGCCCCTATCTCTCGGACGACTTCACCCGGACTCGCCGGTCAAGCTGACCCCCTCTCTCCAACCACCCCCGAAACCGGCGGACTCAGTACCGCCGTCGGGTCAGACTGGAAGACGCACGCGAAGAAGCGGAGCGGAGGGCGGTCGGGCACGCATGAGTACGGGCCTCTAGGGCCACTGGATCCTGGATCCAGGTTCTAGTATAGCATCCCCCCCTTCCCCTTCCTTCTCTCTTGGCCACCACTTTCATCGACAATTGGACGATGGACTGTTCGCTTGCACCCTCCACCTTCGCATCATGTCTTAGTAGCTATACCCTCCATAGTCGCCACGCACCGCACCCACAAACCATTCTCTACAAGTACGCTCTCCGTCACCTCAATCAGCTATCCTCTACGCCCGAGTTCGTAATGTCCGGCGCCGTGTTTATATCTCCGCCTTCCCACGCACCGTTCTGCACGTTAGACCCCCTTCCGCAACGTACCCTCCCCGTGTCACCCTCATCGACTTGGTAACCCTCCCTTGTCGTTGTTTGCAACCGTTCCTCGTCGTCACATTGGGTCCCGCTTTTGCTGAGCAAATATTTGGTGTGTAGTTAGTTGTTTCCAGCCATAGAGTATTTACCAAGTGCAGTGTACAGAGCCAGCGCTGGATCCGGCCCTTCGTTGCACTCACCTCAGTACCCGGAGGACGGAAACATAGAATGAATCTATCTCTCTCTATCTCTTGCGTGCTCGACGGGTAGTTTTATCGTAGGAGTAGGGTTGGACGATACAGATAGTCGTGCGCATGTCCCCTTCTACTCGACAACAATATTCACAATTCTGGATAATACAGCTGCCACATCGCTGTGACATCACTCCGCACAGTGACTGCGAACATACGCTAGCGTCTCCCAGGCTCGTAGATCCCATGGCGAGAGCATGACGCCCTTCTGCGCGAGGCGCAGCGCTTCCGACGCTTGCTGCTCGTCACCCCCGGACACCTCCAGGCAGAGCACCACCGTGTACAGCGCGAGCGACGCCCGTAGGTGCGCGAAGTCCGCGCGCGCACTCGTCGCGCCGCCGAGGACCGCGAGCGCAGCCGTGCGGTCGCCCGTACGCAACGCCAACGAGGCGAGCTCTTGGCGGGCGTCAGATCGCGCGGGTTCAGTGAAAACCGCCTTCTGGGCGACGGACATGGCTTTGCCGACCTCGCTCTGCTTTCACGAATTTGATGGAGGGGCAGGGGTGAGTGGAGCTTCGTAGGGGGAATCAGTGCGGGGGTACGCACCTGGCCGAGGTGGTGCTGCACAAGCAGGTACGTGACTTCGCGCTCCGGGTCGCGTTCGTGACGTTGGTCGAGCGGGAGCGAGAGCAGCTCGGAGAGCGCGGCGTCGACGAGCCCGTCATCCTGGGTGAGGATGCCCATGCCGGCGAGGGTGTTGACCGCCATGAGGTTCTCGGGGTCGTATTCGATGCTGTATGCGTGGTGTTAGCTGCGGGATTGGCTCGAGGGTCCCGCCACGGCATACCTTTGCAGGAGCTGGCTCTTCGCCGACTCCTTCGCCTCGTCGGTGCCGATGGCCCAAAGGGTCTGCGCGAGAAGCACAACGACGTGGCCGCGAATCGTGGCATGGTTTGCCGCAGTCGCCATCGCTGCCTCGAATTGCGCCAGGGCCTCCGGTAGCCGGCCGAGCTTGAAGTGCGCCAGCCCGGAGCCGAACTGGCATTGCGCGAGGAGTGCGTGAGTATCTGAGTCGGACTCTTCATTTGCCGCTTCACCCTCTGGCATGAGACTAGTGGCGACTCCGTATGATTCTAGCGCGCCGTCGAAGTCGCCCGTAGCCAGCCTCAAGCGAGCGGCGTTGGTGTGCGCAATGGTGAACTGGCGTTCGATCACAGGGTCCTCTGTTTCCTCGTAGGCGGCCTCGAGTACGGCGATCGCACGGGCAATCATTTCGACGCCAAGCTCAACGTGCCCCACGCGTTCGCAAACGAGTCCGAAGAGGTGGAGCGCGGCGGCATCCTGCGGGCGTTGTTTGCAGTACCGGTCGAGGACGAAGAACGCAGGAAGGAGGGCTTCTGAGGATGCCGCGCGAGACTTGGTGCTGCTCTCGTTGACTTTGCGGAAGACGCGGGTTGCAAACTCGAGGTCTGCCTCTGGCACAGTTGCGGTCAGGCTGGTGGCGTGCTCGAACAGGGTACTAGCATCTCTATCGTGACCGCCGGAGGATGCAACGAGAGCTTGTCCGACCCAGGCTAAAGCGTAATCCGGGTCCAGCGTTTGAGCCTTGTCGAACGCCTCCATCGCGAGGACAGCGTCATCGTGTTGAAGGTAAAACATGCCCAATGTAGTCCACGTTGCTGCGTTCTGACAAGTTTGTTGGTAAAAGATACTTGCTTGGACACGATCTTACCTTCGAGTCTATCTCCAGCGCACGGACGAATGAGTGTTGACAGAGGCTCGGCTGGGTCGCAAATGTTGCATTTCCGAGGGCTATCCAAAACGAATCATTCGAAGGGACAGCGCGAATAGCGTTCTTGAACTGCGTGATCGCTTCATCTTGTGCTCGTTCGCGTTTTGCGCTATCCAATGTGCGTCTGGCGAACGTGGAGAGCGCTATCCCCAGATCGTAATGAGCTGTCCCCTTGACCGTGTCATTGAGGGTTCCGAGTGATAGCCGGTAGTCGTAGGAAGCCAGCGCTACTTGTAAGGCAAAGACAGGGGTGGATGTATTCTCATCAGATACGAGGGGGCAAGGTACGAGGGCGGTCAGCCCTTGGCCAGGATGGTCGGTAACCAATGGGGCAACGCTTGAAACAACTTCCAGGACCATCTCTTCGTCCGTGAGGATCGAGAATGAAGAGAGATGGAAGAGAGCGTCCGCCATTGTCTTCCAGGCAACTCGACGGAACCCAGGACTCGCGTCTACGAGTTCGAGCGTCACGCGGATGGCGGAGACGAACGAGCCCTCGGCTCGAGCTGAGAATCCTGTTGAAAGCTCAAGGCGACCGAGGTCAAGGTATGTTTGTCCGAGGGTGTCCAGGACGCCGAGCTCTTGGGGCCGCACATCCAAGATGGACTCGAACGCCTTAATCGCCTCCTCATAAACTCCCATTTGCCGTTGTACGTCCCCGAGGAAGTAGGATGCCACCCAGTCGTTGGGATCGAGCTCTCGGGCATGTTCCAGAGCCTTCAGCGCGGCAGCGTAGCGACCAGCCTTGTTGTAGGCTTCTCCGAGTCTAAGCCATGACATGTAGTCGTCGACGTCGGTCCTAAGTGCGATTTGCAGCGGCTCGATGGCAGAGGCATAATTGCGACGGGTCTGCAAATGCATGAGAACTGATGAGGAAATCGCGCACACATATAACGCACCAATTCGACCGCGCCCACAGCTTTCCAAGCCCAGGCGTTGATGGGGCGGTAACGGCGAGAGGCCTTGACTTCCGGACCGTCCTCGGCTCCTCCCTCTCCTTCGATAGCGCGTTGCGCAACGACATTGACGAGATCCCAGTCACCCTCTTCCGCAAAGCCTTCAGCCAGCCGACGCGCAGCATCGCCTTCCCGCGGGTCCAGCACGAATGCCTTCTCAAAACACTTCGAGGCGCGATTGGGGTCGGGAGGCGAGAGGAATTCCGCATAGTAGATACCGAGCGAAGTGAAGGCGGGAGCGAAAGTCGAAGAGCGCTTGAGGGAGGTGACAAAGTACTTGTAGGCCTCTTCGCGGTGGTCCTCTATTAGATATTATCAGGGCGCGCATCTCCTAAAGATGTACGTAGTACCCACCGCCCATCTCCCAGTAGCACCGTCCCAGTCGCCACCAAGCTCGTGCCTTGTCCTCTTCATGGCCTTCCAGCTCATCGCTGGTCTCAATCACCACCCGAAGCTCGTCTGCGGCGGCAACCAGATTGCCACACATCGCTTCGCACCAGGCATGCTCTTCCTTGGCACGAAGGACTTCGAGAAGTCCATCATGATCGAGAGCAGCGACTTTTCCGAACACCTCAGAAGCCTGGGACCACTTTTTTGCGTAATAGAGGATAAAACCCTTGGCCATGAGTGAGGGAATATTGTCTGGATCTCCTCGGAGGAGCTCATCCACAATCTTCAATGCGCGAAGGTGATGCTTCGGTGGAAAATGATGTACCAGCGAAGTCGCGAGGGTGATATTCAATGCTTTTCTGACACTGAGTGGACCGCGTTAGTACCACGCTGGAAGGGTGAAAGAATCGACTCGCCCGTTCGATGGTCGGCCCCAATCTCGCTCTGCGCGAGAAACAAGCTCAAGTCCGCTCTCAGCGACCTTGATCGCATTCTCGTAGTCTGCCCCTTGTTCGTATAGATGTGCAATGAGTCTATGCGCAAGTATTGAATCGCTAAGACTCGAAAACGCCTCCTACACACTTGGTCTGAGCAACTACCACGCTCGTTCACAGGTTGAAAGCCTACCATCATCACATCTACGCAGACTTCTGGATCCTCAACGAGAACGTTTGGCCGACCTTCCTCCTCCTCGTCTTCGTCGGGATGAATGTCCATGTATGCGAAGTAGGCACCGATCATTTGGCTCAGCGGTGACTTTGGGAAGAGTTCCGAGTACTGTTGGAGCACCTGGAAGTCATAATCCTCTACGCACGTGAGAACCCAGTCTGCATTCTCAAACGAACCACATACCAATGTGTTCGGCATCTTTCCCTTCGGTGGTGAGGGTCCACGCCAGTTGATTCGGGATTTTCAGCAGCACAATCCCGCCGATGAGCTCGTCGAGCGCGGCAGCCACACGGGCCTTCTCTTTGCGGTGTTTGTCGTCCGCAGGAATCGAGAATAGATGTTGTTGCGTCATCTCGAGCAGCTTCGACTCCGTATTCCGACGGAGGTCATCGGTCGTCTGAGGATGGTTGATGATTTCATTGTAGAGTGCAGGAAGCTAAGCAGAAATCGTCAACGAGGCCATGCTTGCATAGAGCGACGCTATACACACACCTTGGAGTTCGATATCCGCTCCAAAGCAACATCACGGAGGGTTTGATCCAGCGAAGGCCCATTTAGCCTCTGCCTTCGACGCTTGATTTCCTCCTCGGCCACACCCCTCTCTGCTTTCTCGTATATGTCCACGAGCTCTTCTATGATCGGCAAGGAATTTTGAATGGCCGATTGCGCCTCAAAAGTGGTGGTCGATGTAGGGTTTGTAAGGTCGGGAGGGGGCAGGGTGAATAGAATAGGGTAGAACGGAGAGTCGGGAAGATACAACGACAGTGCTTGCGCGAGCTTAAAGTCCGTGTTATGCGCGTGACAACAAGCCCGTAGAGTGCAAACTCACCTGTTCTGGTGTGCTGCCTCCACTCCGATGACGCTGGACGATACTTTGAACGGCCTCCGCGCATTTCGTCGCGTCGTTGCTGAAGACTTTGAGTATGCACATATTGGAAAATATACAGAGGGTACATACGATTTCGCGTGCAGCTCAGCTAACTGGTATTGCGTTTTGAGATGCTCCGGCCAGTCTTCCAGCTTCTCGTAGAGTTTGGAGAGACCCTGGACGCGAATTCAGCATGAGGCGCAAGAACCAACGTCCGTACGTACCTGCCAAGCCAGTGGGTGTTTTTCATCAGAGCTTATAGCTGACCGGTAAGCCTGCAGGTGCCCATTAGTCGAAGTCACGAAGACGATCTCAGAGCAGCAGTTACTTGCTCGCTCTGGGCGTGTTCTCCCAAATTCATAAGAGCAATACCAAGGTATACGTTCCTATGCTCTTGGTTGGAATTGGAAGACGTACTAAAAAGATTGAAAGACAACATACGCTCTGTAGTTGCTCGCGTCGAACTCGAGGGCCTTTTGAGCCTCATTCCGAGCTTTATCGAATTCCTTCGCACCGATAGCCTCTTGTGCAGCCTTTAGCCTCTTCTTAATCATCGCTGCAGCCATGTCGTCAAATTCCTCCGGGATGAGCCGTAGAAGAACAAAAGATAGTAGACAAGAATGCAGTTGGGGTGGACGGAGAGATGTAGGGGATCGTAGCTGGGGGATCTCATCTGGAACTCGGTGACGTCACGTGTCCCCTCCGTTCATTTGCAATCAACACACCAGCATCCTGAAAGCCCGACTTCTGCCTCCTGCAGACTAGAACAGCGGCTGTCATCACTAGCAAAGACCAACCAAGTCGTCGCTCACACACAATTGGCATCAATGTGGTCGACCACACGGTCAACAAATGCTGGGAGGTCGGATGAGAAGTGCATGGATAGAAAAGAGAGTAAGGCTGCACAGTCGATACACCATTACGCTATTATCATGAACATACAATATATGGCCACAGGTGCGATAAGTAACTCTATAGGAGATGGGATCTATCTTACGCGTTGTACTTGCCAATAGCGTTGGCAGCAACCAGCTCCACGCGCCTTCGAACGGGATCAATGCCAGCTTGGCTGACCCCAGCCAACCACCACCGAAGACGCGCACGCATTGCCTCGGCCGAAAGATCCTGGGTGACACTGATACCGGGAATAAGTTAGTAGTGGCGACGAGTACTGTCGGTGGCTTCATAGTAAAAGAACGTACATTCCTCGCTCCTCAAGAGCTTCCTGGACCTCAATAGGAATTAGCATTTCGCCCCAGTTCTCGCGTATAAGAAGTGTGTCATCGGCAGCGATCGAGTCGAGGTATTTCTTGACTCTGCGCAGCCGGCTGGGAGGGGGACCCCATGTGGAGAGGGAGAGTACGCTGTCACAGGGGTATAGGTTAGTGCGAGCAGCTACATATGCAGATGGGACATACCCGCTATACGAGAGCGTAGCGGTGCTGTCAAGGAGGACGTCGACCGAGAGTGCAGAATTTGCGAGTGCCTGATTGTGGACGCCCTGGAACATGGGTTTCATTGTTTCCAAAAAGGTCTTCTGCTTCTCGCGACGCTTGTTGCTGATACGTTCCCGCTGGGAGGGCAAGAGGCAAGTGGAAGGGAGGAGGAAAGGAGCATAGAGGACGACGAGAGGTATCACTTCCTCGGCGATAGCCACGATGAGCAGGAAGGGGATGAGTCTAACCCAAAGGTCCACCGCTTCAACAATTTGGCTCATTTGACAACACACGCAGACTTACTTGAGGATATCCTGCCTGTTGGTCGCGATGAAACGCGTCTCCCACCGCGAAAGCGGGGCTCCTCCACCCTTAATGCGCGCCTGGATGGCTTTGACGCGGAGCCGGTTCGAGTTCACAAGCTTCACCCCATTCCAGTAGAATTTCTGTAGCAGGTGTGAAGAGAGGAGTATGAGCCCAAAGGTGAAGGACACATACGAAAAGCTCTTTTGCTTGGTGAAGGAGTCTCTTTGGCCAGGACGCGCCTTCAGGTGGAGGCGTCAAGATCCCATGTTGAGCTGCGTCGACCATATCCTTCTTCGCGTCATCAATGCCGAGGGTGCTACTAAGCGGCACTTTCTCGTTTGTCGCCTTCAGAGACTCCGACGCTTCAGATGAAGTCGCTGCCTTGGGAACTGCAGGCGCAGAGGATGCGAGCTCCTTCTTCGTAGGCTTGACAGGCGCAGGTCGCAGGTCGACCTTAGGCTTGCGAATCGCGGAAGAATCCATGGGAAGAGATGCATCATCTTGAGAGGACTTGGGAGCGGGAGATGGAGTTGTGGACATTAGGCGGGAGCCTCGCCGCTGGAGGCCTGCCGTACCCAGTGGTTGCCACGGCTGCCCATCGAAATACCGTGCAGACAGATGAATAGGGCGAGAGATAGTTCGAATCGGGAGAATAGAGCGCTGCTTCCTTGTCACAGAGAGACTAAGGACAGAGGAAGAGGGAGAAGAGTTGGCACATAGAGACTGCAAGGAAAGGTTTACTCTGGTGCTCACCTATCCGCCAACCCATGCCTCAACGAAGCAATCATGAAACCGAGGATTCCGCCTTGCCGTGCGCGTTGTTTTCAGCGAGCGAGTTGGCCGTGGTGGAAGATGGGGAAGGGAAGAGTGGGGTGGGAAGGGGAACGGAGTGCTGGTTGGCCGCAGACGCGGGGCGAGCACGCAAGCTCTCGGGACGTGGATGGGCGCCCGGGAAACGCCGACCGCCCCGGACGTCGTTGACCTGCGGCGTTTCTTCCTCGACTTTACCACCCCTCTCTCAAACCGCCACCACAGTCATGCACCCCATGGACATGGAGGACAAGGAAGATGTAATACGAGATTGCGATGAGTTCTGTGGCATAATACCACCCGTTCCAAACCATCTGCTCAACCAACACGCCATCTTTGGGTACCTCGTCAAGCCATCCCAACTTCCCGATCGCGGCAAGGCCGAGGTTCACGTTCCGTTCATCGTTTGGACGGCGGCCGATGAAGCTGGCATGTGCGAGCCGCTCGTGGTCTACGCCCACCGGAAGGATCTATACGAGGCGAACCGGGCAAGTGAGCACCACATCGTCTTTGCCCAATGTCGGCGCAAGCTCCACAACGGCGAGCCTTGTGTGGTGGACGTGCGTCCGCGGTGCGGGAATCTCCGTCGGTTTGAGGAGCTTCTGGGGCTTGAGGATGGTCCGCGGTGGATGACAACCGAGGGCGTCGGCCGCCGGTGAATCACGTCATACGTCCATTCTTTTGTCTTCTGAGTCCTTCGATCAGCGAGATGTAGAAGAACAGTACAGTCAACTCCCTCAAAACCCATACCCCTCGGGATGGCCCCAAAAGTATGGGTTATGCGAGGGTATGTGGTATGAGGAGAAGCGCCCACCGTGGCACCCGATCACGTAATCTATCGACGCCCAATCCTCGTCCATATTTCCGCCAGCCTGGCGTACTCGAAATCCTGCCTGTGTCCCTCTCCGCAATCTACGAGTAAAGTAATCAGGGATACGTGTGTCAACCTTGTCTGCATCCATCGCCTTTTTGGTCTTACAGCCAAAAGCATCCAAGGCAGCCTCCAGCTTGCGTGCCTCCGGGCCCTCAATGAGAGCTGCAAAGCGGGTGAGAACTGCGGCATGCAGCTTGCAGTGCCTCGCGGCGAGATGGGGGCACTTCTTCCAGCTATGTTTCCTCGGGATAGGGCTGATTCTCGACTGAGTTGACAGCCTCCCAGTCGGGGAGAGTTCTGACTGCAGGGCACACGGGAAAGTTCTGCCCATTTGGGCGGCACACAGATCTAGGGCGCTAAGCGCGATTAGATACCATAGTATGGGTTATGGTTCCCGGTTTGAGCTATGGCTTATGGGGTATCAGAGGGTTATGGGTTATCTCACTGTACCAACTTGAGATGGGCCGAAAGCTATGGGGTATGCGAGGGTATGGGGTATGGGGGGTATGGGTTTTGAGGGAGACGACTGTATGTTGTGTTTATCTCTCCTCGGACCCCGATATGTACAGCCCACGGCGAGCCACTTGAGACCGCATCACTAAACCTGGGAAGAAATGACCTGCACCCGATCGGGGTTGATCGTCACCCACTCTTGCGGTCGTCTCCTGTCACCCCTGATGAGGTGGTGAAAGGGATATTCATAATTTGTCTTCCCTGAACATGAGTGACCGGTCCGCGCGTGTGCAATGGTCGGCCGCGGTCTTTACCCCCGCGCGATATGAGCATGAAGTGTTCAAATGAATTGCGAGCAGTGATCATGGCTGAACGACGATACGGGGAGAGGTGTTCTAACATGATCATCGAATGAGGCCTTTATGATCTACGCGGTTCAGAGGGCAGCCACAAAATGGTCTTCACTGATCAACCTCTGTAATGTGAACGGTCTGACGAGAACATTGTGCCGGGTGCAATGGTCGTGGGCGAGCATTGCTTGCGGTACAATTGAACAAAAGGCGGGAGACGTCTGATCGTCTTTAGGGACGTCTATGATCTTCTCATGCTTACCCTGTGAACAAATACCCCCAAATGATGATCCTGTCGCGCAGTATATATGACCTCAGTCGCGGGAAATGCTCGTGCCACAGCAATACCGTACACACACGACCAGTGCAAGGCGCATAAACACTGCATTATTTGTATATGCATAATGTACAATGTGCTAGCGGGTGGCATTAAATGGCGTATAACGGGAGCGAGCACAGAGACCACCGTGAGCTGGCAGAGAGGACAAGGATAGTCGAGAAGGGAGCCGAGGATGCTGGTAGGGGATCAAGAACCGTGTCGAGGCTGAGAAGAGTTGTGGGGTGTATCGCGTCGTACACGAAGGTGACCCCCGCACCCCCGGATCGCGGTGAGCGCGTCGGCTTCGGAGAGTGCGCGGTCGAGGATGTGGGTCGCGCCAAGGGACGGAGGTGCTCGGGTCTTGCATGCGCGCGAGTTGGATGGCTGCCGGAGCGCACGGTCAGCGTCAGGGGACGACACACTACGCTGTCGGGAACATACCCATTGGCCCGACGGAAGTCGAGCCTCCGGTGATGAGCGCGGGCTGGCCTTTGAACTTGTCGCTGCCGTCCTCCCAGGGTGAGGGCATGCCGGCGTGACCCATCTCTGACTTGCTCCACATGGGCACGACGGCGGTCGCGAGGACGAGGGGGATGGTTGTTGCTTCGTCGAAGGTCGGGCATCTACACAGCTGTTAGCCAGTGCGTGGAAGAGGGCGAGAAAGCTGACCTTGATGACAAGATCCCCAGGGGCCAAGAAGTACTCCTGGAACGTTGCGTGCTTCGGATCCCACCCGCATTGGCACATGCTGGTGCGACCCATCGAAAGCAAAAGCCGTAGCAGAATACACGTCCGTAAATTCTGGTGTCGAGGCTGAGCACTGTGGTGCGTTGATGTTAACAGGCAAGAGACACCACGCAGATGTGAGGAGAGCGGGCGCACCACAGAACCGACAGCGTGTCTTCATTGGTGACAGAGGGGACGCGGTTTGCGGGGCGTTCAGTACCGGACAGTGAGCAACACGACCTTGGCATAACTGCCGAGTCGGGGTAGCTCCCAAGGACGTATCCACTGCCATTGGATATGGGTGAAATACTTCATTACGAGCAGGTTGGTCAGAATGGAAATGCGCAAGAGATAGTAACGTACTGGTGGTAGTAGTACTCCAGCATGCCTCCTGCGCGCGTCCGCACTGAGCACGGCGTCACGGACCCACTCAATTTCGGTGCAGCGTGGGTATAGAGCGAAACGTCGGACGCGCGTACCATGAGCGTCGTGTTCTCCTCGCTGCTCCTGGTGGCCGACACGCCCGGCGGCGCCGGTGGTCTTGGAGTCTTCCTTATCGACGATCGCACCGGGGCTTGTACGGGTGGACGTGTGAGGGGGAGCACCGGGGCACGTGCCATTGACCGAGTGGTGGTGGTGCGACCGGTGGGCATGCGGGGAAAGAGAGACCACCCTGGCCTGGTGAAGAATGTGAATGTGCGTGCGCCTCACGGAGGGCGTACAGCGGCAGAATGGGCGCGACGTGCTCAGCGCGTCCACTTGGAGGACTGGCCGCTATCCGAGTGACGTGCGTGGTTGGAAATCATGAGGAGAAAGTAGGGTTGAACGTCTAGCTAGAGGGAAGGTGGGGACGGGAACGTCATTGGTGTGGGGCTTGGTCCTGTATAGCACATCAATTAGAGTTTATGCACCACCAGTTGATGGCTGGCGCGTACCTTTTGGGGCATGTACTTATAGTCGGTGGAAGGGCATAGAATGATCCAACAATTGCGATTAACGTGAGCGCAATGTATAGAAAGACTACACAGGTGCACACATGCCAAGGAGGTCGCAGAGAGAACAAGACTCTGCGCCGATGTCCGTTCCCACGCCTGCGCGTGCGTCAAAGCTTGAGCGGCGCGCACAAGATCTTGTCGTCTTCCCCTAGTGAGCCTGCCAACTTCTTCTCCCCACGAAGCGTGCCCTAGACCGTCAGCGCGCCTTCGCCACCGCCGCCGTACCTCTTCCCATCGGTGCGTAGCTTCCTCCGCTGTCGCGCAATTGTGCCTGGGTGAGCAGTAACCTGTTCTGTACATGCAGGACCTTTGCCTCCCTCAGGATTGCGGAGCGTGAGGCTCTGTGCCCAGATTGTGATATCCTACCGGTACACTACGCCTTGTCATGTCTGCAGGTCTGAGTTCTACACCTCGTCCGTGCATCTGACCGGAGGGGCTCCCAACCATCGAGGCAACGTTAGCTCCAAGGCTCGCGCCCATTCGCGCTCGTACAACGAGCTGCTCTTCACTCCAGACATGGGTGGATGGTTTATATAATTGTTGTGCATCTGGTACCATACCTGCAATTCAATTTCACACATTGAGCAGATCTGAGTGTCCTTCATGGCCCATGGGCAACATTCGGACAGAAAATCCCACATAATAAGGGCTTACATCAACTAATGAGAAGTATCGGATACTTAAGAGGGGTCACTGTGCCCGTCAATCAGAGATTCCGTGAGTCCATGGTGTAGATGAGGGGAAGAGTCTGCCTCACCGAGTCACTGAAGGCGGCCCGGTGGTGGGCTCAACTCGGTTCTGCAGCCGTGTATGAGATCACGTGTTCACTTTCGTCCTCTTCACCCCGGCCGTCTTCGATCTGTCAATGATCTAACAATGATCACCCAAAGGTCGGCCACGGGAGAACATATGATCGTTCACTCCGTTAGAGATCCAAGGCGGTCTGTGTCTATCACGCTAAGATAAATGTTGATCACTAGCTGTCTCGTCGAGTCTGCATGATCCAATCGGGATTTTACGACGGAACACGAACATCTCGCGATCGACCGGCGCTTCGCAGATCGCCCACGGTCACTGGCAGAATTACCCGCGTTTAGCGATGCGAACGCGAGCTTCCGCAAGCTCGTACCGCGCACGTCAAGCATGTTGCACCTGCAGTGGCGATCGCTGGCACTGGGAGCGCCATTGGGTCGTGTCCTTCAATCGGGTGTACGACACACCGTCCCTCTCTACGCGAGTGAGTTTCATCCTATCTCTGCGCGATTGTGCATTCTTGGAAGAGCTTGTGCTGTGTTCACTCATTGTCACGCCTGACTATCTCAGGACCGCCAATATGGAAGGAGGGAGATCTCTATGCCCTCTTACCTGGCACGTCCGGCCCGGAGAAATTCACGCTGCGGTCGAAGAGGGATCGGAATCGCTTCGCACAGGGAGGCCGTGCGCCATAGGGATTGCGCGAGAGGCACCAGGCCTCTTTCGAGACGCTATGGCAGCAGCTCATCCACCTCCAGAGAATGACATCGGTTCCAGAAGAGAAGATTGTGCACCTGCCGGGTCTTCCACCTGGATTAGCCTGAGTTCTTTCCTGGAGACGTGAGTCGTCACCTTCGGTACCACTGGATCAACCCTGATATGGCTCAACTAGTTCCCATCCTCGAAAGAACTTCAAATATATGTACTTCTTCAAGCCCACAGGCTCGCCTTCGTGCAGATGAGCCACTTCGACCAACAACCAAGTTGCAGGTTATTCGAGGGAACATGTTCACTGCGACATCCATGGAAGCTGAGGTGGAGACCAGACGTAATGTGCATCCTATTGGGCCTATTCTCCCGTCTGCATCCAAAGCCACGGGTATGGACAACGAACTTGGTACTGTTTGCGTTCATGCCTTCGCAGCTCCTGATGACGCCGTGTCGCTCTACTAGGTCTCATTTGGACGTCGGTCAAACCCCCCCCCCCCCGAGAAGACGCGAGCATTCTTGTATGTCGTCATCAAATCGTGAATCCCATTCGTGCGTTGGTCAACGGCAGTCTTAAGTTGTTCGCATCCCTAACGCTATCACAGACACCCAGTCATGCATCGACTATGACCAACGTGCCTGACGAGGCCCACGAGAACGTCAAGGTTTGTGAGAATGGCGTCCTTCCCCGTAGAAACTGCACCGGCTCATACTTGACCATCCGGCACGGAACACTTGCAGCCGCTACACTTCGTAGCTGACACTTCAGCATGATACCGCCGCCGCCGCACCGATTCGTAGGTTGCCCACGGCGGTCCCAATAACGCGTCTAAAGCCATATCCTTTCGAGCTCCAATGTCAGCCTTATGTATTCACGCTTTTTTTTTTGCTTCGGCCGTTTACTGCCGTAGAGAACTCCTACGAACTGCCACTCGAAGTGCGGAGTGGGACTAGGGGGCTGAAGCCTATCTTTCGGACGGACGATGCTGAAACCCGCAAGAACTCCCGGCCGCTCCGGAAAGCTCTCAACGCCTAGTGGAGCTCTGGACAAGAGCCGCTGAAGAACGCATTGTGCTACTTGGACAGCATCTGAAGTGGAGAACGTCCGTAAAACAGTAGATCAAGTCTCTGCCCCAACGGCAGGTACACGACTCGGTAAGTGCACTGAACGATATGCCAAGCCCTTTCGTGAAGCTACACTTGGCTGATTCATGGTAGCGCGCTCATCGCGCTTGGCCGCCCGAATTTGTTTGACAAAGGACGGGAAACGTGTGCCAGGTCCATCCATCAAAACGTACGCGAGGGCGGCTGTATAGCCTCAGTGTTCTCCCTCGAAGTTTTTCTCAAGTGATTGGGTTTGTCGAAGGTGAGCCACTTTTTACCCCGTTCCTCCTATACGCCTTCGTCCTCCCGCTAGATCGCCGACATCACCCGCCGCCTCCGTCCTGATCTCTAAGCTCGTTTTGCAAAATGAGTTTGCGTCGATGGTGGCTACACAGCAGCATCTGTGCCCAGGTGTTCGTTCAACTGCTCTTCACCGTTTTGACTTTTTCGCCCCCGGGGGAATTGATCACGTTGATAGCTTCATCGAAACGCGAGCATAGCGGGTTCTTAGAGATGGACCTGCTGGGATGCGATTCAAGCCTGCGACACTCAAGGACCGTCGTCTCTATGCACGACGGGGTTGAGGTCCCGGTGAAGCCGGTCATTTTGGACCATTTTGGACCATTTGACATTCGCTCCACCCCAGAAGATTTTGTTTCCCTATACCCTACCGCGAAATGTTCAAGCCTCACGCTTCCAAAAATTTTGAGACTTATTCGACATGTGCGCCCCTTCACACAGTCATCTCCATGGCCACCTCGCTGGCCTCCTTGCATTTGTTTCCCCAGCTTATGTTCTCTGCGATGCCCTGAACCCCCTGACACCCAAGACACCTGCAATAGAGCGTACCTGTCCCCACTTCATCTCGTACGAGGACGCGAGAGCGCCCGCGCTTCTCGCCAAGCTGCAAAAAACCCCGGGACCTGCCACGCTCGTCACTCCCCCTCACCCGCATCCGGCTCTCCAACACACCGCGGGCGTGGGTCTATAGCGCGAGTACGCCTGCGACGGCCCGCGCCTGCTGGTCAACGACAGCACGTCTCCCCGCTCCTGAACGCCCCAAGGCCTGACGAGCCGCTCACCACCCTCGGCCTCGCCGTCTCCTTTAGCGTCCGCGTCAGGAACATTGCCCACGTCGTCCTCCGTGCCTATGTGCCTGGGTGCGAGAACCGCTCGCAGAGCGGCGCGCGCCCTGACCGCGTACGCTAGGCGGACGTGTTTCGAGACATCCGTTCCGCGAACAAGTGAGTGGCGCGCAAGGGCGGCCTAATGGCTGTTGCGGTCATTCGCCCGTTCGCGCCGACACCCGCGGTGGGGAGTTGACCTGTAAGAAGGGCTAGTAGTGGGGGAGAAGGATGCGTCGGGAATCTGGGCTGGATATCGTTTGCGGAGAAGGAAAAAATATTGGAGGACACGGCCATGCTGGAGTCTTAGGCTTTAGCTCCAGGCCATCATGTCGGAGATATCATGTAATGAGTATTAGTATGGTTGTGGGTAGCACAGTACGTATAATCTTCAGATTACGATCCAGGGCATCGTTGAAGTGCTCTGGAGCATTTACTACTACCTGGTCCCATTTGATCGTACTTGGGGACAGGCCAGAGTATCCGGACTCTCTAATGGATGATGACGTCAGCGATATCGATGCTGGGTGCATGTTTGGTCATGTTAGGATCCGAAGCCGCCGGCGTCCAAATGCAGCAACTTCCGCCAGCAGCGGTTGATCTCTGACTTCGACCTCGAATAACTTGCCACAAAACGACCCATCGAAGAACAAGCCAGCTATTTTTATCGGGTAATTTTATGCATGCTCACGCTATTATTATGTCGATATTCTCAGCATCACATGCCTGGCAGTTCGGTGCCAATGTTTCCCTACGCAGTGCGTTTCAGTTCCTTCGCACACTTGGAGACCATCCAGAGCATGGCCTTTTACACCGATTCCATCAGCTGACATGCTCATCCCTCAAGGCCTCCCTTGTCATGGATCTACTGATCTTGCTAAAACATGTACTTTTGCATTCGACTCCGAGGGCCGGCAACGTCGGGATGACGTAAATCAAAATTGCGGACCTGGGACACATTATCACTCTGAGTCTCACTACGTCGCTTCCGTGGGTACTCAGGAACGCATGCCGCCCATCTCCCCAAGCTTGTTCTCTCTGAGCCTATCAAAGACTCGGTCCCATGAGAGTCGAGACCGAACAAGACGGCCCTGCAGACCACCCTAGAGACTTGATCGGCGCAGACAGTTATGCGAAGTGATGATCTGTGACCGTGTAAGTTTGCCCATCGAACATACATAAGCTAGACTGACAGTGACGAACGTCTGTGCCTCCCAGCGCCCAGCCCTCAACTCCGCAGACCCGTTTCGCCGCTCGCCACCAAGATGACAATAGTCCAGCGAAAACACATCGTGGCTTACTGCCTTCAGCTATGGGGTAGGCTCTGGTTGAGAGTCTACTATCTCTGTACAATCTACAACTGACATACGTCTAGGTCACCTGCGCCCCCTCATCACCCTCTGCGCCCGCCTCGTCCAACTCCGTCCGCACGTCTACGTAACGTTTCTGTGCTCCACCAGCGTCTTCGAGAGAGTATGCAAGGAGCTCGCGCGCTGTTTCGACGACGGCGCACCGACCGCCGAGGAGGCCCAGCGCATGCGGTGGGTCCAATAGCCGACCGAGCATTTGGCAAGCCTCTCACCACTGTCACGTCCGTCTTACCAGGGTCATCGCCATCGGCGACGTCGCGGCCGCCAGCAGCCCGAACGCTGTGAAAGTCTTCACGGACGTTTGGCAGGCGCTCCTTCGCGAAGAGGACCTCACATGTCAGCAGACGGGAACGCAATATGGCGCCATGCCGAAGCCGTTGGCGGCGGTCATCGACGTGCGTACCTTGATGCTGTAAAGACTCTCACGCTCTGGATGCTAGGCTCATGATTTGGGTTTCGTAGTTCATGGCGATTCCCGTGTACGAAGCGATGCGCTCACTCAAGGGCGACAAGGTCAAAATATTCGCTTGGGTGCCCGCCATGCAGTCCCCTTGGTTTCATTTTCACGGCCCCAGGACTCGTGGTGGGCTGGGAAACGTGCGGGCCCAAGTGGAAGACGAAGTGCGCCGGACTGGGAGAACTTATGAAGAGATCGCGTTAGAGGTGTGTTCTAAATTGGTGTCAACCCGGAATGAGACAATAACGAGGCACCGTGTCAGATAGGGAGGCGCGGCTCTGGGAAAGTCATCAAAGTTCCGGGGTTGCCGATGATGCACGACTATGAGAATAATCCGCAGGATGTGAGTGCCGAATGTTCGTTCTTGTGAGGAAGCTAGGATCTCATAACGACCGGGTTCAGTATCCCGTGCCCTCAAGTTTCTATGTCGACGTCTTTCCCAAGATACATGAGTGCGTGTTCTGCCATTTCGGTGCCTTTTCCCAACTGACCTTACAACGTTTGTAGGGCAATGGAGATGATGGATGGTTTGCTCATGGCTTCTTCGACGTCATATGAGCCTGAAGCTGTGGCCGAAACCAAAGCGTGGATGCGGAGCATAGGAAGATTCGCGTATGTGACGGGGCCTCTTCTGCCTTCTACGTCCAGGAAAGTGTCGGCGAAATTCGAGAAGAGACAGTCGCTCAAACCCGACCGGATTCAAACGTTCTTGGACGAGACTCTCGTCGCTGACGGGGAGAGATCTTTGCTCTACGTGAGGTCTCGAATGAGCTGTCACTACACGATGCTTACGAAAGCCATGTACAGATCTCCTTTGGGTCCTTATACTGGCCCTCGAGTGCGCCAGAGAAGCTTTGGGCGTTCATAGACGTGGTCATGGAGCGAAAAATTCCCTTCGTGAGTACCATAGCGCTTCATCGCTCCACTCGTTTCATGCTCATAGGCTCTCTCTAGATTCTCGGCCACGCATCACCTCTGGCCTCCATCCCGAACGAAGCTCGCGACAAGATCGAGGCGTACGGCAAAGCCCTCCTCTGCCCATGGACTCCCCAACAGCTCATCCTCAACCACCCTGCGACGGGCTGGCTCCTTTATCACGGCGGCATGAGCGGCGTGCTCGAGGCGATCTCCGCCGGCATCCCACTCATCCTCTGGCCGGCGTTCGCGGACCAAGAGGCGAACGCGATCATGCTCTCGGAGAAGCACCGCGTCGGATACGAGCTGCTCGAGGTGCGCACGGGGATGGGCCTCCGGCCGATCTGCCGCACGGGCTACGTCCCGGTGGGCACCGTCGAGGCGGTGCGGCGCGAGGCGCGGGACGTGCTCGCGCGCGCGTTCGGGGCGGACGGGGCGCGGAAGCGGAAGCGGATGGGCGTGCTCCGGAGGGCCGTGATGGGCGAGTGGGACGCGGAAGGGGAGTCGAGGCGGGACGTCTGTGCATTCTTGGATAGCCTGTGACGGCTCGGTGCGCGGTGACTCATGTTCTTCTAATTATGTGCCTTTTGACTGGGATCGGACATGGCTACTATACACAATGATGCTGAGGGTATTGGATCTATTACTTCGTATATTTTCGGATTATTATTTCACATGCTGTACTGTTCTCACCGTTTCACACTGACGTGTCGCATACTGGGAGTATCAAATGAATTGGAGCAAAAATAGAGCCATATGAGTCGGACGCAGATGTCTACAGCGGCCCCATAAACAGACCCACTCTATCAGACTTCCGGACTGGCCAAAGAGGCTGTAGATACACAAGTTGCCTTGAAGAACTGCGAGTGCTTATCAGAACTGAGATTGTTCATGACGTCATACTTCGCGGAAGTTCCAAGTGTTAGACGCTGGATTGAATTCCGCCGAACCGCTGACGCCGGGGCGCCCCGTCGACCTCCCTGACATCGTCTATATCGGACCGTAATCGTGACCGGATGAATTGCGAAGGTGGCCCCTGCATAGTCTGCCCCGCGACACTGTCGACCCCCAAATCTTCATGTCCAAGGTGTCGCGGACGTCGGGGGTATGTGGGGGAGAAGCCTACGGGCCCGCCCCCAGTCTCCCCGCGCTTTGCACATTTTTCTCCACAGCCGCCGGCGTATCGACGACGATAGCGCGGCCGGAAGGAAGACCCGTGGGGTAGCGATACCGCGAGCAGACGACCGAAGCATGTACGGTGACGGCTGCATGATCAGCGTTGCGGTTCCGGTTCGCCATTCATCCACACACGTTCGTCTGGGCAGCGAGGAATCGCATCCCGGCGGGCCGGGTCGAGGACGGCGGAAGGAGGAAACTCGCCGTTCTTGGTATACAGTGAAGGGGAAGAACGGCGTGCGGGGTTTGTGCAGAAGTCATTCTACTACTACTAAGAGGTACAACAGGTTACAGCGAGGCCAGGTGGCATAGCGACGTTGTGCCGGATCCGTGGCCAGACTCTTCAATGTACATACGCCGAGATGGGGCGGGGTCAACGACGCTCAGAGGCCGACCGCGGTGCGGAGCTTGGCGTAGTTGGGGGTGCCGAGCCCGGTGACGGGGTCCCAGCCCGCCCTGGCGGTGAACCCGTTCGTGTTGCAGCCGGGGTTCGAGCCAGAGGTGACGTCCGTGAGCGCGGAGGCGCCGGTGGTGTACAGGAACGGGTTGAGGAACCCGAGCGGGCTCTTGCCGGCGGCGATGAGCTCGTCGTTGAGGAGGGCGATCACGGAGGCGAAGATCGGGGACGAGCAGGAGGTGCCGTCGACGGTGCCGAACTGGGCGTCCCACGCGATCTCGACATTCTCGCCCTGGGCGGAGACGTCGGGGAAGGCGCGGCCGGTGGTGTTGAACTTGCCGGAGTTGGTCGAGCCGAGCGCGGTGAGGAAGGTGGACACGGCGGAGGACTGGTACGAGGGGCGGGCGAAGATGTTCGAGAAGCCGCCGGAGGAGAAGTCCGCGGCGGTCTCCGTGATGCCCGTCGTCGCGCCGACGGAGGTGAGGAAGGGGCAGCCGGAGGGGAAGGTCGGGATGAAGGTCGTGCAGCTCTGCGACTGCGAGCCGGAGACACCGCCGTCGCCGGACGCGAAGAGGATCGAGGTGCCGCGCGCGCCGAGGGACATGTAGGCGTTGCAGAGCGAGTTCGCCATCGACGAGGTCAGGTCGGGCTCGTTAAAGCCGTACGAGGTGGTGAGGACGGTGGGGGGCGTGGACATGTTGAGGAAGAAGTTGACGATGTCGAGGAAGCCGTCGATGCCGTCGCTGTTGTTGTCACCGACGGAGACGAAGTGCACGGGCACGGGGGACGCGAGACCAACGGTGTACTGGATGTCGAGGTTGGCCTCGATACCTGCGTTGCTGCGCGGCGTCTGCGGGTTGCTGCCGCCATCGAGGGTTTGGAGAGTGAAAGTGGTCGACGAGGAGATGTCCTTGCGGAAGCTCGTGAGGAAGGACTAGACGAGCCAAGTCGCGTGAATACTCGAACTGGCATCGGTGGGCACGTGGGAAGCACGCACCTTGAGATCCGCCTGGTTGGCCCACTGGTCGATGAAGCCGCTCACGGCGAGCACGTTGGTTGACTTGCCGGAGGAAGTGGTCGGGATGCCGTACATGGCCTGGAGACAGGCAGGAGTGACGGTCGACGCGCACGAGGAGGGGACCGCGCGCGAGGTGAGGTTGGAGGCAGACGACTGCGCCTGGACGGCCTTGAAGACAGGCGCGCGCGAAGCGACCGCAAAGCTGGCGGAGATAGGTCAGGATCTGCGCTGGGTGCGAAAAGGCAAGATGGCGTACGTGTTGCTCGGGTGGACGACGTCGATGTGCGCGGCGAGGTCCTTCGGGATGGAGTACGAGAGCGTGCGGATGAGCTCCTGGCCGTCGGTGTGCTTGAAGACGGTGTAGTCGGCGTCGAAGAGCTCGTTCGCCTTGCTGACGGGCACGTCGAAGGTGAGCCAGTCGCCCGCGGGGGACGCGCTGGACGCCTCGATGTCGTTCTCCTTCAACCACGCCGTGACGGCGTCGAGCGACTCCGCCTTGGGCGCGGTGTAGCTCTCGACCTGGCCCCGAGCGGCGGATCAGCGGCCCGCCAGACACGGTGGCGTGAGGGATCCGACGTACCTCCTCCTTGGTGAGGTGCTGGCCGTAGAGCGCGTTGCCGGGCGTGGAGACGTCCATGAGCGCCTTCTCGAGCCCAGCGATGTCGTTCTGGGCGACCTGGACCTTGACGGTGAGCACGGTGTCCGTGGGGCGGCACCGAGGCTGGTGAACGCGGCGGGGGCGGCCGAGCGCGCGTCATGCACCTGCATGCTGCGGGCGATCGGCTTCGCGTAGGCGACAGCGAGGAGGCAGGCGGCGACGAATGCGCGGGAGAACATGGCGGGCGGGGCGGAGGAGGAGGAGGAGGAGGAAGGGGACCGGGCGACTGAGGCGAGCTCGTCGGTGCGGGGTAGAGCGGGCGCGTGCGGGATTTTATACCCTGAGCACGCTGAGGTCTGAGGACCAACGGGTAGAGGCCGCGCCTTGAGCCGATCACTAAGACGAGGCCCATCGGATGGGGTCCGGGGATCATGCTGTCGGCGTCGGGTGATGGGGCCAGGGTGGATGCATTCTGCAGATGGAAGCCTGACCTGCCAGAAGAGCAGGATAAACGCGGAGCACGCGGCGCCGACAATACGACCGCTCGCGAAGTCGCGCTGCTGGGTGCAGGATCCGTGCGAGCGGCAACGATTTGAGTTGGTCGCGGCCCGTATTCGTCCCTCAGTTCCCAGCTCGCTTAGGGAGTGTGTGAAGGAGGCAGAGCGGTTCATGCGGCGACGACGGCGACGACATACCTTCGCTCGCTTTCGCGCCATCAGGGTGGTCACGAGAGGATGCTTCGGTCGTCCACAGCCTGCGCAAGAAGCCAGTGATACCGATAAGGCCCGAGCTAGGGTGGGCGACAATTTGCACCGTTCGCCCCGCGTCCAGTCGCGCGACTTCGCAGAAAGTGGGGGCGCACGGGTCGAAGCCTTGTAGGGTCGTACGCCGGAGGAATAGCTCCAACACGGGGCTTGGCGACGGCGCGGGCTAAGCAGCTTCCAATCTAGATGATAGCAATGGCGCTCGGGTGAATCAATTCTGTCATATACGGCTCGTGAGCTGGTCGGTGGAAGAAATGATCAAGGTTGAAAGCACCTGCGCGCCATGTGCGCGATAAGCCTGGCGATACGGCGACGTTCCCGCCGGGATAGCACAGGGAGACTGAATGTAAGTACTTGGACTGCATGGCTCCCCGGTGGTGGCGCGCCAAGCCCGGCGGGGCACGCGGCGCCTCCCCACGATAGTCGCGCCGCCCTAGTGGTGAGTCTCAAATTTGCCTATTTGTCGCCCAAGTGCTGTCGATAGAACGTCGATCGAACGACGCCTTGCGTGTCCATCCGCCAAGCCATTTCCAAGAAGTTTATAAATAGAACAAGGACCCGAGGCCTATACGACCGAGTCTACGCCGTGCAGAACTTGTTGCCCATGCTGATGTTGGCAAAGTACGGCCCGTTGTGGTTGATCTTCTTGGCGTTGATGAGGCTCAGGCTCTCGACGCAGTTCTCGTTCTCCTGACCAGGGCACGCCTGCGCCGTCGCGGTCTGCCCGGACGCGTCGACGGCGGTGATGTGGATCTCGTTGCTCGGGTGCTGGTAGTCGAGGAGGTGAGGCGGCACCTGCGGCACCGGGTCGTTCTGGTTCGTGACAAACTTGAAGTTATCGCCCAACTAAACAACACCGTCAGCGCGGGAACGGAAGCACATGGAGCGAGAAGAGAACACGGACGGTCGAGTCGACAAGGTCGGCCCACGCCTGGTTGCCGACGCGGGGCAGGCCAAAGACCGTGGTGGTCACTGCTATGCTCTCGTCCAGCTGCATCCTCAGCATCATCCCATCGATAGTCGCAATTGCCGCGCCGAGGCTGTGGCCCGTCACGAGCACCTTCTTCACCCCCGTCGAGGCCAGTGCGGAGAGCACGGTGTTGAGCACGTCACCCGCCGTCCGTTCCTGTGCGTCCTGGAAGCCATCGTGAATCTTGACATCGTCTGCGCAATCATGCGAGCCATGCGGCGCAAAGGAAGCACTGAAGTCAGCATGTGGTCCTCATTGCGCAATTCACGGCAAAGTCGGAGCGCGTGGGTAGCGCGGGAGGGATCACAGGCTCACCAGGTGCGTTTGGCAGGTTAGTGAGGTTCACGGCGACCTGGAGGATCTTGATGTCGTTCAGATCCGAGAGCAGCTTCTTCGGGTCCGTGCCTTGGTGCGCGACGACGATAGCCTCCTGTTCCTTGTCGTGTGCTACGAAGAACCGCGGCGTCTCGGCTCCGTCGCCGCCCGTTTTGAGGATCTCGACGTCCCCGAGCGCGTCGCACTGCTCGCCACACGAAAGGGCCGCGACGGCCTCGGACGAGCAGTACACCGAGCGCGCAAACAGCGCCGGGCGGACAAGGGCGCTCGTGATCTCGTCCTGCGACACGGGCGTTACTGCCACATCGGAGGTTTCGCCCGTGCCGAGGCCAATCTCGCCGACGCCATCGCCGCCCGTGAGGATGCCCGCGATGTCGTCCAAGACGCCGGGAAGAGGAGCGCCCAGAGCAGACCGGAGCTGGCCAGCTGCGGCGAGGAAGAGGAAGGCTGCGGAGGTGCGCATCGTGATGGGGTTGATGGGATGTATGGGTGAGGGTGGTCGCGTGAGCGTTGCGTGTCTTCGTTACTTGTCGTTTCAAAAAGCAAAGGCCCACCAGGGGAAGGAGGAAGAGGAAGCAAAAGGCCAACCGGGGCCACACCAAAGAAATCGAAGGGACCGACTCGCGGCTTGGGCGTGAAGCTGTCACTGGTCAGAGGGGGCAGACGGGGATTCCGCCAGCCATCGCACGAGACTATAAAGCCTGGGGCGATCTACGCGCCAGAACGATCGTGGCGAGATCACAAACACAAATTGATGTTTCGGCTGATGACGATTTTGTCCAAGCCTGTCCAAGACACTTGGCCGTTCTATAAGCTCATGTGCGCAGTGAGCGTTGCAATATCGACAGACCTGGGTTCACCTCGTCGAGCGTGTGAGTGCTTCGAGTGGATGGTGTCAAGGGGACGCAGAACACACCGCACTGATCCAGGACGTGATGCTCCCTAGTGAGACGCCCCATCCGTCCTCGGCCGGGGCATCACGAAACTTGCGGTCGGACGATCCCGCACGGTCACGGGGACGGACGCAGATCAGAGTGTGACCTAACGGCACCAGGCGTGATCATGCAGACTGCCTTAGAGCGACAAATGATCATACATTCGACGGAGAGACGCGTTGAGGTCTAATGCCATCGAAAGGACAGACAATGATCGCGCAGACAGGCTTATGGTCGGCCATGGTCTGACGACAGGGGTGTAATTGTCAACCATGGTCTGATGACACAGGCGTGACGGTCAGCCATGTCCGGCCCGGGAGCAGTCGTCCGACCGAGCAAGACCTGACACAGACTGAAAGATGACGATGCGCGACCTTTTGGAGATCTGCAGTTGACCGTGCACCGAACGCGGAAGCAAAGCAAACACCTGCAGGGAAAAAGGCAGGCGATGAGCTCGTCTGCTTCATTGTATGAGACAACTTGTGTCTCGTCGCTTTGTACTAAGTAGTTCGGAATTGTGCGCTTGATGTGCGCGGCCATGCGGGCCTCATATGCAAACTTCCCCCATACACTCTTCCACTGTCTGTGTCCCTGTCACTGGATAAACACTCTAGATGTTCATAGATAGCACTAGAACTATTAAGAACATGCTGGATGAGGTCATATAGCTGCGCGGGTCTTTGGCACAACGCACGTCTAACCCACGTGACCGTGGCCCTGGGCGTTTCAAAACCGCCAAAGCGCGAACTTCCTCATGTCTTCCTCTCCCTTCCACCAGTACCACCATCTCCCACACTCGCGTGATCAGCTCCAACACAGCTCGCTGTATAGCCCAGCCCGTATCCTCGTGACTTGCCCTGCCGAGTCTACTCGCTCACTATGATCAGGCTCCCCGTTGAATGCTTCCAGGGACCCGACACCCCGCTAATGCTAAACAGAGCACTTCTGAAGCCTTGGTACGTGATAATGCATCATTTTATGCGCATATATCCACTCCCTCGACCGCAGGCCATGCGGTCTAAGCCCAAAATCAAGCAGGAGTCGCCCGTTATCGTCATATTGACTCCGACCTGTTGCTGCTGATGCTCTGTAAGTATCTGCCTGCTATATGCGCACTCAATTTACACCCGCATGTATGCATTTCCTTCTAGCACAAAATTTCCGACACTCACAGATTCTCCAGAAGCCCCTGTCGGGTAACAGTGGGTTTTACTGTGTACGAATTCCTTCTGTATTTGACCCGAGGCGAATTACGACAGGACCCCGCAAGCTCACGGTATGTACAGCACTTTATTGCCCCTTTCCTCGTCTAACGTCCATGCAACAATGTGCAGGCCCACGGGGGACGCGGCGTGTGAACGGCGCAACGAACCCGATCTTGCGCGTGAAGGGCCTGGTCGACTCCGTCCTGACGTTCGAAATCGAGATGTCCTGGATGAGCGAAGACGGGTGCGTCCATCTCTCTCTTCCGTCTCATGCGATATGTGCCGACCACTTTCCCCCACCCCCATTGCTGTCGATGCGGCGGACTACTCGCTCTCCAAGGGCAACCTCAACGTCGCGCTGCAGGCGACGACTATTAGCTGCTCTTCATCGACTCCACGCACGGCATCCTGTACAGCACGTCCTCCACTCCCATCTCATTGCATTTCTCCGGTAGCTGGTCGTCATGGTGGATCTTATCATATGCCGCAGGTATTCGTGCGTCTCTGTTCAATGTTGTCGTTGTGATGTATGTTGTGTCGTCAGACGTCATTGTAATCTACACTCTAGTTAATGGTACAATAATAATTCTGTCTCTCCGATTTATGTCGTTTGAATGGCTCCATATGTATGCTCAAGCTGTCCATACCGTGTGCTCGGTCCGATCAGTGTCGACCAAATGGCTGTGGCCGTTCGACCGAGCATGACCAGAAGCTCCGCGAAGTCTGACCATGCTTGACCATACTGCCCTGCCTGTCAGCTCATAGACGGCCCGGGACCCCCGTGAAGTAGACCTGGCGGGATCAAACCAGCCTTGCAATAAGACCATCCGAGATCCCTCTCCCACTGACCACTGATCATGCTTGCTCATGCTCGATGATATTTGGTCGTTATTCGTCACAAGAAGGCCGGGCAGACAACTGATGATCTCGCAGACTTATTTCGATCTCGCATGCTCCGCTTATGATCCTCTCACCGCCATTTTCGTGATGGGATGGCGGTGTCAGCCACTTTGAGACTGGCACTGGAGTCATAGCTCACTTGATGCACTTGGTCCTGCGTTTTTCTAAGTGCAGGTGTGAGCCTGACACCAACGGGCATTGGGAGTAGCAGCGCGTGTCTGGTTGGTTTGAACACGCTCGTTGAGGGATTCTTGGATGACGTCCGGCGGCGCCGGGGAGTGTGTCGAGGGTGTGGGGACCGTCGGACGGCCGATCTGTGCACGTTCGTTGAGAGAGCACGGCGATGCGCGGGAACTCAAGTACTCACGGACGGGACAGCCAAAGAGGCGTGCAGGAGCGGGTGGATGGCCGACGGGTCAGCACGCCCTGGGACGCAACGGCGTGGGGGCGAGTGTGTTGGGCGAGGTCTCGACGCGTCTATGGGAACCAGTACGTCGTAGATGAGGCGTTGTGTCGACCGCGGTGCGCCCTGCGTTGAGTCAGTCAAAGGCAGCTGGGAGTCGGCGTGCGCCAACCGCAGGCGCTCGATTGCGTCATCATCAGCAAAGTGGGCGCGGAAACGGTAGCGTCTGATAGTGCACGGGGGCATTCGTAGCGTACGATAGTTAGTGGATGACGTTCCGTAAGGAAATACGGAACTACGGACGCTCCGTAGTTCTCTAGACCGCTCGAAAGGGCAGTTCCGCCGAGATGCCGACGAGAAAGTGATACCCGAGGATCTCACTGTGGCTGCTGGAATAACAAGCGCCCAAAAGTCTGTGGAGGGGTCGGCACCCCCTCGCAGAGCAAACAAGCCTCCCGAAAAGCTGTAGAGGCCTCTTGAAGGCCTATTTCGGACGGGAGGTAGTGATGTGGACCATTATTGGCGCTGACAAATCGACGACTGGACCTCAACGGACCTCCATGAGGTCTGGCTAAGGTCTCCGCGCGGTGGAGGCACTCCGTTGACGCCGGCTTGACGCCAGAGATCCCTCTCGTCGCTTAGCCTCGCTTAAAGCTCCGGAATTGCATTTACGGGTCTAGTAAGAGCGGTCTGGCTTACGGACCGTCATCCAGTGATAGCGAAGACAATAGACAGTAGCTGAGCATCCAACTAATGCAGTAACTCGTAGTGTACTATCGTCTGCTTCTTCCACTATCAAATGATGATCGTATCTCGCGGACAGTGCTATCAGTTCTGGGTGCGCGCGCGACCATATACCGGTCATCTGCGGCGCATCAGATGATAGCGGTACACGATAAGAGGTCAGAGTTGGCGGAGGAGATGACAGATAACTGCGGAACACTATCGCCTTCCGTCGCACACTGGGGCGCACTCATAATTCCAATCGCACAATAATCCATTCGGAGTAAATACGAAACAGCCGGTATTCTACGCAACGGACACATGAGCGGAGCAAAGAACTTACATGGTCGGCGATGTGGCCGAGCTTGAAGCCTCTCGACCAGCACGTCTCCCCGAATTGAGGGAGTGTTCCCTATCGTGAGTACTATCGGAGTGGTCAGTAATGTAGAAATTTCGTATCTGGGGTGGAGAGCGCGGAAAGCTCGGTTGAGCGCGGCAAGATAGACAGGTCGGGCATGGAGGGGCGCCATGGGCGCGAAAGGGTGAATTGGTTGGGCGTGGAGAGGTGGTCGCCTTGAGCGTGGATGGTCGGGTCGGGGAAGGGGGAGGGAGGCAGGAGAAGTCAGCGGGAGCGGCCACAGGGAACGCGGAGGAAGAGAGACGCACCCGGGAGAACTGGAATGCCCGGATCGTCCCCTCGACAGAGCGGCCCACGGGGAGGTCGTTGATCGTAATTTGCTTGTCCAGCTCCACCGAACGCACAATCAGCCGTGATTCCCAGACGTATGCTGCTCCACCAAGGACGTACCTGAGGGTACCCTATAGGGTCGATAATGAGGAGCCCACAGAGGGCGATCCCCTCGTCCTCGATGAGGACACAGTAGTGGTGGGAGACGGACATGTGGGCCGACTCGAGACCGCTGCTTGCGCGGGGCAATCGCCCAGGTGAAGTGCGAGTACTGTGACTCGTCGGTCGAGGCCGCTGTGAACTTGGTGGAATGAGCGGCTGCAGAATCGATCTCGGTAGAGAAGGAAGAGGGACACAAACCAGTGAGCCGCTGCCTCTGCAGAACGGGCGGCTGCTCGGGGCGGACGCGTCGCGCGCGTTCAGCAACGCCTACCGGAAGCGGTCGCGCGCAGATCTAGCAGCAGGAGCTCAGGATGCGCGGGCTCGACCATGCGGTGCACCGTGATATCCTGCTCGCCTGCCGCGCTCGGACGTTCTGAAGACATACCTGTACACCGTGCTCCCACGGAGCCGGTGGCTGCCGCATCACCTCCACATCGCCTTGAATCCCCAATGGCAAGCGAATGGTCAGTGTTGGGTCGCTGGCTCGCGTGGGAGCGCGCCGCGCCGCGTCGAAACTGTCGGCGAGGCTAAGGAATCAGGCCTCACATGTGACCGACCCGTGGCCGTAAGCAACATGAGTACTCAAGCGTACCTTTGTACCCGCAGTCTTGAGGGCGCGGGTTTTCGCCGGTGTGAGTGCGGTGTCAAAAGCCATGTCGATGTCGATGTTGACAGAAGTGTGTACGTGAGTGAGATGCTGATGAATGAGGAAGAACTGACTGTGTCTTGATACATCGCGCGCGAGTGTGAGTGGCACATTGCGCTTGGGGGATGATGGTGGTCGCGGATAAAGCCCAGTAGGCGCGCAACCCAGCACACGCGCCCGTGTCTGGAAACAATACATCACAGAAATCCCCCGGATCTTGCAAGAGGATCGCATCTGCTTAGAAGATTATCGGAAGCAGCTTTATCGGTGTAAGGTACGCAATCAGTGTAACACGCAATTTACCCAATAGAACTGTTTGCAATCTGTGCGCTACACTGTTGCAATTGTCTTGCAATCAAGCAAATATTCCATGGGTGGTCAAACATGAGGATATTGGGCCGTCTGGTGAGTGCGTGCCAAAGACTACAATGGTTGGAGTGCTTGTAACAGCACAAATATTATGTAGTCTCCTGAGCATGTCTTAAGGGAGCCATTATATCGTGGCTTGTAACTGCACTGGAAGGACGGCCGTCGGCAACGACACCATCCATCCTAATACGCTTCTAGAGGGCTAAGGAAGAGTTGCCATTTACGATGTACATAGCATGTAGTACCATACATCGATCGTGCTAAGTACCATGCAACCACAAAGGACGATTCTTCTCGACGCCATGGTTCGCCACCCTCGCGGAGACGACCCTCCCGGTATTCACGCTCCACAAATTGTACCGGACACGCACCACTAAACTCCCCCCACCGTCCTCCAAGTGGTCGAGTCAGTGGAGACGAGGGCAGCGCCATGCCAGCACGCTTGCCACCTCGTTGTTCTACCGCGTCCAGGAGCGATCCGAGAGGGAGAGCAGGCTGGGCGCCGCTGTGTTGGTCCGTGCGACGGCGAGGAAGAAGCACATCTGGGAGAAGGCGCGGGTCAGCACAGCGGAAAGAGGCAGCGGCGAAGACACGCACCGCTTTCGCGACAACATCCGCCGCCTTCACACCAACGCTTGTAGCTGCTACACCCATTTGTGCGGAGAGCAGATCCACGACAGTCGACATCCAGCCATGGTACATGAGTAACACGTCCAGGAACGGGTGGTCGGCGCGCGCAGGGCCGCCGGCGAGACCCACGCCCCTCACGGTCCCCAGCGGGCGCATTGCTCCATTAGGGTGGTAGGCAGGCAGGAGAGGACCACGGCAGTTTGAGCTCCTTGAGGCACGGAAGAGCGCCCACAAGGTTCAGCTGCGCCGGCGCGTTTCTGCCTAGAATCGGTGTCCGCGGGGGCCTGGCCGAAGGCGATGTCGTGGTGACGACTTCAACCACGGGGTGAACGGCCAGGAACACGGCGGCGGCGTCGAGGCATCTGCCGGGCGAGCAGGTGAGGGCAGTGAGGGTGAGTGAACGCGGCGCGGCAGAGGCGGGCATGTCTCCCTCGTGCAGACCACGCCACCATGGCAGCCGCAAGCGTGGCGACACATCGCATCAAGCGCGAGATGGCACTCGCGCAGCGCGAGCTCGCCGGAGCGGAGGAGTCGGGTGCTCCGCGCGCAGTGTGGACGCGAGCATTGAGGGCAGCGTAGTGATTCATAAGAAACGTACCTGGCGAGTGTACTCTTCTAGGCCCCCTTCGTGAAGATCTTCTCCAAAGAGCTCTATATCGTAACGTTGACCGAAAGGAGGCTCAGGTAAGCACTACAGGGCGCTCGTCGGGACATGCACATACCTAGCTGAGAGCACGGACACTGGTGAATTGGGTTGAGCAGCTGGTGATGATGAGGCGGGTCAAAGGGTGAAGCTTTGAAGCTTGAAGGATAGCACGAAGTGCCTGCGAGTTAAGGAAGGCCGGGCGCTGGGCGGCTTGAATGGGTGGCTTGATGCTGGCTAGTTCATGATTAGAGTTCAAACATCACGTGCAGTCGTTCAACGAGTCGTTTGAGGGCAGAAGTGACATCATCGGTGGTGAGTGTCTTAGAGGAAGGTTGGGAGAGAGTCAGAATAGACCTGCAAGATAGTTGCAATGAGTGCAATCGTGTTCGGAAGCGATCTCAGTTTGCATCTATTTGCGACTTTCTCACCACTATCTCGCATGGAGGCCAACTTATGTGCCTGTTCCCAGCGCTCCCCAAGACGCGTGTATGCTTGTCCCGACAAGCGCTATTCTAAAGGCGCTCGCAAGGGGGCCAATTTCAGGGAGAATTCTGTGATGTAGAGAGGCCAAAGCGGGACGCCACTGCGGCGGCGCCGCATCGGGTCACAACAATTAGCAAAGAAATCACCGTAAGCAACTTTTAGACCTCAGAATGTCGCTACTAACACGGACCTCTGTACGTCTCGGGCCCCAGCGATGTATATATCTTGACTTAACTCTCGATCCCTCGCCCAGTGCCCTGTGCGGGAGTTTGCCGCGCAGCTCGTGACAACGAGAGCATCGAACAGAGCGCTCCGCTGACTCTCGTAGTGGTGGTCCGCGGAGTAGGCCTTGCTCCAGTTCACGAGCTCGCGCTCGCATGTAAGCGTCGTGCGGAAGGTCGAGGTCCTCCAGGGGAGTGTCCCAGTTTTTCTCCCGCACATATTGCGCCACCGTGAGGGTGAGGAATTCGTTCTCTGTGCGATGAACACTTGAGGCTGCCCGCCCCGCTGTTTGGGGACTGGGTCGCTTCAGCTTATGAAGTGCGCACCTAATGGAGAACAAGCCATAGAAGCACACCTTATGCACATTGGTAAACGGAAATGATATCAGACGGAATGTGAAAGGCCGAGACAATCCTCAAGTGAGCAAGAACTTCACGGCGCCCGCCACCGGCGACTCGATGTTCCGCGTTCGGATCGCGTATCCCAAAGAAGCAGACATTCTGATGAAGAAGAGCATTCGCGTATCAAAAAGAGGAGCCACAGAGCAACGAAAGGGAGGAAAGGCGTCAGGAAAGATTGGGGGAGCAGAGGATGGGGCTCGCCGTCGATGCCGGACAGAGGCCTCCGCGCGCGGCGCGTAAGAGGCACAGGCGCCCGCGCTGACGTCCGTCCGCATATTCTCGCGCGCATCGCGTTCTCCGCCGCGCGCAGTGTTCGCGTCCTTACGAGCCGACCGTATAGCTAATACAAACCTCTTGTGCACCTCGCGCGCCCCGTGATTCACCCTTGAAGGAGCGCATGATCGTCTACTATCATCGACTACAGCTTTCTGTTCAAGCTACTTGTGCCTGTAGTAGATCCATCATATCCTGTCTGCGGCCACAAGATTTGATCGAACCTCATATTAAAGACGAATGAATATCAGCTGCTACCGTTCTGCTACCATCATTTGTCGCGCAGACAATAGACGACCTGTCCCGATATGGCAGTGTCGCGTGCTATCGGGCGCTACCGTTAAAAACACCTTTTGCTGATGATGCGCGCGACTCCGAATCCAGGTGCGTTCCTAAAGTCACCCTCCTCCTCCTCCTCCTCCTCCTCCTCCTCCACGCGTCGCAGTTCGGCGGGACGAAGCAGGGTCACAGCCTAATGGGGACGTCAGAGCTGAGAGCGGTGCGCACCGTCTTCTTCTTCCTCTCCCTCCTCCATCCGCCTCACCCGCTTCCCGCCCTCAATCGAGATCGTGCACCCCGGCTCGGCTGTCACTGAGCACCCACTCGCGGGCGCCCGGTGCCCGGTGCCGTACTCTCCACCTGCTTCACCCACCCTGCGGGGGACGTCCACCAGGGGCTCGGAGATGAGGATGTTGGGGTCCCCATGAGTTACGGCGACCCCTAGCCCAGTGAGTGCACCCCATTTTGTGCTCTCCACCTCTGCTTTGCCCCCGTCCACCTTGCCTTCCTCCCCTTTTGCGCGCGTCCTGCTCGTTCGCGCGGGCACGTCCAACTCGTGGATGCGGTACGCCGTCGCTGCCGGTCTTGTCCCCCACCCTAGGCGGATGAAGTGTATTGCATTAGACCCGCGTCGTCCGCGGAGAGCTACGTGGGTTCTTTCCCTACTGTATGCGCATGTTGTCCTCAAGAGATGGACTTTACTCGCTGCGCATAGACACGATCGTGGAAGTGTGCGGCCGAAGCCGTGCGCAGGTACGTGTTCGCAATTTTTGAGCGCATAATACCCACCTTGAGCATGTATACTGTACACCCAGGTTATGGCTTTCTGATGGGCGAGAACGCGGACTTTGCGGAGCCATTCGCGCTGGAGGGGATCGCGTTTATTGGGCCTCCGGCGAGTGCCATCGTGAGCATGGGCTCGAACAGGTGTGTGGTTCTTCTGCGAGCAGACGTAGCGGCGAGGCTAAGTGCGGAGACAACGAGTTGAAGAATATCATGTCTGCTGTATGTGTTCTGGTCGTCCCTGGCCATCACGGGAACCACGCCTACTCACATCTTCACGGCTCCGCCGGGTGTACAACGCATACCTCTCGGATAAAGTAGCGCTCCCTTCATGCCCATCGCGAACACATCTGCGGTCATCGCGCCATCACTCCGTGTCGAGCCAGGATTCGAGCAAGGCACCCAAATTGGCTTCTTCTAATCGCCCATGGGCACGATCGCACGGAGGCTATGAGGAAGCCGCGAGGTGCGCTGGAAGAGTAAAGAGGTCGACGAACATCAAGTTCTTGAGGGCACTCGCGGGAAACCAGGCGTTTATAGATGGAGACGTCGAGACAGGATTCATTCCGGTAAGCCTCGCCGCTCATTGCGAGGTCTGTATCAGCTGACGTTTACTCGTAGAAACACTTCCACGAGCTCTTCCCACCCACACCCGAACCTTCCGATGAAGCTCTCGCACATGCCATGTCGTCCTGCACGACGAGCCAATTCCTGCTTCCTCCAACCCTGAGACGACACTCACTTCTCATGCTTCAACGCGAGGTTTACGAGAACCATCACCCTCCAACCCGACACGACAGATCCCTCTCCCACCTTCTCCGTCACCGTCCGCTCCTTCTCGTCCACCGTGGCGGCCTCCCGCCCGGACAGTTTCTCGCGCACCTTTGCTGCCGTATCCGCCGTGCTCGAGTCCCCCCTCACCTTCGCCGGCGCACGTGCCCCCACGACCTAGCCACGCTCTACGCGCTGCTCCGACTCCTGGGCGCGCAGCACCACGTCCCCGCTTCCCCGCTACGTTGTCCTCGCCCTCCGCCTCGCCCCGCCTCGCCCTCCGCCTCCGCGTCGCTCTCCGCGCTGTAGTAGCATACTAATGAATATATTTTCATCTCTAATAATACACCAAAAAGGTGTGTTTAGGGGTCTTAGGAGAGGGCGAGCACCGGTGGCATTACTGCTGGCTCAGATTGCGCAGCTATCTCCTGTCCCTGGTCACACGACGCGCCGTGTACTTCTGGTTTGCTTATATCCTTCGAGAACATGTTGTGATGGATCCCCTGCACATGTATGACCCTCGTTCGCGCCCAGCCTGGTGTACTCACGAGTATGTGCATTCTATAGCGTACGACAAGACAGAACAACGAAAACATCGGCACGAAAGCACGACAACAGTGTACAGAAGCACTTTTGGGCGTCGCCGACGCGACTAGTCCGTACCCTCCACGTCAGCGACAGACATCTCCGACAGCTCCGTCCGCGGCCGCTTCACCACGCGCAGCGAGTCCTCTTCGGAGTCCTCCTGCTCCTGCGTCTGCAGCGGTAGCGACGCCGCGTATCCCTCTCCTTCGTCGTCACTTTCCTCCGACAGCGACTTGCGCTTCGCCCCCTGGCGCATCGGCGACGCCGCCGCCTTCCCGGCCAGTGTGTCGTCTTTGAGCGTTTTGATTTCTCGCGTCGGCGTCGCCTCCTTCGCGCGAGGCTCGGGCTCCTCCACGGGACCCCCGACCTCGCCCAGAGCCTCCGCCACGCACGCACGCATGTCCTGCGACGGCGCCGGCAGCTCCTCGCCAGTCTGCCGCGCCCGCGACAGCACCTCCGACCGCCGCTGGAGCTTGCCGCGCGGGCTCAGGAGCACGGGGCTGTCCTTGACCCCGTCGTCGGCGTCGGGCACTGGGGTCGCCGCGCGCTCGGGCGACGGCGGGTACACGGCGAGGATGACGCTCGGGTCGTCGAGGGACACGCACGGGGCCGCGGAGCGCGTCGACGCGTCCTGCTCGCCGTCCATGCGGAGCAGCGACGCCGTCCCGGGAAGCCTTCGCAGGCCCATCAGCGGGGCGGCGGGCGGAGGGGTGTGCGCGGGCTCCGCCGCCGCCGAGCCGTCCGCGACGGAGGGGAAGGAGGGGAGGGTGCGCAGCGCGGGCGGGGTCGCGGGGAGCGGCTGGGGCGCGCCTTCGACTTTGAGCCACGGGTGGTCCAGCGCGCTGGTGAGCGACATACGCTTGGTCGGCGAAGATGCGAGGAGCGCGCGGATGAACCGCTCCGCTGTGTGTGCGGTCAGCTCGCGTGACGAGGGAGGGGGAGGGGGCACGCACCCTGCTCGCTCACGTCGCACTCGTACAGGAGATTCCACTGCACCTGGCGGTTCATGATGATGGTATGGATGCCCACGTTCGGCGGGTCTGCGTTGAATGGGGTGTCTTGTGTGAGCCTGAGAAGAGAGAATGGTCAGCACGCGGCCGTCGATCGCGTCTCCCGGACGGACGCACATGACATAGACGATCACGCCGACGCTCCAGCTGTCGACCAGGTTCGAGTACCCGTCCGGTGTGGGAAACGCGTCGTGCACGGCCACTTCCGGCGCAAGATATGTGGGGGTGCCGCAGAACGTCTGGACACGCGTGTTAGCAACGATGAACTCTGCCTCACAAAGATGCGCACCTTGAGGACCGTCTCGGAATCCATCGCCTTCGCTAGCCCAAAGTCGGCAATCTTCACGTTGGGCGGGTCCTCGCTTGTCAAGAGGATGTTCTCCGGCTTCAGGTCGCGGTGGACGATCCCTTGCTCGTGCACGTACTGCAGACCGCAATCAGAGAGCGGTGAGGTGGTAAGCAGAGAGGTGCTCACGGAAAGGGCGTCGCAGATCTGGTACGTGATCCGCTGCGTTTCGGCCTCCGCTGTGAAGACGGTTAGCGCATATATCTAGGCAATAAATGAGGCGGAGGCGCACGCAGCCCACGGTTTGCGTTGGTGATGTACTGGAGCAAGTCTCCGCCAGAGACGAGTTCCATCACCAGACCTGCATACTCGGATCGTCAGAGCTGATCTACCAAGTGTCCGGGCCGGACTTACTCAAGCTATTGCTCTCAAAAAACACCTCCTTGAATTCGCATATGCGTGGGTGCTTCATCTGACTCAGGATCTCGATCTCCCTCCGGAAGTTCGGCGGTAACTTCGCCATGGGGTCCGTGTCCTCCCCAGCCGGCGCGTCGTCGTTGCCCCGCCTTCCACGGCACCGTCTTTGGGTTCGGTGTTCCGGGCTCCGGCCTCGCCGTCGTCCTTGCTCTTTGCCCGCCTGCGGTCCACCGGCGAGGCGATTTTGCGCAGAGTCTCCGCCTGAATGATCTTGACCGCATACCACTTGTTCTCCTCCCGGTGGAGCGCCTTCATGACGTGCGCGAACGTGCCGGACCCTAGCAAGCAATGCAGGTCGTACCTGCTCTCGACGCTCGTCGCCGCGTTCGCGCCCACCTTCAGCCTGAAGATGTACCCTGGGCGCGCTGTCAGCGCACGGCTCCGCGGCCCGGGTTTGTGTGCGCGCCGTGGGACGCACCGAAGTCCTCGTGGGCGCGGGCGGGCGTGCGCTCGGTGCCGAGCCGGAGCTCGTTCCCATCGTGGAGGAGCATGGTCTTGCTCTGCCCGATCTCATGTCTGTTGATCTGGGGGCGCGTCGTCAGCGGGCGGTGTGGCACGGTGCGGCGAGATCGGGATACTCGCGTACGTCCCGTTCGAGGAGAAGTCTGCGACGGTGACCGCGACCTGCGCGGTGAGGTCCCCGTCCCACTGGATCGAGCAGTGCTTCCCGCCTGCGAGCGGGCGGTTGCGTCAGTCAGCGGGGCGGGCGCACGGAGGAGCGGGCGCAGACGCACTGATGGTCTGCGAGCCGAGCACGACGTCGTTGACGCCGGGCTTGCGCCCGATGCGGTACGTGCGCTTTGTCCTGAAGAGGTCGATGCGGTTGATGTGCGGATTCGCGGCGTTGCACGGGATGAGCACGCCCCACAAGTCGTCGTCGGCCGGATGTTCGGTCTGGGATACAAGCTGGGTCGCGGCCTGTGTCTCGAGGGGCTGTGTCTCCTCCATCGTCGGTGGGGTGTATTAGGGTACCTATCCGGGACGATGTCAGTGAGAGGCGAGCGCATACAGCGGGAGAGGCGTACGCGAGTGACTCGGGTGGTGTCTTGTTGAGGTCTGGCGATGATGGCAGAAGGTCAGACGCGGTCAGGGGGGTTGAGCGTGGCCGGGCCGGAAAGACGTTCCGCGGCGGGCGCAAAGGTCTGTTGGCACGTTTTGGGTTGTATGGAGGGTGGAAAAAGCTGCTTACAGCTTTATGTCTTTGGTGCTGCTTTGCTCAGCTAGCAACGGAGGTGGACAAAGGCCGCGCGTATGAGTGTTGCAGTACAAGAACACCGTCCACCTGGCAGCTGGAGATACAGAGGGTGCTAGGCTAGTGGGTGGGTTTGTCTCGTGGTTGTTCATCGAATTTAGTGTTGGTGTCATTGTGGGACGTCCGTGAATATAAATGGGCTCCCGTTCTTGGCCAGGAACGCATCGACCTTAGTCCTGTACGCGCGGAGACGCTACAGGAACTCAATTTCACCCTCGCAGCGCCACCACTTCTGATACCGGGGGCACTCCAAGAGGATGTGCGCACTCTGTGGGCTCGTTCGCGAAGAACCTCTTCCGGAACGATCCTGTGGGCGTGTGGTTGAACGTTGAGTACAGCGCTGCGGCAGAGCCATCCTGGTTATCGACTGTCCGTGTGTTTCGAGCGCGGCGCTCGTGGTGTGTTTAGGTGGGTCGAACACTCGCATCCCTGCGTATCGTGCTCGCGGTGCTATTTTTTTCCAGTCGTACTTTAGTTGGACTGCGAGGAGGTGCTTCGCATGCGCAGTGCATGTCGGTGTCCCGGATGGTCTCACAGACCTGCTTCATTGTGAAGCCTAGCCCCATCCCCTGAGCCATCATCTCCGTGTCGTTCTCCGCACGCAATGCCGCGCCGCAGGAGGGGCTTTCCCGACCGATATGCTCGAAAGCCGCGCCGCTACTATGGCAGCGTGGTTTTGCATGGTCCTGCGTCTGGCTTGGTGCTTTCCGCGGCCGTACGACGCTCACGGTTGCGCTGGAGCTCGCGCACCCTCCTCGGCAAGCGCGGTGCACTGGAAGCTGGGATTTCTGCGAGAAAGGCCGCTGGGACGGCGCATAATTACAGAGGTTCGGTAGACAGTGCGTGCGCAGGATTTGAGGGAATATGCACCAGATGTCAGGCCACCCAGGTCTCAGATCCCCTTGGGCCTTGGCGTACGAAGCATTTGAAACCGCCAAGACGTTGTTGATAAAACGCGTCTTCGTCCTTGTGACGATGTTTATGACGATGCAGAGTGGGGAGACCCGTGAGCAGTCAAAAAGCAAGTGGTGCAGAGGCGCGGACTGTCAGGGACTGTCGGATGAGGGTGACGAAACCTCAGGCGCCTATGCGCCGGCCCGGAGGCGGTAGCCCAGCCAGTAAGTGTCTCCTGTTCTGATTCACCGCTCTCTCTCTCCTTGCTCACCCGCTCTCCACCTCATCTAATCAGTCCACCGCACCTGTCCGGCGTGGTCTGTCTTCGTGCCGAGCCCCGATTTTGCGGCGGGCATCGATTGGTGCGTATTGTGGCGTGCTATGTACTTTCCGCTCGCTGTGTTAACCTTAGCGGCCATTGCTCCCCTGTCGGCGACCAGATCGTTAATTTCTGCGGGCAGGCCCACTCCCTCTCTCAACCGAAAGCTTTCTCTCCGAATTTCCTTCTCGCTCGACATGCTCTCGTTCGCTCTCGCTCTCGCCCCCCTCCTCGCGGCCATCGTCCCGTCATGCGCAACACAGGTCGCGGCCCCAGCGACGCTCGCATCCCTCTACTCCCTCGCGACCAGCACCTCCATTCCCTTCCCGTCCGCGACACTGAGCAGCTCGGATGCCCAGTCCTTCCTTGTCTCCGACTGGTCACTTTCCAAGGGCAAGATTCAGCAAGGTGCTGAGAACCTCGCTTTCGTTGCCGACCCCTTCCCAAACAAACCCGCACCCGGATCGAGCAACACCTCCACCGGCCCAGTCCTGCAAGTCAAGTATGCGGCGGGCGGAGTTGGCAGTAGTAGCAGCGGCGCACAGCTCTTTACGCTCTGGAACTCGTCAAATGCGTTCAACAGCATGATGATCTCCTACGAGGTCGCATTTGACTCCAATTTCGACTTCGTCAAAGGCGGGAAGCTCCCTGGTCTTCGCGGAGGTCCAGACCCTAATGGGTGTTCGGGTGGAGATGCAGCGACTGGGACGAACTGCTTCAGCACACGGCTGATGTGGAGGACAAACGGCGCCGGAGAAGGTACGTTCTCATCCCACCCATTCTCTTCATCGCTCCCCTGGTCCGTTCCAGAGTAAACCTACTGGCGAGACAAGTGCTGAGTTCCCTTCAGTGTATGCGTATATTCCCACCCCCAACAACATATGCTCCAACTCCGACTTCATCTGCAATGACGATGGTTTCGGCACCAGCATCGACCGTGGTTCCTTTTCCTTCACGACCGGCCAGTACGTCCTTCAGATTCTTTTTAAAAGCTCTCGTAACATATCCTGGGGTCAGGTGGCACCGCGTCACCCTCATGGTCAATCTCAACAGTCCCACGAGCACCGTCAACGGCCAGGTGCAGCTTTAGTAAGTCGAGCCCCCACTCTGCATCTCCCTTGCAACGTTGTGGAGGCTGACACGCTTCAGTTTCAACAACGTCCAGGCCCTCAGTGAAGACGTGTTGTACTACCGCTCCGTGTCCTCGCTCTCGGTCGGTGGCATGTACTTCTCCACCTTCTTCGGCGGGAGCGACGACTCCTGGGCGCCGCCGTCGGACTCGAACGCATACTTCCGCAACATCGAGCTCTGGGGCTCGTCGGCCGCCTCGAACCTCACAGGCGCCACGGTCAGCGCTGCGCCCGCCAGCCATCGCCCCGCCTCGGCATGGGTTGCGGCTGTGCTCGCAGCGGCCTGCGCGGCGCTCGGCTCTGTCTTGTAATTGGCGAGTCCCCGTGCACAGACCTCCGCTCCCTTCGTGCATGCTCTTTACGCATAACATTGTGGACGCTTAGACGCCGCCTGTACCTCGATACCACCAGAGTGCTTACCTACTCAGTAGCTTACACTCCCGCGCTACCCTCTAGTCGAACACGCATCTACCTACCCCTCGTTGTTCTTGCTATCGGATATTGTACCACTTCGTCCTGCACTTTTGACGTTCGACTTTGTGCTCGAGGTCGCTCGAAATTCTGATCGCCCCTGTGAGTGGGTGGTCGATTGTCGGGCGGCGATCGAGGTGTGATCTTGGCTGATCCTCCGGTGTCTACGGTGCGCACGGATGCGTTCATCGGGGCGTTCGCCGAGCCACGACGCCATATGTAGTAGGCACGATCGAAAGCACATGTCGACTTCCCCGTTGCGCTCGGGGCGGCGGTCCTAGTCCCGGGGGCACGAACGCGATGTCGACCTACGTCTATAACGGATATCTTCATGGGGAATACCCACCGGCCAGTGTTGTTCGAGAGGTCCAACCGAACGATTGGCTCATACTTCCGCGGCACACAGGATACCTCCACTGCATGATTTATCATGTGAAGCCCGAGATATTCAAGAGAGACGGGGTAATCGGGTTATGACCCAGGAATTTTACTGTCCGAAAGTGGAGGGATGGGAAATGACGAAGCCGATCCCGTCCGCGCGGTAGGTGTCGGGGATGATCGCCAACTCCGCGAACGTTTGGTTCTGGAACCGCGTGGTATCGAATTGGATGATGTTCTGAGGGAGCATTAACGATGAAGTCATGAGGAAGAGACATATTAGAGGCCCACCTGAGATCCGGGAGTGTACTGAGGCCACGTCGACCCTGTTGTATGCAGAGTCGTTAGCGCAGTGCGGACAGTTGAAGATTGAGTCCACGTACGAGGTGTGCCCTTCCCATCGTTCGGAGTGAGGCTGGTTGCGAAAGACAGCCAGTAGTCCATCATCGCCGAGCTGAGCTGCTTCACCTGGGGGTTGAGAGTAGTCTGCTGTACCGTGCCGTAGGCATACGAGATCTCCGTAGAGTGGTACACTGAACCTCAATGGTCAGCGCCCTCGCCATGCAACAACAACACTGGAATCTACTGACCTCCCAGGTACGGAAAGAGAGCGGGCACCACGTTCTGGTCCGCAAAGAGGTATCCAAACGCCGGAACGCCGGCCTTGCTCGCGGCTTGGATCCACGCTCGACGCGGAGCCTGGAACGCCGCATCTCCCATGAGCGCCGCGCCGCGCTTGTATTCAGCCCCCGTGCCGAAGGTCTCGTTGCCCGTGCCGAAAGGCGAGCCCGCGGCAGGGTTGTCAGGGTAGAGCGCGAAGAACTCCGTCATGTCGTCGGCGAACCATTTTGGGATCGGGTCGAGGAACGGCTGGTAGAAGGCTGCACAACTCGCAAGGATCTCCTCAGTGGTGTTGAGATCTGCGGTGAAGAGAGTGCCTGTGTGCGGCGATGAGGGCAGGAGGCAGATTGGAGAGACAAACGGCGTACCTTCGTCGAGTTCGTGCCGGATATGAACGGGAGCTTCGCATAGTGACCTGCGTCCACGAGACGGGACGGAAAGTCCGGGACACACCCCCTGGGCCATCGATGACGGGGACCCACTGGAACACCTCGTTGAGCGAGTTTTGGGCTACCGTCTGGGCGTCGTACACGTCCTGGATGGACGCATTGCGAGCACATTCGAATTGGTCGCCGTGGTAGATCCGGCGCATGAAGGAAGATTAGCAACGAAGGTGTCCCATACAGGCTGGCGGCGGAGGGCATCTTGGAAGGTGTTTGATCCTCTCGAACCCGACTCGAAAATCTGCGTGGAAAGCCCGGACAGTGTCAGAGTATGTGTCGCTTGATGTCATGATAAGACTTACGGCGGCACGAGCTAGTTTCTCGAGGTTTGAGTTGAAGAAGAGATCCGTTATAGAGATCGCGCCTGCACTCTCGCCGAAGATAGTGACCTGAAGTAAAGGGGACACTCTTCGAACCCCGTCTTGCTTGGTGACAGGGAGGATACGCACCTTCGACGGGTCGCCACCAAACGTGCTGATGTGGTTCTGGATCCATTTCATTCCAGTGAGCTGGTCTTTGAGTCCCAGATTAGTCGCTCCACGCCTAGCAGCCTCTGCGCCTTGTGGGAACCCAAGCGGACCGAGGCGGTAAGCAATGCTGACATAAATGACGGGTGTCCCCTGCGCCAACCACAGTTGTCAGGACCCACGCCCAGAATTGGAGACGTCATACATACACGTGTGACACTCTGCGCAACGAGGTCGGTCGCGTCATAGATGGACGTCTGTCCGGACCTGAAGCCGCCACCGTAAATCCAGGCCATAACAGGGAGCGAGTCAGTCTTGGTGGTTCCCTTAGGCCGGAAAATGTTGAGGAAGAGACAGTCCTCCGCAGTGGCACCGACGGGAGAGGACTGCCGGGCGGCGGTCAGAGTACAGCGCGCGCATTGAGAAGATGATGGACTCACGCTGGGTGGTTGCGCGCATGCAGGCCCGAAGCTCGTAGCGTCGAAATTTGTGGTATTGATGGAGTTGACTATGACGGGGGCGCAAAGCGCAAGTCACCTACCGGCGGCAGCGCGAAAGGTATGCCTGCGTCAACACACGAAAGTCAGCCACCACCTCGTGCTCAACGGGGCTAAGCATGCGCACCTCCGAAAAACTCAACGGCACCAAGGCCCGAGGTGGTGCCCTTCAAAGTAGTGCCTCCAAACTGCACTGTCGGAGCAGCCAGGACTGCAGAGGTGCAGCCCAGGAGGGTCGCGGAAAGCACAGAGAGGAGCATGGTCGAGAGCACGTCTTCCCGTGGCTCCTCGGTAGGTGGCCTTTTATAGGAAGCGGCGGGCCACGGTCCATCGGCATTCGGCGTGGCTACCATCATCCATAAGCCATGTTCACGGAATCCCTCTAGTCGAGGCACGGATCAAGCGGTCAGCTCATGGGATCAAATTCGAACGCGTGCGGGAGCAAAGACAACGCACGGGGACACGTTCATCATGCTATGCTCGGACGTTGCCGGTGAGAGGCCGCTCGACGCGGCTCGAGTCGGCCGATGGATTTGCTGCGTCCACAGCCTATGTGGTCGAATGTCAGCACTTATGCGTAGGTACTTGCCAGATGCGCAGTCCTGGCCGTCACGGGCTTGATGTCCGCTACTTGAAACTTGAAGCTGTTCCCAGGAACGTGGGAAGAGAACCATGGGTTGCGCTGTTCGCCTCTCGGTGCTCCATCATAGTCCGGCTGTAATACAGTGCAAGGGCTGCATAGCTCGAGTATCACCGCCTGAACCTATACTAGACTGGAGCGCGGGTCGTTTGTGAGAGAGAAGTTCAGTTGACATCAATGGACGACGAACCGTTGAAAATTTGTGGAGGTCACATACATATGTAAGCGGTAGTCAAGTTCCTCGGCTAAATACCGCCACGACTGGTGCCAGGTGACGAAGTCTTATCCAACGCAGTGACAGAGAAAACAAGCGACTGTAACACGTCAGATCAGGACCGTGGTGGTTTGGTGGTGGTGGCGGAGTTTGAACAAGAGCTCATCAGGCGTCTAGCGGGCAAGCAGCTTTTGTCCTAGACCTCCACTCGGGGCCGACTCAACATTCCCCGTGCGTGATATGTCGATTTTGACAGTAGTCGCCGCGTGTGGGATGGTTTCGCTCATAGGGGCGTTTGGAACTGCCACGTTCGCGCCAAGTATGGTGTGCAATCATGCGCACAGTGCGCGATGGTGCGAATATTGAGCGATTTTCACTCCGACGCACCTTCCAGGAGTAGCGGCGAGCCAGCCGGAACAAGTTCGCTTATACCCACAGCCAGGGATACGTACAATAAACCATGACCTGATCATTCTTGACAGACATCCCTCGTCTTAAGGAAGACCATGGATCCTTTTCAAGTCCGGACGTGCTTGGTTCAATATTGTCACGGAGACGCGTGGGGTCACGGTACACGCGCCGCGTCACATCCGGAGGCTTGGTGTCACGCGTACGGAAGCCGCGACGCTTCGCACGGACATATGCCTTCTCAGCCCCCATTTTAACAAGGAACTCAACCTCGGGCCCTCGAGAGGAAGCCACAGTCGCGCTCGCCCTTAGACGACTCGCGGGATCACAGGCTGACCGCTTCTAGCTCGGTTGGGAGCAAGGTTTGACGTCTGCCAGGGACGCTGGAATTTCGGCAGGCGTTGTGCAGAGCAGTCCATCACCGGCATCGTGGGCAGCGTCTTGGTCGAAAGCGAAGGCCCGGTCGCGCGCCGACGCGGTTTGTACGCCGGACGGACGCGCGCGGGTTCCATGCAGCGCGCACGCCCACTGGTATCGAGCACGGTGGGCCCGCGGACCTGACGCTCGAACGAGTCTAACTAGTATACAGGCCGTTTGAGAGGCGTAGCTTCGATGATTGTATCCTCGACAGTGTTCTATCCCGTGTCGCGGCGGATGCTAACGTGGGAGCCGTGCGGAAGCGGGGAAGAGCCGTCGCCCTCCTGCTCGTCCTATGCTTGACTTTACCCCTACTCCTCCTGGCGGCGCGGCGCAGATTATGTTCGCGATCGACGGCGCGCAGGACGTCCTGCGCGCACCAGCTCAGAGGGCCGATCTGGTGCGCACCCTCGCAGGACTGGGGCGAGCAGCGCCAGGCGTGCGTCCGCCCAGAAGACGCCCGCTGCCCGCGCGATAAATCGCTCCGCCGCGCCACCGCACCTCTCGCCGTCCTCCCGCCATGGCTGCCCCCACCGTCGTCTCCTCGCCCGGAAAGGTCCTCCTCGCCGGCGGGTACCTCGTCCTCGACCCCGCGTACTCGGGCGTCGTCGTCTCCACCTCCTCCCGCTTCTACACCGTCCTCGCCGCGCTCGACGCCCCCCCATCAAGCGCCAGCCCCCCGATTCAGATCCGCGTCCGATCGCCCCAGTTCGAGGACGCGACCTGGGTGTACGCCGTCGAGTTCGACTCCGCCGCCGTGCGCGTTGAGCAGCTCCAGGACCCCGCCCAGTGAGTGTCCGCTCCCTCTGCTCGCGCTCGCCCGCAGTGTGTCCGCCTCTCCGCGGTCGTACGACGATGGTGTTGACGCGCCCCAATCGTTCGATTCGATTCCACCGCCCATCCTCGTCGTGGATCGTGCGACCGCCGCGCTCCGTAGCCCGAATGCCGGCAAGAACAAGTTCGTACACCTCGCGTTGCAGCGCACCCTCGCGCTCGTGGTAGAGCTCAAGAGCGCGGGCACCACTCAGAACGCCCTCGGACATGGGTTGGACATCACCATCGTTGGGGATAACGACTTTTACTCTCAGCGGGCACAAGTACGTGACTCCAGCACTCTTGTGCGGCCCTGCACTCATCAAAGGGCACGTACAGCTTGCAGCGCAGAATCTACCTCCGACATTAGAGTCCCTCTCTAAGCTCACTCCCTTCAGCAAGACCGGCGTTCATCTCTCCGACGTCCACAAGACCGGCCTCGGCTCTTCCGCTGCACTCATTACCTCTCTCGTCTCCGGCCTCCTCCTTCGTCTCGGCGCCGTATCCGCGGATGCCTTTGAGGGTGACGCCGCGGCCGCGGCCGCCAGCAAAGACCGCAAACTGGCGCACAACATGGCCCAGTACATACACTGCCTGGCCCAGGGCAAGGTCGGGAGCGGGTTCGACGTCGCCGCCGCCGTCTTCGGGAGCCAGCTATACACGCGTTTCGACCCGAAGGTGCTCGCGCCCCTTATGGCCGAGGGTGCCGTACGTCTCTCTTTCGCCCTCTTCCCCGCGCCGCCCTGCTCACTCGCCGCCCGCCCGCCTGCCAGGACGCGTCGCAGCCGCTCGCGCCGGTGGTCTCGCCTTCGAACAAGGCGTGGGACTACAAGGTCGTGCCGTTCTCGCTCCCTCCGCAGACGCGGCTGCTGCTCGCGGACGTCGACGCGGGCAGCGACACGCCGTCGCTCGTCGGGCAGGTGCTCAAGTGGCGGAAGGAGCACCCCGAAGACGCGCAGGACCTCTGGGACACGATCGACAGCCTAAATATGCGCCTCGCGCGCCTCCTCGTCGGCCTCACGGAGCTCGAGAAGAAGGACCCGACCGCGTACCGCAAGGCGGTCAAGTACATCTCGACCATCCAGAGTGTGCAGGTGCGTGCCGCGGCGCCCGTGCAGGTGGAGCGCGGGACTGAGTCTCCACGCAGTGGCTCGCGAACCCGAACATCACTGAGAAGGCGGACCACGTTGCGTTCAAGCAGGTCATCGAGGCCTTCGTCGACGCGCACCAGACGACAGAGGTACGTGCTCTCCCCGGCACCCTTCAGGCCCCTCACGCTGACCCACAAACCCCTCCACTCCCCCTCCCCCACACTCCCCTTCATCCCGCCACACGCCTCGCAGGCGATCCGCGCGAAGATGCGCGACATGTCCGAGCGCACCGGGACGCCGATCGAGCCGCCCGCGCAGACCGCGCTCCTCGACGCCTCCGTCGCCGTCGCCGGCGTCGTCGGAGGGGGCGTGCCCGGCGCGGGCGGCTTCGACGCCGTCTGGCTGCTCGCGTGCGACCCCGCGGGGTGCGCGCCCGAGGAGCTCCCGGTGGTCCGCGTCGAGCGCGTGTGGGGCACCCACACCGGCGAGCTCCGCGTCAGCCCCCTGCTCGCGTCCGAGAGCCGCGCCGCGGGCGTGCGCGTCGAGCGGCTCGAGGACGTGCGGGGGCTCGCCGAGGCGGTTGCGCTGTGAGGGCGGCGGGACGTCGGGACGCGTGCGGGGTGCTTGGTATGTAGCTCACTAATTGTCGGCGTAATGCGCGTTGTGTATGGCTAGATTACGTATTGCGATGTACAGGTAGATAGTCCGTGCACACAGCGGGCGCGAGTGTCGATGAGAGATAAATTATGCCGCCGGAGACCACACAAAACTGAACCGGGCCGTGCATTGTCCTGTTCCGAATCCTCGACGAGAGGGTCTGTCTCCCTCCGCCGCGCAGTGCGCACTACAGACAGATCGTCGCACTCCCGGCGGGGGTCCACGCCTTCCCAAGGGCAAGGAAGAGAGAGATGGAGAGGACGACGACGCCGAAGACGGCGCACACGAGCGCGGGGAGCTTTTGGCGGGCGTAGATGGGCACTTCGGGTGCAGAGAGTTTGAGGTAGCAGGCGGCGGGGAAGATGAAGGCGAGGGCTGTCGCGGAGGCGCCGCCGGTGATCTCGAGCATGACGCCGAGGTCACAGGTTACGAGGGAGACTGGCAGCGTATCAGCTTAGGTGAATGAGGAGGGGTGGAACGGGCTCACTGATCATGGCGGAGCAGAGGATAGCAGTCGTGAAGAACACGTGGCGTTGCATGTGGAAGGGCTCGTTCTCGAAGAAGTACTGCTCGATGACCTCGCGGCAGACGAAGAGCTCGAGAGGGAGGGTCGTAAACATGTTGAGCCCAAAACAGAAGCGTGCGACGTTGATGAGGGTGTCGTTCTGTTCCAACCAACGTGAGTGAATGAGTGTTCAAAATTCAGAGAACACGTACCGCGCCAAAGTTGTTCAGGATGTTTCCTTGTGTCCGGTCCGTGAAGACAACATAGGCGGAGATCGCGAGCGTGCAACACGCTAGAAGGGAGATCAACGTGGATATATGCGTCACCCTGTTGAACCTGTCCAGCGTTGGTGTCTTCAAACTTCCGTAGATGAGAAGGGTGTTGTGGTGACAGACGAATGCGAAGCTGATGACCCCAATAGCTTGGAATATGCCGTCTCCGATGAAGGTGAAGCGAACATTAGGATCACCTTTGAGTTCGTCAGGAACTTGTGGGCCTTCAATGAGAACGGCGAGAACGATAACGACCATGCCAATCAGCGCGAGCCCTGATGCTCGCGCGAGTTTGTGGATGTCGCGGTAGAGGGAGAGAGGGTAGGAGACGCATATTGTGCACAATGCAATGACGAACTGGCGCTTGGTGAGGAGGTTGAGGATGGGAACCTTGTAGAGAGTGGGGAATATCGAACGAATGACGTGGGGTATCGAATCGCCTAAGTCAGTTTCAGTGTGGACACTTCGCGGGTGCAATCAGGAGATACTCACCGATGATGATTCCGAATGCACACATACCTGAGGGAAGATAAAATGGCCATTTTAATAACAGTAGGGGTACGACGCACCTCCGAATGCAAACGCAAATTGGAAGAATGACACAGCTGCTCGCCCACTTGACCCAAAACAGGCATTCATGATCCCAATGTACGAGTGTTGCCCGCTTAGCTTCGCGTTCAGGACAATCAAGCGGATTGTCCAGTCGGTGACTCCGCATAGAACGACAAGTAACACTAGCCCCGTAACGAAGCCCGCTTGTCGTATAGCATATGGCAGTCCTTGGGTACGTTGAGTGGGATGGCTTTACGCGACAGATTGACCCTCTTACCGATGATTCCTGGAATGCAATTATCTAAGGACTGGTATACACCAACACACGCGTAAGAACACACCTGCGCCCAGAATCGAGTTCGCCATATTCGCAATGGAGTCCAGCAGTCCTCCACCAGCCGTTTGTTTCGCTGCGAGCTCCTCCAAATCTATTCGAGTTTCGTTGTACGCCTCCGACGGGCCATCTACGCTTCTCCGTACGGTAGATGCGTCCATAAGGCCCACTAGCAGTGGCATGGCTTGCTCCCGAGACCGCGAGCCTGTTCGCCCACCACGCTCCTGTACGTTGGTTTGGAGCTGGGATAACGCGACCCCGTCAAGGTCGTCGTCATCCAGCTCATATTCTATAAGGCAAGCACGCACATATTGAGTGTTGTCATGACGGTAACAGGACACAACAACGTACCAGTTTCTCGGCTTTGAGACGTAGAACGAAGTGATGGTGTGATGACCTGTACCTCGTCCTGGAACCGCACACTATGCCCCGGCTTCCCATCGTCTGCGTGAGGGTTCACGTTCCCGAGCAGTATGTCTTCGTCCAAACGTTGGTGGAGTTCGTCGTCCGACCCATCGTCCACGGAGAATAGCACGTTGCCATCGGAGTGGGGAGGAAGGTCTTCGTCGGAATCGTCGAGCAGTGGCTGGTTGACGCCACCCTCATCGTCGCGGCCACGCGGTCTGCTGGATCTACCGAGCATGCTGGCAAAGGTGCATGGGCGCACAGAGGAGGGAGAGAATGAAAGCGGGCGTCAGGTGGGCCCTAGTGGGAGTACTGTGCAAGTATTGACGATGGTGTGTTGCTGCATGTGCGCGTCCGGTGCAGTGCGTCCATGCCCGAGGTCAGGCACGGAGGTTGTTCGTCCTCCATCACCATCCACCTCAGCAACGGACCACCGCTGGACGACTCCCTTCGTCAGGTAAGTTCGCCAAAAGTCAGCACATAGCCGTCAATTGATGAATGGGCAGACATGCGACTCCCACCGGAGCTCCTAGACCGTATTCTGGATCACTTGCATGATAACCCTCAGCAAACGTTGCAAGCATGCGCCATGGCTTCTCGTACCCTCCTCCCAACCTCGCGGTACCATCGCTTCAACACCGTGCGGCTTCAGAGAGGCAGCGCTATTCGGCGGTTTGAAACCCTCTTGGCCAATTGTCCGGATATCACCCCCTCAGTGTCGACGGTCCATTTGGATGCTCGCTTCGATGTTGACTTCCAATGGCTCAGCCTTTTACCTGCGCTCGCCACACTGCACCTTCGAGGGACAATTCCCCGCCTCTTCACTCCGAGTACCACAAAACTCACGACCCTGCACATGGAATTGCTGTTCAGCTGCAACGTTTTGAGCATCTGCCAGTTCCTGGCCGGCTTCCTCTCCTTGCGAGCCCTGGACATGAATGCCGACGTGTTCAAAGCGTCCAACGAAGATCTCGATGCTATCTACACCCAATTTCCCCCTCCATCTAGCCTCCGCCAGGTGACTTTCAATGTGGCCGCGGACGCCGGGATCTTCAATCCTGGCATGGACATCATATGCAACTGGATATCGGCGCACGGTTTATCGCCGGCCTACGCCTTCAGAGGAGACATCCACAGCCGCACCAGCGCTCTTTCATTCATGGGTCAAATAGAACTGTTGGGTCCCATCGTGGAGGTTCTAGAGATCAACTTCTTGCCTTCTGGCAATATGGATAGTGAGTTTCAACCATTTCTGAGACTTTGTTCTTCTATCGGCTGGGTTTGGGCTGGGTTTCAATTTGTTTCGCCAAAATAGCCAGTTGCGATGGAACAAACCGACACTTGACGGAAATCCACCTGATAGGTGGTACGCCCGGTCTTGATGATAGGCCTCTTTCGAGATTCCACACAGTAGCTGGTTCATACCTGTACCGACCCCAGTCCGTTCCTTCAGGGGCTACGTACTGAACAGGGCGTTGTGGTCCACTTGCGCGCGTCTCGCATGCAGTAACTGTGTCGTACCTCGAAAACACGCCTATCGTTGAGACTACAGTCAAGTCAAGGGTTTGGTACGGCAATCACTGACAGTGGCTCTATATAGGCATCGCGAAGGGTACAGAGTTTACTCTCTCGCCCTTCTTCGCAATACGCTCTTGCACACTTCGATTCGCGTTCTCGGAGATGTGCGTCCCGGCCAACACGTCGCTGGCCTGGATCCCAACTCTCATCGGTCAGCTCGCGGCTCCTGACCTGCTTACTCTCAAGATCTCGTTGGCGGTCAACAACGTTGGAGACATTCGATTCCTCAACTCTGAGTGCTCAGAACCTGAACTCACGCCAGCTTTCTTCGACGATATGCGGGTGTTGGACTGGGAACGTCTGGAAAAGAGTCTCACAGGTGGAGGGTTGCAGGGTGTTGCATTGGAAGGGCAGGGCAGCAGAGCGGGATTGGAGGCGCATTTGCAGACGAAATGCCCAGACTGTATTCCCGTGGGTTGATGTCTTTGATACCCATGACGTCAACTATTCCTGAGTGGATTTACATTTGTCGGCCTAAGAGCAGTCACTCACCACAGCGCTGTAGACCCGGTGGTGCCCTCACGCCGATACTGATCATCTCTCGTGATGGATGCTGGGCCGGGTGTTTCGTGGAGCGAGATGATGGGAGCGGCTCGAGGGAGAGCGCAAGTTGAGCGTGGCGTCTGGGAATGGTGGCGCGAAGAGCACCGCCGCGCACACTGCCAACTTGTCTCTCTTCCCTCGCTCGTCCTTCCTGTTCCCACCACTACGTCCCCGTCCACTTTTCCGTCTCTCCAACAGCAGAGCAAATGTACTGGCTCTTCGCTCTTAGCCGAAGCGCCCCGACTGCGAATTCGTGAAATTGTCGCAATGGGACTCCCACTGCGTGGTACGTCGCCAAATGGCGTTTGAGTGATTGCTTAGACCTGACAGCAGGCATCCAGACAGCGTCACTCGCAATAGGCGATGGCTCTGCCTGCTTGCTTTGTTTTCCCTGGCCACTGCATGCACAAACTCCCTTTGGTGGCCACAATGCCACCTTCTACCCGACTCCGTGAAAAATTACAAGCTCGCTGGGGATCATCCAGAGTGAATGTCCGCCACCAAGACTGCGAGACAGCTCACAGGCTGCGCTTGTTGCAGCTACTATGAATGAACGTGAGTTTTCCAGCGCTCTTGAAGCCATCGTACACACGCCCGCTCTCGGTCTCGCGTCAACCCGCCACCGCCGACTCAGCGACATGCCATCCGCCGGCGGTGCGCTCCTACACGCCCACGCATACACGTTTCGTTGCAGGACTTGCCAGCGTCCCGCATTGGCTGCGCGTTGCCCGACTGGCTTTCATATAGCGATGGTGCGACACGGTGCGCACAATCTGCCTCGCCTTCCCCATTACCCCAGCTCCCGCCCACTGTGGCTCCCATCTCTCTTTCCCTCACACCCTCGCCAGGACCCGCTCGGCCTGTGCGCGCGCGAGCACAATGCTCTCGGTGCTCGAGATTTCTGCGACTACCACAGCGCCATATTCTCCGTGGGGCTCCGACTTGGCTGACTTCAGTGGATCTGGCCCTCCCACTGCGGCCGTGAATGAAGCCTGCGCGCGCGCAGAGGCCCCACACAAAGCTGGCGAGGAGACGGATGGGCTGATTGTCATTGGCGCGCACGCCGACGCCAGGCCGAGCGTCGCCACAGGCAGTGGTTGCCCGGTCAGCGCCTACCAAGCGAGTCCTCCTGCCACATCCAGCCACAGAGACTTGCTTGTTCCTCCCCCTTTGCCGTTCCGGCCACACGTTCTTCGTCTCCTACTTATATCCCTGCGTTTTCACTTATACGCCGGGGCTCTCTCTCCCTGCCGGTCCACTCCTCCGTCTATCTTACTACCTACCTCCTCCAATCGTCTCCCTCGCGTCCACTCAACCACCGCATCCTTCCCATAGGCCTGAACAACGCGATACCAAGCTTCTTTGCGATGAACAGGACCCCGCCCGACAATCCGGTTCGTCAGAACCTTGCTCTCGGTCCCGACGCGCTCACTCGCTGCCCTTCCCTCCAACCTGGGGCCGCCCTGGAGGAGCGCCGGGAACGGAGGTCAGAACGTGGCTCACAATCTCGCCGGCTGACGAGGGCCAGCATCTCTGGTTTTCCCGCCCCAGGTGTACCCACTGTGCGGCAGAGCACTCGCCGTCGAGCCCAGGGTTCCAGCGGTAGTGGTTCAAACAGCACTTGCCTTCCGGTCCCTGTGCCCACCACCCATCCCGAACCATCCCGGGATCGATCCACCCAGACTCCCCTTGACTGGGTTAATCCCTTCCACAAGGATTTTGTGCTAATGGCTTCGAGGGACCCGAAAGTTGCCTCACTGATCGAGCAGAACCGGACGGATTCTTCACGGAGAAAGCTGGAGTCAGTGAGTTTTGAAAGCCGGTTGTCAGTCACGGTGGCGCCCCAGCTTACACGGTTTGTCCCAGGCGAAGAAGTTGGGATCACAGGAAGACCTCAGCATGAAGTCAGCGCCCGCGCTGTCTGTCACCACGAAAGCCGATCAGGTTCAACCCGTTAGGAACGGCTCACCAGTCAGTGCCTTGGCTGTCTGTCCCCTTGCATGCAGTCTGACCACTCTCCAGGACACGAGGAAAGCGCACAAGGAGTCGCGGCGCACACGAGACCACTCCACTCAGCGCACACGCACAACGAAGACAGATGAAACGTGGTGCTGCTCCGCGCCCCTGTGGGGGTCCCGGCATCGACATTGGTGACCACCTGGATAACTGTGTCTTCTTCCAAGCAGGAAGACACCCCCAATTGCAAACACGATCCATCCCGCATCCGACCGACCCCTCCCCTTGAGACCACGGCAATTGATAGCGATGCGAAGTCCAGACGTCCAGTTCCCCCACGCTCGAGAACACGTGCCGTCAATCATTGGATGGATGCCAACGCGGAATATAGCAAGGAAGCGGCGCAGCAGGAGCCCGTGCAAACGCTGGGGAAGAAGGCGATCCGATCCAAGTCATTCGGCGAGATGTATAGTGCGCGTCCGCGGGCGACGCCGTTGAAATCTCGACCAGCCCCTGCGTCTGTCACGAAGCAAAACCCTGAGGATATGTCCATGGTACGTGTTGACCCGATGAAGTCTGCGAGGCCACCTCAGCTAAGTGATCCCATGTCGCAGACGTCCCGGATGTCAACTCCAGCGCAGGGCAGTCAAGCTACAGAAGAGCGTCCTCTGCCGCACACGGGCCTTGAACGGTTGTCTGAATCGGGGCCATCAAGCCTAATCTCAATACCTTCTGAGCACACGGAGCAGGTCGAAGTTTCGTCAAGACGCTCCACTTCGGTCTCCGGTCATTCAAATTCAGCTGGTCCTCCCGGCCCACCGTCGACAAACCTCCCGATAACGATCGATGCGGTTATAGCACCATCTCCTCCAAAGTCTTTGGTTACTAGCGCATCCCCAACGCCCAGTCCTCGCAGTTCCTTACGCCATGAGGAGCCCGCGCCTTCAGCATCAGGCTCCCTTGAGGGCCAGTCCAAGCTAGAAGAGAGGTTGTCCCAGACGATGTCTCAACAGATCTTGTCGCGCCCGGACGACGTATCTCTGTTTTCTAGAGCGGAGACCGTCTCAACGACTCGGTCGCCCTCTTCCAGTGTTCCCACCGTTATGTGGAGAGTCCCATCACCTGTCCCTGAGATTCCATCCTCGCCCACCCCCTCTTCGAAGACATTGGAGTCCCGCTCCATCACGTCCATCTCTGGATTCGACATCTCAGACCCGGAGGCATCCAGGACCATGCGACCTCCTCCGGCGCGCTCCAGTACTCCACCCTCTGCGTCCTCGAAAGGGGGGCCGATGGACCGCAGGACTTCCGTCGAATCGACCACCAGCACTGCGTTGTCCGCCGTAACAGTGCCTTCGCGGACCTCCAACCTAACCGTGGCTCTGAAGCGTCATCACGTCACTGTCGGTTTGCACGATACCCAGTCCGACGCTGGCTCGGCTACCTCCAGCGCGTCTACCGTCAGTTACCGTACGGTCGGTCATCCCTGGGACCCCAGTCGGTGGTATCATCAGCTCCGTCATCCACACTGAGCAACGAAGCTGAGCAGTTGCTGGACGTCTTCCGCCCTTCTTCACCTTCACCGCTCTTCTCTCCGGCTCTCACCGACAAATCGACCTTGGAGCCCCACCTTCTACCGGCTCTGTGGGCGGGCTCTGCAGCGCAACATCGTCGTCAGTCCTCCCGAGAGTCTGTGGATGCTCCAGTAACCGTGTCGTCAGCTTCCAACCGGTGGAGTGCTTCTTCGGCGAGGATGACAGAGAAACCTTCGACACCGTCCACTTTGTCCATTTCCTTCACGAACCTCTCGACAGAGAGGGACGACGAAGAGTCCCAGGTGTCCGGTGTTTCTGGTGCCTCTTTCGCCGTAGCCTCATCGACTCTGTGGCCTGGGACACATGAACGCAGTCCGTCGAACGGAACAACTGCATCCGTGTACTCTTGCGGTTCGGCACCGCGCTCCCGAGTCGCATCGGGGACCTCCCCGTGTACCCAGACCCATCTGCATCCACCACATGGGATAAGCCTCTTCCGTCGGCCCTCCCTCCCCGCAAGGAGTCCGTGGTTGGCTCTTTGCCCGTGTTCTCGAAGACCAAGACTCGTCTCGTGGACTCTCTGACTGACGACGCCCCCCTCACCTTCTCTTCGGGGTCGATCCCCCTCAAGAGCAAGGGCACAAGAAGAGCCTCTGCGAACGACGACAAGGGCAAGACCGACGAGTTCCCCATCGCCTTCCACAACCACTCCGACTCGAGCCTATCCACTGCCTCTGGCTGCGGCCCCGCCGTCCCCACGCAGCGTACCCCCTCCTCGTCATTGCTCCACACACGCAACGCCTCTGCCTCTTCTCTCCTGTACAACGAGCCCGCCTCCCAGACTCGGTTTTCCCGTGGGATCGAGATTCCCATGGAGTCCCCACCGCCCTACGCCTCCTCCCCAGTTCTTCCCCGGCGCACGCAGAGCGAGGTCGGCCTCGCGGTAACGTCGCCCGTGTCAGTCTCGGGGCAGGCGCGTTACGACGCGTGGGTGACACGACCTGTTGCGCCTGGGTACCGGGAGGCGAACGCCGCGCGCAAGGCGGCTGCCCCAGCGCACGCCGTCGGAGACACGCAAGGTACGCCCTCGAGTGCGCCGAGCGCACAGCACGCGAAGGAGTCTATCTTCCACTCTGCGCTCGTCAGCATGGGGATCAAGCCGCATGTGAAGCCCGAGGACCCGCTCCTGAGGCGGCAGAACGGTGGGCCGTCGAACTGGTCGTGAGCGCTGCGCGGCTTTCTCGCTGAGTCTGTTCATTGGGCGGATAGCCGTCTTGTTACCCTGTTTCCTTTCGTACGTCTGTGCCGGTGGTCCCGCTTGGTTTTTCAACTTCTGATCTGATCTCGTCCACACTATCACTCGTCTTCCGTACACTACCTGCGCCTCCCATACTTTAGTTCCCTGTGTTTGCGTACGATATCTCCACCCGTTACCTATATGCTCCCTCCATCATCACATGCCGTTATGCCCATTATGCTTATGCACGTCTTCCTCATCATCCCTTTTAGTCTGTACAGTATTATACAGTAGTGTGCATCAATTGTTATATGTAATCTGACTGTTTGGACGAAACTGGAGTCTGCACGCGCATCACAAATTCTTCCCCGCCCACGAAGCGTCACTGCTCTCCAGACTGCATTGGTACGTACCCTTGGGCACAAAAATCAACAACGAGATGATGGTGACAAAGTCTGCGTTCCATTCGGCTGCAGGCCCACACGAACACCGTACTGAGAGACTTGCGATCATGTTTCTGTCATTCGTTCGCCGCGCGCAGCAGCCAACGAGGACTCCACGACGAGTGTCAAGCGAGTTCTACAGATACAATGGGATAGAGGGCCCACTTCGAGTCCGAGGGATATCGTAGGGTCTGTGTGGGGCTGGCGGAAATGGCGGGGGGACTTAAATAGTGGGATCCATAGGTCACTTCGCTACCGCTCTCCACTGTACAGCAGTTACTTGCACCGCACCTCGGACTTCCTGCTTTATCATGTGTTCCCCTAAGATCATTCTCGTCACAGGCTCCAACCAGGGCCTTGGATGGGGCATCATCAAAGTCGCAGCCCTCCGCGACCCGGCTTCGACGTACATCATGTGCACCCGCAAGCTCGAGGCCGGCCAGGAAGGGATCCAGAAGTTGCGCGCCGACGGCGTGACAGCCAAAGTCGACCTGTTGCAGCTGGACGTCACCTCCGACGCGGACATCACTGCCGCGGTAAAGCACGTCGCCGACGCCTACGGGAAGCTCGACGGTGAGTGTCCGCGTCCGGGTGCTCGGGAACTCACCATGACCCGTCGACGCAGTGCTTGTGAACAACGCCGGGGTTCTTTCCTGGGCGCCCAAGGACGACCAGCCGATCGCAGAGGTCCGGGCGATGTACGCGAAGGTGGTCGACGTGAACCTGACGTCGCTCGCGGTCGTGACGCACGCGTTCCTGCCGTTGCTGTGGAAGTCCGCGGACCCAAAGGTGGTCGGCGTGTCGTCCGGGCTGGGGAGCATCGCGAACACGCTGACGAAGAAGATGGGCCGCACCGCGCCGTACGGGGCGAGCAAGATCGGGATGAACGGGTTCAGCGTGCACATGCAGGTGAAGGAGAACGACCGTGTTGCGGCGGAGAAGGATGGTCGGGAGCCGCCGTCGGGTAGGACGCCGGTCCGGTACTTTGTGTGCCAGCCGGGCGTGCTCAAGACGGCACTCTTGAACTTCTATGCGGCGGGCAGGGAACCAGAGCGGGGGGCAGAGGTAGCGGTTCGGCTGGCGCTGGATGACAAGTTCACGTATGAGGGCGGGTCGTACTGGGAATACGAAGACGAGGAGATGAAGAGAGTGCCATGGTAAAGAGTGTTCGATCTTGCGCCTGTACTCGTGGCATTTGTACTTGGGACTTTGAGCATGTTGAAATAGCAGAGACAAGTCCTGAAGCTGAAGGCAAGATCTGAGCGCCAATTGGACGTGGGCTCTTTTCCGTGCCGGATCCGGATCCGGATCTTTGTCAGACTCGACCAGGCTCTGCCCAGACGGGCCTCCAGGTCTCCGCAATGTCTGCTACGACTTCCACCACCACCACGCCCTTCTCCCTCACACACTCACAACCATCATGGCATTTTCTGGTGCCTTGGTACGTCTGTTGTCGCTCATTACGAGCCAATCTAACTCCACGCGGCAGACGTTGACCGACCTAAATGACTTCATTACTCCTTCTCAAGCTTGTATCAAACCGGTAGAGCAAAGCAATAAGCCCGAGTCAAATGACCCTGGTGCCGCAACGGTGAGCACAACCTTGTGCAAGTGTTGTCTACCCCTTCTGGCTGTGTAGTATGAACAATCAAAATGGCGAAATTGTCGATGGGCAGGACCCGGCCCTGGTCACGCATCGTGTGCATATATGCACCCGGACAACACCATCTGAGTTCTGCATATGCGGGGGTTCCTCATGGAACTGACATATGCATTTTGCTCTTAGACTCAAATTCAAGTTGACTCGAGCGGCTCGTACTATGAGGTACCTAGCAATCCCACGACGGCCGCACACCCAGGAGAAGGGAAGAAGAAGCTGACGGCCGCGGAGATCAGTCTGAATGACTGTCTGGCATGCAGGTACGCTCATTCTAATGGTTTTTCAGGATCGTCCTCACGCGTATGTCAGCGGGTGCATCACCTCCGCCGAATCTGTCTTGATCACCATGCAGTCCCATGCTGAGGTCCTCAACTTCCTAGAGAACAACCCCCCACCTCCTTCCTGTCATTACCGGGTGCCTATCATCTCCATCGCTCCTCAGTCGCTCGCATCTCTCGCTGCATCCGTGTCCTCGGGTCATCCCAGAACGTCAGCTTGCTCCAAACGCTTCGGCGGATGAGCGCGTTCTGCAGAGACATCCTCGGCTTCGCGCACGTCTACGACACCACCTTCGCGCGCCACCTCTCCCTCCTTGAGCATGTACGCGAGTTCCAGGAACGTAAGGCTGGAGAAGGAGACTGCAAGCTCCCAATGCTCGCAAGCGCATGTCCGGGTGGGTCTGTTACGCCGAGAAGACACACGCGGAGATGCTCCCCTTCATTAGCCGTACGAAGAGCCCTCAACAGATCATGGGAACACTTGTGAAAGAATGGCTGGGAACGAAGTGGGGCAAAACGTACGCAACTTCCTACCATGTGCTTCTCCTTCATGCGAGTGTGGTCCTGATCGTCCCTCTTCCATCCTTGTCTTTATCCTTCTCAGCCCAGATCAGATCTACCACGTCACAGTGATGCCCTGCTACGATAAGAAACTGGAGGCGTCGCGGCAGGACTTCTACAACGAGGCGTACGCCACGCGCGATGTCGACTGCGTCATCACTACCGGCGAGCTCCAGTTGCTCATGCTCGAGAAGGGCTGGGACCTCTCTACGCCCGTCCCCGACGAGAACATCCCGAGACCGGTGCCATCCAACCCAGACCCGGTTCCTTCCTCGCAAAGGACAAGGAGGGCGCATTACCTGAGCTCCTTGCGCACCCCGGCTCGAGTTCCGGCTCCTTTCTCCAAGCTCTCGTGCGCGCGCTCATCGTTGCACATCCGGATCCCGCTGCACTGTCGCTCACGACCCGCGCCGTCCGCGGCTCAGACTACTCCGAGGTCACGCTCACACACACTGGCACGAACGAGGTCCTCTTTCGGGGCGCGACATGCTACGGCTTCCGCAATCTGCAGAACGTTGTCCGGAAGGTCGGCCGTGACGCAGGTGTACAAGTAGCGCGCGGCGCGGCGGGCAGGCTTGCTGGGCGTGCGAGGGGGCGCGCCGTCAAACGTGGAGGAGCGGTGGGCGCGCCGATCCAGGACAATCGAGGGTATGACTACGTCGAGGTCATGGCTTGCCCGAGCGGGTGCATCAACGGTGGCGGTCAGTTGCGTCCGCCACCATCTGCTCAAGGAAAGGACGAGGAGGGCCTGGTGCGCGATTGGGATGCGGACGGTGTCCGAGTCCCCTCGGAGCCCCCGTTGGAGACCGACGAGCCGTTGCCGGCCCCCGTCACGGGTGTGCGGTGGGGCGACCGGGAATGGACGAAGACGGTCGAGGCCGCGTACTGGCGGGTCCTTCTAACGCCGTTGCCTACTCCACCCGCGGATGGCGTACCGGCGGGTGCGGGGTGTGCCGAGGCCGAGGCGGACGCACTCGCCGCCCGAGTGCTTGTCGAGGCAACGCGCGCGAAGGGCATGGGGGAGATCGTGGGCTGGGACGTGAGACTAGATGAGGAGGCGGAAGGAAGGCGAACGATGATGTTCAGGACGCAGTATCGGGCGGTGGAGAGCGAGGTGATTGGGCTGGCGGTGAAGTGGTGAGTCGACGATGCGTCGGTATAATCGACCTCGGACGCTGTAGTGTATGGTTCACGATGCCCACTCGAATAGATGTAATATTGTTTTGCGCACACCGCTATAGATCTGCGCCCTACCTGGGCCTGAAGTTACACGTAAAGTCGTTTGGTTCGAATCAAGCATGACTGAAATAGACTTGATCGAACGATGACGACATGAGCGAGCTTGCGCTACGTTGTGTATGCGGACACTACTAGGGGACTAAATGGACTATAGCGTATAGAGACGACACGGAGGGTCGCAGTGGTATGATTGATCTCCTTCCTTCCTTCCTTCATGCGCACGAGCGTAGATGCACGCCCAAGGGTAGCACCATGCGCTGCGGTGCAGGCTGAACCTGAAACTGAGGTAGTGGGGCAAGTGTAGGTATGGATAGGCTATAGGATTACGAGAATAAGAAGCGGGGGCACGGAAAACAATTGAAAGGCATGACAGCACCTATGATACAACAGCGGAATTTGTCGTGGCGGGGGAGGCGTCTTGGATACGGAAATAGGATGTGCAGATGCGGGAACGCGTAATGGGAGATGATTACGAGACGGATGGGGGGAAGTGGTACTTGGTGTCGAGGACAGCAAGCGGCGAGAGGGACAGCAGATTGCAAGAACAACTCGTGACAGAGAGAGAGCATGCGGATGAGGCGGAAAGCGACTAGACGGGGAGTAGGATACCGGGGGCGTGAGGGTGGCAACTCCGCGCTCACGACGGGGGCTGCGTGCGGACGACGGACGGCCCCCATGTGCGGAGGTGGCGCGGGTGGTCACCGCGGTGGTGGAAACGGTGGTGGCGCGGCGGCGACCGACTACCGCCTGCCTGGCTTGGACATCGTGTGGGCGTAGTACGGTGCGCACTCGGGGCAGTAGCCGCGGTAGACGGCAATCACCTTCTCGGAGGCATCGGGGCCGAAGTACTGGGTGTATGGGTGAGATGAAGAAAGGGGCGGGAGAAGGGAAGGGGACGAACGCGGTCGCACGAGCAGCCGGGGCAAGGGTTTGGGTGGCGGCGAGAATTATAACAGTACGGGCTCTCGCAGTCGATCTTGCGCAGTTTCCTGGTCTGTGGCGATGTGCGGGGTGAGTACAGCCGCGAACTCTAAGCGCAGGTGAGACTTACGATGATGTAGTGCTAAACAATCAATAAAAGAGCACGATGACGTCAGCGAGCGCCGGAGAAGTACGCGGATGAGGGACGGACCCCACAGTCATACTTGGCTCCTTCGCTGGGAACGGGGCCAGGTGAGCTCGGCGGGTGGGAGAAAAGCGAGAGGCTAGACCCACGTATCGAGGTTGCACATGTCGAAGGCACAGCGTTGATGGAAACCTTAAGGCTAACGGAGACGGAAGGTTAAGCGATCGGAGAAGCGTCGAGGTCGTGATGGCTCACGAGACTGGCGGGTGGGGTGCGCGGGGGAGCGGGGAGGAGAGAATAGGACGAGGGAGAGGAGGCGGGGAGAGGAGGCGGAGAAGATCTGCACTTAGGGGCGGGAGGACTCGGAGCGGGACAGGGGAGCGGAGCGTGGAGGAGGACGGGGAGTCGCAGGCAGGCTTTATACAAGTCCGTGTCCGAACACGAGAAAGCGGCGGGCAGACGGGCGCTGGCGAGCGTGACAGCTCTGTGCGCTCGCTCGACGAGGGCTGCTGATCCGGAAAGATCGATAACGGCCGGCAGCACGAGCATGAAACAGCCCCGCGGTTGGCAGGCAGATGCAGGGCAGATGCACCCGATAGCGGGGGTGTTGGCCACCGCCGGCCACCGACCAACTCAACTGCTCGGCCACACCGCCTGCGAGATTCACCCGCGGCTTCCTCCGGACCCGGCTGTCACTCTGCCGTGCCCGCCAGACCACGGTCGCCGTCCGCGGCACGCTCCGTCGATCGTCGCGCGTGGCCGTTATGGCCACCCGCATGTGCGGACAATGAGCAGGCCACTGCGTGCACACGGAACTCGGCACCCTCCGTCTCCTTCTGCGCGCGCACGTAATGGACAGTCTTCACACCCGCCCGCGTAGGTCATGCGCCGTCCCCCGGCGCGCACCGTCCCTTGCCCGGACCACGTCTGCGCTCCGACCCGGCTCTCGCCCCGACCTCCGACCCGTTTCCGCCACGCGCGCTCCGAACTGGGCGCCTGCCGCGGCCACGGCGCTTCTTGGCCCCCGGCATGACGGACGGACGGTCACACCCTCTGCCGCGTCCTCCGCCACCCTCCAGATGGCCTCCTCCTCTTCCCTCAACCCCACCACCCGCTCCCGTACCCTGCTCTTCATCTCATACAGGGACTCCCGCGCAGGCACATCTCGCTCCCGCCGTCCCCGCGCCATCACACACTATGACCACGCCCAGGACGCAGACGACGAGCACGAACGCCTCATAAACGCCGAAGCCGGCCAACCCTCCATAGACGCAGAACTTCCGCCTACATGGTGACTACCATCTCATATTCGGTCTCGGTTCTTCGCCCCCTCTGCATTCCAATCAACGAGCCCTCTAGCCGTGGGCAACGGGCATCCTCCCACTCCGCCTTGCCCTGCTGCGCTCGCGCCTCGTCATTGTTGTTGAGCGCGCCATGAGGGCTCGGTTGCGGACATCTATGAACGCTTCCTTTCTTCCTCCTTGACACGCGATGCTGTGCCACACAGCGAAGCCGTTTGTTCGCCTTCCGCAACACGGTCACCTCCGTGCACGTTCCCGGCCACACACCCTTCCGTGATCGGTCCACCGCGTATTCTTCCATTGTCCGCCCTCGTGTCTTTGCTGTCCCCCGTCGCAGGTGCGCGTGCCGTCCTGTGAGGAGGCGGCTTCGGGCACATGAGGGTTGGTCAATGCTCGGAGTTGTCAAAAGGCTTCTCTGCAGCGCGAGGATAGACCCGTGCGCCCGATCATGGTCAGTTGACTTGACCGGGCTGTATGCGCTGCGTCTTATGGCTTTTCGGCACGACTTCATCTCTCTGCTTTTGGAATGCATCGGCCGAGCCATTGTCTTCATTCACCGATCATTGGTTGGAACGAGGGAGACCTTGGCTTGACGGATGGTTCTATGGAGCTTTAGGGAGACGTCTGGGCGCAGTTGCATGGCCGCGGGGGCACGAGGTGGTCAGCCTCGTGCGCATAGATTCCGCTGTTGAATGAGCATATACCGACTTCACGGTTTTCACGTGCAGGGGGCAGGCTGCACGACGTCGCGGCTTGAGACGCTCTACTGCGGCTCGCTAGGGTCTTCTGACTCTGGAAGAAGTCGTCCGTTACGCCCGTCAGTGCCTTGCGTTCATCCTGCCCCCGCCAACCTGAGCAACGGTCTCTTTTTGCCGTGTTCGTAGCGCTGTGGTCGTATTAGCCCATATTCTGCGACCTGCTTGCCTCGTTGGTCGCGCGAGGTACCTACCAATCAATTCACCTCCCCGGCCAAGCGAAATGAGAAAGCTCAGGTGTTTGGCCGTGCCTCTGTTTAGAACGTCTTGCCGAGACGTTATCACGTCGCCGAACGAGCCTTGCGCCCATTCTGACCACGCCTTTTCCATCATACGTTCAGCCGCCCCGACCCAGTGCTGACATATCTTTCCCTGCAGGGTCGACATATCTGATCAAGTGAAAGAGATCCTGGCCGGAGTGCAAACCAAGAGTACGCCTCCCACAATGTACCGATATTCGTGACCTGCTTTCTGATCCCCCGTCCAGTCGCGGTGCTTGACAAGCTACATGCAAAGCATGTCCTCCCGGGATTTTCGGACCGTTCGGCAGAAGAACGGGAGATCGAGACGGCCACCACGGACATCACCAAAGTAATAGATGGCTATCGTACGCTCTGCGTAGAAACCTGCTCACGCATTCCGCATCGTGCCTGGCCAGGACTTCCGACAATGTTCGACATTGATTCAACGGATAGGATCTTCGAAACCTCATTCGTTCCCGCCCTCCCAAGCCACCGGGTCACATCACGAAGAGCTGGCTGCGAAGAACGTCCAGCGGGGCCTCGCTGCCAAGGTCCAGGAGCTGAGTGCTACGTTTCGAAAGAAGCAGAGGGTCTACATGGAAAGTGAGTGGTTCCATGTGCGCTTCTAATGCCCCGACGATCGATGGGCCTTCTGGTTGAGCGTGATGGGCTCAATGGGCGTGCAACAGAGATCCAAGGTCATGCGATCAAGAACCAGGATCTACTCGCTGCGTCCGGCGCGGTGTCGCTCAAGGGATCGGCAGGCATGTCCGAACTCGACGAAGATGTGCAAGCGGCGGCAGCAGTGAGTCACGCACGTTACCGCAACGCGTCACCGTCCGGTCCTCGGGGCTGATTGCGTTCCGTCTGCGCCGGTGCGCATCAGTCGACGGACGAGGTGGCGATCCGGCAGATTACGCAGCTCGACCTCACGGTGCAGGCGCGCGACCGCGAGCTGACGGAGATCGCAAAGTCGATCGCGCAGCTGGCGGAACTCTTCAAGGACCTTTCGGCACTCGTCATCGACCAGGGTACGCTCCTCGACAGCGTGGAATACAACATTGAGCAAACAGCGGTGCACATGGAGGACGCCGTGAGGGAGCTCGACACGGCCACACGGTGAGTGTTCCTCCGTTATACCTGCGCCTTCCGTTCCCGCTCCCGACTCCCTCGGCTTCGGTTGGATCGAGTGAACTTGATGCGCCCGCAGATGCGCGTGCATGCCTTCTCTCGATCGCGCTCGTGCCAACGCGCGCATGCGTGGCCGTCTCCTCTTCTCTCCGAAGTTCATACTGTCGGGCAGTGTGTCCGTTTCGGCAGTTTCCATCCCTTCATCTACCTGCACCTCACTCAGACGCTGCGCGAGGCCAGCGCATGTCACCGCGAACACCGGTGCTGACGAGATATCCCAGTTACCAGAAAAACACGGGTCGACGACAGTGCATCTTCCTGCTGCTTCTCATCATCTTCGGCCTCATCGTCGCGCTCATATTCAAGCCGCGCCGGCATCACCCTCCACCTCCCCCGGCGCCAGCGCCTGGTTCCCCGCCCGAGGCGAGCACGAGTTCCACCGCGGAGGTCGCGGCGCGCCGTGGCCACGACCACGACCACGACCTCGCTGCGCAGCGGACGGGGGCGGCGACAGTGACGGAGGCGCTGCCTTCTGTGCTGGACGCAGTGGCGACGCACCCCGTGCGTCTACTGCGGGTTCGGAGAGACGTTCACACTCGTGTGTATACATGAGGTTGCTTGGCGGCTGTTTCTTTTTCGAGGGGGCTCTTGTACCTGTTTTGTCTTCGTAGATAGTTCGCTTTTCCTTATTGTAGACTCGATGATAGTACTTTCTCCGCGCGTGGAGAGTTCCGACGATCGCTCTTGTCGCTTGGTTGTTGTTTATGAGTCTCCTAGGGATGTCTGCATTACGTCTGCCTGCCCACAAGTGTCCAGATGATATCCAGTTATCTGAATGAGAGGACGTGTTCATACAAGCTTGGGCGAGGTGCGGTTGACTGTTTGGCAAAATAGAAATTGTATTTTGAACACGGCGACTGCCATTCCCCCTGATACTCCTGTGCTCTACACAATTAGATGAGCGGCGGCTACGGGCTGTCGTGTTCAGTTCCATCCCGTTCAGCCCCGGCAAGACGCGGCCCGTAGACTCCCTACGCAGGGTGAAAACAACAAATGACGATGAACAACGTACTACACAGGTGTCCATGCCCCTCGCGAGGCGGCGCACGATAAACCATATCCAACCTTTAGTTCCATTTCCTCTCTGACACGAGTGTACATGTAGTACAGAATTTCGCGCACAAGTATGGGACTGTGTGTGTGTCTGTGCCTGTGGGGTGGCGCGCACGTCGCACGTCGCGTCCGAGCCGCCCTCACCACCGTTGTTAGCGACGAGGCCATCTCTGCCGTCACCCTTGAGCGCTTGAGCCAATTGTGGTGAGTTGATGGGTGTGCAACGGCGACGTCCTGATCGAGAGGCATGCGGCGAAATAAGATGTGGGTAAAAGTGCGCAGCCGCTCGAGAGTCGAATCCAATCTGGGACAGCCCTCGCGCACAGGCCGCGGTTCCGTCAGTTCTCGGTCAGAGGTCTCTCCCATCGCCCATCTCGAACTTGCATCTCGCATCGTCGTCCGTCGACGTCCCTTCCTTGCTTACCACCACTGCTCTCTTCGTCGCCTCGCTCGTCTCTCAGGCAGGCACCGGTCCTTTCGCACTCTGTCTTCCGCGCCGCCTCGGCAACCTTCGCATCTTCTGTAACGACGGGCTTGGAGGTGCCTCTATCTCCGGAAGTGACAAGCCCCGAGTTCCGGTGCTCCCACCGTTCGACCATATACTCCAGCTCGTCGGCGGCTCGCGCGACTCGACCACCCTCGCCACAATCTCCTCGGGCAGGACGCTGCTGCGCACTGCGCTTGCGCCACTCAAATTCGACCACAAAACTTGAACTCTCTAATTCCCGACCTCTTTGCGAGCCATGAGCATCCCCATGCGCACCCTCGACTACGGCGGCAGCGGTGGCGGCAGCGACTCGCACGCCGGCTCGCCCTTCTCCGACGACCACGCGCCCTCGCCCGTCACCGGCCGGCCGCTCCTCCAGCACGCACAGACCGTGCCGCTCCCGACGCCGTCGACGGGCCCACACGTGCGCATGACGGAGCCCCCCGCGGGCCCGTACGCGCGCGCGTACGACGCCGAGAGCGCGCAGTCGTACCCCGTCCGCTCGGGGCACCGCGGCTCGGGGCACGGGTACCCGCGCGCGGGGAGCCCGGGGGAGAGCCAGGACATGGACGGCGGGGCGGGGCGGAACGCGAGCTGGGACCTGCTCGCGGGGGTGCGGAAGTTCGAGCAGGGGTACGAGCGGTTCGACACGCGGAACGCGAGCGAGGCGCACCTCCAGTTCGCGGACGGGGACGTGCCGAAGAACGGGGTGAGTGGATCCTTTCGGTTCGTCGGGTGGAAGTGGAGGGGGATGGAAGGAGCTGTAGAGGGAGGTCGCGAGAGTTCGGTGGGCTGACGGGGCGGTTGTCTTGCAGCTCTCGAGGCTGTATCAGTATCTGCTGAACGTGTCGATCGTAACGAGGTGGGCGATCTTCATTGTGCCCGTCTTGGGGATTCTGTGGATCCCTGGTATTCTTGGTCTCACCAAGTTTCCCGACACGAAGGTACGAGAAACCGTCCCGACATCTTTGCGCATGAGCTGAGGGGACTACTGGGTAATAGTTCGAGGGGGTGAGGCTTGTGTATTGGAGTATATGGTTATCTGTTATGTGGGCCGGTGAGTCATGAGTCTTTTGTGACGCGATAGATCGATAGTCCTTAACTAACATGGCGTATTGCTTAGGATGGTGGGTTGCGCTCGCAGCGAGGTAGATATTCGCTTCAGCTGGGCGCTCCAATTGACTCACACCTTCAAAGTATGTTTCTGCCGCATTTCCTACGGCACACGGCTGGCGTCATAGTGGTCGGCACCAGGAAGTACATCGAATGGCTTTCAGTGCTGCATCGGTTCGTCGAGTGCACATACCTTGGAATCCATTGAACGAGCTGACGTCTCGGCCGTGTAGGTATGCGGCATTTTTTGGGTGGTCACTGGCCATTTGGGTGGCCTTCCAACCTTTGATCAATGCCAGACAAGAAACGGACAGTACCAGCCAGCAGAAATTCATTGACACTGTCAGCAAGCTCCTCTTTGCTCTCATGCTCTCTGCTGCGTTGTTGTTTGGAGAGAAGCTATCCATCCAGTGGATCGCCGGCAAGTTCCACGAACGGTCGTATGCCGGTGCGTGAATAATGAAATGTATCTGACAGCAAGGCTGACATGATCTTCGCCTCTGCAAGAGCGTATTGCCGACCAGAAGTTTGCCGTGCGCTCTCTCGTCACACTATATGCGCACTCAACGGACATCCCGTGGCGCGCGGACACTCTCAAGGATGGTGACAATGCAGACAGATCCGCGAACGGCAAACGCAAGACTTTGAACCCTCAGAGGCTCTTCAAGAAGGCGCTCAAGGGCGTTCGCGGTGTTGCGACTACAACCACAACCGTCCTGGGCAATGTTGCGTCCGAGATTGCTGGAACGTAAGCGAACTACGCCCCGAGGACGCGCGATACCGATTAACTCGATTTCCGCCTTAAATTAGGTCTGTTCTGCAGCCAGATTCCCCTCAGGCGAAAGTCAAGACCGCACTCGAGTCCGCAAACAAGTCCAGACTGGTCAGTCTCCGCTTCCAACGTTCAACATTTTGCTGACACCAAGCAGCTCGCGCGCCGTTTGTTCTATTCCTTCGCTCGCCCGGGCTCGGATAAAATGTTCGTTGAGGACATCTTGCGTTTCTTTGCTACGTACGACGAGGCCGAACAAGCCTACTCTATCTTCGACAAGGACATGAACGGTGACGTCAGCCGCGATGAGATTGAGATGGCATGCATGTATGTGCTGACCCTCCTCGCCGGAACATGTCCGGAATGCTTACGGTAATATCCTCAGGGAAATCCATCGCGAACAGCTCTCGATCGAGCACTCAATGAGGGATTTGGACAGCGCTGTCGGTCGCCTGGACAACATTCTCATGAGTTTGTATGCCATCGCGGTTGCGCTCATTTTTGCTGTCTCGCTTGTGCGTCTCTTTCTCAAGGCTCATTCTTCGCCCATTTGTTGATTTATTTTTCGCAGGAAGCTTCCGTGGCTACCCTCCTGTCCAGCGCCGGAACGCTGGTCCTTGGTACGTTAGCTCCTTCGCCTGCGGTCCTGCTTATTCTGACCTGCTCATTCAGGTCTCAGTTGGCTCATCGGTGGCAGCTTGGCGGAAGTGCTTACCAGCATCATCTTCCTGTTTATCAAGCATCCATACGATGTCGGCGACCGGGTCGAGATTGACAAGATCACGTACACTGTCAAGGAGATTCGTCTGTTGAGCACCATCTTTTTGGACATCAACGGATGTCTTGTTCAGGCGCCAAATACTGTTCTCAACGCTCAACCCATTCACAACATGCGGCGTAGCCCTCAGGTGGGTCCAAAGTCGATTCTCAGTCGATTATAACGCTCATCGTTGTTCCCAGATGTCTGAGCCGTTCGAATTTGACGTGTCTTACGGGACAACCTTCGAGCAAATTGAGCGGCTCCGGGCTGTTATGCTTTCGTTCGTAAAAGCGGAGCGCAGAGATTACCTGCCAATCTTCGACGTCTACGTCATCGGTACGCATCGCTCTTATTCCCCCGTTCGACTCCCGTTTCTCATTTCCACTTGCATATTAGACATGCCCGCGCAGGAAAAACTCACGCTGAAGGCGGACATCAAGTACAAGAGCAACTGGCAGCAAGGAACGCTGAGAGCGCAACGACGGAATAAGTGGATCTGTGCGCTCAAAGCCTCACTCGAGAAGCTGCATATCTACGGGCCCGCAGGTCCTCCGTCCGGTGCTCCAGCTCCGATCAAGTATACGCAAGTCCCGTACTCCGACGTGCTCAAGCAAGAGGAGGAAGAACGGCACTCGCGCAAACCCACGTCTGGCAGCGACGAGCTACACATCCCGAAGTCGGACTGGACGTTCTCGGACCCGAACTCCTCCGCCGGTACGTATTCCTTCTTCTCTTGCCCTCTTCATCAGTCGCTCTTTTCCCGCTCGCTTACGCGCCCCTTTCTCGGCAGTCGACAACTCGCAAGACGTGTTCGACGAAGGCAGCCAGCTCTACCGCCCCACCCAGACGCCCGACGGGTCCGTGCGAGGGCAGCCTCCGATGGCGATGCCCAGCGCGGTCACGATGCCGGCGATGCCGATGCAGGGCATGCCCTCGTCGAGCGAGCGAGGGCCGGTGATGGAGGAGATCGAGCTGCGGACGCCGCGCGCGGACCAGCTCACGCACAACATCTGAGTTGACGTTCGGAGCCCGTGCTGTACAGGAGACAGAGATCGCGCTCGGTCGCGGGGGCACGACAGAAAGTACGCAGAACCAGGTCTAATTGGGGCTTAGGCCCACGCATCTAGAACGTCCGACGCACACATGTATAGTTATTCGCATCCTCCCATCCCGATCCCGTACCTCGACTCGTTCGTTGCTCTCACTGCCACCCTCCGTAGTGCAGCCCCGTCTCCGCCTCCGCGGCTGGAACCGTAGCTTGTGCTCGAGTCGGTGTATGCTCGCATATCTATATATTCAATCTGCTTTCTTGACCTCGTATTCATGTGTACCATGGCGAACCCCCAAGGCTCCAAAGTTAACCGCTGCACTGCCTAATGCTATGGTAGCGTTCTATTCCGATATCAATGCGAGCATAATAACACATCACGGCTCAGACGCCTCTACACAGTTTCCTGGGGCCGAGCAATCAGCTTCAAAGCACTGACCGCACCAGACTCCAGCCTGTCCAAACCAGCCTGGATCCCAGTAAGTCCACCGGTCAGCACTTCGACTTCGTTCGGCTAGAAACAAGATATCGCGGCCTTAGATGACGTCCAGATGGCCTCCACAGTGCGACGACGTACCACGAGCTCGCCACTCTCAAGCCATCCCGCGACCCTTTTGAACATCTCGACACCGACCTTGCGGTTTTGAGGTAGATGCACGTTTCCGACCATCGTGAGGGTTTTTTTGTCGTCCGACTTGATCTCCGCAGGGATCTCGTCGTACTGAGTGATGATGAGCGTGTTTCCAGGCGCGAGAGCCTGGTAGCCTAGGATTTGGGTCTCCTGGAACGAGACCGTGTCGAAGACGAAGTCGATCGGTGCGCCTCCGGTAATCTTCTTGAGCTCCGCAAGAATAACCTCTGTAGAAAGGGAGCGGTCGAGAGCATGGGTCACGCCGAGAGATTTGAGCAGCGGCTCGTTGCGGGGTGAGGCAGTCGCGATGATGGGCGAGAACTTGGACATCTTCGCCATTTGAATTGCTGCGCGGGGCAGAGAGATGCAGATCAGGGGTATGCCCTGTGAAGTACCACGCAAGACGGATTGGTTTACGTACCGTACTGTCCAACGGACGAAGAACCACCGATGATGAACGCTGGCTTGCCCGCGCACTGGGTCAGCCCTCCTTCTTCCCATGGCGCAGGGAGGCTGACAGACGCCGCCTGCGGATCGTGACCCCACATTCCTGTGATGACCGTGGCAAGGCCGAGAGGGATAGATGCGACCTGGTCAAACGAGAAGCCATCCGGGATCTAATTAGGGGCGACGGGTCAGTCGCGTTCTGTGCACGCCGATTCAACAACGCCGTACCTTAGCTGTGATCTCCGCCGGAACGACGCAATATTGTTGAAATGTGGCTTTGGGGTTCTCAAACCAGCCCTGAAAGAAACTGTGGGAAAATCATTAGCACCAATAACCCAGATGGTTGAACATAGTCCTACGAACACCCTGTCGCCCTTGACGAGAGTGACAACGTTGGAACCCGCATCCTCGACGACGCCGGCGGCATCTGTCCCCCCGATGAACGGGTACTCCTGCGCCCAGAAGCCATCTCGCTGGATCTTGACGTCGATGGGGTTCAGAGCGGTAGCTACGATCTTCACAAGGACCTCGTCCGGTGCCGGCTTTGGAATCGGTGAGGGGCCAAGTTCCCAGTTGCCGCCCTTGACCGGGAGGAGGAGAGCCTTCTGAGTCGACATTTCTTGCCTGAGCTAGCGCGGATGAGAGGGGACAGTGACCGTCATTGTCGAGCGTTGGCTTATATGCTCCTTGGAGGGCTCCCGCCAGCACAGAGACTGCCATTGGTGTTGACGGCTGACGAACCAATAATCTCCGGGGCACGGACGTCGGGTGAAGAAGCACTCAAACCCAGTCTGCCCTGTCCCCGACCTTCCCACGACTTGGATCCCTTCAAGCAGAGCTGACGCCGGTTAATTGAACTTCGCGCTGAGGCCGCGTTCTTGGATAGGTTTAACGATTGTATTGTCACAGAAGTTGTACCTGTGGTTCAGCCCGTCTGGGCATGACTCGTGTTCTTCCAGAGTAACTTGTATCACACAACAGCGTAGTACAACCTCCAAAACCACCGCCAGCGTCCTTCCAACTTCTGCCTTTGCGCTTCGTCGTCGGCGACGTCCTCCGGATCCTCTTCGTACTCATCTAGTGTCAAATCTACCGCTTGGATATCCACCAAATCGCCGATGTTCCAACCATGCTCGGCCCCTGTGGCCGGGGTATCTTCTTCGTCGGGAAGGGAAACAGGAAGGGATATAGAGGATTGGCGCTTGACGACCACCCAAGCGAAGTACATTACCACCATCACAGGTATCTCCACATAGAACGAGACGAAATATACCAAGGAGAAGTGAGGTATGACAGATGACCATCCTTGGACTAGATAACGCGATCGTTAGCCTTTCCCTCACTTCGGACCTCGCAAATATGAAGACTTACTGAGGATGAGTCCGATGACGCTGACGATCTGTACGTCAATGTGAGCGTGACGCCATATGTGGATGATCAGGAGACTCACTACGAAAGGTGGACCCCAAGGCCACGTCCAGCCAGCAACGAACTTCATCTCATACAGAGGGCGGCCCTGGCGTATCCAAGCCCGCCGAAACCGCCAGCTCGCCAGCCCGATGGACAACCACGCAATCTGTGTAATGGCCCACAACGTCGGCATACGGCGCATCTTGCAGGACAGTAAGACGGAGCGCACCTGATTGGATACCCCCACGATGTTCTGCAGCCAACCCCAGAGCTCTCCGTTGTTGACGAAACTGGAGCCAAAGCAGAGGACGCTCACGCTGCTCGTGGCAAGGAGAGCGGGGAGAGGGACTCCTGCGTTCGTCGTGCGCCCGAAAAGGGTTGGAGCCTGAGGAGGGGAATTAACTGCGAGGCTGTACAGGACGCGCGTTCCTGCGAATAGTGCATGGTTGCCGGCGGATAGAACCGAGGTAAGGATGACGGTGTTCATGAACGACGCGGCAACCCCTGTTGAAGCGATAGAATAAGCTTGTTTATATCCCAATGGTTACGTGAAGAGGGACTCACTGGACCCAGCCATCTGGAAAACGATGGTGAATGGCGAAGTAGTGGTTTCTTTGTTAGAGAGTCCAGGGTAGTTCCAAGGGACTGGACATGTGCGCGGCATTATCTGACTGAGCACTGCTACTACAAGTACAACATACCGTTTAGGCCCATGAGCAGGATGCTCAAAACGTAAAAGAGCAGAATCCTCCAGAACACGAACTTCACGACCTTCGGCATGGTCTTGGTCGGGTTCTTCGTTTCTCCGGCAGTGATTCCCAGGGACTCAGTCCCGCCATCTGCTCAAGGGTCAACGAGATATATTGCAATATATTCATTGTACGTACACGCGAAGCTTGCTGTAACGAAGACTCGCGCGAACCCGCCAAACCCACCCACGAACGGAGCTCCAGGAATACGCCAGTTCTTCGTACCGATAAATTCATGCTGCTGGTTGACCCCAACGTTGACCAACACGCCGAGGATGATGAACACCACAACTGTGACGACTTTCAACGATGAAAGCCAGTATTCTGTGAAGACGTGAGTACATTGCCCAGGCCGCAATCCGTGCATGCACCCACCCAGTTCTCCATATGCACGAACATGCGCTGCGTTGATCGCCACCAAAAAGATCCAAAAGACAAGACTGACGATCCATGTATGCCCTGTAGTCCAGTACTGGAGAACCAGCTGAGCGGCTGTAAGATCCGAAGCGACCGATACCGCGTCGTTGAACCAGTAGTTCCATGATAATGCGAACCCGAAGGCTGGTGAGACGAAGCGAGTCGCGTAGACGTTGAATGACCCTGTCACAACTGTGAGCATCCTTAATGAATCTTCAAATTGAAACGCGTCACGCACCTGCTACCGGATATTGCGTCGCCATCTCACCAAGGAGCAGAAGGGTGACATACACGATGAACCCAACTAAGCCGTAGCATATAAGCATGCTTGCAGGCCCGCCCTGCGCCAATGAACGACCGGTGCCTAGGAAGAGGCCCGTTCCAATGGTCCCGGCAATGGCGATCATTGAGACTTGTCGCACGGACAGGGCGCGGTGGAGACCTGCCCGTTTCTTGTTCACCGCTAAGGTAGGAAGGGCAGCGACGGGGGCGTGGGGGTCTTCCATAAAGCCAGGATGAGGCGGGTTTTCTGGGGGCCCTGACATAGGCAGCCTGGTAGACGCGTCTCTAGTCACAGAGGTAGGTGAACTTGCTTCCGACTGGGAGGTTGACCTATGGGAAGATATGGAAGGCGTATGTGTGACTTGAGTGCTCGAAGAAGGGTGAGAGGAAGCACAGCGCGCGATCTATGGCATGAGGGCAGAGGAAGACTAAGCAAGGACTATGATAGTTCAGCCGAGGGGCATAGAGGGGGAAGGCGTTGGGCAAGACTCACGCCGCACGCGTCGCGTCTGTGTTGGCTCGCGGGTCCATCACGTGCTCACAACGCTCAGCCTGTGGCAGCCCGACAAGTTGTTCAGCGGCGGAGCGTACGCACATAACGTGCTCCGTCTCCTCCTACTTGACCGCAACCTCCAGCTGCCTCATCGTCATGCAGTCGGGCGACGCAGAGCCTATTGTCAGGATACGCGAGTTGCAGAAGAACCATGCCAACTTCGTGATTCAAAACGTCGACCTCTCGTCCGTATTCCCTCAGCCACATTCGCGTCGCGCGCTGAATACTGAATACACGATGTTGCTAGCATCGCGAATTCGATCCGCCGGGTCATGATAGCGGACATTCCTACAGTGGGTGAGTGTGCGGCGTTGTTCGTGAAAGAGCCATGTCAAGTTGACTCTCGCTTCAGCAATCGACATGGTCGAATTCGAGAGCAACACCGGCGTGCTGCCGGACGAGTTCATCGCGCATCGACTTGGTATGATTCCACTGGTCAGCACGGCATGCGATGAGGCAATGCGCTATACGCGGGTGGGTCTCCTTGTTTCATTTGTTCTGCGTTTACCGACCCCATCTCCGTGGCTAGGACTGCACATGCGAAGTTCGCTGTCAATATTGTGCCATCGAGCTTGTCCTCCATGTCTCATGTAATGAGAAGGGGTATACCATGGAGGTTACCAGCGACATGCTCGAAGTCGTGCCGACCACCAGGCCGGGCGGTGGCTTCGGCTTCGATGCGGACGACGGTGGAGAGGAGATGGCAAAGCGGGTGGAAAACTTCGGTCATCCTGTGGGAAAAGGTGCGTGCATTTCGTCTTCACCATGGCATGTACATGCTGGACCTTTTACTCGACATTTAGGCGATCCGGACAAGCCGCCAATCCTGATTTGTAAACTGCGGATGGGGCAAGAGCTTAAGCTTCGCTGTATCGCGAAAAAGGTGCGCACATATCATTCATACCGCGACAAGCACCTTCTCATTGTGATTCAGGGTATTGCGAAGGAGCACGCCAAGTGGTCCCCTTGCGCAGCGGTCGGTTTCGAATATGACCCTCACAATAAGCTCCGCCACACGACATACTGGTTCGAGAACGACGCGCGCGAGGAGTGGCCACTGAGCGAGAATGCGAAGGAGGAGGAGGTGCCACGAGACGACCTCCCCTTCGATTACAACGCGAAGCCTAACAAGTATTATATGGACGTGGAGACGGACGGGAGCTTGGGAGCGCAAGAAGTCATCCAAAAGGTACGGGGTGCGGCCATTCTATCATTCTTCACGCGTATACGCGGGACCGCGCAGTGCAGCATGCACTTCTTCCTACTACCTCCTGTGTCTGTGTGCCGGCTGTTTGCCTCTGCAGTTTGTCTGACCACTGCCTCCATACAGGGCCTGGCGGAACTTCAAACGAAACTCGCTAACCTCATCCTCGGTCTCAAACCAGAACCCCCAGAAGCCGACGCATTTCAAAGCGGCACTGGCGCCCCTGTCGGCCATCCCAACGGGCACGACGCGGCCGCTGCGCCGTGGGGCGCCCCTCCGGCTGCGGGTCCCGGGAGTGCTTGGAGCCCAGGGCGCATGGCCGGTGGGTCAACAGGGACGTGGGGCAGTCCCAACCGTGGGGGTGGGACGGCCGGGTGGGGCAGCAGCCCGGCGAACGCGGCGGCGCCGTGGGGGGCGTCGCCCACCACTGGCGGTGCGGGTGCGGGTAGTGCAGCTACGGGTGGAGGATGGGGATCGCCTGGGGCCGCGGCGGGTTGGGGCAGTCCGTCACAGCAGCAGAACGGGTGGAATGTGGGCTAGAGCGGCTTGAGTGTCCAGTGCAGGTCGTGGTGTATTTGTACATTCTGCCATCTCTATCGTTGGCATCAAACTCGTACACATCTAGCGTGCGGGTCGTAGCTCTCAGAGCGTCGAAAGGAACGCGAGGAGGTCCTTCTTCGCGGTCCCGTTTTCCTCCCACTCGCCTTGCATCGCCTTCGTCAGCGGGGCCAACGCCGCCCGCTTCTTCTTCCCGTCCTCCCCGAACGCCTTGCCCAGCACCTCCCGCGCCTCCTTCGTGACCGCCTCGACCGTCCCGACAGGCGTGTACCCGGTGCGGCAGATGGGCTTGAGGCCGTCCCCGGTGCGCACCTCGAGCAGCTCGTAGCCGACCGCCCAGTTGTCGGTGATCGTGCACGCGTTCTGCGCCTGGTCGCCCGTAAACGGCCACATGATCATCGGCACGCCCGCGACGATCGCCTCCGTCACGCTGTTGTGCCCGCCGTGGCTGATGTACCAGCCCGTGGCGGGGTGGTGGAGGATGGACTGCTGCGGGGACCAGGGCGAGAGGACTCCCTTGCCGTAGGCGTCCACCTTGGCGCGCATCTCGTCGGGGATCTGGGCCATCGGGGAGGCGTGGCTGAAGATCTGCACGGGGCCGCCGGGAGGGGTTAGTAGACGGGAGCACAGCGTCGAGTGGATGGGCTTACGAATGGGATGTTCAGCTCCATGATCACGTCCAAGACCGCCCAGAGCTTCTCGGGGGAGCTGACTGGCCAGAAGGCGGATCCGAGAGACATCTAGTGCGAGCACGTCAGCTAAACCGGGAACATATCAGCACAGTCGCGCGAGACGCACGTAAAGCACCGAGTTCGGGCCAGACGTCGCAAGCGTGTCGTCGAGGAACTTGAAGATCGATGGGCCGTTCAGCGATGCCGCCTTCTCCTTCTCGAGCACGAACTCGACCGACGACGGCGGGAGGAGCGGGCCCATCGCGTACACGGGCCGTCCAGTCTTCCCGAACCAGTCGCGCACGGCAGCGACGGCCTCGGGCTCGTACGACTCCGCGGTGATGAGGAACGCGCCGGCCGTGGACTCGATCAGGCTGCGAGTTAAACGTGCGCGCCTTCAACGAAGTGATCAGGCTCAGTTGCGGGCGTCGCTTACTCGAAGACGTGTGTATACATCTTCAGGAGCGCCGCTTCGTACCCTGGGAAGGTGAACTGTGCGACCGTGAGCGTGGATTAGTCAAGCCGACGATCCTCGGGGCGGGGCCGTACCTGTTGGGGATTGGCTTCGTAGTCGTACATTGGAGGGAGGCCGGGGACCTTGACGACTCGGCCAGTGGACTTGAGACAGAACTGGATCCCGGCGAAATTATGGCTCAGCGACGTGCGCTGGAGAGGCAAGGCTGCCGAGCGTACCTCCATGCCAACCTCGTCGTAAGATTTGCCTGTGCGCGCGACTTCCTCCTTGATCTCACTGTCTATGCTTCCACGCCCACCGATATATTTGGGGCTGAACGTCTGCAAGGTGGCAGCAAGCATCCCTACGAGATTGGTGTAGATCTTGACTGAGTCCCCGCTGACCTCCCGAATGGTCTTGTGTGCGTCGATGGCAATCGACTGATAAGACAACGTTAGCGTGGAGAGTGCGACCTCGGGGGGATCGCATTGGCATGCGTACGTCAATGATCACGACGGAGGGTTTGGGCAACGCGGGGAACGTTTTGCCGGTAGATGCGCAGGTCACCTCCTTCCCTGCATCGATCGCACGCCACATGTTTTCAAAATCGGCTTCATGTCCTGGTGCGGCGCCGAGAAAGTTGCTGACGTCTCCGCCGGACACTAGCCTGGTAATACATGGTCGAATGAGCACAGTTCGAAGATTGAGTCATGCCCTAGAAGGTCTCACCGCACGCGGGACGCAAGGCTTTCGTCTTCCAAGCTCCTAGCCAGTTCCAGCGACGCCAGTCCGTGGAAGACGCTGTTCACGAGGACGGTGCAGTGAACGTCGGGACTGAACTTGGCTAGGAGAACACAGAGGTTCAAGCACGGGCGGACGTGGCCTATACGAGAGTAGCAATGAGCTCTCTGAACGGAACTGACTGCGCGAGTACCCACCCCAGCCTGCGAGAGGATTAGCGAAGATGTGGGTGGGAGCCATGAGAGGTCAGTTGGTGGATGATGGAGCGTAGCGTTGATAGTGTCTTATAGTAACCATGCCGCACCTCGACCCTCGGTTAGCGTCCAAGTGACACCATTTCGAATCGATGTCGGATCGTGCTGGCAGCGCCGGGAGTTCGGCTAAGGAACTTTCGGCCCTCCGATTGTGCTGTCCCTGGTGGGTGTGTACACATTGTGGTTGCTTTGCAAATGGATGGCTTCTCAGCAGAGCGCGAAACGCGAGCGGAGCGCGCCCAGGAAGGGGGGACGGGCGATCATGCCAGAGTTCGAAGAGGATATTCCGGGCGGCGGTGTGTCCGCAGCTCAGTCGGTTTCCGCCACGACTAGCTCGAGACGAGAACGGTGACAGGATGGGCATGGGATGGTGGTAGTGAATTGATGAAGACCAGTGCACGGGCCTTGAGCAAATCGCAAGGTCGCTTTGCTCAGTCTCAGGCTCAGGAGCGCCGCGATTTCAATTTCAGGCCTTGGCGCCGTGCGACTTTGCAATTGACTCTCAGGTCCCTGCATCGCCGTCCTCCACTTCTTTCAGCCTCTTCTACTCTCCCCCTCACTCGTTCTGCTGTTCGAGCGCTGCTGCACGATGCTCGGCTCGGGCCTCGCTACAGATGGTCTCTGCCGTCGTTCCCGTGATCGTGAGGATACGGGGTGTGCGCCGGACCTTTTCTCGAAGTGAGCGACTTTCTTCGGCCCAGCCTCTAGCCTGTACGCTCTACAAGAGAGAATCGCCGTCTCGATTCTTGCGTTTCTTGGCAAACGTCTCTGGCAACCACCACTGGCTGTTGCTTGTTACGTTGGGCGTTGCTGTTACGTCGACTTGAAGGCGCATCGTACCGTCGTCCGGGTTCGATACACTCTGAGAGACGCGAGCTGTAAGCGGTAATGCCTTCAGCGGTCGTCTTCGAGATCTTCGCGACACGCACATCCGTCGACGTTGAGGAAACGTGAATTTGTACGTCATAGAGATGTGCGCAGATTCTCGGATAGGGCTTCGGTCACAGATATCTCGCGCGGGAGCCACAGTACCTCGAGAGCATGTCTGGATCTCTCGCCGGCGAACGCTAGGACGCGAGCCACTGTCTCAGTTTGCGTAGCTTGCTCCCGGGAGTTCGCGCGGACGTCGAAGGAACATACAAGGATGTCGGGGTTGCGTGTACGGACCGCGGTATTGGTGTGGATGCTCGAGTTCGTCACGGGTGGAGCGTCTGTATCCGGCACACGGGGTGTTAGAACTGTGCACGCTGAAATCGGTGTTGTGCGCCCGAATGTATAGATGGGATGCGAGGAGATCGATGCGACGGGTAGAAGACTCGACTCGGACCGCGCATATGCCGTGGAGATCTCGCGCGAGCTCTCCTGCATGTCCGACGCGCGAATACGTATGATATCCTCCTTGTTCGGATACCTCGTTGCAGGTGAAGCGACACCGAGCGCTGCACCGGAGGCAGCCTCGTGTTGTGTTCTTCTGAAAGATAAATTCAAAGGGACTAGATGAAGCGGAGGAACACACGTGCGCAGCTCACGCCAGCATGCTCACGAGCACTACCAGTATGTACTAGCCATGGCCTGCCAAATCTCCTCGTGGGAGCGTACGCTGCCAAACCAGCCCAGCCTTATAGACGCCATGATCTTCCCAGTGCCGTCGTTGTTCGAATCCTGTCTCTTCCCCCTTTCGTTGCCACTCTCAGATCTCCTGGCATGGTCGCACTGCTGGACCTCGTTGACGATGTCCTTGTCGAGTTCATCTCCTATCTCGATTCCTCGGCCGCTCTCCGCTTCGCCTTGACCTCCCACTCTGCTTATCGCCTCGCAATCTGCCAAGTCTGGACCACGCTTTCCCCACCATTGTCCCCCCTTCTACCACGCTTACTGGACGCCATACTTGATTCTGACCCACACTTTCCTTCTAAATCTTCCCCTCGTGCCCGATACCTTCGAAAGCTGAATGTTCCCTGGGCCATAAAAGAAGACTCTTTCGGACACGATTCCTTGGCCCGAATCCTACGCCAAGCAACGTAACTCCGCACCCTCTCAATCCCTCAATTAGAGTGCGGAGCACAGGAAGCAAGCATCGTTGAAGCTCTCGGAACTCTGCGGCAACAACTGTCTTGCTCAACGAGATCTCGCTCTCCACACTATCCAAGACACTCACCTGCGACAAGCTTCACACCTTAACCTTGAATCCTCCTTCATGTATAAGCCACTACCTCGATCCATATTACACCCTCCAAGAGGTTCTGACCTTCCTGTCCTAATTTCGCTAATTGAAGGACCTGAATCTTGCTTTGAGGCTCAGGGTAACGGACGTCACCTCTCCCGTGGTGAATACAGTCCTCCCCTCTCTCTGCAGCCTGGAAGTCAGGAGAATTGCTGGGGACGTCATCGGCCCTCTTGACACGCTTGGCGTGTTCCCCGATGCTCTCCGATCTCCACCTCCCTTTCGGGGTCGACGAAGCGAGGATGTCGGACGCTCCCTCTCCACAGTTTCGGTGGCCCGCACTCCGCACGCTCAAGTACACAGGCTCGTGGGATCAGGTGGGGATGCCACTTCCCCTCAAGCAGCGCCTCGGTCGTGCGATGCACCTAGTAGTGTTTTCACCCACCTTCTATCTGGATGCGGAAACTCTCAACGTTCCAAGCTGGTCCCCGGACCTATTGAACCACTACTGCTGCACACATCCAGAAGAACTCTTTGAAGTGGTTTCAGAGACCAACCCTATCGCGCTGTCGCTCTCTTTCGATCTGCAGGCGCAGCATACACCTGACCCCTCGCCACGCCTCATGTTTTGGACCGAGATGAGCAGGTTGCGCTCTCTAGATCTGTCGATCTCTGCCGAAGACTACGCCTTCGTTCAAACCACAGTGAGCGCGGGCCGCCGCCAACGCGCTCTCCCCCGCTCACCAATTCTCGCTTTGCCCCACAGCTCCAGTGCCAGCTCCCCGTAGTCCTCACTGTGCTCCCACTCGTCCACCTCGGGCTCGAGATGCCCTTGATGCCTTGGTTTCTTCCGGATTACCTCTTCCATCTGGACGAACTCAGGGGAACCGAGGACATCCTCGCCCAGGAACTCGCGCGGGCGGGCGCGCTCAGCGCGGTCGCCGAAGAGCTCCCGCGAGCGATTCCGTCGCTGCGCGTCCTCATGGTGACGCCGTGCAGGTCCAGCCTCCCGACGGCGCGGGACCTCGAAGGGATCCGCTCAATGTCACCCGGCGAGAGACGATCAGAGGCGACGAAGGAGATACGGCAGCGCACGACGGTGGGCGGGCGGAACACGCGGTGGTGCTGGATCGAGAGGGGGTCCGGGAGTGTGCCACGCGTTGTGTTCATAGGCACAGACTCGGGGGAACACGACGAAGTGGAATCTGGATGCACCAGGGAGGCTGAGGGTGGAGGACCTTGCGTGTGTCATTGGTGACGATTGAATGGGCGGAGACCGGACAGACGACACACGGTGAGGTAAGAGGTAGATGTACGGCGTATCGACATTTCTCCGCGTTACAGAGGCGACACGAAATATACCATTTGCTATTTGGTCTCGAAAGAATTCAGATGGTGCAATGAATCATATATCGATCTAGTCATGCTACGTCCTGAGTTGCACAAGACTGGCCTCTGAGGCTGATTTGTCGAATTGTCTTCACTCACTTGCTTTTGAGACATTCTCTGTCGGGGCTTTGTTTGACGGACATGAGCAGGTCCTTATGCGAGCTGCGCGGGCGTCTGAGACACACCGGCGGTCAGGGCTTATCAAGCGCTCACCCGCGGCTCCGCCGAAACGCTGTCAATCAGCACGTGATGCCACGAAAATCTCCTGCGCACGGGCCACCCCCCAGCGGTATATAACCCGGCCCCGCGCACCGCTGTTTCCTCAGAACATACTCAGCTAGGATCTATTTTATAGGTACTAACTCGAGTCTCGCATGTTTACACATGCCACATCCTTCTAGTCTAGTCGATGACACCCGCGCTCCCTCGTATAACCGAGCACATGGCCCCTTCGGGGGTCGCGAGGACGTTTGGTTCGCGTCGTCTGCGCGCTGCTTGCAGCCGTGGACCTGCGAACCAGCGAGGCGAGCGTTCGTCTGATAGACTATTATACTGTTGCTTTTGTAGTTCTTCCAATACATGCTTTTTTCAGTTCATTCCTTGTTTTGTCTGCAATGCCAGTCTGCGGTTTCAACAAGGCGATACACTCAGTGAAACATCATTGTGTATGATTTCCATGCATATACAACAGCATGGCGTCTAGGCAGCACGAATAATGACATGTGCACTACGTAATCACCATCGGCGTCGCCTGTAATATACCCAGCCCCGCTTGTGGACCTCCAGAGAAGGAAGTGGCCACATTTGAAGGCTTTGCCTGTGAGAGCTTGGCCTGCACCTTCTCATGTAGCAAGTGCCCGATAGCACGTACTGCCACGACGTCGCACACGACGCCGACCGCGATGTCCGCGAACTGGCCTCGCGTGCCGCGCTCCACCGCCGCGGCGACCGCCTCACCCACCAGCGCGCGGAAGTCCGGGATCGGGTCCAGCGCCGCGAGGCTCGCGAACACGTCGCGCAACGACGGTTTGCTCGACGGTTTCTTCCCCGCTCCCGCCACAGAGCTCGCCCCCGCCCCGCCAGGCGCGTCGTCCGTGAAGGTGTGGGACGCGTCGAGGACGGCGACGCGGCCGGCGGCGAGGAGGCGGAAGTCCAGCGCGTGCCGGCGGTCGCCGAACGCGTACAGCACCCGGAACCAGCCCGCGGCCTTGGGGAAGACGTCGATGGGGACGCCCGCGCGCGCGGCGGCGGCGCGGACGTCCTCGAGCTCGGCCGCGATCGGGAGGGTCTCGCGCAGGAGCGAGACGAGTCGGTGGAGCGCCGTGGAGAGACGGCCGTGCGAGAGGAGAGCGCAGAGGAAGGGCTCGGCGTCCGCGTGCGGGTTTGTGCGCGCCTCGGCGGGCGTGCGGCTGTCGACGTCCATAGCATTCGGGTCTGATGGCGGGTCGTCGAGGTCCGAGGCGGGCGGGGCGCGGGAGAAGCGGAGATGGTAGGAGGAGCGGTTGGAGGAGAGCTCGTCGGTACATGTGAGCGAGACGGCGTAGTCGGCGGCGTAGGTGAACTCGACAGTCTGGAGGTCGAACGCGATGAGCTTGACGTCCGTCCAGAGGTACTTCCCCGACATTTGCGCGACTGTCAGGAGCGTCAGAATCGGCGCTGTTCCTGTTCAACGAAACGACACCGAGAGACACACCTTCGCGCGCAATGACGACCATCTTGCTCACTCGCGCCCACTCCTCCAGGAACTCGTCCACGCACTTGTCCACGTCATCCGACAGGAAGCTTACGACTGCCTCTCGCGTGTCGTAGATGATGCGCTTCGACGGCCGGATGACCGTGCTCCCGCTTGCGCGCGTGCCCACCGGCTGCTGCACGTACTTGAGCTTCACGCACGTCACCACCTTCGCGTCCTCGCCCGACCACCAGTTGAGCGGAATGACGCGGATGTTCGGCATCGCTGCCTCTGCAGCGGGCGCGCCCGAGAGGATGTCCGCCGACTGCACACACAGCGCAGGGATCATGCGCGCCAGCGAGGACTGCACCGCGCCGTACTCCGCCCCATTCCCGTGGAGGGTCGAGTGGACGTGCGTGTACGGGATTCCGCGCATCTTGAACTGCTGCTCGACCTTGGTGTACGCGACGCGTGCGCTGCGAAGAGGTTGTGAGTGCTCTGTCTCGTCGCTGAGCCTCACCGGGCAGGGAACGTACCAGCAATATGCATAGAGCTCCCGCAGGACGGTCGTCTCTAGTCGGAAACTGGTGGGGTACTGGTCTTTTGGTGGGACACCGCGGCTCCTGCCGTCGTCCCGCTTCCGCTTCTGGCCGGTGACGGGGTCTGAACCACCGTGCTCAACGGAGACGTCCCCGTGTATCCGTCCGACATTCAACCAGCCGATGTCCTCCATGACGAGGTCGTGGTTCATCGAGCTTTCGACCTCTCGCGCGCTGATGAGCGCATACCGGAAGTCCTGGTCCGTGATGACGAGCACGAGGTAGTGCGAGGGGAAGTTGCCGAGCTGGATGTACAGCATCCCTTGCGCGTCCGGGCCGAGCTTCTTCAGCTCTGCGAGATGATCAGGAGGACTGAGCTAGCAAAAAACAGGCCCACGCACTATCCTTGGAGAAATTGCGCGCCCGGAAGCTTTGCAGGCCCAAGTACTGCACCTTTTGCTCCGCCATATCCGTGATGGTCTGGCGATCGCGAAGTCAGTAAAGAAGTCGAGAATGCCGGATGGAGATGCTCACAATGAGTCGGAGGGTCATTAATGCTTGTGGTAGCATATAAGGAAGGTCGTTCAATCGTTCAGTGAATGTCGCGAATCGGGGACCTCGCCCGGCAGCGGCCAGATCCCCCGTATCCCTCAGAGTCAAGCGGCCCGTTCGCGGGTCGACCGTCACAATGACGACCTCATCCGCGCATAAGTGTATTCGAAGCGACGGAGCACCCTCTGTTCAATGGATCAGATATCAGATACGGAAGAGGCGACAACGATGTAACAACGCTCACCATTCGAGACGAACGCGACCTCGCCTGGTGGCGAGAATATGCTACGTGTATAATCCCCACGTTGCAACTGCATCTGGAAGAACTTCATCACACCCCCCGTATGCCGTCGGATGACCGCCCTCAGGAGACTCTCGAAATCAAGATCGTCCGGGTTCTGCGTACGGGGCGTCAGCAATTGGGCGCAGTCCAAGTGAGGTTACGCACAATCTGCAGCTCGCCCGGGGGCATGAACATGTCTGCCATAGCGGGTGCCACGCCCAGCGCGTCGGGCTCAGGGTCCCAGCGCACATCGAAGCGCATGTGCTCGACCTCGTCCGATGGCCGTGCAGCGTTCATGCGCGAGCGAGCATGGAGCTCCGCGAGCACGCGTGCCTTGGGTGACCGTAGCGCATTGCGGCCCGCCTTCTCCTTCACCTGGACGATTGAGACAGTGAGCTTCCCGCCGAGAAGGGGAAGCTGTTTTTGCGACTGGCGATGGCGTTGGTTCGTTGGTGGCTGTTTTCGTACCCAGTACTTCACCACCAGTGTTTGCCGATGGTTGGTCATTTCGACCGTCATGAACTCACCCCACCCCAGAGAACGCATGCGTTGGGCCTGTGCGTCGTCAGTAATTATTATTGACTCCGAGGTGGGACCACTAACCTGGAACCAAAGGATCTCGAGCTGGTATGATAGTGACATCATTTCTGTGGAATGCTCAGTATCGTCTTGATGGTTTCAAGTCGAACGCACTCACGGAGGAAGTTGAACAGGCGGACGAGAGGTGCGTCGACCATGTTCTCCGGCAGTGTCGGTCTTGGCGGAGCCCCGGGTGGTGGCGGCTCGTCGGACTTCAGGTAGAAGGTAAGACGCGCATCCGCTTCACTCGTGATGAGCCGCCTGAGCGCAGGGGCAGGTACCCGGGGAAAATCTGTTGGAGCTGGGGCACGACTGTATAGATGCGGGGGAGAGACCATGGGACTTACCCTGCATGCCAGTTTGGTCGCCGCCGACGGTGAACAGGAAGGTTACGTTATCGAAAAACCAGGCGTCGTTAGGCCGTGCACCACCCAGGAACAGCGACGCCTCGAAGAGCTTCGGGGCGGTGAACCACACGCGACCAGCATCTGAAGGAAGGCGCAAAAGAAATTATGAGCAATTGTGCCCACGATGATAACAGCGGCTGGGACTCTGACCTATTCGATACTGTGACATTTCCCATGGGACAATCTCGGACATTCGGAGGCGGAGACGCATAGCGTCCTCCATTTCCGCGAATGTTCGGTGCACTTCCTCGTCCGTAAGCGGGGTCGAAGGGACAAGAGATTCCTAAGGATGACATAGCATGCGTCGCCCGAACGAATAGAGCAGGATTAAGCATACCTTGATACATATAGGCAAGCGTCGATATGTGCCGGTCGTGAGCACGTCCAGAGATGTGAGCAAGTCGTGATTTCGTAGTCTGTCGCGCTTGTCAGCTCATTCGTTCCTCGGACGCCCGTTCCTTCGCGCTCTCCAGGAGCAGTATTGCCATCGCGGCCGCCTCCTTCCTCCTTCCTCCTGGCAACATTCACACCACCATCTCCACGCATTTCCTTCACCCTCATGCTTCCACGGACCAGCTTTCGTCCCCCAAGGCTACCCGCCGCGCCCCGACGACTTCACCCAGGCAGGCTGCCACGAGCCACAAACGGAACACGGACAACGGAACGTACCGAGCGCCATCAAGGATGTCCCTGCCGTACTTGAGGCCCTCGATCGCGTCCGCGAACTGCCTGTTCTGGTCCATGAGGAACGCCGTGATGTTCTGCGCGCGCACCCCGGTCAGCCGACCCGTCCGCGCCGCACGCAGGGGGGGCACGACGCACCATCGCCTTCTGCACCACGCCCGCGTCGCGCGCCCACTTGGCGATCGCGTACACCTTCACGACCTGGCGCTTCATCTTGACCACGAAGTCGGCGACGACGCGCTTGCGGGCGGCGTCGGACATGTTGGGCATCCTGTGCGGGGAAGAGGGGAGTTTGCGTGAGTGGGAGGGAAGAGAGGGGGGAGCGGTGGGGGAAGACGACGCGAGCCCCGGGGTGGGGAAGGCAAACGCGCACGTTTCCGCCGGTGTGAGCCAAAGCGAGGAGAGAAGGGGTGGGGAGACGTGGTGGAACCAAGGAAAGCAGTAGTCCGGGATGGACGGACGAAGAGCTCGGGGAGGATGGAGTGACCACTCACGTCTCGGCCATCTCGACGAGCTCGGCGTATATCGTCTGCGCGAGCCGGGACACGAGCTCGCCGAGCGGGATCTGGCCGTCCATGACGAACGGGAGCTCGCGCTCGAGCTCCTCAAGCCCGATTTCGCCCGGCTCCGCACCACCATATGTCCTGTTTGCGCCGTTCTGCAGCAGAGAGTACGGTGCCACGCCGTTCGCACTCGGGTGGCCATTCACGGCCGTTTCCATCGAAGGGTTTGTCTCTTGCTGCGCAGACAGACGGCGCTATTGCATGGGCCTCCTGGGTGCGGGTGTTTGGTGGGAGATGGGGGAGGGGAGGGAGAGGACCGAGAAGAAGGCAGAGGAGGGAGGGGGGAGGTGAGAGTGACAAGAGCGCGATGAAAGTACTCTGCGCCACTTGCGGCTCGTGTTGGCATTTTGGCGCCGGGCACAAATGCGTCGGGCCGATGCGGTGGCTGTACCCGGGGCTCGCCGTGAGTAAGTGCTGAGTGCTGGATGATATCCCTCGGACCTGCGCCGGTATGTTCGCTGATATCTGCGAAGGGCGATCTGTGCGAGAGAGTCGCGCACCATCGCGGGCAATCATGCGAATGCACGCATGTAGACGAACCCTCGCCTATTGCCGGAAGAGCGCGAGTTCGAGACCCACAACGGTATCGGCCCCAACCGGGACCTGACAAGCTACGTAGAAGCCTTACCGGAACCGGAATAGCCCCAGCAGCATCAGAAGCACAAATGACCCTCGACATCTCCCCCAAATGCCTGATCCCGCTTTTCCGAAATGTGCTGGAAGGCAGTGTCCTTGAAGAACAGGCCTCTCGGCGACCACAGGCATCGCGCGCGGCTCCTACAAAGCTGTCGCGTTGGGAAAACCATCTGAAAGGATGCCGGACAGTCGATCCCTATTTCCGGGCTCTCAACCCGGTGCTGCGAAACATCCGCAACCTCGGTCCTCGAAAATAACCTCGGGTCGACGTCAGTGTCTGCGTTGACGACCTTCGCATGCGTCGGAGGACCTCAGAACACGCAGGAACCGAGATGCACTAGTACGTATTATAGGAGCAACGATCTAGCGTTACATGATTAGGAAGATTAGCTGTAGGGAGTGTGATGGATGCGGGGCTCGACTGTACTGCGAGTGCGATGCGTAGCAAAGTATGCAGAAGAGGGAAGGAGGAAAGCGAGGTATACAGAGAGCGTAGTGAGTGTGCTAAGCGGATGAGTGTAAGATGATACAATGAAAAGCGACACAGAGTCTGCTGCCATTTCGTGCCCATTACCGTCAGTCTAAGCGTCAGTGTGGTATACCCAGGAGCCGTGTGTCTCTCACAGTACCTGCCGGAGCGCTATTATACCAGATCGTGGCGGGCCGTGAACGTCATCAACATGTACACATAGAAGGAAGACGCGTGCCACCACGAGATGAGGTTGCGAGGGGTATGGCAACCGTGCCATCACTACCAAACAGGCGGATTCATGAAGGAGAGGAGAGCAGGCTTGGCGTGACCACAACGGCGATCGTCAGACGACGGTGATATCGTCCGACGGTGGTGATGTCGTCAGGCCGCGGGGGAAGCGGGGGAGTGCTAGAGACGTGGAGGGATCCGACGGCGCAAGACGCGGTCTGATGGGACGACCGCGGCGAGTGAGCGGACGGCTCCCAAATCCAGAAGCAAAACGCGACGCACCACGACCCGCGACGTCGCGCGCGTCCCCACGCGAAACGCACTCCAGCAGGCACGAGCGCACGCAGCGGCTCACCGGAGCATGCGCAGCTGCTGCACCATCACCATCGAGTCCTGCGTCATCCGCTTCCCGTTCTTCTCCACCACCCACTTGCGCGTGAACGCGCCCACGGCGGGCGCGACCCGCACCGTCGAGCCCGGCTCCTGCTGCGCGGCCGGCGGCGGGCTCGGCGTCGTCTTCCGCGCGAACGCAACGTGCGGCACGGGCGACACCGCCGGCGGGCTGACGAGGACCGGGCGGTCGAGCATCGGACGCATGGCCGGGAGCTGGATGGGCATCGGGGGCGCCTTGGCGATGGGCGGGAGCACGGGCGGGTCGTCGCTACGCGTGCGCGACCGCTCGCGCCCGTACCGCGTCTCCGGGCGCGGGCGCGACGCCTCGCGCCGCCGCGGCTCGTCGCGCTCGACGGTCCTCGCCCGCTCCCGCTCCTTCTCCTTCTCTTCACTGTGGCGCCGGACGGGCACGGGCGGTGTCGGGCTGCCGCGCCGGCCCTCGAGCTTCTCCCAGCTCTCCTTGCGGTACGAGGCGACCTTGTCTCCGTCCCCGGGCGCGCCCCGGCGCGAGGTCTCCGCGCGGCGCGCGCTCTCCGACCGCTTGAGCACGTTCGGGGCGGACGCGGCCACGAGCAGAGGGGGTGGAGGTGGGGGCAGCACCTGCGCCTGCATGCGCGGCCGCGAGACCGAGCGGCGGGGCGGGGCGGCTTGGATCTCGACCAGCTGCCGCTCGTCCGCGGACATGTCGAGGAAGGTGTGCGAGTCCGCGTTGGGGCTCCTCACCACCGTGCGCTCCTTCTCGCGCCCGCGACGGGGCGGGGGCGGCAAGGCCGTGGGCGGCGCGGTGGCGAGAGGCGACGAGGCCTGCGCCAGCTGCCACTCGCGTTCCCGCTCCCGCTCGCGGAACCGCGCCATCTCGAGCGCGTCGGCGCGGCGCACGGGTGCGGAGGCGGGAGGAGGGCGCGCCGTGGCGGCATCGGAGGCGGACATGGACGGCGCAGGGGAGGAGGGGAGGCCGGTGGGGCGGCGCATGTGCATGTACTGCTGCATGCCGCGCACGGGGGCAGAGTTGGGGGTCGAGGGCGTGTTGGGCGTACCGGGCATCGGTGTCGTCATGGACATCGGAGACGAGGCGGCGGCGAAGGGATGCGGGGGCACTGGGAAGGCGATTGGGGACGAGTTTTGCTGGCGCGGGTGGTCCGGGGGTGGGCGGGAGCGTTCGCGAGTAGAGATGCGGGTGAGTGGGGGCATTGGAGGAATGTCTTCCCTGGAGTGGTTAAAGGACGGGTCGGAAATGGAAAGACGCTTGAGGATGGCGGCGGAGACACTGCGAGAGCGGGTGCGAGGGGTAGTACGGTTCTGCTGGTTTGACGCGTCGGCGAGCGCGGACGGTGGGGCGAAAAGAGGGAGAGGCTGGTCGCGTGAATGGGAAGGAGAGCTGTCTGAAGAAAGAGGGACAAGGCTGCTCGACGGGGCGGCAAGAGAGTCGCCAGCGACGAAGCCAAAATTTGGATCTGGAAGGCGCCTGGGGCGGGGAGAGGAGGCTGAGGCGGAGCGTTTGAGAAGTTTATGAGCCGGAGGAACGGCGGCGAGCCAAGGATGCGGGGTGGGCCGAGAGCCGGTGGGCATCGTGTGTTGTGGAGAGAGCGAGACGGACGACGGTTGGGGCGGCAACGGGGGAAGCAGGGCCGCGGTCGCGAGCGCGGAGAACGGGTGGTCGGGCGTGGCTGATTGCAAATTGTGCGCGTCGATTGAGCGTGCGCGCTGGAGCTCGGTGCTGAACGCAAAGGCGGGCGCGGACGAGCACTGGGCGCGGACGAAGGGGCAGAAGGTGGCGAGCGAGGCGGCGCGAAGGGGGTATATCAGTCCCCGACCGGCAGCGGGCGGTGGCCAGCGCGGGTGGTGTCGAGTGCGCGAGTCGATGGTCTCGTCCGTCTAGGAGCGCGGTGATGCCTCCGGTGGCCAAACGCTCCAGGCTTCTGATCGAGCCTCGTCGGGATGGCGATCGCGCACCCGAGCCCAGCAGCCAAACCACCCGATCCGCCTCTGCCCTGATTCCATCACTGGATCGGCCGCGCTCAGCGAATGCTCACAGCGGCTCCGACGCGTAGCATCCGCGACGACTCAGCGAATCGTGTCCCTTGCGGCTCCATTTAAATGCTTCATTTACCCGCTGCGCGACCTTCACCCTTGTTCACACGTGCCTCCTCCAACTGCCGCTGCCTGCCTGCTACGATGCTGTTGACCTGACACCATGCCTGCTAGCCCCTTGGACGCACATACTTGTCACGCTTACAAGCTGTAATGTTGCATCCTGGCAAACGCCTCCATCAGTTGGAAGGCGCCGCTCCCCCGCAGCGATCCCCCGCCGAAATGCCGTGCGCATCCGCACCCTGCAATACATTCATGAGAACGAGAGCTGAGAGAACGCTTGAAGAAGTCCGCCGCCGGATTTCTTTGTCCGAGCACCGACCGTGAGGCTAGCCGGCTTCCCGCCAGTTCCCGCCGGGTGGAAAACGGTATAACCACCCCGCAGTCCTCGTCGAACGCGTTCCAAACTCCGGAGCTCCGGCCTCGCTGACATGTTCCGGGTGCAGCCATTCGCCGGGCCACGCTGGTGAGCTGATTCAAAGCGGTGCCATCTCGAAGCTAGTGCCAGCCGATTCAGAGACCTCGTGCCAGCCTAAACCCGCCGGTGTTGCAACCCGTCGTCCTTCGCACGCGCGACAGTACTGTTCGATAACGGAAGCAAGCGGATACTTGCAGCTTTTTGGCTGGCATCTTTCGTGAAGACGGCCTGAGGGACCGCGAGCGCACAGTTCCGACGGAAATACTACAGTTGAAAATACTTTGTCTGCGGCTGCTGCACCGGGAATTAATTACTGGCGAGGACGATGATCAGCCGAGATAACGCGCAGTCCTGTTAAGAGTGTTCGCTTTCAAGATTAACCCTGAATGAGGGCGAGGAATCATTAGACCATATGGTTTGCTTCAACGCGACTCTATGGCATTCACACAAAATGCAGATTCGGGTCAATGGTGCATCTGCACGCATCTACATACTGTATAGCCGACAGCTACCATCAGATCAGTGGCTAGGATAGGCGGTGGTCGACCCAAACCCTGAGATATGGTAGTCACGAGCACGCCTCGAGGTTTCCGTACTCGCCGATTCCGCACACTCACTGGTGCTGGCTGCGAGGCGAGATCTAGGCAACTACCCAGATCTCGACAGACCACCACTAACATTGTCTCCAAGAGTCGCACTGAAGGCACTGGTGACCGACTGGCTGCGACCAGATTCACGCATCGCCTCTCATGTGGTCACTCGTGAGACGCCACGCTGATGACGAGTTCGCGTTCGAGTTCGCAAGCGCTGGTACAAGTGAGTAAGGTACATGCAGCGGGGCAACTCATCGACAACCAAACGACGGGACAACAAGTACAAAGACAGCCAGAATGGCGGGAGGGACCTATAAGTGTAATCCAAAGCTGTGGTCAATATAAGTATGCGGTGGGGTAACCTAGGGCAATGTGCATATGTCAGAAGCATAAATGAGACGGCACCGAAGCAGGGGGACGGCTGGAGCGGTGGATTCCTGGATTCGGTTCGAGCGGGGGTGACGCGTGTGAGGGTGGAATGCGTAGTCCGAGAGAGCGCATGTAGTGGGACGGGGTCATGTCGGAGGCCACGCGTACGCGGGTCCCGTCGTGCCGCCAAACACTGACCGAACGAGCGCTGACGCTGTGCACGTCGCACTGGTCCATGTATCCGCTAGGGCTTCTAACGGACCGTGGTGGTAGAGGTTGCCAAGCGCCGTGAGGATAGACCATGGTGGACATGTGGGTATCAAAGATGAGGTGGTATCGTGGGTTTCTAGGTGGACGTAAAGGTCGGGGTTGAACGTGTCGTAATACGTTGTGAGGAAGAGCTTGCGTGCTTGAACATGGGCATAACTTCACTTATCGTCAGCAGGCGCCGCACGTGATAAGACTGGTTCCAACGCACCGAACCATCAACGCGAAAAGCAAGATCTGAACGATCGCGAAGCCAACGAGGTAGCGCCAGCTAGGCACGGTCCAGACGAACTGGACCTTGGCGCCACTCACGGGCTGGTCCCGAAGGAAAGTCGATCAACAACTACACCTGCACCAGGACGATGGTGGTGACTCACCAGGAGAGCAGCGGCACCATTCCCAACCTTCTTGAATGGAGACCACCGGGTCCGGTCTTTGAGCGCCTCGGCCTCGGCCTGCTGCGCGAGCGCGAGTTTGTGCATGACCTTGTCGCGGTTCCGTGCAGCCGCATCGCACTGCTCCTGCAAAGCGGCAGACATGCGTTCGTCAAAAACCGCGCCGTCGCTCGACCTAGACACCGTGGGGGGCAAGGGGGGCGCGAATCAGAAGGGTAAATACCTGGTGGAGCTCGCGCACGCGCAGAGCGATACGGTACCTGTCAGCGTCCCGGATGTCTGCGCGCATGCTTGACACGGTGTCGTTCATGCGCGCGAGCGCCTCGTGCCGCGAGCTCGGCGGATCGAGAGAGAGCAACGACGAGTCGTCCGAAAGCACTTGCGGAGGGGTTGGATCTTCCACCGGGCGACCCATGGCGTCGAGCATGCGCACTGCGCTCCGGTTGCGGGGGGTGCCGTTGAGCAACGTCCGGCTGCTCTTGCGCGAAGGCGACTTGGGAGGAGATTGTTGCTCGAGCGTGGGGAAGGGTTCAGCATTCGGTTGCACGGGAGGAGCGGGAGGCGCCTCAACAGGAGTTTCTTCGCGCCCATACGCGTCTAGGACACGGATTGGGGGAGCAGCGTGCTTCTTCTGGATGCGGTCCCGCATCGAAGGCGGTGTAGGGGGGACTTCAACCGAAGACTCAACTGTTACCGCGGAAGCAGAAGCGTTGCCAGAACTGCCGTTCGCCACCGCGGGACCGTTCGTGGCCGCTAGTTCTGAGGAATGCTCGTGCACGCCTTCTGATGCTGTCTCCGACTCAATGTCAAAGCGAACCCTCAACAAGCTGCCGCGCCTACTCTTCGTCCCTGGGGGAGCTGGCGTTGCGATCCATCCTCCTGGAGGTGCCGGAGTTTGTGCAGAAAGCGTGCTGTTCCTGGACAGTGTGGATGGTGGAGTCGCAAGACCACTATCCGAGCTTCCGTCCCCGATAGCTTGTGCCGGCTCTTTGGAACTTTGCCGCGAAGGTGCAGGTGTAGCTAACCATGCGCCAGGCGGACGTGGCGTCTTGAGAGTAGTGAGATCCCCTGGGCTTGGATGATTGGCGTGCATGTCGTCCTCCTCATCAGAAGATGGCGGACCAGGGAGGGCTGGCATTCCGCGTGGAGGCGGAGGCGTCTCGAATTCAACTTTGGGGGTAGAGAATTGCGGACGTCTAGGTGGTGTCTGCAGAGTGAACATGGGCGCAGGATCTACAGCGGGGGGTGTGAGAGGAGGTGACACGAGAGGGGATTCGGGAGTTTGTTCTGGCTCAGAGAGTGAATGCCCTTGTCCATTCAGGGATCCCGCAGGTGTTTCGAAGGTAGACGTCGAGTGGAATTCGGAAGTGGATGCCGAAGGTGTTTCAGAGGCAGGAACCGGTACTACTTTGACGGTGGGGGTACTTGACGCGACCCTCGACTCGTCTTCGCTCGCTACAAGAGACCTCGATCAGTAGAGAGGCAGTAGAGTAAATCGATCAGACTTACTGGAAGAGTGCTCGTCGCGATGCTTTTGGTTTTCCGCCACATATTCTTCCTCTTCCCCCACCATGGGCACTGGAGGAAGATCGACGTCGCCGCCGACATCAATCCGAGGTGGTATGCCCCCAATCGACTCTGCAAACTCAGTTACACTCCGCCGATGGCTAGATTTCTTGCCATTCCTGTCCACTGGCTTGGGAGCAGGAGTTGTGGAGCCAACGAGACTTCTCCGGGGAGAACGAACTGGGATGTGGCTGGGTGTTGACGAATGGGCCGATAAAGAGCTACGACTGAACGATTTGTGAAGCGGTTTGTGGGGTGTTTCGCCGTGATCCAATTCCAACGGAGGCAGGTTGACTTTATGGTGGGGAAAGGACCATCCATGAAACGTCCCATGGCCAGCCTGTGGTGAGTCCACTAAACGTGTCGACGGAGACGATATCTTCGAATGGGAGGACGGAGTTGAAACATTGGGGTTCAGAGGCTTGACGCCATGTGTGTGCAGGGATGAAGATGGTGTGGACTTGGAGGTAGGAGGTAACGGAGACCGTGGCCGGGGAATGCGTTCCCCTACAGGGGAATTGCTCCGGGCATGAGGGCTTGGAACTGTCAAGCTGTTGCGATGTGTGCTACTATCTGTTCGTTTTCGACGCTCCGATTCCGGCATGTGATCCAAGGGTCCTGTGGGCGAATTTGGACGAGACCTAGGCAAAGGAGAGATGGAATGTCGATGGAACAGAGGATTGCTCCAATCAGGACGAGGCGAATTCCAGTTGCGTTCTCGCAGGTGTTCGACTTCGTGCTCAATCTCATCCTCCACGTCTTTCCCAGACACAGAACTCGCCGGAGATCCGGATCGAGAACTTGAAATAGAGCCAGATGATCCATGCTTATCCAACGTCATCTTAACGGAAGGAAGATGCTGCAAAGCCGACCCCGGACGCGATGGTGTGCTGATCGTACGCGGGCGTTCACCAGCCTTCAAGCTGAGACTGGAAGAACTACGGTGGAGCTGGGGATGCGGACGATTCCACTCTCTCTCGCGCTCCTTGCTGTGATCATCTTCGAGCTCTTTCGATCGTTCTTTCACTAGAACAGAGGGATGAGAAAGGAATGAGGAATATGACATAAAAGACTCACGATCCGTTTTCGACAATATAGAGCTTGCGCGAGAAGACGAACGGCTTGAGTCCATGCTAGCGAGCGACGCAGAGCTACTTGGTCGGCTGAGGTGGCGTGACGGGCTCGCCCGCTCGCCGCCAGGAGAGGCCCATGAGTGGCGATGCGAGCTCTCGTGTTTGGGAGGATGGGCGGGTGACTTTGCAGTTCGGTGGATAGGGGAGTTCCAGCCACGCTCTCGCTCGTGTATCCGATCACGCGTTATCTCGTCTTCTCGGTCATGATCTGATTATGAATTAGCCTGGATCAAAGTCACAACGCATCTGACCTACAGTCGTCGATAGACATGGACGAACTAGCGCGCGAAGCTGTAGAGCACAACGTGAGATGACAAGTTTTCAACCATGACAAGGAGCTTACAGGTCGCCTCAAAGTCCTCATTCCCCCTTTGAAGAGACGCGGGTAAGAGTGGGAGCTTGTTCAATGAATGCGACTTAGAGTGAGAGCTCCAAGAAAGAGGTCGCGGTGATGGTCCACCGTGAGGCTGAGGGCGAGGGGTTAGACCGGCTGAACGTTTCAGTGAAGGTGTGCTTGTATGTCTCTGTCTGGGAACAGTGGCACTCTCATAACTATCCATTCCATGGAGCGCGTTTTGCATTTCTGAGTCTTGGTCCATGAGATCTATCACAATTGTGAACATCAAAAGAACTCATGAATCCAAACAAATTGCACTCACTTGACTCCATTCCGAACTGAGCGGAAATTTGGAAAGTACGCATGGGCGTACTCGTCGCGCGCGGGGGGTATTGGCCGAGTGGTTGTCGGGGAGAGACGACTTAATGGCGGTGTAGGTGCTGGAGTCTGGAGGAGGCATGGACATGTCGATGACCATTTCCTCAGTGGAAAGCGAAGGCAACGCAGATGTAGACTGGTTCAGGCGTTGTCGCAACGCGTCGAAGGTAGAGGCGGCGGACCGCAGAGACCTCCCAGAGTGATCGGAAAGTCCTGTTGTACTCAGCTCGCAGGATGGTGGGTGATGGATTGGGATACTCACTTGACTTGTCCGCTTCCTCATCGCTGAGAACTTGCCTGCTCGCCTTATGCCTCGCACGCTCCTCAAACTTCGGGGTATTAGACTCCACCTCACTCCCATCAATACTATTCCGGCGAGGTCGTGATGTTTTCCGTGGCGTGTTGCCGGCTTCGCGCAGCGCGTGTGAAAAGAGTTCCTTCAAGCTTTCGCGCACAACGCTAGAAGCATTCGTGGATGGAGGAGGCTCAAAGTCGGAGTCGATATCTGACGTAGAGGGGAACGACATATGTCGAGATGCAGACGCGACTGGCGCGCCGTTGACGGGGGAGTTGGGGACGCGAGCGAGGAGAGCGCGCAGCCGTGCGGTGGGGTTGTCGGAGGAGGGGATGGAAGACATCGTGTTTTTCGGAGATGACTTGTCGGGGATCGATGCTGCGCCCATGCGCGGGGTCGATTCTGCGTCTTCGTCGTCATCTTCGGCGCGCAGGAAGTCGCTGTTCTGAGTTGACGGGCCGGCGATGGGGGTGAGAGCCTGATCCTGGTACAGCAGCGTGTGACGCGGGAGGCGGAGACGTGGAATAGAAGTGGGAGGCGACGCGTCCATGGCGTCCCCGGGGACGAGAGCGGCGTCAGAGGGAACGTCGGTGGTGGAGGAGAGCGAGAACAGATGTTGGCGGTTGAGGTCCACGCGCGTCGTCGTCGCCGGCGGGTCTTGCGCGCCGACGCTGGCGCCTGTGTCCCGAGCGTCTGTGGTCGGCAGATGTCCGGGATCTCGCCGCAGAGCAGCCACAGCGGTTTGTTTTCCTCCATCTTATTCCCCACTTCCGGAATGGACTATCTGAGGACTCTGGGCTCAGCAGCAGTCTCGACGCTCGTCCAGAAATCGGGACTCAACCTACCCTTCTCACTCGGGCCGAAGGTTGTCTCTTTTGAAGGAAGAACAATCTGGTCTCTATACGACGGCACAAAACGGGTATGAACCCTTGTACTCCGGCGCGAGCGGGCGTTGTTCTTACGCTTCGATAGGACGACAGCTCTCTAGTATCCATATTTGAATTTGAAGCCAACACGCCGGCGAAAAAGAACCTACTTCCCCTCGCTAAGAATGCACTTCGGAAGCTGCGTACGGTACGCCATCCTGACGTACTCAAGTTCATGGAAGTGGTCGAGACAGACACCACAATACACATCATGACGGAGCGTGTCCGACCACTGGGACCTGCTATCACGGAGTGGCAGTCGAAGAGTGCGCAGGAACGGGAATCGTGGCTGGTCTGGGGTCTTCATCGGATTTCGGTGCGTTGTGTCACTTTGGCATGCCTCACGGTGGGTTGATGTTTCTCAAGATCGCGCTTTCCTTCCTGAACGAATCCGCGGCGTCCACTCATGGAAATATTCGGGTGGACTCTGTCTTCATCTCGGCCTCGGGAGAGTGGAAGCTCGGAGGATTGGATGTTCTGAGCAACCCCAAAGATGATGCTGCAGTCCTCTATGTACGTTGTTGTATGTACAATCGTGCCGGTTTTCAGGCAATGATATGTTTCGCCCCTGCCAGAACCTGGGCAGCATGCTCCCCGACGCATCGAAGTACTCCTCGCCGGAGGTGAAGAAAGGCGGTTTCTCGTCTCTCAAGGAGTAACTCTCAATTCATCACTCGTGTTACACCAATTCTGACATGCAAGTTTAGCCTCCCGGTGTTTGCCGCAGATTCGTATGGTTTTGGCCTCCTCATACACTTCGCTTTCAATCCCAACCAAACCCTGCCCGCGACGGCTCAACCTCCTCATTCTCCACCCACCGCTGCATCCCGAGGAGCCATCCCGACATCCATATTCCCTTCGTACAAGAAACTGCTCAATCCAAACCCCAAGTCGCGGCTTTCGGCCGCGCATTTCCTCGAGCTAGGCATGTCCCAGACTGCCGGCGAAGGATCCGGGTTTTTCGCCTCGAATCATCTTGTTAAGGTCTGCGCTGGTCTCGAGAACTTTAACCTCGCGAGCGACTCGGAGAAGGGAGTTCTGTTGAAGTAGGCTTCTCCTGATCGTCGGTCTTACGAGCTACTAAGCTATCGCTCTAGGTCCCTCAAGGAGTCCGCCTCCTCCTTCCCCACTGAGTTCGCCTCATTCAAAGTTCTTCCTGCGCTCATATCCGCGCTAGAGTTTGGGGGAGCGTCAGCGGCATCCATTGTCCCACTTGTGCTACAGTTTGGGAAGAACGTGACGCCCGAGGACTATCCCACCGTGATCCTTACCCATTTGATCAAGCTGTATGCGAGCCCGGATCGCGGGACTCGCATGGCACTACTTGAACATCTCTCTGAATACGCCGACAAACTTGACAAGAAGTCTGTCTCCGATAAGATCTGGCCGAACCTTGTGGGTCCTTCTGGTTGCTTTTGGACTGCCGGTGCTGACGATGCGCTCACTAGCAAACAGGATTTTCAGACACTGTGGCCGTTATTCGCGAAGCCACAATTAAATCCATCATCTTACTCTCGGATAAGGTAAGTACCTCTCGGCTCATTCCAGCGGCTGCAAGCTCATGTTCATCGTAGCTCACCGACCGAATCATGAACAACGATCTTCTCCGGCATCTTGCAAGAATGCAAGCAGACCCAGAAGCGTCAATACGTACGAACACTTGCATATTGATTGGCCGACTAGGACCTTCGCTCGGCTACAACACGAAAAAGAAAGTGCTGGTCCCGGCCTTCTCGCGCGCACTCAAAGACCCTTTCGTGCATGCTCGGGTTGCCGGTCTCATGGCGTTCATGGCCACTATGGACTGCTTTGATGTGGAGGATCTGTCGTCGAAAGTCATACCGAGCATGACTTTCACCTTGATTGACAGGGAGAAGTACGTTTTGAGCTCCTCGACACCCTGTTGTGCTCACTCTGTATAGGCTTGTTCGTGATCAAGCATTCAAAGCGATGGAGCTCTTCATGAAGAAATTAGAAGAACACGCTGCAACGATGGTACTGATTTCAAAACTATTAATTTCTACGTATGCTGACTGCCATGTTCTAGCCGGAGACGGTAGACACCACCTCGGAGATGCCCCAGGTTCAGATCAACGGTACCACGTCCGCTGAACTCGTGAACAGTGCGGCCGGGGCGGCCGGGGCTCTTGCAGGTTGGGCGATAACCTCACTAGGCAAGAGAGTAAGCTTGTGCAGTGCTTGAAACCCAGCTTGCACCTTGCTGATGCCGTCGCCAACTTTGCCAACCGTTTCCCAGCTTGCAACGACAGAGCTACAAAGCACGATGACGACTGCGTCTGGTGGAGGCATCGACCGTCCAACATCTGCCCCCATTTCTGGAGGATTGAACATTGGCGAGCTCTCTACTGGCTCTACGGCGGCGGCGACAGCGATGCCACTTACGCCGACGTTCTCGTCAAACGTCGGACCCACTGGTGCGCTCACGTCCACAAGCAGGAGCAAGGGCATGCAGCTTGGGGCATCCAAGGTTCCAACCAGCACGTCAGGCATCCCCGACTGGGCTGAAGAAGCTGCTGCTGAGGTCGGTCCAAGTACCTCGAACCCATGGGGCAATGACGACCTGATGGATGTCAATGCCGATGCCGATGACTGGAGTAAGTCTCGTCGATGGTTTATGGATAATGGCTAAGAACCCTCCTCAGGCGCCTTCGAGACGGCTCCTCCTCCGGCATCCACTTCCGGACCGACAGACTTCGGGCTGGGTGACACACTCTCCCAGTCCCCCTCACCCGGTTAGCATGGATTTTTCAGTGCAATTGCTCGCTTATCAACATTACCAAAGACCCATGGGCCTCGTCAGCACCACTCCAGAAGACTCAAGTATCAATCAGCGCACCGCAACCGCAGCGGTACTCATCAGTCCCTCGCGTTTCGTCACCGTTGTCACCTCCCAGACCCACATCGACCGCGCGTTCACCGACGCCATCCGATAGCGCCGATGTCAGTACATCTCCAGCCACGAACAGTACGGCAGGCATGTCGAAGGAAGAAAAGGCGGCAGAAATGGCCAGGAGAAAGGAGGAGAGGAGACAGGTGCGTGTCAAACCATGATTGTTCAAGCATGTGGCCGACCCGCACAAAATGACAGCGCATTGCCGCGCTCAAGGAGCAAAAGAAGCAGGCGACATCCTAGTAACCCATTCGCTACGCTGTCTGTCACCCCGGACGGAGCGGGCTAGATTATTAATTCGCTGATTCGTCCAGTTCCCAGACCCACTTCGATGTTGCTTTGATTGAACCGCCCTCGATGTCGCCTCGGGTGTTCTCCAAATAGTGTATCCATCGGCGTATTTCAACGGAGATGCTAACGATGACATCCTCTGGGTTGGCTTCCATTGTGTAGGTACTCGGAACTCCCACTTCAAGTTTTGCAGCTTTGTGATTCCCAGGCGGCCGCCTGGGCCCTTCCAGTTCCAGATGGTCCATAAGCAGTGGCAGAGCACACGGCGACAGAAATTTGCATCCCCCACACTGCTTAGTTCCCCCTACTTCAAACTACTAGTGCAAGCAATCTCGACTCGAAAGGCTCTCTTCCCCCCAGACAAGTTTGGCAAGTGGGAAATTGGCGCGATCCCGGTCCCGAAGCCAGCTTCGGATGAAGTCGTTCTCAAGGTTATGGCCACAACTCTAAATCCGCTCTACTGAAAGATCCAGCGCGAGAGCATCTTCGTGCAGACGTATCCGTTTGTCAGCGGGACGGATGCTACCGGTATCGTCGAGGAGGTGGTATCCGATCTTATCACCCTCATCAAGGACGACAAGATGTTCGTGAGTAGCCAACACCTAGCCAGCTTGGTTTTCGATTGTCACGTCGTGCCCACAGTTTGTTCGAGGACTTCTTTGAGAACCCAAAGGCCACATTCCAGCAATACATATTGTGTCGTTCCGGCAGAGATTGCGGGCAAGGCATGACCTCCAGTTTTACATGCAAATCGAACTCAACTGAAATAGCTGTATTCTCGTTTGACCAGATTGCGTCCGTTTCTCTTGCTCTTTTTACTGCTGTCACGGGCATGTACAACCACGACCTACAAGCGGCGTCTGTTGGCTTCCTCCATGGGACAGTACGCAAAGTCAGCATCCTGAAGTTGATTGCTTGCTCTCAGGAGACTGCCTAGACGGTCGAGATCGACTCATGTAATTGTATTCGCACTTGGATGAATGGCTGAGATCATGGTCTGTCATACACTGGGCGAGGCTTGAAACGTTCTTGGTCGCATACACTATGCATTACACGAAGATGAATAGGATATGTTACTCGCGCCAGGTACTTCATTATGGCAGGAAACCGCTGGTAAAGAATAAAACCTTGTGAAAGCATGACATCATTATAAAGCAGTACATCACAGCAAATGAGCGGGGAAACAACATGCGAACTAGAGCAAAACTTCATGATACGTCACGTTCTTGGTATACTTCTGAAACGGATGCATGCGTACTCTTGCGTGACTTCTATGGCGGATCCGCGACAAAGCCGTATAAAGCTGCCCATGCGAGAAAACCGGCCGCGTAAGATCGACCCCCACCACGTCCAGCGTGAGCCCCTGGCAGCTGTTGAACGTCGTCGCATATGCTGGTGCGAGCGGAAATTGCCTCCGAACGAGCGTGTGCCCGCTTTCGAGCTTCGTCGTGAATGGAATCCTGCTGATAGGCACATCCTCCGCGCCCCTGGACCCAATGTCCGCCGTCCCACCGACGCCCCGCAAGATGCGCACGGTGATGATCTTCTTGCCCAAGCGAACAATTACGACCCGGGCGTTCTTGACGAGCCCGCGGTCGGGCGCATAGTTGCACATCAGACGGTAGACACCGTTCTCTTTGACCTCAAGTGCATAGGGAGGGATACCCGGGAGGGCCTTGTGCATGGCGTCCGCAAGCAGAAGGCTGGGCTCGGTGTTATCCACTTCTTCTGGCGAGTCGAGCATGTCCATGGCGAAATAGCGTTGCGAGGAGCCTTCTATGCGGCTAAGTATCTCGCGGTTGTACTCGTCGATTTGTTTGTTGGTGGGTGCGAGGATGGCGCGGGTGAGGCATGCCCGGGGGCTGGTGAGGACTTCGTCAGGATAGACGAAGTTCATGAGCTCGGCGCGAGTCATGGCCCTCTCGAGCATGTCGAGTGGGACAGAGGGGCCAGCACCATCCCCTATCGCGTCCACGAAGTCAGCGTACTCCATGTCCTCGGCGTTGCGGATGGGCTTGTGCAGGCGAAATGTTGAGAATTCTCGCCAGAGATGAGATGACCGGATAGACGCGTCGATGATCTGTTTCCGAGACCCAGAGGGAATGATGGGACAGGTTTGACGGAAGTCGCCCAACAAAATGACAACCTTGCCGCCAAAGGGGAGGTCGTTGTGCATGACGCGGCGACAAGTCTCTTCGACGCAATGTAGGATTGTGTTCTTGGCCATCGGTGCTTCGTCCCATATGATGACCGACGCATTGCGAATGAGCTCGCCTCTCGAATCATGGGGTTGGATGGGGGACTCGAGGACTTCTTCCTCGTCTCCCACTGGGATCTACGATATGCATGCTCAGGCATGACAGTGGACCTCAGATTAAACGTAGACTCACCTTGAAAACCGAGTGCGTGGTCTTTCCTCCTGCATACAGCTGGGCCGCAAATGCAGAAGTTGCGGTGGGAAGCACAACGTGCCCTTGAGAGCGAAGCTTGCTGCAAATCGTGTTCACGAGAAAGGTCTTCCCTCTCCCTGCCTTCCCGTCCACGAACGCGCACAGTGGGCGATTGCCCTCGACGGCGTCCATGACTTCAGTGTAGATCCCGTGCTGCTCTGCGTTGAGCCTTGCCACCGCCTTGGACGATTGCGTCGCGAGAAAGCCCCTCTGTTCTTTCCACTTCTCCAGCTCTATCTCGACCTCCCGGCTGTGAAAGTCCGGTTGTGGAAGCCCGTAGTCCACCAACGCCTTGCCGTGCTGGTCGAGGAGGTGGTCGAGTTCGTTCAGTGCCTCGTTGAGCCCGGCGTTGACGTTGTCGTGCTTGAGGATGAGGTCGCGTGCGAGCATATCCTGGAACGTGTTCCACACCTTCAGGGGTTCCGCGATCCCGCCGTTGACGAGGTTGTGCACGAAGAGCATACGCATTTGTTCAGGGGTGGAGAGCGACTGGGATGCTTCAACAAGAGCATGCTCAGCGGAAGCCTGGCCGATAAAGAGACCACCATTGCGAGAGGGACCAGGAATCTTGCTCGCCCTGGATGCGTGCGGGTTAAGGAAAGTGGGTGCGGCGGCAGTTGCATACGACGCCTGAACGGTCGGTCGAAAGGGAAGTGCTTGGAATCGTTCGGCAGAGCGTGTCGCTACCAGGGGTGGGCGGACTTTGGTCGCTGCATTCCTCCACATCAAGCCCCTCGGAGACTGCAGGAAGTGCACGCAACAGATAGAGGAAGGGAGCAAAGGAGGTGCAAGTGTCTACCGTCACAGTCGCGACAAACTCGGACAGCATCACGTGCGCCGCGTCGCGATCTTTTCTCCAGTTGCATGTAATACCATGGCACTCCGTCCATGTTCTTGGCTTGTGGGACCGTGACGCGCCGGGGCTATGTGGTATCTGCTTCCTATGTCTTCTGATGGTACCGTCCTTCAAGTTCTGTCCTAACAAGGCTGACAGTGTCCCAATTCTGTGCGGTGACTATTGTGCTGTGTCGGATCACCCGTCCGAAGTGTGTCAGATTATACAGAAGACCAGTCCAAAGTTATTAGTACTTACCCAAGACTGACAGGAAGTTCGGGCCTCGGTACCCCCCGATGCAGCATATCGCCAACGCATGTGTACATCCGTTTGCTCAATTGCAACGCCTAGGCACAGCCCGCGGGTGCAGTCAGCGATTAAGTATCTTCCCAACCCACCCACTGCTTCATTTGGACGCAGGAAGTCTTCTTTTTTCGTTAAGGGCTATGTTCAGTTCGCCAACACCTCTCTTCAAGTATTATTATTGAGCGGACGGAGATCCGCTACCGGTTTAATGGTGCGTCAGTTTCTCGGGCCCCATCCGTTGAAGATGCTGAAGTATCCACTTCACTACCAGAACCACAGGTTTTACTCCTCCCGCTTTTAAGATCACAGACTCCATGGATCCTACCTTTTTGGCTGGGTAATCACTTCTATCAGCTATTTGTACTGGCCAGAACAGTACGTGGTTCCTGAGGCTGGGTGTTCCGAAATCCGCGGTGCACCCTTCACCAATCCTAACTCTGCGACAGACCAGAGCAAAGTCACTGGAGAGATCACAATTCATCAATGTGCCGTTGAAGTTGCCGGTAAACACAATCCGGTCTGTGGAATGTGCTGCTTTCAACGGGCTTTCCTTCTGCCACGCGTGTTACAGGGCGACGAATGGATAGTGGCGAACCAAACGGCGGACACAGCGTCAGTTGTTGTAGTCAATGACGCACCTTTTGCTCAGAACACGGCCATCTGTGGGTGCTGTGTCCTCTTGAGTAAAGGTTGACGATCGCTCACGGGCTCTACGCCTGCAGTTGACAACGGCACCCCGAACATTTCGGTCCTGTCGACCAAGTTCGCACCACCTATCCTTGAGTCCGGCAACCCCAGTGACAACGGCATATTCGTCATGGTACGCCTTGCTCAGTGCGCTCAATTCGGGCCCAGGCTAGGGTACGTACGACTGCGCAATGCCAAATCCACTACGTACTTATCGGGTTCGCATTTCCGTCTATGTAGCACGGAGGTGCATTACGTCAACGCAGGTGCATCGTTCAACATGACCGCGGACGGGAAGACGTGCACGCTCAACTTACTCGCTACGCCGTTCGTTCCCGCGCTAGAGTAGAGTAGGCAGAGGTATGTACAGCACAACTTTAACCCAAGCACGCTCTTGTTCGCTCGGTCAGTGGCATAAACTGTGGGGCACACGGCCGCTTACCATGTAGCTAGCAACTATGCTGTGCGCCGTCGGCGTGCAGCCTTGTTCTGCATGAATGCGTATCGAACAATGCCGTGTATCATATTACGGGATTGTCACCAACCCAGCCTTACAAATAGGTGTTGGACTTCTGTCCATCCACTGGTCACCCCCAATTTCGCAATCACAATGACGAATGCATGACGGAGAACTCACGCTTCGGGGTGTTTTGCATTATGCCGGAGACGCCTGTCGTAAGGGATGGTTGCGAAGGTCTGCACGCTTGTACCGCGCGGAGGTCAGCTGGTGACAAGTGCCGCCGTTGCATCCTCCACAGCGCTCCTTTGAAGTGGTGCTGCAAGTCTGTTATGACGCAAGTATTCCCCCAAACGCTGCTGCAGGTGTGCAGATTAACCATGAAAAGACAGCTTCGCCCAAGTCTGGACTAGAGAAGGAGAGACCCAGTCGAGCGCGAGGGTCGGGGGAGCTTGTGCGCATGCCAGACCAAGCGAAGGAGGAGCGCAGCCAAGTATAGGGGCGGGAGTACACGTGGGACAGTGACCGGGGTCCGTATCGCCGAGCCCCCAGCACGGTGGAAATGATAACGCAGCAGCGTTGCGCTCAGCCACACTTCATCTCGACACCGACTCCCACCCGCGTCGCTTCGTTCCCCGTCTGCTTCCAGCTGTCCCTACCTCTGCACACCCACCTCAGTAACCACCTCGAGAACAAGTTGGCACCCAATGTCGAATCTGAATTTCAGCCCCATTTCGAATCAGTCATCTAGTATTTGCCCCACGTTTGTCCCTTTCCTCTGCCGCACCCCGTCACGGCCTGCACGTTGTGGGTCGCCAGGACTGTCAGGGTAGCGCTCTAGTGATCTTGACACTCATTCTGTTTTACAGCAACGGTCGTCACACCGTTGGGGATGGGGCTTTCACAACCGACACGACTCCTAGCGTGATTGCAGTCTGCCGCATGGAAGGCACCAACTCCATGTACTACTATTCTACTACGTTCTCTGGCGGGCCCGGGGTGAGTGCTTTCATACCATAGTATCTGCCCACGTTTACCGACCCGACCTGTCTCTCCATTCGCGCTCATCCGCACATCGCAATTCACTTGCGTGTGACCTCTCTATCGCCTCTGTGCCTCCAGTGGCGGTTTTGACATCCCCAACGCAAAATGCCCTCCTGACCGAGGGTCGTCAGACTGGGTGACAGACAGTCTGGCGCCATGCGCTCTCCCCCACCTCTCCTCCTCGCCCGCTCCCTCCATCTCTTCCTCCATCGATTCCGCTGCCTCCACGCTATCGTCTTTCGGCTCCGAAGGTCCCAATACTCGCATCTGCAACAACAACTTCGTTGTCCCCCCGTACGGACTACCGCCGACCCCGCCTCCGGACGAGACGTCGGCCCTCGGGCATTCGCCAGAGTTCTCCTACGCCGCGCTTCCGACCGTCAGCGCTCCGAGGGCCATTCCGGTTCCTCACTTTCCTCCCAGCGACCTCGCTACCCCGCCGCTCACGCCAGACGATGGCTCTGTCGGCGCGGGAGGGAGCCTCGCCGCGCTTGGGGCTAAGCATTCGGCGTTCATCGGCCAAGTGTTCCCGAGGAACGCGCTGTCAGCCGCGCCGTACGCCAAGAGCGTCTCGATCTCGACGCCTGGTACTGGCGACCAGTTCGACGGCGTGGTGCTTTCACTCCCTGATCACCCCAAAACGTTCTACGTGGACGGAAAGTGTGCCGCTACCGTGAACCTGCGCGAAAGGTGCGTCTTATCATTGTATACGTTTACGTCCACGATGCTCACATGCAAGTGCAGCATCGTCGCCTTGTTGGACTTGGCTGACGAGCAACTCGAATGCAATGCTCTGGTCATCGCACTTGAGCGTTCTTCGCCCATCCTTGGCGACCTCCTGCACTCTTTGATGTACGTTGGAGGTGCCGTGGTCACCAAGCCACCTTTCCCTGTCGATTCCTCGTATGTGCTCGTGGGCATGGAGATCTAGGCGAAAGTTCGTATATGCGCGATTATATATATGAAAAACACCCTTTGGACCGTTTGACGATGTGTAGCAGGTCTTCGGCGTTGTTGTAGTGGAGATGCTGACGAGCTGGTGTCAAGTAGCTGGGGACATGCTGGATGTAGTTCGTTGAGAGTGCTTGTAGTTATTTCGCTCTTCCTCCTTATACGCGTACTCCAATCAATCCCCTGAACAAGCCCGAACACTTCGTTGCATGAGTCCGTCGTCTGCATCGTTCATGGAGCTATGCCTTTCGCAGAAACTTTGCTCTGCCACCGCTGCGGTGACGTCGCTCCCCGAGCGGATTGCTGTAGATTGATGTCCGCGCAGGCTCCGCCTCTGGTGCCTCACCGGAGCGCTGCTCGCTCCAACCGACGTCCCCCCACGCGCGGGCGATATATTGCTTCCCTCCTTGTCCGCGCGCCGCCTGCTCACACCAACGTCGGGCCCCTCGCTTTTCCTCTTTTCTCGTCCCCCGCCGCACCTTTGTCTGAACTAGGGCAGCATCACGGTGGTCCTACATTCGCCCTCACGCCCACTCTGTGTCGTTTCCTTCGGCGCACTGCACCCAGATGAGCTCCCTCTTGGGCGCCCTGATCAAATGCCTTTGTGGAGGTAGCGACAGCCAGGGCCAGCCCCAGCAGCAGCAATACCAACAATCTGGATATCCCGGACAGCAAGCACCACAGGTTGTACAACAGCCCGCGCCCGTATCGCCTCCCCAACAACAGCACCGGCCGTATTCTCCCCCTCAGCAACAGCAACAGCCGTACTCTCCTCCTCCACAACAACAGCAACCGCATCGTCCTCCACCGCAGCAGCAGCAGCCTTCATACGCGCAGGCTGCGCAGGAGCACTCGGAACCGGAGCATAAGAAGCACAAGAAGAAGCGCCACAACGGGCAGGGTGGGCACGAGAGTGAGCAGGAGAACGGGGCGCAGATTGTGCACACCCCTAGTCCCGGTCCAGGACGGACGTCAAGCCCGCCAGTGAGCTCGTCACCTCCTCATTGGCCGTGGTCTCCTGGAAGCGGGCATCCAGTGAGTCTGCATACCGCTTTCCTGCTTTCATGTTTTACACCTTTTGCATCATGCTCACCCTGGCGGGGGCTGTAATAGGACCCGAACCAGGTCAATCAGCACAATCCGTACTATACGGACCTGCGCGCTCGCGCGAACCGCAGGGGCGATGAGATGGCGCGCAACTTCGAGGAGGCGCACAACGTCTACGAGTCCGGGGACCGCGCGCGCGCGAAGGAGTTGTCGAACGCGGGGAAGGCCGCACAGCGCGAGATGGAGCAGCTGAACGAGGAAGCCGCGGCGTGGATCTTCCGAGGTGAGTTCCGGTTGCTTCGAAGTGGAGCGAACGTTCTGACGACAGGAATTTGTGCGCTTGGCAGAGAACAACACGGTGAGTACTTCTTCAGAGACAAGAAGACTTCGGAAGCTGAAGAAGCGTGTGTGGGACAGGACAGCGGGCCTGGGGAAGTCGACCTGCATGGCCTATACGTCAAGGAAGCCATCAAGTACACCGACCAGTCTATTCAGGAAGCTCGCACCCGTGGTGATGCGAAGATCCGGTTCATCGTCGGTGTGTCGACGGTACCGCACCTCGCGCTGCTATGCTGCCTGCTAAAAATCCATTTACTTGCTTTAGGCAAGGGTCTACACTCGGCTGGGCATGCCGCAAAGCTGAAGCCTGCCATCGAGGAGCTCATGCAGAAGTGCGTCCACGGCTCTTGACTACTATCCTCTCGTACATCCCCTGAACATGCCTCCACTTGGTCCCTACAGGCATGGTCTGGTAGCAGAACTGGACGAGCGCAACTCCGGAGTACTCATTGTCAACCTCGATGGCCATGCGTCAGGCGGAGGGCATGTCATGGGCGCCGACGAGCTTACCAGAGGGCTGGAGAAGAAGGATGAATGTATCATCATGTAACTCTGCTTGTTGTAGGCTCCCATCTCATGTCGAGAGTTGTTGCCATACTAGTGCGTCTCTCCATTCGTCAAACCTTTTTCTCAATACTGACTGGAGTTCAGCACCTGTGCATTCTGGCCTGCTAAAGTTCAATCTGTTGTGCTGTGATACTGTAGAAGTTCGCGCAGGTTCGGGGAAGGGGAAAACGAAGCTTGATTGGCGCTGTATGCGCGCGTGCTGTAAATAGTACATGACGAGAACAAAGGGCTAAGTTAGACTCGTAAACCAGTCGGTCGGGATTCTCCTTACCTTTCTTCCGATCGGGGGAGATCTCTGTGGCGTGATGGGAGGAGCGGAGATCGAAAGGCAAGGAGAATCCCATACCGACTGGTCAAACTGGTCGCCCCCTTGGCAGGACCGCTCAAAAAGGAAGTCACGTGCGCGGGACTTAGAAAAATCGCGCGTTCTGGCCTCTGGAGACGTCTCTTGGAGCGGGCGCTTCTGGGCTACCCACCGCCGCGCACCGTGCGCACCCGCTCTGGTTGCTCCCGCGCCCCGCGCTGGCATTCACAATCTGCGTAGGCAAGCCGATGTTCATGTATATAAGCTGCTAGTAGTAGTCTTCGATGTCCAAAGAAGGCTCCTCCTCCTCGTCGAACATGGTCTCTTGGTCTGCACCAAAGACGTCTTCTTCGGGCTCGGAGTGCGACCCCTCTGAGTCTGCCAGGCTCGCATCATCGAATGCTGCAGCAGCGGCGACGGCAGCGGATTCGAACTCCCCGTCGCTGTCATTGAAGTACTCTTCGTCGTCAGAGGAACCCTGCGTGCTGCGTGAGAATGCGAGACCAATGCCGACAGGGTTCACGCGAGCACGTACCAAGATCGGCACGTCTGGCCTCATGTCCTCAACTGCACCATGACGGAACTGTTCTTGAAGCTGTGTGAAGGTCGTGTTATATTCCGTGAGAGGTTTGTTGAGCGTGAGCGTGCCGGTCGTAACTACATCGGGGACGAGCGGCTTCTTGAGTCCGTGGAGGTATCGCCCAGGGGTGTGACTGAATATCTCGTGCGCGTGCATTGAATCTTGCAAGCAGGCAAGGTCGCGCTTGATAGATGGTGTGTGGTGCTTTATTCCGAGCCGCGCACCTTGCTGCGAGTTGATTTGCAAGATGAGCTGGCGGAAGAGAGTGATGCAGGGTGTGATCATTGACAGCCAATCCCACGACGCGTTGCTTCCTTGTGCCTTGAATACAATCTGGAGTGCCGCCATCATGCAGGTAAGCCGCGAGGACCGTCATATGAGCGGGCTGTAAGAGACTCATACCTTGGTCCAGAAGTTCATGTGCTCTTGCATCAGGTCGACCGGGACCCAGGCGTTCTCCTTGCCTGTCGGATTGACGAGCCAATTCTTGAGTATGATATTGCTGTATGGAAATGTGTGAGTATGTCTCCTCTCTCCATGCATACGCACAGGGGAACACTCACCGCAACGGCTTTGGCCACACAACCTCTAGTGAGTGTATGAAGTGGAGAAGCTCGTAGGCGTACTTTGTCCTACCACACCCACGGAACGCAAGCGCGAGGTGCTTCAGGACGCGGACAATGCGCCCCGAGTATCCACCCTTGATCGCGTCGGTGAATTCACGCGCTATCAGCGCGTCACGGAGGAAGAGACACGCGTTCTCATACAGCAGGTCGCCCTGCTTCAGCGCGTCGGCATAGACATCATACCCCAAGTTGTCCTCGTGCTTCTCCCCGTTGCGGATGGCCTCCTCGTGTGCTGCCAGTCGAGCCGCAACCTCGGCCGCACGGTCGTCTCGCAGTTCGTCAACCGTGTTCTGGTTGCAGAACTTGCTGACAATGGTGCGGGCGTCTTCAAGGAGCCGGTCGTACGTGACTTGCGATGCATATTCTTCAAGCGAGTTGCATCCTGAGACGAGTTTGAAGCAGGTGAGTACACATGCGGTGAGCGACACGAAAACGAGGTCGCGGCAGGTGCGATACGGAGGGAGGGATGTGGGGATGATGGGTTTACGATTGAGAATAGTGTTGAAGAACGAGAGCGAGGTGGGGTTGCGAGAGCCGGCTCCCTCCGTCTCGCCAAAATGGGTCTCCATGATGCCATTGACCAGCGCCATCTGGTAATGGAACAGCCCGGGGCAAAAAACCGCATACCCGTACGACTGGGCGAGCCTCTCATGGCCGCCGCGGTTGGCCAGGATGGTGCGTGCCCGAGCGACGGAGAGTTGGTCACCGAAGAAGAGCTGGACAAGGGTCGGAAACGAGTCGGAGTCGGAGTCAATCCCAAGCTCTTTCATGATGGCATCGAGGACTTCTGCGTTGCCGATGATGCTGCTCTCATCAATGTTCATCGCTGGAAGAGTGTAGGGCTTCGTCTTATGCAGAGGAATCTGGTCGTCGGTCTCTGGATTACTGTTGAGAACCCTTGAGCGGAACTTGGAGAAACACTCGCAGTTATTGACGAGCTCTCGAAGGACCGTGTGTACTAGAGAGTTCCGGAGTGAGGTCAGTTCTGTTGGAGACAGCATCACCTGACTGAAGTTAAGAGGTGGGGCGGCATGGATAGAGCTGAGGAGATCGGAGGCCTTCATGTCCGTCGGTGAGGCATTGAAGAGAGGGAAGATGGTGGCGCAGGTCCCATTCTCTTGAGCGTCCTTGCGACCGACAATTTGCTCCTGGACTTTGAATACCATATTTATGTTGTCATAGACGGCACCGAAGGGGGTGGAGCGAGCAATAAAGCGGGCAGCATGACGAGCAGTTTCGGAAAGTCGGCGAAGGAGACCTGCCCCGGGTGGGAGCTTGGGCGAGGCGGCGACGGGCGCTTGATCGCTTGGGACGCGCGCGCGCTCAGCTGGGTCCGCGCGCGCGTGCTCAGCTACAGTGTCCGCGCGCGCGCGCTCAGCTACAGTGTCCGCGCGCGCGCGCTCAGCACGAGGCGTCACGCCCGACGTCTCTCCCTCAATGTCAACATCAACCTCCACACTCTTCGGGTTTGGCTCTGCCCTGTGTGGGTCAAGTCTCTGCACCTCTATGGGACTCTTTGCAACTTTCCCCCCTGCGGAGGCGCAAATCAGCAAGTGCAGGCAGAGCTGTTGAGCTCAATGGGTTGGGAGTTGAGTCACGCACTGTGGTGAGTACCTCCGTCCTGCTCATCTGCGCGATCGACTTCGTCTGGGACCCCCACGATTGTGACCTTGGGATCTTCGGCTTCGTCATCGTTGACGAGGTCGGGGTCATCCTCGCTGTCATCATCCAGCCTTTTGTCCTTGCCATTTGCTGCGGCTTTGGGAGGAGCATCTGTCCCAGTCTTGCTGCTCCCGGCTATCGCGGCGTAGCTGCTGCAGATGCCGAGTGACGCAAGGACGGTGATAGTTTGGCGTGAGGCTCCGGATGCGAAGAGATACAAGCCAATGATATGCTTGAGTAGACTATTGTTCTGACTTCGCTCGCCCAACAGGTCAATAAGTGCCATTCCGATACGCTTGGACATCCCCAGTCAGCAGTAACTTGCAGCAGTAGGTAACTGACACTTACTATTGCCTTCCGTTTGTCACGCGCTGACCGGTCTTTCCCTTCGGCGTCGTCTCGCGCGTTCTGTCTGCGCTGACGCGGGGTAGTGCTGAATTCGCGCATTACAGCGGCCATCGTCGGGCATTTCTCCCGCACACCTCCAAGGAAGTCCGACATGTCCAGCTTCTCCAAGAACTCCTCCGTCACCTCTGTCTTGCTGCCTTGAAGGATGCCAGACCGTGTCAGTGCGTCGGCCTCAAGACGACCGTCACGCGCTTCACGGCCGACGTGCTTCACGGCCCAATTGCCAACAGTCGCCATCCCGGTCTTCGTGTTCCGGTACGCCCAAAGATCAAGCACCCGTTCGACTTGCTTACCATTCATGCAGAAACCACGCCATCGCTCCTCTCGGTGGCCGGAGGTCGGGGTCGAGATCCACTCGAGGAAGTCGCCCCACGGGGTGTTCGCCTTCTTGAGCGTCTCCAGGATCCCCTCAAAGCACTCCGTCCGTGTTTGCTGTTTGGCGGCCGTGTCCTCCTTCTCAAGAATAGCCTGTGCTTGCCGGTTCTGAGCCAGGTTGAGGTCACGCTTGGCCTGTTGCTCAGCGTACTGCTTCGATATTGTACGTCCTTGGTGAACATATCCTCGACGTTTATTGAAGTCCATTCTGTTCTCCCCGGCAGTTGTTTTACATGAGGCGACATCTGGAATGAGTCGTCACTCTTCAGCTCGGGGTCGCGAGTGGGAGAAGAAGGGAGGGACTGTGTGCGCTGCCGCCGCTGAGGGGTTGCACGTGCGCGTGTGTGGCTGGGGTTCATTGTAGCCTCATTGACTGCCCCGAGGTGACCTCGACGCTCTTGAGCATCGGTTTGGGCCTGTTTGGCGAAGGTGTTGGCTGCTCGTCGTGCTGCCGCACTCGTTGTGGGTGACTCTGGAGGAGAACTGAGGTCCGACATGGTAAATAGGTCCTCATTGTCCAATATCCACGATTGCTCGCTCTGACCAGCCATCCTTCACAGATATTGAGCTGAATGTGACATCTGAAGTGGCAGCATACGCACCTTGTTGTGCTCGATTTGTGAGAGAGAGTGTGTGTGTCGAGAATAGAATGGCGACTCGTCGCATTGCAGCATTTTTGGCGCTTATCTGACGCCTTCCGATTTTGTGTGCCCCACCCCTCAGTTGCGCCTACTCTCCTGCTACCATTTGCTTCCACTGTCTGCTTTTCTCCTGCTCCTCGTCGCCATGGCCCGTCGTTCTCGCCCCAGCAAACTTCAGAATTATGCCCTACTGAAGAGTGGTATACCTCGCCCAAGGCTCACCGAAGACGACATCACCGAGCTCAAGGCTCACATGCGCGAGTCCTTCAAATGGGATTCGGATCCGAGGGACTTCCAGCTCAAGGCCGTCGTTGCGCAGATTGAAGGAGTAGACATGATTGTCCAGGCTCCCACAGGTGCAGGGAAGACAGCTCTGGCTGCGGGTCCACATGTTTGGCCCGCCTTTGCAAACAAGGTCACCCTCATGGTGAGCCCGCTGATGGCTCTGGAGGAGGAAATGGTACGTAACATCCTGGTATGCCTACTGCACCTGTGAAAGACATGAGGTGAACACCGGCTCAACAGGTGGACACCTTTCGGGACGACTTCGGCCTCAAGGCGGTCACACTACATAGCAAAAACGGCGGCTGCAGCATGGAAGAGATTGAGGTAAGCTGCTTCTTTTTATGCCATTTTGAACCATCCCGAACCATGTGTACACCGAATATAGAAGATCCTCAACCTGGAGTATCAAGTAGTAATTGTCTCACCGGAGATGCTCCAATCCCGCCGCTTTACCGACCTCGTACTCCGCAACTCAAAGTTCACCCAGAACATTGTCTCAATGTTCATTGACGAAGCCCACTGCGTCGTTCACTGGGGTGCGGACTTCCGGAAGAGTTACGGCACCCTGGGAAAGATCCGCGCATTCCTGCCTCCATGCACTCCCGTAATCGCTGTCACAGCTACTCTCACTAGACGAGTTCGTCGCGCGCTCTACGGCTCCCTCTTGTTCTCTCAATCTGAGGCCCGGAGCCGCTTCGTCAACAAAGGGAATGATCGTCCAAACATCTCCCTTGTTATTCGTGGTTGTGAGCATCCCCTCAACACGTTTGCAGACCTTGATTTTGTCATCTCCGAGAACATACAATCAGTCCACGACATCCCAAAGACCTACCTCTACGTCCAGAAGATCGCCATCGGCAATGACATCATTGCCCATCTGTACCGGCGGCTATGGGAAATCCTTCCCGAACTGCGACCAGGTCCGAACCAGCCCAAAGAAGCTGGATGTATCCGGCTGTTCAACGCAACTATGTCTGCACGCTACCGCAAGTGCGCCATGGCCGCCTTCCGTGAGGGACAGATCCGAATCATGGTCTGCACAGATGCGGCAGGAATGGTATGTTCACTGGTCGAACTCTCTACAGTTCATTTATTAACAGTTAAGCTGCAGGGCTGCAACATCCTCGATGTGGAGCGTGTTATCATATGGAAGATGCCGGAAACGTTCTCACACTTCGTGCAGCGCGCGGGACGCGCAGCGCGAGGGCGCGGCACTCGAGGGGTCGCCATCCTCCTTGTCGAGCGCTCTGCGTACAACACCAATATCGTCGACAACATGCCCGCTTCCCTTGATGAAAAGCCCGTTGGCAAGATTCAGGGGACCAAGGAGAAAGCACCACGCGCAGACTCCAAGGAGGTGAAAGAGTACGCCAGAGCTCACGGTGTCAATCGCGGCGGCTCAAAGCAACTCGACGACATACCCAATGGCAAACAACCCCAGCTGAACCCAGCAAGTGCCGACGAAGGTCTTCTCTCATTTGTGCAAAGCACGTCCTGCCGGCGTGAAGTCTGGGCACAGGTTTTCGAGATCCCAGACTCGGAGCGGCGTAAGTTTTGTTCACTCGCCGCATGTATATGCTCCCCTAATTTTATGTGTATAGATCCCCTAGCTGAAGGGTGTCCGTGTTGCGACCTCTGCCATCCGAAGCTGTTTGATCTCGCCCGCCCTGCACCTTGTCCTCGTGAAAAAACGAACAGGTTGCCCACGAAGGGCCTGCCCGACCCGACAGCTCGTGCCGCTCTCGCACAGTGGCGCAAGATGGTACATGCCCGCGACCACCCATTGGCATGGTTTAACGCCAAGGCAATACTTCCCGACGTGCTTCTCGACTCACTTGTCTCATATGGCTCTGTCACTCCCATCCAAATTCGAGCTATCATGAAGGAGCCATCCGCAGTGTGGACGGATCGCCTCACCGCTGAGCTATGTGAGTCTATGGCACATTTGCAGATTCGGTTCGTCCCCAATCCAAAGAAGATCTCGGTGAAGGCAATTCTTGAACATCCTTTGCCCTCATCCTTACCTGTTCCACCCACCAACTCTGCTGGCTCGTCGTCGTGCAAACCAGTACAAGCCGTGCCAACCCAGACTGAGGCCGCGCGCGCACCATCACCCGATACCATGCGCGAGCCCCCACCTAAACGCACACGTACCAAAACGAAGCCCACGATGCCCCCAGAAACCGCATACTACCCGACCTCTGTTTCCGCCAACGCAGAAGCATCCAAACGGCCGCGCGGGGCGTCCGCGTCGTCCATGGCTCCTCCGCCACAGCGTAAGCGCCTGCGCGCGACAGAGGTCCGAGGCAGCGAAGCGCCGGCCCCATCGCAATCTCTTGCCCCCATCTACCTAGGCACGCCTGCCCACTCCACCCACTATGCTCACCCTTCCTCAACACCCACACTCTTATCAACCCCTCTTCCACTTGTGTCGCCTCAGCCGCACCCACACTATGGACAGAACACGAACGAGACCACATCCAGTTCACGCCAGCATGCAAACTTCGCACAAGAACAGAGTTCCGACATGGAACACTCAGTACCTCAGAGAACGTACGTTTATCACAACACTCCTCCCGCGCTACCCTACCATCCCCCGCCACCTGTTTTCCCATCTCCCTCGCCGGCTGCCCAACAACTTCAGGAAAGCCCGGGATCCAGGATCACCTGGTCGACGCTGCAGCAGCCTGTGTGTAGTGCTGGTCACGTCGCACCGTCTCCTCTCCCATGGTCCAGTCACGATGGCGGCCCCACTGCTCCATCTCTGTTCACAATGTCAAGCTCAAGCCTCCCATCCTCTTACTACAACAGCACACCCACTCGTGCAAGGCATTCGATCACAGGGCCCGCGATGCACTCACGGACTCCCGCAAGGCCTCCATCTACGCCTGCGATACACCCGGCTTTCCCTACAATGCCGCTGGGTCCACCCACGATGTCAGCCCCTAGGACGCCCTCCGACTCCTACACAACCCTCTGGGGCATCCCCGCGTCCTCGCATACAATGCCGACTATCACACCGGTGACTCAATCGGCCACGTCCTCAACACGCTCTGTGGCCCTCGCATGGCCTCAATCTCTCCCCGCGATGCGCTCTACCACGCCTGCGATGCGCTCTACCACACCCGCAATGCGCTCTGCCGCACCCGCAATGTGCTCTCCCACTCCCGCAATGCACGGCGAGTCTGCCACGCCCGCGATGCGCTCTGCCGCGCTCGCGATGTCACCACTTGGTCCTACGCATGTGCCATACCACACGCCCGGGCCGTACCATGTTATGTGCTCATCCACGCCCGCGATGTATCCATCCGTTGGTTTTGCTCACGGTATGTCACCCTTCTTGTCTGTGCTCTCCTTCAGCATTCCTCATAATACTCCGCATTGGAGTGCAGGTCCGCCACCTGCGCCCAGCCCATATACGCAAGTAACAGAGCTCCCCCAGATTGCGAGAAGCACACCGGAAATTCGAAGTCACATGCAGGCTCTCCCGCGTCAAGTAGCCTCACTTGGAATGCCCGCTCCATACCCACGGGACGGGATCTCTGCGCAGGTTCGACATGCGCAGGACGCCCAAGTCGTCGTGCGGGCCTTGGTGAGTCTCGGTGACGTCATGTAAACTACACCCCACTCAAGTTCGGCATACCTGCAGACGACGACGGCTTCTCTGGACACGTCATCACCCCGTCCTCCACGCGGTTGGACAGAACCATGTGCCACACTGGACGCTCTAATCTCTGGCTCACAGTATAACCCCGGTCAGCCTGACACCGGGACACCCGCTCAAAGTATGGACCTCGGGCAGCCGCAACACCTCACGCACGCTGAGTCATCTCAGAGACAGGCTCACCACGACGTTTCCATCTACGACACTTACGGTTTTGAGCCTTTCATGCCACCTTTTCACCCCGATCCTGCGCCCCCTGCATCCTCTACCCCTTCAACTAGCGGACTGGCACCCGGGTTTTATGTCGAGAACGGCCATGTAGACCCGCAATTGGCTCATTGTTCATTTGGTATGTAAAATCATAACTATTTACACCAACGCGCGCGCGTGAGGGAGTGGACGGGAGGACGTGCACAGGGGAGCTACTCCGAGTCCAGAGGCCAGAACGCGCGATTTTTCTAAGTCCCGCGCACGTGACTTCCTTTTTGGGCGGTCCTGCCAGAGGGGCGACCAGTTTGACCAGCCGGTCGGTAAACCGACCGCCGAAGGCGTATCGGAGTTTGAACCGACCGGCTGGATGATCGAGCCTAGGGCTAAGTGTATCGTAAGGCGTGTGAGGCGAGACCAAGAGATAAGGGACTACAAAGATAACATGCGTATGCGTAGCGTAATCTAATCTAATTGTAACCGGCGCTTCCGCGCGTATCTTCAACAGATACTGACTATACTTCGGTTTCGACCGACGCATGGAATGAGATTAGATGGTGAAAGCCCAGCAAGCTAGGCCTCCCAATGGCGTATGTGTCTCGAGATTACCGGCCTATATCTGACCCAACCCAACATCGAAGTACACACGACAAGGGACTTGGGAGGACTCGGCTCAGGAAGTGGTGTTTTCATGACGCGCTGTCCGAGTCCGCCAAGCTGCTTGGAGGGGCGGCATTCTTCGAACTCATGTTCTGCGCGTGTATTGTGAAACGGAGGTCGTGACGCAGGAGGGGTGCTCGCTGGCTAATGTCTGGGCGGTGGCGGTGATATAAGGTTAACGCTGCTCCGTTGCCGGCCATTTGACACCGGAACCGACCACCGGAACTGACTCGAGCTCCGGGCTCAAGCTGTGATCGGGCGAGGTGTGGGGGTATACGTACCTGAACGGATAAGTATCCAAGTAGCGCTCAAAAGCACACTGATATAAGCCTCTCGGAGCTCACGGCGCATCTTGCCCGCTTCCACACTCTTGCTTGCTCGCATTCTCCTCGTTCATTCTCCGCCCCCCCGCTCCTCGGTTCGAAAATGCGCTCAGCCATCATACTGGCGTCCACTCTTTTCGCGGTCGGCCCGACGTTCGCTGCATACAACCTGATCAAGGACTACTCCGGCGCGAACTTTTTCGACGGCTGGCAGTTCTATGGTAACTACGACAACCTCACGAATGGTGCGTCATCCGAGTAGACCCTCGCTTTCTTCATCCCTGGGCGATCGTGGGTGGCTGTACGAGTTTGAGAGTGGAGAGTCTATATCTGGGTGGGAAAGGAACCTTCGCGTGTTTTGCGTACGTCGTGCGCAGCACGCTTCAGGCATTCCTCAAGCTTCTTCATGACTTTTGCCACACCTGTCCCTTGCAATTCTGTCAGGCTCTGCCAGAAGTTCACTCCTTGACCATGTACTTCTGCAGGCGATGTCGTCTACCTCGATCAAACCAACGCGACCCAGGGCTCGCCCAAGCTCGCCTATACCACTGACAAGGGCACCGCCATTATACGGGTAGACAACGAAACTGTTGTTCCCTACAACGAGAAGCGCAACTCCATCCGCATTGCTACTACGGACTTCTTCCCTATCAGCTCCGTCTTCCTCTTCGATGCCGTTCACATGGCCTACGGCTGCTCTGTACGTCTTTCGTTCTTGCCACACACAGATTTGTCTAAAGGGTTTTGACTCACTAGGTTTGGCCAAGCTTCTGGACGTCTGGTGCCAACTGGCCGGCAGCGGGTGAAATCGACATCTTGGAGGCAGTCAACTTGATGCCCGCCAACCAGATGGCTATCCATTCGGCAAATGGCTGCACGATCAACGGTGCGAACTGCACCGACGGCGCTGGCTGCACTGTGGGCGAGAAGAAGCCGAACAGCTACGGTGACAACTTCTCCAACGCGGGTGGAGGCCTTTGGGCCACTCAGTTCGAGACCACTGGCATCAAGTATGTGTACGCATCCCTGTGGTCTTGTCTACCACTAACGTTGTGTCTTGCAGCATTTGGTTCTGGAGTGTAAGTACCCTATACATGCGTCAGGTCGTCCGTGCTCACTGTGCTGCAGCGCGCAGACATTCCTGCCTCCATTACCAGTGCCACAAACTCCATTGATGTCTCTGACTGGGGCACCCCCTCGGCTTCGTACTCAACCTCCTCAACGTGCGACATCGGCAAGTTATTCGGTCCCCAGCAACTGATTCTTGACATCACGCTCTGTGGTGACTGGTAAGTGCTTTGCAACCTGTGATGTCACAGTAGTATTCATCATAATCCGGATCTAGGGCTGGTGTTCCTAGTGTCTACACACCCTCCTGCGGTGGGGATGGGTCCGCGAACGCCTGCGTATGGTCCTTTTTTGGCCTTGAATTCTCTTCATGCCCTCATAGCGCTCCCATAGTACATCAACAGCGTCATCAACGAGGGCAAGGCTTACAATGATGCCTGGCTAGAAATGAACTACGTGAAGGTCTTCGCCACCTCGGACGATACCTTCACCGCGTCGCTGTCTGGGACCTCTACCGTCCTGTTGTCCGCCAATGCGGGCCCGACGTCTTCATCCGCTTCATCCGCTTCATCCGCCGCCACTACGACTAAAGGAAGCAACAGCACCAACAGCTCGCCCAACACCGGCGGTGGTAGCGGCGCTGCTGCTGCGAGCCCTCGGATGTACCTTGCGTTCGCGGCGGGTACTGCGCTTTCCGTTTTCACTTGGATGCTGCTCTAAGCAGTTTGACGCTACAAATCTGACTGGGAATCCACGGACCCGAACTACTATACCTTACTTGGATGCTCTGAGTATGCGATGCGAGTACGTACAACTAGTGTAGCGATCTCCATTCGCGTATACCAACAATGTTCCGACATCGTCAGAGTGTGCGCACGTGCCAATATCCGTTGCAGTAGTGCCACAGTGGGCGCTTGTGGTGCTTAGCCTCAACAGTGTCCGCGAGCCATTGGACATCCACGCTTCACTACGCTTCATCGCTGCGACCACTCCCTCCTTTATGACCTAATGAGCCTCTGAACATCTTGTCTCCTCTAAGCCTTGGACCTCAACCCTGATTATATCAACCTCAAGACTACCCGTCGGCCTTCATCGACTTTCCCTGAAGAACACCATGGCCCCCGACATTGCTCGGCCATCAAGTTCTGCCCGACGCAGCACAACGGGCATTCCCCCGAAACCCGACGCTTCATTGGCCGAATGGACGAGCAAGATCAAGGCGATGCAGAAACAGGTCGACGAGGACGAGGAGGCGGAAACTCGTCGACTAGAGATGGAGATCCAGGCATCGAGGATCGCTCGCATGCGCAGGAGCACGAACCTTGGAAGTCGGACGAACAGCGTTGATCTTTGTGAGTGATTTGCCTCGCTTTGGCATGCGGGTGGGACGAGGGACTCCGCACTTCCTCGCACTTCCTCCGACGCAAAAGTTGAATAGATCGCTTGTGGATCGTATACAGGCGCACTGGCGACGAGAATGCATATCTCTGTTCAGGGTTTGGCGGGAAATTCTTTGCATGCATCCGTGTAGCGTTTTCGTATGAAGCCGATGGCTGAGACACCTACCCCATCCCCGCAGCCCAAAGTGGAACGGTCGCCGCGCTCAAGGAGGTCGACCGATCACCCCAGTCGAATGATCCCCTCGCACTTAAAGACCGTCAGAGCAACCAGGACGACGCCCTCCGCAAGCTCATGGGCGACGGCTCGCCGAAGATGTCGGCCACCACAACCACTTCCCCACCATCCACCTCGTCTACATCTTCGTATGGACCTGCGGCGGCGAAGCGAGGCGCTGAACCTATCTCTCTTGCCGCCTTCATGGGCGGTCGCGCAACGGGTCCGAGGCTCACCAAGCACGCTCCACAGCAGGATGCGCACGACCCAACACAATTTGAACAGCGCACGCACGTCGCCGCGCCGCATCCCGTATTCGGACGGGGCGGCGTCGCGATGCCGGGCATGACGGGTTCTGGGAGTGTGTCGGCACAATCTCGCGCCATACGGGATGAAGAGGCTCGGTCAACCGTCTCTACAAGCTCTACGGCGAGCACCAAGGGGCGATATACCATTTCACCATCGACCCCGGCAACCGTTCGCTCGATGGTTGCACAGGCTCAAGAACGTGAGTCTCCGTCGAGTTCCAACGGGCTTTCTGTCCCTGCTCGTCAGCGAACAATGAGCACACCAATGGGTACTTCGCCATCGCCCACGAAGCCCGCGTCCGTAGAGTTTCCGAAGCCCAAGATGGATGCACCAACGTCAGTTCGTCCAGTCACCCCGGCGACCCAGGAACGTGAACGGGTGAGCACACCCAGCTACACTAGCACATCCCAGGTGCCAGCCCGTCAACGCACGATCAGCACTCCAAGTGTTCCTCCATCTCCCGTGAAGCCCACCACTCCCAAACCATCGACTCCTGCGGAGACCTTCACTACCAAGCCGAAGGCCGACATCATCTCCCGCCCATCCTCCAAGTCCCCCAATCATACCATCATTCGTCCCATCACCCCCCGCACCAGTACCGGGACCAAGTCCCCGTCACCGTACAACCCTCAGACCTCGAACACCACAAAGTCGATGGTTGCACTCCCTGGCCTCGCGCGACCCATTCAGCCTTCCCCAAGGAGTTCCATCGGTAGCCCACAGATGCCACCCTCTCACAACCCGTCACCGGCGTTCCTGAAGCCCCCACAAGAGAAGGGGCCCACTCCCAGTTTGAGCCGACTCAAGGGTAGAGGATTCGTGAAGAACATGGTCGAGAAGAGCGCTGCCCTGGAGAACATCTTCCCACCTGAAGTCCCCCCGCTCCCAGAACGCATCCTCTCTCCTACGAAGAGGCAGAGCACCGGTGCTGTACTCGACCGATGGCAACCTGTCAGCACGCCTTCTCCACCTCCAGTCGTTTCGCCCAAGCCCTCCCCAATGCGCAAGTCGCTGACGACTGAGCCTGCTCAAGTGTCGCCCACCACGGCCACTTACACTGTCCCCCTCAAGCGGGAGAACACAGCTCCTGCGACGGTTCCGACCCTTAGCAAGAAGTCTTCGATGCCGACGATGAAGCCAGGCGAACAGCCCGTGGACCCGAACTTCACGGGCTGGTTGGGTTCTTCCAAGACCGTCATCACATACGTTGAACCCACCAAGACCGGTGAACAGCAGCATGCCCCTCTAAGTGAACAACGGACAGAAGTGGACGAGCTCGGCATGCGCGTCCGACCACGGACAACGAGCGGGGGCTTGGTGCAGGAGCGGGGCGAAGCAGGGATGCCTGCGGCAGGCAAGCCGCTCAGTCATGTACGTCCAGTTTGGTAACTCGCAATCTACGTTTCTTCGTGCTTTTGCTTGTACCTTTACCCCTCCCTCCAAGTCGCTATATGCGCTTGATAGATTGGCGCTGACTTTTCGTCCCTCTGTGTGTAGCCCACAAAGGACCGCGCGAAGAAGCCTCGTAAGGGCAAGGGTAGCATACCCACAACAACCCTCGCTTCCTCTACCCTCGACACCGTCCACGAGGCGCCCGCGGCACGGTCCGCATTGCAAACGCGTTCACCTGCGGGCAGTCAGAAGCAGCCATCCGTTCTCTCCCAGGCTCAGACGAGCTCCCCAACTTCCCAATACCCGTCTCCACCCGCATCGCATGGTCGAGCAGTATCCCCTGCCGCGTCCGCTCCGGCGCCCGCGCCATGCTCCACCCCCTTCCCTACAACATCCTCCGCCTCTGACAAGCGCACGCCGCCTGTGGGCGCTCTGCCCACGCCGTTCGGCGCGCCTCGCGGGCCCGGCGGTACAGGGGCGCAGCCCCCGCCAGTGCGTCAGCGCATCCCCAGCACGGGCAACCGAGCGCGGGTTATGGAAGTCGCCCAGGCGTTCTCGGAGGAGATGCGGCGCCAGGCGCCGGCTTCACCGCAGCCGCCTGCATCGCCGTTGGGCCCAGCCGCGGCGGCGCAAATGTACGCGGCGGAGGCGGCGAGGGAGGAAGACGACGACGACGAGGCGGCGGCGGCGGAGGCGGCGGCAGCAGCGGCGGCGGCGGCAGCGGCAGTCAAAGAGGCGGCTTTGCGCGAGAAACAGCGTGTGGAACGCGAGCTTGAGGAGACGAAGCGGGAGCAGGCGGTGAAGGAGCAACAACTGCGGGAGCAGCAGTTGCGGGAGCAGCAGCAGCGCGAACAAGAGCAGCGGCAGCGGGAGGAGCAGGAGCGCTGCAAGCAGCTGGAGAGGGAGCAGGCGCAGTGGGAGCAGCGGCAGAAAGAGCAGAGGGAGCAGCAGCAACGCGAGCGGGAGCAGCAGGTCCAGGTCCAGCAGCAACAGGATCAAACCGAAGAGGACTGGACCCCGCCCAGCGTGAAGAACATGGTCGCGACCTGGGGCCCTCGTGCGACGGTTCAGCCACATGCGTATGGGGCGAGCGGGACCAACGGCGCTCAGCCACGGGCCCAGTCGATCACCGCGCCGCCGTTGGAGAAGCGCAAGTCGAGCTATGAACGGTACTCGCAGTTCATCATGCCTCCCCTTCAGGAAGAGAAGACTCCGGCGCCATCACCTGTGAGCACGCTGAAGAAGGACGCGGCAGCGCCTGATCCTGCGTTATTGGAGAGCGACGAGGACGGGGATGAGAACCCAGAGTCGGCGGAGCGCAAGCCACTCTCGTTCAACGAGTATGTACAACCAGTCGAAGACGTGGTGGTTGATGAGGAAGTTGTGCAACCCTCGAAGGACGAGACTGTTCACCTTGGTAAGCCGGTCTGTTTCAAGACGCTCGAACGTCACTGATCGTCCCCGACAGCTTTCGAAGACAAGCCTCTCCCGCGTGTCGATGTTGAAGCTCTCCACGTCGCTCCTCGTCCCAGATACACGCCGGACCCCGACATCAACACCGTTTCTGTCGAAGTTATGTCCATTGAGACCAACAACACCACTCCCATTTCCAACCCCCCTCACATCTTCCATGACACGGAGCTTCTCGCGATCGTCCACCGTGCCAAAGCCAAGTCATCCGGACTCGTTACCACCCGTGTTTGGGCATGGCAGGGTCGCCGCGCGCAGCCTTCGGAGCGTGCTCTGCAGCGCATCACGGAATTGGCGAGGCGGTACAACACCAGCGCGGAGCAGGTGAAGCAAGCGCGGGAGCCTGTCCAGCTTGTTGGAGTGCTGGGCGGTACGTTGGTGGTCAGGCAGGGCGCAAGGGCACACTGGAGTGCTGAGAACACGGCGATGCATCGAGTACAGTCCAGACAGGGTTTGGTCTTCATCGACGAACTCGAGATCGTACGTTGTTCGGTTCCCTGCTTTCCGTGCACTTAAATGACCCGGGTTGTGCTTGCACAGGGCGTCAAGAATCTATGCTCAGGCTTTAGCTACTGTGTTTCCATCCTCGAGACCTTCTACGTCTGGCATGGCCGCGGAGCCGTACCCACTGAACAGGCGGCAGCACTGGCATATGCTCAATCACTCGCCCCATCCCCCGATAGTATCGTCGAGCTTACGGAGGCGGAAAGTGAGTTGGAGGACATGTTCTGGATGGTTCTGGGAGAGGGAGACTACGCGCGAGCGGATTACTGGAGGTGGCGAGCAGAAACGGAGATTGTGGACCCACGTGTGTGGGTGGTGGATGCCTCTCGGAAGGACACAGTGAGTTATTCTTCTCCGGCGCATAGAAAGGGTCGTTGATGATGTCCGATTTATCCAGCTGTTACCTGTGCCTGTATTCCCTGCGTTTGACCAGCACGTCCAGTCGGTGTTTTTGGTTGACTGCGTTTGGGAGTTCTTCGTTTTGGTCGGCCAGGAGGCACGGCACAAGCGGTCTGAAATCCGTCTTGCCATTTCTGTAGCAGAGGTACGTGCCGTTTGCTCAGCCGGCGCAGATGAGTGTCATTGAGGTTTGCCCGTGATCCCCAGTCTCTTGCTCAGAAAGTATCGCCCACTCGCCCATTCAAACCCGTTGTGCATGTTCTCGTATTCCCCACAAGAATACCCACGGATCTTCTACTTACGTTCCGAGAGCTCGAGGAGGCCGAGTTTGTGAATTGATCTCGCTCGTTCCTTTTCTCCATGGCACTCACTCATCTGCAGAACGCCGGCGATGTACCTAATCACATGAACCTTATACCCAACAACGAGACGGACACCAAGGTCAGTGAGTCAGAGCCGAGCGAGTCGAAAAGTGTGCTTACGGACGATTTCGTCGGCAGCTGAAGATGACCTCTTGGTCGTCTGCAGAGCTGCGAGATCCAGATATGCTCCCACTAGGCGTGTGCCCATCGGATGTCAGCTGAACATGGGGCATTGTTTCTTCAGCTGTCTCCCCTCCGTGATCGCTCCCATTTCCTCCCATTTCTTCTACTGCCTGATCTGGTCTACGGTTAATGACGACCGACCGCATTTATAGTCCTAATAGGTCCGTATTGACGACACCAATGTATTTTTCTCTCCGGTCTATCCACGCTATGATAGGTCTGGGGTTGTCTTCAACCGCCGGACGACGTGAAGATCCGGGCCGTCCGATCGGCATAACGGCAAGAACATCCCGTATATGGAGCGTTAGGCGCCTTCTGGCCCATGCAGTCATTCATTTTGGCAGCAGCCAAGTGTGAGATGCGATGTCTCCTAGCCTTCAGGATCTAGGCTGCGTGTTATACTATTCGCTGTGAGTGTTGTGATGGAACGCACCTGACGCTGTAACACTCACTGTTCCGGCCTGATGCATTGCTGATCCTATTGTCCCTTTCTTATTTGCAGCTTGCGGTAACGCTCGGATACATCTCTCTAGATACTTGCTAAAAATACGGTTCACAGGTCCGTGTAGCCGATGGTTCACATATGTCCTTGTCAACAGGCCGATCCTTTTCATTTCATTACTAATGGTGACTCGTACAGCCCTGCGTCCAGAGCAGAGTCGACAGTTTAAGTAGGCATGAATACCAGTGCTCAGGTGGTGGGCGGGAGCTGCGATATAGAATGCGCGATCTGGGGTCGACATGAACCAACAGAGCCAGGGTCAACGCAGAATATTTCAGAAAGCGATCCAAGGACAACAACCCAAAATCATGTACATGCGCGCGACAAGGGATGCCTTGAGGACCCGAAACTAGGGCACACTGGTATTTCCCAGCCTGCCAAATGGGGTTTTTTGGGCGAAACCAGTCCTGAGGAAGCCTTTATTATCTCCCTCGGACCCAGAAGCAGCACTATCACAGACAAATTAAGCACGACGACAACACGAGACGCGGAAGACAGGACTTGGCCACTTCAACGGGGGTTACGTACGCCTGTACGGCTTCTGCGACGACGTCGAATTTAGTGGGGGTGCTCTCTATGCCCACCGTGAACTTCCGGTTGATCACCACGGAGCATTACCGCGGCTTAGACGGTAGGTGTCGGCGTACACGCGCTCATCTGGGTGCGTCTCAACCCCTAGACACTGACGCGCACTAGCCTCGACGATGACGTCTGGATGGGACGACGCGACGGCGAATCCATTCTTTACACGGCTGTATAGGGTAGCAGTGGTCAGGGTGAAGATACCATTAACATGAAATATAATGCTCCCGGTGGGAGTCGAACTGGAGACCTCTGGGCACTTTCACTCTATTGGTCGTTCCCAACTGACTCTTCCTCCCCTCCAGTTCATGACCTTAGGTTCACCATCTTTTGAAATATCGTACTCCATCCACCTGGTGAGCTTCACGAATCTTTGCACCGTGATCGTTAAAATGACTGTACACATGTGAACTCGTCATGCGACACGCTCCTTGCAGGCTGCAAGCAGTAACGCGTTCGATGCATTCGCTGCTTGACACACATTTTCGGATCCAGCTTTCATGAAATGAAGCCGCCAATGCACATCGGCCATCGGAAGACGAGTGCCCTCGTGAGCGCGTTCGGCCGCACGTTACACGCGCGCATGACGCCGCGCGCGCACTTCCGCCCATGCGGCTCCTCGTCTTCTTTCCCCGCCCTGGGCCCGTCGTGCTCTGCTGGGGCGCTCTGCCGCTCACATCCTCCCACCGGCGCCCTAGGCACGTCCGCGCTCTCTGCTTCCCGCGTTAGGCCCCTGATAGCGCCTTTGACAGCAGTCGCGCGCGAGCTTTAAGCGGCCCGCGAGGTCTACGTTCCTACGTTGGGATCGAGACCACGCGCATGTCTCCGCTGCCAGTGCGCCCGCATTGAGGGTGTCCCCTCACTGGCAGCGCGGATGTGCGGCGAACACATCCCGCCCGGCACCGAACCCTACATCCCTATGTATGGTTCGGAAGGACACGACGATGCTTGACCATGGGCAGAGCACTATAATAGGCCCAACCTGAGGCCATTCTCCTAGTCATCGCTCAACCGTCGCTGTATCCTCCCCCTCCCTCCAATCTCTTGGCAGGCATGGTCGTCTCTGTGCTCCTCTGGGTCCTTGCGCTCTCGGCTCTCGCACAGGCCGCCCCGGCCGAGTCGAGAGAGCAACACCGCCCCTTCCGCCACAACATTGCGAACACCACGATAGCATTGGCTCCAAAGCAAGCGAAACCTGCGCCATCCTGCTTCCCGGCGCTTGGATTTACGATGCCTCTCGAGCCGCCCAAAGACAACACCGGATGGTGGTGCGATCCCGCGACGGAGTACGCTTTTGTCGGCTTCAGCTACGAGGTCACTGCCTGTGAGTCGTATTGTGCTACACCGCATTTCTCGGACAGTGCTCACAGCTTCTCGCGCTGCAGGCCAGAGCAGAGCGCAATTGATCCGCGAGTTCGCTGACATTCGAAACCACTTCCGTTCGCGCTATGTGCGCCTTTACGGCGTGTGCGACCGCGAAGGCTTCTAGTGCGTCTTTTCTCCCGCACCCGCGTCTCCATCCGCATCTAACCGCCAACGCGCGCAGTGACGATATCGTAGACGCGGCGTGGAAAAACAGCTTGGGCGTGCACGCGCTCATCTGGGTACGCCGCGTTCGCTTGCCTCGTTCGTCCTTGAGCTCATAGCATCCATGTGCACAGTTCGGATTCAACCTCGATGACGTATGGATCGGCCGCCGCGACACCCTTCTCGCGGCACTGCACGCCAACCCCCTCGCGCCGCTCGTGACCCGCGTCTTGCAATTCGGGTCCGAGCCACTCTTCGACGGCGTGCTGCCGCACGACCAGCTCGCAGAGCAGGTCATCCTCGCGAAGCAGAACCTCTCGAGCCTCAACATCCCCGTGACCGTCAGCGAGCTCGCGTACGGCTACCAGGAACGCGGGGGCGCGCAGGACGTGCTCGACGCGATCGACTCGATCAACATCCATATGCTGCCGTTCTTCGCCCAGACCGCGTCGACGTGTGAGTCGTTCGCATTTCCCTCGGAGGCGAGGCAGGCGCTGACACTGGGGTTCGGATGCAGCCGACCAGGCGTGGCCGCTGGTTCAGACCGACCTGAACTGGTTCATCCAGCATGGGAACGGGAAGAAGATGTACCTTGACGAGGTGCGTCGCTGCCCCGACTCTTCTGGTCCGCGTACACGGCTCATATATTCCCGCATAGAACGGCTGGCCGTCCGTCACCTCCCCCAGCGTGCAGCCCAACAGCCCCGACGCGGTCGCGGACGTCTCTAATGAGCACGGGTACTACGTCCTCCTCGATCAGCATTGCGCGGACCTCAAGGCGGTCGTCGGCGGGGGCGTCGGCTGGTTCGCACACATCTACTCGGACAACCAGGAGCCCGGGTACGGCATCTACGACAGCGAGGGGGTGATCAAGTTCCCGTTCGCGCCGAGGACCGAGTGTTGAACGCAGCGCTGCGCAGGACGCGGTGGCTCGGTCTAAGGCCGACAGAGCTTCGAGCGCCGCGGTATCTGCCCCCGACGAACGTTATGGTCTTGGAATGCTTCACGATATTCAGGTGCCATATCACTCTTTTCTTTTGTACGATGGACTACTGCCACACAAGGGGGTGCGAAGAGTTGAAACATGGACTGTACTCTGTAGGTGTATGCGCCCGGTTGTATGACCAATTGTATCAGTATGTTGAACATGAGGCGTCCTCCACGATAACGTTGGCGGTGCAAGTTCTGTAAGTTCTTCAGGCTTTAGAGACATCGCCAGTGTCTACGGCCTAGTGGGATTTAGGGTATGTATCCAGACCGTAGCAACGCGATCAGTCTGCGCCCGCAATGGTCTTGTGAACACATTCTCGAGAATCGCGGGCCCAGCACTCATGCGCAGCCCGCGGAAGCCCGTCGGCGTAAAGCGCTGTGCGGCCACCCGGAGCCCATTCAGTTTTTGTCTCATTAGTCGATGACACAAATATGGGCTAGCATGCCCGCGCAAGAGCTGGGTTCGACCTGACGGGGCCTGTGCACGTATACTCCGATCGTAACTGTGGGCAACTCGTTGCAGGAGATAGACGGTTGTGTCGCGAAGGACCTCGTTTTTTGGTCTGTTTTTATGCCTGGGTAGCGTTGGGATTGGCCGCTGGACGTTGGGCTTGATCGGAGAACAGACATCCTGATGAAAGCGATGTGATCCAAGGATACCGCGAAGTTTAAGGGTTTCTCGATTCTTGTCGTCGTTGTTCGCAAAAATACTCCCATTCTCCAACACAAAATTGTCGCCCATCAAAGTCGGCGGCGTAACCATTGGCGACAGCCTGAGAGGTGACCTGTTGTTTTCGCAGATCTGAAATAGCGAGGTCGCAGCACAACGACCAGTACACTGCCTCCACAGGCGCCGGATTCCTCGGCGTGCCTGGGTGCGCCCGCCGTAAATGCGCACCACGAATGTCCGATGCAAATGTCCGTTGAGATTAAGCAAGTGCGTACGGTCGTGATATATGCGAGATCGTCCGGTCATGATAAGTAAGAGGTCAAGCAGGTATCCCGCGAACTGGTTTCCCTCCCGTGTGCGCCGCGGTGGCGCACATATGTACGCGCATCGAGCGTGAAGTCGCACAATATGTGCGAGTCCGAGCCGGAGGCCAAGGCCAAGGCCGGGATCGAACCGTAGATGTGTTTAGGCGAGCACCGCGAAGGCGGACGCGAGCGCGACGACGGCGTAGACGGGGGCAACGCCCCAGGCCGACGCGGCGCCGTTGGGGGTAGAGGTCACGGACGATTTGCTCGCGAGCTGGGTGACGGACGAGGGCATCGAACCGTCTGCCAAGCGGAATGAGGCGGGCACGATGAGAGAATTCGATCAAAGGCACGTACCAACAAAGGAGCTGCCGCACTCAGAGCTGAGGGTACTGGTGACCGAGCTAGGAATGAGGTCGCCGAACGCCTGGCTGATGAGGGTGAACTGAGCCTTGGAGCAGTCCGTGCAGGTTGCGTTCTTGGAGATGCTGGGGACCGAGCCAGCGAGCACACTGGTGAGGAGCGACTCCAGGTTGGAGGTCGAAATCGTGCCAATGGTGGGCTCGAGGGAGTAAAGTGCCTCGGTGGCGCAGAGCGTGCTGCTGTTCTTCGTGCTGGGGGCAGACAGAAGTCAGCGTGAGAGACCATCGCCGGATCCGATTGGAGGAAAGGGCGCGGATGACGACATGCGACAATTGGAGGTGCCAAGGGGACAGAACGCGAGACTCACTCAGCGAGACAGAGGACGTTGCGGACGGTGGGGTAGAACTGCTGGACGAGGGAGGTGATCTGGCCCGCGTCGACGTTTTGGAGGCCGAAGCTGGCGAGATCGGCCGAGCAACCTGAGGTCACATTCGCTACGACAGTGGCAATGGTTGAGTTGGTGCAGGCGGAGCGGCTGCACATGCCCTTGGCCCATGAGTCGATCGGGGGGATAAGGTCGGTGCTGGAGGAGGTGCCCGAAAGAATGCTGATGAGACCGCCAGCGTTGAGGCAGTTACCGTCAGACGAGGTAGCAATGGAGGCAAGCGTGCTCTGGCAGGCGGTAGAAATGCTGCATCGCATCGCACAGGGAGAAGGGCTGAGGACAATTATGGCGGGTGAGAATCATGGGACGACTCACGAAGATTCCTGAGCTGCGACCAGCTGCAGCCCGGCGACAGCCGCGAAGAGAGAAAGCGTCTTGAGGGAGAACATCGTGCTAACGAGCGAGAGGAGGAAAGTGGTGAAGGGATGGGAAGGAAAGGTGAGCAGCCGGCTGCGGAGGTGGTGGTATTATGGATCCCTGGCGGCCCAACCCCCGTTGCCTGTACACTGGCGTCTATCGACCGACCCCGGCGCCCATGCGGGGAGTCGCCGCCGCCACCTCGAGCTTTGCCTCACCGCCCCCGGCTGCGCACACCCACCACGGCCTTCAATGCCCTGCATTATGCTCACCCGACGCTGCATTATCGCTGATGTCATTCCTTCCTGCGGTCCGTACAACTACTCCGCAAAAGCAGCGGGACGCGCATACAGCCACCTCCTCGTCTTCGCCTCTGCGGAGCAACGCCGCGCCGTCATGGCGGCGAGCCCAAGCCCTCAAATGGTCGTTTCAGCGGAACAGAGGCAGTGATGCACCGGAGTGATTCCAGCCACGCCGCACTTGCAGCAGCACAGCTCTCGCGCGCCGAGTGAAAGCCTGTGAAAGCAGACGATCGCCAAGGACGTCGCTTTACGACCAGGTCAGTGCCGTCCGAGTGCACTCTGGCCGGGTACATGTTCAGGTGAAGCCGTCGGGGGACCACATTTGCTGATCAACGGTCTTTCGTTCACAGGGAAGCTGCGTACGCCATGGCGGTTGCTCGCAAGCGCTTCGATTCATCTGCACGCGTTCAATTCTACACGCGACGTCTCGCATTACGACACGGCGGGAAATCGGCATCGTGCGCGAACCATACGGCTGTACGAGGTGCTCCATGTGAGTATCCATGGTTCGACACTTCTAAAAATGGAGCACCGAGTCTTATGCCCCCCCCCTCGTCAGAGCCACCAACCTTGACGCTACGGAATCGTGGGGACACATTCGGCGAACAGTTACAAATAAAAGTGGTGAGGGACTTGCTTCTTGGTCACATGGTCAGCTGTGTGTGCATATACGGGCATGTCGGCCCTCTCTGAATGTCTTTCGGGCGCTTCATCCAGCCCCACCGCTCGTCGACTTGACACGGCTCATTGAAGTCCCTGGCTTCGACGCCCGACGTTCTTGTCCTCCACTTTACCGAACGCGGAGCGACTGAAGGGTGGCGTTAGGAGCGGGTGTGACCAGTTCGAGGTCCAGCCTCATCATCTAATGATATATGTAGGTGGTCTTTGTTACTGTTGAGCCATCACCTGTGTATTTTACTCACTCGATTCGTTCATGGACTCACCGCAGGGTCCCAAGTACGCCCCACGAATCACTCGTGCAAATTCGAGTGACATCAGACTTACATTATGGTATTCTGGTGATCGCTGCGCATGGAGCGTCAGGGTTCTTCAAGCGCCCTCGGAATCTGTCCGCAAGCGGGCTGTGGTTCAAGACGCCCTACATGCCAGTTTGCCTTCCCGCCTTACGCGTAATCCACGTTACGTCGGTTCTGCTTCGGCCCGGCAAACCTTCAAGCAAGTCTCGACCTGTTTCGATGCGGCGCGATCGAAGACCAGCAATGAAGCTGTGTGGGCTGTGTGGGCTGTGTGGGCGCCGCAGCATCTCCGCGCTTCACCGTTCCATCAACCAACACCAAATCCGGGCGGTAACCTGGGCTGCTCCGGTTAGGGTTCACCTTCGCGTACGCTGAAGAGAAGACAGAAGGTCGCCTCCCTGTCCCGCAACACACCCCATTGTGACTGGGCTCGCAAAGTGCCCTCACAACCCTGGCCTCTATGGTTTGTAACGAGGGCTAATATAACGCCTGGTCTCCCTGATGTGCCGCCAATACCGTACCAGAAGCGGAGGGATTCGTGGTATTCGGGCTGAGTGGGTCATTACCTGATCCATTGGCTGGATGTGTGTGCTTATTAGTGCCTTCAGTTTAAACCTCCGTGAACCCACTGCCTGACCAGTGCGGCTGCGGTCGCAGCAAGTGTATAGGCATCAAGCATCGGATCCGACGGACGTAAGTTTTGCAACCCGTACTCCGTTGCCCTGCGCAAGTCACCCTCGCCGGGCCTTATCCTCCAGAGCGACGAGTTATCGTTTACCAACTCCACATAATATGACTTGGTATGTGAAACGCCTCCAGGTGTGTTATGTTGCACAGTCGCTCGTTCATCTTTTGGCTTACATTTTGCCTCCGCCTTTCGAGGAGGTACGGTGCGAACGAAGCACCTACGCATGCACAACCCCCTCGAGCTACCGAGTCCAACCCCGCTGCGATCTTCTCGGAGTGTGTGTAATATCCCGCCCCCTTGAAGCATCCCGCCGCACGGTACTCCAAATCCAAGAGGAGCCAAGCCGCAAGATCCTCAGGCCCATACGTGCCACCAACTGCGTTGGGTTAAGGCGCACCTGGTGCGTGCTATTCAATACGCGATTTCACAGCCTTTCCGTGTGGATCACTGATGCGACCGCATGCACGGGACGCGCACTGGCCAACACAGGCAGTATGTCACGCTGTCGGGGCCTGAAACCCTTGACTCGGCTGTCGGTCTTAAAATGGTCTAGCACGAGCCACCGTCGTCGTTCGGGGCATTAGCCGTGCCCGGTGGAGCTTGGTCGAGGCGTATACTGCAAGTTGCCCTGGGCTCCTCTCGGAGATTCTCACAGGAGACGTATGAGGCGTGACAGGTGCCTCCGTCCCGGAGAATCGCATACCATTCTCTCCATCGGGCCTATCTGCAACTTGGCCACCACCATGAGGGCGGTAACTTGTACAGCGTTCCTATCCAGACGGGCTTCATGGGATGCGTTATGGATGCAGTTAGGCTGTGTGGGCATCAGAGACGGACCGCGCGGATACTGCCAACTGATAGGTCAATCCACGACGTGTGGGAAAAGGTGGAGAAGAGAAGGTAATTGTTTGCTGCCACACAAGCCTCTCCGTTGTTCGTCGATGCTCGGGCTGGGTAGACCTGATCATGCCTCCTTCTGCAGTTCTTGACAGCGGGTAGTCCGTTGAATGATCCGAACAAGTACCGGCAGCTGGCAATGCTCATTAGCTCACAAGCGACGCCAGCTCGCCTTCGCCCACCTTGATCACAGTATGGCCGCTGTTCGATGTTATCTTTGTTCTTCAGCTGATGCAAGAATGTCATGTTTACTCCGCTACAGTATCTCGCATCTTATTCAACATTGCCTTGCACGGCCGCGGACTGCGAGGCGGCTCTCAGGTTGGCCCATCAAAGCAGATAAAAGAGAACAAGCGCGAGCTGGACGTCTAATCACCATCCTCTATCTTCCCTTCTCTCTGACCATCCACTATTCGAAGCTCAGCTGACACGAGAAGCCTTCATTCCCTGTACACCGTCATTCCGGTGCTCGATGCCAACTCCGAACGCCAACTTCTATCGCCGGCCTGGCTCTGGCCCCCATTGGTGACATACTCTTTTCTGACCAGAATTCCTTCATTTCTTGAGCCAGGGCCCGACGGCATGGTCATCCGCAGCACGAGCCCCATGTGGGCACTTCTATCCCACTCATGCGGCTACAATAACCTTCAGCCACCGGCATCCCTGACATGACCACTCGAAAGTTTTCACCAGAACGCTCCGATCGTCGACTATCCGATGGTCAGGGCGTGGTATCTTTCGGTTGCAGCTTGTCCTTACAGCAAACCCGTGCCGATAGGGTTGAGGACATATCCCCCCAGTCATAGATCACTCACGGTCTCCCCGAATTCCAGCGTGACATCGTGCCGAGCGATCGGTATGTCGGTCTACGCTACTCATCGCGGTATATCGACGTCGCTAACCCCATCCCTATGATCTTACGACATGTTCTAGGTCCTGACGATATCCCCTCCCGGTCGCCGATTTAGTCCCCGGACCCGTTATCACATAGCGAGCGATGGGCATGGACGAATCACGTCTTTCCAACGACGTAAGCCCGGGGCCGAGGGCCCCGCTCCCCACCGTACTACGTCCGAAAGTGACTGGGATGTCCATCCCGGTTCTGCATCCGTACTCTCACTCGGGCGGTGGAGATCCGCACCTGTGTCAACTCTCGTCCATCATGGAACGCTGTAACGCGTCTGGCTCGATCACGAGGCGGCTCTGGCTTTCAACTGGACATGCGACGCGGCCCTCGACTTCGATGTTCACTTCATCCGAGCGCGGTTTTCCCCCGTCGATCTTTCGCTCCCCGTGGGCGTCCAGCTCGCCTGACTCGAAACAGAACGGATAGGTCGCTTAGCCCGCGGGACGCCCGAAGAGCGTTTCGCCTTTAATGGCAGCAGGAGGGGCTCATGTGGTGCGCGGCCTCCTTTCGTGTGCCCGTCGCTGTGGCTGACAAGTTCCCGTCGTCCCCGTGGCTAAGTTAGAGTTCATTGGGCGCCATTTGGAAGTCGGCGCGTCGGCGCGTCGGCACGACATATCCCTCAACTGGGCAGTGAATCGCGGGATGAGGCCGGTGCGCAGTCGGAGGTATGGCGTGCTTGGTGAAAGATGCCTGGCTGTCTCGGATATGAATCCTTACGACAACCTACCGTGGCAGCCAGTGTCTGATGGTTCTTGTCACTAGTACTGGTGTGCGATTTCCGGATACATAGATGGAGATCGTTCAACGTGACTGATTTTGAGCCGAGACACCGCATTCAAATGGCTTTTCAACTTGTGCACGCCACCATCGCGCTGCGTGGAAGACGGAAACGAGGTGGCTGGTTTTCTTCGGTTTCCAACGGAGCCATTATGCTCAAAAGTATCTTTGGAAGGCTGCGCTTCAGCAGGGGCGAGTGATACCGAGTTTGTCTTCCAATAAGTACTTCACGGGCTGAATACATGTTCTAGGATGACGTTCAGAAAGGCGCCGCAGACACCAATCCGTGCACACATCCATGTGCTCCCAGAAAGTCCAATCCTCGTCATCCCGATCGTCGATTGAACTCTACAGTGCACGCTGAGCTGCGCCTTCCGCATGTGTACCCTCGATGATCGTGCACGCACGCAAGGCAACGCCGGCAACCCACCCGAGTGGTGTCAAACACAAGCCTATCCGCACGGCCCTGCCCCCCAACTAGCGCCCCGTGTTCATCGCCGGTTTCCATTCCTGCACGCTCGCCAGCCCCCGCTCGAACGGAAAGTCGCCGCCCCAGCCTGCGGCGGCGGCCTCGGCGGCCTGGAGCGCGGCTAGGAGTGCGGCTCGCGTCGCCTGAGGGGCCTCTGGGTCGTCGACCCGCCCCGCGTCGCACTCCTGCTTCGCGCTCTCGACCGCCTGGGAGATGTCGGCGTCGATCTCGGCGAGGAGCGCCTCGAGCGCGCTGTCCGGGGCCCACCGCGAGGGCGTCGCGTCGGCGACGACGGCGGCGAGCACGCCGAGCGCGTCGAGCGCGATCCCCGCGCCGTACGCCGCGCGCGTGCGGCGGAGGACGGGGCGGAGGGCGGGGGTCGCGGCCCACGTCTCTACGCCCGTGTCCTGGCCCGCGGTTTCCGGGACCTGGGCGAAGAGCGTGCGGGGCGGGGGGAGCGCGGTCGCGGCGGCGCGGCGGAGGCGCTCACGGGCGACGTCGGTGAAGGTGGAGGCGATCGCGGGGGTGGAGGCAGAGAGCAGGCCGCGGACCATGGCTCGCAAGCTGCACGCGGGGGGTGGAAGTGGGCGTCAGTAGGGACGGATATGAGGTGTGAGCGGCGCGGGCTCACTCGGTCTCGTCCACGTTGGCGATGAGGGTGTCGACCATGAGGTTCCTGGTGTTTCGGGAGATGTCAGTGCGAGGTCTCGTGCGCGTGGGGTGGGGGTAGGTGTACGCACACATGGCCAAGGCTCTTGGTGGAGGAGTGGTCTTGAAACGCAGGCATGGTAACGGAGGCAGGTAGGAAATTGGGAGGTTGGAAGGTTGAGGGGTTGGTGCTGGGGTGGTGGGGAGTGGAGGTGCGAGGGAATACCGTCTGAGTTCCAGGGGTACTTTATCACCCCCCGGGGAGCAAACTGTGAACCGGCGCACGAGTTGCGACGATGTTCGAGCGCACCTGGTTGGCGTGTACGTGAAATGGACGTGTGCTCGTCGGAGGCTCAGTTGGGAGATGTGGCGCAGGGCGAAACCTGAGCTGACGGGGGTTCAAGGGTCGACGTCGGACTCACAGAGGCTGACCGGCGGTGGGTCGCATAGGCCATCCGGCGTTGCACCCCCCTAGGCCTGTCTCGCTAGTGCGTCGGCTACGTCGCCCCTGCGAGCTGATGCAACCTCGGGCCTCCTGAGGCCTAAGGCCTGAAAGTCTCGAAGCGAGACGGGAATCGAAACACCGCAAGGCTCACTCCGTACGTGTACGTGAGCCAGCGCACTCGGTGCTGTTTCGCTGCGGCGTGACATCTGCACGCGCCGGCGACCATGGGCTGTTGGGATGACTGGAACGTCGACGTGTGGCGTTCGGACTCTGGAGATCTGGTTCTATAGTAGGAGAGGACGACCCTGGGCGACCCTGGCTCTGATACGCCACGCGCGTGATGCGGGTGTGGCAATCAGTTTAGTTGCCGGAGAGGTGACCGGCTGTAACGGTGACAGCGTGATCATGTTGCGCAAGAATTAAAGCTCGGGTTTGACGACGAAGGTTGTGGGGAAAACCTGGCTGTGTCTGCGGATGGATGCCGCGGTCCGAAGCGAGTTTGAGTTTCTCACATCCGTGTCGGTCCACTGGGTGTGTGACCGGTTCCGCTTGGCAGTCCGTTGGTAAGGTGCGAGCGACGTGGAAGGAGCGTGCCGGTGACAGCGCTGACATGGTACACCGTGCGTGGATCGCCGCTCTGAGTCTGAAACGACGCCAAGAGGCAGAGGGCGCGGTGTCGGAGGCTGGAGCGCTAGCGCTCAGTCAACTTGTCACGGAGGCTGTCACAGCCACGGCGCTCCCACGGACGGCCGCTCGCGATCACTGGGACGCACAGCTCGCTCCTTTTCCCGCAGACCATCACCTATGGCCCCAGCCGCCATCCTTGTCCACGCCCGCATCGCCCTCGGTGCCCCTCTTGGCCGTCCTTGGGCCCAGTCCGTTCCCCCAGATCTGGCCCCTCCAGCGTGACCATCTTCGCGGGTATGTTTCTCCCCCTGAAATGCCGCCAGCGCTTCGGAAAACTAATAGTCACCGGGCTCCGTCCGCGTCTCGTCATCGTAATCTGCCGCCTTTCGGCGTTACGGTAGGTGAGCGATATCGTACAAAATACGCCCGCTGCGATCCGACCCATGCCCAGATCGCCTCGCTCCCAGCTGAACCTTGGGACCCTCTCATACCCCACATCCCCGACTATCCAAGTGCCATCATGATCTCGCACGAGTCGACCGCGACACGGACAGAGACCTTCCGTTTGGGCTCTCGTGACGTCCCCCGACTCTTCAACGGCCTTTGGCAGTTGTCCAGCAACTCTTGGGGCAGTGCTCCCGCCGCCAAGATCCGCAAATGCATGGCAACTTACGCCGAGAGTGGTTTCGTCGCCTTTGGTCAGCACTCCTCCTGTGATCTCGGTCGATATAAAATGCTGATTCGACATCTTCTGCAGACATGGTACGCCTTAGACATACCTCCAGCCCGCGATTTGTCCTGATGTGTTTCATTTCTTCATGATCGCCGTACATTCAGGGTGCGCGTCTTGCCTGCAACGCCTGTACGACGCAGCCCCTGATCCTCTCCCTCACTAGCCGATCACTACGGACCGGCCGAAATCTTGTTTGTGCGTCTTTCACTTAGTCTACCGCACGGTGCCTGGCCGGTGTGCCATTTGTGATATCCCTGGAGCTGACTTCATCTCCCGCCGCTTACATCGGTGCCGATTTGCTGTGCTTCTAGGGCGAGTTTCGCGAGAAGTGTAGCGACCCGGACGCGATCTTCGGCGCCACCAAATGGTGCGTGTTTCGGAAGTTGGAGCCGACGAAGGCGCTTGTCGAAGCCGCCATCAACGAGCGACTGGAGCGCATGAAAACACAGCACGTGGACCTGCTTCAGGTTGGGCACTCTGGGCATCCTTTCGGCCCTCTGCTGATCCCACGCCCGGGTTCTAGTTCCACTGGCAAGACTACAACGATCATGGGTACCTCACTGCGCTGCGCCATTTACGCCACCTCCAGTCGGAGGGCAAGATCTCCATGATCGGCCTCTGCAACTTTGATTCCGAGAGGATGGATGAAATCTGCGGCACGCTCGATCCCGGGGCCATCGTGTCCAACCAAGTGCAGGTGAGCACCATGGATCACTCAGACACCTTGGCACCTCCCTAACGCCTCCCTCCGACGTTTCTTCCAGTTTTCACTGATCGACGTGCGACCGCGATATGGAATGGGCGCAGTTTGTCAACGGCACGGCGTGAAGCTGCTGACATACGGAACCGTCGTAGGTCGCCCTTGCGGACTGCTGAGGTCGAATAGTCGGCTGACTCGACTGCGAACTGCGCAGTGTGGAGGCTTTCTGTCTGACAGCTGGTTAAACAAGGCGGAGCCGGACCCTTACTCTGGAACGCTAACGCCCTCACAGCGCAAGGTGTGTCGATTTTTGTCGGTGCGCTACGGACGTATCGGAGCGACTGACTCGTCGTCTCGCCCGCAGTACCTGGACATGATTATCAAGGCGTGGGGCAGCTGGACGCTCTTCCAAACACTGCTCTCTACGCTCAAAGCTATCGCGGACAAGTACAGCGTGAGCGTCGCGAACGTCGCGACCCGCTGGGTGCTCGACCACGACTTTGTCGGCGCCGTTCTCATCGGTGAGCCGCGTCGCATGATCCATTCTCGCTGACTGCTCAAGCGCTCACCACTCGTGACCCTCTCTGCTATGCGTTTATTTCAGGAGTGCGGATGGGCGTGTCAGAGCACGCCGAGGACAACCTGCACGTGTACGGATTTAGGCTCGACGCTGAGGACCGCGTGGCGATCGATGAGGTCTTAGCACAGTCAAAGGGCTCGCAGTTGATTGAGAGCATCGGCGACTGTGGCGCTGAGTATCGCTAGGCGGGCTGTGCTCCTTGTATCTTTCTCCTCTGCTTGGATGGAATGTACGATGAGGTCTCTTGGTGCCAGCTCGCGAAAGTTCGAGTCGTACGCAGTCGAGGGAAGGGCAGGAACGGGTAAGTTCGGCATGGCCTCGGGAATGCGCCCTATCATTCAGTTCGCCACACCTTCTAACCCGTTCTAAGCCCGACAAGCGATGACTCAGCTATGATACCCTCAGTGGCCCCGGGATATGCCGGCCGTCGCGCTTGCGAAGCGCTAGATCTCGACGTCGTGTCGCGGCTATCCAGACGGCGGTCGCGTTTACCAGCATCAGAGTCTCCCTTCACCACATATGTATATCTGGCCTTGTTTTCGCATTGAGAGGACTATCCTCCCGTCATGTGGCACTGGTTCTTAGAGCCAGGCTTTTGATCAACTCTCTGTCTTTCCAGACTCCCTCAACCCTACACTCTCGACCTTCCCTCGGTTTCTGCGCTGCGGTCTTTGGCATCGGCTATGGGCGGTATCACCATTGTCATTTTATCAAGCGGAATAGATAGCGATGGACCCGGTTTCCCTGAGCAGATGGTTACCCTACTATCCTCCACTCTCTCGTAGCCACGCACTCACTCGCACTCCTCTCCTCTCCCTCGCTGCAAAACAGCGATTTCCAGCGGCGCCTCTAATCCGGATCAAGGCGAAGACGACTCGACCAGATTTGCCGTCTTCAGCCCTTCACTTTGCATCGACGGCCGCCACTGCCTCGACGTTACCCTTGTCTCGACTCTCCTCCAACCTCACCCACTTGTATTTCCACCGCCCCCGCCCTCTTGCCGCCTCGACGAATGACTCTGCCCGGCTCCTCTCCCTCAGTGCCTTCGTCCACGGACCTGGAATTCCATCGGTGCGCCTCCCCGACTCCGAGCCTCCCCGAGCATGGCGACGTCCTCACCGTCGTCCTCCACACCGCCTGCGGCCGGCTCCGTCTGTACATCCGGCTGTCCTTCGACGCCGTCTCCGCTGCCCTGGACGCCCTCGTCGTCTGCGGCGTCCCGCTCCCCCCCTGCCAAGTCCCCCACCGGTGTAGACCCCTACGCTCCAGTACCCCCTCACCCCCGACTCGTCCCCGCACGATACGTCGTCACGCCCCGCACGATCCGCTCGCGGACGGCATCGTGCGCACGCACGCGCCGTTCCACCCCGCGGCCGCGGCGTGGGGCGTCGACGGCGGCTGACGCGCTCGCGGCGCGGATGGGACCGTGGTCCTCGACCTGCTGATTTTCCTCCACCAGCATCGGCTCGCGGCACGGCGCGGGGTCCTGAGTCGTCATCCGTGCACGGTGCATGCAGTCAGTATAGGGGCCAAAGCCAGGGAGGCCGGACAACGACGTCAGCACGAAGCAAACCGGGAGGGGGTTAGAGGGGTGGTGTGGGAGTGGGCGCTGGCGACGGCGCAGTTGGTGTGGGACGCGACGACCAGTGAAGCTGGCCTTTTTCTTCGTTGGTTGTGGAACCCGTTGTGCTCGCCGACGCCTGTGGTTTGGTTTGGTTTGCCAGGTCTTTCACCGAACGCACTGGGTCGATGCTGGAGCCGATAGGGAGGCATGTCTCCTGCGAGCAGTGTCGAAAGCGTCTACGGAGGTGGTGCATACGACAGTGTCGACTAACTCAAACTCGGCGATGTCTAGGCTACGATAGAAATCGCCAATAGTCGCAATGTTCGTCTTCGTTCTCAATGGTGACCCGTGGTTTGCGGATGCGTAGATGATCCACACACTGGCGCGGTGCCTTTAAAGCATGTTGTAGTGATCCACCAAATAGAAACCATTTCCTCATTCACCAGCGCAGATTGTGACTCTCCGTAGCAGTCTCCGGACACAACGTCTGACAACCATCACCCAACAAGATCGTGTCATTCGCTGACCGATGCGCCCCCCGTAAGAATACACACAATGCGCCCTCCAATAATGTGTCCGAAACATGTGCAGCCCAACGGACGCTCTCCGCGTCCGCCACACCCTCACATCCGCACCGCTGCGGGAATGTCGCCCATGTCGCCCCTCGATGCCTTCAAAAAACTCAAGCCGAGCCTCCCAAAATACTCCCGCGTCTTCCTTTCCCGCTCCTCCGCCTCGCCCACCCGCGCCTCCGCCGCGAGCACGCGCCGGCGCATCTCCTCCGCCCGCTCCTCCGCCCGCCTTCGCTCAGCCTCCTCCGCCCGTGCTCGCTCGTGTGCGGCGCCCTCCGCGGCCTCGGCCTTGTCGACCACGTCTTCGAGCCGGCGTCGGCGCTGCGCCGCACGCTCGAGCTCCTCCTCGAGCTTGCGCTTCTCCGCCCGGGTGCGCGCGAGCTGCTCGACCTGCGCGCCTTGCCGGTCCCGCAGCGACTGCACCTCGCGCTCGAGCATCCGCGTCTGCCCGTGCCGCGGGCTCGAGGGCACCGCGCGCGGCGGGGCGGGCTCGGCGGCCGACCGCGCCCGCGCGCGGCCCGCCGTCGGGTGGCCTGGGGCGAGGAGGAGGGCGGGCGGGCGCGGGGGCTCGAACGCGCCGTACACGCTCCGGAAGCCGTCGCACGCGTGGGCGAGGTGGCGGGTGCTGTGCGCGGTCTCCGCGCCGTTCTGCGCGCGCAGGTGCCGGGCGACCTCGAGGTGGCAGCTGGAGAGCATGAGCACGGCGGGCTTGAGCTGCGCGCTCTCCATGCCCGCGGAGCTCATCACTGTGTGGGCGGACGGAGGGGGTGCGGCGGGTCAACGGAGCGGGAGGCGGGGGCGGGGGCGAGCTCACCTTCTATCATGGCGGTGATGACGGCTATCGCGGCGAGGAGGTTGCCGCGGCCGCGATAGGAGGCGCCGACCATGATCCATTTGCCGCAGTCGACGGGGTGACGGGCAGAGGTGCGGAGGCTGGCGACGATGCGGTCCGGGGAGTCGTCAAGGGTTTCTAAATTGATCGGTTGTATTTCAGCGCCACCTGTGAGGAACAAGGTGTTATTTGGTTCGCTCGTCGATGCGTGCTGAGTTTGCGTTCCGTTGGATGCCATGCTTGAGGTTGATGGGGCTGATTCGGTGAAGGGCGACATTGGCGAGACGGTTGGGTACCTGTTAGTGTGCATGTATGCGTCGGATATCGAGTTATTATCCCTAGTGATGGACGCGTCACTCCATCCATATGGCGGTACTTGGTTGTACCCGTTTTCATCATAGCCATTGGCGGCGATGTCTGGATAGTAGTTGTACGAGCCGAAGGAGGAGCCGTTCATGGGAGCCGGTTCGAGGATGGTGAAAGTGCGGTCGCAGAGCGTCGCTGCGAAGGTCAACATCAGTCAGGTACACAGGCGCCCATAGCGCAAGGCTGTTCGGCGCGTGTGGACCGACCCTGTTTGGAAATCTGCCGGAGATACGTCGGATAGCGCGCGTCTGCGTCGACCGCACTCTCCAGCACCTCGGGCGGAGGCTTCTGGGGCAGGTTCGCCGCAGGAGGCGGGGCGGAGGTCGCGATGGCGAAGAAGCGATCTGCAAGCTTGGGATAGCGGTCGAGCGCATGCACGGCCATCGAGGTGGGCATGGACAGGCTCGAGGCAGCGTTTGCGGCCGGTTGATCGCGATATTCAACGTAGTATCCAGGGGTGCCGGGTTCGCCGGGGAGTCGCGCCGGGTATATGCGTCGACTACGGGCGCATATAGCCACCCATTAGCCTCACTCAGGGCGTCAGAGCGATGCAAACGCACATTTCTCCAGATCGGCTGAACACGCTGCGAACTTGGTCGGACGAGGCGGTGGTATCGACGTGGATGGTGCGCTGCATGCGGTCAGAGATCATGCTGAGCCAGGGCGGAAGGTGGTGGTCGAGAGGAGAGGGCATGTTCAACAGACAATGCGGCGAGGGCGAGTGAAGGAGAAGCGTCCGATCGTGGAGTCTATTCGGACTGGCGACGACGGGCTTCCGGCTGCGCTGACCGAGCGCAGATCCCCTTGCGAGCTGCACCCGTAGTGATGTGCAGTAACAACTTAAGAGAGGGACAAAGGATCGCCTGTGGATGTTTCTGGGAATAGAGGTGCCAGTCACGTTGCATCCGCGAGGCCTGCTTTATAGTTCTCTGGTAGTGTGTGCTATTATGGAACGCTGGATACATGCAGACATCTGGTAGGTGCTTGCAGCTTTTGGAATGTTGTGAGGCCCCAACTTGAAGTCGGCGAAAGAGCCCTTCGGTCATAACAATGACGTGACTGGATTTCGGAAGAGCGGGCCGCGACGAAGAACTGTATAGTACCACCGGCAATTGCCGCCCCACCCAAACCTTGCTTCCAGGTGGCGGACACAACACGCTCAAACAAGGCTGGTGCGAGTAAGCGCTGGTCCTCGTCCTCATCGTCCGCGACGCTCTCCTCCTCCAAAAGTCCCTCGCGGCTCCTCAAGACTCTAAGCTCTCAAAATGGCCGCGGTTCAAACACTCCCCAAGGAAATCTCCAAGCTTGGCCAGGAGGTTAAGCTTTTCGGCAAATGGGACACTCAGGAGTGCGTATCGTTGTCCGTCTTATCCCTACCCGATGTTCTGAATCCCTGTGTTTGAAAAGTGTCGAGGTCAAGGATATCTCCCTCACAGACTACATCCAAATCCGCCACGCCGTCTACCTCCCCCACACCGCCGGTCGTTATGCCAAGAAGCAGTTCAAGAAGGCACAGATGCCCATCGTTGAGCGATTGGTCGACAGGTCCGTCTCTTTCTTCGAAACTCATGTATTTCTTTAATCAAACACCCGCTACCAATGCTAGCTTGATGATGAAGGGCCGCAACAACGGCAAGAAGCTCTTGACCGTCCGCATTGTTGCGCACGCGTTCGAGATCATTCACCTTCTCTCCGACCAGAACCCCATCCAGGTGTGTAATACCACCTTCAACAACCTTACTCTTGTTCACATCATTCTAGGTCCTCGTCGACGCCATCGTCAACACTGGTCCCGTGAAGACTCCACCCGTATCGGTTCCCAGGGCACTGTTCGCCGTCAGGCCGTCGATGTCTCCCCTCTGCGCCGGGTAAACCAGGCAATTGCTCTCCTCACCACTGGCGTATGTCATGCTTCGGCGTCTCGTTATGCACCATATTCAAGTTTCCTGTGCCTTTTCAGACCCGCGAGTCGGCCTTCCGCAACGTCAAGTCGATTGCGGAGTGCCTTGCGGACGAGCTCATCAACGCGGCGAAGGGTTCATCAAACTCGTACGCCATTAAGGTCAGCATACAGCATCCTACTTTCATCGGCGGATTCACTCACGTCTTTGCAGAAAAAGGATGAACTGGAGCGTGTCGCCAAGTCCAACCGGTGAACAGTGTATTCTCGGGGGGACGTTCGCTATGGCCGCATGGGTGTTCTGGCTTCTTTCGCAGCTACCCTCTCCATCATCAATTATCATGACGCACCATGTAACCCATATGTCTGCTTATGGCAATGTCTCTTTTACGTTGCGTATTGCTCTGTTTGTATTCTCTCTGTGCGCTAAACATCAGGCTTCCCTGCATCCTCTCGAACAGATCTAGGGACGTGCACACTAGCGTGTACATGTCTGGGTGATTGTCCGCTGACGTGGTTCCTCGACCGCGAAAGTCGCGAGAATCGCAGAATCTCTCCCCGCATTGAAGATTGTACCTGGGCGTGGCTTATGTTCTCATCCCTCGACTGTACATCCTCTCAATGGCCGCGATGCCCACCGCCTTGATCCTGGAGAGCGGCTGGCTTCAACATCCACTGAAGGCAATAAGACATACCCTCCCCACGCACACGTCCATGGACCCCTCACGCTTCTAGGCATCATCTCGGACATACGGAGGCGCACTTGGGGGAAATCCGCGGCTTCCGAGAACGTCTCGGCTCCTTATGCGGTGGCATTGCGCATGGTCTTGGGACAGCAGGTGCGCTAGGGTTATCGCTCCTCGGCTTTTCGTTGGGAAGCCATCCGGGGATGCGCTTACCCCGGACGGAATGGTGCACGTAGGCCGGAAGAAGGGGGCTGGGTGCGGACGGGATGGAGGAAATGCGTTGGCCGTGATCAAGCTCTCAAGCTCTCGAGGCTCGTGCAAGGTCACAACGCAACAGAACCACCTGCATCGCGAAGGACTGAAGCAAGAGTCGCCTTTCGTCCCGCTCCCTCGCAAGACGATGGCACCGGTTTCGAAAGCTGTGGGCCCGTCCAGAGAGTACTCGCAAAGAAGCAGACGGAGAAGACATACCACAAGAGCCGTCGACCCACGGTCTCACACGGCCAAAGGCGAAGACCCGTTCCCCGCATCCCGCGACGCGTTGATCCGGCGAGCACGCTCGTCTCCCCCGCGTTTCGACCGCGCTGTCTGCTGGTTGCACGCCACACCCCAATCTCGGTTCGGACTCTCGGAGGCTCGCCGCGTCAGCGAAGTCGCGTTCCGTGGACGGCAACCCGCTGCTCGCACCTGAACGCGTTACGAGCGTTGGAGGGGCTCGTCCCCGCGCGGTGTCCGCGTGCACTTGCGGACGCCCCGGAGTCCTGAAGCCCTCGGCTTCGGCCCGAAAGTGCGAATAGAACGGCTATAATTCGAAGGTTGCCCGTTCGAGCAGGCGGGCTGCGAGGCGGGTGGTGGCGTTAGCGTTGGGTGTCCGCGAGCCTCGAGGCCAGGCGCGTGGGGCGGGCCAACCCGCTCGCGTGTCTGCCATGGCGACATACGCGTGCGTCGCGGGAGCCCTGGAGCCGATTTTGACTTTGCGCGCGCAAGCTGGTTTATGGGACCCAACCACGGGGCGTCTGGACGAGCACGGACTCCGCGCGTTTCCGTCGCGATGTCGTGCGAGGCGGCTGCGGCTCACGCGTACCGTTGGACGGATTTCGCGCCCGCGGGTTCTCGCAAAGCCTCCGCCGGTACGGACCCCAAAGCCTCCACAATCGCGCTCCGCGCCGGCGGCGGAAGCGGCGCCCCCTCTTCTCGTCCACGGCGGATCCCACGGACGGCGCGAACGCGCGCGCGCTCGGCGCATCGTTGACTCTCTGGATCCGCAAAGCCCCCGAAGGCGACCCAGGACGAGGAGACTGCGATCCGCTGCCCCAGTGCCGGGATTCGCGGGGGCTGTTTCCATCTCGAGAAGGACCCTTCCCCGCGCGCGAGGTATCTTGGGCTGCACCCCCCACTTCTTGGACACGCACGTGGGGGGCCCGCCGCCGGCTTAGCGTTGTGCACGGGGACAGGCGTGAGCGCCGCCTGTCCCGCGGACAACACATCGTGAGCACACTCTTTGTCTGTCCGAACGGGGACCGCCCGCCCCCCCTACCGCTCTCGGCGGCGGCGGTCGCACGATCGCGCACGGTGCATCAGACACGCTCTCTGATCCCGGGCCCCCGTATGCAAGCGTTGGGGCTCGGCGCTGAGAAAGAGACGGAGTTCTGCGCGGGTCCGTTAGGATTTGCAGCCCCGGCCATCATGCTCGTCATCAGCGCGCGCGGTGGAGGCGGTAGTCGGCGGTAGGCCCTTTGTTCTGCCTTGAGATGCCCTATCATCTATCGTCCTCGTGAGGGATGCGGCGACGGCGACGCGCAACTTTGGCCGGGGTCGATGTCGACCGCAGGAGCGTGAGGCGGGGGAGGTCGTGGCTGTGGTGACAGCCGCTGCGTCGCATCGCGACAACATTAATCGGGACAGGTTTGAGGCGACCGTGCGCCCGCGATCCGCTCCATGTATATGCCGCACATTGCGACGCGTGCAGAACGAGGTCGACACCGCGCGCGCTCGTTGCGACGAGCGCGTCTGGTCGAGGCAGCGAGAACATCATCGTCAACGAAGATGCGCACGGACCGCGCCAGCTGCCTCAGTCCACCAGACCCCCCGCAGGTCCGCGCGCGCACACATCGACCGCACCCGCTGCCGAGGAAGCACGGGTCCGTGACCGCGTCCCGCGCCCCGCGCCCTGCGACGATCGTCCCGTGCGTTCTCTTCTCGCCCTCCGTCGCGGCCGTCTCTGCTCGCCCACGCCCCGCGCCCGCGCCCGCACGGAGACCTCCGCAAAAGAAGCCCAAGCCCCGCACGGCGCACGACGCGCGCGCGGACGACAGGCGAGATCCTCGGGCCCACCTCGCGTCTCCGCGCGCGCCTCGCTCTCGGATCCCCATCCTTCCTGCCCTCCGCCCGCGGCGCCGTCGAGCATCAACGCATCATGCCCGCGCCGCGACCTCGCGCACCCAAGAACGCGAACAGCTGCGCGGACCTCGCCGCGCCGCGCACTTTGCAGCGTGCGCAGCCTTCCGGGTTTCGATCGCGGTGCGGTGCCTAGCGTGACGGTGGGGGCCGGGGCGGGGCGGGGCGGGCTCCCGATCCCGATCGCGTCGCAGTATTCTTAGTAGCTTCGATCGGCCCCGCCCCCACCCCCCTGTGTCCTGCGTCGTGCGCGCGCGCGAGGTCTCGCCCTCGGCCTGCGTGCGTGGTGCAGGCGCGGTGCGCGTCGACGGCCGTCGGCGCGGGGCTCGAGCGGGGGTCGCGGTCGCGGCGGCGCGGAGGGCGGCGGCGGCTGCCGAGCTGGGACCGAGGGCGATGACGTCGCCGTCGCCCGCTCCCGACTGTTCGGACGCCGAGCGCGTACGTTCGGCAGGCCTTCCTCCGCCGCTCCCGCACGCACTAACTCGTCGTCCACTTCGAACATGGTCCCGATGCCGCAACGCTGGAACAGAGAGCGCGCGCGCAATATGCGGCAAGTCCGGGTGTCTGTGATCGCGCGACGTGAGTGCTTGATTGAATGAACGCCGCCGTGGGTCCGTCGACCCGCCGCGGAGGTTGTGCGACGTTCGAGCGCATTAGTCCCCACTCCGTCTCATTTTCCACGTCTCTTCCCGCGTGACGCCGACGACGCGCCGCGGGGCCCCAGTCCGCGGCAGGTGGTCCGGGCTGTACGTGTAGCCTCGTCCACACCGTGTCCGCCTGCGTGGACCGCATGGCCCCTCGATCCCACACTGACGCCCGGACCAGAAACGCGAGAACATCACGAGCGCTGTCCACCACCTGTCGCTGCTATGTACCTTGGCAGACAGACAGACAGACAGACATACTGCACGCGTCGACACACATTGCAAGAGGGAGAAACCCCGAAGAGACTCCAGAAAACCAGGGCGTGCGCAGACGTTGCGCACGCCCGGGCGAGATTGTGATTCCGATTTCCCGCTCCGCACAGCGCCGGAGCATCCCCCGCGGGGGCCGACCGAACCAATGCGACAGGACAAAAACACGACAGAACGAGACAAGCGACGACCGCCGCACGGTACACGAAGGTTCGTACGGACGCCGAATAAACAGAACGCGAAACCGCGGGGCGCCACCCCCGAGTGCGAGGATAGGGGACGATCTGGATGGGGTGTGGTGGATGGGGTGTGGGTGGGATGTGGAGGAGGAGCGGGAACGGGCCCGCACGAAGGAGGTCGCCGGGGCAGAGGGCTCGCCCGCGCGGGAGCGCGTCCGACCGACGCACGAGGGCCCCCGCCTGCCACACCGTCGGCCTTCGAGCTTCGACCGGGGTCAGCGGGTGGCGAGGCCCAAGACGGCGTCGGGCCTGGGTGTCCGGCGGATCCGCGCTGCACGATCGCGGGGCTTGCGATCCGGCCTGGCCGCCGGTTCCTCCTCGCTGCGCGCGCAGGGGCTGCTGCTCTGGTCCGCTTGGTGGGAGATGAGAGCGACGAGCGGGCTTCGTTTGATGAATGCGGTTCCATCCAGGGTCGAGAGGTGCAGGATAGAGGAGGGGGAGGAAGGTGGCGTTCGCGGTGCGGCGTATGTAAGTATGCAAAGATTAGAGATAAATGCGGGGAGGTGGTATGCTAGAACAACGGTATGAAATGCAGCACTACGACAACAAACGGGAGAGTTCGGTGGGAGGAGGACCGGTGCCAAGGGCGTAGCGGCATGGACGCCGCCCGTCGCCCCCAGCTCTAAGCTCGAGTACAGAGCGGAGGCCCCGACGCGACGCCTGGTCCGAGTAGTACGGCGACCAATCCGACCGATCTGACATCGCAAACTGGACGAGAGAACGGGCCCGATAAAACGAGATGGCGAGCAGAATGACGTGGATGTGCGAGGATGTGGATGCGAGTGATGGTATGGGAGGGATGTGTCGATGGGTTTGTGTCCGTCTTGGTCGTGCGCCCCCGGCGGGCTTCCGTAGGCAACAAGATGCGGCGGCTCGGACGAGGTGTACTTTTGGAACAGGGGATAGCAAAGAGGACAGTGGTAGTACATTGCAAGAGATCGAGCGTCAGGGAAGAGGACCAGGGATGGGGGGATACAGCGAGATGTGAGTTAATAGCTTGAGGCGAAAATGGCGAGAGCTTGATGTTGCGGTTCCAGTGACGAGCGAGACAATGGATAGTATACAAGGAAGCTGTGGCAAGACAGTGGCCGCTGGCTAATCGATTTGCCTGCACAGCCGGAGGAGGCTCGAAGCCGAGGAGATGGGGCGGAGGACTACTCGCCGCGCAGCTGGGGCGCTTCGATGCGTCTACGGTCGCGCGCTGCCGTGAAATCCTCTACGGGCAGCTGTCGAAGGCATTGATGCGGTATCGACTTGCAACCGGGTGCGGGTGCGGGTGCGGGGCGGGTGCCAGTGCCGTGAACGCGTATAGCAGGAGTGCTGCAGGCGGCGAGGCGACCTTGATGGCCGGCGACAATGCGACGACGACGCGCACAGACCTAACAGAACGCGTCGTGCGCTATAGAGTTGAGGAGGACATACTGAAACAGCTCCATCTCAGTCCCTCCTCTTCTCCCAGCGCGGTTCCGCATGTCCAAGGCTTTCTTCCCCGGCCAGCCAAGGTACCGGGTTGGCCACACTTTGGTATCCGAAATCCTTGCCGTACTCTTTCACCATCGACATGCCCATGTGGCAGGCCCACCCCAGGCCACCTCCCGTCAAGGACTGTACGGGCCAATGGAGCTCGCATTCTTGATCCTGGAAGTCGGGTTGATACTCGTCTTGTGCCGATAGATTCGAGTGGACAACCCGAGCAAATGTCCGCGGGAAGTGCCGACACAAAGTGGAAAGGCTGAGGGTGTCTTCCGCATCCGCAAACCGACCCCCGACCATACGAACGCTACCGCTCAGACTCCTGTTCTGTAAGAGGAACATTTCGGTGACATCGACTCGTATATCGCTGTTCTCGGCGGTTGGATGAGGCGGCGGCGGTGGTGGCGGCGGCCGGTGTGGGGCCGCGTTGTGACCCCCAAGCGGAGTCGAGTGTGAGCTACTGGTAGTAGAGCTGCTAGCAGGGGAAGGGAGCATGTTTGTCTGCTGAGCGTTCCGAGCCAACTCCAAGGCCTTCTTCTTCTCTCTGATAACGCCGAGCTTGCGGTCGTTCATCGCATCTGTCCCCTTCACGGCATAGTACACCTTGCGCGAAAGAATGAACCCGTGGATCATTTGACTGAGCCATATCAGCGGAGGTCGACAGAGAGAGGCACAGGGAGACTCACATCAGGCCGACAAAAGCCTTCTCGCGCTCGTCTCCAGCTTCCGCCTGGAGTTTACTCTCTATGGCCCTGACGGCCTCTTCTGTTGTGCGCCATGAGTTGCGATTGCAGCTCTTCTCGTTGCGCGAGCTTTCTGGGATCTGATCCATGCACCAGATCGCGTACACCGCCTGGACGAAGGACTCGACGATCTCGAGACGAGCGATGCGTAGGCTGTGGAGGGCGTAAGGCGATCCAGCAGGAGGTGGATGAGAAAGAGGCTTGTAATCCTTGGACGTCGGGGGGTGTTCCGAGGCGATCCGCGCGTAGCCCGAGTACTTGAGTATACGAGCGTGGCGGAAGGACTGGTTGGCCATGCCTGTCCACTCGGCAGAACTGGGCACGGCTCGCCGAGGGCGGCGTACGGGAAAGCTTGGCGGGGCGGGGGTGGGGGCGAGGGCGGGGACGGGGACGGGGACGGAGGAGGAGGAGGCGGTAGGCTCTTCCTTGAGCTCGCCGTCTTCCTGGGGCTCGAGCTTGGTGGGAGATGCCACTGGGACGGGTCGGGGAGGTAAATGGTGGGGGCGAACAGAGGACTGAGAGTCGACTCGAGGACGTTTGAGGAGTGGCTCGGAGGTGGACTCGGGGGGCTGGCGCCGCTTGAGGGTGGGGGAGGGCTCGCGAGACGCGGGAGGGGATGGTGGGAGTTCGGACGGCAGTGGAGCGCGCACTGGGCCGAGGATCTGCGGGGCTGGGTGTGAGGGGGGCGGGGACGGGAAGGAAGAGAGGACGCACTCGGAGGGTCTGCTCGAGCTGCTCCTGGGTGAGTTGGCTGTGGACGGGGAGGGTGGTCAGCGGTGAGCGGTGGGTGGTCGTGGGGTGGGGCGTACATGCGCGATCTACGTGCGGTGGACGAGGAGGAGGATGAGGAGGCAGAGGGCCTTGGGCGCTGCATGTTGGCGGCGCGGGAGATGGTGGTGGTCGGAAGGTAAGGAGCTGGGGCGGTAAGGCCGCAGCGAAGGCGTGAAGGTCGGCGGAGGGAGCAGAGACCTGCCCTGACCGTAAGTGGCCACCGGCCCACGAGCGTCTAGACCCCCTGACCAATCCGGACCCGGCTGGTCGCCATCGTCCGAAGTGCCTGAGCCCGCTCTCTCGTTGTTCTCGCCGTGCACGAGCCGCTATTGTGCTCGCCCTGCCCCGCCCGTCGCCCAGCCGTCGACGGGGCACGGCGGGTGGGCGGACGGGCGCGGGGTGTGGCCGGAGACGCTGCGGCATCGTCGGGGGCTCCGGATCGATTGAATGGGCCCGAGGCTGCATATGGCAATGGTGACTGCAGCTACCCAACGTGCACCGGGGCATGTGCGCGTCCTCTTCCATTCTCATCACTCTATATCCCTCAACTACCCCCTCCTCCGCGAGCGAGGGCGAGGGCTGCTGGGGCCCGCGCGCAGCCCGCGCCCCCGCACCATGCTCGCGACCGACCCAGCACTGCCCGTCCTCGACCACCTCGCGTTTCAACCCGCCATCCTCTCATGCACTCCTCCGTGCTCCCCGTCGCGCTCCCGCACGCCTTCCTCCAAAGTCCCGACTGAACGCCGGCGCGAGCGCCGCCCCCTAGTCATCCTCCGCACCGATTGGAGCGACCCCGTGTGCACGAGCGCATGAGCAACAGCCTGCACGAGTCCGAGCCGCCGCCGCCGTGCGTCCGCGCTCGAGCCCGGAAACCTAGTTCGACTCCTTCCCGTTTTCTCCGCCCGCGAGCCCCGTGTCTTCGTCCCCGGTTCGCCCTGCCCGCGCCCTGCCCGCGCCCTTCCGCGCGCACTTACCACGCCCGAGCGCACCGCCGGGAGCGAGCCCCAGACGGGGCGCGTTCTAGAGATCTAGAGCCTCGACCTTCTCAGCGCGCCGTGGGAGCGAGTCTGGCCGGCCATATAGACAGATGTGTCGAAAGCCATTCTGGTCCCCGCTACGGCCAATCTACTGGCGCCCTTTTCTGCTCCTTCCCAGGACCGTCATCCGCCCCGCCCGCCGGGCCCCAAGCGCGATATGTCTCCGCGGAGGGATTGACTGGCACGCGTACGCGGGCTCGAGCAGGAACCTTGCCGCACCTATCGCGCAGCGACGCACGCGGTATCCAACGCTCAAGCGTGCGGCCGCTGTCCAGACGCGGTGCACGAGTATCTAGGAGCGTGCGCGTGAGTATCCGAGCCGCCGGTGTCTTTCCCCCCACCCGCCACCATCGGTATCGGGGCAGACGCCCCCTCGCTTCTGTGTCGATCCCGCCATCCTGGACATCCACTTTTCCGACATACCCAACCCCTCCGCAAAGGTATATGCCCATTCACCCAAGTCCGCGACCGTCCGTTGGAATCGGGGAGGGTCTATTGCGCGGGGTTGCCGGCCATGTGCCCTCGGTAATTGCACGATCTCCGTTCCACCACGAGTCCCCAGACCTTCAATGTTACTGACTTTCCTTGACGTTCCAATCAATCTCCTTGCCTTTGGTCTATACATGTTGCTCTAGCTCTGATTGAGCTGACACGACCGCGTGCCACGGCGGTACCTTATTGCTCATCACTAGAGTCTCTGCACTGTGCAGCCAAGCCCCTAAGGCCTTCAAAGTTCGACCTGCAGGTCCTCTCATGCGGGCACAGGACCGCCGTTCGCAGCTCCATCTTCGTAATAATTCTCGACCGTGGTGAGACCAATCTGACCAGGGCCTGGTTGCCATCCGCGCCTCTGCATCTGCGCGTGCTGCGTTGGGATCATGCTTTCGCCCACGCTCTCGCCCGCGACACTTTGTTGCTCAATCGCCGCCCGGCGCATCCCGCCCTGTTGCCAGATGCGTAATTAATAATCATCTCGCGAGCCCCCGCCTCCTTTTTCGCTACATTGCCTCTCATGATCGCGAGGCGGAGCGCTACATCGAACTGCTACTCAAGTAAGTAGTCCCGACCGCCGCTTCCGGATCAATGAGCGCCTATTCGTTCAGTCCAACATACATCGTGGTCGGGTCTCCATGTGCTCTCATTGCGCGTCTGTGCCGCGCGGATTTCAGAACAGCGTCATGGGATAAGGGCGCATAACAGTGGGAAGAACACTTTGTGCGATGCCGCCCTCGCACGACACATCATTGTGTAAATCTGGCGACCAACGTACGACGGATAACTCACCTATCTCCGGGCCTCCCAGCCACCTCTCGGAGGTATGGATACCACAAGTGCACCAGGTAGCGGACCATTATGCATTATGGGCGGCACGCGCGCAGGTGGTACCCGAGCCACAACGGCCGCAACGAGGCTCGCGAGGCCGCGAGCGCTGAGCGCTGAGCGCCTGGAGCCCGCTTACACGGTCCCGCGACCGAGATATTCGCACAAGGGCGCCGCAAGCACGACTCCGCCGTATCGCGCAGTGGGTCGACACGCCCTCCGCCCTGCTGCACCGAAAGCGTGTTGCCTTGGCTGCACGATCCCGCGCTGCAGCACGGCGTTTTGCAGCATTAATGGCGATCGGGCTCGCCGCCCGCCCGTCCACCGACGTTGCTTCTGTGGGCGCACTGCTGGCTAGCCATATTGTGTGGGCCGGCTTCCACATCCACCGCGTCCACTCCAGCCAGCGCCTCGCTATCGACGCGCGCACGCCGTCAGGCCCCGCCTTCGTGGCCGCCACATGCACGGCTTCTCGCCCACGTTCTCCGGAGCACCGCTGTGGCTCGAGCGCGCTCCGGTCCTCGAGGTGGTGGACGCGCGCGCACGGTGCGTCGTTCTCTCCCGCCCTGTCCTCGCCCCGCGAGGGAATCGCTCGCGAGAAGCCCCTGCGCCCTGAGAGAGTCCGCCGTCCGGCACCGGCACCGGGCCGCGCGTGAGCGCGACGCCGACGTCGCCGGTGCCCGGTGCCCGGCGCACGCAGGCCTGGCGGAGGCACAAAGGCCGGGACCCAGCAGCTGTGCGCGCCACCGCGCCCCCCGCCCCGACGCTCGAGTCTAATCCGCCGCGCGGCGTGTCCGCACGCTTGCGTAAACGTCGCGCGGGGGCACGTCGCGGAAGACGGGTTCGCGCCGGGACGTGTGTGAGAACAGCCGGCGGTCCCGCGATACGGCGCGGTCCCGCACGGACCCACGGCTGCAGCTGGGTGCGCGAGCAGGCACCTCTCGCGGGACGGTCTGCGAGCGGGGCTTGAGAAGTGCTGGACTGTGCGCCCGGATCGTCGGGCGCGACGCTCCTCTTCCGCCGCACGCGGTCTGCCGGCGGGTTCACGCGCGCTTCGGGCTTCGGGCCCCGACCCTGATCTCAGGCTCGGAGGCTTTGCCTGAGCCCGAGTCCAGAGAAGCGGTTGGAATGGCCGCAAGACTATTGCGGCGCACGGTGACTCCCGGTGAGAACGTACAGGTGGACGCCGTGGACTCGGCGCGGGCCACTGGGGGCGCACCGCCCGCCCCCGACGGCTCGACGGCTCGAGTGGTTGACACCCACCGCCGCCGACGGGTCTCCAACCCCGACAGGTGTCGGTGCCAGTGCGCATCGGTCTCTGCGACGTCTTCGCGCGCGCTCGGTAGGGTGGTCGTGATATAGGGACGATCCAGACTTGATAACGTTCGCGGTTGCCCACCGTGCTGTGCGGAGTGCGCTGCGCGGTTGCCTGGACGTCATGCGACACGTAAAAGGCCGTCGGAGCCTCGTTGGGGTATAGCCAGATTGCTGGCGGATGGCGCGCCATGGTCGGCGGAGTGGAGCGAGGTTCTGTGACCGGAGCGCCCGGCCGCCCGGTGCGGGGGCAAGTGCGCTAGAGGGGCGAAGCGGGAGGTTAGACCCGTAAGCTAAGTTTCGGGGCGCAAGTGAGAAGAGGTATGCAGAGATGGAGGGCGAAGCACTGGTGTGTGCCGCAGAGCGCTGGGCGGCGCTGGAGCTGCCGAAGGGCGACCGCATAGACAACACGAAGCCCCATCGAAGCTGGATATCGTGCCTAGAGGGCGCCAAATCAAGGACGTGTACAGTCGGCCCTGGACGCTCTAGGCTATGGAGTATGGATAGACTGGAGCGTTTTTGATCTCGCAGATAGCGCGCTGCTAGGCTAGGCTAGGCGTCTGCGTGCGAACGTGCTTGGCATTCGCCGTTGCCTGCTCAGCGTCCCTACTACGTCGATCTCAGAATATATACCGCGATCGCCGTACTAGGTCCTCTTTACGAGAGCGGACAAAAGACGGAGAGCACTAGCACTACGGGAGGACGTCTGCGGCGAGCGGATTGCGCGTGTACTGACGTCATCCCAGTCCGTACGCCGCGGAGTTGCAGCCGCGGCGGAACTCTGCGGTGAGCCTGAGATACTGCGGCGGGAAGGCAGGGCGGGTCGTCGGTCGAAGGGACCCTCGATGGCTGCAAGTTGCAGCGTGGCACGGAGGACGTAATCGGAATACGGACCGTTGCAGCATACGAAGTGACGCCAAAGGAAGGACTCACCAGAAGCCGCCCTGCAGGAACGCAGCAGACCACATTTGCGCCACGCACCAAGTGGGCTGGGGAGCTGCCTTGGAGAATGAAGTGACTGCGCCTGTCAAAGCAGGGCGCATATAGTAGCCTCCTTCATTCCGTCCTCTGTTGCTTTAATGCACATGGCAAGGGCGCTGACCGATGGTATATGCGCTGGAACTCGGCGGCCACGGTACCTCTATGAAAGCGCGGAAAGTGGGCTTTGACAGGTAATCCCACTGTATGGTCATGGGCATCCCTTCAATGACAGTAGACGATGGGACTCGCCTTCGAAAAGTATTTCCACAGAGCGCGCGGAAGTACTGGAGGTGGTCGGTTGTGGTTGAGCGTAAGCCGGATATTGGAGACAGGCACCGTGCGCGTGAGCGACTCGGACGCGCAGCAATCCGGATTGCGCCTCGAGTCGGAGGGAAATTTGAAGCCAAACCGTTTCGGGAATCGATCGGGGCGGTGGCACGTGGCGTTACGGAGTTGCCGCCGCGGCGCTTTCTCGGACTTGGAATCCACCACCACGATGCACCAGTCTAGTGCTCTAGCCTCCAGTAGACTGTAGTACACACATATATCACCGGGCAAACACACACAGGATTGCCAAGCGTGGCAGAGAGGACGGTAAGCAGTGTTGCGAACGATCAGAGCATTTGTTACCAATCTCTTTATCTTGTCTTTATCCGTAACAGCCTATTGCCTTCATATGAGCTGTTGTCAGTGCCACCCCTCGATACCATCTACTCGCCACTCTCAAATTTTGGGTCTTTTCATCATCGCCATATGCTAAAAGTTCGCTAGCAATCAAGTGAGCACACACGTCATACCATATCGACAGAAAGCTCATCTCTTGCGTGCCGTGGCGTTCTAGATGTCAAAAGGAGAGAAATCCGAGCCTCTCTCGATATATGAGCTTCACCCTCCAGAATGGCTTCCTAAGGCTCACACTGTAGCTGACCTGGGTGCATTTTATCAACGAACGATATTGGTACTTGGCGGCTCACTTTCTACCTCGTAGGTTATGCTGGCTTCTACCCGCCTCGGCCCCATCAGATCGAGGAGACTCTTACAGAGTTAAACGTGAAGAATGGTCTTGTATTGTCTCCGACTGTTCCAGTGAGTATCAGGGCCATGGTTTTCAGCCTTTTTTCGCCTTTGGGACGTATATCACAGTCCCGCGCATATCACCCGAGTGGCAAGCGAGCGCACGAGGATGTTGAGGCGTGGTCTGAAGCCATCGTTCTGAGAACGGCTGCGGCTCGACACCGTGACGATCCAGAATCCGGGCTAACTTTGTGTCCAGGCTGAGACATACAGCGCCGTGGAGAACGTCCGCAAGCGCCTCCTCCAGGAAAATGCCCTCGGGGAGCTCGAGCAGTTCATGAACCAAATCTTCGCCCGCAAGGCAGAAACTGTACCACCCATTCCGTGAGGGTTATCCACCTCTACCACCTCCACACGCACTCACCACCTGCCCCCAGAGCTTCATCTTTTCGGCTGCCCTCAAGAGTTACCCTGAATGACGCCAAACGTCAGGCCTGGTTCAATGATCTCGCCAATCCAGACGTTCCACTCTCCAAACTCGGCAAGAATGTACCTCACGGGGCTAAAGGCCCCGATCTGCTCGAGCTCCTGCACACCAACAATGTCTCCATCCCACGCGCCGTCTGGTTTCTCCGAGTGTTTGGAGCCAATGAATCTGTGAGTGACACTGTAGATAGTCGCCACACGCAAGCTGATTACAACCTCCTTCCCACAGGCCGGTCTTCGCAACAAGCCAACATACAACCCCACACAGTACAGCATAGAATGGGCGAATGTTGTCACCTTGTATATCAAGAAACAGCTTGCCGAGATTGCACTCCCCAGCGCTCCACGTCCTGGTCTGAACATCAAGCAAACTTTCAAGGGCGTCTTATCTGACACCGAACCCCGAGAGAAGTGGATCGCTCGTTTTACGTACTGGTGCGCAGTCTCCACGTACGATCGCCATTCCCGGCTCATATCGCACGTTTCAGCCTGAGTCTCCTTCGCACGTTCTACGCCGAGGGCCTCGTTGACGGTCGAACGTTCTTGTCATGGCTCGTGCAGCAGATGAGCACGTGCAATCTTGCACAGGCGGGCTTCGTCGCGCGACTGGCAGACGAATACCTTGACGGGATGCTTGTGAGCCGCGCCCTCACTCATCCGTTCTTGGACGCATGCCTGGCGCGATATGTAGAGGTACCGTAGGCCCATCCGACTCTCATATTACGCATCCTCACGTCATACAAGATCCAGGTGTCATCTGCGAAGGAAAGTCTTGCAAATACCGTGAACATCCTGAGAAGCCTCATCTCGGTCAGTGCTGACTACTGCGTGACATATCGGGCGCTCACACACCTGGCAGCGCTCGTTCTTTGCGCTCCCTGATGCGTGCGTTAGCCCGCGGATGTACCTGCAGTACGGGTCGATCCTGGAAGAGATCCTCCTCGACAACTTCAGCGACGATGGTGCGAACAGCGCGCCCCAACAAACTATCCAATGTTTGCAGCAGAGCGTGCATGAGGCGCTCTCTGACGTGCGACACCGAAACGAAGCGATGCTCTTCCAGCACCTCCCTCCGCGCATCCTCGGCACGCTCTCCTCCGCGCTCTCCGACATCAAGCTTCTCAATTCGATATCGGGAAAAACGGACCTGGCGAGCGTCGCGCTCTTCGACGACGGCTCCGAGCCGTCGGCCGCGTTCGTAGCAAAGCTCGACTTCCTCCTCACCTGGTCCGTCACGCCCCTCCAGTACGGCGACCATCGGCCGTACGCCGCAGCGGGTTTGCTACAGCTATGGCGCAACCGTGCGGAAGACCGTGCGATCCGACGTGACGCACCCGGCCCGGACGATGCCATCCAGAACATGCTCTTCGATTGGTTGAACGAAAGCGATGTCGCGAAGGAGAGAGCGAACCTTCCTGCGATGTCGCTCCTGTATGGGCAACTCGTCAAGCATGGGCTGTTTGATTTCGACGCATATATGGGGCGGTTGATCGCCAGGGGAGAGGAAGGACTATCGTTCACCGACGAGACGGTGAGTTTCGTTTCTTAAGGCAAGTCCACCGACGCTGACCCATAAGAACAGCAGGAGACCGTATCCCGCCACCGCGAGATCTTGCGTTGGATGCCCTTGAGAGACCCCAGTCCGTCGACACTCAATCAGCGTAAGAGCATCCTGTACGGTCTTCGCATGCGAGAGACACCCGAAGAGGTCAACGAGCGCGAGATCCGGAAGGAGATCAGAGGATTTCTTCCTGAGCTTTCCGGAGGTATGTCACAGTTTTTAGCTGGCCTTGTAAAACGCACTGATCCCAACTTATACCAGGCAGTGCTTCCAATCTTCCACCTTTGACCACCACGTTTTGGCAGTCATGCAGCACTCTCATGAGCTCTCCGCGCTTTGAACAACTCAAGACAGTCAGACATTGGCTCTTACCAATATACAAGAAGTTTCTGTCCAAGTGTGTCCCGTCGTTCTTTTTCTACTGCGTGACTGATATAGCGTCAGCCGCAAAAATGAGAATGAAGACTCAGACGCAGATGTGGTGCGAGTGTACACCCTCTCTGTGGTCATCATGGCACGAGTGAGAGCTTACGGCTCCATCCTCGATGTGAGTCCTAATGACAGCGGGTGTCAGGCATGAATTGACGACATTGTAGATGTCTCTGGCCACCCTTGACCACGCCCATACCGGTCCGGTTCTCAACGCGGTCGTAGAGACGCTTAGGCAGCATATGGAAGTCTGGGCATGCATGAATCGGATGAGAGACATCACTTTGGCATTATGGGCAGTGCATCAGACGCGGAAGAGCCGCGGCTCCCAAAATTCGGTTCTCCTCAAGCTACTTTCTGAGGTCGACAACGACTGCTATCTCGATCAAGCGTCTCGCGAGCAGATGCTTTCCGACATTTCCGCTTACACCCATGTAAGTCACGTTGTTCTTGGTGAAATAGCCCTTTTGACACTTGCACAGGCCCTCTTCCCCATGAACGACACTCCTGACAGCGTACCAAACGTCCTCCCCGAGATCCTCATGCTCGCCACCGACATGGTCCCGAAAGCTCCTTCACTGCTCGCAAACAGCCTCTGGTACAAATACATGACGTCACCAGACTGGGCCTGGAAAGTATGGGACAACACCATCGCGAGCCTCCGCCAGCTCCCCGCCATGATCCCCGACGTTTCCGAGCGGCGCGCGATCGCTCTCCGCTATGCGGTCTTCCTCCTCCACGTCGACCAACACCTCCCGCGCGGCTACGACGAGCAGATTCGCTCGTGGCTGAACGGCTCGGGGAAGAACGAGATCGCGGCACTGACACCTGAAGCATGGGACGTCGTCACCGTCCCGCTCCTGTACCTCGCCTGCTACGGTGCGCTCGCGACGACGACGATCCTCGAAAGCCTCATCTTCCCCGTCTGGCAGGCGGCGGCGACGGTGGCATCGGACGAGCAGGGCTCGGCGCTCGAAACGCTCCTTGGCTCCGTGCACGCGCTCTTCGAGCACCTCCTCCTCCGCGACGAGTGCGGCGCGAGCCTGGGCATGCCGCCTGCGGACGTGTTCGAGGCGCAGGGACTGCAGACGCGCCGGCGGGACGTGTTCCGCGAGCCGCACTTCTCCGCGCTCGTCGCGAACTTCCCCGCGCTGGTGCTCGTCGAGCAGAACCGGTATTTGAGCGAGCCGCTTCGCGCGGCGTGCTCGACGCTCCGGCGGACGATATGCAGGGTTGGGGTGTTCAGGCAGGGGATATACCGGGACTTGGACGCGGTGCGGTTGACGTTCGAGAGGCTGCTGGAGAGCGTTCCGGACGATCTCCACGAGCCGCTTGTCAGCGCCCTGAGGCTCATGCTAAATGACCCTGGACAAGGTGAGATGACCGTCCTCACCTTGAGATGGCGTGCTGACTACACCTTTCACTAGACGGTCCCGTCAACGCGGTCGATTGGAATACGGTTTCGTCCCTGCTGAGCCCTTGGAAGCTGGCAGCAACGGCGATCGAGATCCGCTTGAGTATCAAACAGCTGCAAGAGAGTATGGCCCGCGAGTCCACCCGCAACATGGCTGTGGCGAACCTCGACAAGCTCGCCCTCGCCGTCTTCTTCTCCTGTAAACGTCCCGAAGAGGCTGACTTCATCGCGGATCTTGTCACCGACATGGATGGCATCGTCGCGGGCAAGTTCGTGTCCGCGGGTCTCAGGCGTATCACCGAGGCGTTCCGCGAGTGGGACCCGCTGGCCGACAAGAGGTGTCTGAAGAGCACCGCGAGCGAGATGCTTCGGTTGCTCGCGAACATCGTCGCCCCGTTCCGGAAGGACACATCGCTGCCCCAGCTGGACCCCCTTGTGCAAGACGGCTTGTTTTTGGCCATCTGCTCGAAGATGGCGCACATGGCGAAGATCATGGTCTCGTTGGTCGAGCGTCCTTGGGAGGAAGACGCGATGAACGCATGCCAAGCCGTTATTTTTATTGCACGGGTTCTACAGTTTCATCTGGGATTCCCCCTCACGTGGAGCCAACAAGCAAAGGATGCATCGGAAGAGCTCTGTATGAACATCACTCGACTTGCATTGGTGAGTGACCAGATGCGCTTCTGAGAGACGATGCGAGCTGATCACACGACGTAGATGCATGGTGCTGGAGAAGGGCTCAACATGCTTGTCTTCCCCTTGCTGCTTGATACTCTCTGTTACCTGTTAGACGGTGGGTAGTTTGTCTGTGTAGTTGCACGGCACCTCTGACTGCGCTCTACAGAGATACCTGTAGATATCAAAGCTACGGGTCCCTACGACCCCTTCAAGAACTACCCCGAATTCTCTCTCTCCTCTCTGCCCTCCGACATGCCGCCCGAATACCGCGCGCGGCTACGCACCCTCCTTCCTTACGTTGCGCTCAACCCCGCCGTCGAGAACCTCGTCTACATCACCAGCGACACCGCCCACCCCACCGCCCCACCCACTTCCGTCCCCGTCCAACACCGGCCCTGGGAGTGGACAGAGTACCTCGGGGACCCCCCAGCGGGCGAGCCCGCCGACCGCGGCCGCGCGGCGCGCGAGGCGCACGACGACCTCTCCTCCCGCCCCGCCGTGCGCAACACCGCCGCGCTCCCGCTCGAGCTCTTCGACGCGCGCGTCACCGGCGACCGCGTCCTCAGCCTGCTCCCCGCGCACGTCTTGCCCGCCAGCGCCGACGCCGACGCCGACGCCGACGCCGCGGACGCGGACACGCGCGCGCTCACCGCCGCGACGCTGCACACGTTCCAGGACGACGTGCACGCCGAGGGCCCGTTCGCGCGCGACTGGCGCGAGACCCGCGTCGAGGCGCTCGACGACCCCGACCCCACCGCGGACGGCGGGGGCGGGGACGCGCACGCCCCTCTCCCCGCGCTCCCTGGCGCAGGGGCGGGCGCGTACGGAGACTACCCCGCGTCGCGCCGGCCATCCCCTGCGTCCTCCGTGCGCTCCGCAGCGTCGGCGGGCGGGGGCGGACGGGCACACAGCCGCCTGTCGTCGTCGACGGGCGCGGCGGAGGTGATAGACGTCGACGCGCTGGACACGGCCTCTGGCTCGGGGTCTGGGGGACGCCAGGGCGTCAAGAGGAAGGCGATGAGCACGATCGCGGAGGAAGACAACGAGATCGAGTTTGTGGAGGGGCCGTTGCCCTCGACAGCGGCGGCGAAGAGGGCGGCGAAGGGCGGCAAGACCGCAAGTAAGGCGGCGAGGAAGAAGAGATGAACGATGGACGGTGTGGTTGCGTATGAAGGGGGTGGACTGTAGATAGATCGGAGCCTGGATGGAACTGCGGTTGGAGATGTTGTGTTCTTGCACTCGTAACTTATTCGCTTTGACACACGGCTCTGGATCACTGCAATTTCACAACTGTGTTATCACCCAAGACTATAGAAGTACAATAGCGAATACAAGCGACTACGCATGCATATAGGCAGGGATAATGTAACGTGCGTATGCGGGAGCAAGATGCGACAAGCGGGCAGGGGGTCGACAACAATGATTGATAATGATACTCTCATCACGACACGGGGCAGAGAATCAGAGTGAGGGTATGGTCTCGCAATCCATCATCCACATCGGAACTTCGAGAAAAACCCATCAAAGGGCCCGTCTTGGGCACTGTGGGGATACCTCGCGATCTGGTCTGGCTTCGGATTCTCCTCGCCTTGCATGGCGGCCAGGGATCGTACTATATGCTTGACAACGAAGTTCTCCGCTGGGGGAGAGCGGACGATGATTCGGCATTTTGGGCACGAATACTCCGGATGGGCAGTGCGGGTGTGGATGTCGATGAGATGGCGCTGCAATGTGGCCCGAGTTTGTGCATGTAAATCGGGCTGAGCAAGCGCGGCGAGGTAATTGTTGGGGGCGAGGGAGGCCGCGTCGTATTCCGGGTGGTTGACCAGGTGCTTGGCCAGACTGGTCGAGAACCAGTCTTGAAGACACTCCCGGCAGAAGGTATGTCCACACGAAACACTGTGGTAGAATGTGCGGGCAAGGGGGATAAGGTGATTGTTGCGTGAGCCTTGACGGCAACTGCGAGCGCGAGGGAACAGACGCACATGAACGGATTCCACATTTTGCAGGTGCAAATGTCGCAGATAACGTGTTCTTCGAAGGCATTCACAAGCTGCGAGGAAGATATACATAAGTGTTGGTTAGGAATGATGCACGTCGCTACTAACCTGGCTATCTGGGGAGGGAGGTTTGACCACATGCACAGGTGGCGGAAGATGCTTGAGCTCCTGTGCCGATTTCTGTACAGGGAGAGCGCATGAGATGACGGACATGAAATGAAGAAAGAATGCACGCACAATGTCGCCCTTGAGATCCAGCTTCTCCTTCTGTAGTGTCTCCATATCCTTCTTCAATTTTTCAACTTCCTGCAAGCGCACATAGCATCAACCACTTGGTCGAGACCCATCCCCAGATGTACGCACCTGCTCCAACTCTCGCACCCGCGCCGATGACTCCGGAGTAACCCGCTTGGTCTGCTTCCTCGGGCGATGGTCCTCATCGTCTGAGGAGATCTCGATTACTTCGTGCGAGGTCGTTCGTGGTGGCGCAGGGGCTTTCGGCTGTGCGCGTGGTCGGGGTGCGACGCGCCCAACAGCTTGCTTCTTGCGTGCTGGGCCGGATTCTTCGGCGACAGGGTGAAGGGTGGCCCGGGAAGAAGAACCGGCAGCGGGTGTAGCGCCGCTTGGAGGTTGCGACGGAGCACGAGATGTTTGACGGCTCGAACGTCGCACAGGAACACGGTTCGCAGGCATGTCTGCGGCGGTGGCAGAGGGAGTTGAGAAGATGAGGAACCGTTGGTAAGGAGTTCGAGGAGGGGGTGGTGCAGATGGATGGTTGGGGCTCGTGGTGGCGGTTGCCCTAAAAGAGGTCAGGTTTCGGGGGCGCCTGTTGAATGAGCTCCGACGCGGCGACGCGTTGTCCCGAACGGTCACGTGTGTCCAGGGTCAGCCATTGTTCTGGGCGCTAGACTATCCACCCGTCTGCACTGCCGGAGATCGCTGCACCACCATGCAGCAGGTGCAGCCAGGTGCCACAACTTTGTCTGACGACGAACTTGCAGCGTACACACGCAACGGACATGCTCGAACGTCGCTGCATTAATCTCCGAAGAACCTCTACTGAGTATGCTACGGCCCCAACTTTCTGCGGCACCGCAGTGTCGGTCCTCAGACCGGCGACGCCTTCTGGTCCGACCCCTCCAAGTTCGGTCCCAGGTCCGGAAGGCCATGCACGTCTGGCGCGACGGGCTCACCCGCAGTCCTCGAGGAATATCGTGTCCGCAGCGTACCTTCATCGCCTCTGAGGTTGTCCATCCGGACGTGCTCGATTTCGTCTTCCCGGATCTCAACGCCGACCCTAACCTCGAACTCGGTCGGCCAATGCTTATCCGCGTTGTGGAAAGCCTTCGCAAACTCGACGCGGTGTTCATAGGACCGTCGGCCGCGCTGAACATTATGTCAGACAATCATCGGAGGGATGTATAGCCTGATATACGCACGGTTGTATCGCGGGTGCCGTCAGCCTCCTCTTCTTGCCGTTGTAGCTGAGAGTTGAGCATCTTGACAATATTGTTAGCAGCAGCGGTTATGACCAATTATCGCGGCACTTACCGCGAGTAAACAACATGTGTAAACTCTTCCCATCGGGAGACCGAGTAGCAGATGGAAGTTCGTGCTAGGAGTGATTGTCTGGACCACCTGTCATATCGAGAACTTCTGGGAAATTGATGACAGCACTTACAAAGACTACAAGATCAGCGAGCTGCAAGGACTGTCTTAGTTCAGGGCGAGGACTGAAGGGCGGTTCGAGCACGCACCGTGAAGAGAGACGTCAACAAAGAAGTCTGGATGAAGAGATCCGCAATTTTGTTCTTAATCGTCTCAGCGCCTATCACATGTTAAGAAGGTGTGTCAATCAGACCCTTCGACTCCAACTCACGTCTGAAACCAGTGCGACTTTTGACGTTGTAGTGGAGGAGTGCATAACTGCGGACGGGAACATTCAGTATATTGCGAGGCTCGCTTGTTGGAAGAATTCGAAACGCACCTGATGACAGCTTCGGTCAGAGCCTGCAATCCAAGCCACGCGTCGATGCTAGGAAGGAGCCTTTCGAGGCCGATAACACTGTGGTAGCCGGGGTCAACGCCAATTCCGGACTAATGATACAAAAGACCAACAAAAGACGCACGTAGCTTGCGCGATTACCAGGGCGGCGCACGTTATCGAGGTTATGAACGTGGCCGCGATCAAGACTATCACAAACCAATACAGTCGTCGGTTTTGACTGATGGTCCAGATGCGATGAGCAAAGTAAATCTCAATGGGCATGGCGGTTCTAGTTTGAAGCAGAAGTCAGAATCTCAAACATGTCTTCTGGCAAGTCTACTCACATTCCGACTAAGGCTGGGGTAGCGGCGAGGGGCCATGGGGCGTCGGACACAAACGCGGGATTCCCAAAGTTGTCTACAATAAATGTCCAAACCATCCAACAGAGCGCGCACGTGTGGAAAGTGTCGACGAAAAATGTCCATGCAACCAGGAGCCTGCACAACACTGGTCAGATTGCGTATCTCAGCTTTTCAAATTAGTTCACACTACTCACTGCGTCAACCGAGTGTCCGTGAAAAGGCGAGAGCGGTACTGCATGAATTGCAGCACGCTGAACCCGTACAAGAAAGCATTAAAGGTAACACTGATGACGACCGGACCCAGAAATCGAGTAAGCTCGACGTGGCTGACAACGCTCGAGCCGGATCGAGGTTCCTCCGAAGCCATGTTCTCGGCTTTTATTCTCCGGCGATCAAGCTAGCTTGAGACCCTGGACTTGGAGCGACAACTCTTAGCAGTGACGCACAGAGGGTAGTCTTTCCCGGAAGAAAAAGGGGGCCTGCTTGGCGATGCGCGTGGAAGGGAGGAGACTCAGAGGCCAAGCAAAGTGAGTGGGGTCCGGAAGAGGAAGATTTGAAGAGAGCTTTACTTATGGGACACATGCAGAGCGCCGATCAGCGAGCGTCGAATTGGATGCTCGGGAATCTCGTCGTTTCGTAATGCCGAGACCCATGATGCCCTTCATATATATCATCCCGACAACCGAGCCACGGGGGTCCGTGTAGACGGACTACTTCACCGGAATTGAGGCTGGGCCGAGCTAAGGGAGGCACCCCCGATGGTTACGCTTGGTTACGGTGGCTCTTCTGAAGTTCTGTGTCTTCAGGTGTCGCTATCGACCGCGAGAAACGCCTGGGATGCAGTCGACCGACGTGTCTGGATGTTGACAAGCTGTCCGGGTTTCCTCCAGACGGCCCATTGTCATGACGCGGCCGGCGCCCGGATTGTGTTGATCGTTGCCCGCAATAAGTAGACTAGCTAGTCTAGTAGGAGCTGTATGCCGACATGTGTGGTAGTTAGTCAGCAGGAATTGGGAAATTACACGTAAGGCAGTAGACTCACGGTCACACGGAGCTCGGTGCTCGCGATCTCTTTAAAGGATGTCGGCAGTGGCGTAAGCTCCGAAGCGTGGGCGTGTTGAGAGTTGACTTGCCAAACACCAATGTTGGTCCTTCAAGGAGACCAGGCTGTACCGGCTATGGGCATGCAAGTATAATTGCACGTCTGAACCGTCGCTAGAGTCGACTGCTACCCTCAACGACAGTCGTTCAGTATGTCGGGCTGATTTCCGGGCTATATTCTAAGCCCGCGAAGTACGTACGAACAACAATCGAGCTCGATCGTCGAGAGGTTGATATGAACGAGTAAAGGAGCGTGGCGGACGCCGGAGACGCCGTGCTCGACAAACCTTTTGGTTGTATCCGTGAGAAAGACTCCGGAATATGGAACAGGCACGCTTCATGCGCGCTTCTTTCTCCACTCTTTCGTCCCGCTCCGATATCGCAAGTAAGTGACCAAGTTCCCCTCCAGGGTGTATGTGCATGCTTTAGATGCTCCATTGTGGGCGCGATATACGAATCAGCGTGTGTATATGCTCCGTGTCTGCACAGACACGATTGTTTCGTTTCAAGACGGCCTCAGTTTGCGACTCCTGTACTAACCCCCTTTTCTCAGATATTCATCACCTGCCTTATAATCTGAGACATAAAACCTGGCTCCGAGGCTCCACGAACCCCGTATACGTCCCCCTAATCCTCAGACCAATACCTGACCACCGTTCTATGCAAGCCGAAACAACCAGTGACGCCTTCGCTGCTCTGCCCCCTCGCGGCGAATACCACGAGTTGTTCTCGTCCACCGATGGCGACGTCGTCTTAGGCTCCAAGGACGGCGTCCTGTTCCGCGTCCACTCCTTCACGCTCAAGACCACCTCGGGCTGGTTCCGTGCGATGTACTCTCTCCCGCAACGCGCTCTCACGGCGCCCCCATCCCCGACAACATCTGACTCGACCACAGAGACCATCGTGGTCGATGAAGACGCAGCCACGCTCGAAGGCCTTCTCCGCATCGTCTCGGGCTTGCCGATCCCCCGCCTGGACTCGTACGACGTCATCGAACCACTCCTCCACGCGGCGGAAAAGTACGACATGGGCGGACCGATGTCCGTCGTCCGCGCCCTCATCACCACCCCGCCGCTGCTCACGGACCCGCTCCGACTCTATACGCTCGCGTGCAGGTATGGCTGGGAGGACGAAGCGCTGATGGCCTCGCGCGCGACGCTCCAGCTCAACCTGCACGCGCCCGAGCACCGCCCCACGCTCCAAAAGCTCGGCACGGACGCCGTCCTCGCCCTCTTCGCGCTCCACCGCACCCGGCGCGAGACGCTCCGGCGGCGGCTCGACGACCCGCCGTTCGTGAGCGACACGGGGGACACGAGCTGCTCGAACTGCGGCTCGCTCGTCGACTACCACACCTGGCGCGAGCTCAAGTACGTGATCATCATGGAGATGGACGCCCGGCCGCAGGGGGACACCGTGCTCGGGCACGGGCTGCTCGAGTGGCCCGCGGCGCGCGCGTGCTGGGCGGCCAAGTGCGTCAACTGCGACCGCGTCCTGTACGACAAGACGCTGACGATGCGCGTGATCCGGGAGTGCATCGAGGCGCTGCCGACGACGATCGAGTGAGTCCCTTCCGTCGCGCTCTCCTGCTTTCGGTGCGGTTGGTCTGAGCGGGGTGCGCGGCGCGCGGTGCTCGAACTGACCAGCTCGTTCTGCCCCAGGCCGCTGCCTCCTCCTTACAATCCGCCGCCGGTCCCCATGCGGAGCATCTCGGAGTAGACGTTGGGTACGGTCTCCGCCGTTGTTCTCGGCCACGCTTGGAAAGGAATGTTCCTGGGAATTCTGTATGATGATTGTACACGTATGACACACTCGCTCCTGTCCAGACTTACATGCATCTCCCTAAGATGATTGCATAGTTCAGCTACTTCGGTGATATCAATGGGACTTCAAAAATTCATACGCTCCGATTGGCAAAGGTCTCGAGGCATAGTTTTCGCATGAGCATGGCCAAAGACGTGGGTACCGTGAATATCTGACCTACATATGCCCATCCTGATTATTGATTCGAGCGTTATATCGGTACACCCAACCTGGCGGATACACGTCAAAGCCGACTAGTGTGTACTAGATGTCCGCGCTACGGTAGACCAAACATCTGGACGGTCTTAACTCAAACGACGAAGCTCCGGCCACAGTTTCCCTTGTGTAGGATTTCACATGTACCGACTCCAGATCACAGCACACCCGAATAACTAAGAGGCCTATCGTGACCATCCAGGAGTACTCTTGGCTGCTGGTCTACTCCGCGTCGAAGACGAGCGCGCGGATCTCGATCGACTCCCGGTGGGGGGCGTCCTTCGGGCTGGTCCCATCCTGGAACGCGGTGTGGGGCGTAAGACGCGCCAGGTTCTCTTGAGAGTCGTAGCACTTGATGAGGGTGACCTCGTCAGGGGTCTGGTCCACGAGGTAATACCACTTCTGCGCGGGGTTGTGGCGCACGCCGTACGTCTCGCCCCTGCGAGTGGGGTAGACGAGGTCGACGGCGATGAGGTCCTTGGTGTCGAGCGTGCGCCAGTCCGAGACCGCGAGCGGGAAGTGCGCGACGGGGTGGTGGATCGGGCGCCAGACGTTGATGATGCGCACGCGGCACGCGCGACTGGAGGAGGCGATCCGCATCGGCGGGCCCGGCGTGGACTTTGACGCGCTCGACGCTCGCGGAGGGGGTCTGGTCGACGTGCACCATCAACTGTGCGCGGCGGTGTTGTGAGCACGCAGGGCGACGATGAGATGGAAGATGGCTCACCCCAGGCCCACGGTTCCCAGGCCCATCCGGGGTGCCCTCGGCAAGCTTGCGCCTAGAACAAGGGCAAACGTCAGCAAGATAAACTTACCACAGTTATGGGCACGCGGGACTCACCTGATGGTATGGTCAAATATGAGGACGCGCTTCGCACCCGTGACCCTCTTCAACAGCTCCTCGACTTCGGGGTAGTATTGAGCTTTGATGCGCTCTTCGTCGTCGAACTCGCGCTCGACGCTAGGCGAGTTGAGGAACTGAAAGCCGGCCTTGTCGAGAGTCAGCTCGTCCTCGAGGCCGCGGGCGTTGTAGATAGTCGCCGGGTGGGAGACGGTCTCGAAGTTCTTCCGCTCAACGCCCGCGGGAGGTTCCCCGACGTACCGGTAGGGCTTGCCGTTGCCGGTGAAACTGTAGTAGTTGAGCGTCGTCTGGACGTCGCGCGAGGGAAGGACTGCGTTGGTGGCCATTGGTCCAGTTGCGAGCAAGGCGGATTTGGGGCTGGTCAATCGAAGAGTGCGATGAGGCTAGAGGGTCGAAGGTCTTCAACCCCTCCCTCTTTATGATGTCGCATATGTTCGAGCAGCGACTTGACAATTGAACAGTCAGCATCATGACGGAACGCTGGAGTGAGCAGCGGCCGCTGTGCACCTCAAGCACGCAAGGATTGCTCGCAAATTCTCTTCAAAATGGCGAAAATCTGTCGCAACGCTTTGATTCGCGGGTCAGCGATGATGAAACTTCGGAACCACGGTCGCTCTCCGACCTTAGCGCATGCCGACATGAATACACCAAGTTGGCGTGGGCCGTTTTCTGGCATAAGCCGGTGAGCGGAGAAGCCGGTCGAATCGGGCATTAATTACTCAGAGTGCTGCCGCGCCAGATGCAAGAACGCGGCATATAATACTGTGCCATTGAAAACGATTCCTCAGAAAAAGGTGTCATTGCGACGCCTGAACAGACTCGTGCACATACCAGTATTGAAGCGAGCGACTCATCAAATGCCGACCTTGCCGATTTCCATCACTCACAATCCCCACGCGTGGTGCACATCCACCCAGTCAGCCCCGGTCATGGCATCTCGTGTGCCCACAGAGAAGCCCCGAGGAGATAGTGTGAGGTTGGAAGGTTTTCAAGAGACGAGTGCTGTCTCCTGACATCAATGCAACGATTGAAGCGAAATTCCGAGTTGAAAAGAACTCTTCCAACACGTCGATGGAACTCATGAGGAGGACGAACGTGGAAAGGAAAGCGACGTGTTGAGAGCGGTTGAAGGTGTGGCAGAAGCCAAGATTGCCCACGTTTGGGTGCACCGTTTCAGGCAAATTGTTCGCACGGCTTCAACTCCTCGACCCACAAAGCGCCAGCGATTTCAACTTGACTAAGTACTCTCAATAGCTCTCGACTCCTTCCTATGATTCGACGAATGGTGAACGGCGTAAGTGCTACATTCCGCACATAAGCCCGCAGCAGGAATCTAGGCATCAATTTCAGCTCCGAGTAAGTAGACCTCTGTTATGTTCCCAATGACTGTATACCCACGTTGTCAAATTTCTAAATCAAACCACCATCACTCAGAAAACAACATTCAAACAGGCACACAGTCAAAGATGGACAATGCTCCATTCACGACACAAACTTTTTCTTACAAATCAACGTGCAGTAGGATCGGCATGAAGTGTTACGACATTTGTGCTCAAGAACAGCCACCTGCGTTTCCAGCCGTACGTTTTCTCATCGTATGCTACATCTGCTTGACCGATTTGTGACGTCTGTTTGGAGCAGTTGAGCTCGTCAAGAGAAAGGCTTTGAAACGTGCACAGGCTATAATCGCGCGCAAGGCTCCTGCCAACTTCAGCAATCCGCTCGTCCTCTCGTACTATTGACGGGTCGATGCTCCGCATATGGAGCAACTAGCAAATTTCCAGTCCACTGCAACCGTCTAAAATGGGCCGATGCGCCTCTGCAACGCCTTTCGCGCCCTATTCGCTTCGGAAATGCGATCACACTGTGCCGTGCCGTGTGCGACGCGTATGGCCTTGGTGGCTGTCCCAGGCGACCCTACCTGGGGCGCGTCGTTCGGGTGACCCCTCCGGCCTCCAGCCTCAAGGTTTCATGCTTGCGGCGCGCGGGGGTTAGAAATGGGGCCTGAACGCACTCCTGTGCGACGGACAAGCCGTCAACGCGCGGAAATTCACCGGATGCCAGGGCGGGCCACTGCCGTCACCTGCCAGCACGACGGCGGGCCCAGGGTCGACGCGACGCAGCACACTTTCAATATATACCCTTGTTCGACGGGTCTTGCTCTTCTGCAGTAACGCGTCCTCCCTCTTCCCCTTCGCCACCTCTTCATTCGGATCTCAGCCCTCGCCCCACCCACAGCCATGTCGCCCCTCCCAGCGTCCTCCCTCCCCCGCTCCAGGCGACCCACTCGCAGCACCAGCATCTCCTTCGGACCCCCGCAACGTCCCATCCCCACCTCCCTCCCCGTCGAGCTCCTCGACGCTGTCCTCGCCCTCTTCGCCCCCTCCACGCCCGCAGACCGCGCAACGCTCGCCGCCTGCACCCTCGTCTCACGCACCTGGCGCGCGTTCGCCCGCCCGCGCCTCCACGCGCGCGCGCGCATCGCCCGCCCCGCCGACTTCGCCGACGTGCCGCGTCGCCTCCGCGCGGACCCGCAGCTCGCGGGGATGGTCCGCAGCCTGGAGCTCGCGCCGGCGCGCGACGCGTCTGCGCCCTTGTTAGGCTTCGGCGGGATGTGGGCCCTGCCCGCGCCCGTGCCGGAGGGCAGGGGGCGGGGCACCCGCATGGGCGCGTACGAGGTCGTCGAGCAGGCGTACTTCGCGCGGCGCATGGGCGCGTGCGGGTCTCCGCGGCTCGACCTCGCGACGCTCGCGGAGATCGTCGCGTGCCTCCCGCGGCTGCAGGAGCTCTCGCTCGTCGGGCTCGCGATGGTCGGGCCTCCTCCTTCTCGCTCACCGTCCCCCGCGCCGTCGCCATCTTCCGCGGAGGAAAGCACCTCCACCGCGACACCAGCACCAGCGACTCCTGGCCCCTTCCCCCTCCGCAAGCTCACCATTGCGCGCTGCCAGATGCCCGGGCACGGCCCGCGCCTCTCCGCCTGGTGCGGCCTCGAACTCCTCGCCCTCTTCCCCGCGCAGACCGCACACATCGCCGGCACGGAGATCAGCGGCGACGCTCCCACAGCGCTTCTCCCTTCCCCGCCGCCGCCGGCGATCCGCGACTTCGCGCTCTCCTGGGAGAACTCGTACATGCCCGCGAACGCGGCGAGCGTCTCCGGGCTGCTCGCGCACCTCGCCGCGACGCTCGACCCCGCGACGCTGGAGCGCCTCACGCTCGCGAGCGGGTGGAAGATCGCGAGCGTGTTCCTGCCCGCGCTCGGCGCGCTCGTCCGCGCCGCCGCGGTGCCCAACGTGCGCCGCCTCGACCTCGGGCTCGTCCTGGGGCCCGTGGCCGACCGCGGGGAGGACAGAGCAGGTGAGCCGCCCCCTTGGTCCATTTCCAAAACGGTCTAGGCTGACGCTGCGCTGTAGAATACTGGGAGCCGCTGAACCTGAGGGAATGTGGCCGCATGGAGGCGTTCACGGTGACGATGAAGATGCCGTCGGAGAGGCAGGCCTCGACGGCGCGCATCCCTCTCGCGGCGGCGTGCGCTGCGCTCGTTTCGCAGCTTCCACGGGGCACGCGCGAGGTGATCGTGAAGCTGCGCGGAGTCGAGAAGCTGTCGCAGCTACTCGACGTTCGGTCGCTGAACCTGAGCCTTCTTGACGACGTGCTGGCGAATATGGAGGCCTTCCCCGAGCTGGAGAAGGTTACGATCGAAGTGGAGGATGGGACGCGCACGGCGGCGGTCATCCTCGAGGGAGAGAACACGATTGCTGCGCTGCTGCCGCGACTTCAGGCCTCTAACTTGCTCTCTTTGATGACTGTATCATGACTCTCCCCACGCCGCTCATCATTACCTTCTTCTCATACGTACATCCCAATGTAGCATATAACGCTGTGATGTGTTCGCGAGTACTCCTACATTCACATATAATGCATGTAACGATACACACACGTATTGTCCAACACTCGGAGCTCCAACCAGCGGGGTGCACGCAGGATCGTCCTCACGTACGCTTGTACGCCTCCTTCTCAACCTTCTGCGCGGCATCGCCAAGCTTTTCCGCACCTTCGCGCTTCGCTCCCTTCGCCTTGTCCTTGCCATAGCCGAACATCCCCCAGAACCAATCGTTCCAGCCCTGCGCCTCCTCTTTCGTCTTGCTCTTCGCATCCTCGAACGTGCGCTCGACCTTGTTCGCCGCGTCGCCGACGGCCGCCTTCGCGCCGTCGTACTGCCGGACGGTGAAGTCCCGCGCGTCCTGCGTGGTCTGGGCCCCCTGGGCCCGGGCCTGCTGCACCTTGTCCTGGGCGGCGTTCTGTGCGGCGACCGAGAACCGCACGAAAGCATACGATCAGCACCCCGAATTCCCAGCGCTGTCACCGCGCGAAGGCCCCGCGGCGCACGTGCCATGCACGCACCTTGGTCTCGTCGTACATGTGCTCGCCCTGGCGGACGGCATCGTGCGCGGTGGCCTTGCCGGCGTCGCGCAGCTCGGTCGCGCGCGCGCGCACGCGCTCCTCGTCCGCCTTGCGTTTCGCGGCGAGGTCGGGCTCCCCGGCGGAGAGGTAGTAGTAGCCGCCCGCGACGGCGGTCGCGCCGAGGATGGCGAGGAGCACGCCGTTCCCGCCGCCTGAGGGCTTTGGCGGGGGAGGGGGTGGGGGCGGGACGTCGGTCGAGTATGCTCGACGCTGTGGGGGTGCTGTAGTGAGAATGGGGAGCGGGTGGGCAAGGGAAGAAGGGTGGCCCACCGAGCATGCGGCGCGGGCGGACGGCGCAGCGCGCAGGGAGGTGCGGAGAGTGTGTGTGCGGATGGCGGCGGACATGGTGGGCGGGTGGTGACGGTGGGAGGAGAGAGTGGGGGGCGTGGGCGAGGGGGTCGTGGGCAGAGAGCGGCGTGCGCCGGGCCTTTTCTTCTCTTCGCGTGCGGGGGATGCACGCCATGACGCCATGCCCGCTCCTCATGCGCGCCCCCATGATGTCACTCTCCCAGCGCGGTCACCTGATCGCGTTCGCCTATCCCATCCACACTCAGGGAACGTCGTATACCTCATATTTGCAGTATTATGCTCGAATAACATACGCTATATCGTTCACGGCTGGCAACCACCGGGATGCCCTCGTCCCCTCCGCATCACGTCCTGTACCGCACCGGGATCGCAGTGTACGGGTCGTCTTTCGGCGTGTGCGCGTGCTGCACCCTCCGCATCCGCCGGCAGAGCACGAACCCGAGCACGATCAGCTCCACGCCGATGAGCAAGTTCACGACGAGGAGCACGACGATGGCGGTGCTCCACCGCTCGTATGTCCGGCCGCTCAGCGGCGCGTCGCCCGCGTCGGCGGCCGCCGTGGCCGTCGTCGCGGCGCTGGTGGGGGATGAGGACGAGGCGGATGAGGACGTGGCGAGGGAGGCGGACGAGGGGAGCGGTATGCCGGCAGACACGAACGCGCGTGGGTCGATCGTGCTGGGGAGCGAGGAGAGGGCCAGCAGGCGGTTCGCGGTGAACTCGGCCCACATCGTCGTGGAGTTGGTGGTCGGGAGCATGCGCACGAAGGGCGTGCTCTGGGGAATTGAGGTGCCGCGGCTAGGGAAGCCATCGTAGTTGTATCTGGACGGGCGGGTGTCAGCGATAGGACAACAGGACACAGGAGGGTACGCACGAGACGTAGACGTTGCGCAAGAACGCGTTTCCGAGCACCATACTAACGCTGTTTCCACTGGTAGTTGTGTCGGAGAGGTGTTGATACTGGTTGAGACAGACAGTGACGTTCGACGCAGCCCCAGTCGAGTTCCGCAAGAGGAACACAACGGGGTACGTCAAGTCCAGAGGGTGCACCGGGTACTCCACGCCCCTGCGCACGCAGTCAGCCCTCCCGCGATCTCCGCCGCCCACAGCGCAAACCAGACCCACCCAAGCGAAAACGAGACATTCGCCCCCGCGTCGCACGGCACCACCCACGTCCCGGCTCCCAACGCGTCGTCCCGCACCGCACCCAGAATGCTCCCATACATCGCGTCGACCGCCGCGCGCGGCAGCGCCGCGTACGCGCTCCCCGTGTCGAGCACCGCGAGCGCGGGCCCGCTCCCGTTCACGCCCACCGCGGACCCGTTCACGTGCACATCGTCCACCGCCACCCCCCACGCGCCGCGTGCCCCCGGGGCAACTGGGAGCGCGGGCTGCGTGCCTACGCGCGCGTACCCCGCCGCGTTGCCCCCGACGGTGAAGACGCCAGGGGTGGTGCCGCGCCCGGGGAGGATGTCGAAGGAGTGGGCGAGCTCGGACGATCGCGCGAGCGCGTTGGCGAGCGGGGAGGGCGCGAATGCTGTGGCGGCGGAGGGACCGTAAGCCGCGGCGAGGGCGGCGAAGACGGCACCCTCGCCGAGGGACGCGCCCAGGACGCCGGAGATGTTGCCGAGGTTGGCGGTCTGGGAGACGTAGAGGAAGGCTGGAAGTGGGCCCGTGCGTTAGGTGGGGGTGGACGAGGGGGGGTGTGTGATGGGGCTTGCCTTGGTTGGGAGCGCTCAGGCCGCCAATGGTGAGGTTGGCGAAGGCTATGGTGCCGTTGACCGCGCCTGACCCGTACTCGAAGCTGGTAACGATATCGGTGGTGTTCGTGAGGCTGACGTTGGCATTTGGTGAGATCCAGAGGTCCGATGAGCCGGTGTCAAGCAGTAATGTGTAGGCTGAGAGCACAGTCGGTCAGACCGACTTGGGATTATAGAGCCGAATAGACGACCCACCTACTCCGCCGATAACAACATCCACGGTGTACTGCACGAACGGCGAAGACCCTCAGACGTTACTATCGGTAAAGATGCACTACTGAATGCTCACTGGGAGGTCGTCTATTGTTGTAAGCCCTGCATTCGCCACCGGCCCTGCTCGTGGAATGTGTGAGGAAGCGTCGAAGGAGGGACTGAAAGAATCAGGCGCAGTCCGTGAGGAGTAGGTGAATGGCCTGCCAGTCGAAGGGTATGTGAGTGATGAGTAGTCCATCGACATCCAGGGGGCGGGGAAGGGGAAGGGACCAGAGGTGGTATCGAGGAGACAAGGTATAGGAGGGAAACATGTGTGGCAGATCTCACGCAACCGTTATGTATCCTGCTCAACATTGGTGTGGAGATTGGAGGAAGTATGGAATGGCCTGAAGGTTCGTGGACTGAGGGAATGGCTCTCGCGAAGAACGACCTTATGAACCGTCCTGCACGGCGCGGAGGCGACCGGCGGCGGCCTGTCAAAGAAATACGTCAGGACGAAGCGCGGGACGAAAACTCGGGAGCGAACCAGCAAAAGAGCGGACCCCCGTCGACAGAGGAGATTCCGGCGTGTTGCGGCGCGGATAGTCGAGAATTGAGGCTCGGACCGCCACATTGAGTGTCCGAAGTCGGACCATATTCCAAGCCTCGATATAGGTAATGCCACGTGGAAACGACGCACACGCACACGTCACTCTTGCCCAATGCCAATGCACTGAAATCACACAAGAAGCATTGCCAAGTGTCCTGCGGCGCTGTCGGTCAGCCACGTCCGGAGTATCGGCATGATATCTCACAGCAAAACCTCAAGATGCATCCTGTGTACTATGCATAAAGCGACCGCCAAACTGCCAGATCTGAGACCTATTCTCCTGACCGCAACCTTTGGGAGAATCCGTGGACCATATCTTTCCCACGCACCAGCCGCAGGCCCCTGCACTCGAGGCTCACTGGCATGCCACCTGAGTTTTCGAAAGTTGCATTGGTATACAGGTCCATTAAGCAAACAGCGAGAGGCGAGCGAAAGCAGGTATCCAGAACAGCTGTAACGATAACAGCGACACGACACGAGGGGAGCGTCCGTAAGCCCATAATTCAAGTTCAATATGCCCGCGCGATCAGATACCAAGGAGGGTGGAGAACTTCTTGAAGTCCGGAGTGCCTAGCCCAGTAACCTACGCCGCACAATCTGGGTCAGCGCCACGAACGCAGACAGGCGAGAGACGCAAATACATACAGGATCCCACCCGGACTTCGCCGGGAAGCCGTCCGTGCCGCAGCCGGGGTTGCTCCCCGACACAACGTCGTTGAGCGCGACCTGGCCGCCAGCGTAAAGGAAGGGGTTCATGAACCCGAGCGGCGACTTTCCGCCGGCGATGAGCCGGTCGTTGAGCAGGGACACGATGCTCGCGAAGAGCGGGGTGCTCGCGCTCGTGCCGCTCACGGGCGACACGGTGCCGCCAATGTTGACCTGGTAGCTAACACCCTGCGCGGAGACGTCGGGGTAGCCGCGCCCGGTGGTGTTGAAGAGACCGGCGTTGGTGTTGCCGAGGAGAGAGAGGTAGTTCCCGACGGCGTCGGCCTGGTAGGAGGGCTGATCGAAGACGTTCGAGAAGCCGCCCGAGGAGAAGTCGGCTGCAGTCTCGGGCGAGATACCGGTCGTGGAGCCGACGACGGTCACGCTGTGGGTGAATGAAGGTGTATGAGCAACAGAGCGGCAAGAGAGAAAAAAGCCCGCATACAAGGGGCAGCTCGCGGGGAAGGTAGGGCGGAACGTTGTGCATGTACCGCCTTGGCCGTCGTCGACGCCGCTATCGCCTGATGAGAAGAAGGCCGAGACACCGCGAGCACCGAGCTGAGCGTAGGCGTTGCAGAGGTTCCTGAATTAGCAAGGTCAGTACGGTATGTAATGGGTGGGTTTATGGAGCACGCACTGCGCGAGATCAGCGGAGATAAGCTCCTCAGGGAAGCCGAAACTCGTCGTGAACGTGGTGGGAGGGGTCTTCGCGGCAAGGAATGTGTTGACGAGGTCGAGGAAGCCGCCAACATCGCCGTCGTTGTTCTCGCCGACGACAAAGAACGTCGTGGGCACGTTGGTGGCGATGCCGACGGTGTACTGGATGTCAAGGCTCTGTGAAATCCCTCGAACGTCAGGTACACACTCCTCGTCGTGATGATGGTACACTTACTCCTTCTACACTCGGGTCCGTCTCATCGTTGACTCCATTATCGACCGACGTGACTTCGAACGAGGGCTGGCTCGATAGGTCCGGGCGGAAGCTGGTGAGGAAGTCGGACAGATCTGTCGTGCTCGCGTTCGACTGCACGAAGCTGCTGACCGCGAGCGTGTTCTTGGCAGAGGTCGCAGGATCTGTCGGGATGTTGTACAGAGCCTGGAGACACGTCGGGGTGACCGTGTCCGCGCAGCTTGCTGCCACGGCCGCGCGCACGGGGTGCGCCGGGTTCAAGGGAGCACGAGCATGGTGCACTGCGGCGACGCCCTTAGCCGACTGTACTGGGAAGCTAGGTAGGCGGTCAGCACGGTCTTCCCGGTTAATGGTATGCGCGCATATACACATGCACCACGGCAACGAAAGGCAGAGTAAGCACTCACGAGGTCGCGGGGAAGACGAAGTCGACGAACGGCTGAACGCTCTTCGGAAGGGAGTACGCGAGGGTGCGGATGGCAGTCTTCCCGGTCTCTGCGTTCGTGTACGTCTGGAAGTCGGCATCGAGAAGGGCGTTGGCACTCGCGACGGGCACGTCAATGTTCAGCCATTGGTTCGTGGCCGCAGGGGTGGAAGTGACGTTGGCGGACGACAGCCACGCGTCGATCGCCGCGAGCCCGTCCGCGCTCGGCGCGACAAGAGCATCGGTCTGGAGGGCCGCAGCAACACGGCAAGATTGGTGGAACCAGGGAGAGAGAAGGAGGGAAGGGGGCGTGTGGGCATTTGCTCGCCTGCGCAGGAGATAGAAACGAGAATCTGACGCACCTCGGCCTTGGTGAGGAACTTCCTGTAGTTCGCGCTCCCGGGCGTGCTGACGTCGAGCAGGGCCTTGTGGAGGGGCGCGGGGTCGCTCTTGAGCGCGATGCGCAGGCTGACGACCGCGCTATCCGCGTCCGCGCCGGGGGTGGTCTTGACGAAGCCGTTGGGCGGCGCGGCACGGCGTTCGTGCACGCGCATCACGTCCGGGGTGGGCGCGCCCTGCGCAAACGCTACGAGGGACAGAACAAGCAGGCCGGCTGCAACCATCTCGAGCTAGCCGAGGGGAGGGAAGCAAAGGAGAGTGGAAAGAGAACGAAAGGAAGGAAAGCGAGGCGGCGCGGAGGGCGACGGCGACGCGGAAAAGGAGGAGGAGGGGGAAGGAGTGAAAGAAGTGAAAGGCAGAAAGCGGCGGTGGTCGACGACGTACGTCCGACAGACCCCGGTGGAAGGTGCACGAGAATATTCATTTATAGCTCGCAGATTCTGATACGGCGCGGCGTGCCACGGCGTGGAGGCGGCTTTCCCGGAGGGAGGATCTGATGTAGACAGTCGAGGATCGTGGTTGCTTGGGCGAGCCTGGGGCGCGGACGGAGGGCTACGATTGGCGGGACGATCTGGCAAAGTCTGAGGAGGAGGCCGCCGTCATCGCCATGGCCGAGCTGTTGCTCTGACCCGTCCCCGCGGAGCCGCGAGGCCATCTCGGCCCAGCTGTGTCGCCGCTTCCTCGACGACCTCGTCCGCCTGAACTGGCTCCGACGCCGTCTTGCCCTTTCAGCCCCTCTCGTGTCCTCATTTGCGCAGCAGCCACTCCGAGGCCTGACTTGGGCTTCTTGGAGACTTTCCGTGCGAATCGCCCCGCGGGCGGTACGATTGGACAACCCAAGGCAGTTGGCATCAGCTTCAAGGACGAGCGCAGATGCCTCATCGACATCAGTCGCTTGGCGAGACAGAGGAATAGAATACTGAGCGCTGAGCAGTGGGTCGCATCAGCGTAGGCGTCTTCAACCTCAAGTATTTCACCGTAGCGCAAAGTCAGCGAGGCAGGCAAAGCAAGTAATTAAACATAATGTAGTTTGATGATACAGGTATCCAGGATCCGCAGAATTCCTTCCAGAGCCACTGCTAATCCGCATACCGCTCCCCGATCTGAATGTCCAGTTTCCCATCCCTCCGCACACTGTCGAACCACACTTCCAAAGTCCTCACCACTCGCTCGTCCTCCAGCCCGACCAGGTTCCCGACCGGATGGTGCGTGAGCGTCACCTGCCGGAGCGTCTCCGTCCACGACGTGTTCACCCACTGCGCGACCTCGCGCCACGGCTCCGAGAGCTGCTTCGCGGACCAGAGGTCGAACGTGAACTCGAGCGCGACGTGCGTGAGCGGCAGCCGCCGCGCCGACTCGAGCACCAGCGGCACCCACCGCATGATCTTCTCGTCGACGCTCATCTGCAGCTCCAGCCGCCTCAGCCGCCTCTGCGCCGCGAGCGCGGGGTACAACGCTTTTATTCGATCTGCCCGTCACGGTCCGTGGTCAGTGTCCACGCCCCCCACTCGTGCTGCCGGTCCGGACTCACAGTACACAATTGGATCCGACGCGTCCGGGCAGAGCTCGAGACAGTCGAGCGACTGGCCCCGCGCGGCGAGCCGCTTGAGGAACTCGGCCGCGACGCCCGCCTGCGTCCAGGACAGCCGCCAGAAGCGGGCCTCGCGCACGCTCCCGAACCGGTCCGCCCACCGCAGCACGTCCGCGAACTCCTCGTCCATCAGGCCCTCGACCGCGAGCCTCCGGAGCGGCAGCACGCGCGTCGCGAGTCCCCGCGCCGGTTCCCGCTGCTCTGGCGGCGGCGGCGGATGCGCGCCGCCGACCCAGCGCCCCAACGCGGGCGGGGCATGGGGCCACCGGACGTGCGCGAGCTCGAGCCCCACGAGGCGCGGGAAGGCGTGGACGAGCGCGCAGGCGTCGGCGCCGTCGAGGAAGCGGGTGTTGCGCACGCTGAGGCGCGCGAGGTCCGGCCACGCGCCGCTGAGGTCCCGGAGGAAGGACGGGGTGAGCGGGGTGCCGTCGACGTTCTCGAGCGCGAGCGCAGGGAGACTGGGGATGAACGGGCCGAGCGTCAGTGGCACGGCGAGGATCCAGGTGGTGGGTGCGGTGGACGAGTAACGGGCATTGCCCTTGAGGCGGAGGGAGCGGACGGAGGAGGCGTTGGCGGAGAGACCGCGGGCGAAGGCCCACATGCCGCTCGGGGAGGAGACGGTGGGGTAGCGGTAGAGGAAGCGTATGAAGTGCGGCCTCAGGGTGTGGCAGATGGTGAGGTATGGGTATAATGTGGTCGGCTCGAGGAACTCGAGGATGTGGTCGAGGAGCTCGGGGGGTAAGGTGGTGATGTTCCTGTGGGAGAGTTTGCCCATCTGCAGAGATGGGACATGGAGGTGAGCAGCCAAGACGAGTGACGGGCGAGGCGCGGTTGGCGTGCGTACCCTGTGGGGAGTCTCGTAGCTCGGGGACAGATCCAATCGGACCATGCGATGTCCTCCACACGGGGCGAGGGACACGAGGTCAGCACTGCGCACGAGATCGGTTAGCTTGATCTCCACGAAGGTTCGTCGATCGCGCGCACCTGGCTTCGTGGGCTTCGCCGTCAGCGTCGTTGCAGGTCAGGAGAGGTGGGCAGACGCTCACACAAAGTGGGCGTGGGCGTCGGGAGCAGGCTGTCGTGTCGTATCACACCCCACGCGAGCTCGCAGCTTATATCGTGTTTGCGTCGTCAAGCCAAAGGCGCGGGTGCACGACCTCGGCAGTGGTCAAAGACAAAGGAGAGGCCGACGCGGGTGCCGCCGCAGAGGGGAAGGTGAAGAGCGAGAGGCGAGTTCAGGGAGTGGCGGGATCAAGCGCAGTGCTTTCGTCGACTGGCCGACTGCAAGCAGTATGTCAAGTTGTCAAAGGGACGTCACGGTCGGACCCAAGCGTCAGTACTGGGCGCCGACGGGGAAAAGGAGATGCGCCCGCCGGAGCCGTACTGGAACGTCTTTATGGTGTCCCCGCCAACCGCCTGCACTCGTGCTTGTGGGAATGCCATTGAAAGGCCTGTGGGACGATGGTGGACAAGATGGTCTAGCTGGCGGTATACGCGCCGCATAGGCGCAATGCAGTACGATCATGCCAGTACTGGTCACTGCAGCGAGGCCAAATGCACGCAAACAGGGTGGAATGGAAGTTTACGGCCGGGTAGACAGTATTTTCCGTGACCACACCTCTAGACCTCCATTATCCTTATCAAATGCTCATAGATGAATACATCCTGGCGGCCCAGTGGCAGCGCATCACTGCTGGTGACCGAGCTAAAGCGCTTAGTGGTAGTGGGAAAGGATCCCAATGCTACTTATACATACATAGACTCACAATGTTCAAAACTTCGCACGCCCACTCATATAGAGTCTGAGAGTGCCTAATCCCCCAGCACGAGCGATATTTCAAGGTTAGGCGCCTATAATCTCCCCTAGGCAGCCCTTCTATCAAAGAGGCGCCTACTTCGAATGTACAAATCGAGCACAAGGGACGGACTTGAATCCACAATTGAAGCGACCACACACCCCACCCACAGACATCTATGTATGATCCAGACACCTGCAGTGATAATCAATATGTACGGCCTCGGCCCACCACAAGTGATGATGCTGCAGGTTCAAGCGCTCAGGCTTGCGTCTTCTAAATTTGATTATCGGTACAGCTGTTTTCATAACGATACTAGGCCCTTCGGCTAATCGTCCTCGAGTAGGCCGTTAAAAAGTTGGGACTCCGCCCGCTTCGCGGGCACGACCCGATGGTGCCGTCGCGCTGCCGAGCCGGCGCTAGAGTCTGGAACAAGCGTTCTTCGAGTAATAATGATGGGTGACGTATTTTGTTGGAACTCCGACTCAATTCGCTTATGTGGCTGATTCCCATCACCGGGGGCCTATCGTTATGAAAACAGCTGTAATTATGACCTGGACCAGCAATGGACCGGGCGCCTGCAGTGCTGTCCTCGCGATTACCGCGTCGGCGAGGGCAAGCTCTACAATACGCTCGCCATGCTCGTGGAAAGCAGACAACACGCCAGACACCAAGATCCGTGCCCAGCATGTGGTTGCATCATCTCCGTGCCATCGCGGAAAATGTGCAGTGACTCGGCGCGCGCCTACATGGCGTGGTGAACAACAACAGAAAAATGCATGGATTATGAGTACAGAATGCCAAGTGATGGTAGGCTGATATACAACCGCCGCGAACATAATCCAACATCCAAGCCCGAAATGGGCGGCGATAGACCTTGCTCTACTTCTTCACTGAGCCGATCACCGATTCCGGCGCATACCGGGGAATGACCTGTGCGTGTACCACTATGTCAGTCTGAAACCTGGCCAGCAATGGCCGGGGAACGTGCGCACCTTGGGGTCGTGGAGCATGTTGAACTCCTCCGTCGCGTCGCGGCCAGCGTACAAGATGATGGCTTTCTCGCCTCCAGGGTGGTCGGGGAGGAAGCTGGTGACGTCGAGGACCTTGCCGTCGATGATCACCCAGCAGTCATCCTTCTTGTTGTGCTTCGCGACCTCGTCGGCCGTCCACGCGCCTCCAGATGATGATGATGATGACAACGACGAAGAGCTTGTCTTCTTTTCCTCCGAGGTGGACGCGGTGGTAGGCTATGTTATCGGACAAGATCAGAGACAGTCACAACTGATTCAAATCGGTTACATACCTTGCTTGAGCTGCTCTCAGCCCCAATATGACTAGCAACGGCACCAAGACGGCCAGCAGCCTTCTCAGCCAGAGGGCCGACACGCTGAAGGAGGTAGGACGCCGCCGAGTCGCCACTGACACGACCGAACACGACACAACCAAGCAGTGAGCTACCACCGAGACGATTGGCGCCGTGCACACCACCCGCGACCTCACCCGCGGCAAAAAGACCAGGGATAGGCTTTCCAGTCTTGTCGACGACACGCGACTCGGCGTCGATCTCGAGACCACCCATAGTGTAGTGTAGGACGGGTTCCATCTGGGCGACGTTGAAGATGTCGTCCATCTTCCACTCGCCAGGGGCGAAAAACTTTTTGCCGAAGGGGTCCTTCTTCGACTTCGTGACGGCGTTGTAGTCGTCGAACGTCTTCTTGAGCGTAGCTGGTGAGATGCCCATGTCCTTCGCGAGCGCCTCACCGCTCTCGTAGCGCTTCATGAGCCCACGGCCAACGTAGTGCTTGCAATGCCACTCGATCTCCTTTGAGGCGGGGCCGTTGAGAACGAGACGGATTGGGAACTAGAAAACCAGATGAGGGCATATGCGCAAAAAGGAGCCAATCATGCCCACCTTGCCGTTCTCCCACATCTTGCCAGTGACATAGTCACGGTGCTGGAGCTCGTCGACGAAACGCGCACCGGTGTTGTCGAGAAGGAGGCCACCAACACCACGGAGAGCCTCGGCGGCCAGGAATTTCACCTTCGCGCTGGGCTCGTTAGGGTCAATGAGACCAGTCGGGTGTACCTGGACCTTCTCGAGGTCGATGGCGCTGGCCCCAGCGGCCATGGCCATCTTCTGACCGTCACCGGTGCAGTGCTCGCCGTTGGTAGTGGACAGGTTGTAGTATTCGGGGCGATGCTTCTTCAAGAGGGAGTTCTCGGTGAAGTCGGCAGCGTAGCCACCAGTCGCAAGGATAACGGGGCCGTATGCGGTCTCGGTCTTGCCACCGGAGGTGTACTCACAGCCAACGACCGCGCCAGCCTCGTCTTTCACAAGCTTCGTGACGCGCGCCTTCTTCTTGATCTTTACGCGGTCGGGGATGCTCTCCGCGAGATCCTCGAGGCGCTCCATCTGGGCGTAGGTGATGACCATACCGGGGAACTGGGCGTTGCCGCGGTGCGTACGGGGCTGGGAGTGGCCACCAAGCCGGGCAACCTTGGAGAGGTCGAGGGCGAACTTGTCCTGTAGCCAATTGACGGCATCTCCTGAGCGGCCGGTGAGGACGCGGATGAGATCGTCGCGTGCGAGGTCACGAGCCTGGGGAAGCATGAACGACGTCATTGTGATGAGAATCCTCCTGACATACCGATTTCTTCGTGTCCTCGAAGAAGACTCTCGCGTTGTCGGGAATGCCGAGCTCCTGCTGGGTCTGCGTGCCAGCACCATTGATACCGGACGTCGCCTTGGTGGAGTTGCCTCCCATGAAACTGGAGGGATGTGTGAATATATGGACGGTAAAGAACGAAGTCATGATTGGAAAAGTAGGAGTTGGACGCGTCCCAACGCCGTCTGCCACGTCTCCGCAACACGCGTACAATCAAGAGGAAGGCGCGCATGACCAGTGTAGCGAGTCCACAATGCGTCTTCGATGGGGGGAGGACCAAGATGATGTACTCACGGCTGTTTGTCGAGCAGGAGGACGTTGGCTCCGCGCTCAAGGAGTGTGTGCGCAGCCGAGAGGCCGGCAAGACCGCCACCGACGACGATAACTTGGGCCATAGCGAAGATGTGGGCGAGGGGGTGAGGTGGGGAGAGAGCGAGAGTCGAACGAATGCGGGGCGGCGGGCGCGACTCTTCTATGGCCGATTCGGTCACATGCGCGACGGGAACGGAACATGTGAATTCCGGTGGGCGGGGCACCTTTCGCCTGCGGGGCACCAGCTACAGGGACGCGCCTCGCGCGACGGCGGACGGCGGACTTGCATCTGCGTTGTCGGGCCCGCCGGCGATGCGCACACGGAAAAATGCCGTCCGCGCGCGATCCACCGTCCATGTCTAAGCAGAGAATTAAGACATGTCTCTCTACGCGCCCGATCCACTATGCTCAATATTCGATGCTAGCCTAGGCCCCGCGCGCCCCTGTCTCGAGCAACGCGCACACCCGGTCGACCATCTCGCTCATGCTGTCCACCAGCCCCTCGAGCAGCACCAGCCCCGGCACGGTTCCATTCGGCGCCCCGTGTTCGACATCGCCGCCCTCCAGCATCCGCGCGTGCGCGTCCACGTAGGCCGGCCATACGATCTGCTCCCAGTAGTGCGGCGGATCGCGCCAGAGGCTGCCCTCTGGATCGGATTGCACTCCGGGGTCGCAACGGTGCGGGCGCGTGCGGCAGCAGCATCGCGGAGTGCGGGTCACGGCGGAGCCCGGCGGCGAAAGGGCGGGCGCGCGGATATAGAGCGTGGGTGGGGCGGGGGAGGAGGCGGAAGAGAGGAAGGTTAGGACGCGACAGGCGGCGAATGCGGACACAAGGGCCTTTACCTGCTGTGTGGTACCCGTGACGCTCGTGTCTCCGCTGCTTGAGAGCCTTTTCCGGAACACGGAGGAAGACGCGGTGGTCGAGCATGTTCACGACTTCCTGTCTCAATCTTCTGAGTCCTGCAGACCTGGTAGCAGACACCGGCTGGGGCTTACTGGGTGCCAATAGAGTAGGAAACCGTCTACCATAACCCACTTGAGGACTTCTCCGCGTTCTTGGTGCTCTTCTTCTATCTTCTCGAATGTAGCCTTCCATCTCTGGAAGAGAGCATCGTCTATTGGAACGTCCTTCTGCTCATTCAGGTGGTCGTGAGAAACGTGCTCGGGAGGTATCTCTCCACTGCTTTTGACCTGAGAAGCATGAGGAGTGACCCATGTGATCGTGGTGTACGCTCCTTACCGCATCTAGGGCTTTAACCATCCTGTCCCATTGTATTGCACCTTCTGCCTTATCCCAGTCCTGTACGCCGTACACGGGATGCACAGGAACAAGTTCTTGTGGCTATATGCGGATATCGAGGGTCGTGTGAGAGGCGCGTGCAATGCACACATGGACCGTCAACGACTGACTGGCGCAAAGTCCTACAAGGATCGTGGTCAGCGAGATCCAGATATGCATCGACCAGCAAGCGACTGAAAGGGTCCTTATGAGAATACTGACATCCTGGTGCAAGATGACACTGTTTGGCAAGATCCGTTTGAGATGCTTGGCCAGGGTCGTCTTCCCGGAGCACGTCGCCCCTCTGAAAACCGGGTTGAGTGCATCCGCAGGCTGTGAGAGGCTCTTCACGCACCCGATCCCAACGAAGATCACGCGTGTCTTCATTTCGCGGTCTGCTCCTCTATCGAGCAGGATTATCTGAGTTGTCCGTGAGCCAACGCCAAGGATGATGCTAGAACAGAGCTCGTACAAGGTATAGAGGGTATCGCTGGAGCCGTTGGTCGATGCGGTCGAGGTCGAAGTACTTGGGTGCGCGATAGTCGGCTTGGCGAGTCACCGGAAACGGGAGCCGATGTCCGCCCATTGAGATTAGATAAGACCGAACCTCGGCAACGGCCGCTCCGCTCAAGCGTCGCGCCCGCCTGCAGCCGGTGCTGTGGCAGCTGTCCTTGAGTTCGCCTTCCTCCCTCGTTGGTCACAATGCCAGTTAGCCTCGCCCACATCGCCCTGTGTGTTTCCCACACGCTCCTCGACTCGTCCTCCACATACCCTGGGCAAAATGCCTAACGTGCGCGACCCACAGTCAATTGGACCTATAATCTCGTACTTCAAACCGCTCAATGAGCTCATCCGAGTCTTCAAGTTGACCCGTAAAGGTCTCGAGTACGAGTTCGTGGTTATTTCCCTCTGCGATGGTCAGTGCTGGAAGGTCTTCCTTGGCCTTTTGGAGAGCGAATTGGATCACGATCTTGCGGGCCACTGGTGGCATGGGCACTGGTTTGAACGGGACACTAAGGGTCTCACAGTGAGTGGACGCGTTCGACTTCGCGATTTCACCCTATTGAGCGCTTATCGACGCGTCAAACAGGGAGACAATCCCACCAGTCTTGCCGTTCAACCGCTGCAAGCGTACATTCTCCTTCTGACAGAGGCGTTCCTCAAAGGCAACATAGACATCGAAGGATGGGCGCCTAGTGGGCGGGAGAACGAGTACTTTGTGAGTGCCGAGCCCTGACATTGCAACAATCTTCTAAGACATGCAATTCAGTTGGTTATCGGATCTACAAGGAGTGTTCACGCCCGTATCCGTATCGTCGAACTGGACGGAGAAGCCGCTGCTGCTCAAGCTGCTCGAGTATTTCGAACGGTTAGTGGTGCGACATTTGTGCGACCCTGAAAGATAGATGCAGGGCAGCTGCAGGCACAGCGTCTGAACCATCCTTTTTCCTGTCACAGATTGCGCTGCGGGCTGAGCCGCATGGGTGCGCGCTCTACCCACAATCGGGTGGCTTCGGTGGCGCTCATGCGGACTCCAGCGAGGCGCCTAGATCCGGTGGGTGCTCATTTATGGTTCGTGCGCTGCCTCTCCGTCTTATCATGATGCTGCGCGGCAGTGGTAAGGTCGGGGAAGAAGCTAGCAGTTCGGCGGCCTGTAGACTCAGATGGAGACTCGTCTCCATCCCCGACACCCAAGAAGCTGAAAGGGTACTCTAGCCCTCGCAAGCCGAAACGTGCACTCAAGGAAATGTCTCAGTCAACGATGGGCGATGACTCTATTCCATCGAGTGAACCGGACTTGATCCAGTACCCGAACTCGGACCATCTGGATAAGACCATTGGTTACCGCGGTCCGTCCCCTTCTTCGGATCCCGTCTGGCCGGAAGACCCTCCGTCAACATCTCCTGTCAAGCCCACCGTCAAAGCCCCAGTCTTCTCTTCGAAGACTAATGTCAAACCCGCTACCTCCTCTGGTGCGAGGAACGCCAGTACGTTTCATCATGTGCCGCGTGATAAGCTGCTCATATCCAGAGGATTCAGCACCAACGGGGCCTATCAAGATGGTCGACCCTTTGGCTCACAAGAAGAAGCGTGGCACGCCAGGAGTAGTCGAGTTCTCGGACAAGGTTTAGGGTCTTGTTGAATACGCAGCAGTGACAAGTATCGAGTATCAGTGCTTTCATCTTTTGCTTACATGTGTCCTGTGCTCTGGATATGCTTCGCAGTTATCGGAAACTCCTTCGATGCCCTCGTTTGATGCTCGTCGCAATGTGGATGCACTCGATTGCTACAAAACACTCTTCTCCTGACAATGGAAGTCAAGGTATCACGTTGCTTTGACCTCGACTAACACCAATTCTCCAAGCAACCTTTGTCAGTTCAGTTCTCTTTCACGCGCTAGCCCTACTTACCCTTTGATGTTTAGGGCCATTTTTGAGCGTATTCTGACAGTCGACGTCCCTCGATACCATGAGAAAAGCTCTGGGCCCCACAATCAGACCATAACTGTACCCATGGGGCTTTTCCCCATATGCTAGTGAAATATTTCTACAGGCTTGCGCCGTCACTGACCACCCTCAGCCTGAAGAATCTTAGCGCCTGCGTAATGACTTCCTTGTTGCTAACGGTCACCTAAATGCTTCTAGCGTTCGATGCTGACACATCATACTCACAGCCTTGAAACCTACGGGCCAAACGCTCAATGGATCGTTATAGCGAAAGGCGGGGCTCCGTTTCTCTCTATTTGTCCCGTCGAGCTCTTTCGAATTCGAACAGCCCGATCCCCGAGGCTCGAGCCAAGCCACACCATTCAACGCCGCTCAGAAATCTCCAGAACAAATTCCACGAATAGCTGAGGCCCTCGGCCACGCTATCAAGGGCCGGTTTGACCGGAAGTTGATAGTCGTCGATGTCGCTCAAGATCCTCATGCGCACTCGAAAGAACCGGTGGCAAACATTCATCCATTGCGACAGTGCTGCCCGTGCGACAGCGCCCCCTCGTTTCCGCGAAGGTCACAGGGTCGCCTGCACCCTGCCCGGTACCAGTGCCGTTTGAAAAAATGTCAAGCTAAGTCAACTGGCCAAACATAGGCTCGAGGGGGTGCGTATCGTATATCCATCTCGGCACTCGACTTTGGTAACTCACAGCCATCGTAGCCTTCTTGCTCGGTACCTTTGAAGTTCCAGACCCATGACATTGAGGCAGGAGTGAATCTGCTGACACGATGGTGTGGTAACATGATTTAACGAAGAAGGTATGTCATTCACTCATGATTCGGGCCCGCCGCTTATCACTCATATCGGCGTAGACATGTCCTCTAGCGTTCCGAGTAATTGAAGACATCTATCATACACGGAGCCGATGTGACGCAAGGCTGCTGTTGCGCTTGCAGGTGCACAAATGTTCAAAGGTTCTATTCCTATTACGAATGGCCTCCGTGCACGTCTGAACGTTGATAACAATTCTCGGTCCAGGGAATGCACCGCGGGAATTTGCATGACACCTGAGCCGGCGGCACTTCGTCTCACGTATAAAACAAGATTCGGAAACCCGCAGGCTATCTCTCGTGCTCACCGTTTCATCTGTCCGGCACGTCTTCACTGAGTGACCTCGAGACACTTGTCATCCTCGGAACGTCTTTCTAGCCTCCCATCTCACTATGTCGACTCCCAGGCATGCCCATCATCTCCTTAGCTCTGCATTCTTCAAGAAATCTACATTTCATATGAGTGAAAGTGACCGAGCCCTCCTCTCCCATGAAAGGGCAAGGGCAATTGGCTTGTCTTATGGTGAGTTTTTCTCCTTTCATGCGAACAGGTTCGTCTGATGCAATCCCTGTTGCAATAAAGCTTTGACGATCGACGACGTGCTTTCCCTCACGCCGAAGTTCTGGCACATGCACTGCGATCCCATTGGGCTGCAAGACGGCGCTGCCATGACTCTTGTCACAATACAATACAATCTCACGTTAGGCACGATTGCTCGATACGCAAAACACCGTCCGGAGCTCGAACCGCTTCTTGAGGAACTGTTGCAATACCGGACACAGTACGTTGCATTGTTCTGGCCTCACTGCCCGGTTTCGCATACTGACTCTTTCATAGGGGCCAGTTCATGCTAACGGAAGTAGGGCACGGTTTGGATATCACCAACATCGAAACGACGGCAACCCTTCTTCCTTCCGGCGAATTCTGTCTGACATCTCCGACTGCATCTTCGGCCAAGTACGTGAACCCTTGGCCCTGTCATTGACAAACCCGCTAACATGTACCCAGATTCATGCCACCCTCTGTCCCGGTTGGACTCCCCAGCGTTGCCGTCATTATTGCCAAGCTCGTCGTCAACGGCGAGGACCGTGGACACAGACCGTTCATTGTGGCGATCAACGACGGCAAGAGCATGTGCACGGGCGTCCAGGCAAAGTGCGTTTACTTCTCATCGTCCTCGCGCGCAATATTCCGAAGTCGCTATCAGGCAGCTACCATTCCGCGACGGGTCCTCACCCTTATTTCACTCTATCGCGAGTTTCAAAAACGTCCGGCTTCCCAGCGCGGCACTCCTAGGCACCCTTGACAAACCCAAGAATGTGCACGAGAACCTCATGGAAATCATCAGCCGCGTCTCTGTGGGCTCACTTTCCGTCGGCTGCTATGCCGTCCCGGTCCTCCAGGGTCTTGCTACTATCGGCACTCTATACTCTCTCAGGCGCCAGGTCGGACCTCCATCGAAACGCGTCCCAATCCTGTCCTTCCGCACACAGAAAGCCGTCGTCCTCGCCACTACTGCGAATGCGTATGTTGTGGGCGCGTTCCAGCGATGGGCGATCGAGCAATTCCGCGACGCTCGCGATCGCCGCGTCGGGCGTGGGATCGCGACCGTGTTCAAAGCGGTCGCAGTGCAGCTCTCACAAGAAAGCGTGCTCGCAGTCTCAGAGAGGTGCGGCGCCCAGGGCCTCTTCGCGCACAACAGGATGGTCGCGTGGCACGTAAGTGAGGTCTTCGGTTGCTCGGTCTGATTTAATCCAGCTCCTTTTAGACCACATTGCGAGGTGCCGCCATCGCGGAAGGCGACGTCCTCGGGCTTTCAATCCGTGCGTGTTTGAACACCTCGTACTTTCCTCCCTCTCCTTACTCTATCTTCCTTGGCAGGCCTGATCAGCGACCTATTGTTGGGCCGCTGCAACCTCCCACCTCCCCAGGACCCGACGTCTCTCCTCGCGCTCCACGAAGCCAGCCTCTTCGACTCCCTACGCGCCAAATTCGTCAGCGCTCTGGACGGCGGCCCCGCATCTGCTGCCTCCGCCATCCTCCCGTACTGTCAGCCGACGGTGGAGGCGATCGGGCACCGGATGGCTTACGACGCCGCGCGCGAGCACGCCGTTCCCGCGCCGCTGGTCGACCTCTTCGTCGCCCGGTGCCTCGAACGCGACGCGGCGTGGTACTCGGAGTCTGGGGGTGTGTCGCGCGAGGAACAGCGCTCGCGCGCTAGCCGTGCGCACGACGCAGCGGAGCCGATGCTGGGTGCGCTTGTGGTAGAAATGGATGTCGGCGAGTACGTCGGGGCCCCAATCGTGAGCGACGAGAGGTGGGCAGCGTTTGTTGATGGGCTCGTGGTGCATGAGGGGAACGCGCAGATGGATCTCTTTGAGACAGGGGACTTGAGCCTGGGGGACGCATTGAAGGTTCTGATCGGGGCACGCCTTTGAGTCGTTCGGAGTTACGGTGCTGTTATGTTAGACAGGGGTCAGGATCATGTTTTCTCTCGTGTATATGCGTTCAGAATGAAGTAGGCTGTTTTCTCATCTCCTCTGCATTACTGCACTTCCACAAACGAATAAGTAGAGTCGAGAAGCGTCAAAGGCCGACATGGATGCATGATCAGTCCGACTCTCACGCCATGCAGTGCAACTAGAATCGATCCGGATCGGCGCCAATTTACGTTCGTTGTCTACGACTCCCATCAGCAGATATCCTCGGTCTCTGCACCATGCCACTCAAGGATACGCAGCGCGACCTGGCTCTTAGCTCAAAAATACGGCTTTCCACGGGTCTGTGCCTCCAGTTCCCCTTCTAGTCATTGAAGATTTTTTTCACCTTGCTGCCAAGTCGGCATCTGCAGGCCACGAAATGCCATGTTTGGCGTTGGGGGTGTATCAAAACTATACGACGCACGAGTCGGTCCTTGAAGCCTTTCGTGCTGGTTACAGGTGCAATATCTGCTTCACTCTCGCGGGATGTACATTCTGAGCGCGGTCTGGCACCATTACTGGATAGACATGTGGATACCGCGCAAGCGTATCGTAATGAAGCGGCCGTTGGTTCGGCATTTCGGGAAAGCGGGCTTAAACGCGACGATGTCTTCATCAGTGCGTTACGTTTTTCTATTTCGTGGGTCTCGCGGCTCCTGACGATACTCGGCCCTGCAGCGACCAAGTGTATCAGCAAGACGCACGGGTACGACAGCACCTCGCGCACGGTCGAACTCTCCCTAGCGCGCCTGGAGCTAGGTTCGGCCGCCCCCGTCATCTGTCATCATATCGGGCGGGCCGAAGCCCGACGGTGCCCAATGTTGACGATTTCTCTCTGACAGAATACATTGATCTTTACCTCATTCATGACCCTTTCAAAGGCACCGATCTCCGCCTCCAAACATACCGTGCCCTCCTCGACGCGCAACGCGCGGGGAAAATCCGATCGGTGGGGGTGTCCAACTTGTGAGTAGCAGTTCGACAATGCGGACGAGATGCGGCGGTCATCCCGCTCGCCCATACTTTCCAGCGGCATCAAACACCTGACGGAAATCAGGACGGCGGGCCTCCCTATGCCCTCGGTCAACCAGATTGAGGTAAGTAAGCGCGCGGAGATCCCCATTGAGACCCGAACTCCCCAGATGCTGTCCAAGATGCCGGCGGAAGGCTGACCCTGCCGCGCCTACTTGCAGTTGCACCCCCGCTGCCAACAGCGACCCATCGTTGACTACTGCCGAGAGCACGGCGTCATCGTCCAGGCATACTCCCCTTTAATTCGTGGTCAGCTTGATGACCCCGTGTTCGCACAGTTGGCACAAAAGGTGCGTTGCGCACATTTGGTCCTCACTCGCCCGGCTGCTGGGCGCGATCCCTCCCCAGAGCCATTGTGCTTCTGCCGTCGGGCCGCAATGTTCGACGTGGCCGCTGGGGCCGGAGCTCGCGTCCGAGAAACATTGGAAGCCACACATGCTGACCGCCGGCAATGTAACCATATGCCCGACGCGCTCGCTACCCCCGCAGCACAGCGCGCGTATCATAGCGGCGGGAGAATTTGAGGGCACGCACCCTGCAGAGCGTGTCCGGATAGACCCGGCGCAAGTACTCCTCCGCTGGTCCCTGCAGCACGGGTACGTCTCGCCGCCGCCCCTCCTGTTGCCGTGTAATCGTCGAGGATGCGCTCGGCTCCCGCCCCTTCGGCTGGTGATGGAGGTGCCGGTCCGTGGCAGGAAGCAGGGTCCGTCGCTCGATGCCGCCGACGCGCGTCCGGGTGCCAGTGCACTGACAGACGTCTTTTATTTTTATGCACTTTGACAACGACGACGACGACGACGCTCGCCCACACGCTTGACCCACGTCAGCTTCGTGCCACTGCCGAAGTCCGCGACGCCTGCCCGCATTCGGTCCAACGCGCAGCTGTTCGACTTCGCGCTCGACGAAGCCGACATGGCTGCGCTCGACGCTCTCGACCAGGGCGCCGCAGGCGCGGTGACGTGGAATCCGATCGACGCGGAGTAAATGGACCGTGATAGTCGGGACCCGGACGGGTTGCACGGCGATGTGAAGGGGTGGTCCGGGGGTTCCTGGCCGGGCTAGACAGCGCGTTTGTACCGCTCGCGGCGGGCCTAGAGGTCACGCTCGTCTGACCAAATTCAACGACGCTCCCGCGCAGGAGTGGACACTAGAACCCGCATGTCCAATTCGAACCGCGCTGGGGGTTCGCAGTGATGGAGCGGGAGGGACGCGCGCGCGAATCAACCGACTTTGGGGTTCGTCAATGCCTGCCTGCGCACCGCAGATTCCTCAAACGCAGTGCCATCTACGACGTCGGGTCTCACACGCGAAGCAGTGCGGTGCGGGGAGCTGCGGGATCACACGGGGATCGTGCGACCCGAGATTGAAGTGAGCGAGGCGCGAGAGGGCCTTGGACGCCGGGGGATGATTGACTAAGTAGTATGTACACGACGGTAGTGAACGCGGCACCAACGCTACGCATACTTTTCATCCGCCTGAGTTCACTTTGATAACGTGGGGTGGCAATCTGGACGGTACAACGGAAAGCCATGTACGGACGGTTGGGGTTTTGACTAGTTGTCCATAGATTCCCCGTCGCCTTCGCCCTTCTTCCGCCGCTCTATTCGCTCTTGAAGAGCCTTTTGAGCGCCCTCTTTGGCGGCGTTCAACGTCCCTGCTTTTGCCATGGCGAGCAGGAGGGCGTGGATGAAACCTAGATAGTTGTGACGCCGGAGGCCGTTCTCGAACTGCCATTCCATAATGCGAATCAGCAGACATCTTCGAGACGCCATGATCGGAGGCGAGACTTACCGCCCAATTCTCGCGTTTCGCGTTCTCGTTCGCCAATTTGACCATGAGGTCGGAAGCTTCGGCTTGCCTGCCGGCGACTTGCAGCTGCGCGAGCTGCTCCTGCAGGTGTGGGAGCGGGTCGTCGTGCACCGCCAAGAGACTGAATTCGAGCTGTGGTTTGTCCGATCGGAGAATCATCGATCTGTCAGAAGCACGCACATAGCGGATAGCGCGTGGCGGTACTCACTGCGCCGGGTGGGTAGGTCGCTATCCTGGCTTCGATGACCTCTCTGTTACGCCGAACTTCGGTTAGGACGAGCTTGCCCGCAAATACAAATGACTGGGCAAACCTCGCTTTAGCAAGCCAACCTTCACCGGCGTCGGAGTATGCTCCGTGGCGCACGGGGAGCTGCTTGAGCCCGTCGAGCTCGTATACGGAGCCCGCATAGGGGATGTAGACGACGAAATGATAGGCGTCTTCTGTCGTTTTCGGGAGCCCAAGCCCTTCCAAGGAAATCGCGGAAGGAGGCGACAATGCATTGTGGGCTTCCCGAAGCCAATCCGAACTTGTGATCGCGAGGCCGCTCGTCTGGGGGTCCATGCCGGCGGTGAAGCTAAACAGCTCCGACAACTGGGGTCCCATCTGCACACCAGGGACGTTCGCGATCGCGTTCATCACGGCGAGCGTGGCGCAGGCGTTGTTGACGACCTGATGGGCGAAGAACCCGGGGAAGTCCGTGTCGTACTGACCGCCACTGGCGGGCTCGCCCGAGGAGCCGGCGACCCATTTGAAAAGAAAGATGAGGGCGCGGATGGGCTGATACTCGGAGAGCACTGTGGCGTCAAGCGAGTATAGGTCGTCGACCACAAGGGGAACCCCGAGTGTGTTGAGCAGCTCCCTGTTGGATGGCAGAGAGTGAATACGGAAGATCCGACGAACGGGAAGGTCGGGCGTACGAGAACACGCCGGGGTCAGACTCGGTTAGTTGCCAGCCGCTTGAGTCGTCGTCGCCGGACATCTTTTCTGGTGGTTGCGCGTAAGAAAGCAGGAAACGTGCCCCGGCCCTGCGCGGTGACGCGTCGCGTGCGTCATGTGACCTTCTCCACGCCCGTCCGGGGTCCTTGTTTGGCAACGCCTTCGGAGCCAAACAAACATCGGCGCGGGCGGCTAATGCCCGCGGCATTCTTGGTCCGTCCATGGAGTCCCAGCCAGAGCCCGCAGCGAACGAGGCGCGCACAGCCAACCGCCGCCGCTTCGAGCTCGAGCTCGAGTTTGTGCAGTCGCTCGCGAACCCCTTCTACCTCAACTCGCTCGCCCAGCAAGGCCTCTTGAGTCAGCCCGCGTTCATCAACTTCCTGACCTACCTTCTGTATTGGAAAGAGAAGGACTACGCGCGGTTTATCTTGTGCGCCACCACGACGCTCGTCTCGTGGTAATATTCTGACATACGTGACAGGTATCCACATGCCCTGCATCACCTAGAGCTTCTGCAGCATCCCGAGTTTCGTTCTGCGATCGGAAAGGACAACTGGCGGGAAATTCTCCACCAAAAGCAGTTCGACCACTGGAGAACGTGGTAAGTCTCGGGCAATAATTCCACCGACATCGGGTTTATCACTGACATTGTCCGCGTGTGCACAGGCGAGATCCAAACCGCATACAGACTGCGGACCCACCGTCGCAGCTGGACGGTCCTAGCGGGACCTCCGGCGCCGGACCGCCCGCTCCTGCCAACAGCCAGAACGGCGCCGTCGTCAACGGCAGTTGAAGAAGTTTTCGGATTATGTGACTCGCGACTCCGTCCCCAGTCACGTCCAAGGTTTTCATCGATGTGTTACTGAGCGCACTATCGTGGTTCCTCAATAGAATAGCTGCGCCTCGCCCCAGCGGCGCGAATGCCGTATAGCGGAGTGCTGACCAAGGGAGACACTTCCTATTTGGAAAAACTGTCTGATACATCCTTCCGAACGGTCCTGACACACAAGCACAGTGTACACCCTTCGTTACTGCGCTGACGATCACATCCAAAGACGGGAGTCCGGTCCTCACGGAGGCATCCCCCGTCGCGCGGCGAGCATGCAGCAGGGACGATGGCATTCAGTCGGCGATCCTCCTTCGGACGGGAGATATGACCTAGCCAGCCAGCCCGGGGCTCGCCCCACGATCTGGCGCGGTATCCGCATACGGCAAACCACCCGGGTCCCCGAGCGCCCGGAGCGCACCCGGCGGGGATACGCTCTTGCTCAGTTCATGCGCAGGCAATGCGAGTGAAAATGCCACCCCGTTTAGCCCAGCAGCCTCATCGCTAGCCCAGCCGTGTAGCTAGCGATCTACCCCGTGGATCATCGGGTACACGAAAGACGTGCCGTCTTGTACTGCCCCCATCCCTCAGAAGCGTCCGGCCGGTCACCCGCCGCCGTTCCGTGCCGCCCCCTCGCCCCACACTTGGTGCAGCTCCACGCCGTCGTCTCCTGGATAGGGCGGCGGGAGAGCGCCCGCGCCCGGTGAGCCGTTGGCCGCGTGTGCGGGCTTCGATCTAGGCTGCTCCCCCTCCCTGTCGCCGTCATCCTCATCGTCGACTACGCTAAATAAAAGCTCCTCCTCCACGATCCGCCCGTTGCCCTGGGGGGGATTGGTTGCATCAGCAGACCGGGATAGTACGACCAATTATTATGGCACGGTACCTGGTGCCGTGGCGCGCTGTCCTCGCGCTCGTCGTCGTTCTCATCGGGCTCGTCGTCGACGTCGGCCGTGAGGCGCTGTCGCTCGCCCAGCTCACCGCCCTCCAACGCCAAATCGCCGTTGGCGGAGATATCATCTTCATCCGGCAGTGGATTCCCGTGAGGATCTAGCGCGACATTTTTCTCCATGGATTTCTTGTACTTGTGCCAGGTGTACAGCCCAATGCCTGCGCAAGTCGTGGGTCGTCAAAACGCCGACCGGGTCGGAGATGATATAATGAGTCGAAGACTGACCACAGACGGTAATGCCGACACCCGTCATGTTAAGCGGCGTGAGTTCGTCGCCAAAGATCCAAGCGGAGCACATGATGGTGGTGACTTCCTTGGCGATGCCTGCAATGGAGAGGGGTACCATGCCGGCGCGCTGGATGATGCTGTAAAGGGTATCGTCAGCAAAATTCGGGGGTGTCAACTGACGGAGAGATGCGCACTAGAATTCACTAAGGACCATGCAGAACGCAATCGCTCCTGGGCTAAACACGAAGAAGGCGGTCTTCATGGTATCGGCTGGTGTGGCGAAGAAATGGGTGTCGAAAACCTTATGCCATCCATCGACCAAAACGAATGCGATAAGCAGTGTTGTGCCCATGATTGGTGCTAGCCAGAAGAGTGTTGCCGCCGGGTTGCTGAGTCCAAGGTCGCGGTTACGCATGAGAAGCTGGGTGAGACCCCAGCGCAGACCTCCTAGGGCGCTCGCCGTTGTCACCAGGAGGAAGCCAACCAACTCGAAGTGGGTCTCTGTGGCGACCATGAGAAGTACGCCGGAGCAGATGAAAAAGATAACCCCGATTAAGAGCCATGAGAACCGCTCGAGACGTAATAGGAAGGCGAATAGGAGCACGAAGACTAGCGAGGATGACTTGCACATAGCTGCGGAAATTTTGTCAGCGCGAACCGTGCGAGTCATTGTTAGGATTAAACTTCACTGTAGAACGAAAGCGTGATAGTCCGGAGGGATACATTAGAGAGTCCGATGTCTAGACCTGTCGTCATACCGGTGGGCATGACTTTGCGTCTGAAAAAACCGTGAGCTCGTGCGACGGAAGAAACAGCGTAACGAGTCTCCGGCAACGTTGCTCGTGAAAATTCTGCTGTATTACACGTACAACGGCCTGAGTCGGTACGGCGAGACAAGGAAAATGAACTGCGGTGGTGCTGCAGCCCGTAGCCAGTGTGACTAGGAGCTGCAGGACCCCTAGGAACTATAAGCGGCTGTGTACATACATGTAGTCCTGGCGCGAAGGATTCCTGTCTGGCCTGAAGTGACGAGGCAGGGCATACCGCAGGAGGGCGGCGAGCGAAAACTGAACCCACATGTGGGCGGTTGTGACAAGAAAAGGAGACGGAAAGCCGAAGCGGTCCGGAGAGAACATCCATTTGTTGTACAGAGACAGGAGGATGGCGAAGAAGAACCTGGAGTATGAGTGAGCAGATTTGCAAGACGTTCGGTCAGCACGGGCAGGCCTACCAAGCTGCGATGAAGAGGCAGTTGATGATGGCGTTTGCCCACCATAGTCGCCGCTTCTCGGCAAGCGAGGCGATGTGTATGGACGCGGGGTCGTATGCGTCAATGGAGGGGTCAGAGCCGGCCACGTGCTGATACTGTCCGCGACGCGGGGGCTGCGAGTGTTCATGCGCAGGGCTGAGCATTGGACCTCGGAAGCATGGGAGTCGGTGTGTGTGAGCAGCACCGCCGAGGCACGCCGAACGCAAAGCCACCGCCCCGCCAGCGCATCGAGATCGGGCGCCTCCACGCACCGTTTGGCGCTGGACCCCGCGTGCGCACAGGCCGCGCTCTCATCCCGCCCGCTCGCGTGGTTTTCAAATTGACGTCCAGCTCTGCCCACTGGCGATTGGTAACGGCGCGCACAGAGTCTGTCTCCCGCTTACTCCTGCTGTTCCCCTCCTTACTCACCCGCCTTGTTCTTTCCTAGCCTTCCTGTGCGCTGCCTACTAGTTTGCTGAGCACGACGGTCGGGCTGGCTGCTTCGGTGCCCCGAATGCGCCCACGACGGCGCCAATGGTTTGTCGCCCTGAGCTGCCAACGACCCCCGAGGACTGGCGCATATGCCGGCTGTATACGCTTCGGCAGCGGCTTCGGCGGCATGGACGGAGCCCCAGGCGCTGGGCGCGGAGACGACTCCGCAACGATCCATCTCCTCAACGGCGTCTCGGTCATTCTCAAATGATCTTGATTGACAAAAGCCCTTGACGCTCGGGCTCGGTTCTCGGGCGTGCGCTTCCCGTCTATAAAGGTCGCCGTGCTTCGACCCTCATCGCCACTACCTCTCGCCGCCACGGCAAATCATCACTCCTCCTTCTATCCGCTGACGCCCCAATGGCCAACATCGAATTCGTCATCGAGGCTCCTCAGGTCTCCCGCAACAACAAGAAGCGTCCTCGTCTGGTCACCTCATGCGATCACTGGTGCGTTCACCGCGCTGCATCATTCTCAATCAATGTGCTAATCCCGATCCTCACCGTCCTCAGTCGCGTCAAGAAGATCAAGTGCGTCCAGCAGCCTGCGACGGGCAAATGTGAAGCCTGTCTCTCCGCGAACGTGCCGTGCCTGTACCGCGACAGGGAGAACTACTTCGCGGAGCGCACACGCATGCTTTCGGGTGCCGGATCGATATTGCGGGACGCGTCCAGTGGATCATTGAGCAAAGGCCACCTCTCTGCCATCAATGCCTCTACTTCCTCGCCTTCGCGCGGCTCCACCCCTCCGTCAGCACAACCCTCGAGCGATCATTCGCCAGCCTCCTCCGATCGCTCGGACTCGCCAGCAATGTTCTCCTCATACATGGGTGTGAGCACATCACATATGTCTTCCTTTCAAACGTTTCCGGACGTATCTGATATGCGCTCTGGGCCCTCGAGTCGGTACGTACCCAGTCATTGCCGTGCATGTAGCATGGGTTGAACCTCGATGTAGGGACGGACCCGTGGCGCCGCTAGATTGGACCCCCCCTTGTCAAATCCCCGAGATGCACACTGGGCAGAGCAACGTATTTGCTGGCTTTCCGGCTTCCAATCTCCTCCCGCCCAGCAACATGCTCGAATTCGGCCTTTTTGATCACATAGACGGCACGCAACCGCACCCGACACTTATGATCTCGTTCATCCAGGACTTTTGTGACAAGCTCAGTTCATCATACCCGTTTTTGTCGTCGGAATCTGTGGTCGACCGCTTTTGCCACCACCGCCTACCCGCAGTCCTTGCGAACGCGATAGCTGCCTCCGCAGCCCGGTGCGTGCTGTGTCATCCGAGAATTTGAAACAGCGCTTATTGACGGCATTTCTAGACTCTCCACGGTGCCAGAGATTCTGCAAATAGGATCGGCAAACACGGCGGACGTATACTGCCAGATGGCCAAGGTGCGCCCGTCCACGTGCGCGGCTTGAGTATGGGCCTGACGTATCCGTTGCTAGAGCCTCATTCCTCCCGACGGCCCCCCTAGCACCCTCGACACCCTCCACGCGCTGATGCTGCTCGCATGGGTCGAGTACAGGAGGCACCACCAGGCGCAATTCAGAGGCTATACCCGGGTGAGCCGGCGCGCCGTCCTCTTCTGAATTGAATATCTGCTCATCTACGTGCATGCCACCCAGTCCTGCATCCGAGTCGCCGCCGAGCTCGGGTTCTCGGAAGAGACCGTCCCCCAGATCTCTCGGTTCTCGAACTCGCACACCGCGCGGATTCTGCAGCTCACCTGGGAGGGCATCCAGACGCTCGAACGCGCGGCGCTCGCCGCCGAGCTCGTCGCGTTTTCCAAATCGAGCCCGCAGCCTCAGCAGACCCCCGGCCCTCAGCCGTCGTTCGAGGCGTTATCAAACTTCATGTCGGAGTCACCCTCCCTGTGGTAGGGGGCCATGCCCGGCGGTCTCCCCGATACCCGTGGTCAAGATTCCGGGATGCCGTAACACCCTTGGCGCGCTCCCTCAGCCCCTCCCCCGCCCTTACCCCGACATTCTTCTCCATGGTTTTCGCACTCCGTTTGTTCGGTCCGGATGGGCGCTCAACCAGTCGCTGGGCGGTTGACGGCTGCTCGCTCAGCAACCTGAATAAGCAGTGCTTTGTCGGGGCTTACAGCTTTGCTTACAGGAACTCGGGAAGCACAGCTAGATGCGCTCGCTCACCGACCGTACACCTCTCCCGCTGCGCTATGCTTTTGATATCCACACTGCTACGGAACGCCTTCATCCGCAATACCTATACCCTTCGTCCACATCGAACATCTGGCACCCTGTATCATACCCTCCTGACTTTAGACTATAGCCCGTACTCATTGCTCCGTTGTCCCCCATCTGTATCTATGGAAAATACGCACACGCCATTAGGTATCTCCTACACACCACCCGCCCAAGCCCGTGCCACGGTATCGATTTTCGACGCCCGCCTCGCGCGATCACGAACCGTGCCGACACCCAGTGTTGCGCGGAGGCCGTCCGCGCGCCCGAGCGTTGACCCGGAGACCGCGGAGCAAACGTGCTCAGATGAAACGATGGGCTCGTGCGCCACCGCAGTCGTCGAGGAAGAGGCGGGATCGGGGGGTCGCAGTCGACGGCGGGTCGATACATAAAGATGACGATTTCCCGCGACGCGAGAGCTGCCTGGAGCCGTCGATCCGCGTGAGGATCACACTTGACGCGCGCGGGCTCGGGAAGGGCCGTGATCGTTGGCGTTGAGTTGCCGGCTGAGCTTGTCCCGCGCGCGGTCTGCAGAGTGGCTGGAAGTTGGCTGCTGCGTCGTCGCGGCTGGCGTTGTGGGCGTGGGCGTGCGAGATGCCAGAATGATGTCCCGTGGTCGAGCCGAGGACCGGGGGGAGCTCGCGCCTCAGGCCACCGCGTAGGGTCAATGCGAAGCTTCTCCCGCCGTCGGGCGAGTTGGCAGATGCGGCGGTCGAATTTTGTACGCCTGTCGAGTACTCGAGGTCTCTCTGCTCCGCGTTGTTGCGGCATTTCCAACATCGTGTGGTGTTCTCCTGTCTACCAGTGGCGACCAAACGGCTATGAGATAAGAGCTCGTGCGTGAAATGGACTTCGACGACAAGATGTTCGGTGGGTGTCTCGGCATTCGATCGAGGCGCCGGCCAGCGTGCGCCGAGCGTAGATCGACCGTTTCGAGCAGCAACTGCCTCAACAGGATGCAGCACCCGGTCATCCTGACTCGTGAGTTCGCCTTCTCCGTATACTAGACGACTTCTCCCCGAAGGTGACGGCAATAGGCCGCGACCTCGGCTACCGTGCGCGCGGGCCAGACCAAAGTGGTGTGCGAGTGCGAGTCAGATGAGAACAAGACGTCACTGTATGCCGTTGGCAGTCGGCGTGTCGCCAACGCACCGCGGCTAGGCGAAAACACCGGGGCGATGGGGGCGGCCGTCGGTGTGAGAGCCGAAAGATCGAGCGTCAAGCTGCCCCTTGCGCTCGCGATTCGATCTGAGTCGATCTCCGATCAGGGCATCCGATTCACCACGTGCTGCCGGCGTTCCAATCGTACACACATTCGAAGACTGCAGCGATGAGCAACCCGACAGTAACTGCACTGCGAATTTTTTCAGCCATAGTCAGCGACCCGCATCACAGCCCGGTCTCTACGCCCTGATCGCATGGAGTGCCGTCGGCGCTCTGGCACCACTTCCTTGAAGTGTAGCCAACGCCGACCTAGTACATACTACGGTCTAGTCGTCGTGCGACCCTTTGATAGAAGGGCTGCCTAGGGGAGACTACGTGCGACCCAGGATCGACAGAGCGCCACGCAACGGACCCCTAACAGGGTACGTTTTATACACTGACCTCCCTTGCACCTGTAGCTCGGATACACACATCGTCACAGAGCGATCGAGCAGTGTGGTCATACGTCATGCGGTTAGTGGATACTCAATTAACGTAGCTACAGTACAGCTAAACCTGTGCCAACACAGCGTACAAAGCGAGTACAAGCTAACAAGGATCAGATATCGTACACATCTCCTGAACGAATCAAGCTAGACAGCGCAACACTACAGCAGCACTTTTAAGTAGCTGAACATAAATGAGTAGACAAACACATAGAGTTGGAGACATCAACATAATGCCTTGCTAATACGCACCACCGGGAGCGAAGACCGCCCCATCTCCCCCGACGCACGGGTTTGGCCTTCATTGACCACCAGTCTCGTTCAGTACCGATCACTGTACCCGTACCCAGAGGGCGAGCTCCCGAGACTGCCCATCCGCCCGTACCGCCCGTAGTCGTCGGCTCCGTAGCGCTGACTCTCCTCCCACCGCCGCCTGTCGCGTTCGTGCCGCTCGCGGTCCGCGCGCTCCCAGTCTCGCGCCTCGAGCTCCCGTTCGTACTCTGCCTCGCGCTCGCGATCGAGTTCGCGCCGGCTGGAGCCCGAGTACGAGTGCTGCGGGTGGTGGTGGTGGTGTCCGTGGCTGCTTGCGGTCGAGTGGCGGCGGGAACGGTGGCCTTGCTGGATGACCACCGTCGAGCCGGGGGGAACGGTCCCGCCTGACGAATAGGGTGCTCCTGGGATGCCGCCGTAGGGGGCCGAGCCAGCGTACCCTCCGACAGGCATTCCGTTGTAGGTGTACCCCGCGCTAGGGACCACACCGGGGGCGCCGTAGGGTCCAGGGGAAGCACGTCCATCGAGCGGAGAAGCGTACCCGTAAGAGCCAGGAACCCCCGGGACGTACGAGGGCGTCGTTCCAGCCATGGGAACGGAGTTCTGTCCATATCCGAGAGGCATGGACCCCATATGCGGCGAGCCTCCAACGCGGACTACCGTGGGCGATGTGAAAGAGTTACGACGAGAACGTCTACCGTGATGGCGGTAAGGGTCATCGTAGGCATAGGCCTCGTTGAGCGACGAGTATGAGTTGGATCGGGCGAGTCCACCCATGGATGTGAAAAGCTGCAAGGTGGGGGGTGACATCAGTCTCCAGGAATATACAACGGCCGTATGGACGAGGGAACGCAGGACAGATGAAAGGAATTTGACGTACACGATCCGCGAGCATTGTAGCCGCTGCGGCTGCCGTCTCACAAGCTTGGTCAAGTCCGTAGTGATCCATGTGACGCGAGGCAAACTGCCACAGACGCTGCGCTGGAGAAGCAAGGGAAACACGTAAATCCAGAAGAGATCTGGCGTCACGAAGGCTGAGTACGTACTTTCCGCAACTGCCATGCCCGTCAAAGCCTCCCGTTGCCTTTCCCGATCTGCACTGAGCGGCTCGTAAAGGAAACTGTTGTGCTTCATGGTCCGGTAAGCTTCATACGCCGCCGCCGCACCGACATCAGCTGGGAGACAGGTCTGGAGTGAGACCTGTAGTGGAGAAGGCATCACGTTGAGCTTATGAAGACGAAAGGAGTGCAGAGATGAGGTAAACTCACCTGGCCGCTGTAGATCTTGTTGTGCCAGTGCCGACAGTCTTGGCGAGAGACACCTACGCCCATAAAGTCGCGTACACGACCCATGATCGTGTCGAAGAAGCCCCTGGATGAAGCGATCAGCGATCGAATGCGATGCTAGGAGGTGGATCGACTTACGGCTCTGGGTTCGACGCATAGGCATTGTAGTAGTCATACCCTCGCCCTGAAGACAACACGTTTGCTGTGTGCGCCTGAAGAGACACAAGAAGGGTACTCACATGAAGGCTGCGGTTGAAATGCAGGGACGGGAGGGGCACCGAATTGGAACTACAGACCATCTCAACATGAGCGCGACGCAGCGGCAGAGTGAAGAGACCGACTTGAGAAGTTCCCCAACCGGGGTGCTGTGTTTGATAATAGTTATAGGCCATGCGCGGGTAGGAGCGAGGTGGAGGTGAACGCGGGGGGAACAGGGCCAGGATTTGAAGGGTAGGCGAGGAGATGGTGGGAGGATTGTGGTTGGTGGCGCACGAACGCGTCCGGAAGTTGGGTGTGCGCGGCAACAGGGCAGGCATCAGCTGCTCCATCCATCTCCCATCTTATAGCTACCCGTGACGTCACGCCCCTTCGTTTGTATTCCTTGCGATCTTCGACGGCCACAAAGGACGGCGAGGACGCTGGCGCGACGCACAAAGGCAGAGGGGATCCACGCTCGTAGCGCGCGTCCGGGCAGACATCGGCGAAAAGGGCTAGACCGCAGACACAGATGGGGACCGCGCAGTGCGGATGCCAGTGAGAAAGAAAGCACGCATGTGCGGGCACGAGGCGAGGAACAAGGTTGCGGAGACGTCGACGTGGCGGAAAGAAGGCGGGGGCAAGAGTCACTAGTCAAGGGGGGAAGTTACGGTAACGGTTCCCAGATAAGATTAGATCCTTCGTATCAGGCGCGTCGCTCTACGTCGCGCATCCGACTCCTTACATTGGCTTTCGCTCTGGCATCACTTCGCTCTCTCTATGACTTGTTCTAATGTCTGGTCTGTTCTTACGGCTTTGCTTCGCTTACACTTTCTGATTCTCATTCAGACTATGCCGTCTTCGCACTCCCGGATTTCGACCCCAACGACTATGCCAATGCCGTCCTCGCCGGAGAGCCATACCCTCCACAAGGAGCCAAGACTAAACCAGCCAAGAGCAGCGGACTAGCTCCTGCCAGCGAGGATGTATCTGTAGCGATATCAAAACTCACATATAATTTGGAGGACGTAGAGAAACAGCTGAAGAATGTAGTAAGTCTCCACCCTTACAATCTCTGTGACAATCCAAGAGCATCAGGGCTGCCGGAGGAAGCAACGTGGTCTTGTGCTCCCACTTCCTATTTCGTGCTTCTCGCATGCATGATGCAGATCCCTCGGGGCCTCGGCTGCAGGCCTGAGATAGGTGGTGGGAGCACGGTCGCGCTTGCCGAAGGGTGGACGCGCTTCATTGCGCTCTTTGTGGACTGTGCGGTTCAATGTATGATACGAAACACAGGAGGTTGCATGTTCTGTAGTCTCGCAGGAAATATCGCCTCGAGTTTCTCAGGTCACAGGATGCTGTCATAATGAACTGCGTACTCACAATGCAGATGTTTAAGATCACACCTGCCGCAGAGCGTGTACGAGTCGTTTGGACATATGACCTTCTGCTATCACGATCAATACTTGGCCCCGAAGGGCTTCGAGCAGTCCGTACGCGCTATACGCGCTCATGACGGCTCACAATAGTATTCGCCGCACACTTGCTGACGGCAACCAGGTCACGACGCATCACGAAGATTTGCTTGTCCAAGCTGCCGGTGTATCAGATTTGGAGGGCTCCCTGGGGTCTGTCCGCTCTGGTTTGAACGAGCTCGATACTTCCCTAGACAAGTAAGCCTGCTCTTCGTTGTACTCGTCTCCGAATCCTTCACCACAGAGCCTTGTTCGGATGAGTCCCTAACGACCCCAGCCCGCCCACTCGCACACCCACGCCACCTGTGGCGGGTTGTGCAGAGCATAATTGGGAAGGGAACAGATAGCGATCGAATGGAGTACATTCGCAAGCTTCGTCGTTGTACTGTGCGCCGCGTTCGGAATGTCCAGGTGACTAACGCGAATGTGTCTTGTACAGGCTACGTCTCAAGATACGGATCCCTTATCTATCTCTGCAGAAACATGTTTCCAAACTCGAGCGCATCCAGCAAGCGTCGGACATTCTACGAAGGACGGCGCGTTTCGTCATCCTCACTCGCCGGCTTGAGCTCCAGCTCACAGAGATGAGTAAGAGCGAAGTTGCTGAGTCCACCGCCGCCGGGTCCAAGTCGAAGCCTCAATCCACCAGAACGCCCACAAGCGCAAGTCGACCCGACACCCCTCTGGAGAACGAAGATGATGGCCAGCGCGCCATCGCGAAGGCTGCGCTCACTATTGCAGAGCTGAGTTAGTGCCCGTTCTTCTGCATATACTTATATGCTGCGGTATCCTGACATTGCTTATTGCATTGCAGCCGCGCTCCTTGACGCACAAACAGAAAATTTCCGCTCCACGAGCGACGGCACAATGGAAGCAGATCAGACCAGTGGTGACAGAATCCCTCTAAGTTCTATCAAGGCTGTTGCCTCGCATCTGCCTTTTGTTGACGCCGCACGAGCCCGGGTTACGTCGGACATGGAGGCGATGGTCTTTACTGGTCTTGCCACCCTAGTACGTCCTTCCATCTCCGAATACCTCAGCGCCTCGTTCACGATTTCGATCCGATGTCCATCAGAACCAAGCGATGCTCGCTAGTTCCCTGCAGACGGCACACAATCTGCACGTCCTACCGGAGCTCGTCCAGAACCTGGTCAGCGATCTGTCAGAGGCGGTGGAAGGCCGCATCCGGTCAGCTTTCGATCTGTCACGCATATCGAAGGACATCATGGCTAAAGGTCTGTGTACATTCCTCCCACGTCGAGGCCGCACACATTGACAACGTGCGTTCGTTTGACTAGAACCTACCTCCATCGGTCAAGGTCTTTTGTACAAGTCGCGCGTGCGAACAGAACCCACGAATGTCACTGCACCTCAGTGGACCGCCGCTCTATGGGGAAGCTTGGAAAGCCTGATCGAAGAGATGGCAGACTGCTGTATCAAGGTTTACACGCTAGAGAAGGTTCTTAAGGTCAAGCGCGACCCCGTCACCGATGTGGTGTTCATGGACGAGGCAATGAAGGTTGGTCGAGGGTGCTCTGCAAACAACTCGTTGCTGACATGACCACCAGGTACTGGAAAACAAGCCGAGCACTACGTTTTGGGCCTCTCTTGGGAGGTCCTTGGAAAGGCATGCGAAGGAAGCCGCGAAGAGTAAGACTTCACGTTGCATGTGCTCCAGTCGTGCTAATCGGGGTATACAGACTCCGCGTTTCTGCAGCAAACGCTGAGCACCAGCTATCCTCGACTACTACGCCTATTCCACTCATTCTTCACAAAGATTGCTGTGCACACAGACACTGTTTACTCTCAGACTCAACAAAGGTGTGACCATCGCTGCGCTAACGTGAGTTTCGCCCGTACTCAAATCCCTACAGCACCGAGACCGTTCTCGTTCTTCGCGCACTCTCAAACTTTGAGTCATTGTACCTCTCTCGCTCGTCGAACCGCCTCAACGAAGCTGTCGGCCAAGCTTTCTCCGGCGGATCACGGTCTCCCCCGGGCATGTCAGAAGGCGTCAACATCGCTCGTGCCATCGCGAACGAACTCGACTCTGCGAAATTCGACCCTCTCCTCGTTCAATCCGTGGCCCGGTATGCGACTACGAGTCTGGAGCTGCTGCTCAAACGGCTTGATGGAATGGTGAGCATCATCTACGCTGCATGGAACTTCGCTCTAACAGCTATTCAGATTGCAAGAGAACGTGCTGCCACCAGTCTCGTCGGTCCGGTGGCAACGGCGCAACAAGTGCTCAACGGGCAGCTAGCGACATGCACATACCACTGCTGGGCCCGCCTGGACAAGCTCCGCGAGGAGTACCCCGAGAAGGTCGTGGTGATTCTGGAGCCTGCGATCTCCGTACGTCTTTTTCGCCTTATTTCCATACCGTTGCACTCACTTCTGGTCCCCGCGTTCAGAAACTCCGTGCCACCTTCGACCGCGTCGCCGACCCCCTCCTCGCCGCGATCCGCCGGGAACTCGCGGCCATAACCGCGAAGCTGCACCGGATGGACTTTGGCGGGGCGGACGCCCCTGGCGGTGGCGGGGCCAGTCCCTACATGAAGGACCTCGTCGAGAAACTCGGCTTTGTCAAACACAACGTCCTCGCCCTCTACGCCGTCCCGCAAGCGGCCCAGCAGTGGGCACCTGCACTGGCGCGCTTCGCGATCCAGACCTTCGTCCTTCATGCGTCCATCGCGAAACCTTTAGGGGAGGCTGGAAAGCTGCAGCTCACGACGGACATGACCGAGCTCGAGTTCGCCCTGAGCGCGTTCCTCACCGACGGCGGCAAGCCAGGCGGAGGGGGCGGCGCACGACGCGGCGCGGAGTGGGACGTCGTCGCAGACGACTACAGAGCGTTGCGCGCGATGAGGCGAGTCCACAGCCATCCGTGCTCTCTCCTTCCTTGGTCTCGAGCCGTCGCTGACGAACTGCACAGGCAGCTCCTCTTCCTTGATAACGCCTCCCTCGCGTCACCTCGAGCGACCGCGGGACTGCCCGCTCTGCTCGTCCTCCACCACATCCTCGTCCGCTCCCCGATCACGCTCCCGCACGCGCTGCACGGATGGGCCGAGGCCGAGTACGTGCGTTGGGTGGAGGAGCACTCTGCGGAGGAGGCGTGGACGCTCGTCGAGGGCGACCTCGCGCACTGGGAGAGCATGACGACCGCCGAGGGCGGCGACCCGGCCGTCGCGGCCGAGTACGTCCAACTCGCGCGGACGGTGCTCGCGAATGCGCAGGGTGGCAAAAAGTAGCGGGCGGTAGATACCGGCTTGGGTTCAGAATCACACTGGAACGGATATGAAGCACGGAAGCACGAGCTGAGCATAGGATTCACTACACGGGAGAGACAGCAACGTTTAACCAAAAGAAGTGGGATACTTTTGCATGTGGGACATTCAATTTCCGACGCCGCACCCACCTAGCCAGGGGGCAGGAGGCTCGCGTCCACCGCCCCGCCCTCCTCCACCGCATCCGCCTCCTCCGTGTTCTTGAACGGCGTGCGCGGCATCACCATCAACCCTGCAGCACACACGCACCACATCGTCAGCCGCCCATCCTCGCGAACGCAAAGAAATGTAAAAGCGAGACGCACCGGTCCGCGCCGACTCGAGCACACCGAACGGCTTGAGGAGCGAGAGGAACGCCTCGACCCGCTTCGTCTTCCCGCACATCTCCACGATCACGCTGTGCTCGCTCACGTCCACGATCCGGCCGCCGAACTGCGCGCTGAGCACCTGGATCGCCTGCAGGTGGTCGCTCTTGAGGCGCAGCGCCTCGCTGGGGGTCAGCGGCGTCGGCGCCGCCGCCGCCGCGGGGGCCGGGGTGATAGGGGCCGGGGCGGCGGAGTCTGGGTCGGCGGAGTGCTCGAATTGCTGCGCGAGCGCGGTCTCGAGCTCGAGCTTCGAGTGCGGCGGGGGCGGCGCGGAGGCGGAGAGCGCGGCGTCGCGGCGGGGCTCGTGTGTGGGCCCGCCAAGGAGCTGGTCGTCGAGGTACTCGGGGCCGAGGATGGAGACCTTGGCGAGGAGGAGCTCGCGCTCGATGCAGTGGGTGTCGGTGTAGTCGAGCACGGCCCAGACGGGGACCTGAAGGTGGATTTGGGAGGTCAGGATACCTGGCGTGATTACGCAGGAAATGAAGATAGATGGAGAACAGCGCTACGCAAAACTCAAGAAGGAATCCGTCTCAAGAAAACATAGGTTATATGGGCAGGAACGGGGATGGTAGCAGAAACTGCATGTAATGAAGAACGCGCCCCGACGTCCCTCCAAGGAAGAAAGGAGAACGCGATAAAAACGTAACCAGCACTCACCAAATCCTCCAGCTGCCTCCGGGCCTGCTCGACCACGCCGTCCTGGCCACGGAGCACCAGGCACATGCGCGAAAGGTCCCGGATCTCGGTGCGACACACGACGAGCGAGTCGATGTTGAACCCGCGGCCGGCGAGGATGCCGGACACGCGCGAGAGCACCCCCGGCTCGTTCTGCACGAGGCAGTTGAGGACGTGTCTGTGTCGCGCACATGTCGTCAGCGTCCACCGAATCGAAAACCCCCCAACAGGTGGCGGCAAGACCAACGACGGGAGAACGCGCCCCCTCTTCTCCCCCCCTCTCCCGCGGCCCCACGCTGAACGACCCCACTGGCAAACCAGAAACTCACTTCTTGAACGGCTGCAGGCTCGGCGGCGGCGTGTTGTACAGGATGTTCGTCACCGCCTCCTCCGCCGTGCGCGAGCGCGGGAGGTCCATCGCCGGCAGCGGCGGCGGGCGGTGCCGCAGCGCCCGCTTGTAGTCCAGCGCGGACGTCGAGTCGTCGATCGGCCGCGGCGGGCGCGGCGGGGGCGCGCTCGAGCCCTCGCCCGCGCCCTGCTCGTCGGCGCGTCGGAGCGTCGTCGAGAACGCGCGGACGAGGGGGGCGCGGGTGTAGGTGCGGGGGGCGAGGGCGAGGGCGAGGGCGAGGCGGCTGCGCGCGGTGGCGGCGGCGAGGGGCGTCATCGTGTGGGGCGTGCTCGCAGGACCCGTCCTATGTGGTGATGACTCGGATGGGGACGAGAGAGCGAGAACGCGGGGACGGGGGCTGTAGAAAAAGGGCGAACCCCGCACCGTCGACGAGTCACGACTCAGAATTCCAGGCCACGTGCCGTGCTTCAGTGCGCAAATCTCAGATCGCGCGGGTTGCTTGCACGCGCGCCGTTAATGTGGACCACAGCGACGGCAAATAGACGGCAGCAGCGCGGGACCTACGGCAGACGATTATGAGATTTGGGTGGTTCAGAGGTCATTCCGGGGGATGGTCGGCATATACAGCCCACGGGCAGGGCCGCACCCCGCCCGCGGCTCGATCGATGTGCATTGGTATGCGTGCAGTAAGCTACTTGTACTTGTATACTCGAACGCCGTAATCCTATCGTACAGAGGCGCGGTGTCGCGCCCCGTGCAGTGCGAACTAACTATCTTATGTCGTGGATACAGTAAGTCCGTCCTTAGAAATAAAGTCGCGAGGCGACCAAGGAAGGAGGAGAGTGCGACGGGAGAGCGTGGGTGTGTGGATGATGTAGGTCGGGTTTCGAGCATGACGCTCGGGGCATTGTCCAGGGGTGTATAACTGTAGGGGATGAGGGGTAATGGTGGCGAAGGGTAACAGAGGCAGGTGTGATGATGGGGTAAGCGCGGTCCGACTCGATGTCCGTGTGGCATTGCAACTCGGAGAAATGAACCCTGTGGAAATAGCGTATAGGTAACCCGGAGATGGTGGAGAGGTGGACAGCATCGGAACGTGGCAGAGGGGCAGCGGAGTGGTAAAGATACAGATGCGTGAAGGCAAGACGAGGCGGGCTGGTGTAGAGGCCCAAGTCGGAAGCAAGCTAAAAGCGGAGGACAAGGTACGGGATTCTGAGACAGGGAGGCCATGTCAGAGTGGAAACGCATGGAGCACACTCATGTCCGAGATATGCTGCGCAGTCGCCCCGCGCGCGGGATCGCGCTCGTGAAACCGTTTGCGATAGTTGCCGCCGCCGAGGTCGCTGGAGACGTCCGCGGTGTGCTGGCTGTCAGCGCAGAGGGCGGCACGTGCGCCTCGATCGCCTCCTGGAGTTTGCGGATCCAAGTCGACGCCATTGAGGCGCTGCCCGCGATGTAACAATGTGATTTAATCGGCTGCAGGTGGGATGGGAGAGGTGCAAGAATCGCATCAGTCAAACTGCCGCGTGGACCATACGACATGGCTGCGTCTAGGCCTGGCTTGAGAAACACACGCACCGTGATGATGACAAACTCGCGCTCGCCCTTTGGCTCGATAGTCGTGATCAGCGACCGCAGATCTTTCTCTTTCCCTGATGCAGACTTCACCAGCAACTCCGCCCGGACTTGCACGGACCGGCCGGGTTTATGCTTGACGCAGAGAACGCGGGTGTTAGTGAGAACCAGCTCGCGCGGCTTCGAGTGCTGGTGCTTCTTCGGCGTAACCGCCATCGCAAGAAGACGGCTCGCGCGTCGTTTCGGTCCGCCCGGCTCGACCATTGTGTTGAAGACGATGTGCTCTCCAGGTTGCATAAGAGAGTTACTGCCGAAGAAGCTGGTCAGCACAATTGAAAAGCCCCGTAACGTCCTTTTGACGTACAGCTCGGGGTCGAGGGAACCTTTCCCTTGGATGGGAGTCTGCGCACGTGGTCGCCCACGAGCTGCTTCGTCCATCGCAGCGCCAAGCTTCTCAACCGGGCTACCCTCTGAAGAGCTGGAAACCGAACCTGTCGAATGGGATCCGGGACCGTTTGCTCGAGGAACGTCGATGGGTTGTGATCGCTCGATGCCTGGGACGCCGAGCATATCTGCGACTGTGTCTCGCTTCTCATCTTCCGACACCGAAGGCTGTGACTGAGCGGGTGAGACGAAGCGAACGCCGTCGGTGAAGCTTCCTGTTTCCTCCTCCACGTTTGCTAGTGGTAGAGGAGACAGGGTCCGCACTTCGCCATAGGGACCGATAAGAGGGATTTGAGCATGACCGTTTGTTTGCGGCGGCATTGGAGGAAAATAGTCGCCGGCCTCCCCATTGGAGCTAAGTGCATCTTCATCGTCCTCGTCCTCGTCGTCGATAGCGTTCTCGGCGTCGATTTGATCCCAAGCCAATCGAATGCTGACGTTCGATGAACTGGGAGCCTCCTTCTTGATGAGACCAGGTTCGATAAGGGGTGCTGAGTCGGTCCACAGAGTCTTCCAGTTGATGGACTCGAAGAACGGATGGCTGCGTAATGCTTGCATGTCGTATGGACTGCCAGGAGGACCAGCCCCTAGACGCTGATCGGGATCGCGAACCTACAATAGGCGATTAGACAACACGTATCGCCACGAGACGCGGAAACGCACCAAGAGCTTTTGAACTAGATCCTGAGCCTGCTCGTCAAAACCTTCCGGGAAAGAGTATTCAAGCTGCTTGATCTTCTGCCAATCGACGAGGCCGCGAAAGACGAATCGACCTGCGATCATCTGGTATATAATGCACCCCAGAGCCCAAAAGTCCGAACTACCACGGCAATCCACAGGGTCGATCATACGTCAAGTGAAACACAGATTGATCACATACCTCTTGCTGCTCTCATTGTGTTCCAAGAGTTCGGGTGACACGTACTGTGCCGTCCCAACAAAAGTCTTGGTGGGCTCTCCTACAGCATCGGGTTAGTGGTGGGGACTGCTGGGACACATCGGTACGGACCTCCAGAATCTGTGAACTTGCCCGTGCCGAAGTCGGTAATCTTTATCCGAAGAGCGTCGTCAAGAAGGATGTTCTCGGGTTTGAGGTCCCTGCGAAGCGTGAAAATTTTGTATGAGCGGACCTCGACCCGGAGGACGGAAGCGGGGACGACGACGGAATCGGAACGAAGCTCACCGATGAATGACCCCTTTAGAGTGCATATAGCCCAATGCGTCGACGATCTGCGCTGCGTAATAACGGGAACAGTTGATGGAGAGGGATCCGAGACGGGCTATACGGGACTGGAGTTCGCCGTTGCGCGCGAGGTCTAGGACGAAGACTGGCGCATACAGTCAGTTCAACCTGTCGTTCAGAGCGCCGCGAGCACCGCAATGACAACTCACAGAGACTCCATTCGTCCTGAAACGTCCAGTGTAGCCGCACAATCCCAGGGTGTCCAGATCCAAGGCGAACTAACGTGTTCTTCTCCGCCAGAGCGGTTTGCTCCTTCTGGTTGCGCTTCAAATGGGCTTTGTCTATCCTCTTTATGGCGTACTCCTGGCCGGTGGCCAGTTGAGAGCAGAGAAAGACCTTTGCAGAAGATGAGACACGTAGGCAGACGTCCGTCAGAGGCGGGACTCGCCGTAGAGTAGGATCCCTGGCCCAGCTCCTCCTTGAAGTCGAAATCATCCACAGTCATGCGGCCATTGACGGAGCTGTTTCTCGACTTGGACTGGGGGCGAGAGGCGGGAGGCCTCAAAGGAGAAGGGTCTTCATCCGGGATAGTGAGCTCCCTGGTGAGATACGCGGGTGGGCGCGAGCCACGAGGAGTTGTAGGGCTTTGGGGGCTCCTGGAGCGGAGGTTGGTCCTCGGAGCAGAGAAGTTACGGAGTGGGCGCGGACGCGAAGGGGTGTGGACGGTGAGATCCGGAGTGGAAGAGTTGGAGGAGGAGGAGGAAATGACAGAGGCGTTGCGGCTGAGCTCCGCAAGGGTGGTGGGACGGGGGGTGTCTGGGGAGGGCGGCGTTGCCTGGAGCTTGAGCATCCCAGGCGGGCGGCGGGTGAAAGGGCAGGAATGGCGGGCGGCGGGGAGGTGGAGGGAGGAGGGAAGATATTAGTGGAGGAGGGCGCTGCAATAACTTAAGCCTCGTCGAGCTTACCGGAGTCTAGGCCCGGGGCCCTGGAAGCGCAAGTTGTTTACCCCTCATGTTCCCACGATTAGTCCCGCGGCATTGCTCGCTTGCCCCGAGGCTCGCTTGCCTGGGTGAGTGCTTGCCGGGCCACGCCCAACCACGCCCCGCTGATGTGCCCTGCCCGCGGCCCCACGCTCCCCCTCGCGCTCTCACTCAACCAACGCTCGCCTCCCGCCCGTGCGGAGCCTCCATGCGGTTCGTATCGCCCTCCGCCGGATCTTGGAACGCCCGCAGCGAGTGTGGCTTCGCGCGCACTCGTCCAACCGCTATCCCACCTTCGCGCATCCAACATCAGACGCGCCGCTCAATCTCCCGTGAGCAGATACCCGCCACTCGCGCGACATATGCGACCCTGGGCGCGGCTTCTCCACGTCCGCGCCCTGTTTCGAGCCCCCAGAGCGACTTGAAGCTTCAGGACCTCGGACCTCAGCGCTCAGCGAGCTCCGGGGCCGCCACCCCCACAGGCCGAGGCCTACGCGCGGTGCCGCGTGCGGTCCGTACTAACGGCGACGAGACGGCGGCGGCGGCCTGCGCCGTCCCGGATTGGGCCAGCCTCCGCGGGGGAATCGGGATATCGCGCGACTCGTCGCAGCCTCGCCCGCTGGCCACCGCGCGCGACCAGTTTCCGCAGCGCGGGCTTCTCCCGGATCTCGTACGTGCGGGGTCGATGACGTCCCCCCCGCCCTTTCCGCCACTTTCCCACCGCCCGCGGCGGCCGGACACGTTTCATTCTGCGCATGAGCTGCAGAGGTCAGAAACAGGTCGGGAATCTCCCGATGGCCTCCCGTTCTCGAATACCGTTGTTGGCATCCTGCCGTCTCCACGTTAACGCCCAGACAGCAGGGTCTTGGCCACAACGGGCACACCCTGTTGCGCCGTTCCCGCCACGAGCTCGATCTTTCCCGTGGGCGAGCGTGCGCCGCGGCCCCGGCTGCGAGCTGCCATCGAGACGAATGTTGTCGGGGAAGATGGCGTCGAATTGAGGACCGGGGATTGAGAGCGGGATACTCGGCTGCATGCCTACGCTCGGCGAATTTGCGTTCAAATAGCCTTCGGCCGGACACGTCGAGCAGTGCCAGTGCGGGGCCCCGCACCGCGTCACTCTTCTCCAACAGCGCTGCTCCGTGATCCCAGATGCATCGTCACCGGCGTGGGGTAGGCACCTGTGGTATGACAACGATCACGCCGCCCGCGGGCGCAGGCTCTCCGACCAACTGCTCCGAGTCGTCGGAGGGAGCAGCGACCTCGATCCTTGAAGCCTTGTCAGGTAACGGTACCTCAAGCGCTAACTCATGTATAACGACATTCGTCATCGGCCGAACGGGAATATTGTACAAAAAGGTATCAAACAAACTCATCGAGCGTATCTAATCATCCAAGTAGGTATACACATGAAGCCACTGCAGGGGGCGGAAATGTCTACGAGACAGAGACTGAGCAGAGGAGATTAGTCCTTCGCCGTAGCGTTGGCATCCCCGCCACCTATATCCGGCGCGTCTTTCTTGTCCGTGCGCGACGGTTCACTCGGCTCCTCGTCCTTCTTCCCTTCCTTCTTCTCGTCGTCTACAGGTGGGATGTCTATGGTGTTCGAGCGCTTCACGCCGAACACCTTTCCCACCAGGCCCTTCGTCTTCGAGCCTGTATTTGACAGCGAGGCAGGAAGCAGTAGAGGAGAGGCAGGCATAGTCTGTACGCCGCGAGGGACGTCGATCATGGCAGGAGTTGACACTGTGGCCGTGATATCGGGGCGCATGGCAGGAGAGGCTCCCTCGCGGCCGCGGCGACGTGCGAGCAAGCGCATGGGGAGATGCGGGGCGGCATTGCCTTGGCCTTCGCGGTCGAACTCGTCGTAGATCTCCTCGCCGATGAGTTCCTCGACGACATCCTCGAGGGTGATAATACCGAGGGGCATGATGTATGGGTCCATGCTCTGAACGAACTGTAGGGGCATTTCGTCAGTGTCATTGCCGATGCATAGACTGGAATGAGCCACGAGACGTACGTCGTTCGCCTCTTCCATTCCGAGCACGGCGTCATCGGGCAGGCTCTGCTCACGTCCGACGCTCATGGCCTTCGCGATCGAGCTCTGGACGACGGTCTGGCGCTCCTTCTCCTTCTTCGTGTCGCCTTTCTCGACGTCCTCGCTGTGCTCGTCCTTGGACCCGCGCTTTTTCTTGTCCTTCCGTCCCCAACGCCGTTTCTTCTTCCCATCGGGGCGGTCCCCGCGCAACGTCGCGTCGCGATCGCGGTCGCTCGTACCACCGCTCGTGTGCGTCTCGGTATCCGAGTCATCCGAGGAGGCAGAGTCCGAGCTGTCGCCACCCATGCCGACGCGGTCCTTGAGGCGCTGCGTGAGACCCTTCTTGACCTCCTTCTGAACGCTCTTGGCCTTATCGACCGAAAAGCGCGAGACAATCGCCATGTGGCTGCGACCCTCTTGGAACTTGTCGAGCACGCTGAGGATGGGCTCGTTGGAAGGTACACAGGGTATGGCGTTGAGCGTGATGGACTTGACCGGGGTTGCTTCCTTGGGGTCGAGGAGGAGAAGCTGCTTCACCAGTAGTACACCAATGATCTTCTTAACCTTCTGCACACGGTCCGGCAGAGGCGAGTCGTCCGCGGCAGCTGGAGGGATGCCCTGCGCTTTCAAAACCACTGGAACCTCGACCTCCTCGTAAACAGGAACGCGAGAGTGGCCGGTTTCGCCAATGCGCTTCAAGGTGTCGAAGTCGAGCTTGGCGTCGATGCTGAGCATGAAGACCTTGTCTAGAGAGGTCATCGCTTGACGAACGACCTTCTCTTGCAGATCCAAGGTGGCCCCAATGATGGTGACAGTGTCCGACTGCAGGTCTCCACCAAGGTGGCCGGTGGTGGAGTGCAGCGCGATAAGCTCCTTCAATTCTATGGCAGTGTGAGCCGGGCCCAGGCCGCGGAGAGCTGGTGAGCTTACCTCCACGACGATACATGATACCGTGGTGAGGACCCAATGTAAGTTCCATGAACTTGGCGACGGGCCATGAAACGATACCCTGTACACTTTGGTTAGCAAAGGTCTGCATTGGAGGCGAAGAATTTTACACTTACGAGTGTGTATAGGAGGACGCGTACTAGAGGTGCCGCCGTGGCACCGATTGCCAAACCGTAGCGCGTGCAAAGAGACTGGGGAATGATCTCCGAGAAGCTGGGATTGCACGAAGTTAGTAGTGTTGACAATACAGCAAGCACGGTGCGCTGGATATTGGAACAAGGAACGGGATTCGCCGTAACTGTAGTACCTGCACTTCACTGCACCAACTCCTCCAACGAACGGTACCCCCACCGTGACAAAACTTGTGGGAGAACGCACGTCATTGCGGGCACGTATACAGCCAGCCACTGCGCGACCTGCGGGTCCACGATCCAGAAAAAGAAGGGATTCTGAAGATGCTCAGCCCAACGATGCATACATGTTGGTAATGCACAGCAGAGGGCAGATAAAAACGCGCCAGGCCCATTCGCCGACAATCTCGCAAGGCAGAAATGCTCACCATGCATAGAATGGCGGTGTGACAGACCGTATGCATTATGAGAATCTCTTCCAGAGTTGGTGCAGGAGGGAGACTAGAACGATAGTCAAGAAGCACTCACATGACAATCAAAACGGTGCTAATAGCCACACTCGTTATGCCGCTACCCAAAACGTCCTCTGAAATGACGGGGAGGGTTTCGTTGACGACCATATTGGCGATGAGCAGGGTGATGAGGAGAAGGTGACCATTCTTGCGAATCGGCAGGATCTTCTCCGCATACCTCTTCTGCTTACTGAGGAGGAAGCTCACTGTAAGCCCACCAGAAGAGACGAATGGGAGTGGCAGAACTCACGGGGTACCGCTGATGGCCAAGACGTGGAGCTGGGTCTCGTCCAAGCTCATGTACCCGAGGGTCAGGCCGGCGAACAGTCCCGAGAGCAAGACGAGCACGGGAATGAGGGTGATAAACACGGCGGACTCAACGGAGCTCAGGCCGCCAACTTCTATGCGCTTGGCGAAGGAGTGGTACCCATCGCGGCCACCGTTGGGGGTCGACGTTGAGCCCGTGAGCTTGCGCAGGCCATGGGCGGCGAGGGCGTAGAGGGAGTAAGTTAATCGTGGATAGCGATGTGAGGCATAATTGAGGGGAGTGGGGACCATTCAAGTAGAGCAGGTAGGAGCTCGGGGTGGGCAAACCAAGAGACTTGGGGGGTGTGGGGGCGACTCGGCGAGCGGCGCGGTGGCAACTGGACGGTGGGTTGGGTTTAAGCCTGGGACAGGCGCCGTGGATGTCTTGGCAATTACGCACTCCGCAGCACCGCAATCCCCTTCTTCGGAGTCTTCTCCTCCCGCTCGTACTTTCGCAGCCTGTGCGCACGGCTTCTGGTTTGCATTTCGACTCGGGCAGCACCCCCGAGGATCAACGACGTCATAGGAAGGGGTGTGTGGTCGCCTCGTGGACCCGGCACGGACAAAGAATCTCCCAGCCGCAGCGAGTCCGCCTTCCGCGCTTGACTGCCTCGAGGATATATTCGGACTCCCTTCGACTTTGCACCGCGGGCCTCGGACCCATCCGCACCCTGCTCCGTCACTTGCAACCCTAGCCGCCCCCGGTTGCGGATACTACTCTGGCCTCTCAGAATACCATCAACGCTTCGCTCAGGCTATCGCGTTCTATCCATCTGCACATACTCTTCGATACGTGGATGTGCTTGTTGGCTAATTTGGGTACAGCATCCGCTAGTCCAGACAACCAACGCATCGAAGTCCCACATAAGATCAGAATCAGGAAAGTGCAGGAAGTTGCAACATTACATTAAGTAGGCTCCTAGAATGAATAACACATCCAACATGTGCGTGTAGGGTACTAGATAAAGGTGGAACGACACGACCTCGGATTGTCGGCTCGAGACCCGCTCGCCCCCGTAAATACTGCACCGCAACGAAAGCGTCCTTACTGACCCAGTATTCCTGTAAACCCCGCCGACTTCGCGCCGACCAACACTCCGCAGTGGCAGCCCTGGAGTTGGTCTCCACTGCGCACTGTTTCCACCATACGCCGCCTGTGCTTACATCCCGCCCCAGGGGATGAGGAGGTCCGGCACCCTGCCCGACGGCACCTGACTGTATTGGCTCGGGAAGCCGACGTCAACATGAGACTGACCCAGTCGCGCCGTACTCCGAGCAGAGACGGAGTGCCACCACACGGGGTCGCTCCCCGCGCGGACGTGCGCCTGAGGGGGATCGGTGTATTGGAGTTGAGGAGAAGGGGGGCCCTGAGAGTATGCCGGCGGTGGATCAAAAGACGTAGGAAGCGGGGGATTGGACAGACTCTGGTGGGCAGTGGATGGGCCGTTGAGGTGAATGTACGGAGCGAGAGATCGTGGCGAAACGGCTCTGGACCTTGGCGGGCGCATGGTTGCCGAGGTATATGCGCTGCGTCCGGAGAGAAGAGAGGAAGGGCTATAGGCGGTGGTTGTGCGCGGGGGAGTGTGTGCACTGGAGCCTTGACCGGAAGGTAGCTGCACCCCCGGCTGGAGTTGAAAAGGTGCCGGAATCTCCGAGGTCATGAGGGCCGAGTCTGGCACTAAGGGGCGCCCATATACCAAGCCCTGGCGGAACGGGTTGTGCGTCGCAACACGGCCGACGGAGGTCCGTTCACTCTCCGCAGTAGCGTTGGCCTTCCACGCCGAGTAAACCGTCTCGGGTGTGCCGTTTCGAAACAGAGGATCTCTGAATGGATTCGACGGTAGCAACTGAGGGGGCCATATCGTCTGTTGGGTGGGTTGTCCAGAGCGGAGGCTTGTTACGGGTGTCTCCGAATTCTGCCTGTCTCCTTCATGAGCTGACCGCGCGAGGCGCCCGGGAGATCGCGGTGATATCGGGAAACCGTACGAGCTCGCTACCGTCGACGCCGAGAACTCCGATGCAACGAACGCTCGTTTCGGGATCGTGCGTGGAGGAGCGGGGATAGATGGTAAAGTCGATGGGAGGGACACAATCGAGCCAGGCAGACGGGGATCCTTGGAGAGAATTTGATTTGGGGAGTCGAAAGGAGTGACGGAAAGGCTGCGATGGAATGACGGCTTGTTGCTGTTAGAGCTTAGAATAAGGATTGGCTGGGCCTGTGGAGCCTTCGAAGACAAGACACAGAGATGGAAAATGTATCCAAATACTGACCATTGGAGTGAACACTTGACAGAGCATAAGAAGGGTATGAGGACGTACAAATACCGTTGATTCCCCAAACAATGACCAAAGAGGCGAGCTCGACAGTTCTGCAGGTCGACGATGTGTCTAGAATTCATTCGAAAGTAAGCGTCGGTGTCAGAGGCCGCAGCACCAATAGATGGAGGGCGTACTAAATATATCGCACGAGATCCGTTTCCCGGAGATGGTGAAGGAAACGGCGGTGCCTGCTTATCTTGTGTAAGTGTCCTACTCGTATGGGAGGAGGGGTTTGCGAAGACTCGCCGATATGGAGGGCTAGTAGAAACAACATATGAAGAAGCTCCATCCCTACACGAAGTTTCACGACGATCCTTCAGGCGATCAGTTGGCATCATATTGAATACTTATACATACGTTATGTAACTCACATGAAGTATGTTGAGACAGCTGTGAGTCCGTTCGCGCCAATTGTGGCCACAATGGTTGAACCTGGTTCGAGGCAGAACTTTGTGAGCGGGGAGGAGGTTTGGAAACTCAAGAGTCGGGTCGACCTACGTTGGAGCACAGTGAGGTGTGGCCAGTCATTCGAAATATACAATGACAGAACGGCGGCCCATAGCAAACTTATGAGCGCAATGAACACTAGAGTTAATATCAGTTGTGCATTCATCCAGGAGGCATCATATCTGAAACTCACCAAACACAAGTCTCCTCGCCTCCCTTTGCAAATCCATCTCGAGCACAAAACGAAAGTAAACAGTGAGATAAAAAGGAAAGTGAAGTAGGGCCCTCCAGGAAGGGCAGAAAGGAGTGGAAGGGGGGATGGACAGTTTTGCATCTCCATGCAAGCTTTTCATGGGTCACCACGGGCGGCAACTGTCTGTCACTCTGCACCTGGCGGGCGGCGACAGAGAAAGACGGTTGCTACTTCCCACCGCCTGGCGTTCGCCTCGAGGTGCAGTGTCAAAGGTGTACTTATAGAGCTGTATGATGTGTGGTTGGTTCGACGCGTTGGGCGCGGCGTATCTCGTGGCCTGAATGACGACACGACGTTGCCGCAGTCTGCGCACCGGCTTAGGACGCTCCGACATGCGGCGGACACGGGATGTCATATTCTGAACGGCCCGTGCGTGATGGTTCGGAGGAAGAGCTGACTTCAGCGCTTCCTCCCCATACGCTCCAATCCATATCGGACGCTAATCCCCGTGTGAACGCGCGGTGTCCCAAGAGTGGCAAGAAAAAACAGCTTTTCAGCTGGGTCGTACAATCCCGACCCAATGAGGGGGTGTGCCAGTGCCACGTTCTGTATGAAAGAGTCGATGAGTAGATGATACAAATTGGTGGGTACATAACACTTCGAATTACTGCAGCGTCTCGTCTAACACTCCCTACGCCTCGTTTGCCGCCTTGTCAGCGTTTTCGACGCCCCTTGTCGCCGCCAACACCGCCTTCAACCCGGAGGCTGTGATGTCCTGGTCAATCGCAACGCCCCACGCCGTGAATTTGGGCTTGCCGCCCGGGCCTTCATAGGCCACCTCGACGTACGACGCGGCCTTGACGTCCGAGCCTTCACCAATCGAGTGCTCGACGTACTCCTTGATTGACACCCGCCCATCGAGACCACGGTTCACCGCCTCGACCGCCGCAGAAAGAGGGCCGGTTCCCTCGCCCTCAAGCGCGACGGCCTTGCCGTTGATGATGAACTCGCCCGAGAGCTTCGCGCGGCCCGAGTCGACACTGGCCACGTTGAAGCGCTTGACGGCGAAGCGGCCCTCGCCCTCAGTCTCGTCGTAGCCGTACGTCTCGCGGAAGAGGGCGACGAGCGCGTCGTAGCCGATCGCGTCGCCCGTCTTGCGCGCCGCGCGCTGCACGACCTCGTAGAAGGACGCCTGGAGCCGCCGAGGAAGCTCGAGCCGCAGGGAGAGGAGGATCGCGGAGGCGATGTCCGCCTGGCCCGAGGACGCGGAGAAGCCGAGGTTGAGCTTGAGCTCGGGCAGGACACGGTCCCCTATCGCGCGGTTGACGGCGGAGAGGACGGCGCGGAGGCCTGACGAGGCGATGTCAGCGTCCACGCCGACGCCCCAGTAGGACTCGGTTGAGCGGCGCGTGTCCTTGATGTCTGCGCCCTGTGGGACGAGCTCGACGTAGGATGCTGCTTTGGCGTTTTGATCCTTGCCAATCGTGTGTTCTGAGTACTCGCGTACAGAAAGGTCGATGTTGAGATGGGTCTTTAGGGCATCGAGGAAGGCGGATAGGGGACCGTTGCCGTCGCCACGGATGACGCGCAGCGAGCCGTCAACGGAGATGGTGCCATCCAGTTGTCGCCGCTCGTCCGCAGCCTCGCCGTCGACAGTTTGTTCTGAAGTGACTTTGAATGACCTCAGGACTAGACGACCTTCGTAGGCGGAACCACCGAAACGGTAGGTATTGCGGAACGCAGTAGTAATGTCCTCGACAGTCATCTCGCGAGCCTCGCGGTCCGCGATTTCCTGGATGACAGAGTAGAACGAGATTTGCATTTTGCGCGGCATGTCCAAACCCAAATGTTGCTGTACGAGGTATGCGATACCACCCTTGCCGGACTGAGCGTTGACTCGGATGACAGCCTCATAGTTGCATCCGAGATCGGCAGGGTCGACAGGGAGGTAAGGCATGTCCCATATTTGTAGCTCGCCCTTCGCAGCAGCAGCTTCGTGACGAATGCGTTGGGCCTCGAAACCTTTTTTGATGGCGTCCTGGTGAGAGCCCGAAAACGCGGTGAAGACAAGCTCGCCCCCATATGGGTGGCGGGGGTGCACGGGAAGGTCGTTGCAAGCAGTGACGACGTCGATGATAGCTTGGATATCGCTGAGGTCAACTTGAGGGTGGACGCCTTGGGTGAAGAAGTTCAAGGCAAGGGTGACCAAGTCAACGTTCCCAGTGCGTTCCCCATTTCCGAACAAGCAGCCTTCAATTCGGTCCGCGCCCGCCATCATCCCCAGTTCAGCAGCGGCGACGCTGGTTCCTATAATGCGCCTCAGATTCATCCACTTTCACTGGTGTGACGTGGGCGTACCTCGGTCATTGTGCGGGTGAAGGCTGATGAAGATCTTTTCGCGTTCAGAGATATGGCGACAGAAGTACTCGACCTGGGTGGGAAATGAGCGGAGAACAGTTCAACAGAGGGGAGCCTCGTACCAGATCAGCATAGTGGTTCGGAGGACCAATCTCCACTGTAGCAGGAAGGTTGAAAATGATCCTGTCGTCATGTGCGGGACCAGCTCTTCCCCATGCTTTTTTCACGGCCTCACACACCTCCAGAGCGAATGCCGGCTCTGTTTGCGAAAACGTTTCTGGACTGTACTCGTACCGGAAAATCGTTCCTGTCTTCGCGGTGCATTCATCCGTGAGTTTCCTGACGATCTCCGTGTGCTTCACTGCGAGCTTGACGGTTTCCTCCTGCGAGTTCTTGAATACGACCTCGCGGAAGAGGCAGCAAGTAGCATTGTACATGTGGATAATTGCGCGCTTTGAGCCTGCGACGGCGTCCACTGTACGTTTAATCAGGTCTTCCCTTGCAGGGGTAAGAACCTGAGCCCAAGTTCAGTCAGCATTGGTAGAGCGTTCGAAAGGGTATGGCACGAGTGTGGAAACTGCTTCATAGGAAGAACGATGTGCAAAAAGTCGCCAAAAACCAATAACCGGAGCGCAACGCAATCCCGATTGTTCTGGAGCGAAACGCAGTGGTCGTTCATGCGATGCGGCATCTCTCTGCTTTCTCGCCCTCCTTCCGAATGGCACTTCACTCGAGCACAACATAACAGAGCACTTACCTGCAGCCAGACATCATCAGGCACCTTCCCTTGCTCGATGAGCATCCGTACGAAGTTGAAGTCGGTGTCACTCGCGGCCGGATACGCAACTTCAATCTCCTTGTACCCACACTTGACGAGGGCGTCGAAGAACACCATCTTCTGTGCGATAGTCATGGGGTTTGCGAGGGCTTGGTTACCATCGCGGAGGTCGGTAGACAGCCATATAGGTGGAATCCGGTTGACCTTTGAGGGCCACTGGCGATCAGGGAAGTCGAGCGGAGTGTACGGCTTGTACTTGATGGAGGGGTCCGCGCTGCGGGGATGGCGCGGGGAACTCAGCCACTTCGAGATGGCATCTGAACAGCAGAGGCTTACAGCATGGGCATAGTTGGAGAAGATGGGGGGACAGAAAGGATTAAAAGGAGACTACGGCCGTTCAGGCGGCATAGGAAGGAAGGTGCAAGAAGGAGTCAGACGGTAAAAACTTCAAAAGTGCAGAGGAGTCACAGACCCAGGAGGGAGATCGAATAAGCGCCTGACGGGTATGTGTAGATTATCTTTTGATCTAATTAAGCACCGCTATTACAAGACACCTAAGCCTAGAGCTCGAGTTTGATCGCAAGATTCGACACTGTCATTGTCATTTGCTTTACCAGGAGGTCTGATATATTCTTCTCTCCTGGTCGTGCCCTTTGAATCTGAGCGCTGAGCCTTGAGAGGATACTTGACAAAATGTGGGAGAGATTAGATCGTGTGACTTATTTCACGTGCTGTGACTGATCGCGTAGTGTCTCAATTGTGCTTCAGCCTGCAGCTGTACCTGGTACCTGTATACTTGACGCGTCTGACTTCAGAACATTCTCTTCTACCTGAACCACCATTGGCGCCACGGCAGACGTTCTGTATCCGAAGTTCTATCACCAAACAAACGCCGCTAAGATTGACTTTCTCGTGTCACGGCCGGTATCTTTGACCACCACCCCGATTGGTGCTCAGTGAAGTATCAGTCTGACATATCACTGCCTACAAAGCAGCTGACATGCATTTCTTCGGCGATAGAGTAGCCTGAAAAGGTCAGTATCCCATTTTTTGTGGAGATAGAGGTAAATCCTAATCTTTAACGTTCAGCGATGGCGGAATATGAGCTGAGATTCTCCGTGACACCCGCCGCCGATACGGGTTCCTTCAAGCTGCTTGAGCTCCCAGCAGAGCTCAGCAGACTCGTTGAATCTTCTGTAAATGCAACAGCCCTGCCGAAGTCAGTTGTTATCAGCTATCTGGTGACACTTATTGATCGCTTTCTAGATTCACGATCAAGGGTGCCTCTGACGGGGACGCCGTTTTGTGTACCGCAGACAAGACGTACACTGTACGGTCTGTCGTGCTGTCGAACTCCGTCCTAATAGTCACACCGGATCATGCACCAGCAGATGACGAGGACGACGAGCCTGTCCAGGAGGTGTTTATTCGGGACCAGCTCAACGAAGTCATTGAACTCATACCCAGCGTACCTAAGCTATCCAAGCTGGGACCGCTCCTCCGTGGGATGGAATACGATGAAGGCCATGAGGATGAGGATATGGTAGAGGATGATGATCATGATGAAGGGAGCAGCAAAGTTTGTGCCGCTCAACTCCTTTGAACTCGGAGCGCAACTCACAGATTTGCAGAAAAAGCCTGCAAAATTCACATATCATGATGCAAGAGCGACAATCCAGGCCAGTGACGCAGAACTAGACAAGGGTCTGCGTGATCGCCGCGTGCTCATTCTAAAGGGTACGCTTCCTATGCTCGGCCTACGTGCTCCGGTTAGATGTTCCTAACCCTCCTGTCACAGGCGAGCTACGCCCCATCGCTCCATCGCACCTCGCCACCATCCTCGAGCTCCTGCTGACACTCCTCGTATCTCTATCTCTCTCTGATGCCTCCGCACCTGCGGAACCTTTGATATACGCCCTTGAACACGAGCACGACATCCGTCGGGACGTCGCACGGCAAGTCATGGCCTGGTTCGGGCGTTTTAGCGGAGAGGGTCCAGCTCAACTATGGGCGATGGACGACATTGCGGTCATCAGGGAAGTGGGCCTGGGAATTCTGAGGGCGTACAGGGTACGTAAGTGGAGAGAATGAAGCATCGAGACCATGACTTACGCCAGCGACCGTGCTCACAGGACGAGCCTACGCCAGAGGGCGCGTTGTTAGAGCAGTGGCGACGTGCAGTCGGCGACAAGTTCGAAGCGACGGTAGCTCTGAATCTCCTATCGGTGCGCACGTCGAAGGGATTTTGCGGGTGTCTGATCCCATCTCTGACACTCTTCATGTAGGGCAACTTCCTCACATCGATGGATACGCTCGCCACCCCGCCTATGCCGCAGGTCACGTATTACTCCGCCTCGGCACTCCCGATCGAGCCCGGTGCACGCTTTGCGGAGCTATTTGTCGCGCGGGCGCGATGGCGCGCCTCCGATATTGCACCGTTCCTCGCGGACATCGCAGTCGACTCGAAGGAGCGCGACAAGCTGCTGCTCAAGCATGCCCGCGCAGTGACGGACAAAGACGGGGTGTGGTATACTGCACGAGCCAAGTACGGGGGTTGATACAATGGAACTTCGCAAACGCAGGTTGACACAGGATGTGTTGCGTGTGGAGGGTATTATGATTGGAGGTATCTCTGGATATACAGTGTCTGGAAGCCACAAGGTCCAACGGAGAGATATGTGAGTGAGATACGGCGGGAAGAAGCGAAAAAACCGGAACGGGTACAGCGAAGATACAATAAGCGCAAACGATACATTATTTTTTTCTCGGTTTCCTGCGAATGCTAGGACCCTCGTCGACGTCCATGTCATCTGCGTCGTTTCGCGACGGGGCCTTGCGCTTTTTGCCTTTTCCTTTGCTCTTCACATCGGGTCTCCGCTCCGCGACGGAGTCGATGTAAATCCACATCTCTTTGAATACCTCGTGCTTCGAGCGAATGTCTTGATACTTCTTACGAACTGACTGACGCATATCGAGGATGGCGTCTGCTCGCTCTAAATACGGCCGGTCGCGCATGAGATATAGCAAGACACCTGTGCATCTGGTTAGACTTGCGCACAGCCGGTGACCGAAGACGTACCAATGAAGACAAACTCCACCGGGGCTACGCGTTTTGTGATCTCCGTGAAGCCGTGGTTGAGCGAAGGCGTGTCACCAATGTACCACATAGATTTGAGCGTATCACTGATTGCTGATTTGAAGGACTCGTGCGGTACGGAGTTGCCCGTCAACCACTTCTCGATGTTACCCGACGTCGGCTGGCCCTGTTCGGGAAGCTGATGGCAGCAGTAGAGGAGGCCGGCGATGAGTTGAAAGTCTTGTCCACGTTTGATGGTGACGTTGATCTTGGCCGGAAGACCGTCCTCACAGACAACATACATCTGGACCAGTTCATCGATGAGCTCGGACCATGGGGAAGAAAGAGCTTGCAGCTTTTCTGGATGGCTGTGAGGGAAGACCCGTTTGGACAAGGAGAGATTGAGCTTACCAGCGGCCCTGAGAGGTACACCCATTTGTACTCGCTGAAAAATATCGCGTTCCTGGCCTGAGGGAAGGCCGTGATATTCCACTGCGACAATGAGCACTACGATCAGCATCCACAAACTTAACAACTTACCGCAAGTGATGGTCTTGGCACAAAAGTCGTCCTTCCAATTCTTTGGGACTTCTGTGCGTGCCTTCTTCATGGTGTGGGCAGTGGTATACCACCAGCTCTGGCCAGTGCGCCAATGCTTATCTTGGAGTTGAATTAAAACAAAGCAGACGCTGCCTTCTACGAAGGAGGACTTACAAGGAATCTGCGAGTCCTGCTGGTCAGCATCTCCAAGCCTCAATGACGACGGAAGTTGTTTTGTGATGCCTCAAATGGTCAACATCTCCAAGCTTGCTTGGGAGACGTCAAGCAGAAGAGAGAGACGGGGAGAAGTGTCGAGGAGGAAGAGAACGTACCTGGCCATCAATGAACTTCTGGATGGATGTGAGCCGCTGCTTTCCATCCACACAACATCGTACTTCTTCGCCCTCTTCGTTGTTGTAGACGGCAAATACCACCGGTGGAACGTAAAAATTCCTCCAAAGGGAGTCCACCAGCTTCACCTGCTTCGGCTCCGGCCACACAACCTCTGTAGGCGAGTCAGAAAACGCAGGACAGACCGCTATAAGTCGTGTACCTCGCTGGTAGGGTGGGTTGAGATCAATCAGACCCTCATGTATCATAGCTAAAATAAGGCTGAGGACATAAAGCCAAGGGATGAGGGAGCGAGGAGACTTACTATGTAGTTGTCTCGTGGTATAGAACTTGGCCTGCGGAGCGTCGAGACATTGGCCGAGGTCAAAGCCGCCCTCCTCCTCCTCGTAAACGATCTCGTCAAATTCCTCGTCAGATTTATCTTCCATCCGGAAACCGTGCGTCGAGGTGGTCAGAAGAGGTGGGAAGGGATGGAGGCCAACATAGGATGCATTCGACAAGGGGTTCGAGTGGAACGCGTTCTCAACAGCACGCGAGGCGTGTCTCCGCGTGCTTTCTCCCACGGCGCGTGCAGCAGCTCTGGCGTCAGCATCTCCGCCTCAGCGGCCCCTTCTCCCTCAACCGACAACCCCGAGTCTCCGACGGATCTATCAGCGCCTTTGAAGCCGGTTGTGCTCCCTCCACGGCCTTCTCTCCTACTAACATCCTCCTCCGTGGTTTCCCTCGCACGTCTCCCCGCTGTGCATGGACTCCTCTATCCCTGCCACTGCGACCTCGGCCCTTTACAACTCCACCGACAGCCCTGTTCCGTCGAACGACCCTGTGCCTGCGCATCATGCAAACCCCGTCGTCGCGTTCATAATTGGCCTTGCTATTGTCCTCCTCGCGTCCGTACTCAACGCCGCGGGCCTCAATCTCACGAAATTAGACCATGTGAGCTCTCTCTGCAGGCTAGTACCTGCGCGCCAAGTATGCTCAGTGGTTCTTCAGGTGCGGACCAGCGCAATTCCCAAGAGTGCGCGTCGGCGAGACTGGTTACGACCTTTATGGCTTCTCGGCATGATACTATACATGTAAGTTTCTTCCTTGCATCCCCTCCTGTTGTTGCCTTCGTCAAAAGCTTTGTCCACTTCAAGTTCGGAGTGCACCGCGGTCCCAAGATCTCACCCCGTTCGCTCGTCATGCCCGTGGTGGACGCTGACCAGTATCATTGTAGCTTATCACAACTCGTTGGAAGTACGCTTGCATTAGAGTATATGCGCGCAGGTGCGTAATCAGCGTCTTGCACCTTCCTGCGATGTATAACCTTGCCACAGAATACGTCGCCCCTCTCGGATCCACTTCGCTAATCTTCAATTTCCTCTTCGCCAAGTTTCTCATCAATACCCCTGTCACGAAATACGACATCTACGTTCGTGTCGTCACCCTTTCCCAGACTTCTGTGCTTAACCGTCCTTCTAGGGCACAGCTATTGTAATCATTGGAGTAATTGGCATCGTTGCCTTCGGGTCTATCAACAGCGGCCTCGGAACGGAGACGGACGCAAGTCACCTCACCGAACTCTGGACGCGTGGGGGCTGGCTAGCCTACTTCATCTTCATGACCTTCGCCCTCATCTTCCTCTTCATTTTCATCTCCCAGTTGGATCAGGTCCTTACGGCTCGCTCCGATCTGAACGCGGAGCCCTTCGCAGGCATGCGAGCCCGGGCAGGCGGACTTGTACCACCGGCAACACTCGGAGGCCGATTGGTTGCGCGCTGGGATAACGCGATGATGTGGACCAGGGAGAAGCTCGAACTGTGGACTGCACCACATGACGACAAGCGCATCGCCTGGACGCTGGGCATTGGTTGGGCATGCTGTGGAGGAGGTCTCGCCGGTGCAACGCTGGTGTTTGCAAAGGCTGCGTACGTGTTTCCAGTTACTGTGCCGAGACTACACGACGGTTGACTGATCGTCCATCATTCACAGAGTGAAGCTGATCTCGGGATCTATGTCGCACGAGAACACTGGCAACCAGTTCGGTCACGCGTCGGTCGTATTTACCTTCATTTTTCTCGCCGCGACTGCAGTGCTGCAGATTGTCTGTTTGAACAAGGGTCTCGCGGTGTACGACTCGACACTTGTCGTCCCTGTGTTCTATGGCGTTTACACGGGTCTTGGGTCAGTCTCCATGACGTCATCCGTCGTCCCCCGCTAACTTGGTGGCCACACGACTTAGATTCCTTGACTCTCTGATATTCAACGACGAGGTTGACGCCTACCACCCATGGACCCTCTTCCTCATCTTCCTCGCCATGTGCGTTCTCGTCGCCGGAGTCGTCATGTTGACCTACAAGAAACCCGAGGAGAGGTCCCCAGCGTCTGGTGTTCCCCTTTCTGCACGAGGACACCGCACCACGAGCGCAACAAAAGGCGGCTTCGAACGCGACGAAGAAGAAGCGCTACACGAGAACGAGGGTGATGGCAACGAAACCCTTTGGCAGCTCGGCGACGCCTCCGATGATGAAGATGACTCCCACTCCCAGGCTACGCGCTCGCCCCGCCTGGGTCCATCATCCCCGCGACTCTCAACACGTAGGACCTCCACACTGTTGCTCAAGACGGTCGGCGCTAGCGCGAGCCAGACAAGTCTGAGCCTTGGGAAAGGCCGCGGCGTGACGAGGCAGCGCGCAGCGTCATACACTGACAACGACAACGAGGAAACGGGTATGCTCGCAGCCGCAGCGGAGGAGGAGCGCGATGAAGCCTTGAATTCGACGCCAACACAGCCGAGCGCGGCACACTTCGTGGACGACGATGACGACGCCTTTGGGGCGTGGGAGGATACGCCGAGTGGAAGGACGCACTAGTAGATGCGCGTTCTGGCGGTTCTACGGCAGAAGGCACGGAGACTTGTACGTCTTATGTTATCATGTACATAATCAACATGTCAGTTCCTCTCACCCAGGATATCTGTTCATGACACTGATTGGTCGTCAAACCTCAGAACCAGTGTGCCTTGCACAAGCCGTCTACTTAGACTCCTTGTTCCGTACGCTTTCCGCTCAATACAGTGTCAAGCTCATCCCGACGTCTGACACCCATGAGGCGAAGTGCTCATGAATTGGGTATGCGGATTGGGCGCGGGCGGGCGGCTTCGGGTCGCCAGTACTTACATATATTCGGACATTCCAACGCTGCCAAGACCTTTCTGCTGCCACCTTTCCGCATTCGAAGCCCGTATGTTCTCGTCACTTGATCTCAAATGCCTAAAGGATTGAATGACCGGCATAAATGCCTATAGGGTGACCGGCTAAGATTCGGCCAAACGCGGACGGATGCATTTGTTTGAGGACTGACTACCTTGCTCCGCAGATCTTTTCTGTGCGGACTACGCCTGTGCGCGATGCCAAGCACATGCCTGCATCGAATATAACAGAATCCGACCCACAAATATCTAGGTAACGCTGACATGCTCAGGAACGCAAGGTGCACACGGCACTTCCGCGGCATAACTCCTCACGAGTTCGTACTTGACTCGTAGTATGTCGCGCTGATGGCAGGGCTCATGTCACCGCCATAGGTCCCGGACGTGTGCCTCGGGCACTGGCGCGAAGTATAACAGCCTGCGAGGGGAAGAGGAGCTGCAAGCCCACCTTCGAGCTTCGACTTCGCTGTGATGGTTTCCTTCAAGGTCGCACTGGGACTCTGCGTCTTCCTGCCGTGCATCCGCCTTGCTTCCGCTCAGGCGCAAGAATGGGGTCAGTGCGGTGGTATTGGTTGGACCGGGCCGACGACTTGCGGTGCGTGTGCTCTCCGTCGGATATACCATATTCCTCCTTAACCGGACCTATCAGTATCTGGAACGACCTGCGTCAAACAGAACGATTACTTCTCCCAGTGTCTAGCTTCGACAAGTTCTGTGCCTACGACGACGGTCACAACGCACACTTCGACGACAACTACGGGCACCGCCCCGAGTGGATTGAGCTCAATCCCGGCCTCGACGCTGCACCAGATTACCAACTTCGGCACGAACCCGAACAATGTTGGGATGTACGTGTACAAGCCCGCACGTGTCGCGTCCAAGCCAGCTCTGATTGTCGCGAGCCACTGTACGTTCTTGTCATTCCTCAACGAGAAGACGATGCTGATGTAGTTGAAAGACTGCTCGGGCACCGCGCAGGCATACTACACAGGCTCCAAGTTTGCTCAGCTTTCCGAGACATACGGCTATGTCGTGCTCTACCCCTCGTCTGTGAGTTCTCTATTTCACATTTGCATCGGCGGAAGGACGCGCACTCACCTTGACGTTCAGCCTCACTCCGGAACCTGCTGGGACGTCTCCTCCAACGCGACGCTCACGCACAACGGTGGATCCGACACTTTGGGTATTGCCTCCGCCGTTCGCTACGCAATCGCCAATTGGGGAGTCGATTCGTCGCGCGTCTTCGCGGTCGGCACCTCCTCGGGCGCGATGCTCACGAACGTGCTTGCGGGCGCGTACCCCGACCTCTTCAAGGCCGGCATCGTTGACTCTGGCGTCCCCGACGGGTGTTTCTCTCTCCCGGGGCAACCGCAAGACAGCTGGAACTCCCAGTGCGCCCAGGGCCAGCTCGTACTCACCGGCGCTCAGTGGGCGCAGCGCGTGTACGCCGCATACCCCGGTTACACTGGGGATCGCCCCAAGATGCAAGTCTGGCACGGGACCGCGTGGGTTTTTGTTCTCTTCTTGCGTGATGCGCGTTCCGCTGACGATGACGCGCTTGTAGGGACACCACGCTGTACCCCCAGAACTTCTACGAAACCGTGAAGCAGTGGACGACGGTGTTCGGGTACTCGAGCACGCCCAGCTCGAACGTGACCGAGTCCTATCTGCCGAGTGGGTATCACAATGCGACTTTCGGGCCGAAGTTCCAGGCCATCCTCGCGCAGAACGTTGGCCACACGGTGCCGCTCTTTGAGACGCAGTACTTGCAGTTCTTGGGTATTGCTTGAACGGCGGGACACTTGGTTCGGAGGGCTCAGTAGTAATGGGTAAGTTGGAACTCCGGGAGGCTGTAACCGCGTGCGTGCCGACGCCTACTAGTACTCGTGTCAAGTCATGTACCTGTCTCCTAGAGTCCGAGGAGAGATTGAGCTGATGCATACATTCGAGTTGGCATGCGTCAAACGATTCTGGTACTGAGTCATTTGCATGACCTGGTTGCTCAGTCATCACGGTCCGGTCTCAAACCGCCTCTGGTCTCAGGTGCCAAGCTCATCATGGAGGAATTGTGCCTTGTTGACATGATCAGAACCCATTTGCGCCATTTGCGTGTCTTGTCGTTGCTACCTTAGGGGCAGCAAGCGTCGATCCACTGATTCTGCCACCTGGACCTCACATCAATCAGGTCCCCTTAGCCTGGGGCACGGGGGGGGATGGCCCGGGCTAAGGAGACCTGAATCCGTGCTCCCGCGCATGTTTGAATAATGTCCTCAATAAACCCGAGGCAGTTTCCCTGAAGGGAAGTATTCGAACGCCCTCCCTTCCAAGTCCCCCAGCCCATCACGTGTCCCCATCCTTCAGATCTCCCATCAGTCCGCGTTATCTCTCCCGCCCCCGCACGCGTTATCTCCCGCGCCCGCGCCCACGTTATCTCCCGCGTCGGCGCCGCGCGCCTCCCTGCCCCGCCACCCGTGCTCGCTGTGCCCGACAGTGAGCTCGCTGTCCCTGCACCCTGCCTCCCCCTCCGCTCCGTTTCCCTCCGTTCTTTTTGTAATCTACTTGCATTCACAATGCGCACCTAATGGTACACAATTCAATGGCCACACCTTCCTGGGTGTGCCTGCACTGAGCCCTCAAACCTCCCAAAATGCGTGCAATACAGGAACATATACAAGCACTCAAATGATCGGCTAAGTGCTGCATCAGATAGTTGTAGATGAGAGCTACTCTATCATAAAATCGCAGTTGGATAGCTAGAGGGGTGCAGGTATGATGTCATATGTTATTTCAGAATGACATACCCCACAGTGATATGGTATATGCATATATCGTCTTATGTACACCCCGAATCGTACCTAGAGGTCATTCAGAGCGCGTTGCAAAAAGAAGCAAGCGAATAAACGATGTCGTGGTGAGGATATGACATATGCACAGAAGGGGGAGTTGGCTCGAAAATGCGGCCTTCATATGTTTTTGTGTAGACCTCTGATCACTTCGCATCTTGTTGCATTACGTTTATATGTATATGGAGAGCTCAGATCGTCAGTTTTATGCTTATCGGTGAAGGATTGAATACAGGCCATGATATGTCATTATTCTATGACATAGAGTATAGCGAGATAGCATGCGCTCCGATTGTTGTTCTGAAAGGCGGAACAGAACGGGGTGTTCTTCTGCTCAACGATGCAGAAAGAATATTGAAGAATGGTCGAGAAGTGGTTGAGATATGCCATATGAGCTTGAAGTGTGCAAAGTAGTGTAGGTGGTTCAAGGGCGTCCTTTGTGCAACCTGCCGTTCTAGACCCATCTGACATATCTCAACCACTTCTCGACCATTCTTCAATATTCTTTCTGCATCGTTGAGCAGAAGAACACCCCGTTCTGTTCCGCCTTTCAGAACAACAATCGGAGCGCATGCTATCTCGCTATACTCTATGTCATAGAATAATGACATATCATGGCCTGTATTCAATCCTTCACCGATAAGCATAAAACTGACGATCTGAGCTCTCCATATACATATAAACGTAATGCAACAAGATGCGAAGTGATCAGAGGTCTACACAAAAACATATGAAGGCCGCATTTTCGAGCCAACTCCCCCTTCTGTGCATATGTCATATCCTCACCACGACATCGTTTATTCGCTTGCTTCTTTTTGCAACGCGCTCTGAATGACCTCTAGGTACGATTCGGGGTGTACATAAGACGATATATGCATATACCATATCACTGTGGGGTATGTCATTCTGAAATAACATATGACATCATACCTGCACCCCTCTAGCTATCCAACTGCGATTTTATGATAGAGTAGCTCTCATCTACAACTATCTGATGCAGCACTTAGCCGATCATTTGAGTGCTTGTATATGTTCCTGTATTGCACGCATTTTGGGAGGTTTGAGGGCTCAGTGCAGGCACACCCAGGAAGGTGTGGCCATTGAATTGTGTACCATTAGGTGCGCATTGTGAATGCAAGTAGATTACAAAAAGAACGGAGGGAAACGGAGCGGAGGGGGAGGCAGGGTGCAGGGACAGCGAGCTCACTGTCGGGCACAGCGAGCACGGGTGGCGGGGCAGGGAGGCGCGCGGCGCCGACGCGGGAGATAACGTGGGCGCGGGCGCGGGAGATAACGCGTGCGGGGGCGGGAGAGATAACGCGGACTGATGGGAGATCTGAAGGATGGGGACACGTGATGGGCTGGGGGACTTGGAAGGGAGGGCGTTCGAATACTTCCCTTCAGGGAAACTGCCTCGGGTTTATTGAGGACATTATTCAAACATGCGCGGGAGCACGGATTCAGGTCTCCTTAGCCCGGGCCATCCCCCCCCGTGCCCCAGGCTAAGGGGACCTGATTGATGTGAGGTCCAGGTGGATTCTGCTTCAATCCGTATTCGGCTGGGCGGCGTCCCCGTGTAGTAGAAACCGGGGCGAGGGGGACAGCGGGAGTTTGGCAACGGGCCCTTTGCCTCGTTCGCACCGGGATGGTGACTTGTGGAGATCGGTGGGCAGTAACTGAGTAGCGACTTCGGTGGTGCTCACATATTCAACAGTGCTAGTGACCTCTGAGGCCACAATGCCACGACGCATTCCGTGCAGGATCAACCGGCCACGTTCGGATATCTTTGGGCCGAGCGACCTGCCCTTAGCCCCAGGCGCTCATTCTCCGCCCGCGCAGCGCGTCGGCACTCGTGCCAATCCACTACGTCAATGACGTCGACCTCCTTCCGCCGACACGCCCTCCGTGCGAGACCGGACTGCCCAAATATGCGGCTTATCGCCCTCTCCTCCAAGCCCTCACCCATCCACAATCCTCCACATTCATGGCGGCGCAAGACACCGGCACGAAGGGTGTCATCAAGCCACTGTTCGTCATCCCTCAATTCACGGCCAGAGACTATTCGGGTTTTGCCCTCGCAGGTACGAATGCACTCTTTAATCGGGCCGTATATGCACACTAACCTTTACAACAGGCGCACTCTGCTGCACGTAAGATTGCTATACATACGCATCTGCAGTCGTCCGCTGATCGAGAGTGTGCTCGCCAAACAGTGTCACACATGGTGCCATGACTCGTGAGGGGCAAAATCTATCCGATTGAGGTGTTTGAACTGAGGCTCTGTGCGAAGCTATTGACGTCGTAAAGACACGCATACAGGTAGACGCCGAAATGAAAGGGCTCTCGTTATTGTCGGGCTGGAGGCGTATCGTGGCAAACGAAGGTCCTTCAGCACTGCTCACCGGGTTTGGTCCCACAGCGGTAGGATATCTGGTGCAGGTTAGTGCTCTTGTGAGCCCCGCCCTCCCCATGAGCTTATCCGCGTGTCAAGGGAGGCGCCAAGTTTGCGGGCTACGAGTATTGGAAGAAACAATTCTCCCAAATCGCCGGGGACCAGGAGCATGCAGTGAAATATCGTACCGCTATCTATCTGGGCGCCTCCAGTGTCGCGGAGTGCGTACTTGCCACCCCCGGGATCCACCACAACTCACTCGCTACAGATTCTTCGCAGACATTTTGCTCACGCCACTTGAAGCAACCCGCATACGATTGGTCTCCCAGAGGCACTACGCTACTGGTTTGGTTACAGGCTTCGCGCGATTGGCTCGCGAGGAAGGATTTGCCGGTTTGTACGCGGGTTTCCTTCCAATCCTTTGCAAGTCGGTGTCATTCCCTCCTGCGCAGCAGCGCGGTGCTCATGGCGCCTTAAGACAGATTCCGTACGCCATCGGACAGTTCACCGTAAATGAATTCTGCCATGAAGTCGCATTTCGGAACATGTCGGAAGATACGAAGCGCAACTTGAGCGGACCCGCCAAGTTCTCTGTCGGTCTTGGGAGCGGCATAATTGCGGGTTTCGCTGCGGCGATTCTCAGTCAGGTCCGGCTTCCTTTCCCTTTGTCGATGCCGGTGCTTCATGCTCACATCATTCGCGTCCAAGCCGGCGGATACGTTGCTCTCCCAAATCAACAAGGGCCACGGTCCAGATGGTTCCATGCCGCATCGTTTGAAAGTACTCGCTCAGCAAGCTGGCTTCCGGGGTTTGTTTGCAGGTCTTGGTCCCCGTATGGTGATGACAGCAGGCCTCGTATCTGGCCAGTTCATACTGTATGGAGCAATCAAAGATGGTGAGTTTAATTGCCATCTGCGTTGAGGGTCGGAATTCCTTATCGTGTACGTAGCCCTTGGCGCACCCCCAGGTTTAGAGATTCACAAAGAGTAGCGACGAAGCGAACTTTCATCATGTAACGGTCGTCATATTGAGATGGTCAGACACCCAACAGTTCGCGTTTGCGCCTCGTCTCCCATCCACGGGGGATCGATGCAAGCACCGTGTCACGCTCGCCGGGCGGATGTCATTGAGGAATGGAAAATTTGTGAATGCCCCAGAACTCCGGTGCTCGTCACTGACTCGCCTACCATTCATAGACTGATTGCCCAACCGAGACGGGACGAGATCCACGCGGGATCCGCGTAGTTTGCGCATAATTGTCCCCGCAAATGCGACTCGGGTTCTCTCATCCAATCATATCCTCTCTCTCTCATACCGATTGCGCAAGGGTCCTCTCCATTGCAGCAGGCGTGTCGACTATCCATCCAACACGTCAGCAGCGATCAGGGCGCTGTCTCTAACCTTCCCGGACCTGAGGGCTGAGCGCCAGGTACATTGTGCTCGTTTTGTCGAGATAGTATAAAAGCAATGGTAGGCTCAAGCCATGACTACCCAGGCTCGTTCACCATGGGGCAGTTCACTTCTTCTCAGACAGCGTCCCTTGCAAAGCCCTCCAGGTGTGATGAAGAGTACGTCGCTTTCTATGGCTCCTTGCTCATCGTTATCCTCATCCAGTGCTGGCAGCGATCCTCACGCAGGAGTCAAAACCGTTGTCCGCGAGTTCCTGGCTCGCAGCGACTACCGCTCACCCAAATCTCTGGAAGACCCCGTCCTTCGCAGCACCCTCGCCGACGAGCTCGCCACGTGGCCAGCCTCAGTTCCCCCCTCGTTCATCGCCAAGGTCCTCGACGGCGCCTGCGTTTATACCGAGACCGCCTACGCCCACGTCTCGCACGCGCACAAGCTCTACATCGCGCGCTACACCGCCTGCATGCTCTACGTCGATGACCTTGCGGCCACCGAAGCGTCCGGGGTGGAGGGCGCGGACGCCGTGCGCCGCTTCGCCGGCCGCTTCGTGCGCGGGGAGCCGCAGCCAGACGCGGTGCTCGACGCGCTCGCCGCGATCTTGCGCGACGCGCACACCGGCGGGCTTTGGGGCCCGTATGGCGCCGATGCCATCGTCGCCGGGACGCTGGACGCCATCGCAGCTGCGCATGTGGAGGGCGCGCTCGAGCGCGGGGCGATCAAGGTGCACAGCGGGGCGACGATGTTCCCGTCCTATCTGCGCACGCGGGCGGGGATCGGCCCGCCGTTCACGCACTTCGCGTTCATGCGCGAGTGGCGAGATGTGCCGGACTCGTACTTGCAAGTGCTACCGTAGGTGTGCTTGGGTTCGTACTGGCGCTCGTGCTAACCAAAACCGTGTTTCTAGGTATATGGAGCACTGGACGCTCGGCACGAAGTGAGTCGACCATTCTTAGGTTGGCTTGTGAGCGATGCGCTAACTTGTTTCTTCAGCGACATGTAGGTTTCATCTGCACTTAAGTGGTCTGTGTTCTGAAAAACCGCCCGCAGTCTCTCGTTTTACAAAGAAGAGCTCGCGGGAGAGACGAAGAACTACGTTCATCTCCGCGCAGACGCAGAGCTGCGATCATGCGAAGAGGTCTTGCTCGCCTTGTCAGATGAAGTCGCTCAGTCTGCACGCAGGATGGACACACTCGTGAAGGAAGACGTCGAGCTCGAGGCCTTGTGGCGCCGATACTACCAGGTGAGTGTAGCTATTTCCGAAACGACTCCCGTTTTGATTCGATTCTGTACCACAGGGATATCTAGAGTTTTCTTTGAAGGCCAAACGGTACCGGCTAGCCGAGTTGGGCTATGAGCCTTGACGGGCTTTTCTGGCACAGGACCTTTTTGTACTAGTAGGTTTCGTTTGGTTGGAATGGTCGAGGCTTGTATCGGAGAGAAGTATCTGCGATGTACATGAAATACGCTCTTCCCCAGTTTGTTCGGCAAGCTCGGCCGCCCGATGTATGAAATTCGATCGGGCATGGCCCGCCGGGCAACTGTTGGAAGCTTTCCAACCTGAGACTCGCCAGGCCGCCTGTGTCATACTTTCTGCAATTGGTACGCGAAATTTTTTTTCAGGAATTTTTGCTCACATCTTCACCGGTCAGAACACGACAATACGGCTCTCTGAACCAACGCCGGACAGGACTCCGTGCTCCGCGTCAACTCTCTTTGAAAACTCGAGCTCTATAGCTTTAATTGCGACAAACCCTTTTCTGACGCCCTCGCAATCATCACAGGCTGCGGGATCGCCAAGGCTTCCTCCTTCTCTTCCTTATGTCAGGGAATCTGAGGAGGGATCCCCGCTTCTGTCCGATTTGATGCTGTAAGCCGCCGACAGATGCACACTGCACATGAATTGTTCTGGCGCGTAGTCACGCTAGCAGCCGCCGGTTTCGCAGATGGGAACCCGATCATCCCCAAGCCCTTTACATAGCGCCGTTCAACGTTGGTTCAACGCGAAATGACCTGGCCTCAACCACAGGCGCTACTGATGATGCCGAGTGGCCCTAGTTCTTGCTTCCTCAGTGACCATCCCCTTATGTTTAGATCCCTCCGCGAGGACGCCGGCCTCGGGGTGGGACGGTTCCGGGTTCCGGGGTGATTATGCATCGAGCGTCAGGAGTCGGTTCGGTTTGATGAAAGTATGTTGCCACCCGACCCCGGTCGGCGAGGAGTTCACAGACCGATGAAGCTTATGTCGGCGGCTCGCCGTCGCACATATTCTGGCCGATTGCGCATTGGGTTTCCACCGGTTGAACTACAGGATATAAGATCCATTGAAATGCAACCACGGTTAAGACAGGTCGCACCCGCAAGCTCTTCCAGAACTCGATTCCCCCCGCTGAGTCATGCTTCGTATCCCCACTCCTCTCCGAGAGCCTGTATGTGCGCGCACACCTTCCTCAGGACCATTTCTGACGCTTTTGCAGTGTCTCGAACACGAAAACTTGGCCGCAGTCAAGGAGCTTCTTTTTAACTTCCTCGAACGAAGCAACTGGAAGAAAGTCCCCGTTGAGCGGGACATTGTTCTCCGCTCTGATATTCGCCGTGAAATCGAGCTTTGGAGCTTTTACGATGACGCCCTCCTCATCGACGCCCTCGTCGACGTCGCCTGCGGGATCGCGGAGGCCTCCTATCTCCTTCTCCCGCCGCCGCACCGCCGCTTCGTCGCGCTCTACACTGCGTGCACCGCCCATGTCGACGACCGCACCGGGCGCCAGGACGGCGCCGCGATCACCGCCGCGCAGCGGTTCGGCATCCGCTTCGCCCGCGGAGAACCACAGGGCCTACCCGCGCTTGACGTGCTCGCGAGGCTGCTCAAGGACACATACGATCTGTTCCCGGCCCTCGGGGCGAACACGATCATCAGCAACACGGTCGACGGCATGACGGCGATGTACGTCGAGGCGTCGACGGTCGGGGTCGCTGTCGTCCCGGGGGCGTCGAAGTGGCCGGACTACTTCAGGATCAAGACGGGCCTGTGCGCTGCATACACGCACTTTTGCTTCCTCAAGGAGTTCGAGCAGAAGCCTGGGGCGTACGTTCAGATGGTTCCGTGAGTCGCGTGTCTCTACCGCTGTACGAAGAGGACTCATCACATCGTTGGAGGACAGATATATTGATCACTATATTGGAGCAGCGAAGTTTGTACCCGTCGAATTCTCACTGGGAGACTTTTTGGCTAACCTTGGTCCATCTCTATCCCACACTCTCTAGCGACATGTGGGTTGCTTTTGGGCTGTTGATGTTTCTATCTTCGCTGACTACGGTTCCTCCGCCAGTCTTTCCTTCTACAAAGAAGAGCTGGCCCACGAGAGCACCAACTACATATGTCTTCGTGCCGTTGCAGAACACGCCACCTCTTTAGACATTCTACGCAAGGTCGTTGAAGAAACTCTCGACAATATGCGCCTCATAGATGCTACATTTTCGAATGACGAACGGCTGCAGTTTGTATGGGAAAGCTTGAAACAGGTGAGAGCAGCCACGTTTCTCTCGGATGTCCTGTCCGTAATAGTAAGCCTGACGAGTAATGTGCCGTAGGGCTACATCTCGTTCCACTTTGCCACCCAAAGGTACAGACTCGAGGAGGTTGGAATGTAAGCCTCCGGAGAAGCGGGCACCGTTCGCCTTGAACCCATGGCAAGTGTTCGTTGTGATGGTCCTCGACGGCGTGTGGGTTCATACCGGCGCAGGCTCGGGACCATCGTCGCGGTCAGGCTGGACGAGCCGATCAGCGCGTGTGGACAGGAACTCAGCTGGAACAAGGTATGATATAAATAGATTGTACAGTACATAGAGATCCGAGTTTCGGGATATGAGCTCTGGAGTGCATCCATCACTCGCCCCGGCTTCAATGCACTCGTCGGATCTTCAGACGACGCCAAGAGCTCTTTCGTCGCCAAGACCCCCCGCCGAAGAAGTTCCTATGCCACAGTCACTTGATAATGAACGGTTCGGGGGACGCCGCCACGCTTACAGAGACGTGGAGAGTGAATGGGAGACGTAAGCGCCTGTACCAGTACGGATAAGGTTCGGGGCAAACTTCGGACGGTCTCATCTGTCCTCGGCCCGGTCCAACTTCTCCGTCTCTCTTTCTCTCCATCACTTGTCGTTATGCGACCGCAAGTCTGCATCTCATGACCAAGCACACAGGATATTCACTTCTCCCCAGGAAACCGACTGCACCCAACATGCGATCGGTATTCGAGACGAACGGATGCAAGCGGCTCTTCCACGGCACAATTGCTCACGAGTCCTCAAAGAGTACGTGCACGGCCCGTGTGCAACTACGCGAGACATGTAACGTGCACAAGTCGGCACTGTTCTCGGAGGATTGGCGCGAACTATATCAATAGCATGCGAGGTGGAGCAGAAAGGCTGCAGGCTGCCCCGCCCCCATATTTCGACTCGACGACCTTCGCTGCAATGTTCTCGCTCAAGATTGCGCTGGGCCTCTGCGCCCTTCTGCCGTTCGTGCAACTTGCTTCCGCTCAGGGGAAAGAGTGGGATCAGTGTGGCGGTATTGGTTGGTCCGGTGCGACAACTTGCGGTACGTGCTCTCTCCGTCGCCAGATCGGTCATGCACTGACATACAATGCAGTGTCCGGAACGACGTGCGTCGTAGTGAACGCCTACTACTCCCAGTGTCAACCTGGAGCAACTACTGCGCCGACGACGACGGTCTCAACGCACACTTCGACGACGACCACGGGCACCGCCCCGAGTGGATTGAGCTCAATTCCGGCCTCGACGCTTCACCAGATCACCAACTTCGGCACGAACCCGAACAATGTCGGGATGTACGTGTACAAACCTGCGCGCGTCGCGTCCAAGCCAGCTTTGATTGTCGCGAGCCACTGTACGTTGTCCTCCGTCTTACCGGTTCAGTATACGCAGCTGACCGTATTGAAAGACTGCACGGGTACCGCGCAGGCCTACTACACAGGCTCTAAGTTTGCTCAGCTTTCTGAGACATACGGTTATGTCGTGCTCTACCCCTCGTCTGTGAGTTATCTGTTTCATACTTATATTGACGGAAGGACGCTCACTCACCTTGACGTCCAGCCTCACTCCGGAACCTGCTGGGACGTCTCCTCCAACGCAACGCTCACGCACAACGGAGGCTCTGACACCCTCGGCATCGCCTCTGCCGTTCGCTACGCCATTAGCAACTGGGGCGTCGATTCGTCGCGCGTTTTCGCTGTAGGCTCCTCATCGGGCGCCATGCTCACGAACGTGCTGGCGGGCGCGTACCCGGATCTCTTCAAAGCTGGAGCCGTCGATTCGGGTGTACCCTACGGATGCTTCTACCTGCCCAACTCGGCTCAGGACAGCTGGAACTCCCAATGCGCTCAAGGCCAGCTCGTGCTCACCGGCGCGGAGTGGGCGCAGCGCGTTTACAACGGGTACCCGGGCTACACTGGTGACCGCCCGAAGATGCAAGTCTGGCACGGAACTGCGTGAGTGTTCGGTTCTGTCCTGAGTTCTCGCAAGGTGACTGACGACAACGTGCTTGCAGTGATACCACACTGTACCCCCAGAACTTCTACGAGACCGTGAAGCAGTGGTCAACGGTGTTCGGGTACTCGAGCACGCCCAGCTCGAACGTAACCGAGTCCTACCTGCCGAGTGGGTATCACAACGCGACTTTCGGGCCGAAGTTCCAGGCCATCCTCGCGCAGAACGTTGGCCACACGGTTCCGCTGTACGAGAGCCTGTACCTGCAGTTCTTCGGCATCGCGTAGTTTGAGGGTGTCGGACGAGTCGATAGGAGCTAGTGATGTAGCAGACTTGTGTACCATAAAAGAATGACACGAAATGTGAACGAGACAAGCGAGATCTAGCTGTGGAAGTGCAAGAAGGTTGATCTCCGGGAAGATCGGAGACGCGTATCCTACCGGTTTCGTCATCTCCGGACCGCGAGCCACCATCCCTTCGCTGAGTTGAGCACACTCGGCCTCTCTCCTGCCCTCCACCATCCCTCTTCTCTGCACGCATACGTTCCCTGCTTCTCCCCCACTAGTTCGCTTTCTGCCACTCGAATGGAAAATTTACTACTCAAGCTCCAAGCACAGGCAAGATCGCATCCATCCAACCCCGTCCTACGCCGAATCCTCCCACAATTTCGTGTTCTCCTGAATGGAACACGCACAGACTCGCCGGAGGTGAAGACCACTTTTGAGAATATTCAGCGCGACCTGGACGTCCTCGCTACGCAAGGATACTGGGAGCCGTCGAAGGAGGACGAGGACGCATTACGCCTATTGAAGAGGCAGCTGGGGCTATCGCGTGAGCGTGTCCCAGATGAGCATGACGCAGACCAACATGTTGAATCTGTCCAACCAAGCACCTCTACCCCCAACCACAGCCACCATTCTACCCCTTCCAATGCCTATGTCTCTCGTTCGGTGCCAACATCCCCCAAACGTGCGGAACAGGTTCGAAACCCCGATATATCCATCCTTCAACCTCCGCCGTTGTCCACGCCGTTACTTCCGGTATCGACTCTCACCCCAACTGTGTTGCCCGTAGAGTTGGTCCAAGCCCTCAACCAAGTTTTCTTCCTGCACATCCTCGCCACCGACCCTGATCGCGTCCTCCCTCCTGGCAAATCCTTGTTATCCGTGATTTCGGCTCCGCAAGCGAATTCGCAACAGCGGCACGACGAACTGCCGAAGCTAGAGGAAAGAGTCAAGGATGTGATACACAAGGAGTTTTGGAAAGAGGTGCGCATATATCAACTCCCATAGCAACCTTCGATTAGATCACGTTCTCCTAGGCATTGGAGGCCCTTTCAAGCCCGTCTCCAGCTGTGCAGCTGCCAAGGCTGGGACTTTTATATAGGGATCTTTTCACCGTCCTTCAACCTCTCTTGCCGCAAACCCATCCACTCCTGATCACGCTTTCTCTGCCTCTCTCCCCCACCTCTTCCCCCCTCCGGTCGGCCTTGGTGCATCTGAGAGAGATGCTCGGTGCTTTACGGGAGCGCTGTGCACCAGCAAGAGATGAGCGCATAGACCGTCTTATCCGAGATCTCGACGAACCGAACCAACTGGCGACCACAGAACAACTAGCCGAATTGGCCATTAATACGACTCGGGAGATTTTGGAGCTAGCGGACGTCATGAAGGAGGACATGTCGCAATTCGTGATCGGATCCATGGAAGAGAAGGATGTGAAAGTGGTCGTCACCTCCCAAGCAATGCTCCGCGAGAAGTCGCTCATCCTCCAGATGTGGCCACCAAGTCGTCTGGAACCTGCATGGACGAGGTGGCTGGATGAACTCGACACCACCACCTACCCGTCTTTGAACTCGGGAGACCCTCACCATCGACGCTGGCTTCTCCGGTTGGTCCAGGCCCTGGGAGCCAATTCCCCCGTTACTTGTCCGCTTCCCACCGTCAACATCCCAGGCTCTGGGTCGTTACCTTGCGCAGAACACGAGCATGACCCTGACCATGGCGTCGAGCGTCCTCCGAACACTCTTCCTCCACCCTTCTTCGTGACCTGCCCCGGCTTGCGTCAGATACAGAACTATCTCCAAGGTCTGGTTATCACTGCCGTCCTCCGGTCTCTCGTCCGCTTCCCCCCGCACCGCATACCCTCTACCTCATCCACGACAGACCACCCTTGCAGCTTCACACACCGGATCTGGACACTGCTCAAGGCTGCGGTAGACGGTGAAGCGGGCGCCGAAGCCACCAACATCGACAACCTCGCCGACGAAGTCATCCAGGTGCGACGCGATTGCACAGACCCTGCGCAACCTTGCACCGCCGAGGAAGAGAACACCCTGCGCGCCGCCGTCGACCGCACCCTCCAGCCCCGCGACCCCGTTTTCGTTCTCCTCCAGAAACGCCTCCTGCAAGGGCTTGCTGTCTGGCTCACCTCCGGCCCCGACAGCGGCACCGCCTCACCGAGCTCGCATACCCCGGCCGACGGCGCGGCGATGCCGACTACGGTGCACATGCACACGGGTCGGGAGCGCCCGGGGAAGCGACAGCGGTTCCAGTTCAGCGTCGAGGATCCGAAGAGCGTCTTCGTTGGGTGGGAGCGACCCCGCGGAAAGGTGCAGGCGATCAAGGGGTTCGAGGACGAGGTGCTGGTGAAGGAGGTGCAGGGTGTTTTTGAGGAGATCGCGAAGTCCGTGGACTGGACGAATCGGGTGTGGCAGGATATCGTGGAGACGGGTGAGATTGGCGGACTGAGCCCGCCTTCGCAGCCTGCTTCGCGGTCGACATCGGTGGAGAGGAGGCATTGAGGGTGTGCATTCATGGGGTACACTCGGAGATACCCGATGTTTGCGATGTGTAAGTGCATAGATCGGTGCTATGTGTAATTGGCTGCGACTAACTTGGGTGTTAGACGATATACAGACTGCCCAAGACTTCTAGAATGTATTTTTACACGTCTTCACCCTAGACCGACGTAATCCATCCATCGCAGGGCTGTATTTCTCATGCTCAAATACATGTATTTTCCCACTCTGAAGACGCTCCCATGATATATCCCAGGATCGGATGCTTGATAATGGACCTCACCCCGTAGCGCATCTTCAAGCCTTCAGTCATGGCCAGCCTCCCAGAGCCCGCAAAGGATCAGCCCTACTGGAACCTCTCTGCACTCGAATCCGGCTTCATCGACCTTCCACACGACTACCTCATTGATACTGCTCCTCCTGGCTCACGCAAGACTGTCCCTTGTCTCTCCTTCCTTCTCCGCCACTCCAAATCCTCTGTCAACTTCGTATTTGACCTTGGAACCCGCAAAGACCTCTCTTCATTCACTCCCCATTATCTCGAGCGCATCGCCGAGATGACCTTCGTCGTCTCCGTCCCGAACGACGCCGCGGACTCGCTCGCCAAGGGCGGACTGAAGCCCACGGACATCGACCAGGTCTGCCTCTCCCACCTCCACTTCGACCACATCGGCGACCCCACACCGTACACCGCCGCGACGTTCCTCGTCGGCGCCGGGAGCCGCCCGCTCCTCGAGAACGGGTACCCGCACGACCCGACGTCGCTCTTCGACTCGCGCCTGCTCCCCCCGGGGCGCACGCGCTGGCTCGACCCGGACGCGGCGTCGGAAGGGTGGGCGCCGCTCGGGCCGTTCGCGCGCGCGCTCGACCTGCTCGGGGACGGGAGCCTGTTCGTCGTCGACGCGGGCCCGGGGCACGTCGCCGGGCACGTGAACGCGCTCGCGCGCACGTCCGCGGACGGCGGGTGGGCGTTCCTCGCGGGCGACAGCGCGCACGACTGGGCGCTGCTCCGCGGGGAGGCGGGCGTCGCGCGGCACGGCGCGTTCGGGTGCGCGCACCGGGACAAGGAGAGGGCGGAGGCGCACATGGCGGACATCCGGAGGCTGGTGGAGGGGTACCCGCGCGTGCGGGTGCTGCTGGCGCACGACGTGCCGTGGTACGAGGAACAGGCTCGGAGCGGGAAGAAGGGGTTTTGGCCCGGGGTCGTCGAGTCTCTGTGATTCTATGGACCCGCGCAGATTTAAACACTGTCGGGACCAAGTGACGCTGCTGACCCGGTGGGCGACGTTGCTTATTGCCATCTAGGACGTCAACTCGTCGAACTCCACGCCCCTAAGGCCTTAAGGATTCATCCTGTACTTACGAACCCGTGCGAGACATTTCCATTAGACGCCTGTCGTGCAGGCGCGCGCCACTGCCATCCAGGCTTGCCTGCATCACGAAACGCGCCCGGACCAGAACTACAGATGGTCGAGGCAGGTCATGTGCAGTCTGCGGAGAACATCCCTTTCTTTGTCGAACGGACAGTGTCAATTTATGACAGAAAATCGTCATGGTAGAACGGGACTGAGCATCCCAGACTGGGATGATGAGCAGTGACGAACATTTTTAAGGGGATGAACGATAGGACGTTATCATGGCTGGGCTTGGAGCAGTTCTACACTTATCATTAGTATGCGGGAGATAGAACGGAGCCGGTCGTCCACCCGGGTCGGGCTGAGCAGGGCCGGTCGTTCACTCGGGCTGAGATGAACGGGGCAGATCATCTGCAGGGGACACCATGTTCGACGATGAACATGTTCTCTGAGAGTGACGATCTGTCCTGATCGCCCTTGGGTGTATAGATGATCTGAGACAGGGTGCGCAGTGATCAATGCTGAGGTACGATATGACCATGGCCAGTTCGTGACACAGGGATGAGACGAACATGAGCTCACTTCAAAATGATCATTTCTGGGTGGTGCAATGACCTGAAAAGACCGATTCAGATGTGCCGAAATGTTTTGCTGTTGCCAGTCGACCACAAACACCCATATACGCGCAAAATCCAGTATTATTCAGGTCTATAAAGTATGGTACTGGGTACAATATGGATGCGAGCGAGCGAGCGACAGATTGCGATGATAACAGTGACAGGGCGACAGCGGCAGGGTTGTTCAAACTGAGGCGGGTATATCTAATGGGCATGACTGTGTGATATGAACTTCAGATGCGATGACAAGGGAGACTGTAGTAGACAGAAACACGGGTGAGCCGCACCCGCACCTCACCCACACCCGCTCCGGATGGCGATGGCTTTGAACGATGATGCCACGCCCGCCGCCGGGTAGTTCATGGGCAACTCGATGGCAGGACGAGTTCATCTCGGAGTGCAGCGACACCCCAACGAATCTTGAGCCGACGGCAGAGTTCATCGCGCGCGCGACGCGCTGGTGGAACGACCCCATCGGACGACACACGCAGCGCTCGCGGAAGCCGGCCGGGCAGAGCGACGAGGACAAGGAGGAGCCGGTCCACGTCCTTGTAGTCTTTCATAGCAGGCTGATTGGGACACTGATGACGGCGTTGCTCAGGAGCCGGAACGTGCGCGCGCGTGCTCGTCGGCCGGTGCTTCAATGTATCGATCCCGGTTTTCGAGCTGAACGGGCGGGAGAAGGGCGCAGTGGTGAGCCATACGGACACGACACATCTCGACAGGGAGAGAAATGGTGACTCATAACGATCTCATACTGTCATCCTTACAGCAAAGGCGGCCTGTGGGTCGGAACCCGTGACGTAGTCGCGTGCCTCCGCAACGGGCGAGAAGATCTTTCTGTCGTCACTCGTCAGCTCACAGGCGGACAGATCGCATGAGCAAACCAGCACATACTGGGAAGACATCACAGTACTGGAACATTGTGTGGCCTTTCATGGCGGTGACAGCAACGTTGAACGACGATGTGCAGTAATTCGGAATGCAAGAGATAAAGTATTACTCACCATACTTCCGATGGCTCGGTGATGTGCGGGGCAACCTGGGGGTCGCGCTAAGGGTTGAAAGTCGTCGATGGGGAGATGTGGTGGTAAGAGAATAAAATAAGGGGGAATAGTGCGAAAGAGAACGGGGCTGGGAGTGCGGAGCGCGAGCGCAGATCTTGAGTGACAGGCGGTGCGCGCGAGGACAAGGCGAGACCGTGCGATGAGGATGTTGATGCGGACCTATGGGCACGGTAGGCGGTCGAACCGTGGCGGGGTGAAAGACATGCGCGATAGCGACTTCGAGGGTATGGAGGGTGGCGGCAGCGAGCGCTGGGGGCTGGAAGTCCGGGTCGTGTGAGTTGTGCGCATCTTTACATAGCGTGTGCGTGGACGTAGTTGGATGGATGCGATAGGAAGGGGGGGAGAGGGGGGAGATGCCAAAGAAATAATAGAAGGCGTACCCGAAGAAACCTCAATGCGAGTCATGTTGCCGTTGGTATGAGTCCGTTTGGGCGTGTGGCCAGAAGCAGGCGGCCACACATCAGTGGTGCGCTTTTCAGGTCGAGGTGCCTTGCGTGCGTGAGGTGCCGGTCATGATGGTGGTAGAGAGGGAAGATGGGGATGGAGAGGAATCAATTCAAAGCTGTGGACGGGTCGTCAGCACTCGGCGGCGGAGAGTATCGTGAGGCTGAGGTACTGTACAGTAGCAGATTTAAGGTTGAGACTCCCTCCGAACGTGCTTGGCATTTCGTTGGGGACGGGGATATCGATAAGATGTGCAGCTAGAATGAACGTTGACATGAGATGAAGGAGAAAGAGGGGCTGGCTAAGCGCGCACGCCAGTCCGCGTCGCGTCGCGCGCGCAGGCAGGCGCTAGTTATTCCGAACGGTTCTTCTCCGACTCGCACTCTCGCCCTCAACACTGTATGTATATGCAGTATCCGAAGCCGAAGCGGGCGTGCCAGATCGTGTGCGTCACACGGAAAGTGGCATGTGGACCTCGCAGATGAGCTGCATACACAGAAGAGGATGATCATTGGCTGGTGAGTCTTGCGTTTTTGGAGACGTCTCATGAGAATATCGATGGTCGCACTGTTACTGTGCTGTGCCCAGCATGTGCGTGCGTATGCCCTTGGGTGGCCTCGGCAACACCGGCACTTATGCGCCCACAGTCCTTCAGAAAGGGCAGGAGTTGTGTCTCTACAGTATGCTGACCCATTGCTCTCGGTTACTACCTTCTCGGCTACATCTCTCATGGCGAAGTTTGAACAAGCCCCGGGCCATTTTGCAAAGGAGGCTGGGAGTGATTGGTGCGTCTTCCTGGTGCTCGCGGCAGCGCGGCTCGCCATCCTCCTCTAATCTTAAACTCGGTGCTTCAAATAGTGCGTGGTCTCCCATGTCCGACACCCTCCCTCCCTTGACACGCCCGTGCCTTTCACGTATCCGCAACAACACGCGGGATGGTGGTTCATCGCGGCCCCCAATCGCGGTTGTGTCCAGCGCACGTGGGTACTCAACGAGTTCGCGATCACTGCCACCTCCTCCGCGAGTGTGGAGGAGCACAGGGTTGTGGCGCGGTATGGCCCATAGTTCTGCTACGTCGAGTCCCGCTTGCACTCTCCTCTCACCGTGGCCCCAGCTCACCGACGTCACCGCAGGGCCCAGGTCCACACGTCCCTGGCCGCAGCACGCGCACGCGCTGCCTGCGCCGCCGAGCGACCCGTGCGGGAAGGGCAGGCCTACGGTCACCATGATCAGCCCCCACGATGCGATCATGGACCGCTGGTGCCACGCATGCCGTCGGCGCTCTCGTGGCCATAGAACACGAGCGAGAAGCTGGCGTTCCTCGCGCCGTTTTAGGTGTTCTACGATGCGCTCACATACGCGTGCACGCTCAAGGGCTGGCTGCACGAACCGCCGCAGAAGTCCGCTGCGCTCACGCAGGCGCCGCAGCGCCAGCAGGAGCACGTCGACGAGCTTGTCGCCGCCGTGGTCGAGCGTTGGCTGGGCCCTTCCCTGCCAGTGATCCACCACCTCCCACCGCTCCACACCCTCTGCCTCGACTCTCTCGTAATCACACCCTGTATTCGTTCACGCATGTTCTCTCGCCCCGTTCTGCCACTTTTCTCTGCGCTTCAGTCCTTCTTTGTCTCGGTCAACCTCCGCTCGTTGGAGCCTCTTCTGTATCTCGTAGATAAATCTGCACGCGAACATGTTGCTTGTAGTTGCACTTGCAATTATAAACGGTAATAATTGCAAGTACGACATTAATGGCCAGATAGAGCGAAGACGTAGGCACAGAGAAGAGGCAGCCGTCTTGAAGCACCGCGGTGAGCGGCCTGCAACGCCGATCACGTGGTATCTGGTACTTCCCGGCCACTGGGGCTTGATCAGCAGCCGATCGTCAAATGATCGTTCACTGGTCATCCAACGTTCTGCACTCAGTGTACCCGCGATCATTTGCTCATTGACAGATCTAATAATTGTCAGGCAGATTACAAAATGATCGAAGAAATTCAGCTCAAGACAATGGTTGATCACATTTCTTCTACTAGACGAACCATGATCATGTGTTATATCGATGACGAAAACAGTTCATGCCGTGATCAACGAGCGCTTTGGAGATCGTGCCCGTTCTATCTCGCGCGCGTTTCGTGATGTGCCTCCAACTTCATCGATGTCATATACTTGTCATCTGAACTATACTCACACACGGATCGACATCTCGTAAAGAAGCATATCTCAGAGCTCTTCAAATCTTCGACCTTCAAGCTCACTCCACACTCGACTTGGACCAGTCACCATGAAAAGCGTTTGATCAGTTCCAACGTGTAACCCATCCAGCCCACGGACTTTCAACCCCGCAGTCACTACATCCACATTCGATCCTGTAACTCACCACTCCCACACAGAACCCCACTATGGGAACGAGGGCATCATGACAAAACCACTGGCGGTCTACGTCTTCTACGAACGGCACGAATAGGATACTAGCCGCCGGTCCACCAATCCCGACCCCGGTTCATCCGACCCATCGGCCGCCTGTGTATGTATGCGTCTCTGGACGCAACGGCTCCGACTCGACGGGATTTGTCATCGCACACGAACTACTCGGTTCATCTGACTCGATGCGACGATACTTGTCGAAGGTCATCGCCGAACCAAGATTGGGCGTGTCCCTCACACCACGCCGAGCCTCCAACGTATATATAATGGTCTCTGTACACAGTGGATCCGTCATTCACACCGCCGACCTTCTTCTGGCCAGCGGTGGCCATACACCATCCCCCGACAACCGCTCAGACGTGAGAGTGGGTACATCCCCGAGCACCAGCAAGCATGAGCCTTCCACCCCCCGCGCCTAACCAGGTGTTCTGTGACGTCTCCGCCCTTGAAGGAGGCCACGTCGACGCGCCCTATTCTATGCTCGTCGAGGGAGGCGCCCCCGACGACATAAGGCACTGCCCCGTCCTCGTCTTCCTCATCCGCCAGACCAACCGCGCCGATAACATCCTCTTCGACCTCGGTGTGCCCAAGAACTGGGACCGCTTCCCCTCCGCCGTCGCGCTCAAGGACATCTTGCATCTCGACCACCATGTCTTCGGGACCGACCTCCTCCCCGTCGACGGCCTCACCAAGGGTGGCCTCTCCCCCGCTGACATCACCCACACCTTCGTTTCCCACCTCCACCTCGACCACATCGGCGACCCGGCGCTATACCCGAACGCAGAGCTCCTCCTCGGCGCTGGCGGCCGCACCGCCCTCGCCGCCGGCTTCCCGGGCGACCCCGCCGCGACTCTCCCCACGGACTACGCGGACGGCAAGGCGGGGCGGACGACGTGGCTCGACCCGGCGGGCTGGCCGGCGCTGGGCCCGTTCGCGCACGCGCTCGACTTCTACGGCGACGGGAGCCTGTACGTCGTCGACGCGGGAGACGGGCACATCGCCGGGCACCTGAACGTCCTCGCGCGCACGTCCGCGGACGGCGGGTGGGTGTACCTCGCGGGGGACAGCGCGCACGACTGGAGCATCATCCGGGGCGAGCGCGGGTTCGGGCACCACCATGTGCTCGGGTGCTACCATGCGGACGAGGGGAAGGCGATGGCGCACGTTGAGGGCATCAGGACGTTGATGAGGGAGAACGCGAGGGTGAGGGTGCTCATCGCGCACGACGTGCCGTGGTACGAGGAGAACAAGGGCGGGCCGGCGTTCTTCCCGGGTAAGCTCGAGTCGTTGTAGAGGTGAGTGTGGAGAGTGCCGTTGGGATTCACGTGTCTGATCGTTCCCGTCTAGAGGCTTGCAGGCCGCTGTCGCGAGCGGTGTAGAAGGAAATACCTGCACCAGTGAGCTTGAGCGAAGCGCAGTTTAATCTCATAATGAATTGTTGAAGATTAGTTAGGGTGCTCTCGATGGAGGAGAACGGACCAATGTGGCTTGGGGAATTTGAGGGGGGCTTAGTAGAGGAGAGTCAGAGGTAACCGATCGACTAGTACGAGCGATAAAGCAGCAGACCGAGGGGACCATCGCAGTCTGGCGACTGCGTGGTGACTCGTGCGCGTGGGATCGACCCCGTGTCAACAAGAGGTGACCTCAGACTGTGCTCAGTTCAGTGGCTGAGGCAAGGGTACATATATAGCACTGCTCGTCGACAAAACGCGCAGCCGGAAATTCGAAGACTTGGAGACAAGCTCGGATCTGCGCAGTCAAGAAGTCTAGCAGATGACTTGGAAGCTGTGGTCGGTCGCTGGCGGAGAAAGGCCTGTCTGACTGAAAGACAGTCAGGGAGCATAAGCAGCATGCAAAGAATGGCGCATTGAGACCACACCCAAGATGCAGTTGGTCATCCCGGGCCGGTGGAGGAGTTGCGCGAGCGGAGGGCGGCCGCACGCGATCCTCTGTGCACGACCACCCACGCTCAAAACCTCCGCGGTCGCCCCCGCCTGCCGCACGCAGCATCGACCAGCAGCCTGTTTTCACTCGCAAGCTGCGGCCGACGACCGGACGCCCCTCCTCCGTCCACCCCGCTGCGCTTGCCAGGCCGATCCTCCTGCCTGTAACATGTTCCGCGGCGGCCCTCTCTGCCGCCCCCATGTAACCAGCTGCGCACACGGTCGACGGACCCTCCTCACGCCTTCCGCTACCCGAACTATTCCCGCGTCGGGGGGATTTCGCGCGCTAGCCCTCTTCCCCGCAGCCTCTTCTCATCCGCCCCTCGCCTCCTGCCCCCCACTCTCCCTACATCTCCGAATACGCTCCTTACGCAACCTCAACATGGCTACCACTGCTGTATCCCGTCGCGCTCACACCACACACTCCAAAGAGAAGGAGCCCGCCACCCACTCGCATGACTCCGACCATGGACATGGCCACGCGCACTCCCATTCGCATTCAGATGGATTCTTCTCTTCCCTCGTCCATACGCACGGCCACGGTGAGGGAGATCATGGCGAAGCGGAACATATGGTACAGGCTCTCAAGGGTGGAGGTGAGGTTTCATCTATGCACGCTCCCCACGTCCCTCACCACAACCTCCCTCCTGCAACCCACCAGGCGATCCAGGAAGCAGGATAACTCTTATTGGGCTGGGATCCAACGTAGTCCTCACCATTTCTAAGGGTGCTGCGGGATGGTACATGAACTCGGCTGCACTGTTAGCAGACGCAGGTCATTGTGCAGGCGGTAAGTCACCCCTCTGACTTCGCCCAGACCCATCCTCCTAATTCACTCCTGCATCCGTCCTCCCCATCCCTCCCCTTCCTCGTGTCTACTCTCAGATCTCATTGGGGACATTGTCACGCTCGTTTCCTGGCGCCTCTCCCGCAAACCTCCATCCGAGCGTTACCCCTACGGCTACGGCAAGTTCGAGGTCCTCGGAACCACCGTCGTCTCCCTCCTCCTGACCGGCGGCGCGCTGGGCATCGGCCTGCACTCCTGGGCGCTCCTCACCGACACCCTCACCGCTGCGACCGCGACGATGGAGCCCGGGGTCTTGCACGACATCGTCGCGCGCGCGGTCGACGCCTCCGCCTCCGCCGCCGAGCACGCGCACATCCACGCGCACTCGCACGCCGCGGTCGCCGACGCGAGCGGCGCGCTCGACCCGAACGCGGCGTGGTTCGCGGCGCTGGGCGTCGTCGCGAAGGAGTGGCTCTACCGCGCGACGCGGCGCGTCGCAAAGCAGGAGCGCAGCCCCGTGCTCATGGCGAACGCGGTCCACCACCGGAGCGATGGGTTCGGGAGCGCGGTCGCGCTCGTCGCGATCCTCGGCAACTGGTTCTTCCCCCACATCGCGCTCGACCCCATCGGCGGTGAGTGCTCTTCCAATCTTGCGTTTTGTGGAAGGGGCTGACGGACGGAGCAGGGCTCGTCGTCTCCGTGCTCATCCTCCACCAAGGCCTCACCTTCCTTATGTCCGCAATCCGGCAGCTGACCGACGCGGGTGTGTCGCCGAAGACCAAGGCCACGCTCATGTCCGCCCTCGAACCCCTCATCTCCTCGCGTCAGCCGTCTTCGCTGCCGTCGCTCTCACCCGAGCCATCCCCATCACGCTCACTCACGCCGTCGCGGACGTGTCCCCCCTCCCTGAGCGACGGCAGCGACCCTGCGCCGTCACCGGCGCTGGACCCCCTGCTGGCGGTGACGGACCTCCGGGCGATGCGTTCGGGCGCGCACATGATGGTCGACCTCGTTGCGCACGTCCCAGCGGGCCTCAGCGTTGAGGACGCGGCGACGCTGGAGGAGCGTATACACGACGCGCTCGTGCGCACGCGGAGAGAGGTGAAGGAGGTCCGGGTGAAGTTCCACCCAGTGTACCAGCGGCCATAGGAGGGGGGAGTCGCACACGCAACTCTGTTCGTCGTGCCTTAGTACATAGACTACCAGTAATGTATTATTAAGTGTAATTCTGGATGCTTATTCGCTACGGATCGCGGTGTGTGTTGTGGAGGCCAAATCACTGGGACTCGTGTGCTGTATGCTACAAGCGCATCGTCTGATGGAGTGCCTGAGCTGCACCGCGTCCTCAGAACCCGGGAGCTTATGTAGTCGCATGTACAGCTTCCCGACGCGTCGGTCGGACCGGGATCGGCAGCTTTCGTGGTTCGTACTCAGGAACCCACTATATCTTATATCAACGTTCTGGAGGCACAAGGACAACTGGCGGTGGTACTCACGACAAGCTCCCTCCTACCCCACAGCGGACCGGCGCGTCAACTCCGCTGGGGATCGTGCGCGAATTTTGCCAGTGCTGGACACAGCTCGAGTACGTTCTTCGCGCGAGCCCGGCGAGCCAGTCAGGATGTGCCGGTACCTCGCCATGAGCGTGCGCATGCGGGCTTTTTGCCACGAGCGAAGCGGCGGGCCCCGACGCAAGGTTTCAACTCCCCCGTCTGGTGGACGAGCGCGGCGGCTGCGATCGCGCAAGCCCACCTCGCCACCACCACGTCCACAACCCCCCATCGGACGATGGACCGCTCGAACCCCGAGCCCGTCTTCGCCTTCATCTTCGGCTCGTTCGCGTTGGTCCTCTTCATGGCGTGGTTCCATCGCTCTCGAAGAGCGCTCTTCCCTGCCACCGGGTCGCCACAGGCTCCTCGTCCCGAGCCGGAAGCCGCGCCCTCCTTCGTCCGGACGTGGGGCGGAGGGCAGAACGGGGACATGTGCCGTGAGCAGAAGCCGCCTGAGTTCCTGGAGGTGCGCACGGTGGTCCCTGCAGGACGTGCGGGAGGGCGCCGGTGGGAGGATATGCAGGTGCGCCGGGTTCGAGCCGCCTCCCCTCCGCGGAGCTGGGAGCGCCGTTGTTGATGTCGTCTCGTCTGCGCGACAGCCGCTATCTGTGCAGAGAGTTGGGGGTGGGCTACACGAGGAGCGAAGGCCATGGGTGTCGAGGAAGGTGCAGCCGGAGGGTCGGTGGCGCACCTCGGTGTTCATCATGCTTCCGCAGGAGGCACGAGCAACCCAGACGTCGTCGTTGCCGTTCAACTTTGGAGTGGCGGTCGAGTAGCACTTGGCGAAGACGGCACGTCAGCAAAGGGCCTTGCTAGTAGTAGTCGTTCGTGAAAGCTTACTTGATATCCGCACTGCATCCACTGACTGCATGCCGATTTGGCATACGGCTCTGTGAGTGTGCAGAGACGCACCTGGGATGCAAGCAAAAGGAGAACCGTGACAAACGGAGTACTGAAACCACTTTTAAGGACGTCAATGTGAGCTGCCTTAGCCGAGCCGCAATATGTGATGACTAAGCGACTCATCATTTTGGCTTCGGCGTCTACCAAATAGGTGAGGCCCAGGCGACAATGAAAAAAGCAGACGAAGTGAATATGATGACAATTCTTATGTATACTGCAATGCGATGACGGTGATAAATCCGCGCCATGAAACTTATTCGTACAACGCCTCCAGTATAGCTACTGTTTTGACAAAGGCAGGGTCTTCTTTCTTCCCCACGGCTAGCTCCGCAATCTGTTGAACATCCTCTTTCGGAACATTGTATTGCGACAGTGTGGAGTGCAGTCCGAGGTCGTTGACGAGTCTGAGAGGGTGCAATTGACGATGAGCCAATGGGAGAGGACTGACGAAAGTAACATACTGTTGAATGGACTTCGACAACTCCAGGACGTCACCGTCGACGGACCCAGTCGAAGGTTTGCGGAGGTAGAAAAGAGCATTGGCGAGCCACTCCTTGTCTTGCGGAGAGCCTAGCTCTACTTTGGCGGCGACCACAGGGGCGAGCGTGAGGCACTAAATCGGATGGTATCTCAGCATGCTCAACCCAAATGGACGCAACTAGGGGACCTCACAGATGTAATCCCGTGTGGAATGCCATACCGTGCCCCGAGCCTGTGTCCCAGACCATGGGATAACCCAAACGCACTGTGTTTTCTGTTAGAGTCATGAAAGGGAAGAGCGATGGACGTGAACGCACACAAACTTTTCCAACTGCATGGGCCAAATGCTCATCCACGAGGCAATCTGCAGCTTTTGCCTGGTGGAGACGTCTTCCGGGTGCGCCTTTGACAGTGGAAGGTATGTGAAGAGGTCGGCCAACGCGGCATAGCATAAGTGCTTAAGCGGCGGTGGAACGCCAGGGCGGTAAAGGCTCTCTACGCAGAGGTTCCACGCTGAGTATGAGAAGAGGGCTAGATTATGCAACGGCAAAGTGACATACCGACAGCGTGGTCGAGAGCGCGGAGGCCCGTGGACAGCCAGAGGCGCTCAGGCGTCGCGAGAGTGAGTTGCGCATCAAGGATGATACCTGCGGGTACAAGCGAGGGCGAGGCGACTGCAACCTTGTTCCCGGAGTCGTCCGTGAAACCCGCTCCCATCTGCGCACGCGTCCTGAATCCTGGCTGCACCCGCGCGCGCGACGAGGAGACGCACCGTGTACTCCGCCGCGCTCAGCGTAGTTGGGATCGCGATCTGCTTGAAAGGTGCGGGCGCGCCAGACTCCTGCTGAACGAAGTGGAGGATCGCCTTCGCCGCGTCAACGGGCGAGCCACCGCCGACGCTGACGATGACATCAGCGCCGGCGTCCTTGAAAGCCTGGACGCCGCGACGGATGCCTGCGACAGGCGCGTGCTCGCCGATCTCATAGAAGGTTGCACCGTACGCATCGTGCGCTTTGAGAATACCCTCGACGGTCTTGACGACGTCGGTCTGGCATCCCGCGTGGATAGGTGCGAGTATGAGAGCTTATAGGGGTGTAAAAGGGCACTGAACCCACCTTGGTGAAGAGACTGCGGCCGGTCACGATCAATGCTTTCTTTGCGCCGAGGGCATCGAGGAGCTTGGGGAGTGCAGTCGCCGTCGACCCAGGACCAAAATGGATGCCCTTGAGAGAATCGCTGTACGCATATGAGCCTGTGAGGTCTGACGCCATGTTCGCACGCTCGAGGAGAAGCGGCTGTGGGGGCTTATATATGTCGAGGGGCTGAGGCTGGAAATGGTATATGCGATTTTGAAATACGAAAGAACGGCGAGAATACGCACGCAATCTTGGAGTGGATGCACCCGCTGCGACCCGCAAGAACTGCCGATTTACACACTCGACCCATACGAAGATACCGCTTGCAGTCCGTGGACAGGTGGCCGGCGCAGAGGCTTCATGGGATGTGTCTGGAGTCGCAAACGCGGTCAGAGCCAGCGGGGCTGAGAGTCGAACGCGTCTAAATCCAGCACGCCACGTGAGGATCGCCGCGACGGCGCTCGCTCGGCTTGTTTCCGACCAACGCGGACGGCCTCCAAGGCCTATGACGCTCCAAGCCTATTCTCCGTTCCGGCATTTGTCATTCGTTATAAGGGCGAGGGGGCCGGGTGCTGGGTGCGTCATTCCCCAGTCCACCCGGCTGTATCATCGACTAAATTTGCGAGCTCAGAGAGTCCAGCGGTGAGCAACGTATGGACAATGTTTTGATTTCCTCCGCAATGTCTCTTCATACCGATTCAAGGTCTCTGCCAGTGCCGGTGTAAGCACCCTCGGTGAACACTTAATAAGGCTCGAAGTAGACTCCTGATCACTCCTCGCATCATCGGGACGATCCCTCCGAAACAAGCACCATTCCCAGGGAGGTCGTCAAGGCGCCCCGCGGCAGGTACAAAAAGCCCCCTCAACCCTTACCCCTGCAGTAATCCCACTGCCCCGATCCACAGGTGAGTAATTCCGCACCTCCGTGTTTGCGTTAAACTTGTCTGCAAATGAGACTTGCATGAAGAGTTGGCTTCGTTGACCAAGCAGCGCCATGATGCAGTGCTCCAGGAACCCTTGGCCCCGTCTGGGCGTCGGCCTCGTCATTGGAGTGGCTGGTGCTAACGTCATCATACAGAACTCTCCATGGACCTTCCACCCCCCGCCGTCGACCAAGCCTTCTGCAACGTATCAGTCCTCGAGGCTGGCTTTGTAACGTTGCCGCTGGCCTGGATCTTGGACGGCATCGCAGACGCCGTCCGCGTTCGCCTTCCGGCCCTATCCTTTCTGGTTCGCAACTCGGCGAACGCAGACAACTTCGTCTTCGATCTTGGCATTCGCAAGGACTGGGAGAAACTCCCACCTGTCCTCATCGAACAACTCCAGAAGGTCATGCGTTTCGACGTCGATGTCCCAATTGACGCCGTTGCCGCTCTCGCCTTGGGCGGCGTGACCCCTGGCGAAGTCACCCATATCCTTCTCTCCCACCTCCATATGGACCACACCGGCGACACGTCCCTGTTCTCGAACGCCCAGGTCTTCGCCGGAGCTGCCGTCCAGCCCATCGTTGATAACGGCTACCCGGGCAACCCCGAAGGGCTCGTCACGAGCGACGTCGTCCCCGCGGGCCGCACGACGTACCTCGACCCGGTCTCCTGGCCCGCGCTCGGGCCGTTCCCGCACGCTTTCGACTTCTACGGCAACGGCAGCATGTACATCGTCGATGCCGGGAACGGTCACATGCCCGGCCACCTCAACCTTCTCGCACGTACGTCTGCCGACGGCGCGTGGGTCTACCTCGCTGGGGATACCGTGCACGACTGGCGGATCATCAACGGGGAAGGCAAGATGGGCCACCACAGCGTGTTCGGATGCGCGCACATGAACGAGGCGGAAGCGGAGGCGCACATCGAGCGCGTCCGGGTACTGATGAAGGAGAACCCACGGGTACAGGTGTTGCTTGCACACGACGTGCCCTGGTACGAGAAAAATGTGGGTGGGCCGGCGTACTTCCCTGGGAAGCTCGAACCGTTGTAGGTGAGTCACACGATCATTGTCTCTCGCAGTTTCTCGAGGTCTGACTCCAGGGGTAGTGCAGCGCGCCCATTTTGTACATGAGCTCTTGTATGTACGACTTAAGGCTGGAGACCGGTGTATGTATCACCTCTCGCTTCCCGCGGAACCTCCCCGACGGTGGCTCTGCTGATGTCGTTTATCGCTATTGCGTTTTCGACACCGATAGTTCGATCTCACTGCAACCGCAACTGGCGCGAGTGCTCGGGCCACATATGGCTGGTGAGTCGCCGTGGTTGACCGCGGTGACACCATCGCGGCCGGCCTGCTCATCCCGGGCTCGCTGGCTATTGATGGCGCGCCGCTCACCACGCACACACCCACTTCGACTGCTCTCCCGAATGCGTAGCTTCTCCTCGGCGCCGCAGGACGTCCGTTGACTGACGAAGGCTTCACGAAGAGCCCGTATTCAATATATATGGCCAGCAATTCGACGATTTCGCTCGGTCCCTCCGGGGTTGTTCCCGCACTGCTCGACTTCTGTGACGGCGATGATGGGAGCCTGTGCATCAGCGCTGGAAACTGGCACGTACTTTGGCACATGACCATCTTCGTGCGTACGTCTGATGATGGAGACGGCGCACCCACGATGCTATTGGCTTGAAGGTGAGCTTTCACGGCTGTGCTTGTGCTGATAGTACGGTTTTACGTGGAAGGGTTTCGCCTTCGGTGGAGCAAATACTGAGCCAGACCAAAAATAGCGGCTGCTGCTTAGCAAGCGGGTCTATGTAGTATGGGACCTTCGTATACTTTCAAGTGCCGTCTCTTCCATCCACAGGTTATATACACTCACCTTGTATTAGCCTTCTTGTCTCCGTGTCTCCAGGCGCTCGAGCGCAATCTATTTCATCAATTTGCTCTCCGTTTGCTCTTTAAACTTCTCCGGGGAAGGCTTGTTCAAAGTGCTGGCCCCACACGCTGCTTACCCAATCTGACGTACCCGTCCCAGAAGTAGAGCACTTGACGGCGGCGTGGGTCACATGATGCGGTTCTCAGGGAGTATATAGCCTTCCCCAAAGATTGAAGGGGTTTCCAGGCTATCTACGCTGTCTCTCTCGTACCACGTTCGACGCAACATACTCACCAAGTACGATGTTAAACTCAGCCATACTATCGTCCGCGATGACTAACATGTGGATATACGTAGTTGCTAGTATGAGTTTCCCGCCGCCAGGACCGAACCAAGGCTACTGCGAGCTCTCCGCGCTAGACGCAGGCCAGATCTACATGTCTCTTCTCCAGCTCATTGATACCGCCGCGCCCGACGACGTCGCCGACCTCCCCGTGCTCGCCTTCCTCCTCAAACACGTCCCCTCCGGCACCTACATCCTCTTCGACCTCGGGATCCGCCCCGACGTCGCCGCGCTCCCGATAGGGCTGCGCACCTTCTGCGACAGCATCCAGTGCAAGTTCACCGGCGTCGACATCCCCGCCGCCCTCCGCCGCGGCGGGCTCGACCCCGGCGCGGTGCAGCACATCGTGCTCTCCCACGTCCACTTCGACCACGCGGGCGACACCACCCGCTTCCCGAACGCGACCATCCACCTCGGCGGCGCCGCGGTCCCGCTCCTCGCGGAGCTCGCCGCGAAAGGCCCGGGCGAGGCCACGTTCGTGGCGTGCGACCTGCCTCCCGCGCCGCGCACGAACTTACTCCCCCAGGGCGAGGGAGAGGGCGGGACGTGGGCGCCGCTCGGGCCGTTCCCGCGCGCGCACGACCTCCTCGGGGACGGGAGCGTGTACGTCGTCGACGCGCCGGGGCACGTCCCGGGGCACGTCGCGCTCGTCGCGCGCACGTCTGCGGACGGCGCGTGGGCGTTCCTCGCGGGCGACAGCGCGCACGACTGGCGGATCGTCACGGGCGAGGCGGGGATCGGGCACCACCCGGCGTTGCCGTGCATGCACGCGGACGAGGCGGCGTCGAACGCGAACATCGCGCGGATCCGCACGCTGACGAAGATGGAGAGGGTGCGGGTGCTGCTGGCGCACGACCTGCCGTTCGTGCGGAAGGAGAAGGAGACGGGGATGAAGTCGTATTGGCCGGGTAAGATTGAGTCGCTGTAACGCACTTCACAAGTTTGTACTATCATGTGGCTCCTTTGTATGGTCTCCAAAGCCCTGTCAACGGATCCAGCAGGAGCAGATCGGGAGGATCAAGAGTTTGATGGGAAAGGAGAGAGTGAGGGTCATGACGGGGCATTCAACCATGAGACGCACAGGGATGCTGGTGGGTTTTGGCCGAATGAGTTTCCGTTATTATAAAAGAAGGTACTCAGACTAGAATGAGAACGAGACCCGGAGTGGCCGAATGAGCGGGTACGGGGAGTCTGAGGCCGAAACTGTCAGAAAGGCAGCCAAGGGTGACCGGTGAAGCTGGCAAGTGCAGTGAGACCTCACCGATCCGCGTCTTTGGACACACCGTAGATGGCACCCATTCTGACGAGGGCAAGCTGACTGGGCAAACAGGTGGGCGGCGATTCTCCCAAACCTTGTCCGTACCCCGGGCCCCAGCCGGCCATCTGCTGATGGGACGTTGAATAGAACCCTGCCGCGAGTGCAGAACGAGTGATCGCACACACTTGGTGTATAGCTTCGCGGCAAAGTGCAGCCAGCACGTTCAAAGCGAGAGTTTCTGTAGTAGGTACCCAATGATACCTTGTCAAAGGCAGGAATGCGTCCATGATAACATGGATGTACTAGAGGTGCATTTCTTCATATCCAGCAAGTGCATGCAGGTGCCTTCAAGTGTACTCGGAATGACGCAGAACCGTAATGCTTAGATAGCGATTTCAACTCACCTCATGTTCACGTACTATGATGTCCAGTGCCTTGGTGCTCCTAAGTCGGGCCGGTGATGTCGGAGATGTGGGCGCGTTGCAACATGGGCTCGGCAGACAGACTCGACGTCGGTGTAATATTCGGACCGCCAACCTGGGCCCGGAGACGGGGAGCATTCGACGCATCCTGTCACAGCCTATAGTTCCGACGCGGTGGACGGAGCTGCTACGAGTGGGTGAAATGGGCGCGTGTGCAGGAGATTTGGCAGTCGAAACGAAACGAAACGAAACGCACGTCCAACACTATGTGCAACTCCGCAGGAAGGGCCTTGGATGATTGCAGGGATGCTGACGACGAAGACACCGGTAGGTATGTGGATCGCTGCTGAAGAAGGGAGCCTGGAGGATAGAAGGGCCGAGTACGCGTCATGTGAGGAATACTGCATCCATGGTCACGAAAAGCCAGCGGAGGGGATAGCCGATAGAACCACATGAGATCATCGATCTGCCCTTCCCCGCGGGGGGTGAACGGGAGGTGCGCAATCGGGGACGCGCGCCCGAGCCGTGCTTCCCTCGAGGCGCAGACGATGGGAACTGAGATAATGCGGGTGGAAGGTTGGACGTGAGAGGGCGGGGAGAACGCAGTACAGGGAGCTGGCTGGAGGAGAGATGAAGTTGGGTGCGGGGCACCGAAAGAGAAGCCGTGATGGATTATCTGCCGCAGGCCGTCCGGGGTCGTACACACGTCGCGGGCAGATGTGGATGGGAGTGGGCTGGCTGGCAGATCGAAGGGATGGTTGCGGGATGGGCGCAAGGCGGGGATAACAGATAAGATCAACGAGAGCGCCGGCCGAGGGGCGGACCGGGCTCTTGGCCGGCACGCGTCGGCGTCGGATTCGGTGCGTCGCGCAAGAGCGCGCGCAACGGCTCCAGGGCTTTGCGCGGTCTCTCCCAGGACTTGCCTCTGATCCTTCCCAACCGTCACCACCTCCCGCTCTCTTTTCCTCCGTTCCTTCTTCCCCTTCCGCTCCTTTCTCCCCCCCTCTCTCCGGCCCCCCTCTCCCCATGCCCGCCCGGACTCTCTCCGACTCCCCAGAGCTTAGTCCGCCCCGCTTCTACTCCCGCCGCTCCCCCTACTCCTCTCATCCCCGCCGGGAGAGCCACGACGACCGTCTGGGGGAGCCAACCGTATACGCCGTCGCAATGCCCCCGTCCAACTCACGTCCAGACAACGATTACGCCCCTAATGCCCCATGGCAGCAGTCGCAATCCCGCATATACCCAGACCCTTCCTCGATACCCCCGCACTGGCAGATCCACCCTTCTTCTTTCCGCGACCCCCGCCCCTACCTTCCTCCCGCCCCCGTTCTACAGGCAACCTCTCGCGTCCCATGGCAGAACGTCTACCCTCGCTTTGTTCAAGTTCAGCCCTTCGTCGCGCCTCCTCCTAGCCCGCTTCCTCACAAAGTCTGGATCCTTGACTGCAAGGCCTGCGGGACCTTTCTGACAAACAGAGGCATGAAGGTGAGCCCCGCGATCCTTGCGTTCCATGCCCGTACTCTTCATCCGCACCTCTCTGTCCTTTCGTCATCACGACATAGACAAGTACCCTGGCGGTCAGCGATGGACTGCTCGCACGTACCTCTTCACTACAACCTTCTTGGGTGGAGGGGTGTGACCGATCCACCGTAGCCTGAATGCGCGCCCAACGTGTTGCCATGCGTTGGGACGTGTCCACACAGCACACATTCGCAGAGCACCTATGCTTGCCTCAAGTTTTGCCACCGCTTTTGCATGCATCTCCCCGTTGATCCTTCGGACACTGACTTCCTGCTTCCACAGGCCGTACTTCTATTACGTCCGAACGTACCCTTGTATTCAACGGACGCACTTCCCGTTAACTGCTCGGCCTTCTCGACCGAGTCGGAATCTCCCACTCTAGCGCAGCTTCCCTCGGGACCTTCCTCGTCTCCCCCAGGTGCAAGCATTCATGCACCTCAGTCAGCACCAGGTATCCCTTCTCCTGAACGGTCGCCGGCGCGCACATGTGAATGTCTGACCCAAACTCTATGCTGTCATGGCTGCGGAACGGCCGTGGGGTATATGATTGTGAGCCCTTGTCAGCGGTGCACGTCTTCGATCACGGTCAACAATCGTGCAACGAATGGACATCGCTTCGTTTTCTACTCCAGCGAAATCACGGCCTGCGAACGCCACTACGTCAAGGGTGAACGTGGGGTGAACCCTTTCCACCCCGTTCCTCCACCGACCCCCCAGACTATCCAAAGCGGCCTCGCTGGCCTCACCATCGGTAGCTCGTCCCCAAGACCCTTGCCTGTCCAACAGCCGTCTCCCCCTTCGACGTCTCCTACTGCGAGCACGCCGTCATCCCTCGGGCCGTCCTCTCCAACCCATCTCCCAGACTTCAATCGGCAGCCGTCGGGAGAGTACCTGCCCACTCCGCCACCGGAGGCGGACAGTACCTTCGCATCCAACTCTCGCGTTGTGCCTTCGCTCTCCACGTCCTTCTCACCAACGTCGCCAAGACACACTTCGCGTCCCAGTCCTATCCGCATCACTCCTGAGAACCTACGCCTCGCCGATGCGACAAGCGTCCCGCGCACGGTTAACTTCGCGGCAGACACGTCCCCACGCATTTCCTCTCCCATTCCAGGCCCCACTCAAGTCGTTCAATCGCGAGCCCGCGCTGCCTCTGCGGGCTCTATGGCGTCTTCTCTTCCTCTGCAGTATGGTAGTCGCCCCTCATATTTTGGGCAGCCAACCTCCCATATCCCGATGCTCCCCATACCTCCCCCGGTCCCGGAACCACTCAAGGTTGGAGAAGTCTTGTACTGGCACCACCTCTTTCGGAGTGGGGAGATCCCAGCGGTGTCTGAAGACCCTCGCGCCCGCTTCGACCCTGATGCGCCGGAAGTGGGAACAGATGGCTCCTCCCGACGGCATGCCGTTCCGAGCGGCATCGTCGTTGCTGGGCGATGAGCCCCCGGAGGTGATCGCTCCGGTTCTCCTAGGTCGTTAGGTCAGCTGCGGATACCCCGAACCGCCACCGATTGCGGTGGGCGCCTCACATGTTTACCACCATGTCTCGCATGACCTCCTTCCGGACGCGAAACACAGGTGACCTATCTATTTTTTTATTCATCATTATCACTGTATATCCTTGCGCTCAAAAGCTATTGTGGCCGCTGCTGCGCGCGTCCCTTCGCATACTTCGGTGTTTGCCATCATGGACGCTCTCGTCAGTAGCAGTTAGTCTCTCCTGGTTTCTACGTACATAGCCACTCCTGCCTCGGCCACATGCGTATCCCCATCCGCACTACGCCTACATACCGATCCCGCCTCCGCACATACATCCGTCGTCCCAACTGCATAAGTCCTATTATGATGTCTTGTTACGCCCCGCCCACGATATTGTTGATTACGCTTCTTGCTACGCCCTTACCTCTGCACCCCTCCATCTACAAGGTACCCGTTACCCCTCTATCCACCCATATCGTCCTCGCTAGCTAAGCCTATGTTTTGTTGTCAACCCAGCCCGCTACGGAGATTCGCAAACTTGCCGACACCTGCATTCGCCCACCGGCTACCCGCCAGTGGCCATACCATCAGCCCCACCCCGCCCGGCTCTAACCCAAGCCCGGCTCAGCTTACGTCCCCGTTACTCGCGATCACCCCTCCCTGTATCGATCACAATACGTCTCACTTCTACCCCTCGGTGCCCTCCCGCCCACGTCGGGATGGCGCGGATCACGCGAGCACATGGTGCGTAGACCTTGGGTACCCGCGCTGTTACGTTACACCGTAGCCCCGCCGGCGACCTCTTTGTTGCCTTTTACGTTGCCGGTGAGCCCGCCTGTGGAAGTCCGGATGCGCGGGCTCTCGTCATCGCGCGCGAGCTTCCCGAGTTCCGACGGTTTGTCGCAGGGTTCAGGCCTCAGGCTCGCACACCCGGTTGAGCGGCGTCGGACCTCGGTGCTTCGACCCGCGAGGGTAGCAGGGCTCGCGAGCTGCTGCCGGCACATCGACTTCGTGGGCTCTTGTGCTCACCGATCGTCTTGTTCTTCGACCTTGTTACCGGCTTTCTTTTTGTTGCCACGTCTTCTCACTCCCTCACCAGATGTGCCGGCCTTGCCGTTGGGTCGACTCGGATCGCACGCGGTCGACGTTGGTGGTCGTGGTCAGCAGCCGATCGCGTGTGGCGCCGCGCGAGTCAGACATCTTTTGGGGCCGAGCGCGAGAGGCACACTGTCGACGTGGGTGTCGCGTATGTGGACACCTTATTCGTGATACACGGGCGCCCCCAGACCGATTCCGCAACACGACTCTCGCAGGCGCCAGCTGTATGTCCCGGACTCGCCGTTTTGTTGCGACTTCACATCATCCGGGATTTAAACTTGGGAAACTCAAGCGGGCTCTCTGCACCTCGGTTCTCAATGAGTGGACTCGGGGGCCGCGGACCACCTACGTCCGCCGTGGTACCGGTGCTTGGACCGCTGGCCGGGGCGTTGAGACGAGCCTCGACGGGTGCGGGACGCGGCGGGCATGCTGATCTCGCGACGGGCAGTGATGGCGAAGGGAGTTGCCGTACATCGCTGGTCGCGCATCTCGGCCTGCGGCATCATTCGACGGGGGCACACGTGCCTTGCACCTATGACGAGTCGAGCTGCGACGAGTGGAGTTGTGTTGGACATGGATGATACGTTTTGCTTTGTCGTGCTGCTAGTATGCTGCTTTCTTGTGACCTCGCCCTGATAGCGTGTACCACCATAGTTTCTCGCGTAGCGTTACTACTACCTACTCCAGCTTATAGCCCTGTCGTCGTTTTCTTGTCCGACTCTTACTCTCAATGGGCGGCCGGGAGATCAAGTCTTTGGGAGTCTGGCCGAGACAGTGCCACTACTTGTGTTCGCCACCGGAAACTGCCGGGCGGCTCCACCGGGAAGAAGCGCCCGCTACTACGCACCAGCCTCCCCTTCTGCTTATGTACTTGCACTGCAACACCTTCGTGCTACTCCTGGATGTGCCTCCTTCATGAATGCAACCATATGCTTTGTTCCTGTATGCGCAAACTTTAAGCGGGCTACCGCAGCAACCAGGTTACCCGAGAGTGGGAATGCTCAGCACGCTCTCGTGCCGAAACAGCTATCCTACAGTGTTGCAGGACATCCTGCAGCATTCTTCCTGTCCTTCTGCGCTGCACTCGCGTCTGCCTATAAGCACTGTGCCTCCGTCAAGCCACCTCCCAACGCCCCCTCCATTCCTCCACGAACCCAACGATGGAGATCTTGATCGAAGATCTTCCGTTCACTGCAACCAGATGGGAGGTCAAGCATGCGTTTGGTGAAATCCTCCACAATCCTCCATTTTACGATCCGTGTTCGTCAAATCGACCCGAGTAAGTGCTCGGCCACGATACGCGATCGTGGCGCCGTCTTTTCACCCGCATGTACCCACCAGAAACATCCACGTGTACCTCGAGGAAAGCACGAACTGCCTCCCCAACAACGGGAAAGGGAGTGTCATCCTTTCAAATCGTGCCCTCGGGCAAGATTTCTTCAGATGGGCGACGAAGCGAGGCAGTCCTGGCGTTTGTGTAGGTGGGCGGCGTCTGTTTCTCAAGATGAAAGGGGGCAGCCTCTCGAAGTCGAACAAGGCAAAAGTACGAGAGCTGCTCAAAACGCCGTACGTGCAGCCGCTAGACGAGCAAAATCGACTGCAGAGGCTGGACGAGATCTCTGCCGTAGTCGTCAAGCTCGACACCATCCAGTTTGGCGTATACTTCCGCAGAGACGGCGATCCTAACACCGCCAATCGGACCTTTTCCGCTGAGCACGAGATCAGCCGGGAAGATACCGTCTCCGGGGAACTGATATACAATTACAACAGGAAGGAGTTTATTGTCGAAGTGCGTGTTTTCCTCTGAGAATTATCAGAGCACATCTCTGACGGTACGCTTCTTTAAAGAGTGGTAATCCTGTGACAGACGACAACACCGATCTCATCATCATCGAAATTCGCAACATCAAGAAGACTGCGTATGGTAAGGATGATAACGGACAATATTGTGGGTCAAGCATCTTCCCTTTGAGACATCGCCTGATCTCCCTATAGACGTTTGTATGGAACTTTGGCATCCCCCTCGGTTCGAACAACAGACCCAATTCCGCGCCTATACCAATGACAGAAAGAAGGACAAGAAGCATTTCCGTCAACGGCTTCCACACCTTGGCGGTCTGCACGAGTTTGTCACTCCTTATGCATACCAACTTCGACTTTTACTCCTCGCACCGCAGTCCCACGACGAACGCCACGATGAACTCAAAAAGCTCAAGCTTCTCTGCGAAGCGGCCGAACTCGCACCACACCGCAGCCAGATCGAGGTCGAACAACGCGACTTCTTCCACCCCGACCGGCTCGCGACCGCGCGCGAGTGGATGAGCCGTTTCGCATGGCCGATCCGCTTCCAGCTGGAGGCACTCCTCTCCAACAGCCTCGTCACCACTCGCGACCTGTACCACCTCAGCGTGCACATCGAGGACCTCGTCAACAAGCGGCCCGCACTCGCTGTCGACTTCCTCCGCCGGCTGTCCACGCGCTTGCTCACGCGCGGGAGCTCAGAGACAGTGGTCGACTGCTTCCGCGTCGCGCTCGAGACCGAGGCCGCAGACTCGGCAGCACTCAGCGACGGCGACAAGGGGCCCGACTTCCTCGGGTCCGTCAAGAGCGCACACGCCGTCGTCACACCCTCACGGGTTCTCCTCGCGGGTCCCTACGACACACAGTCGAACCGCATCGTGCGCCGATACTACGAGTACAGGGAGTACTTCATCCGGGTTGAGTTCAGAGAAGAAAACAAGATGACCCTCAGGTGGCCGAAGGAGGTGCGTGCGCCGTGACATGGGGGCGTCCGTGCCGGCTTTTCCCTCACGTTTGGGCGCAGGTAAATGCTGCGTCGCTCATCGAAGGACGGTTCGGCGACATCCTCAAGAACGGTTTGGACGTCGCTGGGCGGCGCTTTTACTTCCTCGGGTGGTCCATGTCGGGTCTCGGCGAGCACACGACGTGGTTCATGGCCGAGTTCGACCACCCAACCGAGGGGCGCGTCACTGCCGAGAGGATCCGCCAGGGCCTCGGCGACTTCACGAAGTGCCAGAAAATCCCTTCAAAGTACGCCGCTCGTCTCGCGCAAGCGTTCAGCAGTACAAGTCCCTCCGTTCGGATTCGGTACGATCAAGTCGAGGAGATCCCGGATCTGGGCGAGAAGTACAAGCACACGGACGGCCAGGGCACCATCTCATCCGCGCTGGCCGACTTGATTTGGGGGGCTATGGTCGAAGAGCGCCCTGCTCGAGGGAAATTGCTGCTGAAACCATCTGCGGTAGGTGTCTTCGGGGCGCGTAGCAGTGACCCGAGCTGACACGTCCTCGATACAGTACCAGATTCGTTTCCTTGGTATGTCACACGTGTTGCCGTGGACTGCCGTTAACTCAATATTTTCAGGCTACAAGGGCATGGTAGTCGTCGACGATACTTTGGAAGGTGTTGCGATGCGCCTGAGGCCATCCATGTGCAAGTATGAGGTAACGAATTACGAGGAAGCCGAGATTGAGATTGCCAAACCGTTCATCAAGCCCGGGACTGCCAGGCTGTGTCGGTGAGCCGTCATGAGCCCATCTTGGAACCGCTTGATCTTCCTGTGCGCTTGCAGCCCACTGGTCGCTGTGCTAGAAGACCTCGGTGTGGAGAAGCAGGCCTTCCTCGATGTGCAGAACCACGCGATGAAGGACGTAGTGGAAGCCCAGGACACGCTCTTCAACGTTGCGAAGAAGTTGATCCAGAGGTACGGCCTGGGCGATGCATTTGGGCTGCGCTGGACGCTCGAGCATCTCGCTCGCTCTGGCGTGGTCATGCGGGGCAACGATCCGGTCGGCCGGTTCCTCCTGGACAGCGATTTCATCAGGGGTATCGTCAAGTACGCGCAGACGTATGCCCTGCGCGAGTTCAAGTACGAGACGCGTATCCCGCTAGACGAAGCTTATCAGCTCGTTGGTGTCGTCGACGAAGGGCCAGCGTGGGTCGCGGCGGGGCGCGAGAATGTCTACTGCCTGGCCGATGGAGAGATATTTGGTGAGCTCCCATCCGTGTCGTCTGTGTTTGGGAACACTGACTGTGTTGGGGTGTAATATAGCTTGTGTGCAGTACCCAGATAAGGAAGAAATGCATTATCTCAAAGGCAAGTGGCTCTTGCAAGTTTATGAACCTCGTCTTACACCGAACAGGCAATGTCTCTATCTCGCGGTCTCCGCACATCCACCCCGGGGACGGTGCGTTTATGAAATGTGTATGGCCGTGGTAACGCTAACTTTCATACGGACAGTCCAGCTAGTTCGAGCGATTGGGAAGCCGCCTGCAGACAAGGAGTGTTTCTTCCGGAACATCAAGAACGTCGTAGTCATGCCCTCCACAGGCAAGTTTCCCTTCGTCGAAGCACGCGCATCGACTGACTACTTCACTACGGGCAGGAGAACGCTCCTTGGCGTCCTGTCTGGCTGGCGGGGATGTCGACGGGTGAGATCGCAAGCTCACATGGGATGCATATTGACTGACATGATTGCCTCAGAGACGAGTTCTTAATCATCCGGGATCCTACCCTCCTTCCCAAAATCATGTCGCAGCCGAACGACTACGAAGCCGCCAAGCCAAAGCTTCTTGATCACCCCAGTACTGTGGACGACATATGTGATTTTTTCATGAAGTACATGCAGTTCGACGTGGTGGTAAACCGTTAGACTCTCCACCCTGTGTAGTTTTACTCTAACAAACTGGTTCTCAAGGGTCTGGTGGCCTCGCAGCATCTGAAGATTGCCGGTAAGGCTTCGCGGTGTCACCAATTCCATCTTCCATTCGACTCATCTGCTTCGCACATGTGTCTATAGATCAGTCAGAGGTAGTAGGACGGTCCGTTTTGCAGTACAGACATGGGGCTCATCGTCTACTCAACAGGATGGCGTGTTTGACGAACGTTGCATGAAACTCGTGGATCTCTGCAGCCAAGCTGTTGATTATCCCAAGCAAGGCGTTCACGTCGAAACCGATGCGATGCCACAGCCTTATACAAAGATCAAGCCGGACTGGAGCCAGGTACGCGGGTAACGTCCTTTGAGTCTGCCGTGAAACTCATTTTGCGCTCCTACCGGGACCCCAGACTCAAGACGAGACCGGCCGCCCAGGGGACTTCTACGAGTCCTCGCGCGCGCTCGGCGTGCTCTTCCGCTCGATCAAGATCAAGGACCTCCACGCGTCCGCGCCGCCGCCCAGGTCGCACACCGAGCCCCTCCTCCCGCACCCGTCGTACGAGAAGACGAAGCCGCTGGGCGACAACGTGTCGCGCGCGCTCCGGCCGGCGCTGATCCCGCACCTGCAGCACCGCGCGGAGCGGCACGACGCGGACGAGCTCGCGGCGCTGGAGCCGCTCTTCCGGCACTACGCGCGGGAGCTCGCGTACGTCTGCCTCGCGCACGCGCCCGGGGAAGGCGCAGACGCGCGGCTGTCGGAGGAGGAGGTCGTGCTCGGGGTGATCCTGGGGCGGTGCCCGGACCCGCGCTGGCGCAAGAGCCGGGCGTACCGGATGCGGGAGCACGCGGGGCAGCTGGTGCGGGACGTGCGGCAGCGGGCGCGGGGGCTTGCCGCGCCGCGGTTCGTGCGCGGGAAGGGCAAGGGCGGCGAGGTGGAGGAGGGCCCGACGCGGGAGGAGGTGGTCACGGCGCTCAGGCGGGGGTGGGCGGCTTGGGACTTCGGGCTTAGGTACAGGGAGACGTTTGGGGCGCGGAGCTTCGGGCTGATCGGGCTGGGGGTGGTGTGCGAGATGGTGGAGGGGCTGGAGAGGATGGACGGGAAGGAGGCGGGGGTGTCGCGCGAGGACGAGGAGGTGGCGGCGGCGGACGAGCCGGAGGAGTCTCGCGTGGACGGGCCGGACGCGAACATCGTTTGATGGACTGGCCAGCAGGGGACAGGGAAGTTGTTTGCGCGGCAAATGGGCTTCGAGACAAGTTGTCGCTGATATTTCTGTTGGATTGAGCGCCGCTGACGATTGGTTGTTGTATACATACTAGGGTGACAAGAACAACGTAGCCTATGACTCCGAGATTGCACTGAAGTTTGCGGAGCGCGCATAGGGGAGAGAGAGAGAGAGAGAGAGAGAGATTCATAAGCCGTCTACGCTAAGCAATAGCAGTCGCAGACAAGGTAGGGAGAAACAGGCGTTGCCATGCACGATGCTCGGGCCGAACGTTCTGGACTGGGTGCGGTCTCGGACAGGTCTCTGCGTTGTGAGGATGGGTGCGACCGAGGTCATGGGTTGTGCGTGGCTGCATTATTGGGCGAGTAGAGCGTTGTGATGTCATACCGCGTCGCGGAGATGACACAGGGCGCAGGGGACGAGCTGGCGACGAGAAGAGCGCGGGGACTCGACAAGAACGGATGAAGAGCCCGGGCTGGATGAGTCTGCGTGCGTGGTGGGACGGAAGTGGAGTGGCGACGAGCAAGCCGCGGTCGATGACGTGCCCTCAGACCGCGGGGAGAAGCACACTGCCCGCGAGAGTCTTGAGAATGATGGAGGCCCTTCAGGCAGGTGGGGGCCGTCGCACCGTGCGCGAATGTGTAGCGGACGATGGATTGGAACAGAATGGATGCTGCAGCCAAGAGAATCGAGAGACATGGATTCCTAGCGAGGATGGACAATGCCGGACGCGACGGAGCGTATGCTGCGCTGGGTTTGGTGACAGTGCATGGAGAGAGCGGAGGTTCTCGAGGTCGTAAGCAGTGGGGGTGGACTGGGAGGCGGAAGCGGAGGAGGGGGTCCTTTCGACGTCATCATAACCATCACTCTATGGTACACACATACAACAAAGCTACCAAATCAGAGTCCAGATATTCGAAGGGGAGAGCAGAAGCGAAGGTACCACATCAACGAGGGTGATGTTCTGGGGCTACTTCATAGGGGACTTTGAAACCAGGGCAGCACCTGATACCCCGGCAGATGCGGAGCCGCCAGGCGTCGGAGGTACCGGGACGAGCTCGAAGCGAATCCCTATGGGATAAAGGTAGTAGATGTGAAAATCAACCAGTGCTGGAACGGCCTCCCAAAGATGCGTACCGATATGTGACATGAACCGGTTAAGGTTCCTTTCCAGCATGCCATCATCGTGCAGCTCGAAATCCCGAAGCAGCTGTCGTGCTTGTAAGGCTAACAGAGCAAAGCCGCAAGATCGGATATCAGTATTCCAAGGGGATCACAGAGAACAAGACGACACGCACCGCTGTATGCAAACAGGGAATTCAAATTAGCAGGGTATAGCTTGCTTCGGCTACCATCGGGTTTGAAGACGACGGCTAGGTCGTCTTTCAAGCTATCCGGGCTCGGTCTGATAGTGGCATTGTGCCGTCTCGCCTCTCTGATTACAGCAAGACGGGGAGGAGTCAGTATGGACCATGATGGAGACAAGACCCCAGAGTATTGGAGGGCTGGCGGAAGAACAGGACGTACGCGTTATCGAGTGCGCGCCGTACATCGGCAATCTCCATCTGAAAGTCCTCCCGCTGCTGCGGTAGAGGAACTGGGATGTGTTCGCCGATCTGGTCGTCAACCTGCCGCTTCACTTCTCTCTCGATTTCAAGTCTGATCGACTCGTGAATCTGGGATCTGTGCAGTGGTACAAAATCTGTCAGCGACATGTCGTCTACGGGGGAAGATGCTCTATACTTGAGCGTCTCCGCCGCTTGGCGTTTGACGTCGTTTTTGAGAATGTACTTTATAGCATCGACACGCTCGGTCTGCGCGCGTTGGTGGGCGGACAACTGATCCCTCAGAAGGACGACCTCCGCATCAACTGCTTCCTACGAATGACAGGAGGCTCGAATCATTCATCGTGCAAAACATGAAAACGGCTATCTTACAGTCGTCGGTCCAAGCTCGGATATTCTTGCGGACTGATCGTGCAATGTGCTGAACGTTGCATCTCTGCATGAACGTGAGAGCCGCTCCTTTTCAAACAGAAGACACGAAGAGATACTTACAACGTCCGGTAGGTTGCGCGCATCGTCCCGATGAATTCCTGAACGGTCCCGACATCCACGGCATCTCCCATTGTCACAACGGTGTCAGGCATGTTGAACGATGTAGCTGATGTAAATTGCGAAGAGGGCAAGGGGAAGGAAGGATATGGTGGTGCGAAACAGTTCGCGGAGGAGGATGGCGAAGACGACGAGAGGGATGGCACGGAGGCTGGGACAGGTCATGTTATGTATCGTGCTGGGGGCGTGGGCAGCAGACAGGCGAGCCCTGCCGTTCCTCTCGCTGCCGCAGCACCTGAACCTTCTGCAGAGTGGCGCCCTGCGCCTGGCATGCGAGCGTAGGTCGCTGGCAGGATGCTCGTTGCAAGGAGGATGCCATGAGGCACGCTTCCTGTGCTTCCCGCGAGTCGTGTGCGAGCGAGGCGGCGCCTGACGGCGTTCGCTGGGGTCGGGACAGCGGTTGTGGAGGACACAACAGACACGATAGCGTCGTCGCGGGAGTTGTTCGGTGGAAGCGAGGCACGTGGGGTGTCGATCGAAACTTGCTGGTGAGCTGCAGGGAGAAGTTCGTCCACTTCTGGATCGCTGTGGTCGACGGCGAGGACCCCGGAACACACACGCGTCAGATATTACAAGTCGTGCTAGAGGTAGGCGCCCGACTCATCGCTGTTAACGCGTACGCACTGAAGTACTGAAGACTACTCATCCGTCACCCCGAAGCATAACGGCAACGAAGAGATCTGAGGGCACCGCGTTCGCGCTCTCTCGCGCGGAAGTGCAACAAGCACCGAGGTGCGCCATCGAGCCTCTTCGCGCGCCGACGGGCGCACGTCGGGAACCACACCCCATCCCTTCCTGGTCCTTCGCGATGCCCTCTCGGGCTTAGACGGGGGCAGCCTCTGCACTGTGAGTGGCTGTGGCGGATCCAATGTCCGTTAGTAAGCATACGTATCTTCCCGGTCCTGGGCCGCGGGCTCAACCTACCTGCATCTCCTTCCACAGTCCCCGTCGCCCCGTATGTCGATTAGGCCCCTCCTCGCTGGTCTCTCCACCTCGCACGACCGTTCGCACCTCCAAGAGGCGCGGAGTCTCTTTATGTTCAAGGTGCGTGTCTAGCGCATACGCCTCGAGTGTCCGGGTATGTCGCTCGTGGAAGAGGCGAAGGCCGAGAGGGGCCGGCGGTATGGTGGTGGTATGGCGAGGATTGGAAGGACGCGGCCCGGCGAGGAACACGTCTCGCCGATAGCGGTGGAGCCACGCGACGAGGGCGAGGAACGAGACGGATATCGCGAGCACGACGAAGGTGAGGTCGGGTTGAGCAGGAGCCATAGCCGCCGGATGGTCGGGGCGAAGACCAAGGCCGAAGGAAGGATTCGACTGGCGTTCAGCCCCAGGCTGCAAGTGCTGGGAGGGCCCGTTTGGGTCTGCCGGATGCGTCACAGAGTTCGCACATGGCGAAGTGCCTGCTGCGACCCGTCGGACCATGCCGTGCCGAGGGAGTCGAGACTCGGAGGTTGTAATTGTCGAGGGGCATGCCGAGCGCGCGAGCAATGCCAAAATTGGCGTGCAGACTTGGTACGTCTTGGGACCAAACCCTCATACAATTGTCTGAGTGTGATTGGACATCTAGGGACCTGTCGGATGTAGGTGTCGAGTCCTCGCCTTGCTTCCCCACCCCAAGCACTCGTCGAAGTTTCTTCACCGCACGGTACAGCGGTAATAACGAAAGCGTCCCCACGGTACGTCATCGTGTTTCGGTCGCGCTAAACGGACGCACAACGCCAACTGGAATGACGGCAAGGTGACGGTGGCAGGTCGCCGAGGCTTCTTGAACACGGTCAGCCCGGGTATGTTTGGGTACGCTAAACAACTGTACATTTGCTCCCAGTGTGGTAAACATTTCACGTGATATATTGTTCAGTGTCCTGGAGGCTCGTCTGCTACGCCAAGGACTCAAGGAAGTGATAGGGCAGGTGGAAGGCCACTGTCGTCTCGTTGATCTGGCGCGCGACTGTATGCTGGCGGACAGCGTGGCAGCGTTGGAGCGCGTCCGCGCGGCGAGCACCGGAGACCACTCGCAGCGGGCGGGGATGGGGCGGGGAATTCACATAAGGTTTATGGTGCGCCTGCCAGAATCCCGTTGAAGCAGCCGCTTGAGGAGTTCCTCCTCAGGAACTTCTCAAGCGGCTGGATAATATAGCCTAAGTCTTGAGCGGTATTCTTTCCCGTCGGGGATGATTGACCGATTTCTTGGTTCGACCAGGGTTGCTTCGACGGCCATTGCAGCATAAATAACGCCCCTTAGCCGTCCCCACTCTCCGCTACGTCCACCAGCATCTCCTTCCCTTGCCTACGTCATGCTGCTCACGGCAACGGCTGTTGCGTTTGGCTTGTTCTTTGTGTCAGCTGGCGCGGCCTCCGTCCCATGCACTGGAAACAACGGAGTGGCTGTTCCAGACGCGGTATGTGTTACAACTTCCTGCGGGTATGGTTAAGTCTTTTCACACTTTCTCCGCTTGTGCCAGTGCTGCGTCTGGCTCGATGTGCTTGATGACATCCAGCAGAATCTGTACGTGGGCTTTCTATAAATCACCTCGTCTTCTCCACACTTACCTCGATCGATCTCCAGGTTCGATGGTGGTGAATGCAACGATGATGCCCACGAAGCGCTTCGGGTATGTGCCTCAGATCTCCATGTCCGCTCAATCCCCGTCGACCATTCTTGATTGCCCACCTTACGACAGCTCACCTTCCACGACGCGATGGGATACTCGCCGGCTTTGTTCAGAGCAGGAAAATTCAGGTGCGTCTCATCCATCCTGGACCTATTGTATGCGGTCTGACAGACGATTTTCACAGAGGAGGGGGAGCCGGTACGTCAGGATCCACGTGAAGTGAACAGGGACTGACCGCACGACATGCTCGCAGACGGTTCTATCATGGAATGGTCGGACATAGAGCTCCAGGACCCCGCCAACGAAGGCATGGACGAGATCATCGAGGCCGAGCGACAGATCGCGCTCCGCCACAACGTGTCCTATGCGGACTTGTGAGTCTCCACGCGGGTCTTGAACGGTGATCACACAGTCGGGCTCTGACATCCTGCCTGCTTTAGTATCCAGTTCGCGGGCGCCATCGGTGTCGGGAACTGCAAGGGAGCGCCCCAGCTCCTGTTTTTCGCGGGGCGCAAGAACGAGTCGCAGCCCGCACCCCCTGGGCTGGTCCCTCAAGCGACCGACTCCGTGGACGCGATCCTCAACCGCGTTGGAGATATCGGCTTCAGCGCGCTCGAGCTCGTGTGGATGCTCGTCTCGCACACTATTGGCGCGCAGCACATGGTGGATCCGGTACGGACTCCATTTGCGGTCTCGACTCTCTCGACCGGGTACACTCATCCGCCGTTCGTTTCGCCGTGAACAGACGATCGCGGGATCACCGTTCGACTCGACTCCTTACGACTTCGACGCCCAGTTCTTTGTCGAGACTCTCCTGAACGGCACCATCAACCCTGGGAACGAAAGTCAGGTTCCCGCTGGGGGAGCGCTGTCGCCTTACCCCGGGGAGTACCGTCTCGCTTCGGACTCTGCGATCGCAAGGTGAGTATCGGCGAGTGACACTGGGGCAAAATCCTCACGTGCGGCTGCCTACAGGGATCCTCGCACCGCCTGCGAGTTCCAGCACATGCTCCGTGAGCGGCATTTTTCCGCGTGTCTCTGAGATGCTGAACGCCGCCTGCCACAGTGGACCGCCAGAATATGCTACGCAGGTACCAGACTGTGATGAACACACTGGCATTGATCGGCCAAGGTGTAAATGTGCAATACATGACGAACTGCACCAATATCATCCCGGTCCCACCGGCTGTCGACTTCGAGCCATTCCTGCCGGCTGGCCTCTCAATGGACGATGTTGTGCCGGTGTGTACAGGTACTCCGTTCCCCTCGTTAGCCGCTGCAGCAGGTGAGATTCAAATAGCTCGCGCTCTCGTGCTGGGGGTCGCTCACATAGTTTCAGGACCTATGACATCTGTCCCGCCCGTGTAATTGAATGCGTTGTTGGTGTAAGCTAGGGAGAATATCATGGGGTCTAAGGGGTAGTCTGTCCAGGGACCTTGTATACCATGACGTCATCTGACATGCCGACGAGCGTCTCCGCTGCAACTGCCGCTCTGCGACTGCGGTCTGGTGTTTCATCTCTCTTCTCTTCTCTTCGATGCGCGTCGGTCTCCTCGCTCTCGTGCCCATGTCTGACAAGGTTACGCCGTGAACGAACAAAGGGGAGGCACTTCTGTCAGATGATCATCGACCTCGGGCTGATTGACGATGCCGGCGGTCTGGCCCCCTGCATCGCTTTGGCTTCAGCCAAGCCAACAGCGAGCGGGGTCGTCGCCCTCGCGTCCTCCATGTTTTCTCTCCTTTGTACCAACATCTCTGCTTCAAGGTGAGTACTGAGTACGTTCGCACACGTTCGGCCAAATGAGGCCCCATGGGTTTGCATGGATACTGACATTGGTTGAAACCAATCAATTATAGCACCACTTCGGTGTTTCGAGGTTCAAACACGTAACCGGCTCTCGTGTGCTTTGGCCGCGCCTCAATTTCTCAGGCAACACCCGCTCCTTCCGTGCGGTCGCGGTGTTGATCGCAGCCGGTCTCAGCTCTGAAGACTGACGCAGCCCAGCTCACTCGGTCCCACGGTCGCTTTCCTTCTTTCCTTTGGTTCTGCGCAAGTTCTGCGCTTTCGCCTTTGCCGTGGCTCCGTTCTGCGACCATGTTCGCCATCGCTGCGCTCACCGCGCTCTTTCAACTCGCCTCTTTCATCCTTCCTGCGCTCGCTGCTCCCGCTTGGGACGTGACGCCGATAAACCCGGCTGCCATCCCCCTTGCCGTGCGCTCCCCGTACCTCTCTGCATGGCTCCCGCAGGGCGGCGGTACCGCACTCAACGCGGCCTGGCCCACGTTTTGGAACGGAAACGTAAGTCCATTTTACTCGCGTTCACGAACGCGTCCTTGGACTGACGCTGTTGTAGATCGTCGGCTGGGCGGGGTACGCTAAGGTCGACGGGACGGCGTACACTTGGATGGGTGTCCCCGCCGTGCCCAACACCAAGACGACCCCCGCTACGCAAAAGAGTTTTCAGGCAAGGTTTTCGGTCCCACTGGTGCTGTGAACGAAGAACTGATGAATATGCCAGATGACCGCAACGCAGAGCATCTTCGTGATGAGCGCGGGTCCTGTGGACCTCACAATCACCTTCCTCAGCCCGGTCGAGGTTTGTGGCACGCGGTTTGGGCACAGCCCACTCGTCAGGACGGCACGGTTGACACCACCCTTTCGCTTCAGCCCGGTGACTTTGTGAACCAATCGCTGCCGCTCTCGTACTACTCCGTCTCAGCCGCGTCGACCGACGGCAAGTCGCACAGCGTGCAGGTCTACGCGGACATCAGCGCGGAGTGGAATACGGGCACCGTCTCTCTCGGTGTCACCTGGAACACGACGGCACAGAGCGTTATCTCGCACCAGGTCGCGCTCGCAAACCAGGTGCCGTTCAACGAACTCGGTGATCGCATCCAGCGTGAGTCGAACTCCGAGCCCCCCGCAGTTCCCACGGTACCTGACTGACAGCACTGCATCAGAGGGCTCCGTCTTCCACTCCACCCTCAACGTGCGTCCTCTTCTCTCCCCTCCCTATCCCCCTCTCATCTCACCGGTTTCCCCTCCGATCACAGACGAAAGGCACGACGTTCCAGACGGGCGAGGACATCGCCGTCCGCGCGCAGTTCATCAACAGCGGCGCGCTCACCAACGGCCAGGACACCGCCTTCCGCGCCGTCTCGGACCGCTGGCCCGTCTTCGCCTTCGCGCACGACTTCGGCGCCGTCTCCGCCGCGACCGCCCCCTTCGTCCTCTCCCTCGCGCACGTCCGCGACCCCGCGCTGCAGTACGTCGCCGCGGACGGGACGACCGAGCAGCGGAGCTCGTTCTTCTGGACCAAGTACGCCGACTTCGCCGACGCGGTGGGTGCATGCACGCTCTGAACGGCCGCCCGGGGCGAGAGCTGACGCGCCGTGCTGCAGATCTCGGCCTTCCTTGGCGACTACGCCAATGCCGTCGTCCGCGCGAACGCGTTCGACGCGAAGCTCCAGGCCGACGCGGGCAAGATCTCGGCCGACTATGCGTCCCTCGTCCCGCTGTCGGTGAGGCAGACGCTGGGTGCGATCGAGATCACGGCGGCAAAAAAGAGCGATGGGTCGCTGGACGCTTCGGATGTCAAGACGTTCATGAAGGGTGCGTGTAAGCCACATTCCACATTTCGGGCTGCGCATTGACAGAGCGTTGGGGACGATTTCGATAGAGATCTCTTCGTCTGGGGTACGTGGTCGTTGACACAGCCACATTCCTGTGCTTGCTCACTGGTGACCTATAGGACGTGAACACCGTCGATGTCATCTTCCCCTCCTGGCCCTTGTTCCTGTACACGAACCCCGAGATTGGCAAGCAGCTGCTCCTTCCACTCCTGGCGTACCAGGCTTCCGGTCTGTACCCCAACAAGTACAGCGTTCACGACTTGGGTAGATCTGCGTCCTGTTGTGTCTCCTAATCTCCCGTGCTGATGCTTTCACGTAGGTTCCCACTACCCCAACGCCACAGGCCACAACGATGGTGAGAATCCACTCCTACTTCTGATCAACTGCGGCTCCTAACGGACGTTTACAGGCAAAGACCAAGCCATGCCAGTCGAAGGTAGACACCATGATTCGTTCATCCTGTTGCCCCTAACATCGAATCCTGCGTGCAGAGAGCGGTAACATGGTGATAATGGCTCTGAGCCACGCCCAGACGGCGAACGACCAGTCGCTGCTCAAGACCTACGTGAGCTCCTCCGTCCCTACCATCCCCTTGCAATTGGCACTAACCTTTTGTGCGCATTCCAGTTCAGCCTCCTGGACCAGTGGACGCAGTTCCTGATCACGGACTCGCTCATCCCCGCGGACCAGCTGAGCACCGACGACTTCGCGGGCTCGCTCGCAAATCAGACCAACCTGGCAATCAAGGGTATAGTTGGCATCAAGGCCATGTCGAAGATCGCTGCGCTCACAGGGGATAACGATCGGGCGACGAAATACAGCGTCAGTTGTGGAGACTTCATGCAGGCTCGTTCGTGTGACTGATGAATGGCCCCTCAGTCGATGGCAGATTCGTACGTTCAGCAGTGGAAGACGCTCGCTACTTCTGCGGACGGGAAGCATTTGACACTTTCTGTGAGTCACTCGCTGTACGTAGACGCGTTGGAGGCTGACCCGTAGGTGATCTAGTACGGCAACAGTGACAGGTAGCAGTTTTATTCTTTGTCGATCTTATGCTGGATTCGCTGACCTGGATGAAGCTGGGGTTTGGCATACAACCTTTATGCTGACAAGTTGCTGGGAACGAACGCTTTCCCGCAAGACGTCTACGACTTGCGTACGTGATCGTTTCTGCCTACATCAGAGCAGCGTCCTGATCTCATTGATTTTCATAGAAACTGAATGGTACAATGGGCAGGCCAGTGAGTTTGCTGCCTTCGCTCTACTTCTACACGTACTTATACTTGTCCTTTCAGAGCCTTTCGGTGTACAGCTCGACACGCGGTGAGTGCTGAATCTTTGGGAACTTAGATGATCATCGTGACATAAGCTTCTAGGCATACATACACGAAGTCCGACTGGCAGATCTGGACGGCCGGCATCATGTCCGCGACTCAAGTGCGCGACATGTTCGTCAGCTCCGTGCTGAAGTACGCGGGCGACGGCGCGACGAACCAGCCCCTTCCCGATCTCTACGATGCCATCAACGGTACCGAGGTCCCTGGCTCTGGTCACGCACGTCCCGTCGTTGGCGGGCACTTCGCCCTGGTTCGTACTCAGTGACTCTTCTAGCTCTCACGTCCGTGTACTCACACGCGTCGCGCGCATCAGCTGGTGGTGAATAACACCGCGAACTCGCTGACGATCTCATCTACCACATCAACGTCATCCGCAACTGGGTTCGTGCCGATCACGGTGCCTTCCGGCTCGAAGGCTATGACCACGCCCACGGCATCGGCGAACGCCGTCAACCCCACGGCCTCCCACAGCGGCTCAATTTCTCAATTGGCTCAGAGCCCTCTGGGCTTTGTGCTTGTGCTTGGTGCCATGGGTGCTCTCGCTCTCTGATAGTTAAGAATATTTGGTTTGGTTACTTTGAGGGTCTCAATTCTGTCGTTCTTTACAACAACGGTCCTTTCGTGTCTTCTGTTCCCCCCTTGTGGCTCTTTGTATATACGTTGATTCATTTGTAGTATTTATCCTTTCTCCTTCGACACCCTGCAATTATGCATCTTTGTATCGTTACAACCTCTGCAGTAGGCCCCACCTCCTCGACGAACCTGCGACGGTCGTGGCATCCGATAGTTCTCCGCCCACGCAGCCTCCGGCCGCTCCTCCATGGCTTCCAGGCCGAACCAGGTCACGCCCATCTCTCACGCCTTCGCGTTCAGCACCTCCCGCTTGACCTCCTCCGCAGATATCTTTCCGCACACCCACTTATCCATGTGCTCCCGCACCCTCTCGAACGGTAGCCCCGCCTCCCTGCCGCCTGCGTGCCTTCACGAGACGGGGCCGCGGTGCGTCTGTTGGTGAGTTCTCGGAACTTAGAGAGCTGTGAGGTTCCAATGACACATGCTCCGCAAGTAGAGGCTGCGATTGAAGTAAGCAGTACGTACATATACGTGCACGCACCTTAATGACTCGGACGCGACCTCCTCGAACGCCTCACTTTCAAGAAATTCTCGTGGAGGTGGTATAAGCTCGCAGAGAGCATTTGTCGTGGTGAGAGGAGCTCAACCCAAATGGTACACGATCATAATGGCTTGTTGGGATTCAGGAGGGAGTACATGGTGGTAGTCTCAAAACGTCAGAAACCGCCCGACACCGCCGACCTCAGACGGCTTGCTTATATAATACACAATGGATGACTTCTTTCCTCTCGCCTCATATCCGTGCCCTTTAGAAATCGTACTTGAACGTCTCCAGCCTCTGGAACCCGCCGCAGAACAAGCGCCCCTGCCCCGGCGGCAGTGGGCACGTCGAATTACACTCCTGCTGCGCGACATGCTGCGCGCCCGCCGCGAACCCCGTGCTGCACTGGCAGTCGCTCGCGTCCTCGACGCCCGAGAACGGAAGGCCGATGTGCGTGCAGAAGTTGATGCACTGGCTGACGAGGTCGAGGTTGGTCGCGAACGTCGTGTGCACCGGGTTCGCGAACGCCGCCTGCGTCGGCGTGTCGACGAAGCAGCCCGTCGCGGTCCACGAGCCCGGCGGGAGCGCGGGCGACTTGTAGATCTGTCAGGGTTGGCAGTGGCGGACGGAGCGCGGCGGACGTCAGCGCTGAGTTGTGGGGCGGTGGCAGCCCCGCGTGCCAAGGGCGGACGTGGCTCACCTGGATGCGGAACGAGCCCCCGCACGAGAGGTCTGGGTCCCCCGTGCACGCCATGTTGCAGTCGCTCGTGGGCGCGACCTGCGGCGTGCCCTTCAGGCCGGTCCCGCAGTGGCACTCGTTGCTGTACTCGACGCCGGCGTACGTAAAGTTGGCAGCGTCGCACCGCTCGATGCACGTCGCCGGCGTGTTGTCGGCGTGCTGGGTCGTGACGACGCCGGCAATGATGCGTGCACCAAAGTCCACTGCGCAGGGATACTGGACGGACCAGTTGAGAGGGATGGTGGGGGTATCGAAGGCGAGGGTAGTGGCGAAGAGAAAGGCTGCGACGCAAAGGGGGAGCATCGGTAGTTTGAGCTGCATGGGGGCAAGCGTTGCAGGATACTCTGACGGGCAGCTACTTATGTGTTCCCAGCGTCCGTGAAAGACGATTGTGTTGTCAGAGTTGCGGGTGGAAGTGCCCTACGGTTGACAGCACCTCCGCGACAGGTCCCCGTGCCTAGAGGCCAGCCAGCCACCTTGACAGTATTCATTTCACGGTGGCGGGCCGATTCTTGCGGGTATTTGCTAAGAGCCTGGGGTGCCCGAGACTGCATCGCTTGACATTATATCCTAGAGCCGTCCCGACTGATACAAGTGGTGTCAATTAATCAACTTACGTACTACTCTTACATAGGTGTGCTTCACTGAGTCTTCCGATTCCGCTCCTTGCTCACAGAACATTGAATCTGATAGTAACATCCTTGGTCAGACAATCCGCGCCTCACCGAAGTCGAGAGCCAGCACTCAAGTACTCACGCGTTGCTCCTCCACTCCTTGCCGGTTTGCGCAGACTGCCGCATTTCATCCGCACGGTTCATCCATCCACCCGGATGCCCCTGCTCAGGGAGAAGCTTCTCGCTCGAATCCGTGACGACCTTGAGCTGGCTTTCGGACTTGTCCTGTTTCGCCTTCGCGTTCTCCGCCTCCCGCTTGCGCTGCTCTAACTGCTCCTTCAGCAGCTCTTTCTGGCGCCACTCCTCGCGGGTGCCCTCCTCCGCCATCACGTCGCGAACTCTGGCGAGCTGTCCATCGAGATACTCGAACGCAGTGTGCACCGCGCTGCCGATCGCCTTCTGCAACTGCTTCTTTACGAGCGAATTCGCGAGCGGAGAGAAGAGCTTGTAGAGCGTGTCGTGCTTCGAGTCGCGGATGCCGAACTTAAGTGTGTCGATGGTCGTGTGCACGTCTTTCACCTTGAACACGGATGAGCGGTCCTTGTGGGAAGAGACGAGGTGGATAGTAATCGTAAGACCCTGGCCGCCGAGGAGGACGTCGGCAAGGCCCGAGTCTGACAGCTTCGGTGTGCCAGTCTTCTTGTTGAAGTAGAAGGCGACGTCTCGCATGTCGGCTTGGATTTGCGCGAGAGTGAGAGTAAACTCGTGGTGGGTCTCATCCCTGAAATCCCTCGCATGAGCAAGAGCCGGCAATTGCAAAGTCGAAAGACTCACTTGATGTTGTCATATGCGCTCAACTTAGCGTGGTTGTGCAAGTCCATATGAATGATGTTAGGGAAGAGGTTCTTGCCGGACAGGGCGAGGTTCTCGATGACAACATCGTACTGGTCATCCGTGTACTCGATGCGCGGAATGGGAAGGTAGCCGATCTGCTCGATGAAGCCGGGAATGATCTTCTGGCGCACGTCCGCCCAGAGCTCAGGCTTGAACTCGAGACGCCCCTCGCGATCGAAAAGTAAGTTTTTTGTGAGAGATGATACATTGCCGCCCAACCTGATGGAACTATGAATATGTGAATGTCGGGAAGAGGGCATGAGGATTACGCACTGTCGGTTGAGCGAGTCATCAGCCCATGCTTTGAACCAATCTTCTGTGGTTTCAAAGAGGTTGTCGAAGTGAGTCTTGTACTGCCCGTCATAGAATTGTCGACCGGTATCTCGCAACTCGCGCGCCCGCTCCGTACTTTGACCATCGAGCACGTATCCTGGCTGTAGGAGAACTTCGTGTACAAACTCGTCGACTTGACGGAACCACAGCCGTAAACCCTCATCTTGGAGCGCGTCGTCGTGGAGCACGTGCATCGCGTCGCCTATAGTGCTCAAGCTGCGTCCTTTGGCGAAGCGTTCGAGGAGCGTACGAATTTCGGAGAGCGACAGCTGAAGTGACCGGTCGGCGGCAAGGGTTTGCTGCGACTCCTTGTGTTGGGAAGCGATGGTACGTCCGTGTGAAGCATATTCTTCCAGGAAGTTGAGTAGCCAGTTGACGGACTCTCGATAATCTCGTGACTTTGACACTCATAAATCGCCTGACAAAAATCTAGGTTAGTTCAGGTCCTCATAGGACGAGGGTTGACTCGCTTTCTTCAATCGGAAAACGAATTGATCGCGGCGTTCTGACGGGAAGTATTCATCATTGAAGAAATGCTTTGCGCGACCAACATGCTCGTTCGCGCGATCTTTGTGCTCGTCAGGGACACGGCCGAGGAGCGAACTCTTCATACCACTGAATTTCTCATGTAGGGTTGCCTTGCGCTCTTGTACATCCTCCTCGTCTTGGACAGGCTGGCCCACAGCAGCGCGCTGCTCCATGTCGGCAATCTGCCTATCGGTTTCACGCTGAGGGATGGTTGAGTGCATGAACATCAGTCACGGCATACCGTGACGAACCTGAGCTTCTTGTTTGTACTGAGATGCCCTCCATTGGGCATCCCCCAGAGCCTCGGGCCCGCCCTTGACCTGGTGGTCACTTTGCTTGACAACAGTGCTCGATAACCCAGCGTCGCCACGAGGGCCGTGCGTAACGCGGACGTCAGCGGCAGGCACTGAGACCTCAGGGACCTTGGAAGAGATAATAAATGGAAGACTCCACAACAAACTGCGGCTTGCTTACGGGAGTTTCGTCCGGAGCTGCTTCACGCCCTCCTTCGGTGTAGAAGGTATGGGCCGGGGCCGGCTGGTCGACTCCCCGCAACGCTTCTCCGTCCGGACGCGCTGCCTCCGCCACCTTCTCCGCCCCACGCGCAAGCAAATCGCGCCCAATAATGCCGAAGTCCGCCACGAGCTTGCGAATCTCGCCGTTGGTGAAGATGAGGGAGAGAAGCGTACGGAGATGGCGAGCGGCCAGTTGGCCGTCGATGCGCATCTTGCCTCCTTCGACAGGGAGCCCCTCGCGGGGATCGCGCTTCGCGGCGTCGAGGGTGACATCGCGCGTGTGCCAGATGAAGTTCTGAAGGAGTTCGTCCGCGTTCTTCTCGCGCACGAGCGCGCGAAACGTCTCGAGTATGTCGTGGGTGTCTTGAACGAGTATTTGGCCCTCTGGGGAGAGCGAGTTGGAGTGGGAGAGGGTGTTGTGGGACAGATTGGCGAGAAGGGCATCAAGTTGGGCGTTGGTAGGGAGGCGGGATTGCTTCATAGCGGCGACAATGCCGTAGAGTTTGAGCTTGCGGTTGACATCGGTCTGCAGCTTCCGGCGGTCGATGGGCTCGACAACACTACCAGGGGCAGGGTGATCGTTGATGTCTTGCTTGGCCTGGGGAAGAGACATGTTGATGCAGATGGGTGGAGGGTACCGGGTAGGGATGGGGGAACGGTGTATGTTCGAGGCAAGTGCATATAACCCAGGACAGTGAGGGTACGCACGTAGATTGAGACGTCATCGCGAAGCCCTAGTGGGGATCGGCGAACCTAGCTTGACCCGACCACGTCATGACCCTGCGACACAAGACTGGGTCGCTGCTACATGACTGATGTCACTGCAGTATCACAAGAGCTAGGCGTAATGAATGCATGAGAGATCTTGTCGCTCATGGTAAAAAAAACTTACATACGAGTTAAATGGATGTGTCATGCATGGGGTATTTGCGCTTGAGCTAGGATAGCAAGACTCAGGAAGTGAAGGATTCGAAGACTGCATACGAGTGGACTCAGTGGAAACACCAGTGGTGCCGGCGCAGTTGGAGTGAAAACCCTGTGGCTGACAAAGCCGAACGATTCGCCGACGGGCCGATACCGTGCCGCTGGCATGTGAGATGCGCGCTTTCGATGTGTAAGTAGTGGATACATAGTGGGAGAAGGTAACAAAATCCGACGTCTGGAAAGGTGAAATCAGGTATCTCTATGATATGAAGACGATGGGCAGCCGTTATAACGTCTACGGCGCCCGGTGCTATGAGCACAGGGTCGAATGCTACTCACGTGTTAGGCTAAGTTAGCCTCGCAACAGCGCATCGAGCCCGGTCACAGCACGCTCTCACTGCAAGGTCCTGCCTGGAGCCAGGCGTTGAGGGTATCATAAGTGTAGAGGGCATCGAGATGGGCCCTGAGATTCCCCAGTTTGACGGGACAGACTTCACGCTGAGCATCGTGGTAATCACGCCAATCCTACAGCGCGGAACGTGAGTTCGTATTTAGCATAGCAGGGTCCGAGTGCGTACCATTGCATCGTATCGAAGAAACGAACGTCAAATAGCTCTACACCCGCGCCACCCCGAAATAAATAGGAAGGGACGCCAGAGGTCTAGCAAATGGAGCTCTACCCTCATCTGTCCCCCACTGGTCCGGAGAGTGCGTCGATGGCGATGGAAAAGCTATTAAAACGAACACATGCCATTGTGGAGCATCTGGCCGCGTTGGAGAAGATGTCGCTGGGTGTATTCTTGCCGAGGGCGAAGTGGGAGACCTAGAAACTTCCGAGCCGATAGCATTCCTCTGAAGACCCAGTGGCTGCGATAAGGGTGAGATGCATACATACAGGAACCATGCATAATTGACGCACCCGTATCAGGCTCCAAGCCGCCTTCGGGTTGGAGTCGTTAATAGGCATGACCTTGATATAGGCATAAATTAGCTTCGGCCTCTTGGGAGCGCTTTTCTGGCGTGTAGTAATGATGGCCTGACTGTTCCACCTTTGGAAGCATGTCATAAAGAGAATGAGGGAGGATATGATGATGAAAAGAATAGGAAGCAGGACGGAGGGGTTACTAGAGATGTGCGACATTGGCGTCACCCTGAGGTGGCACTGCGTGAAGACGAGGCTCCGGGAGTGAAACGTTCAAGCTGGGGTGTATTTTCGCGGCCCACAACGAGATCTTAAGGTACTCGTGGTGTGGGCATAGGTGCACAGTACTCGACGAGAACCATTGGATTTTGTCAGATTTGGATCAGTCAGCGCCGAACGGGGCGGACAGCCCCACAAGAATCCGAGGATCGAGCCTGTCGTAAGACCGCGAAGGTATGTTGTGATGAGTCACCAGACTCGAGAGGGTACTCACTGATGACGGGAATTTGCCTTCTGTGAGCGTGAGTAACAAGGCTGGTAGTACTTCATATGGGCGTCGGTCGAGTCAGTACGTGTCGAGACGTCATTGAACCAGTGGCCCAGCTGGTGTGGTTCTTCTTCGACAGTTTGAAAAGCTGATGGACGATAACATGGCAAGTGAAGACGACGGACAGTCCGGGTTTAGACTGGTTTAGACCGCGGGGCGACGTCACTGTGTCACGCGATAAATGATAGCCGTTGTGACATAACACTCCGATGCATGCCATAATGTCACGTCGAGCCCGACGTCCTTGAACTTGCAACCCTCTTGCTTCAAATGTCCATCCTTTCACACCTTTCATTTCATTCCTCTATGGACCCCGTCTTGCTAGTTAGATCTGAAACCTCCGTTGGCGGCTCGAGAAAACTACATTCAAGCTATGGATGGCTTCGACAAGTCCACATTAACAGCGATCTGGGTCAGCCACCCACTTCGGACACCTCTCCTCTTCGCAGACTGGTAGTCAGCCAGCGGGTGCGGCGAACATCCTCCAGAACGGCTTAAAAGTGGCACAAGGTTGTAGGTGATGTCTGCGTGCTGCTCTTCCGCTTTCGCGCCATGCCTCCCGTCACTTCCTCTCCCGCAGCTCCAAGCGGCACCCCCAGTCCCTTGACGCATACGCACAACTCCCGGCTGTTCCCTGTAGCCATCGTCCTGGCTATCATCGCTGTGTATGGCTGTATCTCTGGGATTCTCTTCGTTTATTGCCACCGACCGGCCATGTCTCGCACGCGCCGCAGGAGGTCGGCGACGAGCGGATACAACTCCGTGAGTGGTTCTGCTCCTCGTGCGCCGTAAAGACTACCACTCCACTCATCCGACTTCACTTATCCCCACATCTGCAGCGCGAACTTCTAGTCTCTGGAGAACAGCGCGAGACCTTGGAGGAGGACTACCTCAAATCGTCCCCAGGACTTTATATGGCAAACCGCCTCGCATCCGCCTCGTCGGTGCGTGCTCTCTTGATTCACGTTCGCCGTGTGGCTCCTTCAGGCCTGTTTACTCACACCGCTCTTCCTTGCCAGTGCATCATCGGTTCTCGCCAACACGTACCTGCGATCGTCGTGTACCCGAGCGACGGCAGTCCCTCTTTCTCGCCATCCGAGGACGACCTCAGCACGCGCCCCAGGCGCTTCGGCTCTCTCAAACGCGGCTTCATCTTCCCTGCCCTCTCCGTTACGCCTCCCCCACCACCGCCTTCGCCGCGACCTTCGCTAGGACCATGGTTTGGTGATTGGGACGCGGACACGGACGAGCTCGCCTCGCCGCCATCCCTCTCGTTTTCGTCCTCGGCCTCCCCCTCGTCTTCCATCTCCTACATGAGCACGCCCTCTGCGCCCGCGACACCCGCAACACCCGCACTGCTCCAAGTCCCCTCTCGATCACCGGTGTGCGGCGTCTCGAAGTCCGAGGTCTCTGCCGGCCCTATGCGGGCAAGCATGTGGTTCATCTCTCCTCAGAAGTTTTCCAGCAAGATGATACCCACCTCCAAGTCTGGCACGACTGGCCTGGGCCTCCTTGGGGCCGGTCTACCTTCGACGATGACTGCTCAGCCTGCGAACCTGCTTTCACCCTCGTCCTCGTCAGAGGACGAACTGGCTACTCTCGCGGCTGTTCTGGACTCCATTCGCCAAGCAAATTCCGTCGCAGCTTTGCGCCCCGGAGATTCCGCCGACTGTGTAGTCTGAACACTTTTTGGCTTTGTACATTCGTCGACTCGTAGACCGCGTGTCTGTGTCACTCCAGATTGTCAATCCATCCACTTGTTTACCGTTATGCATTCACTACCACATATAGTTGTACATTCCGCGTTCGGTCCAACAAGTATATTCGTTAATTTCCACCGCCACCTGTTCCCTAGACGAGGATCGACGCAAACATCGCCACCCCTCTACTCTCCCTTTTTCGTAGACTCCTTCTTGGCCTTGCGACCCTCCGCGATGTCCTGGAAGATACTGCCATCAAACACTCGCCGAATGTCATCCTTCCTGAGGAAGCCGTCCTCAGGCCAGAGAAGCATGTATGTCCATGTCCCTGCGTGCAAGACGTCAACGCTACGGGTCAAAGTTAATGAACGCAGACAGAACGCACATGCCATGAACGTGCAAAACCAGCCCACAGGATCCATCAGGACGCGCATGCCCTTCAGCGCGTCCCGTATATCGTTCAACGTCACGCCGTCTTTGCCCTTGCCGTACTTGCTGAAGAAGTCCTCGAATCTGCCGGGGAGCGGTCAGAACCGTGCGCAGGTGCGTACGACCCCTGACCACGTCCAAGTACGCACTTTTGCGGGATGAACCGCCCCTCGCTGTCGTACACGCCCGAGTCGCTGCCGTGCTTGGCGCGGTGGATGTTCTGAAGGTGGATGCGGAGGAGCGGGTCCGGGAGCACGGAGGGGCTCGTCGCGTACGAGAGGAGGAGGTGGGTGCCGAGCGCGCCGACGGCGCAGAGGACGAGCGCGAAGCCGAGCAGGCGCAGGCCGCGGAAGGTGTCGAGGGGCGAGATGACCCCGTCCGCGTCGCGGTCGAAGAAGGCGCAGTGCTGCTGGAGCACCGTCTGCTGCGCGTGCTCCTCGGACCAGAGCGAGGTGCCGCCGGGGCTCTCGACTGAGATCGCCTTGTTCACGCGCGCGGTGCCTGTGGGGGACGCGGCGGGGGCGGGGACATGTCAGCGGCGCGTGGGGTGGTCAGGAGGACGGGGCGCACCGGCGGAGGGCAGGTCCTTGCGGTGGCCGACTGCGGGGCTGTAGGGAGGGCGTTCGAGAGTGACGGAGGCGTTGATGAGCGCGGTCTGGATGCCTTTCGGGCGTCCGTTCAGATTGTCGGCCATGGTGAGTGTAGAGAGGTGGATGTAATGACGGGTGTGGGCGGAGCAGGACCAGAGCAGAAGTTCAGCCGTGCAGGCAGCAACGAGTGCATATATAGCCTTGGGCGAAGGAGCAGCGAGCCCAGCGAAAAACCTGTCAGTGCCTACGACGTCAGCGGATGTGCGCTGACGTCAGGTGTGCAGACGAGGTGGCCGCGGTCGGACGATCCCCAGCTGGTCGATCGCATCCCACAGGGTCAACTCCTCAGGGAGAATATACATAGATAGGGGCTCTCGTCTCCAGCTTCGTACAATCGCGTCACTACTCGTGCCAATCTCGTAATGATACGTCCATGTGTGAGGCAATTCACCATGTGGTCGGTCTATCGACGGCGCGAGGATCAGTGACATGGATGCAACATGGAGGGTGCACGACCCACCCAAAGGTGTCGCCCGGGGCGAGCTTGATAAGGGCTTCGGCCCTGCCGTCGGCATTGTTGAACCACACTGTGTTGCCCCACCACTGCTGGATCGTGTTCTTGCCGATGTTGCCGTTGTCGGGGTACTCCAAGATGAAGAAGATTAGGATCACCGACACCGCAACGCCAGAGTCCAGCGCAGCGGACAGCACGTCTAACCCCCAGCGTCCTCGTTAGCACCATTCTGAGGAACATGAGCGAACGACGCACAGTTGTATTTGGTCCACCACGAGAAATGACGGCGACGGATGACGTAATTGAACACGAAGCCGACAATCGTCCAGGGTACGTAGTTGAATGCCGTCGCGGGCGGGATGAGGCCCGTCCCAGAGAAGATGACCGGGAAGTTGACGTATTTCATGAACGAGTTCGGCCATTTCAACGTGATCAGATAGCCGAAGAGGGGCAAGACCGCGCCGATGAGGAAGAAGAACACCAAGCCGTAGAAGATCTGGCCCTTGGAGAACTGGCGCGCCGGCCCGATGACTCCCCAGATGATCGAGGCCGTCCCGAAGACTTGTGTGGACGGGCACTGGATGGAAGCATGAGCATGAGAGAGGACGGCAATGATCATGACCGGGACTCACGATGAAACCGTTCTTCTGGTTGGGAGAGCACATGTCGGGAATGTTTGTGAACATCCACGCCTGCACGCCAAGTTGCACGGTACCCGCAACAATGGTCGCAATGACTTGCGCGAAGAACATGGGACGCGGGGCTACCTTCATGTAGTGGCCCAGCTTGAAGTCGGACGTGAAAGTGAGAGCCTGCGCCATAGTGATATAGCCCCAGGTCTTGAACATCATCATAGCGACAGGGCGACCGGGGAGGGCATAGCCAATGATGAGTTCGGTGACGACGCTGGGTCGGTCGGTCAGCAAAGTGGTCTCTGTGTGCCCCATGAGACATTTACTCACTTGAGACCTATCTGCTGGTTGGTGATGGCCTGTATCATACCGATCGGGATGGTATACACGAACGCTATATCGCGTCAACGAGCAGCCCAGAATCAAAATGGGATAGAGCAACTCACAGATGATCAAGGCGAGCACGAACGCCCAGACAGGGAACTGCGTGTGCCACAGCTCAATCGAAATGACGCCAAAGACGAACATCGTGACTGGTCAACTGCATCAGTCTCATCTCTCGAAGCGACTACGGCAGCGCTCACCGAAGATGATGCCGTACCACCACTCCGGGACTTGCGGGTACTGGCTCATGAGACGCGCGTGGATGTCAGGCTGCTCACTCATTGAGCGCCTCGACTGCACCCAGATTTGCTTCCGGAAGTAGAGGAATGTGTGCATGAGCGTCGCGGTTATTGACGCAAAGGACAGGCCATAGGAGAGCGCGAAAGTCGTCGACAGGAACAAGGGGCTGTAGGACTCGTACAGCTCGACGTTGAGAGTGGAGTCGGGGTTGATGATACGGCTGACGTCGTAACTCATACCAAAGCGGTCGAAAGACGTGCGGGACGAGATCCTGGAGACATGCGTCAGCCTACGGTCCGTTGCTGAAATTTTGAAACGCACGGCATGAACTTGCTGTACAACGTGTTTGAGTAGTACATAATCGGGGTGACGATCCCTTACGAGCAATGGCGTCAGGGGCTTCTAGGGTGACCACGTCCAAGGCGTACTCACAGAAGAAGAAAACAAATCCGGCGGCGACGTTCGCCTCGGCCCACCACGGCGTGGCGAGTGGCGAACCAATGTACGCGATTTGAGACCAGTCGAACGTAATGAGGGACATGCCCTAAAGCCATTTCAGCATTCCACAAGACCGGCAATAGAAGAGGTACTTACCAGCCCAGAGTTATAGCCGAAAAGCTGGTTGACGATAACATTGTCCGGGGCAATCCAGCAGACCCAGTTGAAGAACGAGAGGGCCTGGAAGATATAGCCGGGGAAGAGATACCAAACAGCCGATGCGGTGAACATGTAGAAGAAGAACCGTTCGCGGCTAATCCCTCCGCGGTCTCCCACTCCGGCGTACTGCTGCGAGTGGAGGGTATTGAACAGAGCGCAAGTAACGAGGTTCGCAGGCCAGACTATCAGATGGATTTGAGTTTCTGGTGTGTTATCAACTTGAAGATACACTTACTCATTGACGGCGGTTGTACGAGGAAGCGACGCGCGATGCCACCGATGGAGAACCCGATCTATGAGAACTAGTAAGAGGGGCTATGCGCAGTCAAAAAGCGTAACAGCGCACCAATTGAGTGCTCATGACAACCATCCATTGGTCTATAAGCAAAAGGAACATGGGTAAGGAGCCTTGGAATTACAGCGCACCACGCACATCCGAAGCTGTAGATCTGATTGTAGTACACCCGCTGAACTGCGACGATGTCGGTCTTGAGGGGACATGTCAACCGTAAGCCTCCAGTAAAGCGGATATCGACTCACCGCGTAAGCGGACCCAGCGCCGACGCTGGCCATGATGGTGATGAGGACGTGCTCCTTGACGGTGAACGGACCGGGATTAACCGCAACTCCAAAGACCTTGACATTGGGCATGAACTTCGCCCAAGCGCGGCCAACAGGGAACGAGATCAGCTGGGCTACAATCTGGTTGGCCAGTAAGCACGTTAGTAACAAGTATAGTAGCGGAGGTTGATAACACGTACGCCGCCAACAGTGACACTGGGGAAACGGAAGAAGAAAAACTGGTTCATGCCCGGGATGATGATAGCCCAAATCAAGCCGATGACCCAGACGCGGAGAGAAGAGACGGGCATGGAAGGGTCGTCTGTGTTAGCTACCGCAGAACGGACCTCAGGGTAGGGAGAGTCGTCCTCTGCCAACAACATAAGAAAGATGGAACGGCGCATGAAGGTAATGCTTACCCAGAAGGACGGCATCCTTGTCGATGTTGGGGTCGTCGAAGTCAGTGACTTGTTCGATCTTGATGGCTAAAGAGCGAGATTCAGGGCAGAGGACTAGACTATAGTGGCAGACGTACGAGCTGCAGCCTTCTCGAGATCCTCTTTTGCGGGCAGGGAGCCGATGCTGCCGCTGCGCTGAGAGCTCTCGACGAGGTGCGCCATGGTGGGGAGAGAGGTGGGAGGACCTGAGGACGTGTGAAGAAGGGAGCGAGGCTCTTGTACGAGCTTGGGAGCTTAGGAGCTTGTCGTGTGCCGATAAGAGCCCCACCGAGGCTAGACGAGTGAAGTGTTTTCGTTCCTGGCGTGAGGCTTATCGGAGCAGGACTGTTATGCACAGAATCTCGGAGGGGTGTAGCGCTGTGTGCTGGTCCTCAGCAAACTTGCACTCTATCATTGTGTCCATGGGTGGCGAGGATGAGCGACCCTCTATATCTTTTCCCCTCACGAATGAAGAGTCTGCTATCTGTGAATGAGAGTTGCGTGAGTACGTGGAACGAGCATATGGAGCCAATGGTGGGATCGCTCACCCAAACTTTTCCCTCCCACTCACACAGGCATGTGCAGCGTCGAAACCATCCACCACGTATAAACACTTGCACTGTCTCTCGCGCATTTACGGCTTTTAGAGCCACCCTACTATACTGAGAAGCGCTACGTCAGGTCAGGCAAGGACTGAACAGATGTGGTTGTTCTTACGAGCTGGTCTGTTTTCCGCACTACAACCTGTCAGAGCAATCTTTTTAGGTCGGCATGCGCTGGCTGAGAGCCGTGCGATCCTGAGAAACCATCGGGTTTTAGAGCTTCTCCATGCTCTTGACGTTGTGGGGAAAAGTTCGTTCAATGGGTGAGAACAGCGTGTGCACCGTGTGTGCAGCGGTCACAGCACCGGCATGTCTAGTCGAGGACCCTTCCACCACATTTGCGCGGTGATTCGCCACCAAGTATGAATCAGCGCGGGTACCGCGCCGATGAAACGCTTGCTCCTGTCGCTATGAGAGATGAAGCCATCGCAGAGAGATGAGATGTCGCGGTCACGGTATCCAACCTGGAGAGGATATGCTCTATGCGCGGCGACGGAAATCCATCCTGCATCCGCAACAGAGGTGAGAGATCGTGGTGCGCAAAAGAGATACGGTGAACGGCATGAGACGTACCCACGATAGCCAGGGAAGCGGCGAGCCGTGTTTGGCACAGTAACGCGCGGCACCTGTAAGTGGCCGAGCCTGAGAATGGAGTGAGTGCAGAGAGATACAGCCGCCATGAGCGCGCCGAGCCGTGCCAGCGCATTCGAGGCACATCTTCAGGGGGCAGGTGTCGTCATTCCGCAGCAACTAGGAATGTTCGGAGTGCAGAACCAACCGGTTCGCCCGTTTCGGCGCCCGAGGGCCGAGGAGTATGTAACCACGACCACTGTGGCTGCGTCCCCAAAAGGCGCGTAAGCGCTTCCCAACGAACGCCTGCACTCGGCGCTGACCTTTTGGCAGCCGCACTCCATTATCTTCGCCGCTTGTTCCACTCCTCACCCTTGGATAATCTTGTCCGAAGACACTATGGCGTCGTCATCAAACATCTCCGTGCTGACGAAGTCACACAACATCATCGCGGCAAAGAGAAGAGCGAAGAAAGAACAACTCAAAGAGATAGTTTTCGATGATTCAGCCCGTAGGTGAGAGGCTCGCCTTCCATTCGCATGACAAATTTAATCTCTTTCTTGCAGAGACTTTCTGACGGGATTTCATAAGCGCAAGGTGCAGAAAAAAGAAGCCGCGAAACAGAAGGCGATGGAGCGGGAGAAGCAAGATAGACTAGAGGCTCGGCGGGAGGTACGTCTGGAGTCATTCGTCTCGACACCCCAGACTCAGACGCATGCCCAGCATCGTAAATTGATCGCGGAGCAAGCCAAGAAGAACGCTGAGCAGGCAGAACGGGCATACCGCGGGACGCCTGGTACGTCCTTTCCTGCATGTTCGAGGCTTGTATCATTGAAGATTCGCGATAGAAGACGGAGACGACAGTGGCGCAGAGAGTAGTGGCTCTGTCGTGTCAAACAGGAAAGCGGGTGCCGCGCCGGAGGAGCAAGAAGAATATGAAGACGAAGAGCAGCTCGCCACCGTGACTGTAGTCGAGGAATTCGACCCAGATTCTCTCATCCACGGTACTCGAACTCCTTCTCGAACAAACACCGACGATGATAAGGCCCGGCCCATTAAGTCTGCACCCGTCCCTCAATCGAGAGCCAAGCTGGTCGAAACGGCCAAAACCAAGGCGATGCATAAAACCTCGGCCAAAGCGAAGGATATCAAGTATCAAACGAGCGCTGCGCGAAAGACGGAGCGCACCAAGCAGCGTCAACGTAAGATGGAGAAAGCTGAGAGAGCGGGGGGCAAAACGTCAAGACGAAAAGGTGGTGCGGCGAAACACAGACGATAGGACATGTATGTGGGATTCATGTCCTGTCCCTGGTCCATATATATCTACACATCGCCGATACCATGCAAAATCTAGACATTTACTTTCTGTCCAACCCATACCGCATAAGGACCCTTCATGAGATCGCCTACGCTCCATATCTCCCAGCTCTCCTGAAGTGACATATCTAGCCATCCCTGAAGAAACTCTCGCACAACGTCTTCGGCTCGTAGCTCCACCACAACCATAACCGTTGTCTTCCCAGGAATGGCCAGATGGTTGATTGTGGTGAGCAGGGCGGGTAGCAGAGACGGGTGGTATATGCAGTCGACGACAAGGACCAAATCAGCCGGGTTCGACGGGACGAGGTTTGGGCGAAAAGATGGGAGCGCGTTGTGCACGTCTAGCCAGTCCAAAGTCTCCGCAGTCGAGTTTACGGGGGGAAGAGGGGAGTGCTTGGAATTTGACGAGGAAGGAACCGCTGGACGCTGGCGATTTCTCGTGAGGTTCTTCCGAATCAGTGGAACGAGGGCGGCAATGTCCGTCGCGATGTATTGTTTCACAAATGGCGAGAGGACCACGCCCAACATTCCTGTTCCCGCTCTGAAGCAAGATTCAGGGACTGCAACACGGGCGAGAATCCAGCACATACCCGAGTTCGACAACACATGCGGCGGAAAGGTGATCTCGATTGAGGAATGGGCGTGTAGGGTTTTTCTGGTGAAGATCCCAAAGGAGAGCTTGCGCTAGGTCAACGCTGCAAGACAACAGAACGGCTCCATGTTCGCAAACATCCAAAAAACTTTATCAGACGTGCTACGCCTACCTAGCATGCCACAACACACTCCCTGTATCTCCTTTGCGGGAGCGCAACGCAGTTTTGTCCTGGGCGATCTCGACGTCAAACGTGTCCTCTTCGTGTTTGCCATTTTTTTTCCGCGACGGCCTCTGCGAGGGCCGCCCGCGTCTGCGAGCACTCGACGGCGCCGACTGCGAGAAGTCTTCCTCCATTGGTTTGGAGATCGCGAAGGAGACTGTGAGGACGTCCTCGTGGGAGTCGACATGACCGAGTCCACGAAAGTGAGCATGTTCGTTGGCATTTGTTTGAGCTGCTAGACCAGTATACAGCAGAAACACCTGACGGTGCCCTTGAGCTTAGAGGAAGTATCCTGAGACTACGACCAGCTACAGTTGGCTACTCACCTCTTCATCCGCGTCCGCCATACGGGTAGCAGTGAATGGTAGTTGGACCACACCTACAGTCATACCAGCGCTGTCATCCCGTCCCGACGCTTGACTTTCCATGCGGTCAATAGAAGCGACAATGATACGGGGCCGACTTAGGGGATGAAGGATGCCAAGGATGCCGCTGTTTGCTGCTGCCAATGCCATAATGATAGTAGACGCGTTGAACAAGGTCATGTGATTTCTGGACACGCACACTGCATCACTCGGCGGGACTCGAAAGCAACACTTCTTCCACCACCACGACTCCTTCTTTCCTCCTCGCCTTGCCTTCTTCTCTCGCCGCCTAAGTTATTCAACTTTGCGATGAATTCCCTCTATACCCTCGGCGTGCGCCAAACTAACTCCATACAAGCCGACTTGGAGAGGTTGCGGAATGGCGAGAAGTCAGCGTCTCTGTTAGGTGTGTTGTGTGGTCATTTATCGGCATGGACGTCCGTTCAACCATTCGTTAGGTCAGATATCAGCATCGCTTGCGGCGATGCACAGGACAGTGGAGGATTATGATTCCATGGCGAAGCGAGAGATCATTAAAGCAAAGCAGGAGAAGGCCATGATGTGCGTCTCCATATCTCTACACGCTGGGCATGGCCCAATACCTTATCTGTTTGCACTGACATGTTTTCAAACCGCAGGCGTGTTCAGAAATTCCGGTCTGACTACTCAGATCTCCGAACGCAGTTCGAGACTATGAAAACCGAGGTATGTTTTGTCATTACACTCGTAAGTCCTCCCACACCCACAAGGGTCTAGCATGAGGCTGCATTCCGCGCAGAACTATTCTCCGGCTCGTCATCCTCTACGGTACCCTCCTCTGCTCCAGGCGACACGCGCAGGCGATTCATGCAACCGTCCCCGAACGAGGAGATATCAGAATCTCCATTCCGAGGACCTACCCCCACCCACCTTAACGGCGCATCTCGTGAATCATATGCCTTACGCGAACACAGCTTCATTCAGAACACCGACACCAAGCTCGATGAGTTTATTGCGCAGGGAAGAGCTGTCTTAGACGATTTGGTCGACCAGCGCAACGTATTGAAGGGAACACAGCGGCGGCTTCTGGATGCAGCCAACACGCTCGGGTTGAGTAGAGATGTCATCGGCTGGATTGAGAGGAGAAGGTACGCATCAACTGCTCTAGTCGTCTGTTTTCGTCGTTCAATGTCTTTATCGCAGTACACAAGACATGTACATTTTCTTCGCGGGGGCGATATTCACGTTCTTCTGCTTTTTCCTCATCTGGAAGTATCTGGGTTGATTCCGTTGTTATGGGGCTGGTACTCGGACCTTTGTACAGTAGTAGTGTGACGTTTAATGCCATGGCTCCATGGAGTAGATTCCTGGCCAATCTCGTCCGACATGTGGTTGTGCCTGGGAGATGAGGTTGGGTGCCGTCGAACCGGACCGACGGGAGTGTGGGCGCCTGATGTTGAAGCTTCGGAACCGCGATCGAGAGCGCAGCTTTCTGTCTTCTCCGTCTCCCCCACCCCCTCTCGACATATGCTCGCCCTTCGCTAGCCCTGCTCAACGTGCATCAACCACAGCCTATACCTCTTCGGAATCTAGGCCGTCCATCCTCTTCCGGGGCTTCCATGGCAGAGGCATCTCCATCCAGCGGCAGCGGAGGATATGACTACACCGAAGGCGCGTCACCTCTAGATATCCAACAAGCAATTTCGGACGCCAACCGTTCGCGACGCGACTCTCGCTATGGAGACGACGGCGGCGACAATATGTTCGACGGGCCAGGTCACTCCGTCATTCCAAGTAGTGTCTCCCGCATGACGCTCCGGGACCATCACCGACGAAGCAGCGGCTTCTCTCGAGCCTCGTTGAGCCGCAGACGCAGCGACGACGCAACCAGTCAAGACGGTCGGCGCAGCAGAAGGATGAGTGGGGACGGCGCCTCTGTGGATGGGGACCGGAGGAGCAATGGGGGATGGTCAGAGCAAGAGGACTTGTCGGGCGAGGAGGACACGACCGAGGACTTGAGTAGAAGCTGGCGTGGTCGCCGTCGCCGCCAGTCTCCCTCCCCACCGGCTGCACGGAGCAACGTCTTCGAAAACCTCGCTAGCATTTTCGGGCGCGGGGCCCCTACCACGGAGTCTCCGCCGCGGAGTCGCCGCACATCCATGTCCAGTCGAGTCTCGCGGTCTCGCCTACTTCGTCGACATAGCAGTCGGAGGTCGGAGGCGAGCTCGGACTACGCGGTGGATGACATGTCGGATGAAGGCGACGAGCGGTGGGGATACTCGTCGAATGAGGAGGACGAGGATGAGGACGAAGCGGACATCGCCAGTCTCGCGCCGTCCGGGAGCGAGGTCGCATTCGACTCGCCGCCGCCGTCACCGGGACCCGGTCTACCGTTCTTGGCGGGCGACCCAGTGTTTGGTTCGGAGGCCAGGATAGAGATGGGCGAGCTCGAGCCTTTACCCCCACCTCCGTCTGGACCGCCAAGCCGGCAAACGCTGTACATTGAGGACGAAGATGCACACATACGCATGATTGGGTACGAGCAAATCCCGTGGAAGCAGTGGACGTGGTGGTTATGCTGTACGTGCACCTTCGGGGTACTTGCTTTGCTTGGCCGTTGGTTCCCCAAGCTCTGGCTTCGATGGGTTACGCGAGAACGCGCATTTATCGACATGAAGCGTGGCTTTGTAGTCGTTGAGGTGAGTTAGCACGCGGATGTATATGGACTTATCTGACTGGTTAATTCACAGACTGCATACAGAGACATCGCACTCTTCCCCATTGGTCGCCTTGAATATCCCTACTCCTTCTCCACGGTGTTCTCCTCCAATCCAGACCCTTCCCAGCTCCTTCCGAAGTACACACCAGGTCTTGTCATGGGCGTCCTTATGTACGTCGACTATCGATACAACAGGTTCGCCCTTGACCCACGGACAGGGCTGTTCGGCATGATCAAGTCAGTTCCTGTTAACGTTGTGTGCCGAAAGCCACTGAATGTTACGATAAACAGAGATTGGAGAGATGCATCATGGCAAGGGATTCTCAGCGTACAAAACGGTGTTTCCAGTGATGTCAAGACGCAACGCTTGAAGTTGTTCGGCTCCAATCTTATTGATATAGAAGGAAAGTCTACGGGTACACTGCTGATTGACGAGGTTTGTTCTCTATTCTAGTTCTGACTGCTCACATCTCAAGAAGTGTTCCAGGTCATCCATCCGTTTTACGTCTTCCAAATCGCCAGCATATTATTGTGGTCATTAGATGACTACTACTATTACGCATTTTGCATCGCACTCATCTCTGCTGTTACAATCGTCACAACACTCATTGAGACCAAGCAGGTAAGGCGCAGACTATAGGCGACGATTCTTAGGAGCTTATGAAAAAACCTCAGACGATCGCACGCATGAGGGAGATGTCGAAGTTCATGTGTCCTGTCAAGGTGTACCGTGATGGCTCATGTGAGTCGCACTGGGGGCATGCAGTATGTCGATGCTGAGCATGCACTTCCAGGGATATTTTGCGACTCATCGGAGCTTGTGACGGGAGACGTCGTTAATCTTCTCGACCCACCCTTGAATACAATCCCAGCGGACATGTTTCTCCTATCGGGAGATGCCATCGTCAATGAAAGTATGCTCACAGGTGAAAGTGTACCCGTCAGCAAGATACCTATCAAAGGTGACGACCTCGCCCGATGGAAGGACACCGTGGATATATCCGGGGACATGGCGAAGAGCTTCCTGTACTCTGGAACACGTGTTGTACGAATCCGTGCTGGGTTAGCCACTGACGGGCGTCCAAGTGCACCAGCCCTAGCTCTTGTTGTACGCACTGGTAAGTGCACCCTATGCTGAAGGATTAGAGTATCGATGATTGATGCCCCCCAGGTTTCTACACGACCAAGGGCGCATTGGTCCGTTCCATGCTCTATCCCAAACCTACGGGCTTCAAATTTTATCGGGACTCCATGCGATTCATCGGAGTCCTTGCGGCTGTTGCCGGCCTTGGCTTCTGTGCGAGTGCCGTTCAGTTTGTCAGACTGGGTGTACGTGGACCCCACTGCTTTGATGGTGCTATATGACTGACGTTTGACCAGGTTCGCTGGCATACCATTGTGATCCGTGCATTGGATCTCATCACCGTTGTTGTTCCCCCAGCACTTCCCGCGACCCTCTCAATTGGCACCAGCTTCGCCATCACACGGCTGCGCAAGCTCGGCATCTTCTGCATCTCGCCCTCGCGCGTCAACGTTGCTGGTCAGATCAACGTCTGTTGTTTCGACAAAACCGGCACCCTCACCGAAGACGGACTGGACATTCTCGGCGTGCGCGGGCCTGAGCGGCACGCGGATCGCTTTGGGGAGCTCCTCGAGGACATTCACGACCTACCCGCGCCCCGCGAGAAAGCGAACTTCTTGCACGCCCTCGCTACCTGTCACTCGCTCAAGATGGTCGACGGAGAGACGATCGGGGACCCGCTCGACGTGAAGATGTTCGAGTTTACCAAGTGGACGCTCGAGGAAGGCCATGTTGCAGGCACTGGGGTTGTCAAGAATAAGGTAGGCGGGGATCGTCCAGCGGCGCTTGTGCAGACGGTGGTTCGCCCCCCTGGAAGTGCACAGTTTCGGGTCGAAGATGCGCTCAAAGGCGCGGGCAGGGTCAGTACTCCAGTCAGTGTCCATCGTTACCTGTGCTCATTTCATTCACTGCACAGCACGCGCATTTCTTGGAACTTGGCGTCATCCGGACGTTTGAGTTCGTTTCCGCGCTTCGCCGGATGAGCGTTGTCGTGAAACGGCTGAAGAGCACAAGTATGGAGGTCTACGTTAAGGGCGCGCCCGAAGTGATGGCGGAAATCTGCGACAAGAGCACCTGTAAGTCTCGGACACTTGTAGTGTTCTCATAACACAGCATTGACGCGTCATGCTCCAGTCCCCCAAGACTACGACGACCTGCTGTCCTACTATACCAAACGCGGATACCGAGTGATTGCTATGGCCGGCAAGAGTATTGAGGGTCTTTCATGGCTCAAGGCTCAGAAACTCAAGCGGTACGCGAGGCCACTGTTCTCTTTCTTCACTGCTCACGAAGACCGTCAGAGAACAAGCGGAATCCAATTTGCAGTTCCTAGGGCTAGTGATCTTCGAGAATAAGCTCAAGTCTGGGACGACTCCCGCCATTCAAACGCTCAGGGCCGCGCACTTCGCGTGCAGGATGATCACTGGAGACAACCCCCTCACCGCTGTCAGCGTGGCGCGCGAGTGCGGTCTCATCAACCCCGCCGTGCAGGTTTTCACTCCAACGTTTGTTCGAGGTGCGTCATTTGTTTGATCAGCCTTGTCTCGTCTCACCACCGCTACAGGCGGTCCGTCATCCGGCTTGTCGAAGTTGGAGTGGTCGAGTATGGACGAGCCGACGTGGAAGCTCGACGACTACAGTCTCAAACCACAGCTCCCTCCCACGAATCGTCTCGTCGATCAAGAAGAGCTCGAGGGACAAGATTATACGCTCGCCGTGACCGGCGATGTCTTCCGGTGGATCATCAATCATGCACCGCTCGAAACGATGCAGCGTGTCAGTGCTGTGCTCCGTGCCCCGTGGCGTAATGATCTCTTACCAACCCCCGTTTGTGCAGATGCTCGTGAAGACGCAAATCTATGCGCGCATGTCTCCGGACGAGAAGAACGAGGTCGTCGAACGGCTACAAGGCTTGGGATACGTCGTCTTGATGTGTGGTGACGGTGCAAACGACTGTGCTGCTCTCAAGGCCGCGGACGTCGGCCTGTCGCTGTCAGAAGCCGAGGCGTCCGTCGCCGCTCCTTTCACGAGCCGGACACCAGACATTAGCTGTGTCCTCGAGGTCATCAAAGAAGGTCGGGCAGCGTTGGTGACATCCTTCAGCTGTTTCAAGTACATGTGAGGACAGCCTCTTCTTCCCACCCACCTCTCCGCTCTCTGGATGCAGTAGTTGATGTTCACTATTTAACGATCACAGGGCACTGTACTCTCTTATTCAATTTACCACGATCACGTTGCTCTATTCGTTTGCATCCTCGTTGGGGGATTTCCAGGTACGTCGTCCGGATGTTCACAGTGATGGGGACCGATCATTCATCATTGTATATCGCAGTTTCTGTACATCGACCTCTTCATCATCATCCCGATCGCAGTGACCAGTAAGCCAAGGGCTGATTGCTCCTGCTCACTATTGGACTAACGACTCCGCAGTGGGACGCACGCTTCCGTTCCCGAAGATCCATCCAAAGAGACCTACCGCAAGCCTGGTGTCAAAGAAGGTGCTCGCTAGTCTCGTCGGTCAGATTGTCATCACATCTGCCATCCAGTTCTGGGCCTTCTTTTGGGTCCGTTCCCAAGAGTGGTGAGTGTCTGTCTCCTCCAAGACACGCGACAGACATGCTGAAATGTGGCGGCAGGTACGCCGCACCGGCGCCCAAGGATCCAAATGAGGTCGACGACAAGCTCTCGGCACGCAACTATGAAAACTCGGCACTATTTTTGGTGTCGTGTTTCCAATATATCCTCGTGGCCGCGGTGTTCAGCATTGGCCCTCCTTACAGGAAGCAGATGTGGACAAACGGTCCGTAATTATCTCGTCTGACCACAGCATCATTACTGATGGCATATCCGCCAGGCTGGTTCATGCTGTCAATGATCTGCCTCTGTCTGTTCAACCTGCTTGTCATGCTGAGCCCGCCCGCGTCCGTCGTCCAGTGGCTAGACTTGATTTCGCTGCCTGTGATGGCCCGCGCGGCACTGCTGCTGGCAGTGGCCGTGAACGTGACAGCGTCGCTGCTGTTCGAGCACTACGGCACGCAGGCAGTTTCGCGGGCCATTGGGGCACTCTTAGAGCTGCGTCGTCGGCAGCGGGTGCGCGATGGCAAAATCTACAAGGCGGTGGAGGGCGGGATGCGCTGAATCTTGATGGGGGAGACCCGGGCCTGATTGCGGCTTCGCCTGCGGAGCAACGGGGCGCGACAGCCAAGGCTCGCAGGTCCGCGCGGTGCGCAGCACGGGCCGTCAACGGCGAGCGGCGAGCGGGACGGCGTAGAGATACGAGAAGCCTTCTGTGTACTATGTAGAGAGCGGGAGTCTGACATAGAACGGCGGCCTGAAGGCTTGGTTACCACACGGGCGGGCCTGGGAGTGGCAAAGCCCGCGGACGAGGGCTGCGAGGTCGATGATCGGGCAAGCCTGGAACGCGCGTTGCCAACGCGCCGGGTCCCAAAGGCTGATCGTTGCCGCTTTGTTGGGAGCAACTGCGCATTTTTCACGCGCCGCTTGCCGCAATGGCACTGGATGCTTGCGGGATTAGAACGCGCCTCGGTGCATGCTTTCGGACAGTGAAAATTTTGATGGGGGCCGAAACAATCAGACGTGCCAGGCCCTGAGCTCTGGAGAAGGCCAAAGAGCGCGCCTGCCTCGCCTCTCACCTCTTCCCCCCCGCCATCCTCCCCGGCTTGCTCTTTTCGTTAGCCCTGGGGGCCATTCCATTCCTTTCTTTCCACCTTCGTCGCCGCTGTACGCGCCGTCGAGCCACAAGGGAGCCGGCTTCCGCATAACCCACCTGTTTCCACCCTTCCGAGCTATCCTTTTCACCCGGCCATCCTCTATCGTCAAGATGTTCGGGCTCTCAAAGTCACTCGCCCTTCTCCTTCTCTCTGCCGCTGCAGTCCATGCCGCGCCGGCGCCCACGGAGAGGAGGTCGGTGCAGTCCTTCGTCCGTCGCGCCGGCAGTGGTGACAATCTCTCAAAGTCGACCACCGTGCAGACGACGACGATTCTCGAGACGTGAGTAGGACGCTTTACATGCCACCGAATGGCCCCTGAGCCTTCCCCAGCTCCCAAGGACCTATGCTCCAGCAGTGCACGATCCAGCTTGATCCCATCACCAGCAATGGCAAGCCGTTGGTGAAGGAAACCAAGACATGCACAATCCAGATGGTGGACAACAACAGCAGCAATGGGAGCAGCACCACTTCGTCAGACTCGTCCTCTTCCACATCGACGTCAACGTCGTCGTCGTCTAGTTCCACGGATTCTTCCAGTTCGACTTCGTCGTCCGACTCTTCGTCGTCGACGTCGTCGGCTGGTTCGACGGATTCGTCCTCGGCTGGTTCGACGTCCTCGACGGATTCGTCCTCGGCGTCCTCGACTGCGAACGGCTCTTCATCCACGTCGACTGATTCGTCGAGCAGCTCTGGTACGTATTCCTATTGTTCTCGCAGAATTATTCTCAAACGACATCGTCCATTATAGCCTCCACCACGTCCGGGTCGGGGGCCATTGCAACGGATGTGAGTTTCGAATAATCTGCGGCGTAGTTCTTGCCCTCATCCCCGTGTTTTCAGTCCGTCTCCCTTGTCCCTGGCTCCTCGCTTTCCGCCGCGGCAACGGGCTCGTCGGCCTCCTCCGCAGCGGCTTCCTCCACTGCAAGCGCGACGGGCTCTGCGGCCAGCTCGACGGCTACGGGTGTCAATGCAGGGAACGGTGCGATCTCTGCGAATGGCTTCAGCTCTGTCCCCGCCACCATGGTCTCGGCGTCGGCTGTGGGTGCAAATGCGACCTCGGCCGCAGACACCGCGCAGTCGAGCACACCCGCGAAATTCCAGCTTCCTGGCACTTCGCTCTCTGTCCTGCCGATTGGTTTGGGTGTATTCGCTGGTATATCGGTCATCGCTCTCATCGTTGTTGGTCTCGTCACCTACGAGCGCACCAAGTACCGCAGGGTGAGTACAATGTGCGCGAGAAAATGGTTGTAAACTGAGCTCTCTGCAGGCGTTCAGGCAGCGCAAGCTTGCGGAATCAGGGGCGGCTATGGGCTACGGTGGAATGGCGTAAGTCTCGGTATTTTGACTTCTAGTCGTACAGAATCCTGACAACTTGTATCCAGGCAAGCCGCCTAAACCCGCTATTCATTAGTATTCTTATCACGTTGCTGGATTCTGCCTTGGGGCAACAGCGGGAAGATGCAATGTCTAGCTGTACACTGTGTAGTTGGACGCCGCCCAATGGCATAGTCAGTTCTCCAGCACCTCGGACAGTAGATTGTACTGTAAATCGGCGCTTGCCGGTGTATTCTACGGGCTCGTATTTCTTTCCTTCTCGACGTTGGGGCCATCGTTTGGACAGTTCTCACCTAGACCCTTGCTTTCGTTCTCTTCTTGATAGCCTAGCTTTCTGGGATGGCCGGGACTCAGGAAAGTGCTTGCAGGTTTCCTTATTCTCCCATTCGATAGTATGGAAACCTATGAGGTTCACCTACAATAAACGTCTTGGACTCCGGATCCGAAGCCCCGCGATGAAAGGAGTGCTGGCCCTCTCAATTAATCCTCTGGGCGAGATGAGAGACCAGTTGCTGCTCAAAGAACTTGACTACAAGTAATTTGCTCTCTTCTAGTCTCCCATGGGCACCGAGAAGCAGCACTGTAGGATTCCCTTGCGGCCTTGTGCAACTGTTGTTTGTCGACCGCAGTCGCAATGCTTCGGTCGATAAAGCTAGCGACGGTCTCGACGACACCCCGGGGGGGTGACTGCATTCGTGCCAAGGCAGTGCATGCGATCTCGGCATTCCAGGAGCCTTGTCCCACAAAGTTGCATCCACGTACACGGTCTACGTCGCGATGCCCGTCGCGATGTAGTAGTACTGTGAATTGGGTTTCTCCCATTCTGAGGGCTTCTGATCCTGGTCCTGCCCAGTGCCACCGCTGTCGCAGGGAGGAGGTCACCTGTACCTCACATCAATCAGGCCGGCTTAGCCCGTGGCACTGGGGGGGGTGGCCCGGGTCAAGTAGACCTGAAACCGTGCTCCCCCGCACGTTTGAATAATTCGTCCAATAAACTCGAGCTGTTTCCCAACAGGGAAGTGCTCGAACGCCCTCCCAAGTCCCCCAGCCCATCACGTGTCATCAGTCCGCGTTATCTCTCCCGCCCGCGCCCGCGTTATCTCCCGCGCCCACGCTCACGTTATCTCCCGCGCCGGCGCCGCGCGCCTCCCTGCCCCGCCACCCGTGCTCGCTGTGCCCGACAGTGAGCTCGCTGTCCCTGCACCCTGCCTCCCCCTCCTCTCCGTTTCCCTCCGTTCTTTTTGTAATCTACTTGTATTCAAAATGCGCACCTAATGGTACACAATCCAATCGCCACACCTGCCTGGGTGTGCCTGCACTGAGCCCTCAAACCTCCCAAAGTGCGTGCAATACAGGAACATATATAAGCATTCAACTGATCGGCTAAGTCCTGCATCAGATAGATGTAGATGAGAGCTGCTCTATTATAAAATCGCAGGTGGATAGCTAGAAGGGTGCAGGTATGATGTCATATGTTATCTCAGAATGACATATCACACAGTGATATGGTATATGCATATATCGTCTTATGTACACCCAGAATCGTACCTAGAGGTCATTCAGAGTGTATTGCAAGAAGAAGAAAGTGAATAGACGATGTTGTGGTGAAGATGTGACATATGCTCAGAAGGGGGAGTTGGCTTGAAAATGTGACCTTCATATGTTTTTTGGCAGACCTCTGATCACTTCGCATCTTGTTGCATTACGTTTATATGTATACGGAGAGCTCAGATCGTCGTTTTGGTGCTTATCGGTGAAGGATTGAAAACAGGAAATGGTATGTCATTATTCCATGACATAGAGTATAGCGAGATAGCATGTGCTCCGATTATTATTCTGAAAGGTGGAATAGAACGGGGTGTTCTTCTGCTAAACGATGCAGAAAGAATCTTGAAGAATGGTTGAGCGGTGGTTGAGATACGCCATATGGGTCTAGAACGGCAGGTTGCACAAAGAACGCCCTTGAACCACCTTCACCGCTTTGCACACTTCAAGCTCATATGGCGTATCTCAACCACCGCTCAACCATTCTTCAAGATTCCTTCTGCATCGTTTAGCAGAAGAACACCCCGTTCTATTCCACCTTTCAGAATAATAATCGGAGCACATGCTATCTCGCTATACTCTATGTCATGGAATAATGACATACCATTTCCTGTTTTCAATCCTTCACCGATAAGCACCAAAACGACGATCTGAGCTCTCCGTATACATATAAACGTAATGCAACAAGATGCGAAGTGATCAGAGGTCTGCCAAAAAACATATGAAGGTCACATTTTCAAGCCAACTCCCCCTTCTGAGCATATGTCACATCTTCACCACAACATCGTCTATTCACTTTCTTCTTCTTGCAATACACTCTGAATGACCTCTAGGTACGATTCTGGGTGTACATAAGACGATATATGCATATACCATATCACTGTGTGATATGTCATTCTGAGATAACATATGACATCATACCTGCACCCTTCTAGCTATCCACCTGCGATTTTATAATAGAGCAGCTCTCATCTACATCTATCTGATGCAGGACTTAGCCGATCAGTTGAATGCTTATATATGTTCCTGTATTGCACGCACTTTGGGAGGTTTGAGGGCTCAGTGCAGGCACACCCAGGCAGGTGTGGCGATTGGATTGTGTACCATTAGGTGCGCATTTTGAATACAAGTAGATTACAAAAAGAACGGAGGGAAACGGAGAGGAGGGGGAGGCAGGGTGCAGGGACAGCGAGCTCACTGTCGGGCACAGCGAGCACGGGTGGCGGGGCAGGGAGGCGCGCGGCGCCGGCGCGGGAGATAACGTGAGCGTGGGCGCGGGAGATAACGCGGGCGCGGGCGGGAGAGATAACGCGGACTGATGACACGTGATGGGCTGGGGGACTTGGGAGGGCGTTCGAGCACTTCCCTGTTGGGAAACAGCTCGAGTTTATTGGACGAATTATTCAAACGTGCGGGGGAGCACGGTTTCAGGTCTACTTGACCCGGGCCACCCCCCCAGTGCCACGGGCTAAGCCGGCCTGATTGATGTGAGGTACAGGTGGAGGAGGTCTTGAACGCCGCTGGCATGTTGCCGTTTCCGATTTCTGCGCCATGTTTCTTCTTGTGCTCCGGCCCACTCTCCTCAGCGGGGTATGTACCAACGTGGAGTATACGGACGTCGCCGTGTGAGGGTGCGAAGATCGGTATGGTAATTACTCTTCCCCGGCTGCAAGACTGCACGTCGTCTTGTGAACGGTGATCAAGCTTGCTGCGCGCCTTTGATAGAAGGGCTGCCTAGAGGAGACTAGCTGCGCGCGCGTTTCAAGCGCTTCCAGCTTCATCTTCGACCATAGCCATGCCCAAGATCAAAGCGGTTGAGAAGCTCACAATCACCTTCTTGGTCGACAACAGCATCGAATGGCACGTCTCGTCTCGTCGTCGACGTCTATTCTCTCACTTGTGTTGATCTTGACTGCGAAATGGTAGGATGACGAAGTTGCCCCCCGGGTTCATCTTGGAAGTACCATTGCACTTGACGCATCCGGATGTACCTATAGATGCTCTGACCGGGGTGCCATTTGTTGATCTCGAGAACTATTGTTGTGGTTAGTAACCCCCGTTTTGTAGATCGGATCATAGGTGCTTTGTACTGAAGATCTTCTCAGGCGCACACGGATTCTCCGCGCTGATTGTACGCGTTTATCCAGACTCCATTATGCGGACCCATAGTACTCTAAAACATCCTCTTATTCCTTCAGGAAACCGAAGTCGAGGGCGAAGAGTCGCGCCTAACGCTCTTCGACACCGGCCCTGACTCGCGCTCGATCATCCGCAACGTCCAAGCCCTCCGCATCCCCGTCGAGCGCATCGAGCGCATCGTCCTCTCCCACTGGCACGCGGACCACTCAGGAGGCATGCTCGCCCTCCTCCGCCACCGCGCCGCGTCCGTCCTCTCCACCGCCGCCGCGGCCCCGCCGTGCGTCGTCGACCTGCACCCGGACCGTCCGCTCGCGCGGGGTATCGCGCCGGTGTCCGCCGGGGGGCGCGTCGTCGGGCGGCTGCCGGACGACCCGCACTTCGCCGCGCTCGAGGCCGCGGGCGCGCGCGTGGAGACCCACGCCGTGGGCCACGCCGTTGCAGGCGGTGCGGTGTGGGTGAGCGGGGAGATCCCGCGCGTGACGCACTTCGAGGGGGGACTGCCCTCGGGCGTGCGCTGGGTCGAGCGGGAGGGGGAGGCGACGGGGAAGTGGGTGCCCGAAGAAGTGGGTTGTGGGACCGCTGCGGGGTGGGATGCTGGCTGATCCAGGGCGTTTTCCAGGATGTAATGGACGAACGGTATGCGGCGATTGACGTACTGGGGAAGGGTCTGGTTATTTTCTCATCGTAAGGTGGAAGGGAAAGCCGGGGCTGCGGGATGGACTCACATTTGGTGCTCAGGTGCTCCCACGCCGGGATTGTGAATGTGGTAAAGGATGCCATCAATACCTTTGCTCGTCCGGTGTACATGGTACGGGATTTAGATCCGTGTGGTCCTACATCAGTACTGAAGTTTCCTGGACGCATTCCTAGATCATCGGAGGGCTGCATCTCGCTGGAACGGAGCTCGTGGAACGAATCCCTCCGACAGTGGATTTTTTGGCTAGCAAGATGAGACCATCACCGACGTACGTTCTCCCGATGCACTGCACTGGTTTCGCAGCGAAGGTCGCGTTGGAGGATGCTCTCGGCGAAGGATGCGTGCCTGCCGGAGTTGGACACAGGATCATCGTGGAAGGGTCTGCCGAGGCTGAGAAGAGGCTGTTCGCCGCAACGTACTCCCAGTGAGGGAACGTGGGATGTGTATGAACCTATGTACTTGTGCCCGGAGACTAAAGCCGTTGAGTCTCCTCAGTGTGCGGCTTCCCACGGACCGAGGTGCCGCTGTGTCATCGGCCGTGGGCGTCAGCGTGGCGGGCGTCCTGCTTACTCTTCGCGTCCGCCCTGCCAGTCATCCTTCGCCCGGCCTTTCATCCTTCATCCTTCCTCCTTCACTGTCTTCAGGCCCGCTCAAAATGCTGAGGACCCTTGCCCGCACATCCTTCCGTCGCTCGCTGCACTCCTCAGCGCACCAAACCTCGACGCGTGCGGGCCCAGCGCGCGGACGCGCCGTCCTCGGGGCCTCTGCTGTCGTCGCGTCTTATCTTGTGTGGAACACTTGGTACCCGGAAAGGATTGCCCTGGACGGCCCTGGCACGGGTGAGTGTTTACATCGCGTTCAGAGAGAGATCGAGTCTCACGCACCCGTGCATCCCTAGCCTCTAAGCAGAAACGGGTCCCCACTGCGTCCAAGGCTGCCGACGCGTCTCCTCCGGCTCCTACTGCGGAGAGCGACCCGGCGTTGTTGACGGACTCGGCGCCCACACACGACTCGTCGGTACCCGCGTCCCAGCCTCCGGAGTCTGCGACGGAGGAGCCAACAACGGAGGGCGAGGCGGCGGAGGGTGAGGCGGCGGAGGGTGAGGCGGCGGAGGGTGAGGCGGCGGAGGGGAGTGCCAACGGCGGTGGAGGTGGTGCGTACGACCCGGTGACGGGGGAAATCAACTGGGACTGCCCGTGTCTGGGCGGGATGGCGCACGGGCCGTGTGGGCCTGAGTTCCGGGAGGCGTTCTCGTGCTTCATCTACTCGGAGGAGGATCCCAAGGGCATTGACTGCGTGGAGAAGTTCAAGGCGATGCAGACCTGCTTCCGCGAGCATCCGGATGTCTATGGCGATGGTGCGTATTTATGTACTCAGCTTGAAGGCTGGGAAGCTGACGAGCTGGTGCAGACATTATGGACGACGACGAAGCCGAGGAGGCCCTTGGGCCCGACACTGCGGAGCCCAGCGCAGAGGTCGCCGTCCTTGCGTCGGAGGAGCCTGTGCCTGCTGCCCCTGCTGAGTTGAAGTCATCACCGCCGGAGCAGAAGAGCAAGCCGAGCAAGCCTGTTGCGTCCACTTCACATTAGCCAAAAAGTATCCCCGGCTTCCGCCTCTAATACACTACTACACCGCTCCTCTGCTATACATACGCTATCTTGCTGCTTATTGCACACCCTTTTCACCCATTTCGACCTTGTCTGGATCTGAATCCCGAGACATGGGACCGCGGTCAAGTTGGTATCTCGGGGAGTGGTGCCGATGGCGTCATGAAAGAAGAGCGAATTTATGAAAGCCATTATAAGGTCCAGTCCGTCTAGGTGGTCTACGCTACAAGCTATTCCAGGTTCCAGTTCGTCTAAGTATCGCATCTAAGGGATTCAGGTATATTGTGTCCATGGTATATCCAAACGAAGTCGCCTGCGACTATCGGGCCACCGCCCTTCACATGAACTCCTGCAGATCCCAGCTCCTCGCGTAGCTCCGGCGCAGCTTGCCGTCGCCCTCCTCGAGCACAGGCGAGGACGTGACGAAGTCGCGCGTCGCGGGCCCCTCGCTGTCCGTCGCGGTGTCTTCCGAGTCCATGGAGGAGAACACATCCGCGTTGCCCGTCGCGGACGCGTTCGTCGCCGCGGAGAGGTCGTATGTGGCCGCGGGGCCGTAGTTGGCGGCGCGCACGGCCGCGCCGTACTGCTCCTCCCAGCAGTCGGCGACCTTGGCGTCCTCGGGCACGGCGGCGGGCTCGACCGGGCTGAAGAGCGGGCTGCTCGCAGCGCTGTCGTCGCTGTCGGACATGTCCGAGTCGGTGTCGATCTCGCCGTCGGACTCGGACTCGGACTCGTAGTCGGAGCTGGAGTCGAGGGAGTCGAGGGAGTCGAGGTTGTGGCGGTACCGGGCCCAGATGTTGCGCGCGCTGGGGTAGGCGGCCTCGAGCTCGTCGGGGGTCATCCAGAAGGAATCGACGGCGAGGAGCTTGGCGCGGAACTGGGCGAGCGAGAGCGTGTCCGAGGGGTTGGGCGTGAGCACGCTCTGGAGGAGGGCGTCGAGTGGGGCGGAGATGGGCAGAGCCGCGCGGAGGTATTCGGGGTACTCGCAGAAGGCGCGGTAGTAGACGTCGTCGGTGGAGGCTTCCTGCCAGAGGAGCCGGCCGACCGCGAGGTTGAGGAGGATGACGCCGAGCGCCCAGATGTCGTTCCGCTGGGTGTTGTAGGGGCGAATGAAGACACCACCACCACCTTTCAGGCCCTCTGGAGATTCAGAATTAGGTGAGTACTGCGGTCAATGGCAAAGGGGAAGGAGAGCTCACCAGGACACATGAACTGGGGAGTTGAGGCACCGAAGTCGGAGCTGAAAAGCTCGCTGGTGGCGAGTCCGAAGTCGGCGAGGCGGACTTCGGACATGTCCTCGCTGACGAGGATGTTGTTGAGCTTTAGATCGCAGTGCGAGACCCCCTTCGCGTGGCACTCGGCAACGCCGTCGAGGATCTGGAGGAACATGCGCTTGAGCACGGCGTCGCTGCCCGCAATGGGCGTCCAGTTGCGTCGACGCATGAAGTCGTAAAGGCTGCCGCCTTCGAAGTAGTCCATGACAAGGTAGACATGTTGGCCGTCGGTGAACTCGCGGTGGAGGGTGACGACGTGCTCGTTGTCGGAGACGATAGTGTGCATGTCGATTTCGCGCTGTTGCAACGCCTTGGCCTTGACACCGCCCATAGCGGGAATGATTTTGATAGCCCGAGGAACCGCGGGGGAGGACTCCGAGAGGTACTCGACTGCAGCATAGACGACGCCAAAGGAGCCGGCGCCGAGACGGTGGAGGAGGTGGTAGCGGCCGGACTCGAGTGTGGTAAAGGAGAGGTCGGGGACGAGGGAGCTTGGGACAATCATATCGAGGAAGTAGGAGCGAAGTGAAGAAGTGAGAAACAGAGAAGATGACTGAGAGAAAAGTGGGCGAGATGCTTTGGAGATGCTGAGTTTGAGGCCTCGACGACGGCTCCTTATATACGCGGGCCTCTTCGAGACTATGTGTTCGGTATGTTGGACATCCGAGTCGGATGTGGGACGACTCGGCCATGCCGAGTTCTGGTTCCGGAGAATGGAGCTGCGGGCGACCAGCACAGTCTGGTTCGAGAGCAACCTTGCCTGAGGCTGCCCGCGGCACGGCTACTCACGGAGTCGCCGACCTCCTAGGACCGTTGCCGCCGACGGCACCAACCCCCCGCAGCAGCAATCCATACGGCTCCTAGTAATGCTTTGTGGTGTTTAGGAGTGTGCGGCACTCCGGTGTCCTAAGTTGAGTTGCCGGTCCACGTTAGCATCGATCGATACTCTTCGATACTGCGCATGGCCGGCCCCTGACATGGCATGTGCCGTCGGCTCACCCTCCACCGGTGTGAGGTCCAAATCGTAACCACCACGCTATCCGGAGACGCATGCAATGGAGGACATCCCGGCCACCTGCCCGAAACAACTGGATCGGGGATAGTATACGGCGGCTGTTTCCACACCACTCGTAGCTGAAGGCGGGTGATGCGGGCTCGCGGGGCACTTCTGACCTGTATCCCGCTGTAGAAATAACATGCGAATGACCACGCACCGATCACCCGACCCGTTACGGGCGCGCTGGCCCATTCGGAGTTCGGACATTAATAGAGCAGAGACTAGTCCAGAATACCATCGATAGAAGACGGGGAGCCAAGGAATGGACGTGTGAGTGGGCGATAACAGAGAAGAGGGCCATAGTGAGAGAGCTCTCCTTCTTCTGTCGTCCGACCGTATCTGGCGTCATATGCATGGCTGGTCCTCCCGATTTCACCGTCTTCTGGCATCGGCGGCGTTCGGGGTACATGTCCAAGGCATGCGCGTGCAGGAATGAGCATGGGCCGCCATAAAACAAGACGTCGTAAGACGCAACGGCGTTCACACGCCCGACTATGCGGTGATGGTGTTTTTCAACACAGACAAGAACAAGTGGCAGAGTGAGAACAAGGCTGTGACGACTTTGCAGGGCGCCTCACGCGATCGAGAAACAAGGCCCTGTGACAATTCCATGCGTGACAAGGCTTCATTGAAGGCAGTGATAAACGCTAATTACCTCGCACTAACACTTGTTCCAGACTGGTTACTTACTTATTCCGCTAGTAGACTCCACGGCCTGCTAAGTTCACCGCAAATATTCTCTCCTCCTCCCTTCCATCCCCTTCTCCCGTCTTTATGTCTTGCCTGGTACGCACCGCCCGTTCTTCCTGTCGTCTCGCCACTTATGCTTTCTAGGAGCTGGGCAAGTCAGTTTTCAAGGTTCGCCACAAAATTGAGCGTGCCACGCCCATCCTCACATTGCCTTCGTATAGACACCGAGGTGCTTTTGAATTTCCCGCTGCACCTGAGCCAGCTGCACCATGGACGCCTCTTCCAACGCCGCCGAAGCGCGAGCGACCGCCATCGCCAAACTCAAACGCGCTGCCTCACTACCACGCATGAAAGACGGCCGGCGCCCTCCAATGCATGTCGAGGCCGTCAGTGAAGGCGAGCGCTCCCAGGGAGAGAGCAGGAGTGGGAGTGAGGAGCCGAGAGGACGGGCAGGAGCGACGGACGGCGCGGTGGAGAACAACGCCGTAGTGGAGAACAACGGTGAGCATTCGCAAATCTCAGCGCCACACACGGAGGAAGAACACCCAAGCGAAATCGCCGAAGGACCGCAAAACGAGGACGCCGATGGAGATGAGGGGGATCCAGGAGCTGTTGGGATCGGCAACGCGGAGGATACCGTCAAGACCCCGCGCAAACGGAGATCACGGTCCCGCACGAGGTCAAGAGGTTCAAAAGACTTCAAGAACAAACTCGCAAAGCAGTCGCCGCTCATCACCTTCGGCGCCGAGTCTTCGGCAGACGAGTATCACAACTCGGGCCCTGGCGAAGACCCTCCCCCGTCGCCCCCACTAGTGTCCCCAATCCCATCCAACATAGCTGGTTTCCCACCTTCCCGCTTCCTGCGCTCGCCCATTAGTCCCGTTGCCCCCCTCTACTACCCCGGCACGAATCCTTCTACTCCCCTTCCGTCGCTCGATGACCTCCAGAAAGGTGTCGGAATGGGGCTCTTCCGGTCAAACAGTGCGGGTGCTGCCCGTGCCATGGCCATGTCCAAGCTCACTGGTGGAACCGGGCCCTTCGACCTCTCCTTTATGGCTTCCCAGTCGCCAACACCTGCTTCTAAGCTGATGAGGAACAACACGGTGGCGGGTGGAGAGCGTGCAGCTGTCCGAGGTATGCTCTTTCAGCGGCTTGGCGGCCGTATCAACAATCAGACGGACGGCGAGCAGACAAGTGGTGGGGAAGAGTTGATTCAACCCGAAGCTACGAAGAAGAAGCGTCGACGGCGACGCAACTCGTCACGTCAAAGCGCCGTCGTTGACGATCGCGAGGATCGCGACACCTCAGTTACCGCACCGACCACCCCCAGCGTACCCTCTTCCCCTCTTCCCCCCTTCCTCCGCCAGACCCCCGAACCTCAGCGCCCGCCTTCTTCGAATGGTCGCGTGGTGAATGGGGAATCATCACGAGCCCCTTCGCGATCAGCTTCCCGGATGGCCGTCAACGATGGTTTGTACAACTACGAGACACCCATGGGTCACCGGGGAGTCGTGATTGAAGACGAGGACGAAGAGGCGGAACGGCCGCTCCGCCTTCCCGTCACCCCTGCGCGTAACTTCCGTCCCGTCCCAGGCCTGCGCCTTCCTCACAGCTCAGACGCACCGTCGAACGCATCAACAGAGTCAGCACCCACTCCAGCGGGAGCTGTCGTTGTACCTATGTTCATGTCCAACAACCCGAGCATGCGTGGCGAGATGTTCCCGGCTAGTCCATTCCAGACCCCGTTGAAGGAGCAGGAACCCGCTCTGCCCGACGAAGAAGAGATGCCGTACTTGGATCCCAGAAGTAGAAGCCGTCTGGGGCCCAGTAGTGCCTTTGACAGAGACAGCGAGATTAGTTGGGTAGCCGAGCTTGGTGAGTCCATCGTGCATCGTGTCATAACCTCTTCTGACCACATATAGTCACGGAACGTCCGCTTGCCGATGACTCCGACGACGAGGATGAGGACGACGAGGACGAGGACGAGCCGCAAGAGGTCGAGCCAGAAGAGGATGCCGACGAGTCGTTTGGTGAGGGTGCAGAAGAGCGGTCTTCTCGTGAGTACGAAGGGGAGCGTCCCCATGCCCCCAAACCCCTCATCGTCGACGTCGACACATCTCCGGACTTCAATCCTGACAATGACCTCGCCTCGCCTACTTCTCCCATTGAACTCAACGAGCAACCTCCTTCTGCTGGCCTCCCCCCTTCTCCTCCGACATATCCCATGCGTTTGTCGGTCGCACGGTCACCCTCGGCTAGTGCAGACTACACGGATTGGGACGACGTGCGAGCAGAATCTACACCAAAGCGGCCGGGAGAAAGCATCAGTACGTGGGAGAAGATGAAGAACACCTTCACGCGGAGCGGCAGCACCGGAGGCCGGCGGTCTCGCACGAACAGTCTCAACGCGCGGGAACGGCGGTACAATACAGACTCCAGTGTGAGCCGCGAGAGCGGCGCGAGCCTGAACAGTGGCAAGGACGCGGTGAAGTCGGACTCTCCGAACGCTGGTGTGTTCGCGATGCTGCAGTCACAACCTCCGGTCATGCAATCCAACTCCGCTTCTGCCTCTGCACAGTCATTGCCTCCTCTATCTGCGCCGGCGGGCTCCGTACCGCCGCCTGCTCCGTCTCCCCTCCCTCTACCGTCGTCCGCCGACTATTTGAAGTACCAGGATTCGAAGCTTTTCCCCTTCCCCGCTCTCAAGCAGCTCATTCCTGCCTCCGCCTCTTCACCTGACATTACTTCCCCTACCATGGGTTTCCCTATCCCCCTTGAAGTTGCTGCTAGCAACTCTACGACAGGTTCTGCGATTACGACAAGGGGCGGCGAAGGGAGCAGAGAGCGGAAGCTTTCGCATCAAGCGTCAGACAGCCGTCTGTGGGCAAGCTCGAAGCAGATTGCATCCGTTCCGTCGAACTCCTCCCAGACGGATTACTTCAATACCAGTTCGTCAACGGGCTCAACGGCGCTCGCCATCTCACCGAGCTCTTCAGGGTCGAAAGGGAAGCTCCCCACCGACCGTGGTGGGGTTCGCGAATGGCTCAGCAAGTTCGGCAGGTCACGACCGACAACTCCTGGGACCCCGACCACCCCATTGCCATTGGTAGGACTACCGATGCAGCAAATGGACCTGCCGCCTCGTCTAGACAAGAAGCCATCCCTCACAGATCTTCTAATGCAGCGCAAGGACAGCGAACTGACGTCGCAGAGCTGGAGCAGCGATGCATCCAGGACGCCAACGAACGCCATGAGCGGACAGCGGCTTGGTTCGCACCAGCAAGGATCCTCTGTCCAGGAGCCTGCTTCATATTCTAATTCCCGCTCCACGGAAGCACTCTCTCCTTCATCCGCCGCTGCTCCCCGTCAAGATGTGGAAAACACGAGCTCTCTTGCCTACGCCCTGGGGTTGACTTCTCCCACATTCGTCCCCCCTCACTCGCCCTCCCCGGGTTTCCCGTCGCCACCTGACCCCCCTTCTTCGACCACGCCTGACCCCCAATCTTCCTTGGACGACTTTCCCACACGCTCCACCTCCGAGTCTTTCTCGTCCTCATCACACCATACACCTGAACCGCCTTCGAGTGGCCCCTCCATCAGCTCGATCGTCATGGAACGACTCGAAGAGATACTTGGACGTGGCTCAAAGAGCGCGATATGGCCATCGGCGATTGACGACCCTCCGCGCAGGCTCGTTATGTCCTCCCCCGTGCTGCAAGTGGCGAACGCGAACACCATCAAGGATCGTTTCCTCTTCCTTTTCACTGATATTCTCATCATCGCCAAGCCCATCATCGGCGACGGAGATGCACTTGTTGACTCCACTTCGCGCAAGGTCGTTGTGAAGAGCGTGGTGCAGCTGAAAGAGCTTCGCTTCAGCAGCGACCGTGACGACGGGCGTGTCAAGACGGGCGCGAACTCTAACGCCATGCGGCATCCCAACGTTCGCGAGTTCGTTCAGACGTTCTCAAAGGACCCCGAACATGCGGTAGCGACACTCCAGGCGAAGACCGGATCAAGAGACGAGGCGGCGATTGGCCAGCTCCTCTTCCGCGCAGCAGACATCGACAAGGCGCGCCTTGGCGAATACCTGTCAAGACGTTCGTGCAAGGCAGCACTGAGGGCCTTCGTGGATAATTTCGGGCTCATCGGACTGCGCATCGATAAAGCGCTCCGCGTCTTCCTCCAGTCACTTCACATTCCGTCGCGGTCATCCGCCGGGTACTCGACGGCGCTGGAGTACCTGCTTGACTCCTTCTCGAGCCGGTGGTACGAGGCAAACGCTACGGTCGTCGCGCACGACAAGGACCTCGCGATTCGTCTTGTTCGCGCCATCGTGCAGCTCAACGAGGTCCTGCATGGTGGGATTGCTCACGAACCTGGGGCGACACATTATCCGATGCGCAACGTCATTCCCCGTGACTTCGTGGATGCCTTCAAGCGCTTTGATCCTCGTCGGCTCGTCTCGGAGGAAGTTCTGAACAAGATCTACGCCTCCATCCGTCGCGAAAAGCTCTTCATGGCTCGACCGCCCGCAAGCGTCGCGACGGAGCCCGACATAGACGTCTATATCAAGCGGCCGCTGCCCCCTCGCCTTACATACCGCATGCAGTCGGAACCTGTGGTCCTCCGCATCCCCCGCCCCGACCCCGACCTGACGATCCACCTCTTTGGTCAGGATATCGTCTTTGACCCTCCTACATTGACATTCGCGAGGTCTCCCGAAGCGTCCTTCCGCGTCACAGGTACCGCGCTTGGGGCCAAGTCCATCGTCATGTGGCGCGCGGGCCCGAATGGGCTCGCGTACGCAGGGCTCCCGCTCAGCAGCCCTGTCGTGGTCGAGCGCTCGTTCATGCGCAACACATTCCAGGTCGCATTCATGAACCACACTGGGCTCAAGCGGCGGTACATGTTCTCTGTTGACGATTCAACGATCCGCCAATCCTGGACAGATGCCCTCCGCATTCAGGTTGGACAGGCAACTGCCCAGCGCTCGCCTCTGAACAGCCGTGCCGCGCAGGCCCTCGCGTTCAAGGTGCTCCAAGACACGCTCATCGGCGCCGAAGATGGTTCCGCCGCTTACTCCGTCCCGTACCCATCCGCCGTCGACCAGGCGCTTACGCGCCTCAACGGCGGTCGGAGCCGCTCCGGGAGCGTGAACAGTATGCTCGCGCGCAATGGGTCACGACGCGTCGACCCGGGCAGCGCACATGCACGATCCAAGTCACGCAGCCAGCTGTACCGGCAGAACGCGGCGGGCAGGATGGAGTCGGAGCTGGACGAGGACGAGCCGTCGCTCAGTGGGGGCACACCAGGCTCGGAGGGCCGGGTGTGGAGTAGCCACGACCTGCAGGTCATCTGTCGGCAGAACAGCTCGATCCCGGCGGTGCTCGCTCATCTGCTTGGAGGGCTCGAGGGCAATGGACACACGAACGGGAACGGGCATGGGTTCGCGACATGACATGATTACGTTTACTCTCTGATCTCCTAGTGAGTCCTTTCGCTGGAACAAACGCTCTGAGCGAGTTTGCTGATGGCTGCTGGTTTGCAGATCGCTGATATCTGCTGTGGATGCATGTTTTGCTCTGTGTACTACGTATCTCTGGGTGCCCTCTCTCACTCGGTCTCCTGTCCCCACACATATACATACACTCGTACAATCGCTGTTACTTAGACCTTCCTTCGATTCACTCCAGTTCAGAACCGTCACGATCCCCTCCAGCCTCTCCGTTACCTCCATTACCCACACACCCGCTCGGTATCACCCACTCTCACTCCGTTGACCTTATGTATGCTTGGAGGAATCCGACCCGCTGTGTTCGTTTATTATTGCTAATACACTCGCTACCTCCGTTGTAAAACTTCGCGGTGCGTTTCCAAGGTGAGCATGTGAACGTTGGGTAAGGTTTTGTGACGGTCTTCGACGCAGCGCGCTGTCCCCCTCTTCTATCAAAGACCTTGTCCTGGGTGTGAATGACCGCAAGACACGAGGACGATTTCCCACAGCCACAACACCGAGTATGCAGGTCATCGCCAGCCTATGGCTAAAGCGCCAATGACCTTTCACTTTCCCTCCGCGACTTTCGCCTCAACGTTCTCATCTTTATAAACCCGCTTCGTTTGGATAGAAAACCGTAGGCCGAAACAACTGCAAGGAGTGAAGAAGACGAAGTCGGAACACAGTACACGGCGATCCTCGGGTGCCTTCGAACCAGTGATGGCCGCCGTGCGCGATGACCGCGGAAATAATCCCTGATTAGTCCTCGACCGGCGCAGCGCCGCCATACCGTGCCTGACCGACCCAGGATGCGTGGCATCGGTCCGCAGTGAATTCCGCAATTCTTCCCGGCGACCCGGTCAACAGCGGAGAACTGGCGTCGTCTGGACTTCCTGTCGGGGTTGCTGCGACCTGGTCAGGCGCACATTTGAATGCCCAGTTCGCGAGAGCGGTGCGTATTCTATCATTGAGCCAAGCTGGGCTTAGCCGCGCTGGGCGAAAACGAATGGTCGCGGTGGGAGTTTGGGAGACTGGACCGACGGAACGTCGAGGCGCACGATCTCGGCTGTGTACAGTACAAAGACGCGGCCCTCGGCGGCCGCGCAATCCGCTCACCCTCTTCCCTGTTCCTTCCTCTCCTTCGACCCGTGCGTACGTTTACTGCCAACGCTTGCGGCACACTTCGTCTCCCTTCCTTCTCTCATCAACCCGCGTGGCGCGTACACACTCCTTGGATAGCATGTCTGGCGAACGGCCCGTTTTTGGTTTCTGGGGGCTGGTTGGAGCGGTCATGGTTGCGTTGAAGCTCAAAGAGCACTACGATGACCACTGTGAGTGTTTCTTCTGTGTCGCCCTGCCTGCCGGAAGCGTTGATCCTCCATCCCTGTGTTCTCGTGATCGTACGCAGATGAGACTCTTCCTGGAGCAGAAGAAGAAGGCCTCAGTCGTGGCCCGATTGCCCTCCGCACGCCCAACGTGGACGAGGATGCGCAGGACGGCGCGTCGCTACTCGACACCGAGCTTCCGTCACGACCTCGGCGGAAGCGTAGGGACTGCTGTATGTGCTGCGGGATGCGGTATGTCATCGTCATGCCGCTGGCCCCTCAAGCTGGATGCTGACGGAATACTCTCTTGATTTCTTTTCGCCGTCGCGTCGTTGTGCCGGACGCTGCCGTTGATCGGGGTCTCTCCATGTATCTGCGCGCATCGCCTGGGAACTGGGGCGAACGATACAGCTGCGGATTGTTCTGGAAGGCGTTCGGAATCGTCTGTCTGCTGCTTGTTGGGTGGCAGGCGGTCAAGTTCGCCATCTGGATGGCTACGGTAGGGGATTCTCTGCACATGAAATGACGGTGTCTAATCCTTTGTGCGTATAGCCGAAGCCCACCGGCCTTGAGGGCATGCCCCAGTTCGGTACTTCGCTCGGCTGCGATAGCGCGCCGCATTTCTACAGGGATGGCAAGTTCGAGGTCCGTGTGCCTGTCGGTCAGAATCAGGGTCGTGGCGACCATTCCATGGACTTCCGCAACGGCTTTGGTACGGTCGTGATCGCGCAAGGTGACGAAGACCTGAAGGACATCAAGTACGAAATGACAGTCCGGTCCGATAACCAGGAGTACCTCGACCTCATCAAACTCGACGTCCCCACTCAGCAGGAAATTGACAGTGCCGAAAAGGAGTCCCGTCTTCACCTTCTCATGCCATCCGTCAGGAACGCTTGCATTCGCTATGACGTTACTGTCTACCTGCCCACATCGGTGAAGACGTTCCACGTCATGTCGCACTCGGTCACACAGGTCAAGTTTGACCCCGACTCCAACTTCAACTTCAACTCCCTTGCCGTCACAATGTACAACAGGGGAGAGAAGAACATGGTCCTCCCTACCGAAGGCATCCACGCGACCAAGTCGAAGCTCCAGATGAACGAGGGCTACCTCGTCGGCGACATCACGCTCGTCAATGTTGTGGAGCTCGTCACCCAACGCGGCAACGCCACGATGAACGTCCGCGTGCACCCCGCCCCATCATCCGCGGAGACCCCGGCGCCGGCGAGGCTTCTCACGTCGTCGGGGGCAGGTCGTACGGACGTCCGGTACGTTGAGCACGCCGCGCCGCACCGCCCGATCGACGCGACACATCACGTGTCGATGCGCGGAGAGCTGTATCTCACATACGAGGACTCGGCGTTCAACGGCACCGTCGAGGTCGAAGCCACGTCGTTCTCCGCCAAACGCCTCCAGAATGCGTTCAAGGAGGACGGCGGGCTGCCGTACGTCGGCAGCCGCGATGGAGCGGACAAGATGGTGGTCAAGACCCAGGGTTGGGCCGGGTTGTACTTCTGAGTAGTTGGGCTCTGCGCTGTCTCATCCTTGAATCTGCTCGCTCTACATGACACGGACCGTGACCGGATGGAACCCAGGATACTCTGTTGAAGATATGTTTTCTCGGCTTGCTTTACTGGCGCACTACCTTCGTTCTCCGTAACTAACTCTAGGATATCATCGAAATTAGTTTTCACAATGGCATTAGTGTGTGACGATGGATGGGCGAGATGGTAAGCTCGATCCGGGGATATTTGTCGCAAAGTGCCGCTTTGGGTCCGAGCTTTGGCGCGCCGGCGCAGGCCAGCGCCTTCACCACCACCGCCGCGGATCAGTGAGCACCCCTTGCGCACTTTCCGCTCTGATGCACGCAGAGCACTTGGACCGTTATCCGACCGGAGACCTCGACCACGACTGGGCGGTGGCCTCATCCTGAGCCGCGGATGGCCACCGGTGCATAAGCCAGGAAGGGGCGTCGGGTGTCGCGCGCCTGCGGCCCTCCGGTGCTCGCTCTCGCCCGCCCTCTTCCCACTCAGTCATCGAGGTAGCTTTTGACTTCCTACCACCTCCACGCCGTCTCCCATTCTCCCCCTCCCCAAACCATCCGCGTCGCCCCCCATCCGCCCGACAGTCTACTGCACCAGGCCCATCACCAGAAACCACCCCCTTCGACACACGTGCACGCGCCCGCCGACCTGCCGACCGCGCCCACTAAGACCCGGCGTCGCGCGTGTCTCTTTCCGGGTGTCTTCCTCCGCGAAGGCTCAGGTTCAGGGCATCGTGGACCCACAAGACCTCCAGGGTCGTTCGATCCGATCGTCTTACGAACGTGTTCCTGTTTCCGACCCTTTCCCCCACGCGACACCCTTCCAAGCGTGCATACTTGTCTCTCCGGCGACGGCAGGGAAGCCTCGAAGGCGCAAGTGCCACTATAAGGGCGTGGAAGAAAGCAGACGAATAGATGCCGCCTGGGAGTAGCGCGACCGATTCCGCGACGTTTTCAAGAGCGGGGACTGCTCGCGCCCGCGACGAAGAACGGTCGGACGAAGACGCGCCTGCCGCAGCCGGCCCCGCGGTCTCGGCTAGCCAAAGCAAGACACAGCGAATTGCGAAAGGTGCATACATCTCATTTGTCTCGCGACGTGCTGCTGTGGGCGCGGCGCGTAATATGAGCTTACCTGCCATCTTCGGGCAGCGTGCGACAGGTGCAGGAAGTCGAAGAGTAGGTGCGAGCCGTCCCCAGTTGAGGGCGCGCCATGCAAGACATGCGCGGCCACTGGCGCAGGTAAATACGCTCTTTCCTCGCGCGCGTGGGCACGAGCTAACCATCCAGACCTCATTTCATCTAGAGTGCGCATATACAGGTGAGTGCTGATGGAACTTCGCGAGTCCTCATGACGGCGCTGACGACAGTTTGCAGCGCCAAGCTTCCGGAGAGGCCCACCGAAAGGATACATCCAGGCATTAGAACACCGGCTACATCAAGTCGAGAGTGTCCTGGCGGCGATCATGTCCTCACAAGACCCCCGGTCACTAGTGATCGTCGAGGAGCTTCACAGCGACGAGCTTGCTTCATATATCCTCGACAGTGTAGACTCGGGTCCGTTTGTGAGTATCATCCCTTCCGGGCAGGCCCGTTATGTGCTCACCCCATCTTAAAGGGTAAGACTGGTCGCGAGCAAAAGGCGTTTGATACCACGAAAGACAACTTCTACACTTCCATCGTCACTGAACAACCGAAAGCCGTCAGCCATCGGTCACGCCGTCAATCTCGAGCCAATCGAGAAAATGTCATCGACGCGGTGATAGCTAACGGTGAGCCGTCTTACAGTCTCACTTGCTTCACAAGTCTCATTACACAATAGACCCTCAGATTCACACCACTCGCCCAACACTTGCCTGGCAAGACCGGCTGACCGCCCGTCTTGACCGTGCGATTCTGCGCGCGTTGGATGAGAGTACTACCTCGCAAACTCAAGCTCAGTCCATTCCCACTGCATCGCCAGGAAGCATTGTGGAGAGTGCCGTGGTGGAACCGCCCACAAGGAAGCGTCGAGTTGGCGCGGGTCCACCTTCGCGGGTCATGCGCAGTCCATCATCCGGGGGATCTTCACCGCAACCACTCGCCGGTGCGTCTGGGTTCAGGCTGTGCTTGTTTGTCTTCTGAGCGCGTCTCAAAGCAGCCGTGGTCGAGGAAGATCTCGACGACTGTGCAGACGCCTTCGGAAACCTGTCGATTGACGAAAACCGAGAGGTGCGCCGGTGCATCCCCTCTTCTGACCATGCGCTGAACACAGTGCAGGTCCGGTATCACGGCAATTCAGCGGGACTTCAACTTCTGGCGCAAGCGGAGCGTAGTGATGGGAGGAATGCGAGAGGCGTTTGGTATGTGCTTCCTTGACTTTTGTGCGTGTAGCGATGCCAATCACTCGTCATAGGCAGTTCCCCATGGCCAAGTTTTGGCCGGGGCCATCCCCGAATATGCGCGTGAAGACAGGAGAACAGGAAATGAGCATCGCCATCGCTACAGAACAGTCCATTCCCGTGCCTCCAGTCGAAGTCCAAGACCATCTTGTTCAAGTGTATTTCACGTTCGTGAACCAGGCAATCCCCGTCCTGGATGAGGAATCTTTTATGGAACAGTACAATGCGTAGTGAGTGCGTTTCTGTTTTATGCGTCCCGTAGGTTCTGAAAATCACCATTTAGCAAGTTTGGGTAGGCTTCGTGACGCATGGAGTCACCCGTGATTCATTCTCATTTGTTTACCTTCACCAGCTACCCGGACTCCGACGAAGTTCACCCACAGGGAGATGCTCGCCCCGAACGGCCTCAGAAGCTCTCCAAATTGCTCTTGCTAGCTGTCTTCGCGTATGCTGCCAGTCATCTCGATCCCTTCCAAAATTACACTGGCGATGTCGAAGATCCGGCCACGGAGTACGCGAAGTATGCGCGCATGATTCTCGATACTATCTACCACGAGAGTCGATCGTCAACGGTGCAGGCACTTATATTACTGGGGGTTAGAGAGTTTGGAATTGGTGAGTCGTGCATGCCACCAGAGTGAAAACGGTAGTGTTGACAGGCACGTTAGGTAGTCTTGAGGAAGGATGGCTGCACATAGGAATGGCGTCAAGGATGGTCAGTCGTCTCATTCATGTACTGCGAAGGACCTGTCTTGATCGTCCACTGTTAGGCTCTTGATCTCGGGCTCAACCGAGACCCTGACAAATGGAGGCAAGGAGGGAGGGAGCTGTTTACGGAACAAGAAAAAAGCATTCGGAAACGGATCTGGTATGCATGCTGTCTCTCAGACAAGTGAGTACTCTGAGCCTAAAACAAGCCATCCAAGATACTGAGAAACAAACAGACTATCCGCATTGTGGCTAGGGCGAACAATTGGTATTCACGAAGGGGATTTCTCCACGCCCCTTCCTGACATCCCTCAGGTCAGAGAGCGTTTGAATCACATACCAGACCGCAGCTCATGGTGTTTATCAGCACGATGCCCAGAAGATGTGGCAGCCTTGCGCCCCTCATCCTCTTGCTAGCGAGAGCTTCAGCCTGGTACCTGCGTATCCAGTTGAATACCTCTGTCATCTCTCCAAACTCTGTGTGTCTCATTTTGTGCACTTCGTAGGACTAAGTACTGACCTCTTCGTCATAGTCATCATCACAGGAGAGGTGCTCTCGAAGATTTACCGCGTATCACGGGCGAACGTGCAGCCTAAGCGTCACACACGCGAAGTCTTGCACGCACGGATGACGCAGTGGGATCTCGAGCTTCCGGAGTACCTCAATTACAAGCCCCCAAGCAACCGTCCATGCCCTGCGCCGCATGTTCTGGCGATGCTTATTCAATACTGGTCGTCCTTGATCCTTCTCCACAGACCATTGTATGTTCTGAATTTTACGTCCCTCAAGCTCGTGCGACATTTGACACGTCCGTGCTTCATGTCAGCATCCCCAAAGGATCGGAGTTGGCGAGATTCGGCTCACCATCCTTGGATCCCGATCCATTACCCTGGGAATCTTATGCGATCTGCCAAGGTGCTGCTGCTCAGGTCGTCGCGCTGGGTAAGCAGCTCTGTCCCAAGCATGGCTGCTGGCTGCTATTGTTTGGCATGCTGACAAACACTTCATAGGTGAGATGTATCATGGGCGTTACGATATGAGATGGTCGCCCCCTCATCTGTCTAATTGCTTCCAGACTGCCGGGTGCGTAGATTACTACTTGTTTTAAATTTCCCATGTGCTCACGGACCCACCCATAGCATCGTCCATATCATAACACGTGAGTATTTTATTTACTACCCAGATACAGGACCCATATGATTCGCCTGTAGTGAGGTATAAACCTTTGGACACGCAAGCCAGCGTTGGACTACACAAATGTATCAAGTACCTGGGAGCGATGGAGGTAACGCCGCGTGGAAAGCTTTGTCTCGCGCGTTCGCTCATGCTCTCTTCCAGAGAACGTGGGCGATGAGCTTGCGCATACGACACTTGATCCAAAACGCGCACGTCGACGTTGACCGCCGATTCAACGCGCCGCCTGCCCCCGCCGATCACCAGAATCCCCCGGAACGTCAAAGACGCCGTTCTCGGGCGACCTTTGAAGAGGACAATGCGCCCATCTATGGCGAGTTCAACAAGTACGACACGCTTCCTGGAACCCAGGCCTTGGCATATCAAGTGCCGTCCGTTCCCAACCCATCTGCACTTTCAGGCGCTCCGACTCTACCCGGCGTCACCCCTGTCGATCCGATATCGAGGTACAGGCATCCCGCTCAAGCCGTTTTTGCCCCAGGGTACGACTCGTGGTGGTCTGAGCTTGACCAACAACCTGTGCCGGCTCAGGCACCTGTAATATGTAGCGGTCCTACCGCACCCTCAACTGTCACCCACAGCGGCGATGTGGGACCTACAGGTCTCACACACGGCCTGCCCACTGGAGACTTTACCTTCGGCTCACAACACTTTTCTCCGGACTTTATTCAAGCTATGCGAGACCCTGTCATACATTTCCCCTCCGCTTTCTACTGATGCTATTGTTGGTTTTCGTGCTGTACATCGCTGGTCCTCAATTTTCTCTGAATGGTTCGAACGCTCTGTATCCCGCTAGACCTCTCCGTTGCCATCTGTATGTTACATGTACCACCGTCGATACCATGCATCTACATACCATCTGTCTCTGGAACGTGTCGATATCATGGCCTTCCTCTCTCACATTGTACCCTATCTAACGCAATTTTGACAAGGCTTCTGGCGTGCTACACACGAAATTGCTCTCGTACTTTACAGATCCTTCACCTTCTCGGGATCGGGGATCTGGAACCCTTGACCAGCCTGGGAGGCCTTCGTAACCGCCTGCGCCTCACCCGTGTAGTTGTTGTTCCGCATCCACTGCTCCACCGTGAGCAGCCCCGGGTGAATCTTCCGCAGCATCGCAAAGTCGCGCTGGATCAGCTCGTCCTGGTAGAGCGCGAACCACCTGTGCGTGTTCTGGCGCCACGTCGTGCTCCCGTCGCCCTTGGAGTGGTCCAAGGCGAGCGGGATGTCGGCGTCGACGGCGAGGTCGCACCACGCGTCGACGGAGAGGGGCACGAACTCGGCCTTGCGGCCCGTGACGCGCGTGAAGGTCGCGACGAGCTCGGGCCAGGCGACCCAGTCGCTCGCGACCTTGAGCTCCTGCGCGGACGTGGCGTCGCGGTGGTCGAAGATGTGGCGAGCGAAGACGCCGAGGTCGGAGAGGGCGATCATCGGGACGTGGCCGGTGTGCATCGGGGAGGCGAAGACGTGCGTGCCGTCGGGGCGAACGCGGAGGGGACCGAACACGCCCTGAAGGGAGGGATCAGCGACTCCGATGAGGTACGGAAAGATGAGGGGATTGACTGACGAAGTTGAGCATGTCCATGTACGGGCCCGTGGTGAGGACGCTCCAGGACATTGCGTTGTCGCCGACGACGGAGTCTTGGGCGCGCATCCAGTCTGCGACACGCGACTTGCCCGTGTAGTGCTCCGGATAGTACTTGGGGTTGAAGTTGCCGAGCTTTATAATAGTTTGTCAGAACATCGAAACGCCGAGAGTGGGATACGGCAGACCTTGAAGACATTATCAAGGCTGCTGTACACATAGTGCTTCAAGGTCCCAAGCTGCTTCGCTAGCTCAAAGATGCGGATGCCTTGGTAGACCTCTTTCTGTTCCCCGATGGTAAAGCTATCGGTGTTGATGAACGCGCCGTACACCCCCTTCAACGCAGCGAGTACGCTCGGGAGGTCATCTGTGCTTCCTGTAGAACAGACAGATGTGGTCAGCGCGAGGGGATCAAGGCGAACAAGAGACACGAACCTGCCACCACTTCGGCGCCTTTGCTGGGGGGCGTCTGGGCGGGCGCGCTCTTAATATTGCGAGTCAATGCGCGAACGGCGTATGGAGAGGGCGAGCCATCGCTGGCAGGCTTGATAAGGGCATCTATAACGGCTACGCCTTGGGCACCAGTCGCACCGATGACGAGGATGAGCTTCTTCGAGGGGTTCATGGTGTCGTTGGAAAAATATGGACAAGACTGGGTGAGTTGGTTGGAGAGGCATGTAGCAGCGGACCCGCTCTTATAGCGACGCTTGAACGCTACAATACTGGCAGCGGACCCTCGGGCGGTCGTTTCCTGTCCCCGAGTTCGAATTCCGCCATAGTTGGTTTGAAGTCCGGTAGGGGAGGCTGGAGCCGACAGATGAGCGCCCCCGGGCCATCGAGCGGTCACCTGCCTCGGTTATGCCTCGGTCCCAGGGCCTCTTTTGGACCAACCATCGTGGGTGGGAGTGAAAGAAATCGAGCAACTGCCGCTATACTGGTGGACGGTATGAACTTTCGAGATTGTGTCAGCCCCTCGGATGCAATGACGTATGCGGTCTTCTCCCCGAGGCTGACCTCGTCACCTCGGGGAGGAGGGTGTCGGTGCAAATGAGAGAGCCGAGCTGAACCTCGGAGGACAGTGCGTTATCTGGGAAGGCCGAGACGAGAGTACATTTGGAGGGCTCGCCTGCAAGTCCCGTTCGGCTGAAATGCATGGCTAATTAAGGACACACCATACCTGAATATCGCTTGGAGCGGCTGCCCGGTTTCGTGAACACGTCCGACGCCCAGGTGAACCGGAGCTTCGGTGTGGCAGAGATTCACAATCGCGCGCACTACCGCCTGGACACTTGGTGGTGGTGGAGACGATTGGGCGAGGCGATTGGGAATCCCAGGAAGGATGGGCCATCGGGAGACATAACATATTTGGGGATCGGGTGGGATGGAGGGAAGGACCGCCTCCGGGCAGGTGGGCGGCGGCGGCGGGCGCGGAGGGGACAGCGGCTGAGAGCGGCTGTGGTCTCCGCGCCTCGACGGTTGCTCTGATCAGGCCGCAAGCGAACGCACCTCTCGCCAACGCTCTCTCTCTCCCGCCACCACCTCCGCCCGTCGTCGGCCATGCTGCCCTCGCTCGTCCTTCCCTCCACGCTCCTTTTCTCTCTCTGGGCCCCCGCTGTCCTCGCCGGGAATGTCACATTTGGCGAAGCATGCGACCCCGCCCACCAGAAGCTCCAGGAGGGCACCTTCCAGTTCCAGACCGACTGCGATTCCACCACCTTCTGTGCCCGCAACTCGACTTGCGCTCACCGAGGATGCCGCGTCGACACCTTCCCTTTCGGATACGATGCCAAGGCTGTCCTCCCCGATAAGTGCCCTAGGGGCATGTTTTGCCCGGATGAACAGGACAACTGCCAGGGCCTCCTCTCGGTCGGGAGCGCATGCCAGTTCAACCGTGACGGTGAGCGACTTTCAACGCGTTCTGTTGGATCTTCTTCTGACTCCGATTGTCCATGAAGACCAATGCGACGCCCCACCCAACTTCAAGGAGCTCGCCGACACCACCGGATTCGGCCTGAACGTGAACGGGTCCGTCTGCCTCAATAACATCTGCATGTACGTACCATGCTCTTCATTCTCCGCGCTCGACGTGACCCCTCCTTCAGGTGGGCGAACGAGACCGCGGGCAACCCCTGCGTCGTCCAAAACACGGCCTACACTGCCTATGGACCTGACGGAGAGTTTGTGGACATTGTCTCGCGGTAAGTGTCTGGCTCTGTTCTTCCGTCGTTTCGCTCTCTCCCTCTGCATGCCCGCTCGAACTTGCGCTCCGGGCAATGGCATCGACACCCTGCTGGCGCATCTTACGCCATCACGATACTGGCGGCGGAATGCGCTTGGCACGACACTGGCTTCGGGCGCTCGGTTTGATCGCCATGCTTACGCCTTGTTCGGCAGCGGGAACTGTAAGGTCGGCCTCTACTGCGATTCCCAGAAGCTACAATGCATCCAGGCGAAGAACATCGGCGAGACCTGCGACGCGGACAAGGAGTGCTTGACGTACAACTGCCTGGCGAATGGAACTTGCGGTAGGACGACCGACACGCCAATCAAGGTCGCCACTTGGGTCTACGTTATCGCCGCCGTCGCTATTCTTGGTGGTGAGTTCCATGACCACACGATTGTATTTGCGACTGAGAATATTATGCCGTTCCAAGGTATGATTGGTACTCTTGTCGCCCTCTACTTCGTCCACAGGAAGGATCGCCAGCAGGAACGTGAGAAGCGTGCCCAATACTGGCGCGAGCAGGTCTGTACCGTGTACATCCTGTGCTACATGCACGTACTGATTCAATCTGTCTCCAGAACGCTTTCCGCCAGAATATCATGCAAATGCAGGAGACTGCTCGTCACTCCCTGATGAGCTATACCCCAGGTGGAGGTAGCCCCCGAAGCAGCACGTACCACGGCGTTCAGACGGAGGATTCGCAAGCCCCGATGCTCAACGCCCAGCAGGCCAAGTCGAGCGGACTGCGCTACTACGTTTCCGACGATGCTTCACAAGTCGACGACCGCTCCGAGGAGGACCTGATGATGCGCCGACGCCCCGAACAGAACCGTTTCTGAGTGGCCGTATACCTGGCATTGACGACGACGCCTCCTTCTACCCATCCTATACGCTTCCTCGACGACAACCATGTTGGCGACGAACGCAACTCACGGACTCATTAGTGTCGGCCTTCGTTTGGGTGTACACAGAGCAGGCTCGCCTGCCGTTCCCGCGCATAGACTTTGATCCAGACCGCCCGAGACTGGAAACCTGGATGACGCCTCTATGTATGTAGCGTACGTTCGAGTAATACTCACTGCACGCTGCTCCAACCAGCCGTTCATTCTTTCGTTGACAATGTATCGCATAATATATCCAGAGTTTGTACCTAACAGCCTTTTGTTTTTCCTGGAACGGTGTGGACAGCAGCAAGACAGTTCGATATATGCTAAGGTTTACAGGGCAGGAGCGTTGTCAATTTGACGTATGAGTACAAATGGCACATGCACGGGTCCAAATATACCTCCAAAACTGTCACCTCTGGGCCTCGAATGTCGCGAGCGATGCACACCAACGTCCTCAAAGCGTTGGGTGGTTGTGCGCGAGGGATGTGCCCCGGAGAGCAGATGATCTACGCGAGCCGGGCGCGGAGGCTGATGACGTGCATCTTGGTAGTGCGCGCCTCGCCTGGAATAGCTCGAGGGCCGAGGCGGCAATTGTCGGGAACAGTTTCGCTTGTCGCCGTCGCCTTCCATCTGTGCTCTCCGCACCCTCCTCCACCCCCGCTCTCGCCCACAGCCCCGCCCTCCAAGTCCCCGCGAAGGCCAACTTTGGGCCCACAAGAGCCCTCGGACACACGCCGTCGCAGCTCGCCGACCGAAGCCGACACCACCAGCCCCCCGGCTGCGCAGGAACACACCTCACGCGGAGAGCGTCGACCGCCAACCCGCGCACAACGGTCGCCGTCTGCCGCTCTTGACCTCGACGTCCACCTCGTCCGCCTTAGCAGCGCTGAGACAGACGCTTTGACGATCCCCGAGGCTCGCCGGACATTCTGGCTCTCTGAGCGCCCCAGGGCCGTCCACGATGAGTCCCTCTGGACCGCAGATTTTACCTTCCCCGCCGCCATCTCCGCCGCCGCTCGCGACGCCTGCCATCGTGGTGAACGGCGCTCGAAACCGCGACGAAGACGCCGGGAAGGCTTGGCATGACGATGAAGAAGATGCGGCGCGGGAGAGAGCGAGGGCACGGAGGGCAAGCAGGAGGATGAGCGTGAAGGCGAAGGGCAAAGGCAAGCAGAGGGCCGACGCAGTCGAAGATGACGATGAAGACGAAGACGAGGAGAGCGAGGACGAGGACGTCGGTGTCGTGGAGGGCTACCCTCCAACGAAGGACGAGGAGGCGGAGTCGCGGCGTGTGCAGGAGGTATGCACACATTTCATTCTCATCGTCCATATCTTCCGCTTTGGTCTACTGCGGGCCCCTGCGAACCTCGGGTGACGGAGTGTTGAGAATGTGCGCGACGACCCGTCCAACATTGAGTCTCAATGTCTAAATGGCTAGTCTGTCCACCTTGACCTTTGCCGGGTCTTCCTCCCCGATTTCCGCCAGTGCTCGCGATTACCATGTGCGCTTTCAGAACTGACTATTATCTTTCCGCGCCGCAGAACCTTCGCCGATGGGAGGTCGCAGAACGCCAAAGAAGGAAGGCCGCACGCGAGTCCGTGCAGGGCAGTTCAGGAGGAGCTGGTGTCACTCGCTCACCCTCCATGCTCGCCGACCTATTCCACCGTGATTCACGCAAGGCGGCCATCAAGGGCGCGGGAACTCATCAGGTCCTCGCAGACCTTGATGAACCTGATGGTGTACCCCTCGACAACCTCGCCGCGCCTCCCGTACACTCCCCACTGGCATCGCCGTCTCCTCTTCCTGCTGCAGGTCACAGCGTTTCACAATCGTCCGGGCATGGGCCATCGCCTTACGGAATCCATGGACCTGTAGTCGAAGAGCCGGAGGAGGATGACAACCCGTTCGACACCCCCACCGCATCGCGCACGTCGCTCAACTTGCCCCGCGCGTCCGCCATCATGACTGAAACCGAGCAAATCTCCACTGGGTCCGACGACGAGGTCACTACTCCGACTGCAACCACTCCACCGCAGCTCCCCACCCCTCCTGACGCGAGCCGAGATGGCACAGTGAACGCGAAGCGACCGACGCTGCCTCCATCTGGCGAGTCGAATTTCGTTGGGCACTCGAAGAAGCGCGAGTCTATGAGGAAGTCAATGCCTCCGCCTCCTCTGCCTCTGGGGCTTCCTCAACCTAGAGAACTGCCGAAGTCGGGCACTACTACCACGACTGAGCCGGAACCTATCCTGAGTCCCACTCCCAGTCCAAACCCAGAACAGGAGGAACTGAGACGAGAGAGAGAAAGAGCGCAACGAGCTGCCCCGCCTGTTCGGTGGTGGCATGAATGGTTGTGTGGGTGCGGAGAGGGTCCAGATCGCGGCGGAGGCAACCAGGTGAGCACGTGGGTTCTCGTTGAGGCTGCCGAAAATATCGTGCTGACATGTTCGCAGGCCGGTGCCACAAATCCTTTCGAGTAAACAACCCAAACAGCGCATGCTCTGAGTGAGTTTACCACTGTCGTTTCGCGGTTCATGGCCTTGTATAGCTGTTCTTGGAGGCTACGGACGCTCTTTCCCTCTTTTATGTCGCTTACTTCTTTCATTACGATCCCTTATGCATATACACGGACTCCACTACGCCATCACGCCGACGACGGCAAGGCCGTATTCCAAGTTGATTATTACCTTTCGTCGTGTATTATGGATGTTGCTCTAGAGCGAGGCCATACCCATGCTCGCTGCCGCACATGCAATGCCAATCAGGATTCATGCTGTCTTTGTATCAAACAGTCTAGTGAAGACGTTTCACTCAAGACTGCGTTTGAACGTATGGACATTAGGCGCCGAGCTATGTGCCAGTCACATGACCAGGGCGCGACTTGTGCGCGTCTCGGCAATAGTCAGACCTTCGCGCTGTTCTTGTCAGCTTCCTCCTCTGTCCTCGTATCTCACTGGCCGCAAGACTGAATGAAAATGCCCCCTCCTGCTGGGCGAAGAATTGGAGACGATTTCGTGGACGACTCGGAGTCGGATGTCTCCATTGGTGGCCTCGAAGATGACCATAGCAAACCGAAAGGGAAGGGGAAGGGGAAAGCCACTGACAAGCGGAAGATAGACAAGGGAAAAAGCAAGGCAAAGGACGTGCGTGACTTTGCGCCGCCATCTGCGTCCCCCTCTGACCCGCAGGGCCATAGCAAGCCTACGCGTGGGAGGCGACGTATACGCGTTCATGGGACACCGTGCAGGAGGACGAGGCGGGGCGGCTCGAGGGCGCCGTGCAGGACCTCATCGCGCGCGGACGGAGACGACGGTGCGCACCCGCCTGCTGCTCTCGACGCGCGCCCGGTCCCGGCTGAGCTCGCGGCCGCGCCCGCACCCCCCCTTGCACCCCACGCAGGCTGCTCGCGCCCGCGGCGGCGATCCGGCGGACGATCATCCGCCACCTCGTGCTCGTGCTCGACCTCTCGTCGGCGATGACGGACCGGGACATGCGCCCGACGCGGTTCGACCTCATGCTGCAGTACGCGCGCGAGTTCGTGACGGAGTGGTTCGACCAGAACCCGCTCGGCCAGATCGGCATCGTCGGGATGCGGGGCGGGTTGGGGGAGCGCGTGGGTGAGATGTCTGGTGCGTTTGCCTGTTTCAGTCCTTGTCCTCCTTTGAGATGTTGCGCGCGGAGGCTTGAGCTTATTTGCTGCCGCAGGAACCCCGCAAGACGTGCTCAAGTCGGTCTCGGAGCGGCACAAGCTCGAGCCGGCGGGCGAACCGAGCTTGCAGAACGCGGTCGAGATGGCGCGGAGCAGCATGGGCCACCTGCCGACGCACTCGTCGCGCGAGATCGTGGTCGTGTACGGCTCGCTGACGACGTGCGACCCGGGCAACATACACGACACCATCGACGAGTGCGTGAAAGACAAGATTCGAATATCCGTGGTCGCACTGGCGGCCGAGATGAAGGTATGCCGGACCATGTGCGAGAAGACGGGAGGTGTGTCGGTCCCGTGTGTCGCCCTCGGCTGCGTTCGTCTGACGGGTTCTGTACCCAGGGCAGTTCGGGGTCGCGATGAACGAAGGGCACTTCAAGGATCTCCTCTTCGAGCTCATCCCGCCTCCAGCGCAGAAGGCCGGGGCGCGCCCTGGAGCGGGGCCCGCGGCGGACTTGATGATCATGGGCTTCCCGATGCGTCTCCCCGAGTCGTCGCCGCCGGCGCTGTGCGTGTGCCACTCGGAGCTGAAGAGCGAGGGTTTCCTCTGCCCTCGGTGCCTCGCCAAGGTCTGCGACGTCCCGACGGACTGCGACATCTGCGGGCTCATGATCGTCAGCTCGCCGCACCTTGCGCGGAGCTACCACCACCTGTTCCCGGTCAAGCCGTACGCCGCTGTGTGAGTGCCCGGCCCCTCTTTCCTCCTGATTTACGCGGTTCACGTCGCGCTGCATCCGCCATGCGTCTCCGCTTTCATTCGTCGTCCTTCGTGAAACTGATCGTCGTGCCCGTGTATGCAGGACGACTCTGGCGGATACCGCGCACCCCAGCAAGCGATGTCACGGCTGCGCGAGTGTGTTGAGAGAGGCCCCCGCGGCAAGCGCAGGCGCCCTCGGGGAGGGCATGAGCCCCTACGGACGGTATCGGTGCCCGGACTGCGCGCATGACTTCTGTAGCGACTGCGATGTGTTCGTGCACGACGTCGTGCACTGCTGTCCCGGCTGCGGGAAATGAAAAAGGGTCTGCTCCGGCCCTCTCGACCCTGAGCCTGGGGCGGACATGTGAACCGAAAACTCCCGGGGGCGCAGGACACACCCCTCTGGGCTCCTTCCGACTTCTGGGGCTCTCGCGGCATCCCTGGCCCGTCGTTGGCCGACCGCACCTTCCGTTTGTGCGCCCACAGCCCTAATCAGCTGACGGGAGATTGCACCTTCGTAGACCGCCCCGGGGCGTCCGTCAGTTTGACGTACAAGATCGCCGGCGACCTACTGCCCCTGGGCGCGCCATTCGACGTATTCTCGGCCTTCGTCCGAGGGCGTATTGCCACCGCGCACTGCGACCGGTGTCTTTCCCTGACTCGGCGCGTGGGCGCGGTGGGTCTGGGCAACCGCACCAGATCGATTCGGGCGTCACGGCACGTGGTTCGTCACGCCCTTCAAATTCGACCGTGTCCCCACTTTGCACGCTGAATTCTGCAGGGCAACGGGCACGGATCATGTGCGAGTAGCGGTGGAAACGCGTTTCGTATCCGAAGACACGCAAGGTTCTGACCTGGGTCGTCCGCCAGCGCGGTCGGACTCGGCGAGCACTGAGACCAGATACCGTCGAACATACTTAGTACTATTGTGGACAAATTGTGGACGCCGGGAGTCGGGGGTCGGAGTTGGGGCATTGCGAGGTGATTCGCTCTCCGACATAGCATCGTCTGGGAGACGTCGATCCAGATTGGCGCATCACCGCGTATTGTCGCATGTGTACGCCTGTGGACCGTGGTCTGAGCTTGCTCCGTTCCGTGGCTCTCCGCGCGACGACCGCGCGGACGATCGAACAGATTTGCGAACCTCGGGCTTGACGTCTGGATGGACGGAGAGCTCGTTATGGCAACGAGGTGTGGAAGAGGACTGGAAGGCGAATTCGAAGAAGACCCGTAAGCAGTGGTGCCCCCCGCGTGGCCGGCAGTGGCCGCGCGCGCACACCCTCTCCGAAGGATCTGCCGTTCTCCCTCTTCGAAAAGTCTCTCCGTGAAGGGCTCGAACTTCTTCGACGAGCCTTCGTGGACGCACGCCAGTCGCGCGGCCCCGCCCACCCGAGACGGCTGCAGTGCTCGTGTGAGCTCCGCGCTGCATGCGGTTTCGCCATGGACTCAAACCGGACCTTGTGACGCTCCAGCAGGCTCGCCGAGGACCTGCATGGTGATGTGGCAGATCCTTGCGCCCCGTCGCAGTCCGTCGACGCAGGGCGGCGGGCAAGCACGCAGCCTGCCATCACTCCACACACCGCACGACGCTCGAGACGCACGACCTCGGCGCGCGCTCCCACACGGGGGCCCGCTGCGATTGAGCACGGACGATTGAGTGCGGGCGAAGCTGACGTCAGTCGCAAAGCTTGTCCGACAGCGACGTTTGTGCGGCGGGGCGGGACGGAGATGCTCGCACGGGCGGGCGGCGCGGGCGGATTGCCCACGCCCGCGCCTTCGCCCTGCTCGCACGCCTGCCCGACGCGCCTTCGCGTGCTCGCGCGCGGGGAGACCGCACCCGGCGATCTGCATTAAGCTCGCCGCTTGCTGCTTGCGGCGCGGGGCAGCGTCCGCGCCGCCTTCACGGTCGCCGTAGGCCCCGTACGTGCGGACGCGCGCGCGCGGGGACGGCGGGAGAAGAGCGTTAAGCTTTGGGTGGTTCGCGGCTCTGATCGACTCGTGTAAACCTCCCCGAGCGCGAGCGCGAGATGGGCTCCGGGCGAGTCGAGCCCCGCGGCGCGTCCCCCGCGTGCGAGTGCGGCACCGCGCGTCCTGCGGTGTGTGCGCGTCGTGGGTCAAATGCCCCTCTTCGTGGCGAGGCGCCCCGGGAGAGCATCCTGGCCGCCAGCTGAACTGCACCGGCGACGCGCTCTGCAGACTGGGGAGGCCCTGGGCGAGAGTAAAGACGTCGGCGGAGGACGCGCGAGTTCGCCGATGGCCCCCACAAAGATCTCGAGCGAGGGGCACGGACGGCGGCGATGCCGCATGGAGCGCATAGCATGCAGGCCGGGGCGGGGGCTTGGGGATGGGGAGGAGCTTGGGGACAATTGCGCGCGAGAGTCGCTGGGAGCGCAGCGCGTCGCGGCCGGGCCGGTGGGTGCGCGGGCGGTGGGCTCTGGTTCTGGCTCTGGTGGGGGTCGGGGTCGAGCGCGAGGGTACCTGCTGATGCGGACACGATAAGTTTGAGTTCAGGCAGGCGCAGGCGGCCGCCCCGCCGCCTTGGAACTCGTCCTCGCTAGTGCACGAGTGGAGGAGGCTTCTGGCGGCTCGTTCATTATGTAGGTAGGGGTACAGCACGGCGGCACTAGTAGCTACATGCCAGATGCAGTCCTAGCAGAGCACATTTCGACGGGCGGGAGCGGGCAACGACACAGGCGGGACACGGACAGCGACCGAAAGCGAGCAGGATGGGTATTTACAGGGAGCGCGGACGGGACACATGACGGGCAGGCGGGTGGGAAGGCGGGGCGGGGGCAGGGCGGGGGCGCACATGTGGGCGAGGAAGATCTATCAGAGAGTCAGCAAGCTGCACATCCGCGCACGCCCATGACGCCGCCCGCGCAAGGCGGAGGCCCAGGCTCGCGGGCGGCGGCAGGGCGTCCGCACTCGAACGCGCAAGCGTGAACTCACGCGGGAGTGGGAGCGGGAGCGTTCGAGGGAGAGCGCGCGCGCGCGCTACTCCTCGCCACCCTCTATGGAATCGGCGGCACCCAGCCAGGGCGACGGGTCGGCGAGCATGCTCTGGTACTGCGCTTCGGTGATCCGCTTGAAGGCGATCGTGCCTTCTCGCCAGCCGCGGAGGAGGAGCTCGAGCTTGGGCAGGTTCGAGACGTCGCTCAGGTTCCGGAACGGGACCTCGTTCAGCGGCCAGCCCTCGATCCGCACCAGGTACCGCTGCACGACGTTCTTCATGTACGACTTGCGGCTCCAGCCCATGCTCGCGTTTTTGTCGCCCGTGATGCGGCCTGTGGGCAGACGGAGGGCGGGGGGTCAGCATCGGGGGCGACGGGAGCGAGTGGCGGCGGGCGGGGAGACGGACAGAGGTGCTCCTTGATGAGCCTGCGGAGCTCTGCGCGCGCCTCGGTCATGCGTTCGCTGTAGGACGGCTTCTGGTTGATGCGGAACGTGATTTGAGACATGGTGCTCGACGGTTGCTGGAGTTGCGGTGCGGAGAGCGCGGAGTTGAAGTCGCGCAGGGAGCGAGCGAGGGGCGAGATGCCGGTGTGACGCGCGCGGGGCTCCTCAAATACAAGCGCGGCCACGCGCACGCGCATGAGAGAGCGCACCTACCCGGCCGCGCTCTCCGACATCGTGGCCCACGGGCGAGGCGAGGGACTTCGCGGACGCGGCGGCTCGTGTCTCGCGCGGAATATCCCAGATCCCAGATCTCAGACCGCGCTCGCGCTCGCCGCCCGCCTTCCTGCGCGCCACGGACGGCCCGCGCACGCGCCCCGCCCTCAGGCCCACGGAGAAAGCGGGGTCGGGGGCGCCCAGCGGCGGAGGGCGCGGGTCGTCGCCGGCCGCGTCGACCAGGTCGACCATGCGCGATGGAGAACGGTGCTAATCGCGCGCGGATCTCTGCGCACGAACCCGGGAGGGCCGGCCGGCTGGTCTGGGCAAGGCGGTCTCGGGTGTGCGGTTCACGCCGTGCCAGGGCACAACGCAAAACGCTGGAAGGCTGGGAGATCGGATGGCGACCCGCCCTGCATTTTCTGACCGGCCTTCTGGCGAGTGCGCGGCGTCGGGTGCCGGCCGCGCGCACGTACGCTCGACCCCGGGGCTGCAGCGAGTGCGAGGCTCGAGCACCCCCCCTCGGGACGATGGCGGGTCGATAAAGGTCGGTAGTTATCGCCGCCCTGCCTCCCGTCTTCCCGCACAAACACGGGGCCTCTCTGCCCAAGACCATGTGTCAAGCGCGTCAGGGCCCCAGAGCGCCAGCCCCGGAGGCTCAAACCGCATGCGGCGGAATGATGACCAGCCCGCCTATGCCCTTTCGCTCTCCTCCAGCACGGGCCCGGCCGAGCGGAGAACAGACCTGGAGATCTGGGGTTTCCGACTTCCCGCCAACAGCCCCCGATCCTCCAGACGTGCTCGCAGCCGGCAGTCGTTCACCCACGCTCTCATGCACGTTGCCATCCTCTCGAGCCCGACCGCCAGCCCTCCGCCACAGCGACCGGGCGCACGGCCGCCGCAGCCCCCAGCTGACGGCGCTGATCGGCCAGGCTGCCTGCACAGAGCCCGCTCAATGCGCACAGAGCCCGTCGCCACTCACTCCGTCAGCGCAGGCAAGCGGCTGGCCGTCCACTGCGCCCGTGCCCCGTGCCGCATGGGGATCGTCTGCACCACCGAGACCGGCGGGCCCGCACGCAGCGCACGCGTGCGGTGTGCACGGGTATGATACCAAGGGAGCGCCACGCGGACTCCGACGGGCCCGCGCGCGGCGCATGCGCAGACGGGTGCACCGTAGACGACGCGTCCGACACAGCCGCGACCGCGACCGCGCGCGAGCTCGAAGTCCGCCTTCCGCTCGCCCGCGTCCGCGTCCGTGCCCCGCCGGAAGGCCCATTGACAAAAGCGGGGGGGGAGGGCGATTAACGTTCGCGTCGGGCGCGCGCACCCACCGAAAGCTTCGCGGGACCGCGCCTGTCCGATCGTCGCGCCCCGCGAGCAGCCCGCCGCGGGGTTTGGAGGCTGATCGGTCTCTCGCGCCGTGGCCCTGGCCCGCCCGCCATGCAGCCCCCCGAGGCTCGAGCAGAGCGTCGAGAGCTGTCGAGAGGTGGGTGAGGATTACGTTGAATGCCGGCCACGCCACCGCGGGCTGGGCCTCGAGGCCTGCCGGTTGTTTCCTCTCCCCGTTCGCGTACGCGACGGCGAAGGGGAAGCGTTGCCTCACGTCCCGGAAGGTTTCCTCGCCGCTGCTCGATGCGCAGCCCGGACGAAGCGAGCTCGGTTCGTCAAGGTTAGAGGGCACGGTCGTGGTGCCGCCCGGGCCCCGAAACGGTGCTGGTGGGCGAGTGAATCGGTGACGGCAGCGGCCACATATCACAGGACTTACGGTTCCCGTGCAACAAGGAGCTCTCCTCATGAAAGCACTTCTCGGACGCTGCGGCTAGGCGAATGTCGCAGAGCCGTGAAGACCCGAGCTCTGGAGCGTGTCTGGAGCCCGACCAGGTCACCAGGCGACACAAAGGATAGGAGCGGTTTTCGAGGGAGCCGACCGTAGTCACCGACGCTGCGGCGGAAATAGCCTGGAAAGTGGTCGTCCCTGTTATCTGATAAGGGTTCGGCGGACTCTGTGCCTTTACAAACAGAGTGTGAACGAGCCACCAGACCGGTCGACTTACGACATCGTGTGAGATGCTGGGAGCGGAACAGTGATCATGCAGGCAGAACCATGCGCGCGTCGTCGTGTCGAGCTGGACCGGTTCGACTCCGGTCACGGCTGCGCGCTTGACATGCTGAACTCTGCCGCGAGCCCCGCCGTCGTCCTGGTGCCACGGCAGATGCGGGGGTTCCCATGGCACACCCACACGGCACAAGAACATCAAGATCTGGTCGCAGGAAATGCCTTTTGGGACATCCGCGCGCCCGCGTAGACCGATTGATGCGATGGGCGCGCAGTACGTACACCTCCATTCTGCACCCACCTAGCCTAGAAGGCCGACGCCCAGCTTTCAGGGCACGCGCTATTCCGCCCTCACCATCATTCTCGTCACGGCTTCGGCGGAGGCAGGTATGTCAGCAACTAGAAGTCTAGCTTCTGTCGTGCCCGACAGGACTAGAAGACTGGACTCGTGGTCGGTCCCTGCCACACGACCTCATCACCAGCTGTTCCCTTGTCCAACGTCGAAAGCATCCTCGGTGTCCTTTGTCGGTGCATCACCGGCCGGGCCCAGAGGCCAGCGCGCGCAGAGCCGTTCACACACCGTCGGGCTTCTTCGGCAGCCATGTCTGGGAAGTCGGAACGCGACGTCGGGCGCTGTCGGCGGCTGCGCTTCACGGCTGTCTTTGTTCCCATTCCCGCGTTTCATCTCGCATTTGCGCCTTTCTACCCGCACCAAACAAACTAACAACCGACCAAACTCAGTTAGAAGGTGGGTCTCTCCAGAACATTGTCGAGAAACGGATCGTTGACGTGGGCAGCATATCTGGCCATTCACAGTGATCCTCGGAGCTTGAGAGCTTGAGAGACGACGGAAGGATTCTCGCCACAACACGAGGCTTCAGTGCAACACGTCACGGCACTTCGGGCGAGCTTCTTGTATATCCGTGCTCCTGCATGCATGCTAGAACTGACCAAACACTTGGAATCAAACATCGTAGTACACCGCTTCACTCGCATCCCTCCCCGGCGTTTCTGTCGTTCGGCACTGAAGACACAAATTGCGAACATTGTGCTCACGCAAGGCGTCATGTATGGATTCGCATGGAAGACACGGAGAGCCGCCTATCTGTGTCGGTCCGTGGGCTCCAGATGACAGCCTCCGACGTGACCTTCCGCTTGCAGTCTGGTTTTGGTATGTCCGTCCCGGTGCGCTTCACAGACGGCGAGACAACATGGCCGGGGCGAACCCTGTCGCGATATAAAGGCCTCAGAGCGGATTTGTTTTATCTTCCACTCGCTGACCAGTCTATCTCCATCTCCCCTCGTCCGGGTGTGTTTTCCCTTGGTACGTCTCCTCTGCCGTGCTCCTACCTGTGCTAAAGACGTCTGTCGGATGTTCGTCTTCTCTTCCCAGCATTCTGTCTTCGTCATGTCTTCCGCAGGGGTCCCTCGACGTGCTCATCACCTTCTCAAGACGGACTTATTCTTACGAAACACCTTCTACACCGACCTCAATGACCGAGCCCTCGTATCCTATGAGAAAGCGAAGGCGATCGGGCTTTCATTTGGTCCGTCTTCTCCATGAGACCCTGTCTGACATCGCCGACTCATTCGAAGAGTACAGACATGAAAATTGACGACATCCTCCATCTCACGCCCAAATTCTGGCAATTACACAACGATCCAATCTCACTCCAAGACGGCGCTGCTCTTACTCTGCTCACTATTCAATACAACCTGGCCGCCGGCACCATCGCCCGATACGCCCAACACCGTCCAGATCTCGTACCTCTCGTGGAGGACCTGTTGCAGTTCCGGAAACAGTGAGTACCACCTACTATATTCTTTCCATCGGCCTCAAAACTCCTTCACAGCGGACAATACATGCTGACGGAGGTCGGACATGGCTTGGATATCGGCAACATTGAAACGACGGCGACCTTGCTTCCATCGGGCGACTTTTCTCTCACCTCGCCTACGCCCTCGGCGGCGAAGTACGTTTTATGTCCTCACATTTCCGCGTGTCTGATGAGCGGTGCTTCAGATTCATGCCCCCTACTGTCCCCGCCGGGCTCCCCTGCATTGCCGTCGTCTTCGCAAAACTCATTGTCGACGGCGAAGACCGCGGACACAGGCCCTTCCTCGTTGCGCTCAACGACGGCAAGGAAATGTGCACAGGCGTCCAAGCGAGGTGCGTCACGCGTTTCGTTGCCCCCGCGACCCCTTCTCACCCCGTGTTCAGGCAGGTCCCCTTTCGCGACGGAACGCACCCCGTCTACCACTCAATCACGACCTTCACGGATGTGCGACTTCCGCGCGCAGCGCTCCTCGGCACCCTCGAGAAACCTGGAAGCATGCACGAAAATCTCATGGACATCATCAGCCGCGTCTCCGTAGGCTCCATCGCGGTGGGCTGCTTCGCGCTTCCCATTCTCCAGTGCGTCGCCACCATCGGCACCCTCTACTCCCTCCGGCGCCACGTCGGGCCCTCCGCGGACCCCGCGAGGCGCGTCCCGATCCTCTCCTTCCGCACGCAGCAGGCCCCGCTGCTCGCCGCGGTCACGAACGCGTACGTCGTCCAGGCGTTCCAGCGCTGGGCGATCGAGCACTTCTGCGCGGCGAGCGACCCGCGGCTGCGCCGCGCCATCGCGGTCGTCTTCAAGGTCTTCGCGGTGCTGCACGCGCAGGAGAGCGGGCTCGCGGTCTCGGACCGGTGCGGCGCGCAGGGCCTCTTCTCGCACAACGCGATGGTCATGATGCACGTGAGTGCTCGCTCTCGCCGCCGCTCCCGGTTGGATTCTGATCGCGGTCGTCTGCTCTCCGTAGAGCGCGATGCGGGGCATCGCCATCGCGGAAGGCGACATCCTCGGCCTCTCCATCCGTACGTACTCGCTCCCATCTCCCGTCTCGCACTCACCGACACCCCCCGTCCTTTCTCCAGGGCTGACAACCGACATCCTCCTCGGCCACGTCGTCTTCCCGCCCCCGTCCGACCCGACCCACCCCCTCGCCCGACACGAAGCGAGCGTCCTCGCCGCCCTCCGCGCGACGCTCGCTGCGCACGGCCCCACCGCCGCCGCTGCCCGCCTCCTCCCGCACTGCCAGCCCGCGGTCGAGGCGATCGGGCACCGGCTCGCGCACGACGCCGCGGCGGGCGCGCCGGGCGGGCGCGCGCCGCTCGTCGACCTCTTCGTCGCGCAGTGCGTCGCGCGCGACGCGGCGTGGTACGCGGAGCACGCGGGGCTCCCGCGCGACGCGCAGCGCGCGCGCGCGGACGCGGCGCACGACGCGGCGCTGCCCCTGCTTGGGGAGCTCGTGGCGGAGATGGACGTGGGGGAGTACGTGGGCGCGCCGATCGTGAGCGACGCGCGGTGGGCGGCGTTCGTGGAGGGGATGGTGGTGCACGAGGGCGAGGCGCGGGTGGAGCTGTTCGGGGAGGAGCGGGGCATGGTTGCGGTTGAGGAGGAGCAGGTGAAGCCTCTGAGGGCTCACCTGTGAGCACTTGAGCCCTGTGTGGGACGGTCTTGGAGCATCGAGGATGGGATGGGGACACATGAGCGGGACCTCGTCCTTCCATCTCACGTACACACATTCCGGAGTCACGCCCTGTAACGACAAAATTCACGCACTAAGCTGACTTGCGCAAGCGCGAGTGGCCAGGATTCTATTCGTGGTATCGTCGTGCGACTACATCCAATCGTAATCGTACTCGAGAACCGGGTCTGACCCCGAGCGTGTCGTCTAGCAGTTTTGTGGATCGTCGCTGTTACCCCTTTCACGCGCTCCTCGGCGCGGGGCGCTTCTACAGGCGAGCAAGCTCGTTCTGAGCGCACCCGCCCGCTTACACCCCCACCCCCACACCCTGTGACCCTCGTAGGGCCACCGGCCGATGTTATTGGGCCACGGACGCAGCACCGTTCTTTCCATCCGCCTCTCCTGTGTCGCCATCCAACGCATCCTTCGCGCCACTGCTGAACCCAGCCACGACATCCGAAGGGAAGCGCACCGTGCGCGGCGAACCAGGAGCGGAGGTCGGGGACGCGGCCAGGCCCCGCTCCGCCAGGTACTTGCGCATCTCGTCCTCGGGCGGGAAGCGCACCGCGCGGAAAGAGACGGGCGTGGCAGTGCCCGACACGGACTTGCTCCCCACGAGCGGCGGCGTCGCAGACGGCTCGAGGAGCTCCTCCACGCTCGCTGCCGGAGCGTCCTCAATGCTCGGCGCCGAGCTCGAACCCGGCACGCGGTCCTCGGCGGCGAGGCTGTCTGACATCTGGGTGATTCGCGAGCAGGTGAGCGGGGCGCGCGCACGGGATACGTGCTCACGAGGCGACTCACGAGGCCGAAGGAGAACGAGGACGGCGTGCGTGCGTGCGCGTGGTGCGGGGGCACGGCCGTCGCGTCGCTGACGAGCGCCGCGGGCCCCAGCTCTGGCACGTTGTCCATGTTGCGCGACTTGTCTTCATCGCTGCTGCCATCGATGGCCTGGGTTACGCCCTCCTCGACTGTGCCACGCTCGACGTCAGTTTGGGTCGTGGTTGGGAAGGGGGGTTCGGGGTCGCCTGGAGTGCGACGCGCCCAGAGGAGCCAGTCAGGTGCTGGTGCGTTGCGCGCGGTCCAAGTGCGAGTGATGGAGAGGGTGCGGGTGCGGACCCTGCGGCCGAATGAGAAGAACGGAATGGAGAGCCCATCTACGGGAGAAACGGTGAGCGCCGAGCAACAGTTGGTCGGAGAAGCACGCACGGATGAGAATGGAGCCTAGTACTACGAACGCAACGATAGGCTGGAGAGTGGCAGCGAGCAGCTGGGCTTGGTTCGCCGGAGGAGACTCAGGCACGGGCAGCTCGGTGACAGCCAAAGTCGAGATGAAGATGGCGCCGACACCCATCGGGCCTGCCAGGCGCGTCAGATACGTGTGGGGTAGTCAGTGTTGCGAATAAAGCCCACCGAAATGTCCAGTGAACAGCGCCTCCCTCCACGTGGTGATTTCCGGTACCCATCGGTACAGGAAGAGGAGTGACGGGATGCGGCGGAGGAACATAACTGCAACGAAGATAATTACGAGACGCCAAGGGGTGATGCTGAGATCTGTCGCGTTGAACATGTTGAATGGCATCCAGGCCCCAATGTACACAAAACAGCCACAGTTGAGGATGAGGTCGATTACCGAGGAGAAAACCTCTTCTTCTACTTGAGAGTTGAAGTGCCCATCCCAGCTGATTGCTGAACCTAAACCAGAGCGTCAATATCGTAGGAATGCGACAGGGTGGCGCACCGTGTACCTGCAGCGAACGCAGCAAGCAAATCATCGACCCCTAACGTGCGAGCCACGCCAATAGTGAAGATAGCAAGGGATAGGTACTGGGCGACATACGACTCGCGGTCGATGAAGCCCTTCCTGTGAGTGAGCTTCATCAAGTACGAGAATGCGATGCCTGAAATCCTCATGTCAGATGTAGTTATCGTTGAGGAACGCCATACTGACCTAAGATGGAGCCAATGATAGTGCCAAGCACAACTTGGTCTGAGGGCACGTGTAAACACTTGGTACGCAACAACACTTGTAACCGCATACTCACATAGCCAGCCAATGAGGAACCACTTCTCGAAAGCCACGCCTCGGGAGGCTTCTACTGTGAGATAGATAGAGATGCTTAGGAAGGGATATGCGAGGCCATCGTTGGCCGCCGACTCGGCGGCGATTATCTGGCGGAGGTTGAGGGGCACATGTTTTGTAGCAAATTTCCCTCCTGCGCGAGCTCAGCACGTGTTGTCAGCGCCAGGAAAAGTATATCCCCACCAACGATAGCGGCGGAGATAATGGGGTCGGTCGGTGTCAGGCATGCAGCGATAACGAGCGACGAGACAAAGTTGATGGGGGGAAATACTACGAAAACGATTGCTGGAGGTAGCAGTCAGCGAGCAGAGAGAACGGTTCCGAAACTCGAGTACTCACCCGCCACAACCAACCAACCGAAGGCCATGGTGGGTACGACCATGACCAGCAGACCCATAGCATGGTCAGCGAGGTAGGACTGGGGCAGCTCGACCCCGATGGCGAACAGGCCGGTGGCAAGGGTGACGCGCATGACTTCGAGTGTGATCACGTTGATGTCGCCCCCCCACGCACGGGGGTTGAAGATGTCGGCGCAGTACGGGCCGAAGATGACGCCCACAGCGGTGCCGAGAACAACTTCATTGACATACAGCTGGGAGGGAGAACGCCTCATGTCTCAGGTCTGGCGACGCACGCATGAGAGACAAGGGAGGGCACTCACCTTTTCTTTGACAAGCAAGGAGACCATGCTGAACTGTAGATAGAGTCAGCATGTGCAGTAGACGAGATGGGCCCATGGACGCAAGGCCAGTACATGACCACCTCGGCCGCGTGGGCAGATATTGCGCGCGATATAGTGGGACGGAGGGAAAGCCAACATACCGCGACGACGAACCCTCCTAAGACCATGTACGCCAGGCCGGAGTCTGTCACCTGCCAGACAAGTCTGTGAATTGCAAGGCGTAACAAGATGGTCCACAGACTTCGAGCAGCTGCACGCCCATGGTGACGAGTTGAATCTGGGCGCCGAGGGCACGGCGGAGAGCGTTGAGCGGGGGAGGAGGGCGGAGAGGAAGCTAAGACTCGCTTGAGAGCGCTTTCGGCCACTCGTCCATGAAATCATCTTCCGCTCGGCATGCTTATCTAACAGGCGCCGTTCTCCGTTCCTCTTAGCATTGCCCAGCCGATCCAATGGCGTTTTGTGCGCTGGGGCAGCTGGAAATAGGCGACGAGATACGGCCCGAGCCCGAGCACGCATTCAGAAAGAGGGCAATAAAGAGTGGCTACAGTAGGGTACTCGCGATCGACCAAACGTCCCCCGAGCCTTCTACTTCTCCGCGACCGCAGCGGCGACGGAGCCCGATGGTCGCGGGCCAAAGTATGCCGCAACAGGATCTTGGCCGGTCTTCTGGTAGCTGTGGGGCAGGCTCGGTGAATATTCTAACGGGTGGAACGACATGCATTGTGACTCACTGCCAGATACGGGCCATTTGGGAGATGCCGGTGGCACCAACAAAGAGGTTTACCTGGCAGTCCCGGGGTGTTCGAAAGAGGTTTTGGATGCAGAGAGGAAGAGAAAACATACCGCGGCCAAACTGTAGTTGACGGGCGTGATGACGAAGGAGTAGCGTACCCAGATTACACCTGTAGCGGCGAGGGCTGATGGTTGCATCCCAATATTCATGATCGCGAGTGCGCATACCATCAACGTGCGTTGCAAACTCGAAAACTGCCAAGACGCACCAAGGTTTTGCGACATACTCAGCTTGTCAGCTGGGCGCGACAAATCCTTCAAACCCGCCATAACCAAGCACCACTTCATCATCGGGGCCCAGAAGAACACCGTCTTCGGGCCTGTTGTCCATCGCGAGGCAGCATAGAGTTGCGTGGTGGGCAAGAGGAAGCCAAGTCGCGGAAGGAGCACGGGAATCCGGTTCCGTCAATACCAATCAATCACAGGGCTGGAGGTCCTGACGCACCCGCAGGGTGGTTCATAAACGCTTGGAATTTTGAGGCTCCCGCAGAGGCTGCCGCGCCGGACATGGTGTCGATGTAGGATGGGTCGAGAGGGAAGTTGGGAGTCGGAAGCTTGCTGGGGTCGGCCGTCGTGCGACTTCGCTTGGCTGGGGACAGGCAGCGCCCGCTGAGTCGAATCCGGGCGTTTCTCGCGCGCTTGGCCGGGCTTGGCAAAAAGACGCTGAACCATCGGCCGCGGCCGGGACGACATCGGCCGGGGTCCCGACCATCCCGCATGACAGACCAGTACTTACGTATACCTCATGACAAATACCCACTGAGAGATCCGCACTGCCCAAGAATGTCCACGGCTTCTACTGGTACATTGCATGCCACTGAATCTCGGCTTTCAGCGCCCCGTCCAAGCAGGCAACAATATTGACTACTTGAAAGTCCTGAGTGGTGGTAAATAATTCCCTCACTGCGTTTGCACTGCGCTCGCGTGAGTAATTCCGCAGGTTTCAGCAAATATCTGACCGGCAACCCTTCTCCAGTTCCATACGACCAATATGTGGCTCCTCAGCACGGACCGCGCGCACATCCACTTTTTCCCTCGTCCAGAAGACGTTCCTGGTGGATACGCCATTCTCTCTCATGTATGGCTCACTGAGGGAGAAGATACGTTCCAGTCTGTCCGTGGCCATCGGGATCTTTCGAAATCGAACTCCGAGCCGCCAAAATCTTCATCGCCACCCATCAACGTCACCAACCCGCGCGATCTGGTCTCAGCGAAAGTCCGCAACTTCCTCATCTTCGCCGAGGGGGAAGGCCATCAATGGGCATGGGTGGATACGTGTTGCATCGACAAGACAAGCAGTGCCGAGCTCTCGGAAGCCATTAACTCTATGTTCCGCTTCTACTCCCTCTCAAACGCATGCTACGTATACCTCGAGGACGTCGGCGACGATGGCTGCAAGCAATCCGAATGGTTGTACTCCCACCCGCGCAGGGCTTACACCAGAGGGCCCACCGAATTTCACAACAGCAAGTGGCATACCCGTGGCTGGACACTTCAAGAATTACTCGCATCCAGAGACGTTGTTTTCATGTCTCGTTCGTGGACCCCTCTCGGCACCAAACACGATCTTGCGGAGATGCTGGAGGAGGCGACCGGCGTCCCTCGGACCGTGCTTCAATTCGAGGTCGGTGTCACAGACGTGAGCGTCGCAGCTCGCATGTCATGGGCAGCGCGGCGGAAGACGACGCGGATTGAGGACGAAGCGTACTGCCTGTTCGGGCTGTTCGGGATCAACATGCCAACCTTGTACGGAGAGGGACATCGGGCTTTCTTTCGTTTGCAGGAGGAGATCTTGAAGTCGTCTACGGACATGTCCTTGCTCGCGTGGGGAGATGTCCTACCCTCCCGACACGCCTCTTTCAAAGGCCTGGAGCGAGTGCAGGAACCGACACGACCCGAACGCTACCTCTTGACGGACTCGCCGAGGTGCTTTGAGCGATGTGGCGCGGTACTTTCCGAAGGGTTCGCTCAGGTCACCACTGAGGGAGACGTGAGTGTCTCTTCGAGCCTTTCATCGTTTCATGCGCTTACTTATCGTCTTCAGCGAAGTGCGTCTTCATGTGCTGCATACACGCCTGCGACAATCACTCCTCATGGTATCCATGTTCATCTGCCAATCGCGCAGGTGCATGGCCCGTGGTACCTCATGGATCTGTGCTGCTCTCTTACCAACGAACCCCTCTTTCTCATCCTTCGTCTACGTGCCGATTTGACGATCGACGGACGCCCAGTTTTCCAGTGCGGCCGCTGCCCTATGGACGCCCATTACGGGATGTTTCACTATCGAATCGTCTCCTCCGAGTCTTCCGTGGATGCCGGGGTCTTGTCGTGGACCATGCTCGACGCCTACGTGCAGTCATACGCTCCGTATCGTGCGGAGTCCGCCCCTCTCGACAATCCCGGACTGTTCGTCTCACGCGCGTGCGGGTCCGTCCGCTCCCCCTTTCGATTCCGGCTATCCCTCTTGTCACTCGCATCATGGAGATTAGTCGCCGCCACCCGCGTCCGTCTCCCATGGACAGGCTCGGAGCCGCTCACGGTCATATACCGGGAACCACACGCCAAGACGATCATGTCGGTCGAGATTGGAGTCTGCATGGAGACCTCCGACAATCCCACTCCCACCCCAGCTTCGACTATTACATGGGCCGACGATTCATCCGACGACCGCCACTACGCTCGCGTCGTGTTCACTGACACCGGTTCGTCGCGCATCCCTTCTACATCGCGGATAGGCCTGCAGCTCGCGGGCGCGCACAACTGCTCCATTGACCATATCGACGACTGGCCAGACCTACGGAAAGTCATCTCCCACGTGTTCCAAGATGGGTACGGGACTCGATCTTCGGAAATCCAGGTTGCCATTTCATTTTCACAGAGCTCTCTCGGACTGCATAGACGGGCGCTCCAGTTGAATCTCGACTTGAATACAAAGCCGGTTGACAGAAACCAGGACGTTGATATGCATAGCTAGCCTCCACCATGCCCTCGCGCTTTACTCTTCTGGGAGTCCTCTCGCGATCTCCCTCAGGTTCTCTAAAGTGCTCTCCTCGCTATACAGCTGCCGCTTGCACCCCACACACGTGTCCCTCAGCAGCGTCTGCAGCTCGGGCACCTCCCACATCACCGTCCCCCCGTCCCGCAGGCCGAAGAACCGCCACGGCTCCCTGACCCACGCGAGCTTGAACGCCCACCATGTCGTGTGGTCCTCCAGCTCCCCACACCTGGCCGTCACGCACCGCCGGCGCCACAAGTTCGCGGTGAACAGCGTCTCGCTCTCCAGCTTCTCTGCCAGCGCGGCCCGCCGCCGCTCGAGCACCGCGAGCAGCGCCGCGAGCGCGGGCGCGTCGAGCCGCGCGAGCTCGCCCGCGTGCGGCGGCGCGAAGACGTTCACCGCGAGCGCGGCACGGAGGGCGCGCGCCGCGTCCGCGGTCCAGCCGAGGCGGCTCGCGAGTCCGTACACGCGCAGGGGCGCGGCAGGCACGTGGCGCGCGAGGAGCTCGCGCAGGACGGCGAGCGGCATCGGCATGTCATACTTGTCCGCCGCGAACGCGACGGCCTCGAGGTGGTCGAGGTCCGAGGGATCCGGGATGCCGAGCGCGGCGATGAGCGAGAGCAGGCTCGCGAGCACGGGCGCGGGCTCGTCCATGGAGATCGGCTCTGGGGTGCCAGTGGCCGGGGATTGGGGGAGGGTGAAGGCGGATTTGAACCAGCCGGAGGTGCGGCGGAGGGTGGAGGAGGAGATGGGGAAGCGGACTTCGTCCCTAGAGATGAGGAGGATGTCGCCGTTGGGGAACGCCTCTGCGAACAATGGGTCGGTATCACCCGCGCTGAGCGGAGGGTCGGTGGGGTTTTCCGAGGGCTTGTTCTCAGGAGTGTCAATTGTTGCAGACATGGTTTCCGACGTTGAGTAAAAGCAGCGATGTGGCAGGATGCAAGTGCGACGGCGTTGTGCAATGGGGATGATAACGAGGGGGCTGGCCCGATGTGTGAACTTTGGCCGAGCAAGCTTTCAGGTAGGTGTTGGCATACCTTCAAAACATTCAGTGAACGCCAAATGATGCTCATGGACCTTGGTCCGTAGAGTGCGGTACGAAGGGGCTCGCCCGGCGCGTGAACAACGTGGCCCTGCCTCGTGCTGGAAGCGGTAGGAGGTGGCCCGGACGCGGTCCGGGAGTCCGATCTTCACTTTCCCATCACGTTGCCTTCACGAGGCGCCAGACACGCACGCGTCCTGCATGTCGTGTCCAGGCGGCTCGGCGCAGTGAGCTCTTCCCACTCTGACCTCGTCCTCCGTTCTCTCTGCCCATCCGCGACCATCATGGACGACATCGATATTGATGACTTCACGGTGGACAATATCCTGGACCCACTCATGTCATTTCTCTCCTCCGTCCTCCCACCAGCGGCGATGTACTTCATCCGCCCCCTCATCACCTACTCCCTCGCCCTTCTGTCCGCGCTCGTCCGATTTGGCCTCACTGCCGCGCACTCGGAGAACTGGGACACTCAGAAGATACTTCCCCCGCTCATCACGGTCCTCATGGCCTACCTCGCGCTCGTCAGCTTCTACCGGACGACCGGCTGGATGCTCCGCACCGTCTTCTGGTGCTTCAAGTGGGGCGGCATCATTGCGTCTCTCGCCGGCCTCGCCGGATACCTCCTCGCCACGCAGGGCAACGCAGACGCCGTCGGGGGCATCGGGGGAGGCGGCGCGATCCCGATGATCATGAGCGCGCTGCTCGGGATGTTCAGCGAGGACGCACAACGCGGGCGCGCGGGCGGCGGCAAGAGCAAGAGCAACCCGGGCTTAGCTGCGAAGCCGCGGCGGCGCAGAGACAAGGCGCAGGAACGGGAGCAACCGAAGGCCTGGGAGAGCTGGGACAAGCATCGCGAACACAAAGACTGGCAGCACGGGGCCGAGGCGGAGTACCGGGATGAGGCGGCGAGGATGAACGAGGGCGTGCAGGAGGCGGTCATGAAGGTCGCGGAGGTCGTCCAGGGTGCGTTGAAGGAAAGCTGGTGGGGGACGATCAAGAATGCGGTCGAAGGCAGCGGCCTGGTCGGCTCGGCAGGAATGCGGGACGAGGAGGCGGGCTCGGACCAGCGGGCCAAACGGAAGAAGGAGGGACGAGCGGGGTCGCGATGATCCTCCAGCGACCGAACGGGAGTCTGGTGGACGAGGCTTCGCCGTATCACTTGGACACCAGTACGTTGCATGCTCTCGTGCAGTACCCGTTTGACGTTTCTGATGCACTTTGTCTCTCGAACAGCACTGTGTATGACTAGTGCTTTGTTTATTCGTTGCTAGAGCAAGTTATGCCAGCTAGAGAGGCGTCGATCTGACACACTAAGACAGCTCGTAACGCGAGCTTGGGGATTCAAGGTCTGCGATCTTCATTCTAGGGACGCTTTTCTCGGAGTCCAACTCCGTCCTTTGTACGGTTATTGGTCTGGCGTACATCAAGTTGGCAAACAATGGATACCTCGCCATAAACCGCTTCCGAGCGTTCGCATTCGGCTTCATTATAACATAGTCCAGTCCTGGAAGACTCATGTTGTGCAAGGTGCAAGGTCGCAAATGTGCAACAAGAACACCCAGGCCACAGTTGACAGATTCCCCACCGAGAAGTATGTGAAAGGTGAGTACGTTTTCGCGTTTCTTGATGTGTCGGACAGCATCTGGCTTTACGCAGTTGCCTGGATATTCGGCGACTGACAAGCTTCACGCCGTCGTCCAGTTACCGCTGGCCTGAGAGGTGAGCGTCACCTCTCGGCTTTTGAGCGGCCTGTGCTCGCAGTTCTGGAAGGCACCTTTCGTAAAGGGTCTCACCGGGGCGGCAAGCTAGACGGAAGTATGCCTGGGGCAGCGCCCGGGTGGTGAGCGGGAGAAGGCGGGCACTGACGCAAAGCCTGCGTCCCATGATACACAGAGGCCGCAGACAGTCACCGCTCGGGGTGAGTGGCTGGTGCCGTGGGCCGGATGGTGTTGTCCAGGGCGGTGGCGAGCCACTGACCCCGCCGGCGTCTCGCTCGCGGCTCTAGCGCGCCGTCACACCTGCCCCCCTGGGCTGTGACCGTGACGTGACCAGTGGTGTTGTTCTCCGCCGAACACCCCCATCAAGACCCGCTGGTTCGGACTCCGCCCCGTGGAAATTAGGGGCGCTCTCGTCTCTGGCCAATCCCCGCTTGCCATTCGACAGGCCGACCGACGCCGGTCAATTAGGCGCTATAAATGGTCTCTGATTTTCCTCCTGTTCCGGATACAAACATCTGCAAATATGCCCACGTTATAATGCCCCCGTTCCCTGTCCCATACTCTTTCCTCAACCCCTCGCATCCTCATAGCGAGCTCGCTCTCTCCCCCCGTCCGCCTTAGACGCCTTTGCACTCTCCCCTCTCGTCCTATATCGCCATGGGTCTCAAGCGCAAGTTCTCCCTCGAGTTTGACGACGTTGCTCCCACTGTGAGTGACCTCGCGTCTCACCATCGCGTCACGCGTCTGACGCGCGCGACCAGAACGGGAAGCAGGCGAAGCTCCTCCCTTTCCCCACCATGGACCTCGACTCCGACGTCGCCATGTCAGACGGTTCTCTGTCCGACCTCGACGCTCTCCTCATCCCCACCTTTCCCGCTCACACTCGTCACCAGTCCGACGTGAGCTACGCGTCGTCAGCCACCTCTGACTCTCCTCGCCACTCTCGTGGGTACCCCCGTTTACAGCTATGTACATCTCCCTTGCTCACGAATTGCCCCAATAGCCTTCTACCCAGCCCTCGAGATCTATCCTGGTGATCAGGATAGTGAGATGGGTATCGCCGCCCACGGTCACCCCGACCCTTCCCCTAACGCTCCTCAGAAACCTATCGGTCTCATCCAGCCCAGTGGCAACGGCTTCTCTCATCATGGGTAAGTCTTGTACTCGGTATATGCTTCAGAAATTCGCCGTCCAGGTTGTGCCTCATGCCGTGGACATGTCCTGGGGTGATTGTGCTGACTATCCCTCTTCCAGCCACAACTGCACTCAAATCCCCAAGCTCCGCATGGCGTGTTCGTCTGGCCCCAATGGTCGTCGTTCTATGTGGGCCCTCTGCGAGGAGTGTGGCGCCATTGAGATCGTCGACAGCGACTAAATCGACACTCGACATTCGCCTTCTGTGACCGCCAATCCGACTCCGGCTCTTCCGACAGCTTGAAATGTAAGACTGCTCTGCTTTTCTCCATCCCCTCTCCTCTATCTGCTTGATCTCTCTGGCGACAATTTCGACATTCCCCACCCCGACTCGCGACACCCCCAACATCCTTCGCCGCCTCCGCCAAAAATCGACACTCGACAATCGACCAGCCACCCAGCCGCCATCCCTACCTCCATCAACTTCGCCCTTCACCACTTGCTTTTCCGCACTGGTCTTGTCGTGTGCCTTTGCATTTCATTGCGCTGTTTTATTACCTTCGCATTCGCCTGCATCCCTGTTTTCGTTTTAACTCTATTGGTGTTCTTGTGTATACGCACATATGGACTGTGACTGTTGGTCAGGAAAACCCATATGTCCACTCTCGTCTTGCACTGCATACGTTTTACTCTAGATATCCATCATGCTGCCCGCTGTACACTACCATGAGATCCCAATGCTTTTGTCAAAATGCTTGGACGGAATGGTCGCCGCAGCGAATGGGTCCAGATCGATCATAAGCCCTCGGCTAATGTTTAATAAAGGCGCCTGTCAGTCTCAAACATGGCCGACGAATGTCAGCGCTTCAGCGCCAGCCTTGTGACCCTCCCAGCTTCTCCCCTTTCCTCCTCCAGATCGTCTTTGCCCCTCTGTGTCGGTCGTGGTGTGATACGCATCGACGCAGCACCGTACGGACTCGTCCAGGTGTGTCAAGCACGTAGCCCACTCCGTTGGGTCTTCGCTGCGCACCTTTTTCACTTTTCTATCCTCTCATGTTTCAGTATCCGTGGCCGGCTGGGGGACCATCACATACACCAGCTTCACTGAATTATGGTCTGAGTATATGCCATGGATGGTGGTCTGCGTCACTCGCTTTATGTTCGCACCTTTTCGTCTTTTCATACGTTCTCCTCTCCAATAACAAATTTGCTGACGCGTCTATTTACACTGCAGTCTGGCATCCCGAACACGCAGCATCCGCGGAAAAGTGAGTGCTCGGCCCGAGAGAGGACAGCGCACTGCGCAGACGGTTGGCTTCACGCCGATGGCTGACGCTACTAATGCCTCCCTCGGGCTGCGGTCGTCACTCCCCCGGCCAAGCGCCTTGCCGGTATTCAAAATCCGCCGTTGGCCGTCATCGCCATCGTCAGCAGCAGGAGCTGCGCTGCTTCGGGCGGCTTGTGCCGAGCCCCCAGCGCCCACGCAAACGTCCCCGGAGTCCACGGACGACACGCAATCTTTGCCTCACGTCGAGTCCACAGCTCACTTATGACCCCTGTCCGATCCCGTATTCGTTCGTACACGCACCGGCACAAGCCTGCGGACACAAACATAGATTCGCCGACGCGGCGCGGTCGAAAAGTGCACCGGGGACGTCGGGATTTGTGAGAAGGTGCAACACTCACCTTGGTGGTTGCTATGATGCACTCGTCGCAAAATTAATCTCTGACTCAACACGCGCCCGTGCCCACAGAGCTGGAGCTGAGCGCTGTACCCTCGTGGGTGGTGGATGCGGCTGCGCTTGCCTGTGGACGTTCGTCAGCCACGGCATGCTTGAAGGTGCGTCGCCTTCATTGCTTGCGCGCTGACGCATCCCATCCTTTCCTACCACTAATGTGACCCACTGTGGGACATTTACAGTATCGAACTCTGAAGACCACGGCAGCACGGACTGAGATAACCGCGGCGCCGATCAGGTGGGTACCGCCACAGCATCCATCATCTCAGTGAATCTCCTTCCGAACGACGCAGTGTAGCGCACGCGGGACCACTCTCGAGACCCGGGCGTCGGACCTGGCTCTGCACACAAATCTACCCGTTTCATCGCGGCACGCCCCGCAGAACGTGAGACGCGTAGAGAGCATTGAACGCGTGTATGTGCGCGACAGGACTGTGCAGTCAGCACCCGAAGAACAAAACACCGGCGTTTCGATTCCGCTCGCGATCTGTCGACACGGTGCGGCGAGGTCTCGTGCTCAGGGACATCATCTGTTCGTTGGCCAAAAGGTTCTCGCGCAACCTGCCGGATGCGTCATATATCTATAGCCACGTCGGCACCGAGGCTGATCTGGTTGGGGATCAGGAGGTGAGGTGAGCTGTGGGCCTTTGTGTTGTCACAACCGCTCATGGGGGCATAGCCCGTACGCCCTCGTTCTCGCAACGCGGCATACGACCTTCGTGCGTAATGCATGATCTTATCACAGTTCCTGGTGAGCTTAGATGGATATTTGCGAGCGTCGGGGACGCCACGATCCCGCGCCCTCTCCGGTTTCCGACCCACGCTGACTATGTTACACACTGTGCGTAGAGCGTCTCGCCGGAGCACAAAATTCTAGTTCAGCCCAGTTAAGAGGCTTTATTGATCCATGTGTGAGGACATGACACGACGTCGAGATGCACCCACCCGTCGCCCCGAATGTCGCAGCAAGAAAAAAGATGACTGTCTACAACGTGAGTACAGCTGTCTTGCAGCAAGTCTCAGGATACCTGACACAGATGGTGACGCGAGTTCACAGCCACCGCTGTCCTTGTTCGAGTTGACTTAGAGTTTGGTCTACGTAGGCTAGTTCTTGTCGCATGCCGAACATCGTAAACACACACTCATTCGAGCGGCAGCCTGGCTCCGGCGAGCGTCACAGCGACTGCGGGCCCAGGAACCTTCGTCCTCCGCTATGCGATGACCAGAGGAAGCGGCGACAAATCCGGCCACGACAGTCTCGGATGTGCAGTCGGCGGAACGAGACCCGGAGCGATGTCATGTCGCACGGTGGCGCGTTGGAAGTAGATTTCGCTGCGTCCGAAGCGGTGTAGTATTAGCGCCCGTCATGCTGCGACTCAGGGCAATGGCGAGTTGTCGTCGCTCCCTGCCGCACTCGAGGTGGCTCTCCCGCGAAGTGGGCCTGAGGGAAGATGAGGGCACCGCTTCACTCGGGTGTATTCCGTGAACCTGGTCCCGGTCCCTTCGGATGCGCGCGGCCGAGTATATCTGCCCGCGCACTCGGGAGGTCAGGGAAAGCTTCAAGCACACCCAGGTCGACACCACACAGAGCACTACATGGCGTCCTCAGCATCTGGTCTACACATCTTTCAGGACACTGGAGCACCTCCCGGGAGCTCCGACTATACGACAGTCGTCGTAATCCACGGAATTGTCTGGCATAGCGGTAAGGATACGGGCCGAACGTAGATGCACTGTATGGCTAATGGCTCTTCACGGCAGCTATATTCTCGAAGATGGTTCCTCTGGCTAGGAGCAAGAACATACGTCTCGTCCTCGTTAATAGACAGGACTACCCCGGCGGGGCCCCGTACAACTCCGCCGACCGTGCATTGCTCCCCGCCCAGGCAGGCAGCAGCAGGCAGACTGTCCCGCTGCCTTCCGAGAACGCATGGGTCTTCATGCAGCACCGCGCCAGCACTCTCAACCAGCTCCTCGTCGAGCTCGTCCTCGCCCGCGGTGTCACTCCTGCCGAGCCGGCCCGGAATAAGGGCGGGATCGTGCTCGCTGGGTGGTCGCTCGGCGTCGCCTGGATCACCGCTCTTCTCACCCACGGCGGTTCCTTCCAGCAGAACGGCGTCGACCTCGGCCAGTACCTCCGACGTGTGATCCTCTACGGTGAGCTCGCCCAGACGCACCCGTGGAGTACCTTGCTGACCAGCGCTCCGCACCTCCCGCCGCCGTCGCCAGAGGGCTCCAGCACGGTGTACGGCTACCCGCCGAGCCCGGACCCGAACCCGCAGCTCTCGGTGCAGGAGCAGGACCCGCTGCTCTGGCTGTCCGAGTACTTCGCGCACGGCGACACCGCGGCGACGCTCGAGCGGCACACCCCGCGCGGCGCGCCGACCCCGACGCTCGCGCGCATGACCCCCGCCGAGGTGCGCGCGACGGTGTGCGCGGCGCAGACGAGCCCGGGCGGCTCGGACGCGCTGCTGCTGCACTGGGGCGTGCGCACGGGGCTGTTCGCGGCGCTGCGCCGGCGCGCGCTCTTCCCGCCCGCCCGCGCGGCGCCGCCGTGGCCCGCGCTCGAGGTCCGCGTCGTGTGGGGGGACGAGAGCGTGTGGGAGGTGCTCGACGCGACGCACGCGCTCCGCGCCGAGCTCGCGGACGCGGCGGCGAAGCGCGCGCAGACGCGGCCGGTGACGCTCGCGCGCGTGCGGGGCGCGAACCACTTCGTGAGTCGCTCGTTTCTTCGGTTCGGAGATGGGTGTGGGCTGCCGCTGCGCCCGCACGAGGGGCGGGCGTTGCTCTCAGTTGGCAGGCACAGCGCGGCTGCGGTGGGAGCGCAGGACAGGGGTTAACTCTGCGCTGCGGCCGACGATCTGCGGGCGCGGCTGTGCATCGCTGACTGGTTTTTTGATCTTTCTAGGCCCATTGGGACTATCCTGAGCAGACGCTGCGGGTATTTTTGGCCGCCCCGAACGAGGTTGAAGCCTGAGATTGGTTATCAAAGTACACTATAGATGCTGCACACCCCCTTTCTTGCTGTGATTCTGCTTTCTTGGATCGCCATTGCTCTTCTTGTATCTGATATATCTATTAATGACGGTGCACACGCGCCGGGAAATAATAGGACTGTGCTTACACCCACGCAGTCTTTGCGATTGAAGCGCCCGGGTGTACAACGGACTTTAGCTCACGGCGCGCGACGGAGCCGGATAAGGCTCTGTTTCCGCGGTTCATCCCATAAGTGCACATACGTGACCTCGGGGTGCACACAGTCAACCACTGCATTGCCTGTGCTCCTCACAGCGTTCCGGAGAGATCGGCATACGTCCGGACTCCGTAAGCCATCCCGTGCTACTCTCGGACACTCCTGCGATTCTGCACCGTCACGAACTTCGAACTCTCCCCCATCCCGTCATCATCAAACGCCCACCATGGAACCAACTCCGACAGCTGACTGGCTACCCGCGGGCTACGTGCGTAGACATTCGGCGGAAAGGGCGTGGGGGCTCGCCACTCGCGACGCGCGTCGATTGTGCACGCCGACTGCCAGCGGATCTACTGCGCGCACGGCGACAGGATCAGCACTTACTCGCACCCTCATCATCCACTACGGGTTCGTTCGGCACACAGGATCCCCCTTCCTGATGACGCAGTACCGGCAACACGTCCCCTTCGTGTCCCTCCAACTACCCGCAGCCGCCGCTCGGTGTGCCCGATGGCATGGAACTGCGTGGTCAACGCAGGTTCTCGACCCGATGTGCACGGCCAATTTCTGCGGCGGTTTTACAAGGGATGTTGGTCCCTGGCGCAGCCTATACGTGAAGCCGCCGTCGTGAGAGCGTCGATAGGGTGGATCTCAAGCAGAAGATCGAGTCAATCCATGCGGGCTTCGTAAGTACTATGCCCTGGGAGAAAGAGGCCGTATAGCGGCGCTCGGTGGATGTCCTTGATTACTATCTGCCCTGCGGCTAACTGCATTACTTCGTCAGCGTCCGGGCTCGCAGGATATCCCCGCATAAAGGCAGTTGTTCTTTCAGCAGGCATGGTGGACAACCGTCCTTGGCGCCTACAGGTCGGGAGGCACACTTCTTCGCAATGGTGAGCCCAACTGGTCTGCATGCCGCCTTCGACAGCGGGCCGCCTTCGGATAGCACCGACTACACTACCATCGTGACCATCCACGGCTACGGCTGGCACAGTGGTGAGTGACCTCCCTCAAGTCCTGCATGTCTCGTGGGTTGACTGCGGCCGCAGAGGCGCAGCAGTCGAGGTGCGCACTTCTAACGGCCAAAACTGCACAGGCATCTTCGCCCACCTCCTGCCCGTCGCGCACGCGCAGAACGCGCGGGTCATCGCCGTCAACCGGCGCGACTACCCCGGCACGACGCCATACCCGGCCTCGGAGCGCGCGCTCCTGACCGCGGTCCCGCCCTCCGACTCGAACGAGCCGGAGCCGGAGCCGTACCCGTCGGGCTCCCCAGAGGAGATCTCGGAGACGCGGACGAAGATGCTAGAGTTCGCGCGGCTGCGCGCGCATGAGCTGCTTGCGTTCTGCGAGGAGCTCGTGCGCGAACGCGGGCTCCCAGCGGCCCGGCCGACGGAGAACCGGGGCGGGATCGTGCTCATCGGGTGGTCGCTGGGAATCGTGTGGATGAACGCGGTGCTCATGTTCCTCGACTCGTTCGAGGGGAGCGCGGACGTCGACTTGAGCAAGCACCTGAGACGGGTCATTCCGTACGGTACGTGCCTCTGGTCGACTCGTGCTACTAGGCAGACTCCCATCTGATGTAGCCCCCGCCGTGGGCAGATGGACCAAGCATCGAATTCGGCTTCCCCCGCCCCCCGGATCCGTACGACCCCTTCCTGGACCCGGACACCTTCGAAGGATCGATCGCGGACCTCTTGGACTGGGTCTCCGGCTACTGGACCCACGGCTCCTCGATCGACACCCTTGCCCGCCGCACGCCCGCCGAAGACCGGCCGCCCACGGCACGCACCCTCCCCGGCGACCTCGTGCACCAGCCACCGGGCGCTCCCGGAGGCTCGGACCAGGTGCTCGTCGCGGAGGGGATCCGCGTCGACGTCTTCCGCGCGCTCTGGGAGGGCGCGCTCGTCCTGCCCGCGGCGGAGGGGGCGCGGCGGCGGTGGGGCGCGCTCGAGGTCCGCGCGGTGTGGTGCGACCGCTCGACGTGGGAGATCGTGCACGCGGCGTGGGCGGTCCGGGGGCTGGCCACGGAACCCCCGGTTGCGGCGGGGCGCCGGAGAGTGGGGACGGTGCGCATCCGCGGGGCGAACCACTTTGTGAGTGTTTGCCACCGCTGTGCTTTCGCAGCAAGGTTGGAGGCTTCGGCTACGGCTTCGGCTTGTGCACGCACGCTGTCGGGACTCGGGTCTTTCGTGGTCGCTCCTTTTCGGCGCTCGTCGAGGGGCAGCGACCATGAGCATGCTGCACCCGAGGCTGCGATACGTCTTCTTCTCCGCCGGTCGCCTGCGACGGCGGACAGGACTCGTTCGGCCACGGACCGGATATCATGCTCGTCGGTGATGTTCATTGTCAGATGCTGGCACGGTAGGCTTTCTGCTGAGTGTGCGCGTTGATGTGGCCACGGTGCATACGTACGGGCGCTCGTCGGACTGCTCGTTGCCATTCTGAAGTGGAGCGGCGGGTGGACGAAGTGGGCAGATGCACAGCCGGGTTACGTTCTCCGAACACTTATCAGGACGATGGACACGGTTGACGTGCATTGTCCGGCAAGGTTCGGGTGGCCGAACACGCGGGCGGGACGCTCACATTCTCATGCCGCACAGGCGCACTGGGACTTTCCGGCAGACACGCTGCGGGCTTTCTTGATTGCGCCAGCGGCCGTGGAGGGCGAGGAGGTGGAGATTGTTGCGAGAGAGTAGGAAAGTGGAACTAGGTGAGAGCGTAGCGCGTCGATTGCAGCCGCTGGAAGGGAGTAGTCATCCGAAACATCGGAGAGCTCGGCGGACGGAGTGCAGGGCGGCGTCGGGTCGCTTGCTAGGCCCGCTCGCTCTTTGTACCTGAGCCGTGTCTTCATTCTCCTACGTCATCCCCGCGAGTGCTCGCCGCGAGGGCGGCCAACCTCTGGGAGTTCCGTAATGACGTCATGGCCACCCCCGACACTCTCTTCCGCGGTGCGAACCATACCAAGCCTGGCTTAGCAACACGCGCGACAAATCATCGCTGTGAGCACGAGCCTGCACAACTGCACATATGGCCACGCCTGCCCAGGCGGAAACGGGATGTGCGTCCGCACTTCCTCGGCGGCCGGGCGCGTGCTGGTGGCTCTATGACAGCGGGCCGATGATCCGTTCCATGTCGCGTGCGGCGCATGCCCCATGGGGAGAACAGGCGGCGGGGCGAGATGCGAGCGCGGTAAAATGCGGGGCTGAGGCGGGGCTCGCATCAAACGCGACCGTCGGGTAGGAAAGAGGGCGGGGTGGGGGTGGACGTGAAATCTTTTTTCGTTCACATGCGCGCAGTCGCTGCTCGTCCGCCCGAGGCGCAAGACGCGGCTTAGCCGGGGAGGTTCGTTCAGATGACCGTCGGGGCTGCCAGGTACGATCTGCTGGAGGAGGAGGAGGAGGAGGCCGGCGATCGATCAGCCTGTGCGTGTTTGGCGAGCGACGGACGCGTCTGATCCTCCCCGCGTCGGGGCAGCGCGAGGGCGCGCCAAGGGGGCGGGAGGTGCAAGGGTCGCAGACGACTCGAGAGCGTTGGGGGCGAGAGTGCGCGCAGGGCATGGGCTCTCGACAGCGCAGGCAGTCCGGACGGCGTCGACGGTCGGGGTGTCGCGCGAGCACGGAGCGTATATTCGTCTCCCGCAACGGTGGCGCCTGTCATGCACGAAACGCTCCCGAGTCCCACCCGCGCCTGCGCATGTGCCGCACGGTGCGCCGGCTGGGCAGCCTGCAGGCGCCTGATATTCGCACCCCAGATCAAGAGGCATGCATTTGGGCGCGCGTGCCGGCTCGCACGGGGCCGGTACGGCGGAAGGGCGGCTCGAACGCGGGGCAGAGCGCGGGGCACGGAGAGGACGGCGGAATGGACGGCGAGCGAGACGGGCTCGGTGGGCGACGGCGGGGGCGTTGGGGGCGTCGAGTAGCCGGCGGGGCGGGCGTCTGTGTGGAGAAGCTGGAGGCGCGATCAGTGGCTGTCGGTGTGCCGAAACGGGCAGCGTGTGTGGTTCGCGAGGACGGCTGAGGACGGGTGGAGCTCGCTCGCGTTCTGATCTGCCATAACAAACGGGGCGGCTTCGCGCAATCATATAAATGGCCACCCCACCGTCAGCCACAGCCGTGCTCGCCAGAGTCCCCTCCTCTGCCCCCTCGACGTCCGCTCCCCTCCGCCATGTCCGACAAGGCGTCCATCCGGAAGCAGGAGTCCATCTCCGACCGCTCCGAGAAGGAGGTCAAGCACATTGACAACGCCGCTGCCAACGTCAAGCTTGCCAACCCCCTCGCCGGCCTCTCCCACGACCAGCTCATCGAGGATGCGACCCTCTTCGCAAAGGAGCACAACCTCGCCCATCTCTCCGAGCAGTTCCAGAAGGGCGCCCTCCTCGCTCAGGACCCGACTCTCTTCGAGTCTCTCCCCCAGCTCACCGAGGAGGACAGGGTGATTCTCCGCAAGGAGCTCACCAACCGGTGGCATCAGCCGCTCCAGCTCTATTGGCTCGTCTTCCTCTGCTCCATGTCTGCCGCCGTCCAGGGTGTACGTCCCTCCAATCTCTCTCCGCCGTTCATCCTTGATCTCATCCGTCTCGTTGACAGATGGACGAGGCGGTAATCAACGGCGCGAACCTCTTCTTCCCTCGGGAAATCGGCATCCCCCAGGACTCGAGCACGAACGAGTGGCTGCTCGGTCTCGTGAACGGCGCCCCCTACGTACGTCTTCCCACCCTTTGCCGACCGCGTCCGACGCTGACAAATCCGCGACCAGCTCTGCTGCGGTCTTATCGGCTGCTGGGTGTCCGCCCCGATGAACAAGCGCTTCGGACGGCGGGGCACGATCTTTATTTCCGCCTTTGTGTCCTTCATCACCTGCATCTGGCAGGGCCTCACCAACACCTGGTGGCACCTCTTCATCGCCCGTTTCTTCCTCGGCTTCGGCATCGGCCCCAAGTCTGCGACGGTACCCGTGTACGCCGCGGAATGCACCCCGCCCGCCATCCGTGGGGCGCTCGTTATGATGTGGTGCGTGCTCTCCTTTCCACCCTCCGCCCGATCCGAGCCTGAAACCGTCGCAGGCAAATGTGGACCGCGTTCGGCATCATGATCGGCACCGTCATGAGCTTGGCCTTCTACCACGTGCCCAGTCCCTCCAACATCAACGGCCTCAACTGGCGTCTCATGCTCGCCAGCGCCGGTGTCCCCGCCCTGTTCATCATGTCCCAGGTCTACTTCTGCCCCGAGTCTCCCCGTTGGCTCATGAACAATGGTCGCTACGAGGAAGCGTTTACCTCCCTCCGCCGCCTCCGTTACTCCGACATCCAGGCCGCCCGTGACCTGTACTACATCCACGTCCAGCTCGAGGCCGAAAAGGAGATCCAGCAAGGTCGCAACCTCTTCCGCGAGCTCTTCACCGTCCCTCGCAACCGCCGCGCCACCCTCGCCTCCACCATCGTCATGTTCATGCAGCAGTTCTGCGGTGTCAACGTCATCGCCTACTACTCCTCCAACATCTTCTCCCAGGCCAACTTCACCGACATCCAGGCCCTCATCGCCTCATGGGGCTTCGGCATGCTCAACTGGGTCTTCGCCATTCCGGCTGTGTACACGATCGACACCTTCGGTCGTCGCAACCTCCTCCTCGTCACCTTCCCGCTCATGTCCCTCTTCCTCCTCATGACCGGCTTCGCCTTCTGGATCCCCGAAGACTCCAAGGCACGCATCGCCGTCGTCGCTCTCGGCATCTACCTCTTCACCATGGCCTACTCCCCCGGCGAGGGTCCCGTGCCGTTCACCTACTCGGCCGAGGCCTTCCCCCTCTACGTCCGCGACGTCGGCATGTCCTACGCGACCTCCGTCCTCTGGTTCTTCAACTTCGTCGTCGCGATCACCTTCCCCCGCCTGCTCTCCGCCTTCCAGCCCCAGGGCGCGTTCGGGTGGTACGCGGGCTGGAACGCGATCGGCTTCGTGCTCATCCTCCTCTTCCTCCCCGAGACCAAGGCGCTCTCCCTCGAGGAGCTCGACCAGGTGTTCTCGGTCTCGACGCGCACGCACGCCGCCTACCAGCTCAAGGCGCTCCCGCACCACATCAAAAAGCACGTCTTCCGCATGAAGGTCAAGCCCCTCCCGCCGCTGTACGAGCACGAGGGCATGATCGGCGAGAAGACGTACGCGCCCGCCGGCGCGGGCCACTGAGCCTCTCTGCGCCCGTCGGCGCCGCGTGGCGGGGGTTGCGGGCGGGGACGCGGTGCGCTTGTTGTATGACTGGAGTGTCCGATGGTGTCCCCCCCGCTGTCTCTCATGCTCATGATATTGCTACGATCTGCGATGTTTCGTCACGATTCGCTGTACCTTCCTGTATTCCTAGCGGTTTCTTTGCCAACACGTCCTGCTTTCTGGAAACCCAGACCTTTCGTGGTGTGCTTCGGTGGAGCGGAAGTCCGCTTGCCGGGTGTAGTATGTGCTGGCGCCTTGGAGCTTCTTCGTCCGAGTGCTTGGCAAGAGAAGGCTCATGGGATCGTGCGATGGGGACTGTAACTGGTAAATTGTCCGGACTCCGGAAGAACCGGAGCTACGGACGCAGTCGTGGTTGCAGGCTAGTCGCGCGACTATTTCACCCGTAAACTCTAGATTACGGGCAGCCAAGGCACCCAAGGCCGTTTCGAAAGGTCATCGGGGCATGCATACGTCAAGGGTGAGAACGATGATCGCATTCGGCGACGGCAGACGATGGATCACGCACGAGGTGCGCGGACACGGCCGTCGGGTTTTGTAGTGTACTTGGTAGCGACTCGAGACGTACTACATAGTACGCGGGAGATCGCGGGGCGCGCCCTTCGAACTGGGTGTTGTCCGGCCAGCGGACTGACCGCGAACCGTCCAGGTCGGTCTTGATGGGCCGTGCCCCGGCCGTCGTAGTGCCCCGCGGCGATCTCCGCCGGGGGTCCAAAAAGAGGCGCAACAAGAGAATGTCGAAGTAGCGCCGGAGGGGGCCGAGGGCCTGGTGACGGCGGGTCGAGGAAGAATTCGGGAGAGGGAGCTGGTGCACGGGCGGGGTCTCCGAGGGACGGAGGTAGGTGAGATAGCATGTGTGGGAGTCCGTGTGCCGGAAGAGCCTGTTGGAAGGATTGCGTGAATGCGTTGTAGCCATACGTACCGGCTGAAAGAGGATCCCGCCACTCGGGGTTTGGTTGCTGGATAGAGAAGTCGAGGTAGAAGCGAGTCGATCTATCCATATCAACGTAGAGAGCTAGAGCGGGCACCTCTTGCTTGGTTCGAACGTTGGTTGAACAAAAGGGAGGGGGGTGAAGGCCTCCTCAAAAGCTTGAGCACTTGCGGCTGAGGGTCCCAGGTTGAATAAACCTGCAAAGAAAAGCGGGTCAAGGAGGCGTATGGGTAATGGCAAAGCGAAAAAGCTAAAACACCTCCGTACGCATATTGAATGACCACTGCAAGATTCTTTCCCTTTGGTTCAGAGACTGATCTCGGATACAATGGTGCAGTGGGTCTTGAGCAGAGATGGTGTCATGTTTCGGTACAAGCATCGAGTATGGTTCCCAGAGAGCGGCGATATCTGGCCGTTCAGCAGATCCACAATATCAAATCTGAGAACATGGCAATATCGCACCGACTGATGCACCACGAAGTTGAACGGGACTCCCCTTGGGAGTATTGATTCGCTCTCGGACTCCGTCAAAAGTAGCCTGTCATTCCTGCACATCGCCGGTTAGTACGCCAGTGCGAGGATTGGGGCGAGAATGACGGCTCAGCGCTCAGAGCCCAACGCTCAGTGCTCAGTGCTCAGTGTCGGCATACAATGGAGATGAACGTGGGACGAAAGAGACGACTCTCTGCGACGCACTACGGGAGGCGGTGGAATAGGCGCCCGAAGGCCGCTGGGGAAGTGGAGGAAGAGGACGATCCTGGACGCATACAACGACCTGCTTTCTTCGCTCTCGATGCTGCTTGTCTAGATTTCGCTCGCTTTTTCCTCCAACGCTTGTACGACTAGACTCCACACCCTCCTGCGTCATTGTGATACCACGCATAACCGGAGATTGAGTACACGAGTCCGCAGGCAGTAAACCTTGAGGTATGTCCCGCGAGCTCATGCTTCTCTCAATGTGCACTAAGCGACTGCCCTGCAATCCCCACTTTCTTCTTCATCTGATTCTTTGCGCTTGTCACTGTTCTTACACTACCCAAATATGTCCACAAAACACTCAGTAAAACCCGCGCGCCGGAGGACACAACACAGACAGTACTACAGCGATTCCGGCCTCTCGACCTTGAGGATGGCTCAGACTACGGTTCTCCAGTATGAAGCACCCTGTAAGTCCGTTTCTCTGCGCAAATCTCTCACTTGTGGTCGCTTGTACCCTCGGTGACTCTGTTCTTGCTACCCATCTCTTTGCCCGTCCCCCATACCTCTTTCCAAAGACCAATCTGTCTATATCCTCATATCATTACTCTCCTCAGGGCCCGTGTACGCACTCGACTGGTGCAAATCCGCCCCGCCCGGACAGCAAGTGCGCACCCGCTCCTCCTTCCGGCTCGGCATCGCCTCGCTCACGTCGGACTACCGGAATCGGATCGCGATCGTCGGCCTGCAAGACGAGCGGGTGCTGGTGGAGGACGACGACTACGCGGACTACCCCGACTTCGCGACGCTCGTCGAGGCCCAGCACGGATACCCGGCGAGCCGCCTGCAGTGGCAGCCGAGCACCTCGAACTCGTTCGCGTGGAGCCAGAAGGCGGTCAACGCGGAGCTGCTCGCGACGACGGGGGACGCGCTGCGCGTGTGGGAGTACGCGAGCGACGCGCCGCCCGCGGGCGGGACGGGCTACGTCGGACGGCAGGGGAGCGGGAGCAACCATCGGCTGACCCTGAAGACGGCGCTGTCTGGGGTGAGTCTCTTCTTTCGGGGCGTGGGCTTCTGCGAGTTGTGTGGGCGTTGTGGATGGGTCCAGTTGCTGGGGCGTATTGCATGGAAGGTGTTTTCCTCGTGCGTACACTACATCGCTTGTCGATGGTTATCTTGGCGCGATTGCGCCGAGGTCCCATAACGATGGTGGATTCGTGCGTTTGGAGATTCCCTTCCATGCTATGCCTCTGGCCTATTTGTTTGCAGGACATTTGTATGGCGTGCTGCCTAGTATGCAGCATGCCGTACAATGTCACTCAGTGGAATCAAGCATCTTCCCTTGCCGTGTCCTACGACATGAAAACGCGGTTGTACTTGTAGAGCACACATTGGTGTGGGGGATCGTGACGGGGATCGTGATGCATCCGAGGGACCATGTCCCGCAAGCGAGGGGAAAGTGCTTCGTACAGCTTCGTGGCTACTCTTCGCGCATTTGCAACAGCGGGTCACAACCTCTTCTCGTCGTATGGGAAGCGATGGAGCCGCGATGCCTCCTTGTTTGCCGAGACCTCATGATCATGACATTGGCTGGTTTTTGGACATCCGGTCTGGGTTCGAGTGACTGCGTGCTTCATTGTGGCATTGTGCGGTTGAGGTCCCACGTGGAACACTCGAATCCATCATGGGCGAACGCCATTTTTCTCCGAGCTGGATGGGAAGTTTGGCAGATCTTCGCATGTCGAAGTCTATACTGATCAGATCCTTTCTCGATTTAACCTTTATCTTCTTCGAAGACCGTTCGCTGACAAGCACCGCATTGCAGCAAAGCAAAGTACAGAACAACAACACCGGCGCCCCGCTCACCTCTTTCTCGTGGAATGAAAAGTCACCAAGTCTAGTCGTCACCTCCTCGATCGACACAACGTGCACGGTCTGGAACATCGATACCTCGACTGCGATCACCCAGCTCATCGCGCATGACCGAGAAGTGTACGATGTCGCGTGGCTGCCCGGATCGACGGACATCTTTGTGTCCGTCGGCGCCGACGGCTCACTCCGCGCGTTCGATTTGCGTTCGCTGGAGCACTCCACGATCCTCTACGAGACCCCGGCACCGAAGAACATGCCAGCGCCGACGGCGTCCCCGTCGAGCAGCGCTCGGCCGCCGACGTCACCTCTGCTCAGGATCGCCTTCAACCCGGCGGACTCAAACTACATGTCGACGTTCCACATGGACGGGAGCGACATCCAAATTCTGGACATGCGGAGTCCAGGACAGCCAGTGATGGAGCTTCGGTCTCACAAGGCGCAGGTGAACGCGCTCGCGTGGAGCTCGTCCGACTCTCAGTTGCTCGGGACCGTCGGTGCGTGGGGAACTCACCGTTGTGTTCTACTTTGCGAGCTCACGTTCGGGGCCACGGGACAGGCGACGACTGCCAACTCCTCCTCTGGGACCTCGCGCCCCACACGGCGGCGTCGGCGGCATCTCCACGGCCGACGGGGACGGGTCTGTCGTCGCCGCGGCCGGACGCGAAGAAGCGGGTGGTGCAGGACCCGGTGATGGCGTACACGGGCGCGAGCGAGATTGCGAACCTGGCGTGGTCGCCGCCGATCGCTGGGATGAGCACCGCGTCGGGGCACTCGGCGGGCCCTGGGGAGTGGATCGCGATCGCGATGGGCAAGTCGATCAAGGCGTTGAAGGTGTAACAGATGGACGGGTCGCAAGGGGTGAAGGTGGAGACTGGTGGAGAGCAGCATCGTCATACAGACAGAGGACGGAACGGGGAGAGAGGACGACTGAGGTGCGCCTGTGTAAGATACCAATTCTCGCATACCGATTCGGACCCGCGACGGAGGACGAAGGTCGTGCTACGCGACTGAGTGGTGGTGAGCAGGTGAAACGTGAGGCCGCGGTCATGTGCGCCGACGGAGAATCAGGGACGGAGTGGCTTGGCACACGATGGATGGATGATGGGCTGGAAGAGAGCAAGCAAGCGGACACTCGTACATAGGCCCTGGAGCACCGCCGCGACGCTCACGAGGCGACGACGAGAGTTGGGACGACGGCGCCCAGCGGTTGCTTATCGCGCCTGCGCCCGCAAGGACTGTACGGTCTCGCGCTGCCTGGGTAGGTTCAGACGTGCACCGTCCGGACGCTGGCGCGATAGCGTTCCGCGTGTGGCAAATGCAAACGAATGGCGGTTGAAACAGGACGGCGACAGAGAGTGGCTGGTGGTTGCGCCCATGCTTTATCACCATCGCGCGGCCATGCTGGAGGTGTCTTTGATTCTGGGACGTGTTGTGTGGTATCATCCCGCCCTGCACCATCAGCGGACGGATACGCGGTCGGTGATACGGCTGAACTGACAGGAAGAGAACGGCACATCCGGACAGTCGGTCTCGGGGCAAGAGAGAGCGCTGCTGCGTCGCATTTCTGCGACGCCGACGGGGACGAGACGCGAGCGGAGACGCGGTGGCGGGTTGCGGGCAGTTGCGGGCGGTCGGCGACCGGGGATTTTGCCTGCTCATGTGTGTACTGAACGCCACGGACGTCGCTCGCGTGGCCCAGGCAGGCTTATCGGAGGCTGGCAGGCACCGGGCTGAAGATTGATGATGGACCGCGTGGGCCGTGCGCGATGGGCCGCTCGTCCACCCCGTATATCTGCCCGCCCTCGCTTCTTCCCGTCCTCGCTGCCCGCACCCCTCGTGTGCCGCACCTCCCCGCCGCCACCGGCCCCGCCGTCGACGCCCCGCCCCCCGCGCCCTCTCTCGTCCCCGCAGAGACGCACCGGCTCGCGCGATGAACTCCTCCGAGATCACGACGGCGACCCCCGCCCCGGACGCTGCCCTCCAGCGCACGCAGTCCTCCCGCTCCTCCGGCGCGGACTCCATCCGCAAGGAGCCCGTCACCGCCGCCGCCGACCCGACCGACGTCGAGAAGGCGGCCCCGCCCGCCCCGGTCGACGAGGACGTCTCGGGCCTCACCAAGCTCACGCGCAAGTACCGCGCCGTCGTCCTCGCCGCGCTCGCCGCGCTCATCCTCGGCTGGTGGATCTCGGCCACCGTGCTCCAGGCGACGCGCCATCGGTGGATCGTGCAGTCCTTCTGGGCGTGGTTCTTCCTCATGTGCGTCCTTGTTTTTTCTTCGCGGCGGTTTCGATCGACTGGTCGTGTGCGTGCCCGATCGTCGAGATGCCGCCCGATCGAGGGGCCGTGTGCCTTCCCGCGGCCCATGCGCCTCGCCACTCCTCCCATCGCTCTCCCAGTCCACTGACGATGTTGGTTCCAGCGTGATTGCCTTCCGGTTCATCCCCACCTCGATTGTGACGAAGCCAGTCGAGGCCGTCTGGGTCCCCGCAGTCCAGACCCCGTTCTTCAAACTGCCGTACATGGTCCGCCTCGGCATGGGCTGGCTCGCGCTGCTCGGCATCATCTTTGGCTCCGCCTTCGGCTTCCCCCTCACCGGTGTGCGTTTCGGTTTTGCTCTTCTTCCAAGTGTCAGATGCTCACCCATCGCCCCGTGCAGAACACTGGCTACGGTGACCGTGCGATCTCCGTCCTCGGTCTCTTCGTCTACCAGTTCGGCTTCTGGGCGACCTCGAAGCACCGCTCCCACATTCCCTGGTATGTCTTTCTCACCTCTGTCCTCCAAGCGCGGGTATAACACCGTGCACAGGCCCACTGTCATCGTCGGCCTCTTCGCGCAGCAGGCGATCGCGATGTTCGTCCTCAAGTCCGGCGCGGGCTTCTCGATATTCAAATGGATCGCCTTCCTTGCCTCCGACTTCCTTGATCAGGCACTCCAGGGCGCTGCGTTCTTCTTCGACCAGGAGACAGTGGGCAAGCACTGGTTCTTCGTCAACACGCTGTCGTCCATCATCTTCTTCATCGCCTTCGTCCAGATGTTCTACTACCTCGGCGTCATGCAGTGGCTCATCAAGGGCTTCGCTTGGTTCTTCTTCAAGATCATGAACGTCTCTGGCGCGGAGGCCGTCGTCGCCGCCGCGTCCCCCTTCATCGGCCAGGGCGAGTCTGCCTGTCTCGTCAAGCCCTACGTCGACTACATGACCGAGTCCGAGCTCCATCTCACCATGACCTCCGGCTTCTCCACCATCGCCGGCTCCGTCCTCGCCGCCTACATCGGCTTGGGCGTCCCCCCGCAGAACCTCGTTACCGCCTCCGTCATGTCCATCCCGGCCTCGATCTCGATCTCGAAGCTCCGCTGCCCCGAGATGGACGAGCCCGTCACCCGCGGGAGGGTCACCGTCGACCGTGGGGTCGAGAAGGACGCGCCTGCGAACGCCCTCCACGCCTTCTCCAAGGGCGCCCTCTTCGGGCTGATCGTCGCCGGCCAGATCCTCACCAACGTCCTCACCGTCGTCTCCCTCGTCGCGACCATCAACGGCCTCCTCACCTACATCGGCAAGGGCTTCGGCATCCACGCCCTCACCCTCCAGCTCATCCTCCGCTACGTCTTCTACCCCGTCACCTTCTTCATGGGCGTGCCCCGCGCCGAGATCCTCCGCGTCGCGGAGCTGCTCGCGACCAAGCTCGTCGCGAACGAGTTCGTCGCCTACACCGCCCTCAAGGAGATCTCCGCGTCCGACAGCCCGCTCTCGCCGCGCGCGTACACGATCGCGTCCTACGCCCTCTGCGGCTTCGCCAACCTCGGCTCGCTCGGCATCCAGATCGGCGTCCTCTCCGCCCTCGCGCCCTCCCGCGCGAAGATCATCGCCCGCATCGCCGGCTCCGCCATGATCTGCGGCTTCATCTCCACCCTCCAGGCCGCCGGCATCGCGGGCATGCTCGTCTGAGCTCCCCGCGCCCGCGCGTCGCGTCGCGGTCTGAAGAGAGCGAGGAGACGGAGACGCGCGGGAAGCGATACCCCCGCGCGCTGTACTTGTACGAGCCGCTCCGGCGCGAGCGGAATTTTTAAAGTATCGCGGGCCCCTGCTGACCGCGGGGTCCCGCGCACGCGCGGCGTTGCGCGTCGTCCTACTTTAGTATTAATTGGGCGACCCGTCGACGATGTCCTTTATGATAAGTACGCCATGTAGGGTGGATTGTGGTTGTGGTTCCGGTAGACACGTCCGGCTGAAATGCTAATCGACCGCTTTCTGCACTCGGTGCTGTGTGTGCTGTTGTGTGGATACGCGGAGTAGTTAATCATGACTTCGCGTGCAAAGGCCCCCGCTGCGGAAGTCTGAAGCCCCGCGAGGCCGCACTCCAGTTGCATGTTTGCTGTTGTTATGTGCTGCTGCCTCTTCGGACCCCTTCTGTAATACGTCTTGAGACTCGCCTCTCGGTTATGCGTACTACGCCTACCGTAGGGCTCGGCCCTCAAGGGCAATAAACAGGGATCCCAAAAATGACAGTTATGGCCCCTCAGTGTCTCGTTCCGTGGATCTTGTCGCGCTCAATGATGCTCTGCCATGAAAAGTCGTTCGCGAGTTGCTATGTGTGCCGGCATAAAATGTACAGCTATTATACTTAAGGAGGCCCCTGGGAGGTATACTACCATCCATATTAAGTATGCAGTGCTTGCCCGGAAATTCCTGAGCAGTGAATCAACGCGGGTTACTACCGTGGAGAGACTTGTTCGTGTGCCTTCATGGGGCCAAGGCTGTGGGATTCTGCGCATGCCGGCCTCCGCCTAGCCAGTCCCCAGGTGGTGAGACAATCGCAATTGGAACACACTGGACGGGACGAGCGCTCACCGAAGACGGTATCGATCTGGGAGTGGATGTCGAGCGCGGCGGAACGAGAGCTGGGGACGGTGCCGCTGGCGTGGTGCGCGCCGAAGAAGGCGTGCGGGCCGGCGGTCTGCTTGAGGCGCGCGATGTCGGCGTGGATGATGGCGCGGCAGAAGAAGTCGAGGTCGAGGTCGTTCTCGTCGTAGCCGAAGGGCTGCTCGATCTCTTCGCCGGCGGCGAGGAAGCCGAGGTAGGTGAAGGCGGCGAAGCCGACGCCCGGGATGGCGTACCACTTGAAGAGGTCGACGAGCTGGAAGGGGAGGAAGAAGAGGTAGATCCAGACGGTGCTGCGTGGGTGAGGACGGCGATGTCAGTGGGCGCCTCGACGGAGTCGGGAGGGGTACGCACTGCCGGATGTGAACGGAGTAGACGCTGCGAATGTTCAGTTAGCTACGTCGCGAGGGCGAGACAAGGGCTCTGACGCACAAGGGTAACGGGGTGGTTAAGATCCGCTCCAATGTCGACAGGCTGTCCTCCATGGAGGCCAGGCAGCCGAACATACCGCCAAGGGCGTTGCCCGGGACGCACCCCCGCTCGTCCAGTATCGATAACCAGATGCTCAGCGCGCGCACGATCTCGAGCGGTACGCTCGCCCCGCCTCCCGCGACACGCGGACGGTGCTTCGCGTGCGTGAACCCGAGCCGCGCGGACGCGGACGAAATGTGCGCGCGGAGCGCACCAGTGTGCGGGTGCGCGGACGCGGGGCTGGCGACGTCGTCGGTGCGCCAGACACGCTGGATCCTGCCCACAGCGTCCCGGTGGACGCCTGGGTGGTGATGGTGCGCGTGGTCCATGATGTCCGCCCCTGCGCGCTCGGGTGAGACCTCGACCTCGACCTCTACCTCGGCATCGAGCCCGGCTGCGTCTTCGATGTCGCGACCTTGAGCGTCGCGAACGTTCTTGCGTTTCAGTCCGAGGAGGCGCCCGACGGAGCGGAAGACGCTCCCAAAGGGCACAAGGTCGGCGGAGACGCTGCTGAGCATGCCTTCATCCGCGCTCGAAGCACGGATTGCCCCAGGGAGGAGCGGGCGTCGGTCCGAGGAATTTGTGGAGACCGAGTTGAGGGACGTGTGGGAGGCGGTGTGGTGGAGGGGCGGGCCGGCGAAAGTCCCGTAGGAGTTGATCGCGGGGATGGTGGGGTCGTGTGACGGCGGCCGTTCGGTTGGGGATGCGGCCAGGGCGGAGGAGGTGGTAGGGAGGAGAGCGTGGGTGGATAACGCGAAAGGCGGTATCTCGGGATGAAGGTCACGGGGAGAAGACATGATCGATTCAGCCTCGATCTCAATGGCGGGCTGGGGAGGTGCTGCATCTGGGTGTCTGTGGTGCGGGTGCTAGAACGAGCGTCAGACATGGTATGTGGAAGTTGCTGTGTGGGGTCTTGCCTCGTGCAGTGGCTTCACGAGATGGTATAAATCTTGATAGTAGATGCCCGTCTCTCCACGAAGGTGGTGCTTTACCGCAATCGAGTACCTGTGGGCCATGGTTCAGTCCATGTAATTTGGATCGCAGTGTGTGAAAATGTACGCTTCAATGAGATCCAGCGCGGCGCGTTTTTCCGCCATCACTCGTCGCACGACTGCGATGTCGACCTCCCCGGCATTACCGTTTGCGTCGTATGTGGTGGGTTGGACGCGGAGAGGGACATGTAGCCACGCCAGACGGCTGAATACGCGTGAGACACGCGCGATGTCTGACCATGCTGTGCGCCCTTGGTAGTAGCGATCGTAACTGAGAAAAAATGGTCAGGGCTATTTGGCAACAATAAATCAAGACTGAACTGACCCTGAGCTCGCACGGTATGATATTACGAAACCGATGACGACACCTGTAGACGCAAGACATATCAGGCCCACCTCATGAGGATGACGTAGAGAGAAGAAAGGGGAAGAGGTAATATCTGGTGGTCAAGGCTAGTGGATAACTTTTGTATGTCACCAACGCGGCCAAGAAGCGGCGCCTTTCCGATGAGTCGTACGCACCGAGCACTGTGAGCATAACATTGGGAATCCCCAGATTAAACCTGGTCCTCATCGAGATGGTAACAATGACTGCAAAAAGGTAGAAGGAGAGGCTCAATACCAGCGACATCGCTAGACCATGTGAGTGTCACCTGCTGCAAAGACGGTGTGAAGAAGCACCGCTGGCCAGATCCGCCAGATCTATGGCAAATTTCGTGAGCATTGGAGCACGAACACAGGGCTCGGCATCAAGTGCTTACCACCGTACCACGACCAAAGGTCCAGCTGAGGAGTGATTGACGAGTAACGACAGGCACCATAAGCTCCGTCTGGGACGCGTCAAAGGCGGGCAGCAGGGTGTGGTGCCCCGTGCCCGAGCGCGGGAGGCGCACCGAGGTTGACGAGGCTGCCACGCCGTTATTAAAACTGACAGGCATGATCATGTGTATCTGGCAGATATTAGTAAGGGAATGAAAGAGCGTGGAGGTCTGGAGGTGAAAGCAAGAAGCAACTGCCTCTGACGCGACTCGAACCGGGGCGTCCTCTGCCGACCTGGGCCAGCACCGCTTTCTTTCGCACGCATCGACGCGGGGTCCGAGGGCCGCTCGAGCCGGCGCCCATTAGACGCCAAGAGTTGACGCGCTAATTTAGGTCAAGCTTTCCTCTTGTTCGTCAACACCTTCAAGATTCATCCGAACGCTTCAGGCCAACAGCCTTCGTCCAGCATGCCCGCCACTGGTCAAACGTCTGGACTCTGGCAGAGGCCAGGATTAAAGTGCATGGGATAGTCATGTGAATCACCCCTCCTCTGCGGCCATATTTCGGTAGCATACCCTCGCCAAATGGTCCGTGCCTTCAACATCTACGGAGACGAACATCCATCCGGAGTCCATATAGATAGGCTGCACTGGCCCCTCGTTTCTGACGCTCCCCTTCCAGACGGCTTCGGGCAATGGTCTCTCTGTCCTCCGAGCAACGCGACCATTTCCTCCAGCACGGGTGGGTCAAGATCCCCAAGGCCGTGAAGGAGGAGTACCTCAAGGCCTTCACGGACAATGTCTGGGTAAGACTGGGATACGATCCGGATGATAAGACGAGTTGGACGAAGGAGAAGGTGCGCGGCCTTATTCCGTTCTCCGTGCCAATCCCATCGAGATTGGGGGTCGCTCTCGTAGATCCACATGCCACGGCATCGCGAGGTGCCCACCAAGGAGTTCATGCCGGCCGCATGGGACGCGATGTGCAAGTCATGTTCATTCGTACCTCTCGAGAAATGGAATAGTAGGGTTTACATGGTCGGCCGAAGCATGTTAATCCTTTGTGATTCCTTCGTGGTGTACTCACGTTTGCGCAGAAGGTGATCTTGCCAAAAGATCTTGGAAACTGGCACATGTACGCCGCCTCGTCGCGTGTTTTTGAGCTCACCCCCCTGATCACCCCCTAGAGACGGAGATTGGTGTGTACCATTGTTTTGGTCTAGTCCCCCTGCGATTTAACAGGGACGTAGGTTCACGCACTTCCTTGACTCAGGAGAGCAAGGCTTGACGATGATCGTGCTCTTCAACAATATTATGCCCAGGGGCGGCGGGACGTATGTTTCCCCGGACGGCATCGCCAACGTAGTGCAGTGGGGCGTCCAGTCCCTCCCTATCTCGTCGCCACGTGTCGATCTGATTTTGCTCCCACAGGTTGTACGATCACCCCGAAGGTGCTTCCGAGATGCCTCAAGATCCAGACGGAAGCAGATCCATTTGCTCGGTGCAGACGTGCAAGGAGTTCGTCGAGGTGAGAACGAATGGCGATCGTCAGGTCCGCTGCTTATCTGCTATGCTCTAGCTCACTGGAGAAGCAGGAGACGTGATCCTCCTCCATCCTTTCATGGTGCGAATCTTGGTGATATCTTTAGTGGATTTCTGTCTTTAGTTATTCCTCTCAGCCGCATTCTGCTTCCAAGAACCATCTACGCCTGCCAAGGTTCATAACGAACCCGCCCGTCACCCTCAAGGAACCTCTGAACCTCAACCGTCCCAACGCTGAGGATTATGTGAGTTGCCTATCGTTCCCCTTCGATTGTCTTGTGGTCTAACAGGTACCCCTGACATCGCAGTCTCTCGTCGAGCTCAAGATCCTGCGCACCCTCGGTGTGGACGCACTACCCGACTGGCACATCGCGGGCCCACGCCGGAGGTTCACGCCGAAGACACGGGCAGGGAAAGACGCGATGATCATGGAGGAGGTCAAGAGGATGAAAGCGTATGCGTCCAAAACTGGAGGCGTGGTGGACAGCATGCACATCAATGGACCCGTACCGTACCAGGTGATAATCGCGCGAGGGTGGGCTCTCTATCGTGTGCCATCGTCGCACAGGCTGCTGACGACATACCCGCAGATGAAGACGAGGAGGTGGATCGACGCCTGGCCTCGGTGTGTGGATTTTTTAATGAACGATGTGGCATCGATTCTGCGGCAATATCAGTTCTGGCGCGTGTGCACTGTTCTCGACTGGAGGCCTGGGCACCGTGGTCCTCGCAAGATTCAGGAGGCCGCCAATTTGTACAGACACGATTCGCATCCGTATGCCCATCTAGTCCGTGCAGGCTGATAGGAGAACTCGATCGCTCGGGCTCGGAGCCACTAGGTTCGCCTCGGTGGACGTTCGCGCCAGACGTCGAGCGTGCTGTCCGGTGTATCATCGACACTCTCCCTGGGCCCCTGGGTATATAGCCCGACGGCGGCGCGCTCTGCCCCTCGCCCCATCATCCGCCGTCCCACCATGTCCTCTCAGCAGACCCAGTTCAAAGGTTACGCGGTCATTGCAGGTGAGCGCGTCGTCTCCCCAGCCCACTCCACCGTTCCCATCCCGCCTGGGCAGACCCGAAGGATCTGAAGAAGCCTTGGACCAATTCCCAGGTCATCGACTACAAGCCCAAGGCCTTCGAGGCCGACGACGTCGAAATCGCCATCACCCACTGCGGCGTCTGCGGCTCCGACGTCCACACGCTCACTCAAGATCGGGGTGAGTCCAAGGTGCCCCTCGTCGTCGGCCACGAGATCGCGGGCCGGGTGACGCGCGTCGGGGACAACGCCAAAGACATCCAGATCGGTGACCTCGTCGGCGTGGGCGCCCAGCGCGCAAGCTGCCTCAAGTGCCGCGCCTGTCAGGACGGGTTCGAGAACTACTGCCTAGAGGCCATTGACACCTACGTGCGTCGCTGCGTTTGCTTGCTTTGACCCTCGCTCATCCGTGTGACGGCGCAGGGCGGGTACTCCACCGCCATTCGCGCCCATCAGCGCTTCGTCTTCCCCATCCCGAAGGAGATTGAGCCCCGCCATGCTGCCTCCATGATGTGTGCAGGTCTCACGGTATACTCTCCACTCAAGACCCACGGCTGTGCGCCTGGCAAGACGGTCGGGGTGATGGGGATCAGCGGTTTGGGGCACTACGCGGTCATGTTCGCGAAGGCGATGGGTGCCAAGGTCATCGCGTTCACCGATGACAAGTCCAAGCTCGATGAAATCAAGGAGATGCGCGCGGACGAAGTCATTAACACCAAAGATAACGTACGTCCTGCCGTCCCCGTATCCCTCACGCGCTGACTGCGCGACAGGAGTACTGGAAGGACTACCCGCAGGCGCTAGACATCCTCATTTCAACGCGAGATGTCCCCAGCGACAACACTCCTCTCGGCGACTTCCTTTCCATGCTCTACGTACACGGCTGCTTCATCACAGTAGGTATCCCTTACATCAAGGACCCGCTTCCACCTGTGCACGCGTTCAACCTCGTCCCAAACGGATGCTTCGTGGGCAGTAGCAAAATCGGCAGCAAGGAAGACTGCCTCGAGATGCTCGAGCTCGTGCGGTCGAAAGGCATCAAGCCGCGGATCGAGGAGCTGCCAATGAAGGACGCCGCGAACGCGTTGCAAAACTTGCGGGACAACAAGGTCCGGTACCGCCAGGTCCTTACACAAGACCTCCAGTGAGCTGTCGGTTCGTAACTTTCCATGCCGTGTCGCCACGCCGCATATTCACGTGCCCCTCGAACTGGTTGTTGGTGTACGATAAGTTGCACTCGGGCGAGTGCTGCGGACACGGACTCGAATGTTGTAGCGATAGCCTTTGTATTGTAGCAGGTTGAACGCACCTGTCGATCTGTTTCGAGTTCGTTCGTGAATGAGAATGGGGGTGACGGGCTGTCGAACAAGTTGGAGGAAGGAAAATCACAATACATAGCAGCGTGGCAGCACTGTGACTGCGGTGCAAATAGGGCGGCTTCACATCTCTGGTACGCCTCTATAGCCCATCTGTGCGGCAGTCGCACTGCTGTTTGGTGGCTTGACCCCGTAACCGCCCGGCCTAATACTTTGTGACGGCGCAGATTCCCTAGACTCGGTTTTCGTGGAGAGCTGAGGGAACGTCGACCGATCATCCGGGTTCTACAACACGAAAGTTAACATGGAGAGTCGGCGCCTTCGCAGAGAAGGATGCTCACGTAGGGCTTGAACGCGCTCGGGGGGCCCATCTCCCCCGCGGGAGTGCCACCATCGTCGTTCGCGACGGTCTCGGTGTGTGTCGTCTCTGCGCCTGTCACGGTGCTGTTCAGACTGAGAGACGACGGGTTGGGCTCGATTTCAAATTCCCCACGCGACGGGTACATCCCGCGTGCGCGCCGACGATGGCGGGCGAAACACGACATGCTTCTGGCGACTCTTGCGAGCGCGGCGAGACCGCCGCTGGAGGCGGCGGGCGTGGTGTCCTTACGCAAGGGTGTGGTCAGCGACCCGGAGTCGAGGGCGCTGGTGAGCTGTACAGTTGGAAAGGTGTTGTGTCAGCGTGAGGCTACTACTACTTCAGGTTCTGCACGCGAGCTCGGACGTGCCTCCATATCCTGAGAGCCTTCAGCTGAGGTGGCGGTCTTGTCAGCGTTCATCGTGGCGGAGTGGAGAGCCGGGGAGCGCTGTTGGGCGCGCTGGAGCGTAAGTAGTGGAGACGCCAAGTTCGTTTGAGCCTGCCTCGCATTGAGCGATGTCAATATATCAGTGTGTGCCCGTTATAAGGGCGGGCCCGGAAGTAATGGTATCCGCGCAGTGCTGATTAGCGTGGACGACAACCGTGACCACAAGCTCCACGATCACTTGGCATGCGTCTTTGCTCCCAGGGCCCGGGCGCTGGCCTTCCCGTGCGGTGCAAACGAGGTCGTGGAAGTTGACGTTGAGCTCCGATCAGCACGGAGAGGACGAAGTAAATGCGGCGACCGCATAGCGAGGCTTCTTAAAGCGATGCGTTCCTCGCGTGTGACGTTCAGCTGTGGCTCTCCCCGGGCCAGAGAGTCGAGACCTACTACTGTACTACGGTGGTGACATTCCCATTGGTCTTATTCGACCCCCGGGGGCGCGGCAGGTCGGAAAAGTCGAAAAGCATGGCTGCTATCAACGCGAGTCTTCCAGCCTGCCATTCTGTGTGTGGGAGAGAGATAATATAATTCAAGACAGGTTCGAGACAAGCAAGTTGAGTCGATGGGTGAGGTGACGCCAGGTGTCTCAATGCCTCGGTTGATTATATATACACCGTGCGATTGCTTACATAATTCTTGGCCTCAAGTCTCGACTGCGATTTCAGGAATTCGATTCACTTGCCGCTGTTCTCTCACCCGGAATTTCTTTTTTCCTTGTTCTGAACGCCCAAGTGCCGCGAGAGATCGTGCATGCAGTTTGCGGGTGCAGTGCCACATTTTCAGCTCAACCCGTCTTGGCAATGGCACACCGTCGCGGCATTCAGCGGAGCCTGACTCGAACCGCGACATAGACTCAAAAACCTTGCAGGAACACAGAATAACATACACGCAGACAGAACCTCGGCTGTCCGCCAACACTTGTCCTCGAAAAGTCCACATCTTTGGCGAACCCACCGTACTACACTACACTTACATGTTCCGCCGTTGTAAGGCCGGCCGCCTAGTAGACGAGGCCAGCGAGTCGCCCGGGCCCCCGGACCTCCTCGGACCTCGGGAACGTCACTGGGCCGTCTGAATTCTACCATATGGTTAGCACCAGACTCGTGCAGCCCCCCCCCCCCCCCCAACGGTAGCTGGGAGGGACCGCGGTACCGCTGGGGACGCGAGGTCGTGGCGCGTCGCGAGAGCAGGAGAATGAATTTGGAACGAGTAGCTATATATTGCGAGGTCGCGCATCATATGACTGAATGCCGATGAGCTTTATAAAGTCCGATCACAGTTATGCGACGACGTGGTTGAACAGGTAAAGTACACACGAAACATGTATGATACACAAAAACGCACGGGAGAGCGAGTGAGGATGCCAGTCCGTTCCACGAACCAAACTACATTTCTGGGATGCCCTTATAGCCCAACTGCCCACCCTGTGCACTACCCTGTAGTGTAGGCGATTGTGCCGAACCCGCGCGGGATGCCTGCGCATTCGGGAACGTCGACGGGTCGTTGGGATCCTGTAGAGCGCACTCAACACTCACTGTCACCACGACAAGAAGCAGGACACTCACGTATAGCTTGTTCGGGACCAACGGGTCCGAAAAGCGCTGCCCCTCAGCCGCGACGGGGCTCCCATGCGGCTGCGCGCCGGCTTGGGCAGCATGCCCGGTGGCCGCACTGCCGCCGTACATGCTCATCGGCGGCGGCGGCGGCGACGGCGGCGCGATGTCGAACTGCCCCTGCGACGGTCCAGGGTGCGTCTTGCGCCCGCGGCGGCGACGGAGAAGGAAGTACGTCGCGCCGCCGATGAGCGCGAGCGCGGCCACGCCGCCGACGACGCCACCGACGATCGCGCCGACGTTGGTTGTGGAGGATGTGGTGGAGGACTGGGCTTGGGTCGAGTCGGTAGGGTTGGACAGAGCGACAGAGGAGGCCGCGTTGACGTCGAAAGTACCTGTGACCTGTGCAGTTACAAGACATCGGCATGAGAATGCATCAGGTCCTGAGGAAGGACATACTGTCGGGTCAAGGAAGGCCCAGGAAGGGATGGCGGTGAGGCCAGGAATGCCCGGTGGGAAGCTGCACGTAGAACAACGTGTTTAGCCTAGTTTGCGGCACGAGTCACTGCTTCCAGACGTACGATCCGATCGTGGGGCCGGCGTCCGCTTTTCCGCACGCCGCGGTGTAAGTGAACCATCTGGGATCCACGCCAGACGTGTTATTAGCCCCGGAATTTACAAACACATGCGGGCAGATCGGCGCGTGGACCCGGAGGCGAGCACTCACGTTTGGACGCTGGCATCACGGCCTTGGCAAGTTGTGCAAGCCTGGATGATGTTGTACCACACCGAGTTGCAAAGACATTGGACGTAGCTGTCCTCAGTCGGGGGGCTGTAGGTCTCGTTTTCATAAAGCGGGAGAATCCATGAGTCTGCGAGGAGACTGGGGGTCAGAACCATGTGTGGCTGGGGTTGGATGATAGCGCATGTGGAAACGAAATGGAGCAGGTAATGAAGCAGGACACGTACCAGCGGGTAGATAGCACACGGAGAGCAGGAAGGAGGCAACGTAGCATGGGGATTGTGGCGGGGAGATGTGATTGTTCATCTGCACACTGGTTAAACGCACGGACGAAAGACGACGATCGCGGGCAACAAAAAAGACGCACCCAGTTGTAATCCGGTCCACATGTCGCGCTCGTGCCAGGCCCGTCGCCGAACGTGCCCTGTGCTCCCGCAGGGGATGACAGCCGGAGCGCAAGGAAAACGAGAGCGAGAACGGCTGGGGAGGCGATCCGGGGAGACATTGGGACGGGGGGAAAGACGGTCGCGACCCGAGGGGCGAAGGTGACTGGTGATATATTGATATCTGCCTGCCAGTGAACCTGTCAGGAGCCGCAGGGTGCGGGGTGTGAGGGTTGAATTGGCATTGTGGGGCGGGGTGGTGTCAAAGGACCGCAATTGCCTGTGCTTTCGCGCTGTCCGCGTCCGCGGCACATCCACGCCTCACTCCTCCTCCTGTTACCTCAATTCTGTCAGACGGTGCACCGTGGCGCTGTCGAATGCAAGCCAGAGCTGGGACAAGTGCGTGGGCACGTAGTACAGTCAACCCCTCATAGTGCATACCCCTGGGGAAGGCCCCCGAGGTATGCGTTATGTATGCGGTACAGTGGGAGAAGCGCTAGAAAGGCGCGGGTGTGCCTTTCTCGCGCGCCCGTTTGTGATCTGCTCTCGCCCCTACATAGCCTACGTACGAGTAAATTGATCAGTAATTCCGAGATGGATTTCCCAGCCTGAAGAGAGGCTTGAGGGGCCTCACCTGCTTCTCGAGGACAGCAAGGCAGGATTGGAGGAGGGCGAGAGTGGGTGTGATCAAGTCGTGCCCCGGCCAGTCCCGACGGTTATTCCAGGTTGTCTGTCGTCGGGCACGGGCGCATGGGAAAGTTATCCTGCGTTTGGGCGGCATGCAAGGCAGATGTAGGGCGCTAATACTGATTATATACACAGCGTTATGGACCCCTGGCCGAGGTATGCGTTGTGTCCCTGTACCAACTCGGGAAGAGGCCAAATGTATGCACTATGAGGGAGGAGACTGTACCCAGCTCGGTCGTCGTCCATCAGCTGCAAACCCGTAAAAGTGAGACAGGAGCCCGGAGTCTGAAAGGCACCCGTTGTCGATTCATCGCTGGCGCGCTCAGGCCAGATGTGCTTTGCGCCGTCTTTCAGTCACCCAAACACAAGCTTGCATGTCGCCGCCCTCAACTCAATAACGACGTCCACAACCAACATACTGTCATACAACCAAAACATACATCACAACGGCATCACTGACTCAAACCCACGTCGACAACGAGGACACACAACGCTCAGAGGCCACCGCGGAGACGAAGGACGAGATGCAAGGTAGACTCCTTCTGGATGTTGTAGTCCGAAAGGGTGCGACCGTCCTCGAGCTGCTTCCCGGCGAAAATGAGACGCTGCTGGTCAGGCGGAATGCCCTCCTTGTCCTGAATCTTGGCCTTCACGTTGTCAATCGTGTCCGAGGACTCGACCTCCAGCGTGATTGTCTTCCCTGTGAGCGTCTTGACAAAGATCTGCATGCCACCGCGGAGACGAAGAACGAGGTGGAGCGTCGACTCCTTCTGAATGTTGTAGTCCGAGAGCGTACGGCCGTCCTCAAGTTGCTTGCCCGCGAAGATGAGGCGCTGCTGGTCGGGAGGAATACCCTCCTTGTCCTGGATCTTCGCCTTGACGTTGTCGATCGTATCCGAGGACTCCACCTCGAGGGTGATCGTCTTCCCAGTCAAGGTCTTGACAAAGATCTGCATACCACCACGGAGGCGAAGGACTGCACAAGGATCGTTGAGGACAGGGCCATGCAGAAGGGGAAGGGAATACGACTCACCAAGGTGAAGGGTGGACTCCTTCTGGATGTTGTAGTCCGAGAGAGTGCGACCATCCTCGAGCTGCTTGCCCGCGAAGATGAGACGCTGCTGATCAGGGGGGATGCCCTCCTTGTCCTGGATCTTCGCCTTCACGTTATCGATGGTGTCGGACGACTCCACCTCGAGAGTGATGGTCTTGCCGGTGAGGGTCTTCACAAAGATCTGCATACCGCCACGAAGACGGAGGACTGCAAGAGGGGGTAAGGAAAAGGGGGAAAGCGAGATCCCTCCCGGACGTACCCAGGTGCAAGGTGGACTCCTTCTGAATGTTGTAGTCAGAGAGTGTGCGCCCGTCCTCGAGCTGCTTCCCGGCGAAGATAAGACGCTGCTGGTCGGGAGGGATGCTGAGGGAATCGTCGATAAGTGAAGCACTATGAGGAAGGCAACAAGGATACTCACCCCTCCTTGTCCTGGATCTTAGCCTTGACGTTGTCAATGGTGTCCGAGGACTCAACCTCGAGGGTGATGGTCTTGCCGGTGAGGGTCTTCACGAAGATCTGCATGCTGCAGGGCCCAGTGAGCAAGAGGGCTGGGTAAATGATACAAGGCGAGAACGTACATGGATGTAAGGGTCGTGGATGGGAAATGGATGAGAGTAGATGGTGGATGGAGAGAGAGGTGTGCGAGGCGCAGGCGTCTTATTATAAGCGCGGGGCTTCGGCCGCAGCCGAAGCCGTGACAACCCCACCCGCCCCTAATACTACGCAGCCTGGGCACCGTCAGCCACCATCCGTCTCCCTCTTAATTGTTCAGACGTCTAGATACGTTTCATGCCACAACCGGTTGGTGCGTGGAGGTCGAGGCCCGCCATAAACGTTAACATTCGCACTGTAGAAACTGACTACATTTATAGACAGTATATTCACTCCCGCTTGATGGGGCGGATAAGAAGCGGAAGCTGCGCACCCTCCTCTTTCGCGCCATTCAGCCCTGGGCGCTGGATGACGAGACCGACGGGAACAATGTCGTCCGCAGGGACGGCGAATTCGAACTCAAATGCGCGAATGAGAGTGAACACCAACGCCTTCATCCTGATCATCAGCATCGTAATCAGTATAACGATCCACAAAGACAACCCGCGATGAATACGCACTCGACAACGGAGAACCGGTACCCGATGCACGCATGTTGTCCCCCAAGGAATGTCATCAGATGGCCCCACACGCCCGGGATTGTCGACGCGGCCTCGGGTTCTTCCAGCCAGCGGTCAGGACTGTCATGAGCAGACGGTGAGCTTCCCATCCCCCTTCTGTGAAAATGAAGACTTACTTGAACTCGAAAGCGTCAGGCCCCCAGATCGCCTTCGACGTGTTCAGGGCGAGGATCGGAACCACGATAAGCTCGCCCTTCTTGACCGGAACCTCTGTCATTGTCTTCCCATTCAGATCCACGATAGGAGTCTGGAGTGGCAGCACATCGTCCTCCATAGCTGTGCGTCGACTCATCGTGACCGGCGCGTGCAAGCGTAGTGTCTCGCGCACGACACGATCGAGCAGCGGTAGCCCGTTGAGCTCCTCCATCGTGGGCATGTCCGTGGACATGGCGAGCAGCTCTTCGCGGAGTGCCGCCTGGATATGCGGGGCTTTGCAGAGAGCGTACAGGCACCAGGTTGTCGAGGTTGAGGTCGTTTCGTGACCGGCGATGAGGAACGTGGGCACCTCTGTAGAAAGCATAAGGTCAAAAAAAAACATGGACGGTGCGGACCACTCACGAGCCAATACTTCCTCGTCGGAGAGGCGCTGGTCCTCTGGTATGTCGGTGGCCATGTTCGCCTTGAAAAGGAGGGAAAGGAGGTCGCGACCTTGGACATCCCTCTTCTCTACGCCGCCGCTGTACTGAGATTTCTTCTTCTCGAGCATTTTTCTCCCGAGCTCCATCATTGTGTTTTGCGCATCAAACATTGCCTTGACGTTGCCGAATGGCTGTGTTGCTGCTGTTAGGCGTGCTACGCTGATAACTGAACGCAATATGACACTCACAACCCTCCTCACGATGCTGGTCAAGAGGTTCGAGGGGATGAAAAGACGCAACACCGCGAAGGCGTTCCCCTTAGGCGGTCTTGAGGTCACCTTCTTGAATGCACGACGGACCGGATCTTCGACAGCTGGATTCATGGCGTCGAATTCATAGTCGAAGCCTGCAGTGACCCGGCATGAGCAACTCGAAAATTTACGTCTTTTCTATCCCACCTGCGAGTCCAATGACATCGAGCGTCATCTTGCCCAGGCCGTCGATCGTCTCAATCCGGCGACTTCCATCGTCGGAGACTGGGACATTGGTCCAGTATTTGACCAGCTATGAGATCCTGTAAGCTTGACCTCGCATGAAAGCAAATCTAGATCCCTACGTTTGTGGACGACTCGAGGAAAATCTCCGTCAATTCCCGTACCTGAGTAGGTCCGAAAGCGGGATTCTAAAAAGGGCAGCAGATCAGCGCAATGGCATCGGGAATTAGGTACGTCTACCATACCATGATCCGCCGCTGTGTAGGATGTCAAATGATGAGATGGTACAAATAAAGCTCCTTAGCAAAGCTCGTACCTGCTGCCTGTGCTTGTGACCTGGTCATAATAAGATTTAGATAAGTCCGATAGAGGAAGATGCGCCAAAGCAATACCTTCCACGACAAGAAGGCCTACATAAATCAAGCTATAAGTAAACTGTGTGGCTCGCTTTATTCGACGACGTTCGTACCTTTGCCCAGCAAACTCGACAAGTTACTGCGAGCTTCTTCAGTCTTCCAGAATATCATATCATGAGTCAAGACGTGATGGATCAGTTTAGGGTCTAAGCTGAAGACTGCAGAGGCCTGCGATACAACTGAATCAGCGAGATGCTTTCACCTATGGCACGAAGATCTATCCACTTACGCTCAACCAGCTATTGATGCGGAACGTGGAGCCCCACTGGTCGGCCCAGGATAGATAGACATGTTGACGAGCAGCGTTGTTCAGGGTGCGCATGTTTCCGAAGAGCAGGCTTTCGGAAGGCGGGCCGCGAAGGCGGCCGACTGGTGTGAAGTAACGCCTGTGAACGACCTGGACGACTTTGATCGCAGCGATTACGAATATGCTGAGCAAGATGAGCGAGGTCTTGTCTGCCATCGTACGTAGAGTCGGTGAGAGCGGTGGCTAGTATCGTGTGGGTCTGTGGTGAAGTCAGCGGAGCAGAGATATGGCAGCGACAGGTGTCTCTCACTTGGCTCCTTATACTGGCGGACGCGGCGCCGCAGTGGTACGGATATGTGGAAGGCGGTGTCCGGCCGCGGTTCTTTTTGGGAGCGTGCACGGGAGCGGGTAATGGAGCACTGGGCGCCGCGGGTGCTTTCTTGAAGGCGGCGCCGCTGGCGAGGAGAGCGCCGAGAACGCAGAGCGCGGATAAGCATGGTTTGTGGTCCGGATACTGTTGAGGCCGAGCAGGACCGAGTACCAATTGGAGGGGCCAGCGACAACATCTGCCGGCAATGGGCATGTGAACGAGCTATTTGTGCCGTCGAGTGTATCGCGCGCCGGCTCGCAAGATGCCCGGGGGTCAGAACAATGTCCGACTCCTCCTGCTAGAACGCATGCGGTAGTACAAGGACGAACCCAGTAGCCTCAGCGTGATGAGCAAGTGGAAACGGGGACTCACTCGGACGGGTGCCCTCCGACCCGTCTTTATCCTTCTCCATACGTACCTGTTGAGTACGCATGGGAATGGAGAGACCGAGGGGAGGAGTCGGAATAACTTCAATTCAGATGGGGCGCCTCGGCCGGCCTGGGCTGCACGTGCAATGCTGACAAATCAAACATGGCAATTGGGAGTCAATATCGTACTTCGGACGTTGTCTTAGTCTCCTACAGTGCCAATCTCAATTTGACAACCCGTTTGAGATATAGTCTCGCCTCATCATCGACCTCACCCGCAAAAGGCTCCAGGTACTCAATATCGAGTAAGTAGTATTATGTAGCAGTCATCTATGTCGTCTCCGACAGTGACCGCCCTCGGTCTCTCATCGTCATCTAGTTTTGCGGCTCGATGGAAGGGGTCAACCGTGCAGCTCTCATTGGCTTGGCCGTCATCCTTGGGGTTGCACTCATCCGACGCGCTAGCAAGCAACGTCGCTCCGTCTTCAGTCACCTTCGTGGCCCTCCCCCCGAGGGCACTTGGGGATGGATCACCGGCAACAGCAAGGGTCTCTTCACCGGTCACCCTGAGATATCCAGGCAGTGGATAGAGGAATTTGGACCTACGTTCCGCGTCACCTCTTTTCTCGGGGTGCGTCTTTTGTTTCCTCCATACTCTCTCATCCTCCACTGCAACACAAGTACCGCGCGCGGTCTATATAGATTCAGGCAGTCTACACGATAGATACAACTCTGATCAGTCATATCCTCTCCAACTCTATGAGCTACTACAAGACTGCGGAGGCGCGGAGGGTTCTCGTTCGTTCCATTGGAAATGGTGTGTGTTTTTTCTGCCTTTATGAGACTGACCATCATGTTCTAACTTAGTTAGGGCTTGTGGTCGCGGAGGGTTAGTGGCTCTCAATGCTCAAGTGGGTGCATACTAATCCATGATTGCAGGAGAGGAACATAAACGCCAGGTAAAGTAGCTTGAAACTGCAGACGCCGCCACCAGACTCACGAATCTTTCCAGCGACGCCACATAGTACGTTTTCATACGGTGTTTGAAGATACGGCGACACGCTGATGAAAACACGCAGAATCCGGCATTCAGTCTTTCTCAAATTCGCGAGTTTACGCCAATTTTTCTCCAGCAGTCTGCGGAGGTGAGTGATATCCCAGAATCTTGTGAAACAGGCACTGACGGTATCATCCTCAGCTGGTACAACACTGGACTTCCCAGGCGATGGTGGAGGAAGGCGTCGCAAACGTCAACGTCATCAGTGGTCTCGGGAAGACGACACTTAATATTATTGGCATCACTGGTTTCAACCACAACTTCGATGCCTTGAACCCGGACGTTCAGGATCCCGTCTCCAAAACGTTCAGCGAGTCGCTCATCGGGATCACCCCCGGTACAATCCTACGCCTGCTACTTCCTTTCGAGATCTATGTAAGTCTGCCGGATGTACAATGTCTGAGTTGACTGACAGACTTGTCTCGCCAGCGCGATGAACGGACCAAGAAGGCAGACGAAGCCTTCGCCGCGATGGACAAGATCTCCGCGCAGCTTCTCCAACAGCGCAGGACCGAACTATTGAGTATAGGCTCTGTCGAGAAGAAAGATGTGGAGGGTCGTGATCTTCTCAGCCTGCTCATCAAGGCAAACCTGGCCGCCGACGTCCCCGAGAGCCAGCGCATGACAGACAAGGAAGTGCTCGCCCGTGCGTCCCCGTTTCCGCGTTCTCCCTCATCATGTTGGTCGCTAACCCTCATCCTCCCTACAGAGGTTCCGAACTTCCTCGCTGCCGGACACGAGACCACGAACACCGCAACCGCCTGGGCGCTCTTCGCGCTCGCCCGGCACCCCTCGATCCAAGCCGCGCTCCGCGCGGAGCTGCTCGCCGTGCCCACCGCCATGCCGAGCATGGACGTGCTCAACGCGCTCCCGCTGCTCGACCGCGTCGTGCGCGAGACGCTGCGGCTGCACCCCCCGATCATCAACGTGAGCCGCGTCGCGTGCGCGGACGACGTGCTCCCGCTTGCAACGCCCATCGTCGACCGCGTAGGGCGCACGCTCACCGAGCTCCCCATCGCAGCGGGCACGCGCATCTTCGTCCCGATCGGCGCGATTCAGACATCGCGCGCGGTGTGGGGGGAGGACGCGCTCGAGTTCAAGTGCGTTCAGGCCCATACGCTTTCCACCCCGCGAACGAACCTAGAGCTCTGATGGTGGCATTGCAGGCCGGATCGTTGGCTGCAGGACACGCCCGAAGCGGCGGCGCGCTTCCCCGGGATCTGGAGCAACCTGATGACGTTCATCAGCGGCCCGCACGCCTGCATCGGCTACCGCTTCGCCATCGTCGAGTGCGTCCCTCTCTCTTCCGTCTCTCGCGCAGACCGCTTACCGCATGCGCCGGCGCGCCTAGGATGAAGGCGCTTCTGTTCACCCTCCTTCGCGCGTTCGAGTTCGAGCTCGCCGTGCCTGCCGACGAAGTCGTCCCCGTCGGCATCTTCATCAGCCGTCCCGGGCTGCGCGCAGACCGTGCGGCAGGCCCTCGGCTGCCCATGCGCCTCCGACCGCTGAAACAGGCTTGAGGCTTACATGGAGAAGAAGGCGGTTCCCGGGGCTCGGGGAGAACACGGAAGTCGCCTAACGTACCTTGACATGATCTATACACATACCCCTTTCCGATTGCACCGGCTGGAAGGACGGCAGGAAGCCACGGGCCCACAGACGGAGTAGACGATGTGCCTTCAGACTGCCAACCGCGCGCCAAGTTCGCATGCGCACTCGAGCCCGTGCGTCGAGTCGCGCACAACTCTGCGCAGAGGTGACGTGATAGGGCGCTCTGCACACGTACTTACCTCCGCGACCCACCGCGCGTCGTGGCCGTCGTGCCTTCGGGTCATCTGCTGCTCCATAAGCGAGCCGAGGCGAAGTCGAGGTGAAGAGCAGGGCTGATAAGAAGGCGATCATGTACATTACATACGCCGCGGCAACGGGCATGGGAAGCGGGGGCTTCCGAGACTTGCGTGCTAATCGAACACATCATGCGCGTGAGGGGTCGTCAAGACGAGATCCTAGAAGGGAGAACGAGTCGGGCTATTATCACTACGTAGCGAGGGCGTATCGGGACGGTAACAAAACGATGGACCGGGACTATGGAGAAGATGCAACAAGACGATGTATGGGCGAGTAGGTACAATGGATCTGAGTCTGAGTCTATGGTCCGGTGCCGGAGCCAAACCGGGACGACCGACGATCGTCGGCGGGAGAAAACGAGGCAAGGGCAATAACGTTACTGTGGCAAACTTCACGGCTTCCGTCTCTCCTAATGGCGCACAAGAGCGAGCCGACGGGGAGGCTCCGGCTCCTGCACGATGCGGTTCAATGGCGAGATGACGCCCCCTCGGCCGGCGCGAGGGCGTGCGTGCGCGCAACGATGGCACGACGCCCTACGCGCGCTGCGCGGAGAGGATCGGCAGCGGCCGTCCTGCGTCCATCGGCTCACGGTGGTAGTTCACGTTCAGTGGCCGGTGCAGCCATACCAGCTTCGGGCCTGCGCCTTGTGCTGGCGGCGTCTCAGATGCTGGCGGAGGAGGGGGCGGTGCGCCGTGCACTGGTTGCGGGGAGAGGATGGGGGATGGCTGCTTCTGGATGGGGAGCGGCGCGTACACCGACGCCACGGGGGTGGGAACGGGGATGGGCTGCGGAGGGGAGGGGCCGTTGTGCATAGGCATTGTGCGGTGTGGTGGAGGGGGAGGGGTCTGGATCATCGGCGGCGCAGGGGGTCGCAGCTCAGAGCGCGGGCGGGCGGGAGAGAGGTCGCGCTCACGCATCTTGCGCGTAGCTTCGACCCACCGTTTTGTGCGGTCATCCTCCTAGAACAGAAGCAGCCGTCAGCGACAATGATATTCAAACCGGGTCGCTGAACGGAAATCTCACCTCGTACTCCGTCGGTGCACGGGTGCGCGCGTGGTCCATCTCGTTCTCGACGAAACGGTCGAAAGCGTCAAGGGCACGCACGCGCTCCTCCTTGCGGCCCTGCGCGAAGCCTGTGTCAAAGCCATCCGCGTACGCCGCCTTGCGAGCTTCGTCCAGGTCGCGGCCGCGTCTCCGGTCGTCGTGGTCGCGATCGCCATCGCGGTCCCTCGCGCGCTCCTTCTCCCTTTCCCTCTCCCTCGCTTCCTTCGCCCCGATCTTCTTCCCCTCATCAACGCCCGCCATTCTCCCCTCCGCATAGCCCGCTTCATACCCCTCCTGGTGGCCGGTCTCGTACCCATCGTGGTGGCCCGCGTCGTACCCCTCCGCCCGTCCGTCCTCGAACCCTTCGTCCCGTCCATCGGTATACCTCCGATGCACCTCCAGACGCCGCACCTCCTCCCGCCCTTGCTGCCGCGCCTGCCACTCCCGGAGAGTGGCCTCCGCACTGCGCGCCGACTCCTTCGCCTCCCTCGCCTGCTCCTCCGCGTCCTGCCGCGCACGCTCCGCCCTCCCCAAGTCGGTTTGCGCGCGCCGGGCGTCGCGCTCCGCCGTGTCGGCCTGCATCTGCCACCGCCTGCACTCCTCCTGCGTTCGCGCGGCGTCCACGCTCGCCTGCACGCGCGCGGCGTCGGCGCTGGCGACCTTGGTCGAGAGGTCGGCCGAGGCGCGCTCCGCGGTGCGCGCGCGCGACTCGGCCTCTTCGGCGCGGCGGAGGGCCTCTTCGAGCCGCGTGCCGGTCTGGCGGAGGACGGCCTTGAGGTGGCGCGCCTGCCTCTCCTCCTCGGCGAGGACGTGGGAGAGGATGGACGCGCTGTCCGTCTCGCGCTCCTTCCGGCGGTGTTTGGACGACGGTGCCTCCCGGTCCCGGTCTCCGTCGCGGTCGCGGTCTCGGTCCCCGCGGTCACGGTCCTTGTCGCGCTCGCGCTCCTCCCGGCTCTGCTCGCGGCTCATCTCGCGCGCCCGGGTGTTCTCGCTGCGAGGGGGCTCGCGGCTGCGGTCTCGGCTGCGGTCGTACGAGTTCGAGACCTCGCGCAGGGTCGGGGTCTGGGAGGCGGACGAGCCGCGGCGCGGTTTCTTGCCGCCGCGGGCGAGGAGCGACTCGAGCATGGCCGGGTCGCGCAGGATGCCGTGTATCGGCGTAGGCGACGTCGTCGCTTCGTGGAGCTCATGGAGGAGGTCCGCGCTGCGCAGAGAAGCGTCATGTGAGCGTTCAGTGCCGTCATCGGTCGCGCAGTGAATGTGAATTCGCAGGGGAGGATTGGGCTGGGAGCGGGACGCGCGGACAGGGGGAGTTTTTGGGGATGCAGAGGGAAGACTCACTCAATGGCACCGGGTGTGTGCAGGCCGGAGGGCGTGTACGCGAGGTACGAGCTTGGAGTGAGCAGGCCACTCGAGTAGACGCCGTAGTGAGGACTGTGGATGCTGGGCATCAGGAGGTCGCCTGGGGGCAGCCCGAGGGCGTCGCGCACGGGCGGGGGCGTCGGGGGGAGAAGCCGTGGGCCGTCTGGTGGGGAGGAGGGGAAAGGGTCGGAAAGGGGGAGAGGCGGGAGCTCGTCGACGACATCGGGATTCATCTTTGGCGTGCGGCAGGTATAGTCTGTGCTTTCTCCGCGTGGGCTAGAACGGGCTGCGGCCGGGCGCTGGGAAGGGGAAGCAGGGATGGGGTGCGGCGGCCCAAGTGGGAAGGCTGTGGGAGCTGCGCGAAGCAGAGCCTGACGGCGAAGGGCGGAAAGAGGCACGGCGGGAATGCCACCGATGCCTGTACCGACGCTGTGGGGGCGGGCCCTACAGGGAGGGCGGGCGAGGGGCGGGCACTGGCGGAGAGAGAGAGGGTTCGGTCGAGGACGAGTGATGGAGGAAGCGGGGAGTGTTAATAACGTCTGCGGGTAGCGAGCCGCGGGAAGTAGCGAGCGTCCACGGGCAGCGAGCATCGACAACGTGTTCGACATGTGCAGTCGGCAGGCGCACAGTAGCGATCGCAAGTCAAACGGGGCCCATGTCGTCCTCCACATACGTCCGCGGGGTCGAGGGCGCCGGGCATAGTCGCACGGGAATTGTCGTACGGCCCCTCGAGGCTGCGCGTGTTGGGATGTGCGGCTCGGAATACGCGAGTGCTCCGCAGTGGGAGGTCCAGCACAGCGGCACGGGCGCAGCAAGGTGCTCGGCGTCGGCCGTTTGGGGAAGGTTCGGACGGTGAGCCGGCGCACGGATGGGCGGGGGACGGCGAAAGAGGGTGCGGGTGAGCCGCGATGGCCAAGAGCGGCCGCAGAGAGCGGCCGACTTGAAAGCCGAGGCCGCAGGGAGGCGATGAGGGCGAGATAGGCTTGGAACGTCGCCGAGAGTCGAGAGATCTGCGTGCAGCCTCGTGTTGGGCTATCAGCAGACGCCGCGAGAGCCGGAGAAGGCAGATAATGAAAGCAGCGACGTCCGCGTCGCCCATGAGGCGCATTCGAGACCGAGCGAACCCGTCCGGATCAGGGAAGGAGCCTGGTGGCAGGCCAGGGCAGCGGAAGCTTTGAGGCGGAGAATGACGCTTGCTTTGTGCCGGTAAGCACAGTACCTGCGGTCGTCGTGCTCAGAGCAGTTGCTTCTGAAGACAAGAGCAAAGTATCTGGGCAAATGAGAGAAGAGGTGGTGGACCCGGAGCAAGTCGCGCGTCGTGTCAGCACCAGCAGAGGGAGCGTTAGGCGCCGGTGTCCTGCTCGCTCCGCATCCACGCAGGTTTGGCTCTCAGAGCCCCGCTCAATGACGATGCGAGAAGAACACGCAACCAGGATGGACTTTTCTTAAGTGAAACTCACACACGTGGACGGAAGGTCGAACACCTTTCAAACAATCAGAGCACCTGCGCAGTTTGGGCCGTGAATAGAATTCATTTCGATACGACAAGGACCACGGATAATAGCAGTGTAGATATCTCCGATATGAATGCAGGCACGATCGCCGGTGACAACAAGGCTGAACCCATGCAGAGATATACTTGACCAGCATTACAGGTGACGCAGTGCTTACTCTGGACACGAGTCGCACGGACGGTCTGCTTGCCCTGACTGACAGGGCCGCGGTGAGAGCTCCTCATCCTCCGTGTTCGACGATCGCACGTGATCGTGATGTGCGCTGCGCCGGACCATGAATGAAGTTGAATGAAGATTTCGCCGGCCGCAGAACGCAGTGTACGTACGTGAGAGCTCTAGAGCCCATCCTCCTCTGGACGCGCACTTGTAGGTGATGATAGAGAATCCAGTGGATGCTGTAGGCATGTCAACGGACGCACCATAGCTCAGGTGATAGCAGGCACCGGACGCGCCGTGATGGTAGGCCTCGAGGACCACTGACAGTTGACAGCATGCAAAGACTTGAGGCCACCGCACAGGCATGCTTGGACGCATAGAGGTCAAATGCAAACCGGGTTGTCCACAACGCGGGCTGTGTGTAGTTGAAATTGAAGCTCGCAGTGCGAGATGCGATTGGCCCTCTGCTAAGGGGAAGCTGCTGTACTAGAAGCGGCCTACACAGAGGTACTTAAGGCAACCCCGGCAGTCCTGGCATATACATCAGTGATAATGTTCATCCCAAGGATAAATCCCCGGATCAAGGTCAGCATATGTATTTGGATGAATTCTGCCGCAGGTGGCCGAGGACTCCTGCAGAAGACCATCAGTGTTTGTCCGTGAACGCCGAACGCCGGCAAGCTGTTGATCTAATCTAGGCTTGGAAGTCAGTATCTATACATGTGAGCGGGATGGGGCCTTTGAGGGGCAGTTCGCTGGGGGTGTTGATTGCTCCGGTGGCGGAAAGGGTTGGCAAGACGGCGGGACTTGGAAGCGCAACGCGATGAGAATCTCTATGGCGAGGGGCGTTAGTGGGTCCAAATGTCATCTTGCCGCCGACACACTGACATATGAACAAACCGACGAGGCAGGCGAGGCCTAAACGGGTGTCATTAACCCACGGGTGAGCCTGTGGGACGTGGCAAAGCTGGGCATGACGACGAAGAGGGAAGAGGAGGGCATGGAAGTGGACGAAGAGCACTGGTGGACCTCAGGCCTCAGGCCTCAACTTGGAGCCGCGCAGCCGAAATTGGCTTGGTGCTCCAAGATGTGGGACGACGAGGGAGAGTTCATTTGCGCGTGCGCTATGATGAGCTGGGACTGCGCTAGAAGCCTCTGAGCCGACGGCTCTTCTGGAGGAGCGAACAGAAAGGCTACGTGGTGGACGTGCCCGGGTGTGCGACCTCCGAAGTAAGGATCAGGAAACGGAGAAGAGACAAGGAAGCAATGCAGCATAAGGCGAGCTGGACAGGATGACGAGATCGCCATGGAGTCCGACAGTCCGTAGTCGCAGTGCGCGTTCACCGTCATCTGAGCCGCACACATTTTGAGATGCGCCACACAAGACCTGGTGCAAGTACGAGAAAGCGGTTCTGCGCGCGGCGCGCACGGTCTGAAGATCAGGGGGGCGTACACCCGCGCACTCAGTCTCGCACGTGGCTGTGGGTGGACGTGGGGGGCGATGTGAGCAGGAACGGGGGAGAAGGAGGAGCGCGAGCGGGGGCGGCGGAGACTCTGAGCGCTGCTGATGGGTGATTGTGATGGATCAAGCAGCGCGAGGAATATAATCTCCACTGCCCGTCTCCTCTCCTCCGTCCCGCCACCTCGCCCCCTTCCTCTTCTGCTCACTCCCACCACCAACCGCGGCACACACAATGAGCACCGAAGCCCTCCCCCCGACGCCCAAGTCCCCCAGCGTGGGCATGCGCCGCAAGGGCCCCAAGCCGTTCCCGACGCTCCCGCTCTCCGCATTCACGCCCCCGAACACGGGTATATCCGACCAGTTCCCCCGCGCACCCAGCCCGAGCGCGATGCAGCCGTTCGAGATCGTGGATGCTCATGTCCTCGCTCCCACTGGCGACCTCGCGGGATGGACCGCGCAAGCCGGGCAAACTCTCGGCGGCCGCACTCGCGGCGTCGTTGTCTCGCTCCAGGCTACCGCGCCGACAGATGTCGAGAAGATTATTACCGAGTGAGTATCCCTCCGTCCCTCTGCCTCGTTTCGCGCCCGCTTGCTGGTGCTCTCGCTCGCGTAGATCTCGTAGAGCGTAGGTGGCGCGGACGCGCGCCGAGGCGCTGAGGAGCCTCTGTTGCGCTCATCGAGGACCATCGCTTATCGCGCGTCCCGCAGGCTCTCCTCAGACTCGTCCTCGACCCCGGTGGTCGCAATCGCGGTGCCGTTCAAGCTTGAAGACGGAGTACCCGCTACCACCCCTTCCTACCTCGCATCCGGCAGCTCGTCGACGCCTGCGATCGTCCTCACCACAACTTTCACCGAGACCTCCTCCGAAGCGATTGCGGCACTCGAATGGGCGCTCAAACAGAAGTTCACGGTCAACATCGATGTCCAAAGCGGACTCGAGGAGGAGAACGGATGGGAGGCGATTGAGGACTTCCTCACAAAGGCGACTGCAGATGCGGAAGCTAAGGGCAAAATTATTCTTTGTGAGTACGACCTTTATTCTGACGGATTTGTGGTGGCGGTTGGAGCGGCTACTCAGAGTATCTTTCTCACTACGTCTTATCCCGTGATTTGCGCACCATACGTTGTTTGAAGGCTTGTGATGGGTGCAGTTAAGACTTCGCTATCAGGCTTGCCCGGGGGGGGGGGCAGAGGCACATCCGCTTATGCGGTGTTGCACTCGTTCGACCCCGTTTCACCTGAGCCCCTCTGCGCTAGCGTGTTTCTCTCTCCGAACTGGACCGGGACGCTGACTGGTATCTTATGCATTACAGCTAACATTGTCCCTCCTCCGGACGACCTTACACTCCCAATCGTAAAGCTACTCACCCACCCCACCTACCGCAACTACCAGTCGCGTACAGCCTCCCTCTCCCTCTTCGCCAACCTCTTCATCAACTTCCTCCCTCCCGCTTGGGGTGCCCCCACGCCCCCCACTCCCGCTCCCCCGCCGCCTGAATCGCAGGAGGCGCTTTCGGCGGTTAGTGAGAGGGGCGGATACGCAGGCGACTTCGAGGCTCTCGAGTGGAGGCGCAGGATCAAGATGTACCGTACGTCCACTTCCTCTGTTGCTGTCATCCCATGCCCTAACCGCCCTTGCGTACAGTCGGTCCGACGGTCGAGGCATTCGGCTTCCAGCGCATCCTCTTCGGCACGTCGCCCGCGGCGCCACTAACGGGCATGTCCCAGGCGAGTAAGGCGGGCGACTGGTATGAGCTCGCGCGCGAGTGCTTCGTAGAGCTTGGCGTCGAGCAGGACGCGATCGACGCCGTCTTCGCGGGCAACGCGAGACTCGTGTACGGCCCGCCAGCGGCCCAATCATAGGTCCCGTCATCGGCCAACCGGCCACTCCGCGATGATGAGAGAAGGACAGGGACGTCTATACTGTAGTGAGATACGTGCATTAGATGGTATAAAGACAGACGGCGGGGCGCGCGGCGCCCAGAGGCGGTCACGACGAATCATGTATTGGTGTACGCCTACATGTTGTATTTCTCTCCTACGGAAACCCACGCGATGTTATTTATGACTGGGACATCACTTTGGCTGTGCTGCGAGTGCCACCACGGATGAAGGAAATTTAGGGATGGGCTGTCTGCGGGTGGCTGCTAGTGCGACCGGAGCGCGTAACGTATGCCATTCGTTGGGAGGGACAGACGAGATAGATCATTGAAAGCACAGTTACCACACCTTCACCCCGAGTCTCAGTCACTCATTCGTGAATCGAGGGGCGCGGGCGCTGCAGGAACAGGTCAGCCAAAAGATCAACGCCACCACCGCCTAAACTCACCCACGGACCGTGTCCCAACGCCGAGAGCGTGGGCGTCGTCCAGTCCATCCACTGGGACGGGGTCCAGGTCGCGTTGCCGAAGAGCATGTTGGACGCGAACATGCCGGTCGTGTTCGCGCTCTGGTCGAGCAGGAAGCGGCTGATGAACGCGTTCAGCTGCGGCGACAGGCTCGACGGCCACGCGCAGTGCGCATGCCCGCCCACCTGCTCGAACCCGTGCAGGTCCGGGACGCCGAGCGCGCTCCAGACGGTGTGCGCGGCGGACATGCACCCGTACGAGCTCAGCGGGCTGAGCCAGACGTAGTCCGTGTTCTCGAACGAGATCATCGGCCGGGGGGCGACCATCGCGGCGAGGAGGTGGTGGTCGTACGGGAGGCTGTCGAGGCTGTTGACGTAGTTGTTGAAGTTCGTGCTGAACCACACGTTCTCCGTCACGATCTCCGTCGCCGTCTGCACGACCGAGCCCGAGTTCTGCTCGAAGAGCGAGAGGCGCCAGCAGGCGTCGCCGCCGGAGCCGGACTCCTGCGGGATCGTGAGCCGGATGCGGGGCTCGAGCGCCCCGGCGACGAGCGCGCCCTTGCCGTTGCGGGAGCAGCCGGTGACGCCGATGCGCGCGGTGTTGATCTGCGCGGCCGGGGTGGCCTCGAGCGCGTCGATGATGCGCGAGACGCCCCAGGCCCAGGCGGTCATCGCGGACGCGGTCGCGTTCTTGCCGAAGAGGTTGTAGAAGAGGCCGACGCCGCGGCTGCTGGTGGCGTCGTTCTGCTGGGCCATGTCCGAGTTCGAGTACGTCATGACTGCGACCTGTGCGCCCGGTCGTGTGCGTCAGCACTGCGCACATACAGGAGCAAGGGATGTAGGCGTACGTTGGAAGGGATGGGGATGCTGCCGCCCCCGTACCCGATGATGAGCGGCCAGCCCGCGGCGGGCGCGGTCCCGGACGGGAACTTGATTGTGGGCGAGAAGGTGATCGAGTTCGCGCCGTTCTTCGCGGTGATAGCGAGCGTGCCCGTCGTGCCAGACTTGGTGAAGGTGGCGGTGAGCGAGGTCGGCGCGGGCATGACTGCGCCACCCTCGTAGCCTTGCACGAGCGCGGTGATCTGCGCGCTCCGACATTTCCAGTCCTCTGCGCTCTGCACCGCCGTGCCGTCGTTGAAGAAGAAGGGGTTAGGGAGCTTCGCGTTGTTGTAGCCCGAGATGGAGGATGGAGTCGCGCACGCCCTGGGGGCTTCAGTGGAAACTGGAGTAGAAGCGGTGGATGAGGAGACTGTGCTCGAGGGAGGAGAGGCTGCGGTGCTCGAGGATGCGGCACCGGAAAGGCATTGACTACATCAAGGTATAAGTGAACAATTACAGAAACTGAAGGAATATCACAAACGAGTAGTAGGGGTTGATGACGGTACAGGCTGTACCAGAAACACAAGCTAAGTCGAATCGTCCTTGAGCATAATTGTGCTTTACAACGTAGGATACGTACTCACCGGTCTCGCCAATCCAGCCAATGCCACCGCACTGAGCTACAAAAATACGGCACAGTTCGGCATCAGCACAAGACCTACTGACAATCCACATGACTGAGCAAAGATCAACTCACCCCAAATGGGAGCCGCGCCCCGAGCGACTCGAACAAGTGCAAAGGCAAAGCTGACTGCGACGAAGAGCTGCATCTTGCTTCCGCTGTCCCCTTCCCCTCTCCTCTCGGGTACTTATGGGTCCACATAGGCTCCGCGCGCGGGCCGCCGCTCCCTCTGCGCTCCGAGAATCCTCCCGGCGCTGAATGAACACGGACCGCACCAACATGATGGACTCTTCCCGTGTGACCCCCTCGTGATTTGTGTGTTGAACGCGTATCACGTCCCTTCGACTTGGCGCGGTTCGGTGTCGAAGACGTTTTGATGGCCTCGGACGCGTGCGCGAGGCCGAGGGTGGCAGAAATGGAAAGTTGGGCAAGAGGCACCGGGGTGTTGAACACAGGATCCACCAACCGCATGGCATATTGACCCGCGACGGATGTCACGCAGAAGAGCAACACGCCGCTTTGAGTTTCTTGTTCGTGGTGTTGTGATCACGACTTCGCGCGTCGGGACGCCTGGTGACGATACCGCATGACCATCGATGAATCGACTTAGGAAACCAGCAGGAAGTCAGTATGACGAGTGTTCGCAGGGTCGACGTCAAGTAGGTTGAAGTGAGAGGTACGCACGCTGATCAGGATGGTGGTCCTGCGCGGACAACAGCTATGTTTGGCATGCGGAGGAGGGGTGGCTAACGCATGAATGGAACACACTCCAGCCAGTGAGTCGGGAAAGAGCGCTTCTTGAACGCTGAGCCCCGAATACCGGGGTAAGTAGATCAGCAATCAAAAAGCACATCGGAACAGTTCAGGCTTTGGGTGGAGCTGGAGAGAACGCTAGACAAAGCGTGGAGCAAACCCTCTTCTGCGGTCGCAGTAGGAGGGTTCGCTCGTAACTTTCGTCGGCAGCCCTTACCAACCGGTCAATGAAGACATTAGGAGCATCTTCATGAAACAAGCTGCCATGAATATTGGTCAGTCTATATAACACACCCACGAGCGATTTTTGGGAGTAACAAGCACCCACCTGTCGAGGAATCAGGACGTCAGACAGTCTTATGATATTATCAAGGTCCATGATCATAAAGGTTCCTCTGCACGATAAGGTAGTGATCGTGTTAGGATAGTCTTTAGCGGAACATCCATTACAACAATATTAGTCGAATGTATGCATAGTATAATCCCGGGGGTAAGAACGCTGAGGTTCACTGCTTTTTGGCTTCACGCTCGAGTTTGCGAAGGGCACGGCGGCGGATATCTTTGTGGAGAGAGTGAGTGTAGCGGACATAGAGCATGTTCCAGCCAATCATGTGCTAGATATGGTGCGGTCATTAGGCTGTACTCGGTTCTCGTGCGAGGGCATACCATGACATAGTCGAGAAGAGCATGACTCCAGTAGGGCGTAACGACTCCTGGACGCTTGGTCCAGAGTGCACCGCATGGGAGGGCAATCTTGGAAAGGACGCTTCCGACAAACGCTTTGGGAGTGGGAATGAGAGCGCTCGCACGACGGATCTTCGACATGTTTGAGACAACGAAGTAGGTGTTGACGCATTCGACGTCGACGCCCATGCCGCAGACCTCTTCGTTGAGAGAACCGGTGAAGGAGGAAAGGAAGGCCTTTGTGCCCGCGTAGGTACTAAGCATGGGAGATGCAACACCTGTGCCAGAGAACGACCCCATGTTGATGATCAACCCGCGCTTTCTGCAAAAGAGAATGAGCGTCACAAGGAGAACATGCCGAGATGATACTCACTTCTCAACCATACCGGGGAGAATCATGCGGGTAATGCGGACGAGGGAGGTGACGTTGATGGTAACAATGTCTTCCATGTCTTTTTCGGCACATGCGCTCAAGTCCTCAGGGTACTGGTAGGACTTGCCAGCATTGTTAACTTCCCAGTTATGTCAGCACATGAAGCAGCAGCATATACTTCACTAGAGATGAAAGGGTGGGGTGTATGAAATACATGCCACTCACTGAGTACGCCGATGTCAAGACCAGAAAGCTCCGCCCTGAACTTTCGCCATTGAGTGGCATCATCGACTTTGGAGAAATCCATGACTACAGCCTTTGCTTGCACCTTCTTGTCACCTGAGGACAGCCCCTCTATTTGTACGGTTAAAACCAGTCTGTGTGGTGATCTTATGGTACACATACCGATCTCTGTGACCAAGGAAGCGAGAGCTGGCGCGTTCCTCGCAGACACGACGACATTGAAGCCTTTTTTCGCAAGCTGAAGAGCGTACTCGCGGCCAATACCCTCAGAAGCCCCCGTTACGACTATGTGCGCATGATGAGCACATAGAACGCGCCGAGAGAAACCAGAGACTCACCTGCCCAAGCTCCCTTGCCAGCACCATATTTCTTGAGCTGGAGGACGACACGTCAGGCCGCGCGCGTTGATATCATGCAAGAGACACGCACGTTCTTGCCTGAGACGACGAATGTCTGGAGGAGAACGAAGAGGGTCTTGAGTGCGAACCTAGCGACGGTGAAGCTCCCGATCGCAAACACAAAAAGCGCGAGCTTGGGATAGTCGGTGACTGATTGGGAAAAGCGGTCAGCGCGAGGCACATTCTCGAGCACATGCGCAGCTACGCACCGAGGACGTGGGAGGACGGTATTGGGACCGCGGAAAGGAACGATGCCATCACGACAGAGGAGCGACGAGACGTGGGGTCTGGTGGGAGGACCGCTGGAGGACCGCGCGTGGAGGACTTGACGTCGTGCGCGAGCGTTCGCGGGCGGAGCGCCCAAGTTCGCGTCTCTGCTCTCGCCACTCGTCTGGATATCTGCTGCGGCTGTTTCTTCCTTGTTTCGATTGCAACGAGACCACGCCGCTTGGGCTCTGCGAGTCTAACCGGGCGCCGATTGCGTCCGTTCGGCGACTTCCTCTCGTGGGAGCACGGTGCGTCGTCTGCATTCTCCTCTCGATCTCGTAAGTGCGCCATGGGACCGTCATCGCGGGGGTCAACGAACGATGCTCGCAGCGGGACGCTCGCCAGCTTGGCGCGGACACGGTGGGCAGGCTCTCGCACGCGGCCTTCACGCGGACAACATGCAAGGGCACATTCTGCTCCAGCTGCAGCCGCGCCCTGCCGGGGGGCATCGATCCGAGGATCCATCAGGCGTCCGCGCCTTCGTCTTCCCCCCCTCTCTCTCGCCTGTATGCGGCCCTTCTGAGCTCTTGCATCCTGCGCTGTTGGTTGCTCTCTCATCACGCACGCCGGAGAGGCCCCCAGCGTACGCGCTCTTGCTCAGCACCCTGCCCCCGCTCATGACCGCACGCTTTGGCATATCAGACGCCAGTCGCTCACCCCCAAGCCTGAACAAAGGCATGCCGCACACCGCGCTCACTACCCCCCTCGACCCCGACGGCCTCTACATAGCCACCGTCGCGCTCACCAACAGCTTTCACTGGTCTCTCATTCACGTCGATCGCGATGGCGCCGCGACCGGCCACCACTGGGCTGCCACCACCTCGAATCCTCACGGGCCCGAGGGCTACATGGCCTTCACCCTCTCTACCCTCCCGCCGTCCGATCCCCGCGTAAAGCGCCAGCAGGTGCTCGGCTACTTCAAGGTCCCCGCGTGGCCCCCCTCCATTGAAGCCGCCGCGCTCCACGATGCATGCAACGCGGCTATCCCGCGGAGCTCACCAAGCGCGCTCCAAAATCGCGCCGCGAACTTGAACTCTCGCACGTGGGTCACTCGCGTTCTCGCCCGTCTACATCCCGAGCACGCCTCCGAGGTCGAGGATTTCGTACTTCGCCACAGCCGCGTTTTCGGCGACGAGGCCGCGCGCAGCTTCCTCTTCAACAAGCCATATCCCGCTGCGGTCCTTACCGTCGGCCACTGTCCGCCGGAGGTGAGCATCTCGGAGCGCACTGCGGCAGGTCTGCTAACCCTCAAGGTAGTGTGGTGTTTGCGAAGTACGGACGCGTTCACGTACGAATACCCAATGATCTCGCTCCTGCGCGTGCGCTCCTTTTCGCCTCATACATTCCGCACGCTATCGTGGGGTGTGTCGATAGGTATGTTATACCACTCGTCGACGGAATTCCACAAACACATGCTCTGCACGCTCTGCCCGATATATACCCATGCTCTCTTGCTTTAATACAACTTGACCGTGTTCAGGACAGCTCGTGCAGTTCGCCTACGTGTTACGTCCCCGTCTACAGCATGCATCTGACTAGTACTGTTTGTACGACATCGTGCGTGACGAGGTTGGAAGAGACCTGATTGCAACACTGTACTTCGTTCTACCCTATGCAGTCCATGAAAATACCCAACTCTCGCCGTCCGCGTAACTCGTCTATTGTTATCTTGACCCATCCACTGTTATCAACTTGTTCGCTCGGACATCCACTACATGGATTTCTGTGGACCATTCCGCCGCTCGAAATTATACTCCGTTGTATACGTGCGCTCCTGCTCAAAGACATTCGGGGAAAAGGTTAAACCCACAGGATGAATGGAGGCGCTGAAGTGTTGTTGAGGTGGGACCCCGGAACGGAGACCCGGCAGATGCCGGGGGCCCTGCCAGAATCTGCTGTGGAGGTGGTCGCCGTATACCGCGTCGTCCACGCATCGCCCGGAAGCCCGCTCGTCGCCAACGCCCGACGCCTCAAAACAAACCCACAGCGGTACGTCTGTCTATCCTGTGCGTTGGCTGAATAACGGGTGGATTGGAGCACGGCAATGGGTTGGATGGCGGACCGGCCGTTTGGATGTTGATCGCTTCCCTCTAGGTCCACCATGTCGTCAAAACTCCCCTCCGTTCTCAGTGCCACCGACGAGGAGATCCAGCTCCTTCTCGCGGCCCAGTCGCACATTGGGTCGAAGAACTGCGACAAGCAGATGCTTTCTTACGTCTGGAAGCGGCGGAACGACGGTCAGTGTCCTTACACCCATCCCGTTGAGAGCGCGGCTCTCAGACCCTTCCCCCGCACTCCTCAGGTGTTCACATCATCAACATTGGCAAGACCTGGGAGAAGCTTGTCTTGGCTGCCCGTATCATCGCCGCCATTGAGAACCCAAACGACGTCTGTGTTATCTCCGCCCGCCCATACGGTCACCGTGCCGTCCTCAAGTTCGCTGCCAACACCGGCGCGCAGGCGATCGCCGGCCGTTTCACGCCCGGTAGTTTCACCAACTACATCACCCGCTCCTTCAAGGAGCCTCGCCTGATCATCGTCACCGACCCGCGTGTCGACCACCAGGCGATCCGCGAGGCGTCATACGTCAACATTCCCGTCATTGCCTTCTGCGACACCGACGCGCCCCTCAAGTTCGTTGACGTCGCGATCCCCATCAACAACAAGGCCCGGAACTCGGTTGGTCTTGCGTGGTGGCTCCTTGCCCGTGAGGTCCTCCGCCTCCGCGGCACGATCCCCCGCACCTCGGACGGCTGGAATGTTATGGTCGACATGTTCTTCTACCGTGATCCCGAGGAGGTTGAGAAACAGCAGCAAGAGGAGGCCGCTGCGAAGGTCGCGGCTGCTGCTGGTGAGCAGGTTGAGCCGCCTGCTGTTGATTGGGATGTCACCTCTGCGCCTGTCGCGGGTGGCATCAACCCTGGTCTTGTTGCCGGCGAGGGTGCGTGCTCTTGTATATATGCGTCCGTCTATCCGCTCAACAACATGCTATGCAACAGGTGGTCTCGACTGGTCCGCGGAGCCCGCCGCTGGTGGCCCCACCGACTGGTCAGCAGAGCCTGCGGCGGCTGGCTGGGGGGCAGAGCCCGCCGGCACGAGTGGCTGGGAGTGAAGGGTCGAGTCGCGGGTCCTCGTGGACTGACACCACCATTTGTCGCCGTCTGGCAGTGTTGTGCTGTATTCGGGAGCTTATGTCTACGACATGCCCACCCTCACGCCTTTTTATTGATGCAAAAATCATGTACAGCGTATGACGAACACAACTTGCTTGCTTTCGCTCCCGAGCTCGTCCTGTATATCTCATTGTACTACGAACACGCAATGGACGGCGTGAGAAGCCATCACACGAGATACAGATGCTGTCTTTTCTGTTGGAGAGCACCAAGATCGCCGTCAATAAGTCAAGTCTACAAGTACAGGGCCAGATCTTCTACTCCGCCGAGGACCATTTTCTGTCGGTACTCAGTCCATGCTACCGACGGGCTCGCTCTTGAGAGCCTCGTGCATGGCCTCCACCTCGTCCTGTACACGCTCGATGGACTTGAAGTACTTGACGGTCTTGACGTGGAGCTCGGCGGTGGCGTCCTCGTCGACGACGATGAGTGCCCAGGGGTGCATCTGGAGGGCGGAGAGCGTCCAGAGGTGGTTGACGCCCTCCTCGATCGCCTTGGAGAGCGCGAGGGCCTTGCGCTGGCCGGTGACGACGACGACGACCTCGCGGGAGTCGAGCACGGTGCCGACGCCGACGGTGAGCGCCATGCGGGGCACGAGCGCGATGTCGTTGTTGAAGAAGCGGGCGTTGGCGAGGATGGTGTCGTAGGCGAGCGTCTTGATGCGGGTGCGCGACGCGAGCGACGAGCCTGCGCGTGAGGAGAGAGAGAGAGGGGGGGGGGCGCAGTGAGACCACCGTCCATGCGCGAGGGATGGAGAGGAGAGTTGCACTCACCGGGCTCGTTGAACGCGATGTGGCCGTCCTCGCCGATGCCGCCGAGGAAGAGCTCAATGCCGCCGTGGGCCTTGATTTTCTCCTCGTACGCCTTGCACTCCTTGATGAGGTCCTTCGCGTTCCCGTTCAGGATGTTCACCTGCGACGGCGGGATGTCGACTGCCCGCGCGCGATCGTAGTGAGTGTCAGGCGTGAAGTCTATCGCACGCGCTGAATTGAGAACGCACCATGGGAGAAGAACTCGCGGAACATGAAGGTGTGGTAGGACTCGGGGTGGTCCTCGGCGAGGCCGACGTACTCGTCCATGTTGAAGGTGATGACATGTTTGAACCTGCGGCGCGCGTGAGCTCAGCGCGCGGCTGGAGAGGGCGCGGGGAGAACGCACGAGAGCTTCCCGTCCTTGACGAGGGTGATGAGGTGCTTGTAGGTCGGGATCGGGGACGAGCCCGTCGGAAGCCCGAGCACGAACGGCCGCTCCGCGGTCGGCTTGAAGTCGTTGATCCTGCCCGCCCGCGTCAGTCCCGCTCTATCGCGCGGCCCGGCAGATGGGAGGAGAGGAGGACTGACCGCTTGCAGATGTAGTTCCCGATGTACTCGCCCACGGCGGTCGCGTTGTCGCGGATGATGAGACCTGGGACGAGGGCCTGTGAGTCGCGTGCGCGAGGAAGAGGGAGCCGACAGGCGCGTACGCATGGTCCTGGCTTCGGTGCGGGAAGAAGGGCCGGGCGCGGTACCTGGGTAGAGGTGGGGGTCGACGAGGAAGGGAGGACGTGCGCGAGGAAGGATGCACTGGGGGGCGGGCTGCAAAACTGTAGAGGCCTGTTGATTTTGTGCCCTAGACTCAAAGTCAAAAGGCAGATGGCCCTGAGGCGCGGGGGCGCATATGCTCGCTCGGCTTCCTGATGAGCTCGATGGGCATATCGATCGGGTGCGCGCGCGGTGCTAGTCGGCGGGCGGGCGGAGGAGGGCGAGCAACGTGCTCCGTCCACCATGTGCGCCGCCCTTCCCGCCCGCGCCACCCGCCGCCACTTCGGTCCGCTTCGACCGGCAGGCGTCCATGCTGCTGCACCACGGCTGGAGGCAAGTCTGCATACGCTTCGGTCCCTACTCCGCGTCACATGCCCCGTACACAGCGTGGGGCCAGGTGGAATAATATCCAAGTAAGAGAATAGCAAGGGGAAAAAAACATCGTCGTCCGGGATCCCTCGTCACGACCGCGCCCGGCCCTGCAACGCCTGCCGCGCCTCCTCGCTCGCCATTCGCGCCTTTGCGACCGACGACCGCACCGTCCCGCTCGAGCCCACACCCGCCGACGCCGCCCGCGAACTCGCCTTCGCCGAGTTCAACGCGGCCACCGCCCGTAACGTCGCAGTCGCGCTCTTCCGCGGCCCTGCCCGCGCCGGCTTGCTCGTCACCTCCGCCTTCATCGCACGCTCCTCCACCTTCTTCACGAACGGGCTCGGTAGGTTCTCCACGTCGTCCAGGTCGTACTGCGGCGCGGGCGCCTTGCCCAGCGCTGTCGCCGCTGCCACGGCAGCGGACGTCGGGGCGGCCGAGAAGGCGGCCGAAGTCGACGCCGCGCGTTGCAACTTCGCGCGCGCGGTGGGCGCCGACGAGGGGCCGGCCTCGGAGGATGCAGCAACAGTGGCCGACCGTGCTTGAAGGGCTGCCGAGGACGACGCAGCGCGGATCGACGGGCGCCGGAGCCTCGTGGGCCTCGCCGGGGGAGCGAGTGTCGAGCCTGAGCTTGAGCCCGAGCCCGACGAGGACGATGTCGGGAGGGGGAACGTCGACTGCTTGGGTGTATGTTCGCCGTCGCTCTTCAGGCTTCCGCTCCTCCGCCGCTCGTGACGCTGGCTTGCGCTAGGACGCGTGTCCGTTTCGTACCCGTCCTCGTCGAGCTCGCCATCGGTGTCGCTCGCCTCCGCGTCAAAGTCGAAGATCTTCGCGAATTTGAGGTCCACCTTCGGGGTGTCCACGAACAGCTTCGCGAGCTCGGCCGGAGATGGTGTCGCGACGGGCTCCCCGGTTGCGGTCAAGATGACACCCTTCATCGCCGACGGCGGCGGCGCGTCCAGGTTGAGGTTAAGGGACTTTGTGGGTATTGGCGTCTCGAACACCGGGAGCTTGCACGGCCGAGGTCCACTCTTGACGGTCTCTGGCGAGTCCGCCAGCTGGCTCAACGGGGCCATGATATTCTTAACCTCCTCAAGCGGGTTCTTCGATCTTGTCCTCCGCTCGTTGGCTGGAACAGCGTCAGCTGCCTTGCGCGCCTCAAGCTCGCGCCCTACGGTCGCGAGCCGCTCCCGTTCCCGCTCGAGCTCGTCCGCACGCTCTTGGACCCATTGCATGCGCTCCTCGACAGCGCGTGCCATGCCCTCCCTCGTCTGTCGCTCCCACTCCGTCCACATACGTGACATCTCCTCTTCGCGGCGCCGGACGGCCTCCATGATCTCCTGCTCGCGCAGCGCCATCCGCGAGGCGACCTCCTCCTCCTTCTTCACCGCCATTGCGCGGAGCTCTTCCTCTCGCCGAACGATGGCGGCCCGGATGCGCTGGTGCAACGTGGTTTCCGCGTTCGCGATGACGTTGCGCAGGCTGACAAGCTCTTCATCCTTCTGTGCGATGACTGCGACCATCTTCGCCTCGCGTTCAGCAAGAAGTGCCTCCTTTGCGGCAAGGTCGCGTTCCTTGGAGAGAAGGCCGCTCTTGTGCGCCTTGACCGTGTTCAGCCTGCCAGCATGTTGAGCGTTGGAAGCTGACGGGCGGAGCTGCTGCACTTACATCTTTTGGGTCTCAAAGACCTTGTTGGCAAGATCGATGCGCTCATGTTGGAGGAGTTGGCTCGCAGACGGACGCATAGCAGGCTGGCGTTCGTCAGCACGTGGACTATACCTCATGACATAGAAAGCCACCTACGTTGAGGTTGAGCATCTGCTTAATGACCGCAGTCATTGCTGGGCTGTACCCCTTGGGCAGTGGAGGTATCCGTCCATTGCTACAGGATTCGCCAACGTGAGCATCGACAGGCTGAGCACTCAACAAAGATACGGACCGGATGAGGATACTGAGTTCCGCATGCGTCTTCGCCTCGTGGAATGGCGGCTTCAACGCGCAGAGCTCGTAGATCAGACACCCTAATGACCAGATGTCCGACTTGGAGTCGTATGCTTTCTCTTGCATGAGCTCGGGGGACATGTAGTAGGGAGTCTATGTGATATCAGAGACGAATAACAGAAAGACTGTGGATCGAGCGTACTCCAACATAAGTGTTCGCAAAGCTTGCTTGTGAGAGGGCTTTTGAGAGGCCGAAATCGCCGAGCTTTACGTTATTGTTCTCGTCCAGGAATACTATCGGCGGTTGAAGAGAATGGTCGAAATTAGAAACCGAATAGCAGAAACGCGGACCGCGGACGCATGAAGCAACAAAAACCCGACGACTCACCATTATCAGGCTTCAGGTCTCGATGAAGAATTTGCGCTCGCCGGTCCTTGTTATCACACTCGATCCCCACACTACTTGTCCGGCCATGGGCATTGTTGGGGTGGTGGCAATAGTTGAGGGCGAGGAGGAGTTGCATGAAATAGTTCCAGACAGTGTCTTCGGGGATGAGGCGGTTGTGTCGCTGGGCTTGTTTGATGACGGAGGAGAGGTCGCCGCCTCCGCAGTACTCCATGAGGATGTAAAGAATTCCGGCGTCGCGGTCAACATAGCGGTCGTGGTAGCGTACAATGTGTTCATGATGGAGGTCCTTAAGGATATTTCTGGGGGAGCGGCATTGGGTTGGCACAGGCGGTTCGGGAGAGCAGCAGACAACTCACACTTCGGCCACGATCTGCTTCCGATCCCGCTCAGACATGCGCTCAAAGTTGAGTTCCTTGCGGGCAAACGTCTGTGCGCCCCAGGGGCCCCCAATTGAACAACAGGCAGCACAGCGGATGTGACGGAGTACTCACGAGACTGTCAGCTGTCCGACGGACCTTGCGGATGATTCCAAACGAGCCATTCCCAATGACATCTCCAGGTTCGTACTGTTCGAGTGGGGAGGCCATGGTGGCTGGCAGACGGGAGGGGGGAGGTGGTGGAGAGAAATGTCGATGCCGGAAGACGCCCAGCCGCCTGAATTCGAACCAAAGCGCCCACGCATGGCGTAGACGCCCTTCGCGTCCTCCGTCTCACGTGATCGCGTCATAATCAGCCACCCTACATTCCGCGCAACCCCGGGAGCGCGCATATTGCTAACTCCTTCCTCGTCTTGTGATCGCGTCTCTTGGGAAGAAAGACGTCTTTAGAAGTGTGCGCCCACAGGGGCCGGTTTCATAGGACTACAGAATGAACCGATGCTGCTTCAATCCAGCAATCTCGTCCGGACCTGTTTTGCAACACCCTCCAACCACGATCCCCTCCCAGCAGCCGGATTGTAGTGCTACCCTGCCGATGTCGCCGACGTCTTTGGCCCACGGGGTACCTTCTCTGCTTGTCCCCTTCCACGACTGCGTCTCTGGGATGTAGACGTCTCCCCGATTCGGGTGCATCACTAGCCATGGCTGCCGACCGTGCAGCTCCGCAAACCGCTTTGCAACGCCTCCCGCGTCCTTCAAGATATGCGGAAGGGACTCGAGGGCGGTGCAGTTGACACCGAACGCCCATGGAGTCGCTTCGTCCTCGTCGTCTCCGAGCAGCACGCTCTCTGCCACCTCCGTCGCGGTTACCCACCCGCCCCGGGCGTCGGCCCTCTTCTCGGGCGAGTGCCCGTCCGGATGCACGGTGCTGATCCACCACGGCTTCGCCGCTAAGCCGGGCTTCATCTCGTACAGCCGCGCAACCGCGCGCCGGATCGCGCGCACCTCCCGGACGAGTGGGACGGTTTCGAACGCGAGGTAGTCGACTGCGCCCCACACCTCCGCGTCGCCTGCGAACACCACGAGCCGCTCGAGGTGGAAGGCGGCGAGGGCGTCGACCGCCGCCGCCTCCTGCGCGCGCCCGGCGTCGGTGTCCAGTGGGAAGGCGTTTGTCTTGTCCGCGCCGTCCCTCGCGCCAGGCCCGTAGGGCGGCGGATAGAAGCCGTCGAACTCCTGCGCTGGGTAGAGCGTCGCGCCGTAGGGGCCGAGCGAGATCGCGACGCGTGGCGGCGTGCGCGCGCCGTTGTTGCCGGAGCCGCGTGCGAGGAAGCGCCGCCGGGCTTCGAGCGCGAGGCGGACGGACTCGAGCATGATGCGCTCGGCGTCCGCGCGCGCGTAGCCGGCGCGGTCGAAGGTGTTGAACGCGCACTGGTACCTGCGGGGATAGCGGGGTCGTTGGGCTTCAACGCGGTCGCAGAGGGGAAGACGCACGTGGAGGTGAGGACAATGTCCGCGCCGGCGTCGAGGAAGGCGAGGTGGACGGCGATTATCACCTCTGGCTCTTCGTCGACGGGCTTGGCCGACCACAAGGGGGTGGAGATGTTTCTGTGGAACACATCTTCGAGGGTGGTGCCCTGAGCAAGGGCACGGTGTGAGAGGTCTTCTCAGCTGTATTATGTGGCAGGCTCGTAGCGCGGCACTTACCAGGCCGCCATCCAAGATGAGAACATTGGATGATGGCGTGGAAGGGGATCGTGCTGCAGCCATGTGCTGATTAGATTCTGCAAGGCAGCTGGACGTAGGGCAGAGAAGAGTTGTGGGCAGCGGCGGGTGCGGTGAGCACCTGGGCACAATCCAGCCCCGCTATCGATCGCTCGTCAGGTGGCGTCTCCAGGCCGTCTTCCAGTCCTCTGCGTCTTCCGTCCTTCCAAAGACCGAGTGGCACTTGCTGCCAGCTTCCGACCACGACTGACACATATCCTCACCCGGGGCTCGGGTCTCAAACTTTACTTTACAAACTATAACATCTATTCAGTGATACGATAACGACGATACCATCTACTTTTACAGCCTGGCAAGATCCGGAAGCGGGACATTTGCAGACACATTGAGTACTGGGATCCGTTGATCACATCTACGAACCGGCATTGTCAGGCCTGAGTAGATGATCCGAGTACTCGAATAACAATACTTACCAGCTTCCCCCAAACGCGTTCCAACCAGTTCCTTGGCGGCAGGTCATCGTGACTGGAAACGCGGACAACGTGAGGCACGGTCTGCGCCACATGATACACCCCGACTTACGAGGCATCGAGGACTTCCTGAAGGCCAGTTTCGAAGTCCATCTGGTCATAAGGTACGAGCGGTGCTCGGCTGTATACTTTCATGCCGCAGTAAAGGACCGGGAAGAGCCCCACCGCCAGGTAGTTTGTGACGAAGGTGTCTGGTGCCCAATGCCCTTTCAGGAACACCGTCCATCCGCTAATCTGTAACGGGATAGTCTGTGACATCACTTTCACAGGGAAGCCAAACAAGCGCGAAACTCACCAGGACCACTGTCAGGCACCCGATAGCGGCATACCACGCAGCGAACGGCTGAAGGGGGGACTTATATGGGAGCGAACGCCGGTCGATGCCTTGAGCCCTGAGTCCGCGATAGAACCGAATGTAGGTCACGGAGATCCCAAACCAACTCGACAATCCGGCCACAGCGGTGCTGAAAACGTGTCGTGTCGGCACGCCAGCGTAAATTCGTACCCGCGATTTGACTCACATGTTGGCAAACCAGCCGAAAACTTTACCGCTGCCGCTAGTGACACCCATATACGCGAGGAACGCGAAGGAGGCGCAGAAGACGAGCGATACCCACGGTAGGCCATGGCGTGTCACTTTGGTGAAGATCTTTGGCGCATTGCCGTTGATCGCGAGTCCGTCTAGTCCGTGAGTGGGCGAAGAGTTAGTGTATGTTCTCGACCGAACGCGAGCGCCACACTCACAAAGAGCACGTGAACTGGAGTACAAGTCACTATTTGCCGCCGACCAGGCAGACGTAAGGATGACTGCGTTGATTACCTGCATGGGGGGTTGCGAGTCAATCAAAGGCTTACTCGTACAGATCTGAGCATGCTCACCGAAGGGAGGCCCTTGATCCCGGCGTTGCTGATGGCGATGACGAAGGGTGAGGCGGCGGCGGTACCAGTGCCGAGCGTGAGCCTCTCATCGTCGGACGGAACGAGCAGCCCGATGATCGTGACGCCCCCAATGTAGAACAGAAGGAGGCGGATATAGACGCGCTTGATAGCCTTCGGAATGTTGCGACGGGGGTTCTTCACCTCAGCGCCTGCGATCTAGCATTTCCCGTGAGCACCGGCGTAAACGATGTGTGGGAACAGTGGAGGACTCACCGCAACCACCTCGGTTCCAATGAACGAGAATGCCGCTTGAGTCATCACAGCGGACCAGCCCAGGAAACGGCCTTTCGCGCCCTCGATGCCGTTGAACTGAACAAAAGGTCCCGGGTGCTTCCAGTAGCGGAAACCCAGGCGGTCATGACTCGGGCCTCCACCAAGGTCAATAACGATGCCGAGGATGAGAAGCCCGACAATGGTGACGACCTTGATGGAAGCAAAGATGAACTCGGCTTCACCGTAAGCCCCTACAGAAACCCCATATTTAGACGGAAGATTTCGTCCAGTGGTCCAGACGACGAACCTGCACCAAGCATGTTGATTGTGAGGACAACAACAAGGCACATAGTTATCCATACTGCGGGGTTGACCTCTGAATTCCTATCAAACACGAGTGTCATTAGTGATAGATACGGTGCGGACAATGTTGGCGAAGCGTACCAATAACCGATCAGGACGGATGCGGCGCTGAGCTCTGCAGGGAGAACGAGAGTCCAGTTATACCCTGATATCGCATGTGAGGCGGGGGTCTACGCTAGGCAGTAGGTCTGCCGCTTACAGTAGAGCCACCCAAGTGCGAACGACCAGGCCGGGTCGACGAACCGCTCGGCGAACGTGAGATGTCCTCCGGGAATGGGCAGGAAGGCAGCCATCTCTCCCAACGAAATCTGACGTACGTGAGGAATGAGAAGCTGTAGAGATAAGCCGCGGGAGGAGACTTGCCATGACGGTGTAGCAGAGGGAACCAATTGCTATGTAAGCAAGCAGCATGCCGATGGGCCCTCCCGTGTGCAGCGCGGAGGCCGTCCCGAGGAAGAGTCCAGTGCCAATGACACCTGAGTCGCTTCAGCCTCAGCCCTACCGGAGTCGTGTGGACTGCAAAATGCTGGTCTACGCACCTCCGATACTGTGTGGGGGGCAGACGGGTAAGTGTTTGAGCATCAGCGTGAACAAAGTGGGCTGACCTGATCATAGCAATGTGCCTGTTCTTCATCTGCCGTTTGAGTCCATTCTGCTCCTCGATATCTGCGCCGCTGGAGGTGTCTTGGACAGGGGCGAACTCGGCTTTCTCCTTCGAAGGTGCCATTGTGTCGCGCGCGGCGGGAGCCTGGACGTATGTATGGGAAGGAGCGCGAGGCAGCCACGCAGCGCGGGGACACACGAAGGAGAAGGGCGGCGAGCAGAGGACCTTGTGGTAATTATACTGAACCCAAGCTGAGGCGCGACTAGACTCCCACTTTTTTGCCGTGGGTGATGCAAACGCGGATCGGAGATGGATCTCGGGTGGGTGGCGTCGGGCAGCTGAGGATCAGACGTAGCAGGCTAGTGCGACCCTGGAGCTGCAGGAGCATTGCTGGCCACAATGCATCTTCTATCCGAAACGCAGTGTTCAGAAGGTCTGAGACTGCTCGGGATGTGTCCCCCGGAGGGTGTGGGTGACAGACGCGGGTGGGAGCAGGATAAGTGGTACGCATATAGAGAGAAGGCCGGATGCAAGATAAGCTGTATTTGACGAGGCCGGTGGGGGCCGGGGTTGACGGATACTGTCAGGACAGCGACTAACGGTAACCTAGGGTACCTTTAGTGCGAGCTCGCGGTGAACGTCGTGCAGAAGATGAGAGGGTGGCTGATGGACTTGCCCAAGGAGTTGCCGAGGCTCCACTGTCCGGTTCGCCGGTCCAAACTCCGCACTGATTGCAATTTGTCCAACTCCGCGCGCGTTTGCTTCCATATATGGTTAGAGGGCACGTGTGTCGACGGTTTTGATCTCATGTAGTATCACTCGCCCTCGCAGCCATTTCCCAACCCCAGTCAGTTCCTGACTCAGTGGGAGTGCAGTGTATAGGTATGTCTTCATCGGACGCTGCTGGAATACGCATTGAAGCATGGGAAACTGGGAGTAGACTGATCTCGCGCTTCCTGGCCTCGACCTCCCCGTATGCACCTCACAATGTACCAAGATGAGGACATGGAGGCACTATGATCGACACAGACCTCCAGGTGTGAGCACTACTTATATACTTTGTATGCATCTCGCCTTCGTTTGAGCGACATCCATGAACAGCGCGAGCGCGAGGCCGTCCAGAAGAAACTGGGGAGTTCGTCTCCCCTCTCTCTTTGTCTCGCTATTCTCCACGCTTCTTGCATTCACCGACACCCCGTTCACTTTCTTCCGCGCGTCATGTCTTCCACCATACGTCTGCATGCATACAGTTCAGCCCTACTCCTGTGCCACGCTCGAGCAAGAACCCTCCTGATGATCGGTTGCCTACCTTAACATCATCAAGGCAATCAACATGGCTGAGAGCATTCCTCGTCCTCGATGCACGAAATAGCCTCGTCGCGTCCCCAAGATGCACTCGAGGCCAAGCTCTCGGGAGTCGGGGTAGCCGCACAACTCTCCAATATTGACGGTAAGCGTCTGAGCCTGGTGTTGCGCATACTGCTCGAGTGTCCTACATGGCCCATTTACGTCATTTCGACCTCATGTACTACCAATTTTCGTATGCTTATTAACAGTGCGAAGTAAATCTATTCGTCTGAAGTAGCCACAGGCACAATCTCGGAGCAGTAAGTAATACTTTTGGTGGAAGGCCCGCCAAGGAGGCGCCCAGGGGACAGGGCGCCCGTCCAGAGCGCCCAGTCAGTTGTGGTCTCGAACGTTACGGTTTACCCGGCCGACTGGCTCGAGTAAGACGTACGTCTTGAACGTTTATCCGGCCGCATCGTTGAGTGCAGGCTGCTGGTCAGGGTGGTCGAAGCGAGAACTTCGCCGAGAAGCCGATTTCATCGTCGGCTCCCGGGCCGTCCTCTCCGGAGTCCATCTGTCTACTTATTGATGCAGTCGGATGCCTTCTTTGCCTCTTGCCGCTATCCTTCAGCATCCTCCACACTAAGTACCTGCTTGTCTGCTTGTTCGTCGCTCAGGCCATACAAATCCGTCAGCCCCGTTGCACTGCGCCTTCAGAGCGGAGTCAATCTCATTCTGTGCACCTACCTGCCTTGTCTGTTGTCTCCAGGACACGCTCTTTTACTCTATCCTGGGTACAACCCGACTCACCAGTATCCCGGCGCACTGCGGCTCTGTCTCGTTCTTTCATAAGTCTGTCACTCCAGATGCCATCCCGGGTACAGCTTGTGGGCGGCGGGCGCACTCGCAGCTGCCTCTGGGCGGTACTGGACGGGACTCCCCTCGCACCGACTTGCCTGTCTTGGCTACCCCGCCGCCTCCTTCAACGACCTTTCTTTGTGCCTTCTCTCGTGTGGCGGCACTTCACCAACGTCAGTCCGTGCGCGGAGGCGCATACTACATAGCCTTGTATTCTGAACGCTTGCGCCCGCTGTCGTCCATTTATGTTACCTTGCCATACTGGAAGCGACCTTCCTCAGGCAGTGGCGGGAACGGCTGGCGTATAAAATGCCTCGTGTAACGACGAACGCGGCACATACCTCTGCGACCTCCACCCTCACCTCTCTCCACAGCCATCTCAGTTCCACACACCAACATCTACGATGTCGAAGCTCTATAATTACGACATGCGGCGGGTGCAGCAGATCAAGGACTCTATCGACCGTCCTACCATCTGTGGCTACCTCCCCACCAGCTCCTCCCGTCGCTCGCGCACTGCGCGCTACCTCGGCGGCGCGGCGCGGATCGTGGGCATCCTGCGCGACCGGCTCTCGTCTTGGCAGGTGCGCGAATACGATCGGCTCCACCACGCGTACGTCCCCGCCGCCGTTCCCTCTCGAGCGCGGCCCGAGGCTGACACCATCTCGCGCAGCGCTATGGCGATTCCCGAGAACTGGGTTCAGGAATGCCACGACGCAGCGAGAAAGCTGTGGCAGTATGCGTCCGTACGTCTCGGGCCGACCCGTTCCCCGCCCGCTCCTCGAGACCCCTGCCCGCTCACGCGTGTCTCGCTTTCGTTTCTCTCCAGAGCATGGACATGTACGTCCCTCGCCCCCCGGAGCGGCACGTCCACTTCCAAGACCGGCACGCGAGCGCTTTCTCCAGCAAACCCCTCGCGGGGCGGTACGCGGCGCCCTCGTCGACCTCGAGCGCCTGCTCGTCCTGCCCGTCCTCGGGCTGCTCCTGCTCCGCGACGGACGGAAGCTACTACTCCCCCGGTTGGAACTACCAGTGGTTCGCGGCACTGCCCTCGGTCTGGGTCCCCCTCCAGAGTACGTACACCCGTCGCCGCCTTCCGGCTGCCGCATGTGGTGACTGACGCCTTGGGGCCCCACCACAGCACGCTTCGCTTGGTGAGCTCGGCTCGGTCCGCAGGCGTTGGACGCACTGGCGCACAGCCTTTTTCACCTGCTTCTCTTGATACCCTTAAGTACGGACCGCGCTGCCAGAAACGGACTGAATGCGGGCGATGTATTTGTTTTGTTGTATTCGGCGATACCCTGATACCCCCCCCCCCTCCGGAATGCTTTGTTCCTACGACGCTGACGACCTTTATGACGTACATACACGAACCCTCCACTTGAATATAACGCACGACGACTCTTACACACGCTCGGTGATTCGACGCGCTTCCCGCGAATGAGACGATTTTGGACGTGACGCGCCGGCTGACGCGCCATATGAATCCCACGACTTCGCATTCGCAGCCGCGCACAGCGCGCGGTCCGACGTCCACGCGGAACGCGGGGCCGTGACAGAGAACGGCGGGGGTCGGACAGAGCGTGGGGTAAGTAGAAGTCGGCAAAACCGCCATGCATTCAGATACGTAACACGGAGCACGCTGGGCGCTCCTTTTCGTCCCCCTGGCCGCACAGGCGCGGGGGCGGTCGTGAGCAGACGTACGTCGTGGGGCAATAATATCGTGAAGGGCGAGACACAGGTCATGGGCCGCCGCGCCCATCGGCGATCGATGGGCGGGGCGAGGCGCGGTCTATGCGGGGGCACAAAAGGGTGGGAGAGAAGGAGGTCGAGGGTGGGCATGCGATGCGATGAGATGGGTCGGGAGAGGAAGGAAGATGATGCAGATAAGGCAGTGATGCAAGTGAGGATGAGACATAGGACAGCAAGAGAGAGCAGCAGCGGCATGGATCGGTACATCTAGATAGTGATGAGGGCAGATACGAGGATACATCGTGGGCGCACAGGAAGCAGAAGAGGACCGAGGCCAGCGGAGGGAGACACGAGGACATCTAGCGCGCGAGGTCGATGTCACCTCCGACGATCCGTGTATACACAAGTTCAATCGGGGGACAATCGCATTATCTCGACGTACTAGACGCCTCGCTCCGTTGACGGACGTGGTCGCCTTCATGCGCCTTCCCGGCGAGGTGCAGCCACTGGAACCAGCGGCTGCGCGATGACGCGTCCTCTTCCTCCTCATCGCTACCGTCGGGGACGCCGAGGCCCTCGATGGTAGCGAACGAGACATACCCATCCATCGCACCGCATTGCGCCGCGGCCTCGCGGGCATTGAACGGCGGCGATGGCGGAGGCGTGAGCGGTCCGTTGCTGCTGGCTGAGCTGCCCTTGCGCGACGACGCCGGCTTATGGCTGCCGCGTGGCGTGTGGTGTTTTGAGGGCAAGGGCATCGGTCTGTCGGCGGACGACAGAGAGGTGTGGCTCAACTGAGGGAATATCAGCTACAATCCTCAAATCAATCACATGGACCACTCACGTCGCGGGCAGGGCCGAAGAAGAAATCGCCCTCGCCACTCATATTCCGACTGCTCGACATCGAGTCGCCGCTGCCACTGCTGAGACCACCGTCGTACTCGCGGCGCTCAATGCTGCCCGCCCTCCGGCTTTGAGTCTTCAGCATTGTCTCCAGACGCTTGCGGAGGACAGCCTCGTGCGGCGTGAGAGACATGTTCTCCATGTCCGCCGCAATCCGCGCAGGCGCCGCGGGATGCGACACTGACTGCGAGTGCAGACGCCGAGTGGGGATGGAGGGGGATGTCTTCGGCGAGCGTTGAAGCTGAACGCGAGCTAGGGACGGAGAGGCGGGGGGATTTCGCGCTACAGAGTCTTTGTGATGAGGTCTTGTCGGTGACGACACGGTGCGGTTTGTGCGCCACAGCCTCTCGTCTTCCTCAGGACTCTCCTCGTCGACGGTGTCTTCGAAATGGTCGTACGACGAGGACGAAGAGGACGTAGCGCGGCGATGGCGACGGCCGCCCGGTGCGGCAGCTGGGAGATGGTGGCCGTGGGCGATGGGCGAGGCGGGGGTGCTGAAGAAAGGGACGGGGTTGTGGATCCTTTCCTGTTCCTCGGCGCGACGGAGGGTGTCGCGGAGTAAGCGCTCAGAGCGGCTAGGAGGGCGGGGCATCGGAGGGCGTTGAGGAAGAGGGACAGAGGAGGTGAGAGGTGAGGAAGGACGGGAAGCAGTCTCCGGTCTTGACCTCGAACGGGGCCGCGCAGTGTGGGGTGACGTGCCGTTGGAGAGCACGGGTGACGGGGCGTAGACGTGCATGGACATGGCGAGAGTAGGGCGCGGGGGTAAGGGGAGGAGTCCACGCCTGACGGATGACGCTGTGCGAGAGTGTGGTGACCTGAGGGCAGTGGCGGGCGGGGAGAGGAGTGGTCAGCGTGGGATCGAGGGAACGGAGACGGGGAGGGGAGGGAAGTGATGTGGGAGGGGAGAGTGCACTGCGGTGACGAGGGTAATAAAGGGCAGGCATTCCGCAAGGCCACGGGCGGGTGAGTAGCACGCGTGCGGGCGGACGGACGAAGCGAACCGGTCCAGGTGCCGGGAGGACCGCTCTGCGACCGCGAGCGACAAAGTTCGTCGAAGTCGAGAACGGCCGGAAAGGAATTGGAATAATCAAGGCGCGAAGCCCACGGGAAGCGCAGGGGGGGGCACCATTCAGGGGGCAGGGAAAGAAGACTCACCAGTGGGAAAGCAATCGCGTTGAGCGGGTCGCGTGCGAAAGCGGTGACGGTGACGGTGTGGACGGCTCCCACTGGGGACAGTCGGAGAGTACGCTGCTGCAGACGGAGACTGAGAGCGAAGTGGGCGCGGCGAGGGCGCTGCGGGTGCGGGCGTGGGTGAGGGAGCGCTTGCTGTGCGGGGTGGGGAGGGAGAGCACGGAAGGGGTGGGAGAGTCGAGGGAGGAGGAAAGGGACGGGGGATCATTAAATGACGAGGGCCCGGGTAGGTGGGCGAGTGGCGGGGGGCACCTGGACGTACGGGCGGGGGCGTGGCCAGACTGATGGGCTAGGGGCCGATGGATGGGGAAGCCAAAGCGTGTCGTGCGAGTGGCCGGGGAGACCTCGTTGCAAGACATGCGGGCGGCGGAGGAGCGCCGGGCGGCGGGACTTGGGGGCAGGGCGTGACCTGGGCCGGAACGGAGAGAAAGACCGAGCGCAAATTTGTCCGTGCTGGGTTTGGGCGGATGGGCAGAGTGGTCGTCTGCTAGGGCACGGGGCCGGGTGCCGGAGGCGCTGGAGAATGGCCGCGTCGCGGGCTTGGTTGGCGTGCGTGGGCTTGACGCAGGCGAACGCGGGGGAAGGCAGCGGAACGGGGACGCGGCGGGGGACGCCGTGGTATCAGCGGGGAGGAAGTCGCTCATGGGGGCCAGGTGGTCGTGGTGGCGGTGATGGGTGCAGCGGGCACGAGGCTAGGAAGGCGGAACGGCGAACGGGATGGGATAATAGTCGCGTAAGCCGCGTTCCCCGCCGTGGAGGGCGCAGCGAGAGTGGCGGGCAGTCCGAGGAGAAGGAGGAGGAGGAGGAGGTGCGGGGAGAAAACCGAGGCGGTCAGCGCCCCAAATATGCACCGTCGCCGTCGCCGTCAGCACGGGCGCACAAACCGAAACAAACATTCCGTTAATTAAGTAATCCGCCTCCGTCCACCCGTTTCATCCGTTTCATCCGGGCGCTCCGGACGAGCGCCGCCTCCGGGCCAATCGCGTACGGCCGGGTTTGGTGACAAGTGCCTTGTCTGCCCCATGCCCCCAACCCCACAGTGACGCAAGCTGATGCGGTCAGCCGAAGCCACATCCTCGACGCGTCGGCAGCGCCCACTGCTTCAGCCAGCTCCCTTGCAAGGCCATCGCGCGCCGAGGCTGTTCTTGACGACCGCACAGTCCCTTTCCCACGCACCGTCAGCGCGCCCGTCGTCGCCGCCCACGGTCTAGGCCATCGTCTCTCTGGCGCCTCCTTGTGTCAAAAACATATACTCCGTCACCTCGTCGTCCCCTGCAAACTGCTACAGTACAAGCCGTAGCCAGCCTACCGTTCTTTGTCCCTTGTCCGAGCTCCCCATCGAGTCCCTACTTGACCACCAGGGTCCGTTGTCCTCCCTCCGTTCTCCCCGCCCATTCACCCGCCCATAGCGATCGTTCGTGCATATCAACTGACCCCATCGACGTCTCGACCCAGGCCCCGTCCATAGAACGTTCCCACCGTGTCCGGAGAGCGGAACGCTCGCCTCTGCCCGCAGCTGGCCACAGCGTGTGATCGTCATGGCAGTCTCTGTGAGCGTTCGATTGCCTTGCTGTGTCTTGTGCCACTTGCTCTCTTGACAGCCCATCGAGCCCATCGTGGCATGACCTCGCTCGTGCACTCCACACGCTCGCAGGATCGTGGTCTCGGCCCTCGCTTGCGTGCGCCCCGGGCTCGCGCGGGTCTCTTGACCGTCAAGTGACTGCCCGTGAGTCTTCTGGTCCCGCGGTTCTGTGCATCTGAAACGATGCCCTCATCAGCCGTCGCTCGTTCGACCCGGGTCGATTCGCGCTGTGAAGAACGAGGAGACGCTCCGGGGCAGACAAGCGGCGATCGCTCTCATGCGCTCCTGGCGACTGAATATGGTCACGGCGACGTGAGGAGGTTTAGCTATAGGAATCCAATTTTGCCCTATCTAGAGTTTCGAGTGCGCGCAGGGTTTCCTTCTTCAACCCATAGCGAATCACACGCTGTGCTCCACTACGACTCGTCACAACCCACAGGGTGCTATCCCATATCGCTCTCCGCGTTTCTATAAAGCTTGGAGTATCTCCTGAGGCGGTGGGGCCTCGTATCGAGCCTCCGACTCTTCTATCGCCCTGCATGCGCCGCGCCCACCCGACACGAGGAATTCCAAGTCGGGGGTCACGCACGATCGACACGGTTCTCCGCCGACTTTCGACGGACTTGCGTCGGTGCTCCACACGGTAGCGCGGATCGAGTATGTATCGACGTGGGGGGCACTTCGGCGGGGCGGATTCCCGACCTCCGAGGCGCCAGGGACGCGCGACTTTTCCGGGGCATCGTCGGTCTTCGAGCGCGGTCCTGGTGCGTCATGATCCGCGTCTTCACTCGCCGCTTTCCCCTTGCTCTTCGAGGATTTTCCCTTTTGACTCTCTGTGGCTCGCGCACATCCTCGGCCTCGTGTGGATCGTCAACGCAATGTCGTCAGTGCACTCACGGTCGTGGTCTACGTCTTGCGGTGCTGCGCCGTAGTCCGAGCGGACGGCATCGCTCACGGCGGTACGGACCGCGAGCGCGGGGCCAGTGCGATCTGCACCGCGGCTTCGACAAAACTGCGCGGGGCGACGGGCACGAACGGCGGAGGCGCCGTGGCCAGATGGGAAGCGGCGGTCGTGGGCCGCGCTGGCGATTTCGGATTAGCCTACAAACTTCCTCGCCGCTCGCGGGGTTGCACGGCGGGCACGGCGCGTGCGGCGGTACGGGACGCAGGTCCGGAACAGGATCTGCGCGCCGCCCAGGTTGGCAGGCGGCCACAGGCCACGTCGTCTAGGCACACCAACCTTAGCACCGTGCGCGTTCCTATCGTTCGAGGGTGGCCGCCGATTGAGTCAGCTGTATGTAAAACTCTCGTTTCGAGCATGTCTACCACTCGGGACCGGCCCGTCTCTATGTTACCACTTGGCAGCGCTGGATCCGGAGGACTAGTCTTACACTGGAGACCCGCGGAACTCCGTGTGGAAGCCGCACCTGTAGACGGGCTACGCCATGCCTCGTCTTGCCCCTCGAGACCACTCTCGGTAAAACCAGGTCGGTCTCGAGGTCACCCGGAGCTGAACGGCGCGAGGGCTAGAACGAACAGGACGAACTCGAAAGTTTACAGAACCGTGGAGAAAGAACACAGCGTATTGCATCAGCATGAACGCATACATACATCATAGAGACAGTCCCGAGACCTCAGCCTCACCACCCAGCGACCAATGGCCCAAACCTAGGTTACCCGGATGACGAGGAAAGTGAGGAAGAAGCCGATGGCGACGACCACGAGGCTGAGGAGGGTGATCCAGGTCGTGCCCCAACTCTTCGAGTGGTGGTCCCGCAGCCGGACGCGTTCCCTCGACATGACATCATGGTTCCGCTCCAGCTTCTCCTGCGCGTCCAGCACGACCGCCTTGTCGGTCTCGAGCGCGCCCGCGAAGTGGATCGCGTTCCGCTTCAGTTGCGTCGCCATCTGAGCCAGCTGCGCCGCCAGCTCCTCCTGCAGCTGCTTCGAGTTCTGCATAAACGCCGGCGCCGCCTCCGTCGTCGTCTTCGCCGCCGGGGCGATGTGCGACGGCGGGAGGAGGGTCTCGCTCGGGTTGATGGGTCCGCGGACCGCGGGAGAGGCCGCTAGGGAGAGTAGGCATTCGTGTGTGGCTATGGCCGAAGTCTCTTCCACTGGGAGCAGTGTGGTAGTAGGCTCGGGTAGCGTCTCCTCCAGGATGGCAGGTGTCACTGGGGGCGGTGAAGGCTTGGGCAACGAAGACAATATAGACGGAGGTCTTGTGACCGAGGGGGACACTCGCTATGGATTGTCGATGTTCTAAGCGACAGACCAGGGACGAAAGATGACATGCAGCGCACCTTGTCAGCTTCCGTGACCACGCTCTCTAGGTGGTCGAGAGACTTGCTGATCTCCGCAAAGCGCCCCACAGAGGCTCTGGACGACCCACTTCAGGGATTGGCTTTGCACTCTGGTTGGAAACACTCACGAGTCGATGGCATCCCCGTTTGCCTGCACACTCTGCAACAGCTTCCTCGCATGCCTGATTTTCTGCACAAACGACCATTCGAGTCACACGTGGCGCACAAATATAGAGCATAGAACATACCTGCAGCATCCCACGAGTGCGGATCCATGCTGGGGGACTGGCGGGTGGAAGAGCCTCACAGGACCACGCCTCTGCGGCGACTGACTTCTCCAATCTGCAGACAAGTCGGGCAAGGTTAACACGGTCATGAACAGACTGTTCCGCGAGCATTGAATGATCCTGGGCAGAGCCGGGGTGGTGCAGGCGGGTTGGTCTGGCAGCGGAAGGAATGTGGCTGAGAGCAGGTCGTGGACAACGTCCGAATCGTGGCCTGCGCGCCTGTTATCGGCGTCTAGATCGCGTGTGCGGATCCGCTTCGGATGAGTCTGCCACCGTTGGCTACCGCAGGGTTTTCTCCTTCATAGATCGCTCCCCTCATCCAGCTGGCTCAAAACTAGATTCTGGCTGGCCACTTTTGAAATCTCGCTGCTTCATTGGTTTTGTCGCTTGTCCTCTCTTGGTCTCTGTATCGATAACTGTGCTCTCAAGCTCTCCGTCTTGTATCACTAATCCGACATGGCGCGAGGCAAGGGTGGTCGCGGCGGCAATCGTGGAAACTTCCGCGGTGGAGACCCATCGCGAGGGAACGGGCGAGGCGGTTTCAGAGGTGGGCGAGGCGGAGGACGAGGCGGAGGGCGAGGTGGAGGGCGAGGTGGATACACTCCAGGGTTCGACGACTTCGACTTTCCTATCCCGCAGTGGCCAGCTAGTACGTGTTCGCGCGCAGCGCGTAGATATCCGAACGCTGACTCCCCTGAGCTCAGATGAACCCCCACCGCCCACTCCTCCCCCTCGCGGACGGGGATTTCCACCCCGGGCACGCGGCCGAGGGCGCGGCGCGCCTCCAATCCCGTTCAATGTTTACAAGTCTCACAGAGGAATAGGCTCCCCTCCTCAGGCAAGAGGCTCAGGACGAGGAGACTATTCCAAGGGACGAGGAGCACCGCATGGAAACGGGCGTAACCTCACCTCAAGGCTCAACGCCGGGGTTCCGCTCTCGAGACTACTCTTCGAAGACCGGCCTCTCCTTAGGCCCATCAAATTCGTGCGTTCGGTATACACCGCGACATTATTTGAGCAGGAGGACGACATCTTCAAGCCTGTCGTGGAAGCTGCTGGTGAGTGTTGTCTCTACGCGATCTCGGGCTCGTTCAAATGTTACTGCCAGTCGATGGGGACGAGGAGAGCCATGTCCCCACCGCAGACGCGGTCCTCCAGATATTCAACCCCACGATGGTCCCCAGTGCCGAAGATACCCCCGATACCCCCGATCTACAGGACCCTGAGGAGGACGGGCTTGAAGAGATTGATTTTGCAGATATAGGCCGCATCCAGGCCGAAGTGGATGCTGCGGTAGCGAAACGCGGCATTACGAACTCAACTACCACCGTGACCGAGACTACGGTCACATCGAGCTTCTTTGTTGACACTACACCCTCCGCCGTCCATAATAACAAGGCTACTCAGATCAAAATCGACAAACTAGAAGGCGTTTTGGGCACTGGCACTGCTCAAGATGATGAAGATGACGAGATCATTGTTTACGTCGCTCCCCATCCTCGAAACACTAAAGCATTCCCTGCTTTAACTTCTCCGACCACGGTAGAATCGGCACCAAAGGTCCCCATGGAGGTCACCTCCGCCCCAGTCACCGCAAGCGAGTCCATCCCAGAGTCTGTTACGTCGACCCTGGTCGCCGTGGACGAGCCTCCATCAGCGTTCACCTTGGAACTGGGTACGCTGTACCCCGAAGCGAAGGTCTCCCCTGCACCTGCAGGCCACCCACGCGCCCCAGACCCTGAGGACCTGCCTCCCCCTCCGGCCTTCGACACGCCCGCGACGGCATCGGGGTCGGCGAGCAAACCCAGCACGACGGCAACGGCGCCCACGAGCACCCCGAGCGTAGCCCCGCAGCGCCTGCGCCGCCTGCACCCGGTGGGCACGCCGCGCTCGTTCATCAAGCGCAAGCCGCGGTGGAGGTCCCTGCGCGGGTTCGGCGGGTTCGGCGCGGCGCACGAGGAGGCGCTCCTGCGCGCGGAGGACCCGCGGCGGGCGCAGCGGCGGCGCGGGGACTCGGACGTCGAGTGGGGCACGGACGACGAGGACGGGGACGGCGTGGACGCGCTGTCGAGCGGGGTCGCGGACATGGTGCTCGACGGGGACGTCGACTTGGACGCGATGAAGAGATTCGTGCACGGCATGAGCGCGAGCGGGTCGCAGCATGTGACGATGGACGATATCGCGGATATGGAACGCATGAGAAGGGAGGACGAGGAGGACGAGGAGCGCGGGTCGGAGTCGGGGGTGAGTAGCGAGGACGACAGCGGTGCTGAGGTGGTTGATGGGGATGAAGAGGTGGAAGCCGTCGTGCAGGCTGAGGAGGGGGCTCTAATTGGGGAAGGAGAGGAGGACGTCGTTGGACCTGAAGATTCTGCCGACGAAGATGACAGCGACAGTGAAGAAGAAGACGAGGACGATGAAGACGAGGACGAGACACCTCGTAAAGGATTCCAATCACGGCTCGAACGGCTTCGTTCTCAGTCCAGCAATGCCAAAGGAAAAGGCCGGGCTGTAGACGAGTCAGACGATGAGGCTATGGACATGGAGATCACCTGGGCCGAGGACGACGAGAACTACCTCGATCACATACAGGTATGCTCGCTGTGTCTTGCCGTTTTGAATCCATCTCAAAAATTTTGCAGGACATACTCGATGCCAACGAGCATTTGCTTTCCTCAACCTCGTCAGGCAACAGGCGAGCGCGGAAATACATGTTCAAGGCCATCCAGAACGGCGACTTCGATTCTGTCGACGAGGTTCCCATGCCAGCCAGTAAGTGTACTCGGGAGGCTGACCACGCCAGCGGTGCGCTGACCCCTCCTCTCAGAACGCCACAAAGACAAGGACATCCCGCCTGAACTGCACGAGCAGTGGGAGAAAGACCGCCAGAAGAAGGCGGAAAACAAGCAAAAGCGCGCGCTCGAACGTCTCCAGATTGCCGTGGACCCGCTCGCCCAGCACAAGGGCGGGAAGAAGGGCCAGAAGGCGATGCTCGCGGCCCTCCGTGCGCCGGACGACGCGGACCTCCCGCACCGCATCACGGACCTCGAGTCGGTCGAGCGCGAGATCCGCCGGTTCCTCGCGGACATCGGCGGACCGACGTCGATGGTGCTGCCGCCGGCGAACAAGGTGCTGCGGACACAGGTGCACGAGCTCGCGACCGCGTTCAACCTGAAGAGTCAGAGCAAGGGCAAGAACGAGGTGCGGTACACGACGCTGGTCAAGACGACGAAAAGCGGGGTGGGTATCAAGGAGACCAAGATTCGGAGGATCATGCGGGAGGCGACGGGAGGGACGTGGGAGGGCCCGGGCAGTGGCAGGAAGGGGAAGAGTAACCTCGCGGTGCACAAGGAGGGAGAGGAGGTCGGGAAGGTGCGGCGCGCGTGTGGCCTGTGCATGTTGGGTTTGGGCTGACTTTGGTGCTGGACAGGACGCCGCGAAGATCAACGGATCGAACATCGGCTTCAAGATGCTCGCGGCTATGGGATGGGCCGATGGCGACCGGATTGGCCTGTCTGGTGGTCTGGATGTCCCGCTTACCGCCATCATGAAGAAGACGAAGTTGGGGTTGGGAGCGACGAAGTAGTTGAGTTTTGTAAAGTCGACCGCGATCAGGCTACATGACGTGGCCAGCAAGCGTTGTTTTCTTGTCAACAATCGACAACCATATACCTCTAGCGAAAGTGTGCCTCTAGGTCTATGCTCCTCTTTCAGCAAGTAGATCCGTTCCAGATGGTTGGACAGCCTGGCAGGCCGGTCTCCGGTTAGTCACATGTTTTACCAGAGCGATTTGTGATCAAGGCCAACCTCAAGTACTCGAATAATTAGAATTATGAGGCGCATTTTTCGGCATGAGAATAGTTCGCATTAATGTCACGGACCGCTGAATATGTGAGTTGATCAGGTTGAGGCTCGAAGACGCAGAAATCGTGAGATGTCCAGGACTCCAGTTCCGCGCGCCACAAGTTCCCGCAGGAAGCGCTCGACGAGTCGTAGTTGGGACGTGTACCTCACTCACCTCAGCCACTGATCCACCTCTAGCCTTTCGCCAGCGCAGTGTTTTGGACACCCATTCCGTGGTTTCCGTTTTCATTCCAATTCTCTCTACTGCCAGTGGCGTATCGTCATGTTCGAACCGGTGCGTGGAGGAACTCGTGGTGGCCAGGCTGAGTTCAAGTGGTCGGACGTGTCGCAAGACAAGGACCGTGAGGTACGAGCCGTCCCTCTCTGGAATCCACCAAGCCCTCACTCGACCTCTCTCGCGCAGAACTACCTGGGTCACAGCATCAACGCCCCGACCGGGCGATGGCAGAAGAACAAGGACATCCATTGGTACCAGCGCGACCTGGACGACAGCGAAGAGGCGCGAAAGGAGGAGCTGAGGAAAGTGAAGGAGGCCGAGGCGGAAGCCTTGGCCGCGGCCCTGTGCGTATGTTCACCTCTGTCTTGCGCCCCTTTTTGCCGACTCTCCAGCAGAGGGTTCGCCCCCGGGGCCAAACCTAGTGGGAGCGACGGTGCAGGGACCGGGGCCAACGCGATCGCGGTGCCCGTGAAGGCCTCTTCCTTGGACGATCTGGACCCGGAGAAGGAGGAGCGGCCGCTGCGCAAGGCGCAGAAGAAAGAGGAGAAGCGGCTGAAGAAGGAGCAGCGGCAAAAGGACCGGGGCGACGCAGCGAGCGAAGACCGTCGGCACCGTCGCTCGCGGTCTCGCTCCCCACTACGGAGGGATCAGCGCCGGTCGGCATCTCCCAGACGAAGAGACCGTTCGGCGGGGCCGGGCGAGCGTGCGGAACGCGCACGCACGCCGCCACGTCGGAGGGCGGAGGGGCGCGACTACGACGAGGAGGCCAGGAACAGGGAGCGGGAGATGGCGCGGCGGCGGTGGGACGGCAATGCGAGTCGCGACCGGCCGTCGGGCTCGCGCTGGGGGAGGTGTTGAGAAATCGCTCTGTACGTTCGTCGTTGCGTCTGTGACTTGTGTACCTCGTGATGAATCGTATGCCCAAGCGATTGAACAATGTGCATCGTTTCTTCCTGGCCCACTCCAGTCCGGTACAAAGACTAAGTAAGACATACGCGAATGGTCCCTCTGGAGCTCCCTCAGAAACGTCAACACCCGCTGTCAGAGGATGACCAGCCGAGGGTGAAATCCTGATGGTTTCCGCGCAACATTCCGCCATATCTCATCCAGAAGTGGACTCGAGTCAATGGGCGACGCCTCGGCTCACGTCTGGCCTGCCGACTCTGATTCCTGCGTCTCTCTTCCCGCGAGCCTCGGTGGCATATTCAAACGGACCCTTTGCGCCGTGATCTTCGAGAAGAGTGAGGTCCGGTCCAGCACAGGTGCCGATTCACTGCGGACGGAGGCAGCCGCACGGGGCAGTTAGCGCAAAGTCCGGTCGGCAGGACGCCCACACGAAGAGCTTCGCTGACACAAAGGCCGTGGCGTAAGGCCATCATGGACAAGCGACGAAGCGGGTGTCGTAAACACGCGGTGGCAGAGCCTCCGATGGGAGTCGTCAGCGACCGGGGTCCAGGACGGGATCAGAGAGGAGAATCGCCGATGTTCGCCTGGGCTGGGAACAGGCGAGGGCTGGACGCGGCGGTGATGTGTTGAGTGCCCGAGGGTCGATTTGCGAATTGTCGCGCGCAGACTTGGACGCGAGCCAAGTGTCGAACAGTCAAAGCGCAGGTGAGCTTGGTCCCGTCAACGCATGAATTTGTTGCTGACCGAGGAAGGTTTCAGCAGCAGCTAAGCCGGAATCACGCAGCGAAGGCGACCACAGTGTTCTGACCAACGGTGACGTGATTGTTATAAAGTTGTACGAGGACGGATGGTTTCGGGTGAGTATATAAGTTGACATGGCGAATGAGAGAGTGTACTATTCAAGAGATGGCGACTGAAGGGAACACGAGTTGCTGGAGGGGAAAGGACCAGGGGGTGCATGTCTGAAACGAAGGTCTGAGGATATGTTGTAAAGATGATGGGGAGGTAGTAGACTGCGCGATCGAGAGCCTTGGCGAGGGATCGGGAGGTTACTAGTTTGCAGTCGGCAAGAGGTGCGTCGTATGATGGCAGGCTCGGGTACGCTCGTGGAGGCGGTCGCATCTCACTCAGCCTGGAATGGCTACATTCGTCCCACTCTGACATCCAGCGCCGCAGCCGGAGCTGGAGATCTGCTGGGACTCGGGACGTCGGCAACCAGAGCGCGACTCTCGAGGGAGTGCTCGTTGCTCGCGGCCTCATACGCGGCCAATTCGGTCACAGAGAATGCGTCTTGCAGCACCAGGCCGTTGGGTCAATATACATCACCGTGGCATTCTGCACTGCGGGCCCGCTAACTGGGCGTGTGCGCGTGCTCGAGACGCAGGGCCGCGGTTCACGACGGGTGTCGCCGTTGTCGCGTGCAGGGCAACACCGCACGCGAGCCACACGCGAGCAACATTGTGTTCGGGTGGACCAGGAACCCAAGGGCGAGGCCGCGGGCCGTGGAGATCGCGCGCGGCGAGACCTGTCGCAGGTGTGCGGCAGAACGTGGCAGAACGCGCAGGGTCTGCTAAACCGTTCGCGCGTCCACGGGCGGAGAGGGGCGGGGGCGCTGGCATGGTGCGCGGGCTAGCGCGACAGGGGGAGCGGGGCGGGGGAGGAGGACGCCGGGTGTCGGCTGGGGGGCGTCCGCGTCCCTGCCCCGAGCGTCGATATATTCCGGCGCGCGTTCGTGCCAGGCCTGCCGCCCCGGAGCGTCCTCTCGCCCGCCCTTCTCTTCCTTTCCCCGCCCCCTCTCTAATTTCCGTCCTTATAATACGCTCGCTCGCCCGACGTCCGCTCCCTACTCTTAATATCCCTCTGCTCCAGTCCCAGCCTCCCCCGCCCCTCTGCGCGAAATGTCCAAGTTCGGCCTCCCCTTCTTCCTCGAGGACACCACCGGCAAGCTCACCGGTACCGACTTTGTCGACCTTCACAACCGGATGCACCTCAGCATCAAGCAGACCCTCCGTGACGCACACCGCTCGGCCTACATCATCTACGACCTCTCCGCACGCCCCGGAGCGCGCTCCGGTCTTCTCGTGCCCCTCATCACCCTCGACTTCACCGCACAGAACGGGCTCGGGTCCGTCAAGATCGCCGCCGGCGAGCACGTCCCCATGGACAAGTACCTCGTCCGCAGTGCCGGTACAAACGGGTGAGTCTCTGCGCATGACCCTCCGACGCGAACGGTCACATTAACGCGCCTCCCGTCACTAGGAACGCGCGTTCCAGGACGTTCAAGGCCGCTGACGGCCAGGAATATCGCTGGACTCTTCAGGCCGACGGCGACTGGCAGGTGTGTCCCGATATTGCTCTTGCGCCAGGCGGTTCAGATCGTGCTCACCGCGCTCGTAGTGTACGAACGCGCGCACCAACTACCACATCGCGACGTACAGCATGAAGCCGTCGGGCGAACCCCAGTACCCCAGCTCCTCGGGCTGCATGCTCACCGTGGAGGAAGCCTTCCCCCACCTCGTCGGCGGTACGTCTCACGTTCACGCCCCCTCGAGACCATGTTTCAGTGGCTAATGACGCCCATGTCCACGCACAGAACTGCTCGCGTCCTTGATCATCATGCGCCACATCGAAAAGTACAGCTCGTGAGCTTCCCTGCCCGTGCATGGCGGACATGAGGCTACATGAGGTCCCCAGACGTGCACCAGAAGCTCGTTGATTTGATCGGTGTCGCGTCGGCCATCGAGAGTCGACGGCCGGCCGCTGCTGGCCGTCCAAGCTGGTCTTGCGTGCCGCGGCTGTTGGCCGTTGTACCCGGCAGGTTTCCTGATCCACATAGCCCTCGTAATCTACTCATCCTACACTAACGCCGGAGTATAATCCCTAATGCGCTGCTGTTCATGCCCACATAGTCGTTCCCAACACAAGCAATGTACCCATATGTATAGTGGTTAGCATCGGTACATCGACGTTGTCCTACGTACTCCATATACGTCTACCAATAGTACTCTTACCCTTGACGACAAAAACTGGAGCGTGCTGCGCTTTGCCGCTAGAACGGGCAGCCTAGAAAAGCGATCGCGATCGAAGGAACGATCGTGAAGGTCTCTCTATGTTCTGATCACTGACACGCTCCGCGGCACACCCGATCTGCAACAAGGGAGATATGTCGCGTGACCGCGTTCTCTCTAGACGCGTGTCGCGTCGGGGCCGCACTGTCCCCCGCTTGACTCAAGCCGCCATGGCCTGCTCGCTGGTCTCGCCGAGGCAGCGCTCACACCTTGCCCCGTCCCGCCAGGACGATGACCAGCTCGACGTGCGTGCTTCCGCTTCGAGGCAACGGCTCGGGAGAATTCAGGGTGGTCATCAAGGGCAACAGCGGTCAGTTCCTCAATTTTCGCGCATCACTTTTCTTGCACTCACGTCAGCTTCTAGGCTCGGGCAAGGTGAGCGGGCCCTTTGCTTCTCATTAGACCACGATGCGACCTAGCCTCGACGATGACAGTCTACGCTCGCCCGTGAGCTCGCCGCCGTCCTTGGTCTGCCCGCCATCCACCTCGACACCCTCTTCTGGGACCCGGGCTGGCAGATGTGCCCAGTGGACGAGTTTCGCGCCCGGGTCCGCGCCGCCCTCGACCGTAGCGGTCCCCGCGGGTGGATCGTCGACGGAAATTACACCTCCAGACTCGGTAACATGGTGGGGGATGCGGCCACGGACGTCATCTGTCAGTCCTCCCCGTCTTATTGTGCCCCTCGTCTTCGTCTTCTGCGCGTCGTTTCCGCTTTTGACGCCTTATCTTCCCCATTGCCGCGCCCTCTTCTTCGACCCTGCGCCCGGACGGACCGGGTGTGGGCCTTTGTGCGTCCAACGCACTTCCTTCGCGCCCGCCGCGCCATCCGTCCGCACCACGCTCCGTGCCCTTCGTTGGCGGTCGCTGCGCGCAGGGCTCGATCCGCCCCTTCTGCTCTACTTCCCCCGCCTCTGCTGGCGCACCCTTCTGCGCCTCCTGCGCATCGGAGACCCCTGCGCTCCGGGCTGCGATGAGTCCATTCGGGAGGTGTTCTTCTCCTCCGAGAGCATCATATGGTGGTGAGTCCTCGCGGCGGCATCGCCGTGTCGTCCGCGGTGCTCACGACGTGCACGCCGCACCGCAGGTGTCTCTCCAACCACTGGACCGTGCGCAAGCGCGAAGGGGAGAGGTACCGCACGGACGGGGTCCATGTGGGGGGCAACTGCAGACGCATCGCCGGATGGGGCGGGGAGCTCGCCGCGTGGAAGCGAGATGTGCGGGCCATGGTGGAAGCCGGTGCTCGCCGGTCTGCTGCGCGTCCGTCGTGACGACTGTTTGTGTAGCCGTGGGGAGGTGGGCGCAATCAGGAGGCAGCGTGGCCGGGAAGCTTGCGCGCGATGAAAGTGGAACGACTGGGACGGGGGCGTGGTCCTCGGCCGGCATCGGTCAGCTTCCAGTTTCGATGATCGTCGGCGACGTTGTGCAGAGGAGAGCCACTTCCGCGTACCGCTTTGCGCGAGGCGCCATTCGATCTTATTCAGTTGAGACAACGCGGGGCATTGCATGAGCCTCATCCGCGTTCGACCGGTCTTCTAACGTTTCAGCAACCCCCACGCCTCGCGCCGAACTATGATCAGAAGGCGCTCGATCGTCCCAGCGGAGCGCGGACTCTTAAACGGCTTCGTCTAAAGTACGTCTTCGCGACTGGCTGAGCGCCGTGCTACGGTCGGCAGAGTCGCAAGTTCGCCGAACGCAACCTAGTCCGCGGACACGTCGCTGCCGCGCGCTCGCAAGGCGACCCGAGAAGCACGTCCCGCGGCCATTCCGCCGTAACCATAATTAATGACGATGGCGGCGCAGCACTGAGTTCTGAGTTCTGGGTACTGCGCGCCGCTCCTCGAGGCCCCAGGCGGCCCGGTTCGTACGCGCGAAGGTGCGACGAGAACGTAAAAATTTTTTCAAAAAAAAAAAAAAAAGTGGGCAGAACCCCGACCGCACCGCACCGCGCTCCGTCAGCGGGTGTTTGCGCGCAGGGCGCGGTCGTCTCTGTTCGTTCGCATCTGCCATCTCCCCCCCCCGAAGCGCACTGCGGTCTGCGCGGCGGCGGCCCCGCGTCCGCGACGGGACGTTCTCCCCCACGGCTGGACACCCCTGAGGCCTGAGCGGCCCCACGCAGACGTCACGGCGTTCGTGTAGAGATCATGCGCGCGCAGCTCGGATGGGCCACTAGGCACCTTGCTTCGCATCTCGTTGACGGGATCTGCGCTGGGCCGGCGAGAACCACTGGGGACGTCCGGTTCGGGCTGTATTGAGTGCGCGCCGAGGAGGTCGCCGTGCACGTCCCTGAGGCTGTAGAAGCCGCACTGGTCGAGATAGACTTTGAGTGCGGCGGGTGCGGGCTGGAAGTAAATACGATGTTCCGTGGCATTAGACGGGTATTCGATCGAGAGCGGTGACGAGAGCGGGGTCTGGGCGGGTGGTCGGCGTACATGGGGTTGTAGGAGTCCGAACAACAGGTGCAGGTAGGGAGACTGGAGTCGAACTATCAGCCCGATAAACGAACGAGCCGGACGGAGCGGCGGGATGAACAGCGGGATGACAGCAGAGTTGATACAGCGGTGGGGGGAGAGTTACATAGGCTACAGGCGTGATTAGGCATTACGAGAAAGAGGCGGGACGGAAAAGTGTGCATCTGGGACGGAGATGACGGCGCGACGCGACTGGCAAAGATGGGGGGGAGGAATAATGTACACAGAGAAGGAAATAATGGGCGAAGAGCGAATAGGTATGTCCGCAGTGACCGCACGACTGAGCTGAGGTGGGACCGTGCGCGGCGGGGAGTCGGGTTACATGGCAGAGGCGGGCCCGCGGCGCAGGATCGCGGACGGCATCGTGACCTCTGCGGAAGGGGGCGGGTGTTGCATCGCCTCGCTACAGGCGGCCTCGAGCCTGCGGCGGAGCTCGTCCTTGCGTGTGCCTTGCTCTGCGTGCGGAGAACGTCAGCGGTGACGTCGTAGGAGGAGTGGGGAAGGGGCGGTCGCGACGTACCTGGACACGGCCAGAGCAGGTTGAGCGCCTCGAGGGGGACGAGGAACGCCTTGGCGAGGTCGAGCGCGTGGGTGAGCGAGTGGTTGTACTCCCAGAGCCCGAGACAGATCGCGACTTGGCTCGCGAACCAGGTGACCTGAAACGGTCGGCGCGAGAGCTGCTGGCCCTGGGGCTCGTTCAGTTTGGTGACCGCTAGCTGGGCGCGTTTAGCCACTTGTTCCTGGTAGAGCACTACAGGGAAGAACGACGGGATGGACTCATCAGCACAACGGAACAAAGGCGGGCAGAAGACCGAGCGGGCTGAGAAGGACCAGGGATCCAGGGACAGAGCAAGGAACGAGAGACTTACGCCACTCTTCCGCCTGGCGCCGGTTGAACATGGGCAGGGGCGGCATGTCACCGTCCTGGAGTCTACTGGGCGCGTTCAGGGTTCGGGCGGAGGAGACGGGCGCGGAGATGACATACCGACGGAGCTCATACGTAATGGTCATCCGCGTGCTGCAGCGAAGTCGCGCGCAAGATAGTGCGAGGAGAGCGGACGGTCAGCGTTCAGGGCGGGGAAGCACAGGGACGGAGGAGACACACTTGTAGAGGTACTCGCGCGCGATGTAGATGAGCGCGGTGTTGGAGTTGCAGAGGTGCATGTCGAGGGCGTCCTGGATGGCCTGGGCCTCCTGGAAAGCGTCGATCGCGAACCGGGCGCGCTCGTCGGTGGAGAGGCCCTCGTCCCGCTGGATGCAGGAGTACGAGTTCCAGAGGAGCATGCTCCGGCAGTAGAGCGCCCAGACGGACTCCTTCGGCGACTGGCCAGACGTCTGCTGATGGCCCGCAGCGCGTTCGAAGGCTTCGCCAGGGAAGAGCAGCGCGTACTGATGTGGCGCGTGAGCTGATAGCGCAGGGACGATGTGCGGGCAAGACGCACCTTCGAGGGTTCCGCAAGGTTCAGCGGGGCCGGTTCCGTGTGGAAGGCGGAGCACTGCGCCGTATACGCCGAGACGAGCGTCAGCGCACACCAGCAAAGGCGCCGACACTCTTCCTTCCGGATCTCGGTCACGGACGCGTTCTGGTCCCAGCGCGCGTTCTCCATCAGGTTCAGCGAAGCAGAATCTACCAGGAAGCCTGTCGCCGGCGGCGGGCAACGGCAGCGCGAAGGGGTCTCGTAGCGGTCAGGCAGGTCCACCATTGGCACCTCGCGCGGCCGGAAACTGCTGGCTGAGGGGTCGTCACGGTCCATTGAGGGGAGGGAAAGAACGTGTATGATTTGATCCATAAGCTGAAGTGCCTCTTTGGCCCTTTCGGGAGAGTAGAGCGGGTGAGCTGAAGACTCAAAGAGTGCGAGGATCTAGGGGCGGACCTTGAGTCAGGATGACGTAGAATTTACGCGAACACTCACGAGGGCCGCTTCGGCCATGCTGTAGTCCAGGGCTTGATTGCGGCAGGCCAGCTCTAAGCAAGCTTGGCTGCGATCGCGCAAGGTGAGCGCGAGTTCGCGGCCGCGGCCGCCCAAGTCCATCTCGCTCGACTTCATCAGAATAGCCATGGCGAGACCGGACATGACGACTGGCTCCATACGGCCCCGAGACTGTGGATTATGCAGGTCCTCGAAAAAGAGATCGACGTTGATGAAGGAGAGCCAATAGCCGCTGTGATTGAAGCTGCAAAGCATTCGACGTCAGCGCACATAAAGCAGATCGCGCTGCGAGACACGTACAGAAATTGCAGGTCCTGAACGATGGCATGTAGACTACAACGAAGTAGAAAAAGATTAGGGACCTGCCATTTCAGCAACGTGAGCGCGATACGAACGACTGGTCTCGTGATTCCGGATTGTACTGGTCGAGAAGTTCGTCCCACCAGGCGGCGTCGACTGGGGAAGAGAGTGGTATAAAGTCGAGCTTGTCCTGATCGAGATGGGGAGAGATGTTCACATCCACGGGGCGCGCAAAAGCTTTGTCGGGATCGGAGTAGTCCATGATCACTGAAGAGCGACGAAAGGATGGTGAGAGCTCATCCTAACCGCGGCCGCATAAATACTCATCGCCACAAAGTCCTCTGATGACGGGAGAGAGGGGAGACTTACTTTTGGGTATATTGCGTCGGGATCTGTCTCGCGCGGAGACATCGAGGTATCGATATACAACGGCGGGATGTGGATGGCATTCGTGTCATCCAGCGGACCTCGCGACGGGAACTGGCCTCTCCTGGCACCGCCTGTTACGTTTTCCTTCACTTTCGCGTCGAAGGAGAGCGCGTCGCTCTCACCCTCTGAGCTCGTCCTGCGCTTCTTCTTTGCGAACCCGTTCGTCGGGTCCGCGTCCAAGGGGCGCTTCTTGCAGGAGCGTTGCCGCGTCCCGGGCCGTTTGTCAGGCCCGCGTCGCTTCGGGACGGCGTCGTACTCGCACTCGTTATTGCGCCGGACGCAGTTATGGCAGAACGGGCGGGTGGAGTCGCAACGGATCTTCCGCGCGCGGCTGGGATACCAACAGATTCAGGGCGTGCCAGTTCATTATCAGGAAGAAGGGGGAAGAACGGGTGCGCTTACCATTGTCGGCAGGCGATGACCACGGTAGAAGCCTCCCGCCGGGGCGGGCGGGTTGGGCTCGGGTTGCTGCCCGACGAGGTTCCCCTCACGGGACCAGAAGCGGAAGAGAGGGATATCTGGGGCTTCGGCTCGGCGGTCGGTACCGTCGTGGGCTGTCGGGAAGGGAAAGATTGGGTCGGATCAGCTGAGAGGCGAAGCTGGTGTTCAGGAACGCGAGAGTGCTGGGAGAGGTGGATGGAATATTCGGAGGACGAATTCATAAGGCCAGAATGAAGGCGGGGTGACGAGATCGCCATATCGAGCATGGAATGAGTGTGAAGGGAGAGGTCGGCAGGAAGGTGCGGGGGCGACAGATGATGGTGAATGGTCGTAGGGCTCGGGACTTGTAGGGTTTCTATGATATGGTGATCTCGGGAATGCGGGTCCATTGCCGGCGCGGGATAGCGAGCGTCAAAGGCGGAGGGCGGTGGTAGAAGTTGGGTGGCGACAGAGTCGTAGTGGAAGGGGCCTAGGGGATACCGGCCTTTTTAAAAGAGGCGGGACATGTGAACTGGGCTCCAAGCCGCGGGACGATAAGGTGTACGTACCGTCGGGACTAGCGTACGAGGGCTCATATACGGGCGAGTGAAGGTCAGAACCTTCCTCGGACGACTGGACGCCGTCCTCGATAACGGTCAGGTGAGGGAAGGGAGTGTAGGGGTCGCCGTTCGAGCTGGCGACCATGACGGGGGAAGCGGGCAGCGGTGTGGCAGACGAGGGCGGCGTCAGTGCATGGGGAGTTGAAGAGGACTGTCTAGATATGCGACGGCCACGCGAGGAAGTGCCTATGAAGCCAGAACAATCCCATACCCACGCGCCAGGAGGGCGTGTAGCGCGGCAGATGGGGATCTGCTAGAAGCAGGGAAGATTGAGCAGGTTTGACGAATTCCTCACGGAGGAGATGCTCACCAGACTGGGAAGCGGGCGATGGGGCCGTCAGGTCCGACGCCGGCTAGCCGGGGATCGAGGTGATTGCCTCCGCGCCGAGAGTCTGCGGGCTGGAATGCGGGGAGAGGATTGGAGAAAAGGCGGAGAGATAAGTGTTGGCCGGGGGTGCCTGTGCGCGAATGAGACGGTCGGCCGCGGAGACGGAGGGCCCGGGGCTGGACGGGGCTGGAAGAAAAGGGTGGATCTGGGCGAAAAACGGGTGTGAGAACGGTGGGTTGTGAGCTCAGAAACGAGATGAATGATGCCTTGGTCGCAGCTGTCCCGCCCGCGCGGGGGATCGGTGGGCGGGCGCACTAGCAGTAAGCGACTCAGTCCGAGGTTCTCGCGCAGAAGCGGTGGCCAGTGACTTGTCGCGCTCCGGGCGGCGACTGATGGCGACCGCCATTGTTCACGTCGGGGCCGCCGCGAGCGCATATGCTGGGTGTCGTAAGAATCTGTTCCTCGCGGTGCGCTAGCGTCGCGCTTACGGAACGCATTCAACGCGGCCGCCCTGGATTCGTCGGTGGAGGAGGGAGGAGGAGCGCGGTGGGCAGCTCGCGCGTCGGGCGCCCGGGCGGTGGCCGTCCGCGCCGGAGCCGGGGGCCGTCTGCGCGTCTCGCGGTGCGGCTTCCCCGCGTGCGCCTGCGCCTGCGAGCGCTGTGGCCGCAGTCGTCTCCCGCCCTCATCTCGCGCACACCCATCTCGCGCACGCCCATCTCGCGCACACGCTCCTGCGCGCACCAGAAGCCCTCCGTTTAGCCTTCGCAACGCCGGCCATCTTCTCGTCGCCTGGCCGCACCCTCGTTGGTCGCTGCTCGATCGCTCTCCGTCCGCAAAGGCTAACCGCTTTCCCCCTCCAGGCCGCGCCAGGCCTCCTCCTCCCACACGTGATCGAGCGAGGGGCTGGCCGCTCCTGGTGCGACTCTTCTCCCTCCCCGCCGGGGGGCTTCACTGACTGCTAGCCCGCCCCGGTGGTTCGAATGCCGTTTGTTGATGAGGCACGCTCCGCTCGGCCGCCTGCGACCGAATCTATGGCCCCGCCGTGACCGCTCTTGCGCCCGCGACATTCCAATCGCCCGCTCGACATTCGCCCACCCGCCCCAGCATGCGGAAGACGTACGTCTCCGCAGCCTGCGATTCCGCGGCGCACCATCGCGGCCTCCGCGCCGACTCCGAGGCCGCACGGCGGGAGCCCGCCACGGCCTCCGCCTCGCACCGCGCCATGGCCGGGAACCACACGCGCCCCTCGCTCTGCGCGCGTTGCATGAACGTGCATTCATTCATCTGCGCCGGCGCGATCGATGTCCGCGGCCCATTTGATCTGCTTTCCGGCGGAGGTGCGCAGGTTGTCGGCACTGCGCCCAAGCCTCTCCGCCCGCCGTGTGCGCGCGCCGTCTTGGCGGGTCCCGCGACATTGGGGCCCGGGCCCAAGTCCTGATCTCGCGCACCATATCCGGAGACCAGTCGCCCACACAAACGTCGCGTCGGCCGCGCGCGCCGCACACGGAGGCTTTAGAAGCACGCTCGGGGAACAAGCGAAAGGCTGTGAGCGTCCTGGGGCGGCAGCTTCACCCCGCCAGCATCGGTCCCGCGATGGAAATCCTGCCCATCGGCGCCGCTCTCGCCTACTCGCGCAGATCGCCCCATCCGGCTGCCACGCCCTCCCCCGCTTCCCCTCCTCCTTGTGCGGAGTGGGAATCTCTCCTCTCTGTCGTCCAGCCCTCGGTACCGAGCCCCGCGTGCGCGGCCCTCCTTGCACGCACTCGCCCCGTCTTCCTTGCGTTCTCGTCCTCGCTATCTGCACCCGCATGTCTGTGCCTTGTTTGGCGGGAGCGCGCCGCGCCCGTCACGAGGGCTGGACGGCTTCCGTGGTGGCAGCCCTGACAATCGCCGCAGGCCCGCCTTCGGACGAACGTCGAACGGAGCCCGCGAGCGCGCCCCCAACGGAGCTCGCGCCGCTGCAAAATGATCATCAGATGGTGCGTGCTCTGCTCACCCAGCGGCTGCATGAAGATATTCACGGCCCACCGGGTTGTCGTAACGCCCTTTTCCAGGACGTTGCTGGCGATCGCTGCCCTGTCCCTTCTCGGATGGGTCTCGAGTCGGTGTCTGTCCTCCACGGGCCCGAAACATTTCCGCTAGCATGCCTCCCATCGCTATCACAGAGCACACCAGGGTCGACCCCATTCAATTTTGGATTTAGCCTTTTCTGTCGGCCAGGCGGGCGCACCGCAACACAGGGTCTCTGGTGTGCACCTCCACGGGCCCCGCGACTTACTCTTGGCCCTCCAGCCGCCCTCTTCGCCCACGTCGACCTCGGACGCTGCCACGAGACCCTCCAGGCTCCTGGTATTTGTGCCGTGCTCCGGAAGCGGGCGCTCGCCCCGTTGAGCAGGAGTAGGCCTTCCCCGACAGTCGTCTAGAAGGTCCGTGCGGGGCGGGCAGCGTCGAACTTCCCCCCAGCCGCAGCATGCCCCCGATTGCGCTCTCGGTGTCCGGCGTTTTGGACTCGGGACTCGGAGGTCGAGAAGGCAGGCGTTCCCGAAGGCGGAGCGGGAGGACGCACGCGAGCATGGCCGGCGCGAACGTCGCCCGGCGCCCGCGACCTCGTCCTGGGGGGTGCTTCGCTCGCTGGCTGTAGGCACCCGCTGAGCGGGTCAGCTGGCGTCGGTCGCGTGTCGCGCACGGGCCCGATGCGTTCGCCGGCGGGCGTGGTGCGACAGAGCCCGTCCGTCCGTCCGTCCGAGAATAGGCCTGCGCGGGTGGCTCGCTCCCGCGCGGCGCCTCACAGGCGGGTTGGGCTGGGGGCGTGTTTGCGGGATTTGGGGATGGAGGCGCGGACGGTGCTCGAGCGACGCGGGCGCGTGACCGACGGCTGGACGCCGGCGAGCTTCGGGCGGAGGCCGGCGGTGGACGAGGCTCTCACCGTCCATGGTTTGGAGGATGTCATTGGCACCGAGAGGTTAGTGTGTGAGCGCGCGGGGGCGTCGTCGAGAAGCTCTGGAGTGTATAGATATGGAGTTCCAGGCGATCCGAAGACGCAGCGTCGTGATGGCGAAAGCCGTGGTCGATATTTCTTCGGTGAGCGGATGGGCTTCGTTCGTGGAGGAATGAGAAGAGCTGAAGCCAGCACTGGTGTCGAGGGATTCTCCGAGCCGAGGGAGGACATACTAGTGGGGAATAGCCCTCGCCGACGGAGGGAGCCGGTGCGACATACTCAGCCGCAGACGGCCGCAATTCAGCCAGGCTTCGGAAGAGAGACGGAAACCTGCGAGATCTGAGGGGAGAGGAGACTGTCCGTCGAGTCGGCTACTGGCCCGCCACATGCAAAGACTAGTGTTCCTCGTGGGCGAGGGTAGGTACTATCGGGTGATCAACCGCAGCGAATGAATTGCGGCAGAAAAATGCCACGCGAACGGAGACCATTCAAATACATTCAAAGGCTCGATGGGCCAAATCTGCATGCGGGGTCCCACGGCCAATCCTCCCCGTCAGACTGTTCCAGGACGGGTCGGCAGGGAAATGAATATCGGTCGTGTATGTCGTCTGAATCTGCCCACATTGGCGGGGCTTCCCTGCGATCCTCGGATGGGCAGAGGGCTCAATGGCGCGTTAACACGAGACAGCAGCGACAGAACGGTCTGGGGTGGCTAAACGAGTGGCGGCAGAACGGTGGACGCCATCACACTGGGTCCGATCAAGGCAGCAAGTCTCGCGGGAGGCCGCTCAAAGCCCCCCGCGTCCGGCCTGGTGGGGCTGCACAGCGCGGAGCACACCCGGCGGCCGCATGGAGAGCATGCTCGCCCGGTGGCCATGGTTCAAGTGGAGAGCAGCGGGCTCGCTCGCTGTCCAACACAAACCTGGCACTAAGTTCCTCCTCCAAACGCGCGGACAGGCGCCGGGCGATAGGGCCGCGCCGAGTCGGAGCTGACCAGCGCGGCCTGTCCTGCGCACCCAGCTCTCCGTCTTTCTTGTTCTTCTCCAGCCCCCGCGGGCTCCCTTCTCATGGCCCCCATCCTCACCGTTCTCTTTGGCTGCTGTCTCCGTGCCCGCAGCCCTTCTCTGGTGCGTTATCGTCCGCTCTCGTCGTCCTCCCCGTCTCTCACATTGAACCCAGGACGACCCGGACGAAAACACTCCGTTCATTGCTCCTGCGGAAGATGTTGCCCCGTACGTGTGCGTCTCTCTCTTCAGACTCTGCGCTCACCCTCCTCCCCGCGGCTTCCCCCAGACCCCGCAATTACAGCATTGACCACCAAAAAATGAAGGAGCGCTTGGGTCACATTGTGCGTTCCAAGGAGGGGTGCGTCGCTCTTCCGGCTTCTTTCCCTCTCCTTCCTGCTCAGACCCCCTTCCCGCTCGCGCGTATGCAGCAAGATGGTGAACGTGAACCAAAAGCTTCCCTTCAACATGCACAATCGCCCCACATATCGCCAGGACCGCAGCGTCTCTGCGAACACCACGCCACCCCGCCCGACCTCTTCTGCGTCCCAGACGAACCCATCTCCGGAATCCCCCTCGACCTCTGCGTTCCCCCACCACCACCGTCGTACCCACTCGCGCGACCCGTCCCCGTCGATCCAAACCAGCCGATCCACGTCGTCCCTCCACCCCGGTGACGCTTCCTATCTCCCACCCGAAGCCGACCCAGACGGCATAGTCCGCAAGCCGATCCTCAACCTGCGTCTCATCCGCGGACACGGTGGCTTCACGACTGGCGGCCGAATACGGCAAGGACGGAGCACCGTCCGCGGGCGGCGAGGCCGGTGGGGCGAGGAGCGCGCGACGGACAGCAGCGAAGAGCCTGACGCCGCCGTGGGCCCCTCACGCGGACGCACGGGGCTAGGTGACGGTGCAGAAGAGCCCGTGCTCGAGGTCGAGTCGCCGTCGACGCCGGGAGACGCGAGCCAGGACCGGGTCGACGCCGGCCGCAGGGCGGCGCTCCTCGCCGCGCAGTTCAAGATCGAGGACGTCGGGAACATCTCCCAGAGCTGGGGCGAGTGAGTGCGTACTCTACTCGCTGCTGTTTCCGTCTCGTCCTCCTGCGTCCACCCTACCGCCCTCGTCGTCGCTATCGCACCACCCCTGCCGATACGCGGGGCCGTTCCGCGTCTTCAGTCTTTTTCCAGGTTTCGCGCGCCCGTCGGAACGACCCCTACGAAAACTCACGAAACCCCGTTGAGCACCCTTGTTCTGTCGACTGTCTTGCATGTCGCTCCTTCACATCACCACCCGCGAACAGACTCCACAAGAACATTGCGTTACCACCACTGCGTCTACCTGCATCTTTGCATATATAGCCACCATATGTTAGTCACAATTAAGTCGTCCCTAGTGCCCAAGGGTGTCTTGTATAATGTAGCTTTTAGCATCCCCCGTCCCCGGACATTATCCACGGCCCCGCCGTTTGGAATCCCATTCACTCGGAACTTTCGTTGTATGCACGTCTTGCGAAGGTCGCGTGGATCCGAGCCAATACACAGAGCCAATACCGGACAACTACGAGTGAGCGCTGCTGCCAGCCGCGCCGTCCTGCTCGAGCTGCCAGTCCTCCCTGCACCCACGCGCGAGGCGCTCCCGGATCGCAGGGACGGCGGGTGCGCGCGCGCGGAGCGCGCCGGCGGCCGCCTTGTCGGCCTGCTCGAGCCAGTCGAGCCAGTCGTCGACGGCGCGGTCCTGGACGTGCGTGAGGAGGACGTCGACCGTCCGCTCGTCCTCGACGTACAGCCGCATGCGGACCGCGACGTCGTGCGCGGCGCCCTCGAGCGCGCGGGCGCCGTCGTCGGCGTGCGTCGCCCAGCGGCGGAGCGGGTCCGCGAGGGAGGCGGCGGCGGACCGGATGACGGCCTCGCACGCGGCCTTCAGTTCCTGGTCGATCCCCTGTGGTTGGGCGCGGCGGAGATCAGCGGGCGGGTGTGGTGGACACGCGGAGCGGGCGCCGCGACGCGCGCGGGGAGGACGTCATGCGCCCGCAGGCTCCCACCGGGCGCTGCGGGCTTGGGAACGGAGGGAGAAGAGAAGGGAGGGGGAGGGGGACTCACGTGGCGGACGTCGGTGAGGTCTTCGTCACGAGGCATGCCGAGCGAGCTGAGGAGCGCGTTCGGGAGAAGGAGCGTCGTCCGGCCGAGCATCGAAGCCAGGGTTTCTGCGCGGGAGCGCGGGCGTGAGCGCGGTAGGCGCGGCAACGGGGCGTGGGAGGCCACCGTCGGACTTACCGTTGACTCCCGAGAGGTCGAGGCCGCGGTCGACGTTCCGGTGGACGAGGTCCAAGTTCTGGGTCATCTCTTTCAGGATGAGGAGGTGCCGGGCGAGGAAGAGTTCGCCCTCGAACCCCGACGACGGTGGGTTCTTCGACTTGAGGGTCTCGGCCGCCCCGACAAGGCTCTGTCGGCAGTAGTTGATAGCTTCTTGGGCGAGATCATCGAAGATAGCGGGCTGTTCGGATGTTTGAGTTGGAAGTGACATAGAAGGGGACAGGGCCCTACTTTGACAAAATCTTTGAGCTGCGAAAGGACCCAGACCGTCCTTTGGAGGGTGGGATACCAGGTCTCCTGCTTATCCAACGACTTGGACTGGAATAGCTGACTGACGCTCTGCTTCTCCTTTATATCCAACGCCGACGCAGGTTTCCGCGCCGCTGACACGGTGGGTCAGTCCGAGACAAAACCGCGCGAATCTATTGGACTCACCGACAAGCTTGTCGGGGTACGAGAGATCCTCGGGTTTGGGAATATAGTACCTGATCTCAGACTGTATAACGGACTGCGCCTTGAAAAACAGCCGAGTCTGAGCGTCCTGCAGGACCATCTGCAGCAGATGACTGATGTGCAGCGCTCTTAGACCACTTTGACGTCGCGGCTGGTCAAGGTCCAATGACAGCTCGTCCAGTTCCGCCTCTTCGTCGGAAGATCCATCCGGGACGGACGGCACATCAAGCACCATCAGTGCTTGCAGGACGGTGCAAACTTCGCAGAGCGCCGTCAGACGTGGCTCGTGGAGAATACGAGGTCGGAGATCATCATAGAGGTAATCGCATAGGCTCTCGAGGTACCCACTGTCAACATTGTCAGCTAATTTATTAGTGAGATGAACAAGACGCACTAGAGTAAGTCTTCGCCGGAATTGAAGAAAGCTCGGAATAGAGTGAACTCATCCGTGCATAGCTGCTTGAGGTAGCTGCAGCCCGCCCTCGTCTGGTAATCGAGGATGCATAAATGTATGTTCATGTGATCATGGGAAGAAACTTACTAGCTCAACCAGATCTGTATGCGTAGGATCAAGCCCTTTTATGTCTTCTATCAGCCGTCCTATGAGGAGTTGCTTACGAGCGGAGAAGTAGGCAGCGTGACACTCGGCAAGCAATGCAGACAGCTCTTCAGGATGCGCATTCGCCCGGCGTTCGAGCTCAGATAGGAGCGGGGCAAGAGGTGTTGAGACACTTTGAAATCTTGTGTACAGCAGATGATTTTGAGCGGTAGTGGATACCTACAGTGACGTATGAGCATTTGCAAAAGCAAAGTAGTCGCTGGAACACACCTGTTCGTACAATCGCTTGGCCACGTCGGCGGTAAGAGCACGGAGCGAGCCCACGAAATACATTTTGATCAAAGTCATGGCTCGGGTCATGCATTGCTGGAAGCGCAGTAGGTAAATCTCGGCTTCGCGGAAATGCCTCTAGATACTTGAGATTGAGCCGAGCTGGCACCGAGTACATTGCTGGTTAAGCTTACATGGGCTTTGAGGTAGTCAATGCATATGTCCACGCGTTCAACCATGTAGAGGAAGTCTCCTTGAAGTACAAGAGATTCTCCAGGGTGGTTGAGCATCCGTGTGGCATGCTCCAGCTCTTGAAAGTATTCCAGCCGCTCGCCAATGGATACCGTCATGTCCAAGATACGGTCCTTGACGCAAATCAACGAGCGAGAACAAACGGGGAATGTTATGAGTACGCACCCGTTCCTGCAACAATTGCTCGCAAGCATCCTTCAAGCTCCTACCACTCTCCTCCACAGACTTCCACCCATGCAACATCCCATCCACTTCCTTCTCAATATCGTCGATGCGCTCTACTAACCTGTCGCATGTGTCCAAGTGATCGGAGACAGTACCGAGGTGTGCACGAATATGAGCTTCCTGGCTATGAGTCACAGACCTGTCGATTAACGAAAACCAATCGTAGAATTGCTGGGGCGTCTGGATGGGTTGTTTAGGGTGGAGGGCATGGGAGCGGTGGGCAGAAGCAAGTCCAGGAGTAGAGGGTCTTGATGTCTGACCGAGCTTTCCGCGAATGATGGGGGTTGAGGGTCTCGAGCTCGAGCCGGGATCATCTACGCCGAACTTGACGCGTATATATGAGAGAATGGACAAATGAGAAGAGGGTGTAGACATACCTTGGGAGGGAGAGTGGAACGCTCGGCCGCAGCCTGAACCCATGACACGCTTCTGCTTTCGAGTTCACTGATGGGAGCAGACGACTCCCACTCTTCCACTGAGATAGTCGGCTTAGGGTGCGGAGTGAGGGCTGGAGGTCTCTTCGTGGTGGAGGCCATCTCAAGTGATGGATTGGGGAGGCGGGAAAGCTGTTACTTCCGATCTCCCAGAATCGAGAGACGGAATGGTACCGGGCCGTTGCGCGCGGACGACTCTCCGTCGTTGATTCCCTTCGATTCCTTGCGTTAGTCTCAGTCTGTCTCTCTCATACTTGTCCTCCTCCATGTTCTCGTCGCCGCTCGCGTTATTCCACACCAAGCCTTGGACGGAGAAAGGGGTCATAGAACGGCTTTCCTCCACTGTCCTGGGCGTCCCTGCGTGCTGCGCAACATTTAATTATTTTCCAATCAGCGAAGATGGCCGCCACAAAAGTCTTCCCTCTCTTCGTCCCTCTAGATACCACTCTCGACTCGAAATTTACGGTAAGCTTCATGAGTGCGTTCCATGTGCTGTGCCTCACACGCATGGCCCTTTAGAGTGATGTGGTTGCTCGGCACCGCACGGGCGAATCTCGTTTTCTTCCCCCGTCCTGAGGACGTACCCGACGGATATGCAATTCTGTCCCACACATGGCTTTCTGAAGAACAAGAAGACACTTTCAAGAAGGTCCGGGATCTCAACCAGGAAGCCTATCGTGCATCTTCCCCCTTCCACCAGCTGCCTCAGACTCGGGAAGAACTTCAGCAGCTCATCTCTCAGGCGGTGACAGAAGCCAAAATTTCTCAGAGATCTACCCCCCACGCACAGGTACAAGACTCTCCGTCCAAAACCAGCACATCTGTTTCGTCGCGAGGCGATTCATCGTCTTCTCTTCATCCGCGTATGTCGTCTCAAGCTCTTGGGATATTGTCCAATCCAACTCACGTTTGGCTTCGATCGTCTACCCGTGACAACAGCACCCCGTCGTAATGCAAAGTTGAGGGAGAAAACGCCGGATGCGCCTACGGAGGGAAGACATACGTTGGGGTGGGACACTCAGGTTCAGGTGAGGAATTATGGCATTCTGCACAAATATCGCTCACCGCTACCCCTGTTGCTTGCTGTCTGTGCATTGGAAAATTCTCGAATTGCTGACGCGTAGGAATCAACTTTGAAGCCACCTCGGCCATCTCTCCCCTCGTCACCGCCATGGTTCAATCCTCGCGATCGTCTATCATCCAAGGTACGCGTGTTCCTCGAGCACGCGGAGAATGCCGACTACAAATACGCCTGGGTCGATACCTGCTGCATCGACAAGACGAGCAGTGCCGAGCTCACTGAAGCTATCAACTCCATGTTCCGGTACTACGCTCTTTCTGGCGTTTGCATGGTATACCTCTGCGATGTCTCCACTGTTTTGATAACAGTCCCGAAGACACCGGGCGGCATTGTGAAGATCTTGAAGACCCAGGATGAGCCTTACTCATCACACGGGTGGATAAGCGACAAGCAGGCTCTGGCAAATGTTTTCAGGCGTAGCCTTTGGCACCATCGCGGTTGGACACTCCAAGAGCTTCTTGCGTCACGTGTCATCGTCTTCTTCTCCAGTGAATGGACACCCCTAGGCACTAAGTACGAGCTCGCCGATGTCCTCAGCAACGTTACTGGCATCCCCGTCGGTGTCCTCCGCTTTGAGACTCCAATAACGGACGTCAGCATCGCGGCACGGCTGTCCTGGGCGTCGAAGCGGAGTACAACGAGGCCAGAAGACAAAGCGTACTGCCTATTCGGAATTTTCGGTGTCAACATGCCGACGCTGTACGGGGAAGGCGACAACGCGTTCTACCGGCTGTTGGAGGAATTGATGAAGACGTCTCGTGATGCCTCGCACTTCCTTTCCGGCCGGAGCCGAGGCTTCGAGGATGTGAATGAGCTACGGTCCTGCTTGAACGAGCGCTCGGCCACCGGTGGACATCTTCTGGCCTCGACACCACACAGCTATTCACAATGCGAAGGCATAAAGTTTGAAGCAAGTGCGTGGATACAGGCTAGAAACGGGATGGTGCGTCACGAAGATCGTAGAACAGACCACCGAAGACTGATGATTATGCAGTCCCAGCTCCGTCGACCTACGTTTGCTGTTACACCGAACGGCGTCAGCATATCAGCACCTGCACTGGCGCTCGACGATACCAGTGACACACTCCTTGTCAACCTCTTCTGCAGTGATCTGTATACCCACGGCGACGAAGCGACCCGCTCCCCCCTTTATCTGGTGCTCCGCAAAGCCCCTGGCACAACAGACGCTGGCGATGTTTCGACGTATGAGCCGGCTCACTGTCGGTCGTCCATGGTGAAGGAACCAATCGCCATCGACCAGTGGCAGATGACCGACGTATGCGTGGTTGCACGACCGCGACACAGCGTAGACCTCGCCCCCCGTTCGAGCGCAATGGAGAGGCTCAGAACCATCTGCGAAGCATTCACCAGCGAGAATCCCTTTCACCTCACCTTCGCCGACTTCCACGATCTCGACAAATATGCTCACCTTGACGAGGCGAGAAGCACGATCCCTCAGGCCCCTTGGTGTCCTAGTGAAGTCCTCAGCCTCCACTTCACGGGCTTCTTTGCACGAGAATATCCTTCTTTGCAGGTGTGCCTCGGCTATTGCAAAGCACACACCCTCGGCCATCGCATCCGTTCACTCGCCAGACCATGGACCGCCAAACCTTCGAAGAAACCACAGGTGCCATTCCTTGTCCTCCGTTGCCACGATAGCATGGATCAGGCCGCTGCCCTCGGATCCTCCCACTCGTGCGAGAAGGACCACATCGACATGCAGGGATCATGGCCGAAGAAGCAACGGGTGGTCATTGCTCTCCGGGAAGTGGAGGTATCAGTGATTCCTAGTATATTTGGCATCGACGGTGGATCGCTGCGGATGCGGATGCGAGTCCATGCAAACCGGTGATAACAAGTGCTTCGATGCTCTCTGTACCATGTAGCACCTTCGTACTCGCCTGGATAGTGACACAAAGACCTGCACAGTACTAGTCCGCGTTGCTGAAGCATCACGTGAATGTGCGTCTAAATGGAGACTACCGATGCGCGGGGAGCGAGAGAGACTGTTGACCTCTCCCTCGACCATCATGTTTCCGCCCGCTGCTCTGCCTTTGCCAGGGGAGGTTCTTCTACTCACCGACGAACTCCCCGCCCCCGCGGATTTTCTTCTTCACCGATTCCTTGCTGCCCATATGAAGCGTTCTCCTCAGTCCTCAGCTCTCATTCTCTCGGTATCTCAAGATCTCGGATGGTGGAAAGGGGTCACCGCAAAATCAGTACCGTCATTCTTCGCCTGTTCCCGGACTTTGCTTTGACTGCGTTGGGTCCCAGAGCCTCAATTATGGCGCACTCGTCGACGCGCAGAGACTATTGCTCATAGAGGTAGTGCCTTCGATCACCGCCGATCCCACCGCAAGAGCGCCGTTCGAAGACCTTTTCCTTCGTATTCGAGCTGCATTATCTACCTCAAGTGATGACGGAAACAATCCATGTCTCGTCATCTTGGACGATGTTTCGGCACTGGAGTGGATCGGCCTCTCAGTTGACAAGATTGCCAATTTTCTCCGGGCACTGTCTTCGCTATGTAGACGGGTACGTCATACCATTCCTTGTTGCATCTGAACTGTGCTGAGGCCATCTCCTCAGGCTGCAGCGACGCTGATCATCCGCCATCATATCATCACCCCGGGAGAACCGGATGATGTCCTCAGGAGGCTCGTGCAGCTCTGCGATTCGCGCCTCGACGTCTTTCCGCTGTCGAGCGGGAAAAGCGGCTCTGTCAGCGGTCAGGTACTGTAGTCCTGCAGTTGCGCCTTAACCACGACTCACAAGCCTGCCGTAGGTCGCATTGCATCGCGGGCCAGCTGTCGGGGATGCCATGCATGCGACAGTAGCCCGTGATGCAGCTGTTCATTATCGACTGGTCGATGGAGGCGCTGTCTTCTTCGACAGAGGGACAGGCAGCGGTGTGTTGTGAAGATGGACATGAGTAGAAGTCGGATGAATAATGGCTTAGAATCACTCACGCACGCGTGGAGGACGACGGTGACTCACGGGGTGCAGGTCTGTCGGCGTGCCCTGGGATGTCTACGGGACGCCCGGTGTCGGCGTCCAGAGCGCCTTGTGCTCTTCTATGTAAGGCACGTCATTGTCAGGCTGCCTCGCCGTTTTCGAGTGCAGAACTTATGTAGTGAACAGCGCAGCGACTCGCCGCCGCAAGAAGGTGTTCGTGGAGAGCTTGTACCATTGATTATCGACTCCTTCGCATGCATGGCAAGCCCATGGCCGGGCGGGCTATTTCAGGGATGTTGTGGGTCCTGGTAAAATGGAACTGCGGTCCTGCTCCCTTTCAAAGGACCTCCGTCGCAAGGGCGTCGAGAGTAGTAAGGTCCGTAGGTCTGCCGACTATATTCTGAAAAGGCTTCCCCAGCAGCCAGCTTTGCTATCGTTAAAGAAGATTAATCAGAACACGCGTGCTTTCAATGGTCGGGAGCCTGGATTATGTAGTAGATAAAGCGACCCGAACAGGGTGTGCGACTCGCCTGGATCGACAATGATGTGTTCGGAGGCTTCTCGGGTTGCGCCACTCTCGTCGTGCCGTATAGTCTGGTGTAGCTCTTGAGCTCACTAGCAAGTCATTTCAGTTTGTTATCACCCACTCTATCGGCTAAGAATGTGTCAGTAGGCACCTACAAGGTCAAACCCAGGAGATCACAGGCGCCGCGAGCTTCTCGTCGTCATCCTCCTCGGAAGGCGGATATGGAGCATGAGTTTGGATTTCCATGGTGTGAGCTCGAAGACGAAATCGACTGAGACGACGGCAAGCGCCTGGGCTGGCACTGTGGCATCTGTCCCAACCCAGCCACACCCTCCCCTCTGTCCTCCTCTCCTCCCTCTCGATCCGGCTGTCTTCTTTGCCTGTTGCACGGCCGTGAAGGGCCCTCCGCTTCATCCACGCATGATCCACATGCCGCTCCCCTCCCAGTTCCAGTCCGGCCGCTACCCTCCGCCGCGCACCGACAGCCTCTCTCGCGCAGCCAAGCACCCCATCTTTGCCACCGTCGAGGATGAGCTCAGGGACATCCGCCGCGTGCACTCCCAGGGGCAGGAGGAGGACCTCAGGTATGCCCTTGGCAAGACGATCAACAAGATGGAAGAGCTGGTACGCCCCTCTTCCGTTTGTCCCTCCCCCGCTCACTGCGTCCTCGCAGACATCCATGCTCCGCGAGGCCTACAAGGCCCAGACGGACCTCCAGACGGAGCTCACCCTCGCCAAGTCCAACCTCCAGCTCGCGCTCGCCAACAACGAGATGCTCGAGGACGCCCTCCGCCGCGACCCAGGCCACAACAAGGACGTCGGCTGGCGGCGGATGAGTGCCCGCGAGCAGATGCTCAAGGCGGAGGCCGACACCGACCGCCGGCGGAGCACCGACAGCCTCACGTCGACCGACTACTCCGCGTCCCCGACCGCGTCCCAGCCGTCGTCTGCGCTGCCGTCCGCGGCGGACCCCCGCGCGTACTCGCCCATCGCGCCGCGATCGGCGACGATGCCTGTGCCGTCCCCCTCCCCCGCGCCCAGCGGGGGCGAGAGCCGGTTCTTCCGCTTCCGCTTCGGCAGCAACGCGACCACGCCGACGAGCCACCCGTCGTCGCCCCGCCTGTCCGCGCAGCCGGGCCTTCCGATGCTGAACGGCAACCACCTCACGTCGGCCTCGCTTCCGTCGCTCGTGCCGCCGCGGGACTGGGAGAAGGAGGTCGAGGAGCTGCAGAACCGGTTAGAGGCGGAGCGGCAGGCACACAAGAAGGCCTGTGATGCCAAAATCGAGCTGGAGGGGGAGCTCGAGTCCCTCTCGCAGGCGTTGTTCGAAGAGGTGAGTCGGTTCACATCTTTCCTTCCGAAGTTGGGCTCTTAACAGCCCCCATAGGCGAATAATATGGTCGCCACCGAGCGCATGAAGCGCGCAGAGACGGAGGAGCAGCTCCGAGAGGCGCGAGAACAGGGCGAGGCACTGAAAAACGTCCTTCGTTTGTTCGAGCGCGACGCGGCCACTTCGAAGAGCACAAAGCGCTCCAGCGTCATTGCCCTCCGCTCTCAAACACCGACAGCACTCCAAGACGGGCCCATCGACGCCACTCCTCAGCCTCGCACACGACACCACCGAGCATCGTCGTCGGCAGTGGGCATTAAAGCCCCATCGTCGGGCATCCCTTCCCCGACGTCACGCTCTGCTTCCCCCATCTCTTTCGCCGACCCCGCCCCAGCCCCGTCTGCCGTGGACGCTGTTCCAGCAGAGTCTCCGATCTCACCACCATTAGACAAGCAGCCCCCGGTGACACGAGCTGATGCCCCAGCACCCTTAGCCGCAGCGTCGCAGGAACGGAGTCACAGTCTGCAGGTGGAGGTCACCACTCCCGCTGACAATTCCGCTCCTCCAACGCCCTCCCCCGGTCCTTCTCCGCTTTCTGGCGGTCAGTTCCTGTTCACACCTCCACAAGCGGTCAACTACTATGATGGCGAAGAGTCCCCCTGGGCGGACGCCCCATCATCCACGTCGCGGCCAGTTAGCTCTTAGCACTGCTCAATATATCCCCACCGGGTCCCCATTATATCTCGTTACATCTTACTGCATCGCGCTTTGCATAGCTAGTCGTCCCGCTCGCACGTGCTTCCTTCTATTGCGGACATTTTGCATACCCGCTATCCTCATAGCATCTACACATCGAGAACACACAGAATTGATTACGTACAGACACATCGTAACACGCGGCTCGCTGGACGCAAGCAGAAGCGATGAATGCATACACCTACACATGCCACAACCGTGCGCGAGTGTGTGCGTATGCTGAAGGCTTCATGTTCTGGGCATGGGGGAGCATGGCGACGAGGGAGAAGCAGAGCGGAGGATCAGCGACTTGTAAGTTACAGCGGCATAAGGACGCTACATATGCATACTGTGGGGGGCATTGAGGATTCGGGGTTGGGGCCAAAGCTGGCGAGCAGCGGGGGCATCAACCACAGCGGAGGGGGGAATCTGGGAAGCTGGACGGCACAACGGGTCGAAACAAAGGGGGCAGGAAGGGCGCAAATATAGGATACAACGGGCAAACGTACAACCGTCAACAAAAATCAGCATTGTGACAAAGCTTGGGGTCCAAGGTAAGTTTCTGAAGGGGAGGGGACGGGTTCAAGACAGGATGTCAACATGGACGGTCGCCGAAGGGTTGGCACGGGGAAATGTGACGCAGGAGGGGGAGGTGGTGCAAGACTACACCTTACAGTCCTCATGCCGCCTCCGACATCGTCACATCCGCGAGCATCGACTCGTCTCCGGCGCCGTTCAGGGTCGTCTCCTCCTTCGTGTACACGTCCGCCCTCGTGTTTGCGCCGTTCGTGGGGAAAACATTCTCCTCCGCGTCAGACTTGCGGGCACCGTTTGTGGCGGGCTTGCCCGACTCGGAGGCGCCGTTGGACTTGAGGATCTCGTGCCACTTGTCGACGAGGACCTTCGACCGCTCGCGGAACCTGAATTCGGCGTCGCGGGGTACTTTATCGTCGGGCAAAGCGTTTATGTGGCGCATCACTTTGCCGATTTTCGAGAACTAGAGGCACCGGGAAAGAGGCTTGGGGTCAGCAAGACTCCAAATATGCGAAAGGCGCGGGAATGTGGGAACGCGCCATTCCACGAGGTGCCAGCAGGGCACAGCGGGCAAGAGATGTGGGCATATCAAGGTGGCAAGACTCACCAGAAGATATTCCATGGACATCTTCGGGTAAGTTTGTACCTGGGTGAAGAGCTCGTCGAGCGCAGGCATGTCCTATGGTGTCCGTAAGTAAATGTTGGCAGTGTGGAGCGTGCGGAAGATTGCATACCTCATCCTTGGGGACTACCTTGCTGTTGAGGAAGGCCTTCTGGAGCCTGTGTCGCCATTCTCGTACCTTGAGAGCCTCCGGATCCTTCGCCAGAGCAGCTACATAGGTTTAATGAGCGGACGACAACAACAAGCGGTTACAGACCGGATGCTCACAATCGACCTCCTCCTCCTTATCGCGCTTAGCTTTCTTGTTGGGTGGTGGAGAAGCCCGCTTGGCCGAGCTACCCCGGTCGTTGTCAGCCTCCGCATCGTCCTCTGACTCGACTAGGGCCTTGGACTTGGGACCTTTTTTGCCCTTCGTAGAGGTCGTCCGGGACCTTGCGGAGGACTCAGCGGGGGTCTTCTTCGCCTTGGACTTGGACTTGGATGCTGCAGCATCCGAGTCACGCTTCCTCTTCTTTGGTTTCTTCTTCTTCTCACCGTCGTCATCATCTCCCTCGTCCTCGCCGTCGCTGTCGAGCTGGTCGACCTCGGCGTTTGCTTCTTGTTCTTGGGCCCTGGCCTTAGTAGCCTCTCGTTCCTCTTCCCACGCCTTGGGGTCGAGCGCGATGCGGTAGCCTTTCATGAGTTCGGCGGACCTCTTTGCGGGCTCGTCGAGGTAGGCCTGGATCTCGTGCTGCTGAAGACGAGAGATGTCTTTTGGCACGGTCCATGCGCTGATTGAACACGAAGAGAGCAAAGTGAGGAGCCAGGAAGGGCGTATGAGCGCGACGAGACTCACAAGTCGCCGGCAGGGAAGAACTGGACGCAGTACCAGTTGCCCTTTTTCGTCTTTGCGTTGGGACGCTCCTTCTGGACCAGGTCAGGGACGGTGTCCGGGTCGACGATCTACACGTGTCAAAGAGAGAAGATGAGCGTGACGAGCGAGATTTGGCGCGTTGGGAAAAGGGAAACGCGAGGAACAGAGGAGGGAGGACGAACCATGCCGGGCCATGGGGGGAAGCCGCGGACCTTTGCGAGGACGATATCGCGATAGTCGTAGGACTGCTCCTTGTCCTGGACCTTAGCGCCCTTTTTGCTCATGGCTGGACGAGATTAACGCGTCGAGGGCGGCTGGGGGGAGGGAGGAGGGCGAGAAGGGCCTGGTGGCGAGACGGAGCAGTTGGTGGTCGCAAGTAAAGGTTGAACCCCGTGGCCCGGCAGAATCCGCGGGCGGCAGCCGGCAAAGAGGGCCCGTGCGCCTCCGCCACCTTGAGCGCGGCCCGGTGCTCGAGCGGATCCTCACCCCGACTTGCATGCACTCGCAGCCGTCGACAAGGCCAGCACGAGGGTCACACGTCCTCGGCCTCCGCTATTGCGCAATCTAGCGGCCCCCGACGTCTTTCGGCGCCGTCCGTCCCTACATAATCTGCTCATGGCTTCCCCCACTCCCGCCCCGCCGCACTAACCCCTAGCTTCTCGTCGGGCTGCGCGCAATGACCGGCCGTGCTCCAGATACCTTCTCAACCATCCCCGTCCTCGACTACTCCCTCCTCGCCACCCCCGACGGCCATCGCGAGTTCGTGGCGGAGCTCCGTCATGCCCTCGTCCACGTTGGCTTCCTGTACCTCGCCAACCCTCCGGTGGACCCCGATGTCGTCGCTGCGCTCATAGACTACACCCCGCGCCTCTTCGATCTCCCCCAGGAGGAGAAGGAACGCATCCTGATGGCGAACTCGCCCCACTTCTTTGGCTACTCGCGTTTCGGCGCAGAGTTCACCAAGGGCAAGACTGACCAGCGCGAGCAGTTCGACTTTGGCACACCTTATCAGAGCCGGTGGCAGCCTGGGATGCCAGAGTTCGTCAAGCTCTGGGGCCCTTCTCAGGTGCGTATCCGGGTTCCAACCACGCTGATCAGCATGCCTACTCGAGAATCAGTGGCCTCAGGAGGACCTTCTTCCTGGCTTCAGGGCCATCTACCTCCGCTACCTGGAGCAGGTCGAACAGCTCAGCTACAGATTCATATCCTTGCTGGCCGAGGCATTCGAGGTCCCCGATGAGCGCCTCGGACCCTTCTTCTCAGGAGGCACCGCCCCGAACCCAGCTGGCATCTTGCAGCATCGGTCAAAGATCGTCAAGTACCCTGCTCGCAAGGAAGGCGACTCTGACCAAGGTGTCGGGCCCCACTTCGACGGCGGTTTCTTGACTTTCGTAAGTTCAGCCGGCTCACTTCGCCCACAAGTCAAAGCGCTCACTTCGCCACGTCCAGCTGCTCCAAGCGTCCGACCATCCCGGTCTACAAGTGCAGAACCTAGCCGGCGAATGGATCGATGCGCCGCCCATCCCTGGCACGTTCGTCGTGAACTTGGGCAAAGGTCGGCTCTCAGCGCCTCGCTTTTCCCGACATTCGGTGTGGCTGATGCGAACGGCCCTTGGTTTAGCACTGGAGTCGGTGACGCAAGGGCTCGCCCGAGCCACGTCCCATCGCGTGTTGTCCCCTGCTCCCGGGTCGACGCCCCGATATTCGATTCCGTTCTTCCAAAGCATATCTCAAGATATACAAATCAGCGATTTCGTGCTCGATTGTCAGTGTGAAGTTCTCGAACACGCGGTGCCAATCACTTGACAATTTCCATGCAGTCAGACCCGAGATTCTGAAGCTCAAAGACAGCCGCGCACAATCGGGAGCGGTAGACTGTGAGCTGTGTTCGTTTCGTTGACCACTATCGGCGACCTCACGACCACCCGTACAGCCGTGAACTATTCCGAGTATGGCCAGTATCCTTCCGGGCAGGTCAACTTGATCGGTCGCGTCAAGTACGTCTCGTGCCCCTCCAGATCCCTTGCGGAACCCGCTCATTTATCTCTTCAGGAGCCACCCTGACGTCGCTCAGAGGCATTATCCTGACATGTTCAAGCAGTTCTTCCCCAAAGGGCTTCCTTCACAAGGCAGTGCATATTGAGGGCGCTCGCTCGCTGGTATAATGTGCAATAAGGGAGAGGCTTGGATTCGGCTGTTGTAAAGTATAAGTATGATAAGGAATTACACCGAATGCATGGATCCTCGAGCAGAGCGATTCCAGTGGGTTTGGTCCCATCGGCATCTATAGTCGGAATAAAACTGAACATGTTGCAAGGAGAGTATGGCGGTGTCCCAGTGTCCGCGACGGTTAGGAAAGCGAGAAAAGAGAGACAGATTCCACGGAGCACAGGTCGCGATACTAGTGCCGCTCCAACTTGACACTGATGCGAGAATCTCTCCGGTGCCTCTCGACGAGCAGGTAGCTCACTGCGGGCGGCATAGCGCGTGAGCACTGAAAGAAGGCTTGTTGTACCGACGGAGGGACTCACCAATGAACTTGTCAATGACATCGAGGACTTCCGGGTTGGGCTGCACCTCGAAGAAGGCATGCTTCGACATTCGGAAGACGAAGAAATGCCTCTTGTGCGGGTGAAACTCGGCCATGGGCTTCTTCTCGGGGTCGTCCATCTTGATGAGCTGTGGACGAGCAGGTCAGAGGGGTAGGAAGAGAGCCGAAAAGGCAGGACCCGGCGCGCGCGCGTACCTGGAAGCGGCCGTTGTGCGTCTTCCACCGGAAGGTCGTGTCATTGTTGGCCTGGAAGGTACCGCCGCTACTGAGAGCGTCAGCGCGTTGATGTTCAGTCAACGAGCTCGGGGCGCAGCGCGCATCGTAGGCAACCGCAACGTGTGAGAGAGAGACATACACTCGGTCTGAGTTGTACTTGAGGAACTCGGAGGCGGACTGCCAGGTACCCTTGTCGCCGCCGAAGCGGACGCGCGGGTCGCCGTCCGCGAGGCCCTCGATCTCGGCGACGGTGATGAGCTCACGGGTCTCCATGTCGAACTTGTTGATCTTGGTCAGGTTCGGGTGCCAGAAGCGGGTCACTATCTCATAGTGCATCGAATCGTCATCGGTGGAGAGCGTCGTGTTCCGGAGGCTGTTCATCGTGAACTCGAGCCGGTGGGGCGGCTTGGACTTCGAGGCGGGAGGAGGCATGGTGGGATGTGCGGAGACGGGAGGTGGGCGTGCGTGCGGCGAATGTGGACGTGGAGGAGCAGGGGGCTGGCTAGTCCGACTGGAGACGGGCGAGGGGTGTATATAGGGCGCCAGGCCCGAGAGAGCCCCGAGCTACGAGCGGCACACACGTCAGTGGGAGCCGGGTTAGGTACGGACACACCGCCATGCGATTGACCGGCAGGATGTTGGCGGCGCGGAGGTAGACTCCCACCGCGGTGACCAGCATAGCGGAAGCGTATGGCCTGCGGAGACCGGCTGAGGCGGGAGTTAAGTTGTTACAGGTGATCTGCCAACGGAAAGACTGCGCGTGGGGTGTTAGCCGTGGGATGGGCGGGCTCAGGGTCGGAGGTAGGCAGGATTTGGGAGAACATGACGCAGAGCGAGGAACGGGCGGTGGCTGGAGGAGGTGTTTTGTTTCACAGGAGACCTGTGCCGGTGAGAGCCTAGCGCAATGTTCGTGAGAAGGGCGCCTGGAACGGTGCGCAGAGGATGAGCGCGTTCAAAACGAGCGTGAGCTTCGAGCCGTCGATAGGCTTTGCTGTTCACGCGGTGCGAAAGCGCTGCTGGCCGTCCGTGTCGCGCAGAACGTTCGTAATATTCATGGGCCCGAACACGTCGCAAGAAAAGCGCCAAAGATTTGCGACGTTCAGCAACAACTGTGGGCAGGAGCACGTTTAGTGGATCAGCCCGGGGCGTAGACAGCTGCCACTCACCCGGGCCTGTGCTCGCTGACTCGACTGTCTGGCACGTCCGGCATGCCTTCAGACGCGACTCCGGGACGGTGGCGGAGCCCGGATATGGCGTGAAATCACCCTCCGCGAGCCGCGGTCGTGCTTACGCTCGGACGTGGATGGCGGGAGGACAAACCGACGACGAGCTCGGAGTCGACCACGGCCCGCGCGGCGCGACGCACGCGCGACGCAATCACGAGCAGAGCGCAGCGCGCGTCCGACAATGCGCGCTGCCTCGCGTGCTTGCCGCCTCTGTCGACCGTCCCATTCTCCCTTTGCTCTCTTCTTCGCGTCGCGGCACCCCGCGATGGCCCTCAGGCAGCGGCTGAAGAAGACAAACCAGTCCGACTCTGTTCTCGCTGAGTCAACTCACGGCCACCCATCCCCACTCGAGGCCAGGGATGAGCTCAAGGATGAGCTTGAACACGTCCTTCGCCACAAACACAAAGACGAGAAGGCGGTCAGTTTCTCTCTTCGCGATGGATGCACCAGCCCTCTGACCGTGTCTGAAGGCGCACACAAGACGCTTCTATGCGACGCGCAGGTTTCTTTTCCCACTAGGACTCTGCCGTCCGTCCATTTCCACTGGTGTTTAGGCTGCGCTTCCTGACATATCGGGATGCAGTCGGTGTCCTCCTCGGCTTCAGTCTCATTCAACCCGCCGATTTCCAAGACTTCCAAACACACCTCGCCCTGCTCATGGACGCGTTCGAGTTCAGGATACCCGAATTACCTGGTGTCGATTTCCCCCAGTTCAACTTCACCAGCATCGAGCGTGAGTGGCAGAGTCTGTGGGCCAACCTACCAGAGCCATGGAAGCTTGCTGCCGATGGTTTGGAGTTCACCGTCGGAGACAAGATCGCTGCAGAGGGTCACTCGGCCAAGCATCCAGTGGTGCTCGTGCCGGGAATCATCTCCACCGTACGTCGTTCTCCCTCTGCGCCTTCCGCATTCTGGACATTCTTCGGCTCTAGGGTCTGGAATCCTGGTCGACGGATCCAGAGTATAGGCCTTTCTTCCGCAAGAAGGTCTGGGGTGGCTTCTCCATGATCTCTCAAGTCACTTTCAACCGTGACAAATGGATAGCGGCTCTGATGCTCGATCCAGTCACCGGGCTGGATCCTCCTGGTGTTCGAGTCCGTGCGGCGGAAGGAATCGACGCTGCCAGCAGCTTTGTCCAAGGGTACTGGCTCTGGTGCGTGTCCTGCAATGGTACGGTTTCCTTCGAGACGAGCCCCAACTCTCTCCTTTCAAGGTCGAAAATCATAGAGAACCTCGCAGTTGTCGGATACGACACGAACAAGTTACACCTCGCCCCGTACGACTGGCGTTTGTCATTTCACAATTTAGAAGTACGGGATGGGTATTTCTCCAAGCTCCGGACAACGATCGAGGGCTTTGTGTAAGCTGATTCCTGAACGTGATCGTCGTTCCCGCCCGTCGCAAGCCACTCATTTATGTTGAACAGGCAACGTGAAGATCGCAAAGTCGTCTTGACAGCGCACTCGATGGGTAGCACGGTGAGTCCTACCCAACGTCAATGTTTATTCATGTTACTCACAACTCTGCCAGATATTACTGGTAAGCCTGGGAGTGACTTTCAAGGATAGTTGAATGTCGACGCCTTCGCTCTGTTTAGTATTTGTGCGCCACTATCACGCATCCCGGCTGATCCACTCGCTAACACACTCCCATAGCATGAAATGGGTGGAGTCCCCCCTTCACGGCAAGGGCGGGCCCGACTGGGTCGAGGTACGACTGCGATTGCCTATGACGTCATCGGCCTCGTCCAACGTTGCCTCGTCAGAACCACATTGAGGCGGTGATCCACATTGCTGGCACTCATCTTGTAAGCCAACTTGGTCGTTTATTGCACAAAGATGCGATTGACTTGGTTTGCAGGGCGTGGTATGAACTTCTTACAGTCGTCGTACGAGGCACGCGTCTGAGCTCGATGCCACAGGCGAAAGCAATGTCCGCTCTCCTCTCTGCGGAGATGAAGGACACAGTCGAACTCAATCCCGCAGGCGCATACGGTGCGTTTCTGCGTAGCTGATGCTTCCCCGTCACTGATATCATTGTAGTGCTCGAGAAGTTCTTTTCCCGCAAAGAGCGGCAGAAACTTTTCCGTAGCTGGGCGGGCAGTGCAAGTATGTGGGTAAAGGTACAAACAAATCCTTCGCCGGTTTTCAGTTTCGCTAACGAGTCGTTGTATCAGGGCGGAGACGACGTCTGGGGTGGCCATGACTGGGCTCCGGATGATCTGCCGGATGCAAAATACTCTCATGGCTCTTTGATCTCTTTCCGAGCCGGTTCTACAGCTTTGGAGAGCTTAGACGACGACTTACACAACATGACATCCAGTCAGGCTGGGACGTGGATATTAGGACGCACACCTACTAGTTTCCAGGTAGGGTTCCAATAACCACCGTTGGTCGCTCGCTCACCCCTGAGCGAAGAAAATGTTGGCAAGCAACTACTCTTACGGTATTGAGCGAGACATCGAGAAGCTCAAGGCAAACAACCTGGACCACACCAAGTGGACGAACCCGCTCGAAGTGCAGTAGGTTTCACGACGCCCGTTCTTCTCCGTCTAGCTCACCACGCCTCAGGCTCCCAAACGCGCCGTCGATGAAGATCTACTGCGTGTACGGACACGGCAAGGTGACGGAGGTGCGTCTTATGCCGGACTCTCCCGAGCCTTGCGGTCCCTGACCGCCCCCGCCCCGCCGCAGCGCTCGTACTGGTACACCCAGCGCTCATACGAGTACGACGACGTGCAGCCGGACGACCCGCGCGAGCTCTGCACGGACGCGGACGCGGCGGGCGGCGGCGAGTGCACGTCGCCGCGCGCCGGGCTCGACATGCCGCTCGCGCGCGCGACGGCGATCGACGCCGAGTTCACGGACGACGGCGCGCGCCCGCCGATCCTCAACGGCGTCAAGATGGGCGAGGGCGACGGCACGGTGAGCCTGCTCAGCCTCGGCGCGATGTGCGTCGAGGGCTGGAAGCGCGAGCGGTGGAACCCGGCCGGGATTCGGGTCACGACCGTCGAGGTGCGTCGGTCCGGGCCTGTGTGGTGGATGCGCGTTGGAACTGACGTGCGGCCGGTCGCGCAGCTCCCGCACAACCCGGTCTCGACGGTCCCTCGCGGGGGCGGCCTGTCGGGCGAGCACGTGGACGTGCTGGGCAACACGGCGCTCAACGAGATCATCCTCAAGGTCGCGACGGGCGCGGCCGACGACGTGCAGGACCACTTCGTGTCCAACATCCGCGAGTATGCGAAGCGGGTGCGGTGGGACACCTGAGGCGGCGTTGAGTATAGAGTAGAGCACACGATTGACGGTGGACCACGATACACGATACACAATACATTCTCCTGGCACGCAGTGCTGCGTGCCAGTTCGCTATCTGCATGGCTGTACCCGTACAACTCCCACTATTCTGTAATAAATGTGTTCGAATAATACCTGTTCAACGGTCTCGCTGCCGTGCCCGAGGGTCTGGATGTTCGCAAGTGGGGGTGAACTGGCTACGGGCAGCAGTGATCGATAGTGTGATCCATTGAGAAGCGCTATTGAAGGCAAGACGAGAGGGCCGCGGGCCACTGATCAGAGGTGGATACACAGACATAGACTACACTGATGATACAACGCGAGGCGGGTGTCTGCCGGCAACCGCACGCATGCCCTGCGCCTTCGAATGCAACAACTACAGTGCAGGGGGCGGGGGCGGGCGTCTCAGGCCAAGCTGCCCCCGCTCGAGGCGCATCACGAACCCGGCGAGCTCCTCCGCCTCGAGGTTGTGCAGCGCGTCGGCGTGCTCGGCATGGATCACCCGGCGGGCGTTGATCTTGTCGAGCACCATGCGGATGTCCGCCTCGGACACCGGCGGCGGTGGTGGCTGCTCGGGTATGGACATGGGATTGAAGGGCGCGGCCGTCGGCGACGCGGGCGGAGTCGCGAGCCCCGCCACGACGGGAGTGGGGAAGAGGGAGGGGATCGTGGCGAGCTGCAGGCGGAGTACGCGGTCGAGCTGCGCGGGGTCGAGGACGGGGGCGCGGACGTCGAAGAGGCGGGAGACGTCGGCGTCAGCGTCGGGCGCGGGGCGGGACTTGCGCGTCTGTGTGGGGGAGGGTTGGGGAGACGCGGGAGGGGTGGGGGTTTGCTGGCAAGCGGCGCGGAGCTGTTGGAGGACGTCTTCGTGCTGCTCTGGGGTGGTGGGGTCGAAGAGGTGCACGCAGAAGTCGAGCGCGGCTTGTACTTCGTCCTCTGAGAGGCGCACGCCTATGTCTGCGTTGCCTTGGATGACTGGTACCTTGCTTTCAGTCTCGCACTCCGAAATTCGTGAGGAAGAACGTACTGGGACGTATGCAAGCGAACGCCTTGTCAAAGTTGTTCTCCTCAACGTCGAGCAGGATGTTCGTTGACTGTGAGCGGATTTGCTTGTATGCACTAAGCACCACGATCAAAAACCTGTGAGACGTATGGACGTTAGCCAGCGATTGAGCGGCCGAGAGCTAATACAAACACCTTGTATATGACAAAGAGGTTCGAGACTGGTGATACTTTGCCGCCTCCGGCTCGGTGCAATGCCCTCTGATAGAAGCAGCGATAGAGGCAGCAGCAGAGAGAGCACTTGTCATGGCGAGGTGTATTCCAGAGGAGAAGAAAGGGTCTATGAACGCTAGATTATAACGGCTGAGCATTTTCGACCGTCAAGAGATTGGTTAAATGTACATACCTCCAGCGTCACCCACTAACCTCCACCCAGGACCAGCGTACGCTGTAGCCGAATAGCTATAATCGCTCGCGGTTCTGGCCATAGGACCCTCGGACTCTTCGTCTTCGTCTTCTTCGCTCTTGACGGCAACCAGCTCGCCGTCTCCTATGAGGCCCATGATGGTGGGAGCTAAATGAAGGAAGGAGAGATATCGACTGCCGAGAGTGGATGCTGCACGAGCAGATATGGAACCTCGTCGGGGTGTTGCGCCGAGGGTGGGAGAGCTCGCGGAAGACGATGCTCGAGATCGTATACCGAGCTGCTTCTGTTCCATGACTACGCCGACCGACGTGGTACCCTTGTGCAGAGGGATGAACCAAGCCCAGCCGGACTCATCTACAGGATCGTTGAGTAGCTTTATCTCGTACACGGATGGGATGCTGGCTGACCGCTGAGCGCTTCGAAGAACGGGGCGTTCTCCCGGTCGGTGCCTTCTCCGTACTTGGCCGTGTTCTTCCAATAACCCCAGACGGCGACGTTCTTGAGAGAGTTGCAGAACTTGCGGTTCCTGAGGTACCTGATTGAAATGAGCGGACGATTTGGATGAGAGTTAGGACGACGCACTTGCTGCTCATGAGACCAGCACGGCCGCTAGCGTCGACGAGGTAGTCGAAGGTGAGCTCATGCTTTGAGCCGAAGGCAGTCTGATAGATGACGCTGGTGGGCTGGCTGGAGGGGGAGATGTCGGAGGGAGAGGCGAAATCGACGACAGAGTTTCGACGGCGGGAGGGAGAGGGAGACGGTGGACTGTGAGCGACGGGTGAGGAAGGGGAGGGCTGGTGATCGAAAAGGATGTCGAGCACGCGTGTCTGCTGGTAGACGTGGGCGCCGGAAGATGCGGCATGGTCCAGGAGGAGATGGTCGAACTCGGAGCGGACGACGTTCCAAGCGTTGTTTGTCGCTCCGATGGCGACAAAATCAGTATCTGGAGCAGTGGGGGGAAGAATGAGCGGAGGGAAAGCGGAGATGGAAGACTAGTACGGACAGCCCTCTTGTAGGAACTGGTTGAATTTGATGGCCGAGCCGGGCTGGAGGAGAGTGAGCGGGATGGAAAGGGAAAGGGGGTTAGGGAGGGGACCTTGTAGGTGAAGCCGTGAGCGGCGAGTTTTTGTTCGGCCCCGATGAAACGCATGAAGTGTCTGGCGGAGGGAATGAGGGATTCGCCGACATGGTATCTGGAGCGGATGTCAGGATGAGACGGGGTTGGGAGAGGAGCGGGGGACGGTACCGGGGGAACTTTGCGGCCTCGAAGAGAACGACGTGGAAGCCTTCTCTGGCGAGAGCGGCGGCGGTGTAGGTGCCTGCGGGACCGCCGCCGATGACGAGGACCTGGGCATGCTGGTGGGGGTCAGACACGGCGAGGAAAAGGGAGGCGTTGGGCGTACCGAGGGGAGATGAGCAGAAGGCATCGAGAGGAGCGGCGCAGGACGGGGCAGACGGGTGCACGGACCCGGGGGGCTTTATGCATTTGGAGTGCATCGTCGACCGAGGCGCAAGTGGCGGACGCAGAGCCGGCCGACGCGCGGTGGGTGCGAGCGCGGTGGGTGCGAGCGCGGTGCGGGACCGGGCACGGGCGCGGGGCTGCTTCCACGCCGTGCAGTGACAACGGACGAGCTACGAAAGCACCAGCGCCAGCTCCCACCCTCGATTCCCGCCCCCGCCTCTGTCGCGTGACGTCACTCCACCTGTATCCTCCGCGACGGAGAGAGACGCCCGCGCACGCCAGTCGCACTCCCCCAACACCCACCCGCCCACCGCCCACCGTCTCCTGCCCCGCCGACTGCTCTCATGTCCTCTCCCGACCCACCTCCACTCGTCGCCGACGACCCCCCTCCTCCCTATCCAACGACCTCCCGCCGCACACGACACAACCGTAGACGTCCTCTCCCCCAGTCCGACAGCCCGAGCTCTCACCCGCCCCTTCTCGACCCCCATTGCCACCACCCCCCTCCCGATCACCAGCCCACAGAGTCCACTCCTCTCCTCAGCCCCCACGACTCCGGCCCTGTCCCTCGACGGCGCACTCTCTCCCTTACCAGCACCCTCCGATCTTCAAGCTCCATCACTCCTTCCTTCGCCCACAGCGTATTCTCAGCCTTTCGTCCAGAACGCGACTCCGACTTCGATTCCGATGGCCCCGACCCCGACGCCCCTCCCGGCCCCGACTATGACAGTCCCCAACGCGCCTTTGTTGCTCAGCTCTCCGCCTATACCCATCTCCACTCCCACCCGACTCCGCCTCTTCCCTTCCCCGCCCGCTGCCGCCGATACTTCCGTCCACTCTCAAAACCCGTCTACTACGCCTCCCTTCTCCACCTCGCCCTCATCAACTTCCCATATGCCCTCCTCGCATGGGTCTTTCTCTTCGTCTTCACCCTCGTAAGTCCCCCGCCTTGCCCTCCCCACCTCTCTATCCTTATCGACCCTCCTGTCAGGTCGGCACCTGCACCCTCGTGGCCCTTCCTTTGGGAGCCGTGGTCTGTTTCGTCGACCTCTTCGGCGCACGCGTCCTTGCCCGAGGTGAACTCTTCCTCCAGACCAAGTTCCATGCTCCCATATCCTACCCACTGCCCCCGACGCCCCTCCCTATCTTCACTCGCTCCCGCCTCCCAACGCCCGCACAAGTCGAGGCTGGCACCCCGTCGAACGAGCTTGTGCACGAGCCCTCGTTCTATCGCAATGCGTACGCCATGTTCACAGATCCGACAAGCTATCAAGCCCTCTTCTACTTCCTCGTCCTCAAGCCCGGCGTCACTGTCCTCATGTTCCTCTTTTTTGCCATCGTCACCCCGGTCGCTGCGGTGTTGATTGTCCCACTCCCAGCAGTGCTCAGGCTCGCGCGCCGGATGGGAGTTTGGCAGGCGAATGTGGCGATTGAGGGGCTCTACTTTGCAGCTTGACCTCCGACTGCGGGTGGGCGTTCCGTCTCCCTTCGGCTTGTATTACTGTACGCTACGTCGTTGCATATCACACTCTCCTCCGTTCTCTGTCCACGCGCGCACCTTGCCCGAGGCGTCATTGGCTGAGGCGGGGTTAGGGTTGCTATACCTTATGGACCGCTCCGTCGGACGCGCGGAGAGCAAAAGTGTGAAGGGCGCACGGCGCACGCCTTCGTCGACCGCTCTCCTCACGTCCCTCCGCGTCTCTCTTCCGGGATCCATCGGTGAACCGAGGCTGCAGAGCGGAGCGACCGCTGCGACCAGCACCCTTTCCGTCTCCCTACTTATACCGCCCCCGCGCCATCTGACCGAATCCCCACCTCTCCCGGTCTTCTTCCGCCTTCCTGCCTCGCCCCCCTCACGCCGCACGCCATGGCCCTCGTGCTCCCCGCAGAGCTCGCGCGTCCGCTCGATGTCCTGCTCATCGACAACTTCGACTCCTTTACCTGGAACATCTATCAGTCGCTCTGCATTCTCGGCGCGGACGTGACCGTCATCCGCAACGACGCCATCACCCCCGCCGCCTTCCCGCTCCTCAAACTCAACTCGCTCATGATCTCCCCCGGTCCCGGCCACCCCGTCACCGACTCGGGCATTTCGCGCGAGGCCATCAAGTACTTCACCGGGCGGGTGCCCGTTATGGGCGTCTGTATGGGCCTCGAGTGCCTCGTCGATGTCTTTGGGGGAGAGATCGGGTGAGTCTATGCGCTCTTGTTGTCAATTCGGTGGTTAGTATGGAAGCGGGCTAGGAGCGAAGCTGTGTTGGCCTCTGCGCGCTCCCTTGTCCCGTCGCTGCCGTCGCTTCCCATAGTACGGGAACGCCTGGCTTCCGTAACGCCAGCTCAGATTAGCATGGTCCTCGACTGTCCTTTCCTCTTCCCGGCCACAGGACGATGCTAACCACGCGCCCGACAGGTTCGCGGGCGAGATCATGCACGGCAAGGTGTCTGCCATCCGGCATGACGGCCGCGGTTGCTTCAAGGACATCCCCCAGGGCATCAAGTCCACCCGCTACCACTCTCTCAGCGCGAGCTCCAGCACTCTCCCCAAGGAGCTTGCCATCACTGCCATCACCCAGGAGAGCGGCGTCATCATGGGTGTCCGTCACCGCAAGTACACCCTCGAGGCCGTCCAGTACCACCCTGAGAGCATTCTGTCTGAAAGCGGAGACACCCTCTTCAAGAACTTCCTCGCTCTCCGCGGCGGTACGTGGGACCTCAACCCCACTTCCAACGTCTCTGCCGAGACACTTCCCGCCTTCGGCCTAGAAGGCATCGCTGACCAGGTGACGAACGGCGTGGCTACTCCGGGCAGCTCCAAGTCCAAAGTGCCGACCATCCTCGACAAGATCTACGCGCAAAGGATCAAGGACGTTGAGATCGCGAAGCAGACGCCTGGGTCTACTCCGGATGACCTTGAAACGCTCCTCAACCTCAATGTTGCGCCTCCAGTCATCAACTTCCTCGCACGCCTCAAGGCTTCTTCTTCCAAGTCCCTCGCCCTCATGGCCGAGGTCAAACGTGCCAGCCCCTCCAAGGGTCCCATCGCGATGAAGGCCAACGCCGCTGAGCAGGCCCTGACGTACGCCATCGCAGGCGCGTCCGTTATCTCGGTTCTGACAGAGCCAACATGGTTTAAGGGCACCCTCCTCGACATGCGTCTTGCCCGCCAAGCGATCGACGCGCTTCCCCACCGGCCAGCCATCCTCCGCAAGGATTTTATCTTCGACGAATACCAGATCGCTGAAGCTCGTCTGCACGGCGCGGACAGCGTACTGCTCATCGTCGCGATGTTGCCCGTGCCGCGCCTGCATGCTCTCTACGAGTACGCGCGTTCCTTGGGCATGGAACCCCTCGTGGAGGTCAACAACGCTCGTGAGATGGAGGCCGCGCTCGCGCTCGGGGCGAAGGTCATCGGCGTCAACAACCGGAACCTGCACGACTTCCAGGTCGACATGGGCACCACGAGCCGCCTGGTGGACATGGTCAAGGAACGGGACGTCATTCTGTGCGCCCTCAGTGGGATCAAGGACGTCGACGACGTGCGCACCTACGCCAAGGAGGGTATCAACGCGGTTCTCATCGGCGAGGCTCTCATGCGCGCGAAGGACACCAAGGCATTCATCAGGCAACTCCTGGACTGGCCCGAGCCCGAGGACGCCAAGGGGAAGGCCGTCGAGACTCGGCCGTTGGTCAAGATCTGCGGGATCCGTTCCGTGGACGAGGCCATTCAAGCCATGGAGGCTGGCGCGGACTTGATCGGGCTCATGTTCGTCCCGAAGAGCAAGCGGTTCGTGACCCCAGAGACGGCGCGCGAGATCTCGGCCGCCATCCACTCTCGTCTCCTCACCGAGTCGGCACAGCGCCCGATCGCCACCGCGCCCGGAGGTGACGATATGAAGAACGAGCCCTGGTTCCAGACGCACGCCCGCCGGTTGGCACGGAACCTCTCCTCGGAGGGGGCCCGCCGGCCGCGTGTCGTCGGCGTCTTCCAGGACCAACCGCTGGAGACGGTGCTTGCCGCGGTGGAGGGCGCGCAGCTGGACATGGTGCAGCTGCACGGGCGCGAACCGGTCGGGTGGGCGCGACACATCCCCGTCCCGACCATCCGCGTCTTCCATGTGGACGAGGAGGGCCACGGTCTGACGGACATCACGCGCCCGGGCGCGCACGCGTTCGTGCTCCTCGACGCCGTTGCCGCGGGCGGTGGCGGGCTTAGCGGGGGCTCGGGGACTCGCGTCGACCTCGAGATCGTGCGCGCGGTGGTCGAGAAGGGCGAGGTGGGCGGGGGCGCGTTGCCCATCATCCTCGCCGGGGGGCTGACGCCCGATAGCGTCAAGGAGGCGGTCGAGGCGGTGCGGCCGTGGGCAGTCGATGTCAGCGGGGGCGTCGAGCTTGAGGACGGCTCGGGCAAGGACCCGGAGCGCGTGAAGGCGTTCATCGATGCGGTTAAGGGGGCTTGAGTATGGAACGTAATAGTGCCTGCGTGTTGGCATAGAAGCCTTTGTGTACGGTGTGTTTAGATGTGGATTCATGTTGTATTCAGCCATGGTTTGTGGGACCAGAAGACAGGGTAAGTCACTACCAAGGCGTCATGTTGACACAAAGATCAACATGAAACATGACACTATGGCCGAGTGGTTAAGGCGACAGATTCGAACTGGTTCGATCATCTGTTTCCCTCTGGGAGCGCAGGTTCAAATCCTGCTGGTGTCGTTTTGCCGTCGCGAACCGTCTCGTTTCAACGCCTAATGTGGAAAGTTGTGCTCTGATAATAGGTCACTCATGTTGACTGCTTGGAAAAAGACGATGTCGTCTTGCATTTATGGGCTCCGTTATAATTAGTCCCCCAGAAAGCCCCGGAGACGAGACACTATTGCGAGTCCCGGTAAACTCAACAGATCTGAGAAAGGAGCCGTGTAGGCACTCATGGGACGAGGTCAGATGTAGATGTCGATATCTGTATGTACGTATGCCCCTTCAAGAAGCCAAAGCAAGCTGGCTACGCGGGTACATGCGTAATGCGTGCAAGAAACAGACGACAAAAACCCGTGTCGGGCGGAAAGTCCTCATGCAGGCGCAGCCTCCGCGCGTTCTGCATGCCCACGTGCGCTATCCTCCATCTCCTAGATCCCGTTCACACTGACCCACACTGCGCGGGGGATCCCGTCCTGGCCGCAGTCCCCGTCGTCCGAGGAGCGGTCGCCGTCGTCTGCGAGCGCGACCGGGTTGGCTCCTGGATTCGGGACAGGGACGGGCGCCGCCACCGAAACGACGAGCGCCTCTTCCGAGGGCAGGATTGGCACCAGCGGGAGGGCGGGGAGAGGGCCGTCTGCGGGGAGGGCCAAGATGTCGGCGGCCTTGCGGGCAGCGTCGGCGGCCTCGAGCTGCTTGAGCTCGGCGGCGGCACGCTCGGCGGCGAGGAGCTCTTTCCGGCGCTGGTCGCGCTGGGAGACAGGGTCAGGGGCGATGATCGATGGGATGGCGATAAGGACGGACCTCCTCCTTCTCCTTCTGCTCGCGCGCCTCCCGCTCCTGCTTCATCTTTTCCCGCAACGCCCGCTCGCTCACGACCCACTCCGCCGCCTCCGCCGCCCCTGCCTCTGGCCGCGACTTGTTCTTCAGCAGGTCTGTCCGGCGGTCCAGCACACCGTCAGCGCTCGCTCTTTCCGTCACCCCACGCCCCTCTCCTGCGCCCTCTGAGCAAGCAAGCGAAACACTCACAGCCCTGCAGCGCGGCCACGCTGAACTCCTCGTCCGGGATGGCGTCTGCAAACTTCTTCGCCAGCATCGCCAGCGTCGCCCCGTCGAGCGGCTTCGCAGAGTGCTTCGCCTCCAGCAGCTCCTCTTCTATCGGCGGCGGCAGGTACGACTGGTGCTGCAGCCCCCCGTCACTCACCGTCCGCGCCCGCTCCTTGGTCTTCTCCCCGCTTCCCCGCCCTATTGTCGACGTCGTCCGCGCCCGTGCTGGCAGACCCTCGGGCATCGAAGGCAGCGGTGACAACGGCGTCGAGGAACCAGATGGGCTCGTGGGCACCGAGGACAGGGCGGAGGACAGGGAGGAGAACAGAGTTGAGCTAGAGGAGGACCCTGCGGAGGGCGACGGCGGCACGGTGGGCAGTTCAATACCATCCAAGTCTCCTTCGAGCTCTTCGTTGTCCTCGTCCGTGGAGGGGAAGAAATTGCGGAACAGCAGTTCTGCTTGCCATTTCGACGCGTTCTTAAACTCAATCCACACGTCCATTCGCCCCGGTCGCGACAGAGCGGGGTCCAGCCGCTCAAGGTGGTTCGTGGTTCTGGGCTAGCGTCAGTATGCGGGCATCGCGCGCGGAGTGGAAGGACGGCAGGCGTACGCGAACAACAAACGGCCCTCCGAAGCCGCGACCCCGTCCAGTGCGTTCAGCAGTCCACTCAAGCTGAGCGTGTTGACGTCTGACATCTGGTCGTTCTTCCGCCCACGGCGCGACGACGATGTGCTGGTCGGCTGCTCGTTCACCTTCTCCTTAGACTCGTTGTCCGGCGAGCCCGTCGACGTGCCGTCGCGCGAGGTGCTCCGCGTAAAGGCTGCGTCGAGGTCCTCGAGCAGGACGATGCATCGTGCGGGGACGCGTCCCATGAGCGTCGTGAGCGTGCTGTCGTTGATCCATGATGATGACAGAGATACGACGTAAATGTCCAGCATCAGCTCGCCAGCAATGGCGTGAATGAGCGAACTCTTCCCCGAACCCGGCACACCATACAGCAGATATCCTCTCCGGAAGGGTATGCCGCGATCTGCGTACCACTAAGCACCGAATGTCAGCGAGCGTTCGACGGGCGCGGTGGGGCGCGAAGCATCAACTCTCCGCGCATGGAAGCAGCTGACGCACCTTCTCGGACTTGAGGAAGTCCTTTGTGTCAGCGAGCAACATCTCTTTCACGCCCGGGTTGAGGACAATGGAGGACATGGGCCGCTTGTGCCTCGAATCCGTCCACCTCCAGCATCCATGGGAGTCGGCAAAGTAGATTTGAATGCGGTGCACGGCCTCGGCCTCGTACTCCTTCTTAGCCTGGAGGACGAGCTGCTTGAGAATGGAATTGTTGCGCGCGACTACGGAGACGGAGATGACTTCGCTCCCAGTGTCACCCTTGCGCCAGCGTTTGACGCGGAGCAGGTGACCGCGGTAATAGATGGTGTGGGTCGTATTCGGAGTGGGCTGGAAGACGACCCGGGTCTTGACGCGACCCGGAGTGTCGTCTTCGTCGTCGTCGTCATCGCCGAAGGAGTTGTCGGCGACGCGGCTGCCGAAGCCGGGGTTGGAATTGCGGGTGGTGGTCTCGAATTCACGGGAACGCTGCCACTCGGGACGACGGGAGAGCCAGAGCATGAGCCAGTCATATGGATAATCTTCCTCGGAGAAGTGAGCCGTAAGGAAGAAGGCTAGAAAGAAAGAAGGGCGTCAGGGAGTGGCGAGCGGGGAGGGAGAGAGGACACGGACAGTTTATGAAGTGAGACCTGGATGACGGAGAGGCGACGCGTGTACGCGGAACGGGCAGCGGGGGTGGCAGTCAGTAGGCGGAATGGGGGCGAGGAAGAGAGAGACGGACCATCCTGAACTCGCGACGCGTCGGGCAGTCTCCACGGTGCCACCGAGGACGACGAGCTTCATTCCGTCGATCATGGAGGAGCCGCCGCCGCCGCCGACGAGGGGCTGGACGAGAGACTTGAGGGCGTCCATGGGGGTGTCGTTCTATGTCTGGGGGAGGGGGAGCCAATGCTGCGGGTGAATGGAAGGGTGAGGGAATGGTGAGAGGCGAGGGGCGTCGCGGTTGGGGTGCGGGTGGTGGTGGAGGTAGGAGGGCAAGCGGCGGGGGCGCCTGGTGGGAAGTCGGGCGAGACCAGGAGCCGGGGAAGGGACAGGGCACCGTGGTATGAGCTGTGGCGGTCCTTGCGCTTCCCATTCCTGCCCGCCCGCTGACTCCCTCGCCCCGCCCGCCTGCAACGTGTTCGCTCAGCACGGCCTGGCTCGCCCTGCCCCGCCAGAACGCGTTCTCGGACGAGGCTCGAGGAGCACTCTTGGACGCGCCTCGGGCGCCTCGCCTCACACGTTGGGCGCCTGGGCGATGGATCCGCTGCCCGAACCGCGCGCGCGGGGCGCCCGTCGCCCAGCGATGCTCAGCAACTCGCCGACGAACTACGCCGTCGAGGCCTGCGCGCCCAGTCCCGCGCGTCGAGGCTCGCACGTCGAGGATACGCCCCGCGACAGCACATACCCCCGGACAGCCCGTTTCGCCGCCGCTCGCCCGCCCTTGCGCCGCGACGCGCGTCCGGGACATGGGCCCAATCACGACTCACACGCCCGACGCTCCCGTCCAATACCGCCCGCCGTCCGCGCGCAAAGTGGCAGGACCGTTCCGACTGTCGTCCTCCGCCGCCGTCACATGCCCTCCCGCTCACCCCGCCTAGCCATCGCCGTAATCGAACGGCCCCCGACGCAAGGACAAGCTTCGAGTGCTTCGAGCAGCCACCTCCGTCACCCGCGACCGACCGCGTGCATCCAAACTCTAGGACACAGTGCGGTCACTTCATCCGGCGTACTTATGTCCCGTCCGCCATTGGCCCAAGTGAGACGAGGACCAGAGCGCTACTGCGGGCCGCAGCGCTTCTGTTCTGAGCAAAGCCCGCACCGGTTTCGTCTTCGCTGCAGCGCAGACTGACGACATGCGGGCGAGAGCTCTGCGTATGTAGTTGTGCGGTACGATGCGTACGGCAGAAGCGCCCACCCTTGCCGGCCCTCGGAACCGCCTTGCGCCGCTTGACGCTCACTGACTCCTTCGCAGTCCATCCGCAGGGGTTAACAATGAAACGACGAACCCAATGCCCCGTCTTTCGTCGCACGCGGGGGCTTCTGAGACGGTAGAAGGGAGCGAGACGCATGGGTGAACAGTGCATCCCGTCCGTACCATCCTGTACGCGATCCGGTCAGCTCCGCTGTCTCGAAGGTCGACAACCAACACACCTCGAGGCCGCACCCCGCATTATGCAGCGCTTTGTGACCCACACTCGGACAGATAGAGATGCTAAAGGCTGATCGGTTCGACACGTGTAGTCTCCACGACTTATGTTACAGGCAGTCGGTCATAGTGAAGCAGACGGAGGTGCAGAACCCTGCGGCGGGAGATCGATGACCTTTCCCACAACGTTATACCGTTTCCTGTGAACGGCGGAAGGTGAGTGAAAGCCCCGGCCACTTCGAGCACGCTTCACGCGGAAAGATGACCAGGCCGTGCTCACGTGAAGAAGTCAAACCAGTCGTTGAGCGTCTTCATGTCGCCTTCGGAGAGGGTGCTGTAGTCTGATACTGCATCCTCTGCCTTAAGACTGGACATGCCGAGGGCACGGGACGCGTCCTTGCCGGTAAAGAGGTTGTAGGACTTCCCCTTTCCATACGTGTCCGACTTGTGCGTGACGTCGAACACGGTGCCTGTGCGCAAATGAGCGGGGGCGAGGACATACATGGGAGCGTAGAGACGAACCCTTGATGGCGACGTAAATGGGCTTGGAGAGATCGGAGCCGTCGAAGGCCATGAGCTGCGCGACGGTGAACGGGTCGTCCTTGGGAGGCGCAAGGTCTGTCCGGGCAGGCTGCATGACGGGCTTGGTCGAGGACTCTGCGGGGGCGGCGGGCTGCTTGCGATTGCGGAGCTGCTGGTCGTACTTCTGCTTCTCCTCGAGAGACAGGCCGGAGCTGGAACCGTCGGCGAAAGAGTTTTTGGAGGAGGAAGAGGGCTCGCGGACAAGGACGGTCTTTGCGAAGAAAGCAAGGAGGCCGGCGACGGAAAGGGCGACGAGAAGAGCGGCGAGCATGGCGAACGCGGCAGACGGGCGGACGGACGCTGGGCGAGGAGGAGCCTCGGGCCACGTGCGATCGATTTCACGCGCTCTATCCCCGGCCCGGCTCTCCGTCTCCCGCTCAGGCTCGCAACTCGTCTCGAACGGCCACTGACTCTGGGCGCATTCCTCATGCACGTCTTCCTTCTTGGTGCCACAGGTACGCCCATGAACTCGCTCTGCTATCCAGGTGGTTTTGAACCGGCGATGCATGCGCATAGGTTATATCGGCGGCTCCGTCCTTTCGCACCTCTTGTCAAGCCCCGCCGCATCTCGTTACAAGATCACGGCGGCCGTACGCAGCGAGGAAAAGGCAGAGAAGATACGCTCCTTTGGAGTAGACGCTGTGCTCGCAAGCCTCGATGATACGGAGCGACTCGAGGCGCTAGCTTCGCAGGCGGATGTCGTCGTTGAATGCGTGAGCCGAAGCCTCGCCAACCTGCGATTGCTCTTGACGCGTTTCAATAGGCAGACGCGGACCATTCTGCGTCCACCAAAGCCATTCTTTCTGGTTTGAAGAAAAGGCATCAAGAGACTGGGCAAGTGCCCGCGCTCATCCACACTGTGAGCTGCGCGACCTGCATCTCAGACCCATCTGACACCGATGTCCGCAGTCAGGCACTGGTATGTGGTCCTCCAGGAATGCTAAGTAGTCAAACCGTTCACTACAGTCACGGCCCAGGTGTCTTGACCGACAATGCAGCGGGGATGTTTGCCACGGACACAATCTGGTACGACAACGACCCGGACCAACTGGACACAATCGCGCCAAGCCAGCCTCACAGAGAAGTAGATCTGGCAGTAATCGCAGCTGATAGCGAAGGTCATGCCCTCGTGAGATACGGGGAACATGTCTGAGAACTGACGAGCTTATGGTGCCTCAGGCTACGTGAAGACATTTCTCGTACTGCCCTCGACCATCTACGGTCTCGTGGAGGGTCAACTCGTAGACGCAGGCATCATGAATCCTCAATCACAGCAGATCCCGCGCTTAATCAGGACAGGGATTGCCCGGAAGCAGGCCGGTATGGTAGGGCTGGGGCGTAACATATGGCCTAACGTACACATCAAAGATGGTGAGGTCAGACGAGGCAACCTAAGACAAACAGCGAAGCTAATGCCCGAGGACTACTAGTTGCTGGGCTGTATGAGACGATATTACACGCCCTGATGGAAGGTAGGGAGATTGGGCACGGCAGGGAGGGATATTACTTCGGAGAAAACGGAGAGCACACACTACTGGCTCTGGCGGGGGAGATAGGAAAGGTGCTTGTGAAGCTAGGTGTGGCGTCCTCCGAAGAGCCGACTACGTTCACTCCGAAAGAGTTGAAGGAGTATCTCGCAGGGGTGAGTACTGCGAGGCCTCGCGGACACCGGCAGTGGTGGCTAATGACATCAATGGATGCAACTGTAGTCCAAAAGCCTTGGGATAAATTCACGATGTCGGGGGGAGCGTTCGAGGAGCGTTGGGTGGAAAGCAATAAATGGGACGGAGGACATGCTCGCGGGCATCGAGGCCGAGACGACGTATATCCTCAGCACAGGCAAAATGGAGCAAAGGCTGTAGAATCTCATGTCCGCCTCGTTGGCATTAGTGGGCGACCAAAGCAGATGAGAGAGATATTTATCAGTCGCGTACGCTATTTTCAGAGAACAAGAACGGAAGAACGAGCGCTGCGGCAGCGGAAGCGCTCGCCGCCACTTCGCCACCAGTCGGCGTCCTCAACTGCTCTCACCTTCCCTCCTCCCCTTCCTCTCACTTCTCCCCGCCCCCTGCGCTCGCCTGCCACTGGTCGCGATGGACCCGAAGCCCCTCGCAGACCAGGAGAGAGACATCAAGAATCTCCTCAGTCGAGCAAAGTCCACGCCGCTCAAGACCTCTTCCCTCGTTCGTTTCGCCGCGCTCTTCCTATCTTCACCCTCTGACTGAGTTCCCTCCCAGCGTCGTGACACTCTCCGTCGTCTGATTGATCTCGCACACTCGGAACACACCTCGCTAAAGATTACTGCCGCCGAGAACTTCCGCTACTTCATCAAGGACTTCCCGGACCTCGAGGACGATGCAATCAACGCCGTCTATGACTTGTGTGAGGACCCAGTCTACCATGTACGTCTTATTTCGCCTTCCTAAAGCTGCCTCTTCCACGAGCTCATCTTTTCGCCGTATCGTACAGGTTCGAATCAAAGGATACGCTGCCATTGTTGATGTCTCCCGTGAGCAGAGCAAGTGGGTGAAGAGAAACGCAGACGTCCTCATCCAGCTTCTCCAGAGTGGTGCGTCTTTCTTCTCCAGTCCTCGTTCGTTGTGACCCCTTTCGCCCACGTCCTATTTGCGGCTATAACCCTGGAGCATCAAACGATTGATTGTTCACCACAGACAACCCAGACGAAGTAGTCTATGTCAAACGGTCACTCACCCAGCACTTGGACATGGATCCTGTCGTCACTATGGGCGTAGTGTTTGACCAAATAATACCGCCAGAAGAGCCTCTGGACGACGAGGAAGTCGCTATCCGTGATCGCCTGCGTTCACTCGTTCTTGCTTTCCTTGCTGGAGAAGTCAAGCGTCCTCTAGGAGACCGCCACATTGGTGCTGCGGGCAGCCCAGCGGAGCGGTTTCTCGTCACCGAAATGTTCAAGGTATGTGATCGGCCTATTCCCTCCCTATTGCAAGTCGCCTACCGTTGTATTCTTTCAAGGCAATCCCTAAACTCAATGTCGGTGAAGTCGAGACAATCGTGAAAGACGTGCTTGTCGCGCTCCCCTCTTTTAAGCCCCCATCCGCGCGAGGGACAGAACTCCTCGACGTCATCCTCTCTCAGACGCGTGCCGCCGTCAAGTCCGACCTTGCAGAAAACACCGACCGAGCATCTTTCAGTGAGGCAAGGGCATACCTCGCTCTTGCACTTTTCGCCTGTATCGACAAGCGAATCGCGCCATCGACCCATCTCCTCAACTTCTACTTCAACACTATCGCCCTTAAACAGGTCTTGGAGCGCATATCGGAGGAAGCGCAATCCGATGTCATCGTGGGGATATCACGAACACTGGCTGTATGGGAGGAAACCAAGCGGCGCACGCCACCCACCGCTCCAGCCACAGATCTTCGCAACTCGGAAGACTCGACTCTCCTCCAGCAATCCCTCGACGTCGGCGCTATCCTCTTCCAGGTGTGTCTCATCTTCGCTATGAATTTTGCGAACGATTTGTTGATAACAAGTACAGGTGGTCGCTGACATGACGTCCGACCGAAATCGACCATGGAAAGCTTGCCAGACGCTGCTGCAATCGTTTTCTCATGTATGTTGCATGCCGTCGAACCACATCGTCGTGGAACTTACTTTCGCGATGGTTAGCGGAAACGAGACGCGTCTCGACAACTCCCTCAATCGCTCGTCGCCGCTCTCCGGCGTGTCGAGTCACTTTCGGTGACCGTGGAAGATTCAAAAGTCGTGCAAGAACAAGTGCAAGAAGCTATTAGGGTTCGCAGTGGGCCGCTCTTCATTTCCGCCGCAAATGTCCGACCATGTCGCTCTTGTTTTTCCCCATTTCTTTTGAACAGTATCTACTGGGACCTCTCAAGTCTCCCGTGCCGCCACCGCAACCAAGCCCTTCCGACGCTTCAGCGAAGAAGGCGCCCTCACAAGATGCGCGTCAAGGTAAAGTGAACGGCATGCTCGCAGGTACTTCCAGGATGCCAAGGGACACGATCTTGTTCTCGCAGGTGCCAGTCCACAGGTGCATCAGAGCAGTCAACGAACGAACAAGCGCAAGCTCGACACTGGCGACACTCCGGACAGCCCCCAGCCCTCTCCTGCCGAAAGCAGCCTACGGCGTACACATACGCCAATCCCCCTTCCTCCTCGACCCTCATCTGTTCCTCCCTCCCCAGGGCATTTGAACAATGACAGACGTCAGGAGCGATCAATCATTAGTGGTGCTATGGGCCCGCCCCCCGGTCCGTCCACGTCGGAGGCTGGCTCGACCACCGTTTCAAATGCGTCCGCCACAACAGGTCCTTCCCTCGCGATGCGTGGCGGACAACCTGAACAACGGTCCAATGGGCTCGGCCTTCGCACAGCGGAGCGAAGCCAAGAGTCGAATAAGGACAAGAAGGCGGAAAGTTCCGCACCAAGGACATCTCCCGCCGACGCCTCTGGCCCGTCGCTGCTCAGCCGACTGGCGAAGCCGGCGACGGACAGCAAACACCTCGCAGGCGCCGAGCGCCCGCGGAGCCAAGACCAGACTCAGGCCGGCCGCAAGGTTGAACGCAGCGGCGGGACGAAGTCTCCGGACGCGGCCGCACCGTCGACGGTGCCCGCGAAACGGCGCGCCGAGGCGGCGCAGCAGGCCGACTCGCCCTCTGCGGGAACGCCTGTGGGACGGCCGTTGCCCCCGCGTCTGGTCGCGGATTCGGACAAGGACCCAGTGGGGGGATATAGCATCAAGGGTGCGGCGAAGGCCGCGTCTTCCCCTGCCCCAGTTGGAGGGGGTCCCGGCAGCACTGGGCCAGGATCGTTGTTGGACCGTATGCAGGCCCTGGGCACGGGTGACCGGGGCGGGAATGGCCAGGACAGAGGGAAGAGGAGGAAGCGAGGGAAATATGCGTAGGTTGATGGTGTAGGGAGATCGCGATGTGTACGTTGCAAAGGTAGTGTTGGATTGCACGTAATGTTTACGATGATCGAGCCCTAGATGTATGACGATTCTGTCAGAATTGTCAGTCGCGGCTTGGGCTTCTACGCTTTGTGTGATTGCTAAGTTAAAATCTTCGTGGCAAGGGCTGACGATGGTGAAATCTATTAAGGGTATCCTGGGAATGCGCAAGTATGTGGTGTCTATGTATCTATGGACATATGCGTGCACGTAAGTATGAATGTATGGAAGTAACGGGTCGGTGAGGGACGTCGATTCATGATTCGCAGCTGTTATACTATGCAGCGTCGAATGATAACTCTGGAGGTGCTTCGAACAGTTCCTCGAACGCCTCTCGAGACTGCCCGATCACGCCGAAAGCGTCCTGTAAGGTGCGTCCGAGGTAATCAAGCTCCTGGATGACTCCTTTCATCGTCAGTGCATATGCGAAGAACAGCAGATGCCTTGATCCTTTGACGTCGCGGTTGCGGACGACATCGAGCTTCCGGATGGCATCAACCTGACGGACTCACATGAGCCGCGACGAGAAGCACACTCGAAGGGTCGGAACGCACCAAACGAGACCTGGCCTCTTCTGCAGGTGGAAGATACGGAGGGAGGGGCGATTTGAGACGGAAGGCCGCCGCAAGAGTGGAGAAGTAGAGGATGACGCTCCCGACCATCTCCCTTCGTTCCCGGTTCACGGGTATGATGAAGTCACGCTGCACAGTCTAATGCACTACACGTGAGCGATGCCCTTGTGAGGTCTGGATACGATGACCTACGGTGTGCCTAAGCAATGAGGGATCAATATCGATCGATGCGATGATGAGACTAGATGAGACTGACCATTCTTCTCGTGATGTCACACAGCGCATGCTATGAAGCCGGTCTAAGATTGCTTGCAAACTCGTGAGTATGTTCCGGTAGAGTCCGACCGGGAAGGGACCCTTGAGACGAGGCTCGTGCTGGGTCTGCGAGAGCAGGCCTTGGAGCTCGATCAGCTTGATTTGCAAGTGAAGCTCCCTGAAACGGATACGTTGAACGAACAACCCAGGCCTGAAGAAATCGAGCAGAGCATACATGGACATGAAATTCTGGATTGACTGCGACATGATAGGATTCACGTGCAAGAGCGGGAGCTCCTCACTCGCAGAGTCGTCATCGTTGACGACGTGCAACAGGAATTCTTCGTCTGAGAATGAGTTGAATGCGACGAGGCGCGTGTACAGCCATCCGATGTTCAAACAGAATCTATGTTGGGAATGTTGGTTAAATGCGGGCTGGTGGGAACAGATTGGAAAGCACTCACTCTCCAAGCCGTCGACTGAGCTCGCGTCTAGCCTCGGCTGGCCACCAGAAGCGTGAAACGATGCCAGCCCACACCACACCAGCTATAACAGCAACGGCACGGTGATAAGCGATATCAAAGACAGCGACGTCCCTTTGGCGGATGTTGTAGCTATTCATTGAGTAAGTAACGGGATAGCATCTTCTGAATCGAACAGGCTACTAACCAGTAGAGACATGTCAAATTGTACGTGAGCAAGACGAAGCGGGATGAAGTCGCGTATTGAGGCTTGGCTACAATGAAGTAAAAACAAGGGAACGAGTAGAAGAAACCGAAGATGGATAAGACCCAAGGGTTCTCAGGGAACAGGGTCCAAATCACAAACGCCGTTGCGGCACCCAATCTAAACCCAATGTCAGCGCAGGTTCCCCGTCACCGAATCACTTACATTGTTCCCAAGACTCTGTGGACACCGAGGAAGTTGGTCTGCGTCGTCAACACTCAGAAAGTAGACCGACAATCTGATTAACAGCACACTTACCGCGCCTATAGTAGGTGAAATGACGACGAAAAACTACAGGGGAGGTTATCATCACCGCGACACTTGACGTAACGACAGGATAAACGCACGGAAATCAGGGCCCATTCTCCTCGATACTCAACAAAGATAGGGCGGGTGGTCTCGAAGAAAGCCGGCGCGGCGAGCAAGGCGGTGGCCATACCAGCTTTGAACGCGTATTTCATGTCCTGTTCCCGCAATCGTGCGCCCAGAGCCCACAAGGATTGACCAATACGTCCAGATAACGAAAGATTTTCTCGATTGGGCGTTTGGATGGTATTCGGTGCGTGCGGGGTGACCTTGGGGAAGGAGGCAGCTTTATGTGGTCGGAGCTGCGTGAAGTAGTGGGCTGTAAATACTACCCATGAGCGTAGTCCTAGGGGCGGGCTATCCAATACCTACACAAGCGTTTCCGGATGTCTACTGGCCCTTTGCCTCCGGTGGGCCGTGCGTGCCTCCTTCGAGTATTCATACTGTCACTACGGGTGAAGAAGGTCTTGATGCGACCCCATATACCGCCGCGAGACGCACGAGCACGCTCGATACTGCAAATTCGGCCCATGGCGTCGACCAAGGATATCAGTTCCCGAGCGTATTCTTGCAGCGTGAAGATGAAGCTGTACATGAGGTCAGACTCAGTCTGTTGGACGTGAAAATCATCATGCAAACTCACAAGTAAGCCAGGAAGACGGTTTCACTTTCGTCGCCCATGAGGATCTCATTCGCAGACATGGCCGAGGCGTTGGAGGCCCGAGAACCCGATGTAGAGACATTACTGTTACGATACATGCGGAGGACCGCGTGATTAGATGTGCTCTCAAATGTGAAAAGAGCGCGTTCAATGCTGTCGGTGATGTCTAAGAAGTCGGTGGGCTGAATGAAGACATGATCGCCGCTCTCTCGAGGTTGCGCAAAGGCTTCTCGGAGACGTTTCAGAGTGGACACACAAGCCACCTGGCAATAACGGCAGACACATGAATAGGGTGAGAAGGAGAACTGCAGAGGACATACGGAGAGAGCCTTCATTGGCGGGCCCAGGTCGTCCATCAAATCCCCAAAGACAGTCGCAGCCGCCTGAAGCAATGCAGCCTCTTCATCCATCACGACAGCTTCGACACCATGATCGGTGGTCTTTCCTTTGCCATTGTTCGCTTTGCCATTGTTCGCTGCGCTAAGGCTCTTGAGAACGAGCTTGCCTTCTCGGTGACCTTTGATGAGCTCTCGTTGCAGTGTGATCCCGCTTCGAAGACCGTTCAGATGTTGTCCGAGTCGATTGAGGCTTCCAATGGCGTCCTCGTACGCCTGGCCGGAGCTACCACGGAGCTGAGCTTCTTCGCCGAGCTTTCCAGGACCACCGAAGAAACGTTCTGACTGGGCCTCTGTCAAGCTCTTCTTGAGAGAAGTGAACGATGCTTGATGGTTGGCGACCGCACGTTGAACACGTTCCGGACTGAATCCTCGTGACTCCTCAAGGAGGAAGGTTTCGGTAAACATGGTGATGAGGGTCGAGAACGAGTCGAGGGTCTGGGTCATGTTGTTCTGGAGGCTTCTGGTCGCGCGCTGAGGCCAGATGAGAAGACACACCACGTTAGAGACCGCCGCGCCGACAATAACAATGAAGGAGACTTGAAGGAGGGTCTGGAGGCCACCTTCTTTGACGATTCTGGACAGGAAGTGAGATGCGGACAGACGGGGTGCATATAGTGTGCTCACACGACAAAGAGAATGATAACCGTCATACTGCAAGCTTTTTATGAAGTCAGCGATCGCGCGTGAAGAAAACGTAACTGAAACGGACCTGTATTGAAGGTGGGCTTGGCCATCCATACCTTCATCCACGCGACAAAGGACATGCCTAGACCGATCATGAGGAGGACAAGGATGTCGGCGAGCCAATCGAAGCCGGGCTGCCGCTCGAAGAACCAGTATACACTCATGCTGGAGAGAGAGAGAAAGGTTGCAAAGACGAGGCCCATGAGACAGTACGCGTCGGCTTCAACCATTGCACCGAGAGTCTTGGCGGGGTTGAAGTATACTGCACTGTGGATGGATGAGGATGGTGGAGGAGGGAATGCAGATGAAACTTACATTGTGGCTACCATGTGGCCCGATGGCGAGGGCACTCGCTCACCAGGACCATCTCCGGTGATGTCTGCAATGAAGCCGGAGAGGTAAGGGGAGAAGGTGAAGAGCGAGGCAAGGAAGTAAGCAAGAGCGCATTTGAGGATGTTGCGTTGAACCACGGTCAGGGTTGGCAGGCGAAAGGAACACGAATACCACGGGCGCGCAGAGAGGGCAGAGGAGGGGGTAGGGGTACAAGAACGGGAGGAGTTTCGAGAGTCGAGTCGAGGGGACGTAGGTACGGAGATGTGTTGCCGGTGAACTGGGTGCTCGTGCTCGAAAGGATCATGGACGCCGTACGAGGATGGGAGGTGAGGGTCGAAGTAGGAGCGAGCATCGTCATTGAGGATGGAGGGTGAAGTCTGGAGAGTGTGGTGAGAGCTTTCGAGAGAGCGAGAGTTGTCCGGGGGAGGGCGGGTGTCGGGGAGGAGCTGAGCGAAGAGAGACCATTCGCGGTCGGCAGGACGGGGACGGATGGTGGGCCGGGCGTAGGAGGAGGCGAGCTCTTGGACGCGGGAGACAGTGTCCGAGCGGCGGGCGGAGGCGAGAGAGGTAGAAAGGGTGCGATGAATGACAGGGCGAGAGAGATCGGAAAAGGGAGAGCGAGAGGGGAGGCCGGGGAGACGGTCGGGAGAGGAGACGAGGGACGGGTAGTCTTGAACGAGGGGCCTTGAGGGGATGGGGAGAGGGGACGAGCGGGAGGATGGGATGGTCTCCATCCCGAGACGAGAGGTCCGGCGAGGGTGGCTGCACGACGAGAGCGAGACGGAGGAGAGTGTGGTCAGAGTCGGCTCGAATCGGACCGCGGGAGCCGATGGACGGACGTCCTCGTCTCGCGCAAAGTTGAAGCGGTGAATTGGCTTCCTCTCGCTTTCCAATACTTAATTCCAACACCGTCCTCTTCAGCCGTGATCGCATTCCGAATAATTCAATGCCATTCGTCTTCCCCGCTCGCCGGCGGTTTGATACATTCTGCCTTCCACCTGAGACTGATCACCCGATGGCCTTCGCCCCCGTTCTGCTTCTCGCCGCGCCACCGCCCATGCGGCCACCTGCCATATAACCCCCCGCCGCTGGCTTTCGAGGGTCGCTCGCTTTCTGTTTCCTGTTCTCTTCCCTCTCTCATCCTCCTCCCTCCCTCGGCCCTTCATGCGTCCTTTCGATCCCCTTCTGCTTTTCTCCCTCCCTGCCCTTGTCCTCGCAGCTCGCTCGCGTACCTGCAAGCCGACCAAGTCCAACGGCTCCTCCCTCGTCTCTGCTGCCTGGTACGCCGGATGGCACTCCGATGACTTCCCGCTCTCCTCCGTGAGCTGGGACAAGTACACGCACATGACCTACTCCTTCGCGTAAGTCTCCGCGCGCGATCCTGCGCAGGCTTCTTCTTACGTCGCCGTTCCAGCGAGACCACCGAGGACGTCAGCACGCTCTCTCTCAACGGCTCCAACCCGGACCTGCTCCCCGTTTTCGTCCAGACCGCGCACGAAAACGTCCGTTCCTGCTCATTCGTCCTCCCATATCTCGCTCATTTCCCTCCAGAACGTCAAAGCGCTCGTCAGCATTGGTGGCTGGACCGGGTCCCGCTTCTACTCCTCCGCCGTCGCAGACAGCGCGAACCGCACTGCCTTTGTCGACACCGTCGTCCAGTTCGCCACTCAGTATGGCCTCGACGGTCTTGACTTTGAGTTCGCTCGCCTTCCTTCTCCATTCCTTCTTCCCGCTCACCTTCCATTCCAGTTGGGAATATCCGGGTAATCAAGGCATTGGCTGCAACACCATCAGCGCTAATGACACCACCAACACCTCGGGCATAGACATATGTTCTGGCCAGGTAAATCCGTGGAAATTTGAAGTAAAATGTGTCATTCTGCTAGCATGTCCAATCGCCGTTATATCCGTGTGACAGTTATACTATCTCGGGCATGCCGCATGCATTTCCCGTGCAGAGAAAGGCAACCTTCCCCTTTGCTGCCCGTCCAGGGGACATGCCAGGGAAATGATACCTTTCCCTTGCATGTCAAATTCAGGTGTGGTGGTTGCAAAGGTTAACACGGGGCACACAGCAACGGTGCACACCAAAAACGGCAATATGCACGTTCTGTTGCCCCACGGTGCTCGACATACGCCCGTGAGCTGCGCAATTCTGAGAAGAAATGCCATTGACATGCAAGGGAAAGGTATCATTTCCCTGGCATGTCCCCTGGACGGGCAGCAAAGGGGAAGGTTGCCTTTCTCTGCACGGGAAATGCATGCGGCATGCCCGAGATAGTATAACTGTCACACGGATATAACGGCGATTGGACATGCTAGCAGAATGACACATTTTACTTCAAATTTCCACGGATTTACCTGGCCAGAACATATGTCTATGCCCGAGGTGCAACTTCCTCACCTTCCTTCAGCTTCTCCGCCAGGACCCCGTTGGCAGGGATCTCATCCTCACTAGCGCAACCTCCATTTTCCCCTGGATTGGTCCGACTGGCGACCGGCTCACCGACGTCTCCGGTTTCGCCGACGTCCTCGACTGGATCGCTATCATGAACTATGACCTCTGGGGCTCCTGGAGCGCGTCCGTCGGCCCCAACTCTCCTCTTAACGACACCTGCGCCTCCTCTGCGAACCAGCAGGGTAGCGCGGTCAGCGGCGTGGCCGCGTGGGCGGACGCAGGCATGCCTGCTCAGCAGATCGTGCTTGGTGTTGCCTCTTACGGCCACTCATTCTCGGTCACCCCCACGGACGCGATCACCTCCGACGGCCAAATCAAGGCCTACCCTGCCTTCAACGCCGCCGCTCAGCCCCACGGGGACGCGTGGGACGACGACGCCAGCACGGACGTCTGCGGTGTCACCAGCGGTCCCGGCGGCAACTTCGACTTCTGGGGCCTGATCGATGCAGGATTCCTGCTGGCCAACGGCACCGTCGCGCCTGGGATCGACTACCGCTTCGACAGCTGCAGCCAGACGGTGCGTGAGGTCGAGTGCGTGGGTCGACGCGGGTTTCTGACGACTTTGGCTTGATCAGGCGTACGTCTACAACGAGACGAGCAGCGTCATGGTCTCGTTCGACGACGCTCGTGCGTTCGCGGCCAAGGGCGCGTTCATCAAGAGCAATGGCCTCCGCGGGTTCGCGACGTGGGAGGCTGGCGGGGACTCGAAGGACATCCTCCTCGACGCGATCCGTTCTGGTGCTGGTGCGGTGTAGGTCTCGCACGAGCCAGGTTCGACACTGGCCGAGAGACGACGGCAAACATGTCAGGACCTCGAGGCCCGATGGTCGTAGAAGCGCTGTTGATGGCAGTATGTAATCTGCGTTTCCGTCATGATGTTACACTCGCTTTCTACTCGACCAGTCCGCATGACGCGGGCTATAGCCGGCACTGTGTTGATCGAGGACCCCAGCGGCCGCTCTATCGGCTTGATGGACGACATCAGCCACGGCTGTGCTAGAATGAGTCCAGGGTGCAGCAATCTCCGAAGAGGGAGTACAGGGAGGCGGCAGTGCCCGTTCGGGTTAACTCCGGTCCAGAGGCCACGAGGCTCGCAGGGTTTTGTGCGACCACGCTCGCTCGTCGTGACGAGGTGCACCGATGCACTTGCGTTCCCCGAGACGCGAGTATGAACTAGCCGGGGCAGGGCGTGACCACGACTCGCTCAGGACGCCGGACGAATGCCCGGACTCCGCGGCGCCTGTGATCGCGAGAGGCCGGCGCCAGGCTGCGCCGGGTCGCGGGAGGTGAGATGGGGGTCGAGGAAGCTGCCATGTGGGACGGCTGCGCGGCGGTGCTGCGAGTGTGGCTCAGGCGCAGCGCGGGATGAGACCGAACGTGTGGGTGATGGCGCTCTCGCAGATCGGGTTCGCCGCCCTGGCAACAAGGAGCGTGGCGCAGACGGAGGTTGACCTGGGCCGACGGCATGTACGAGACGCAAAGGTGATCGAGATTGAAGATATATGGGCCTGAGACTGTCGACGAGCTGGGGTGGGGAGGCTGCCCGGGTGTCCGGCTGGGATCGTGTACGGCAGAAGGTGGTGTGCTGCGCGCAGAGGGACAAGGAATAGAACGAAGACCGACCGGGGGAAGCGGCAGGGCGGCAGTCGGGGCTGGAGAAGGATGGGAAGGGCTGGGTGGGACTCGACGTGCCAAAAGGCGTGGCCAGGAAGCGCGCAGGGGGGGCGCGGAGATGGAGGAGGAAAGGTCCGGGGCTCGAGGGAAGCCCGGCGTCCGCCATCGACGGCAGTGCAGGGCAATAACCAAACTCCCACCTCGGCCTCCGCCCGCCGTGCCGCACCGCGAGGGACGTGCGGGTGAGCACCGAGTGGGGCGCGGCGGAGGATGTCGCGGCGAGCACTCAGAACGTCTCCGTGGCCCCTCAGGCCTCAGGCCTCACTGGTCGTGGCTGAGAGAGAAACTGGTGCTCTGTGGCTTGGTCGTCCATCCCGGCTCCCGGCCCGCCTTTTCCGGTCCCGCTCCGATCGGCCGCGGGAGAGGACTGAGCGCGGAGCTCGACCTCCTCGCTCTCAACAACACTGCGGGGGATCTGGGACGTGTGCAGAGTCGGACCACAGCCTCTTCTCCCTTGTTCCTGTCTTCCGCCGGCTGTCCATGGCGCTCCGATCTTGCTCTCTGACGTTTGCTATCCCATTCATTCATGCACCATGTGCTCCCCGCACAGGCTAGAATGCCACCCGGACTTTGAAGTTGGCTCGGATCCGAGTCCTAATCGCCATTCCTCGCAGCGTCTGTCTCCGGCACCGATCGGACTGCTCCCAGCTATGTAGCTTCTTATGACGGCGAGTGAGGCCACGCTCTGTCGCCCGTGCTCATCCTTCGTACGACATCTCTGACTCGCACCGCCGTATCCGAACCTGGTAAACGCAGCAGTCAGAATCCACCACGAACTCGGTCAAACAAGACCTTGCGGTCCGGCTCACCAAAGTCCGGCCTTGCGTGACTTTGTCCTTGTCCACGGCAGCGGATATCGACAGCGCGCCGCGGGATACACATGACGGACGGAGGGCAGAGTGCAGTGTCCAGGGCTGTTTCTGGCGATCGCCGCGCTCGCGGGATTTTCTTCGCAGCCACAGCTCGCCGTGCGGTGCTCTGCCTACACCCGCGTAGGTCAGGATCTCGCTCCGCTGGATTGGCGTCGGGTACTGCTGGCTGTGAATATTGTGAATACCGGGAAGTGTGGAACGGGGCGAGCTATCGTCGGGTTATTTCTATGCGTCTGTTCTCAATTAATCACGGCCTCTCGATGGATTCCGACAACATGGCTGTGGGCAGGGTCAGCACGAGTGTGCAAACACAACGGAGACGAAACCTGCGATCGACGGTGTGAGCGAGGGTGGCCGTCAAAATCGGCTGAGGGCTCATCCGTTTTGCGAGAGGGCACGTGCGAGAGCAGAAGGCGGATCAGGCGACGGCAGACGGGGAGTGTTTCAGGAGGAGAGGAGGGCGTCGAGCGGGGACACAGCCTCTGGATAGAAGGCGGACAAGGTTAAGGAGGGCAGGCACTCTGCGGACGCTCGCCGGTGCGGGGATGATTGGCCGGAGTGGGATTGGTGATGGCGGCGGGGGTGGTACAAGTACGTTGGGCGGCGGGGCGCTCCCCGAAGCCGACTGCCGTTCTTTGCTCCTTTCCGTCTTCCCCGCGGGCCCCTGGTCGTCGATCACCCTGACGCTCCGCCGCCGCGCCTGCCCCGCACAGGCACCTTCCTCTTCCCCTTCCCGCCTCCGCAGCCCGCGCGCACCCCGCCTTTCTCTTCCTCTTTCTACCCTACTATCTTTCTAATGGCCGACGACCACACACCCTCTCCTTCGTCCGGCCCGGTCCCCCTCCAGCGAGGTCAGTCTCCTCTCCTCCTCCCCCTCCTCCCCTGCTCACCCCACCACAGGCAAGGCCTGTCTCCGCTGCCGCAAGCGCAAAATGGTCCGTCCCTCTCTCCCTCCTTGCTCTCTCCCCACCCCGACCTCCTCCCCAGCGGTGCGACGGCACCCGGCCCGCGTGCGCTCAATGCGTCCGTGCGAAGAAGGGAGACACATGCGAGTTCGACGACGGCAAGGGCAAGACCAGGACCCAGCTCATGCGCGAGCACATCGCCCGCCTCGAGCTCCGCGTCAAGGAGCTCGAGAGCCCAGAGCAGTCCGCCCCCTCCATGACCCTCTTCGACCCCCACGCCATCTCGCCCTACTACTCCGAGTCCTCCTCTTCCTCCAGCTACGACTCGCCCGGCAAGCTCAGCTACTCCGCCTCCGCATCCCCCACGCCCTTCCCTTTGTCTGACCAGGACCCGCGCAGGGGCATGCTCAGCCCGCTTTCCCTCGACTCCCCCGACGTCGACCCCAGAGCGTGGGACCAACTAAACTTTGCCGTACGTCCTCCCCCGCTCTCCCTCTCCCCATTCCTCACCCCCCTCCCTCAGGACATTCCTTCCCTCCCGGCAGTCGACTCCTTCAACGGCGTCGAGCCCCCCCTCGACCACATCCTGTCAGTCTCCCCGCTACTCCCCCCTCATCCGTCCGCTCACCGTCCTTCTCTCCAGCCTCGAGATCTTCCTCCCCCATCGTCTTCAGTGCGGCCTCGATGTCCATGTCGGTCGTCTGCGGGATTCTCTCACCCTTCCCGCCGCTGATCAGCGTCACCCCGCGCTCATGAACGCCATCTTCCTTTGGGCATGCTTCATTTCACGACCCGGCACTCTCAGTCAATACGAGCAGCTCTATCTCTCCCGCGCCACCTCTTTCGGCGACGCCATGCAGTTCACCTCAAAGCCGATCGATCTCATTCAGGCCTCGTGTCTGCTCTCCCTCTACTTCCTCTCCAACGGACGTATGCTTGAGGGCAGCTACCACGCCTCGGCAGCCTCCACGCTTGCCGTCCAGTGTCGCCTCCACCAGATCGGCTCCGAGGACCGCATGCTTGCTCCTGACAATTGGGACTCGTCCTTCGAGCTCCCTCCTCCCAAAGACAGCATCGAGCGCGGGGAGCGTATCTCAACTTTCTGGCAGGTCTATAATCTCGACCGCTGTGCGTCCGTCATGTTGCGGAGGCCCGCCACTCTCCCGGATAGCGACCATCCGTGGGCCTCTATCACGACTCCATGGCCACAGCGCATTGAGGACTATGAGGACGTGAGTTCGAGAAGACTGTCAAGAAGTTCGACGCTTACGTGTATTACAGGGAGATCTCGACGTTGGTACCGGTTCACCCACCATCCGAGCGTTCTTTGTCCAGCAGTCGCAGTCGACCTCGTTGAGCGGCTTTTCCATCGGCGCACTCAGAGTGAAGGCGTCGGCGTTGTACGAAGGTGCGAACCGGTTGTCTTCGAGCTGGAGCCCTAGTGAGTGTCCTTCGTTTTACATGCGGCTTCTCAATTTGCTCACGCATCATGGGTCGCGCTAGGGTCTCTCGCGTCCAGTTCCTTCTCGGACAACTTCAACGCCTTCGAACACAGCATCATCCGCTTCACGGCAACCTTACTTCCCCTTCACCAAGTTGGCGGTGCGATCCCCGAGGACAAGTACGCGTTGGTTGCTATTCACAGTCTCGCGCACGCGTCCATGATTCGTCTTCACGCGCCATTTATGCGTGATGACGGGGTCTCTCGCGAGAAGTGCCTCCGCGCGGCACGCTCTCTCATCCACATCACGAAGCTCATCACAGACTCGGATTTCGACTTCCTCGATCCGATCATGGGCGTAAGTCGTTCTCGTATGGCAGTGGAGCGTCACGCTGACGTGAACGTCTTTTTGTAGTCTTGCTGGTCTAGCGCCGCAAAGGTGCTTGAGAGCGAACTCAGCCGCTTGCAATCGTCGTGGCCCGATCCCCTCAACACGATGGAGGTTCGGACTGATTTGGAGGCATTGCTCTACGTCATGACGAAGCTTGGCGCCAGGTTACCCATCGTCGGTGAGTGCTGCGGCTCTTCCAACGCATTCGCCCGCTTATGCACTGACCCGCTAGCCTACCACTCCGCGAAAGTTCAAAGCTGCCTAGACGGCGAGTGAAGAGGAGATGCGCCTGCGTCTTCTCTGCTTCTCGTTTCCCAGTGTTGGCTGAACTCGCGTAGCATGCTGTCTCCCTCCCCGCTTCCCACTACCATGCATTCACGCCCGTTCACGATTCCTCACGCTCCTTTATATCCCCTCCTCTCCGATCCGCTTTAAGCTGTTGTACCTCGGCGCCGCATGGTCGCCGTCTTACGCTTCGACAGCGTCGCGATTATGGGTCCCGCCTCTCTCGCCACTCGGACACTCGCCAGGGCCCCCACGGACAAACTTTTCGGACACTTTTCTTCGGACCTTCGCTTTACATCAGACACTCACCGCAAAACGGACGAAGTCCAGTATTTGTATCTACTTACCCACCCTTCGGACGCTCTCGGACCACTCGCAATACTGTACTTTTAGACACTTCACGATATTCGTGGACATGACGGACACTCGCCCCTACCTTCATACACTGAATACTTTGCTTACTGTACTTCTCACGCGTACGGTGTACGTCCGCCGCTAGTCGCTTATTCGTCCCCCTCCCGTACGTGTACGGGCCCCTCTAGCTCATATGGTCAGCTGCTTGCTACATTGCTTATCGTTCACTCGCCATCGCCCGGACGACTGGACACTCTTTACACTCGTTACCGTTCGCGCACGCTAGCCGCACACACTCCTTTGAATAGGATACTTTCATGGGGAGTTCGCAGTATCCTCTTGCGGGATTGCGTATCCTGTGGCGTGGCCGAGGAGGATGGCCATTGAGGGTACACGCCTGATCGACTAATCTGTCCTGCGACACCGAGGGACGGATATTGGGTAATATCCCAGGCGGGGTGACGCTACAGAGAGACTAGTTTATATTTCACGATACATCGCATTTTATACTCGTATATCCGGGGCAGGTAGGTTGAGTCCTGAGTTCTAGACGAGCGTCGACACTGCTGCTGAGCCCAAGGTCCTCAGATAGTCCATTTCGGAAGCGGGGAGGGAGATGGAGGAAAACAAACCGCCAGTGTGGCTGCTCCGCGGCGAGATCCCGGGAATCTGCAACCACAGGCGCTCGGGACACAGGCGCCAGCGTCGGTACGCAAGACCCGCCACGCGCGTTGACCACAACTCGCTCTCCTCCACACCGACGTTCCCTCTGATGCCGCTCTCGTCCTCGGGGACGCCATGGACACGTCGCCTCCCACTTCCATCCCGCGTCTTCGCCTCCCGTGTCACACGCTGCAGTACCAGAATCAGGCTCTTACCCCCATCGCCAGCCAGTCAACTCAGAACAACGACTTCCTGCGCGCCGAAGATGACAACGAAGACGCGGGATCGACGTCGCGCATAGGCGCAGCATCGATCCCTGACAAGTCTTCTCCGAAAAACACGATGTCCTCTATCCCCTCCGCCGACAACCCCACCGCACGGCTGCGCGCTCTACTCGCTCGCGTCCCCAACTCCCCTGTCAACGGCGCGCCATTCATGTCTACATCTCGACATATGTCGTTCCATTCTACGTCGGATATTGAGTCCGACTTTGAGCCTCCTCCATCCACGACTACCTCTAGCAATGTGCGTGAAAGCTTGAAGGAACTCTTTTCACACACGCTGCGCGAAGCCGGCAACACGGCACGGAAAACATCAAGACCACGCCGGAATAGTATCGATGGGAGTGAGGTGGAGTCTAACACCCCGAAGTTTGAGGAGCGTGTGAGGCATAAGGCGAGCAGGCAAGTTCTCAGTGATGAGGAAGCGGACAAGTCAAGTGAGTATCCCAAACCCCCATCCACCATCCTGCGAGCTGATTACAACAGGACTCTCCGACCACTCTGGGAGGTCTCTGCGGTCTGCCGCCTCGACCTTTGACACGTTGCAACAGCGCCCGAACCGGTCTACCTCTGCCTTGCCTTCGCTTTCCGATGACGAAATGGTCATCAACATGTCCATGTCTTCCCAGAACTCCCCTATCCACCGGACTGCAAAGCCACCCACCCATCCTCCCAAACACGATGGCTCGCATCGCCACTCATGGGCCTCTCCTGGCGGCGAGCCAGCGAGCCCGTCATGTCACGTCAGCTGACCAAGCAGCTCTGCGTTGCTTACTAGTATGGACTCAGGCCATTTGTCTTCTCGCGCAAGCCCAGGGGATCTCACTGCTCTGAAGACGTCACATCCTTCTGGCGCATGGTTAGCTCCACCTGCACCTTCGCAGCAAAGTTCCACAGAGCCGGCACCAGCTATCGGGGACGGAAGCTCGGATAGTGGTCTTGCGACTCCACCATCCACACTGTCCAGGAACAGCACACTTTCTGCACAAACTCTGGCACCTCCCGGAGGATGGGTCGCAACGCTGACTCCCCCAGGGACGAAGAGTAGGCGTGGGAGCTTGTTGAGGGTTCGCTTTGACATTGGGTTGGAGACAGCAGAAGGCGTGCACGAGCACTCTTCAGAACTAGAGGCCACGAACGGCCCCACAGTGGCAAACGGCAGTACTGGCAATGCTTCTGCTTCCGCGGCAACGGTCGAGTCTTCGGTTGAAGTCCCTCCTACACCGCCTTCGATGCGGGACCGCATCCAGAAGAAGCACTCTGCTCCCCCAATCTGTGTTCTAGACGCGTATGGGCGGGAAGAAACTCCTGTCGAGGCGCCTCCTGCTCCCCCCGTGCAACCGAAAGCCAAACCCTTCCCCACGCTCAAGCAACAATCTCCTCCCAAGTTGCCCTCGCGCAAGAGCAGCTGGTCGTTGCCCAATGGCACCCCCCGCAGCCGGAGCGCAGTGCATATGCTCGACGCCATGGGTTGCCCGGTGGAAGATCCAACCCCTCCGCAAGTACTTTCGGATGACTCGTCACTGCTTTCTCTCGACCCGCCAAACTCGCAGCACGAGGTGCTCGCGCGCATGAACAACGCCGTGTCGAGCATGCGTGCAGACATCTGGGACGCTGACAGGTACTGTATTGCTCTGCATGTGCGCGAACTCCACCAATTTGCCCTTCTGATTCGCACCCCCCTTGCCCCCTACCATATTTAGGTCGAGCGATGGCACGGTTTTTGATGATCACATGTCTGCCGCTTTGCAGGAGCAGTGTGATGCGGCTATATGGAACCGCGAGAAGGTCATGCGTAAACTCGCGCTCACGCAGCAGGCGGAGGCGGAGGCACTCAAAGAGACTGGACCCGGTGGTTCCCATTCAAGAAGGTCGGGAATGGCGCCACTGCTCTCCTGGTGAGTCATCACTATCGTCGTGGTGCAGGTGTAGTTGTTAATCGACTTCCCTTCGGGACCAGCCTGTGAGTGGTGCCAAGGACCAGTTCATCTGGACCGTGCCTAACTGGCGCTACCTCGTCAGCTTTGTGATCGTCCAGATCTTGCTTTTCGCGTTGATGGTCCAGTGCGTTGGAAACAGTCTTATCATGTGCGACTGCTGACGATAAGTGAAGTTATATCCATGCTCAAGCATGGAAGCTCTTCCTCACAATGTATTACGACGTGTTCAACCCTGACCTTTACGTCCACCTGGAAACTCATGATACCACCACATCCTTGATACCCACATGCCCACCATGGTCTATCCTCACGGCGCTTAGCAACCTCTATCACCACGGCCCGTTAGAGGCCCTAGCGGATACATGGACCAGTGCGACGTGCACAGTGTCGGCGCTTGTTCAGTCAGTGTTTGGTGGCACAACGGCACCCGCGTACGCTTGGCCGTCAACATGACCCTGTCCCACTATATGCGCTCTTGTGGACTACCCATTGCATCCTCACACGCGTCACCCTCACTCGGACAGAATCCAGGGATCCACTGCTCCAGCCATGCCCCTGCTTCGGAGCTGTCTCGCCTATTTGGCCCCAGGTGGCAGCCCTGTTTCCACTAGTGGCTATCTGAGGTGGCTTGGGGCTTTCATCGGGCTACGGAGGGTGGCTTGGAGGGAACCGAGAGGGCGGGCCACTGGGGGTAGTGCGGGGCTTTGGCGAGGTGCACGCTCCTTAGAGTAGCATCCGGTGGCTGGCACGGGTGAGGCAAAATAGCATGCAGTCCAGGCCAGGGATGGTGGCGAACGCTGTGCTACCTGGGGTAGCACATGCCACAGGGAGGCCGGACGAGAGCGACAACTGGTAGCATATGGGTGTGGGTCACCTTTCCCAGCGCCTTCCAGGCCGTTTGCGCACGTGCATAGAAAATCCAAAATGTTTGAAGTCCAATGGCAAGCAGCAAGCTGCAGTGGAGCGCAACCGCTCTTGGCTAACGTGCAGCCCGCTGATGGCACAGCGCCCAGTCAACAAGTGATCAACCCGCTTCGGGGCACAGATATAAGTACACTTTTTTATTTTTATTTTTATTTTGGTAGAACACAGGTGTCTTATGAGGGCATTGGTCCCATTCGGGCTTGTTGTGCCCCCTGTGTAAGCGTGTTGTCTGTCTTTCCCATGGGATTCAAACCGTGGGTCAGACAGTGTCATATCATAATCATAATCATAGGGTCTACCACGAGGAAATGCATTTACGCACAAAGTGTGAGACTCAAGATTTAAGAGGAGGTGCTATCTGCCTCTCTTAATACCCACTAAAACCCCACATGATGTTGCCCAGTTGTCTGGGAGGTTGTCTGAGTCTTCTAGAAGTGGTTTCCATGTTTTTTTCGACTTTTTTGATGGTTTGTTTTCATTTCTTTCCGTCCATCTGAGCTGTGGTACGTCTGTCCAAGTTTAGACGCCTTTCAGTCATTGCATTCCATCTTTGCATCACTTCTCGCTCTGAGTGTTCATGTCCATCATTTGGGATAACTCTTTCGCACCTTAATTTCCAGATCTGGTGTGCTGCTTCCGTCGCTAGTGTCGCCCATCTTATTTTGCCTGCTGTGTCTCTTTTACCTTCTTCGTCTTGATTTTGGAGTTCTATTGCTCTGGCTGCGAAGATGGAGCCCCAGTCCGGGGTAATGATAGGTAGCCCAGATGTTTTGCACATGTCATTCAGCGATTTCCAAATCAACTCTCTTCCTGTCGCTTGGCATGTGAAGAGGATGTGTTCCATTGATTTGATTTGACCACAGGCTTTGCATTCTGCTCTTGCTTTGAGTTCGTCAGGCATGTCTGGTTTCAGCCAGTTATTGCCTATCATGTATGCATCGTGGATGGACATCCACATCCATTGAGCTGTCTCCCTTGTTATCCTGTCACGTTTCCTTATTGCTTTCCATATTGTCTCCTCTTTTAGTCTTATCTTGAAAGCTTGGTGGAAGTCGTCCCTTATCTTATCGACATTATTTTTTGTCAGGGTTCTCTTTTTTGTTTCTCTCGCTTTGCCTATTCTAATCACTTTGTATGCTATTTTCTGTGTCATGGTGTTGAGCCTGGCTCCTGAGATCTTTAGTTCCGTAGGAACCTCCAGGTTTACGTCGTCATGGGCAGCTTTCTCCACGCCAATTCCTGCGAGTTTGTCTGCGCCTTCATTTAGCCCGTGACCCTTGTGTCCTTTCACCCATTTGAAAGCTGTTGGTGCTTTCCGCATTCGTAGCTTTGCTACTATTGCTTTCGTTATGTGTGAGTTCTTTTTTCCTATGTATTCTATGTTTTCGTTGTTGAAAATATGCTTAGTCACTTCGTTCATGACTGTTCTCAAGTCTGTCAGTTGGAGGAGCGTTACGTCGAAGTCCGAGTTCCGTCGGGAACGAGGCCTAGAAGCCGAGTGGTTATGTCCGTGAGAAGTCTCTTGATGCCGACGCGAGTGAGCACGGTACACTATCGAGTGGACCGGCGAGCGAGCGAGGTAGAAGACAAGCGAGAGAGTCAATTGGCACTAGGCCTGAGAGGACGTAGCTATACAGGAGGTCAAAAGATGGGGAGCGCTATGCTGCGTCGTCCCTCTTATAAGTACAGAGGCCTTGAGGCCACGGTGCGCGAGAGGTGAGGTAACCATGCATATACAACGAGTCAATACGAATCATGGTAACGGCGTGTGAGGGGGTGTGGTACCACGAGGTTGCCATGAGGCGTGTGCATGTCCGAGGCGGGGCTGCGCAGCAGCATGAGACAGAGACAGGGGTGGTGTTACAGTAGCCCCTGAGGACGCGAGGCATAGTCCATGACGGAGATGACAAGGGGGAAGGAAAAAGGGTAGGCATACGCATGGTGTCCGTAACATCTGCTCCCCCTCCTGTGAGGGTTGTCCCAACCCTTAGTTTCCGAAGATGTTGTCAGCGTCCAGGTCGGGGTCTTCACGAGGGCGGTATCCGATCTGGCGAAGTCGTTTGATCAGGTTGACGATCACCTCGTGGACCGTCTCTTCGAGTGACATCTCGGGTTCGCCATGCAGAGGGATCCCCGCCCGTCAGTACTGGCTGTAGTATGTGAGGAATCACCGCCAGCGCCCTGCATCGATCACGCGGTCGTCAACAACCTCTTCGCAGTGGGCGTTGTACCATTGTGCCAAAACATTGAGGACGTGGAGTTTGAGGCTGAGACGAATGCCCAGGGCGACGTAGGGGAGGGCGGCAGCGATCCTCAACTCAATGTTCTCGGGTGAGTACCACGCCGGCCAGTCGAGAGCGTACACCCCAATGAAGTGGTTCGCGGAGAGGTAGCCTTGGAGGGCGTAGCGGTCTGTGGCTCCCTCGAGGCGAAACAGTTGGGCAACGGGGTTGTAGGCCCGTAGGAGTTCCATGCGCGGAGCGTCGTTCTCGTCCTCGTGGTCGCTGGAGGAGACTTCTTCCCTTTCCGAATCTGCGTCGTTGCCTATGTCGTTGTTGTTGTTGTTGTACGGGGGTGGGGCCTGGACTGGGACGACTAGTTCGTAGTGTACCTCGTCATCCGTGTAGTGGTGGACTACTCGTGTGTTCGGGGATGGCGTGGGTGGTGTCGGGGTGGGAGGACGAGGGGGTGGGGTGTGAGATCCGCGAGGTCCGAGGGCGGCGATCATGTCGGACAGAGTCAGGCCTGGCATGGGGGTGGTAGGTTCCTCGTCGTTGTCGTCTTCTTCCACTGGTGACCCCCATTCCACGGCCGAGCTCTCCATACCCATCCACCCTCCCGCGATGGCACGCGTCCGGTATTCCTCTTCTTCCTATGCGGCTCAGTTGCGTTCGGCTTCGGCGGGGGTGGGCGACGCCTGTCCGTGTCGTGTGTTGTCTGTGTGTTGTTTGCGCCTGGGGAGGAGGTTGGTGAGGGCGCGTCCCACCTGGTAAGTTGCCAGTTGGTGAACTGCCAGCTCAGCACCTCGAATGAGGAGGTGCATGGTGGCACATGTGGCCCGTTGCACGTTCTCCTTGACTTGCACTGGTCCGGCCGCTCGGTGCACGAACATGTTGGCTTTTTGGTGAGTTTGGTAGGCATCGGCAAAGATCCGGTAGGTTTCGATGCAGTGGGTGGCCCCCAGGATGTGCTCAGTGCGTACTCGCACTTGGTCGTGGAGGTCGGGGTGCGCGATTACCCATCCGATACGGAGACCGAACGGGGCAGGGGCGTTGTTGCGGAGGAACGTGACTGGGAGATGTTGGTACGAGATGAGGGGTCTGTTGGAAATGAACCGGGGGACGGTACGTCCAGTGGTTGAGATGGCCGAGTGGGTAGTAGAGGTTGCCCGCGAGCGGGTGGAGCGTGGGTTGGGAGTGGGGTTACGAGTACGAGGCATGGTTGCGGTGGTGCGAGTTGCGAGAGCGGTTTAGAGATAGTGAGTGGGGGATGGGGGTTGGCTCATAGTTGGTGCCTCTTTTTATATGCGTGGAGAATGTCTGGCGCGTTGGTCAGGTGGTGTTCTGGTTCCCATGAGTTTTCTGCTGGTTCCCAGCCCTTCCATGCGACGAGATAATAGAGCTTCGGCTTCGATCTGCTTCCCCGCAGTTGGTGCTTGAGGATTGCCTCAACCTCGTGTTCTTCTTGGTAGCGCTGTGTTAGAAATACGACCGTGTCAGTTATAAATTGTCAGATATCCGGAGCCCTTTGTCAGATAATAAATGCGTGTTATAAATGTGTCATTAATCCGAAAGATGTCATTAATGTGCAGACAGCTGAAGCCTGAATAGTGCGACCTCATCACATCTCATCGACGCTCCACGTCTTCTTGTCTGCCACCATGGCCTCCGAGGCTGTTGCCTTGCTTGCGTCGGGCTTTGAGGACTTGTCGTCGTCGAAAACGAGGCTTTTAAGCGCCGAACTATCGAGCTTGACATAGTCCGTGATGGCCCAGCGTGTCGAGGTGCGTGTAGTCACCTGGAAAGGAACGAGATGAGACTCCCGGGTAGGGTCGCTGGATATGGTTGCATTCATTCTTGCAGTCTCTTCGAGGTCGTACGGATCCGGTTGGTTGAAGAGCGCCTCCTCGAGGGCTTCACGATCAACATCCTGCGGATTGATGTCCTCTTCATTGACAAGATCCATGAGGGTTGGTGCCGACAAGAGGGTGGATTGGGAGCTGACGGCGGCCTTGGAGACTCGAACCTTTGTAGCTGGCTTGTATGAACCCTCAGTGAGCCCAAACTTGTACCACTGTGACAGCTGCGCGCATGCGACGAGATTCTCTGGCGCTATTGAGCTTCGTCGGGCCGAGTTCATCCAACCAAGTAGTGACGCCATACGCTCGTCACAGATCTCAGAGGGCATGATTGAGAAGACAATCTTGGCAACCAGCTGTTGAAGCAATGAGCTAGGACATCGAACCTGAGAGCTCAGAGCATGAAGTTGACGCACAGCAATGACATTGGCACCAGATTTCGTCCCACGCAGAGGTTTCCAGTACTGCTGCGGGGAATCACCATGTAGTTGATTCTCACGGGCGTGAAAAGGCGTGACACCGAGAATCCAGCACTTGAATTGCTCGACAAGTTTGAGTGCCTGCGTCTCGGAACCAGATGCGGTGCGACCTTGGTCGTTCATGAGGATAGCGAGCATTGACTGGGCAACACACTTGAGTAGAGGAGGCATTTGGTTGACTTTCATCTTCATGAACACGTCTCATGGCGGTATTGAGAGATGAAGGCCACCATGAACAAAGTAGACTGTGAAATGAATAGCGTGAAGAGTAAATGTGGGAGCATCCGATAGCGAGATAACACTTGCACTTACAAGGGTGCAGGACATAGCCGACCAAGAAGATGAAGTTTGACGACTCAGTCATCATCGACAGGAAGCGTTTGTTGTAGAGAGCGATGACATCAGAACGGTGCGTTGTCAGACCACGATCCTCGTTGCCGAGAAGTCGCTCAAGTTGGCTGGCGATTACAATTCAGACATAGAAAACCTCTGCGCAGGTAGTATTCTGCCCTTTGAGTGTAGTGATGCCGTTTGCACCTGCTTCGAGCAAAGCGACAACCGAGTCGAGCACTTTGTTGAGGTTATAGCGAGCCGGACCGGGTGTGAAGTACTTTTTGAACTTCTTTGACTGACAGTCAACACGAGGTTAATGCCTATACAGCACCCAGATCACTGTGCACCTCACCGCTTTTGTGTTGAACGAGATTGTCCCAGCCTTTACACAGGCCTCAATTGCGGGGATGCATCGCTGAAGAGCAGTCGCCTGGATGAACGTTGAGCCAAAGTGAGTTTCGGAGGCTGACTTCATGCCAGTTGCAATGCCACGACGAGCTCGTTCTGCATCAAGGCGAGCGGTGCTCAGGTTGGACGAGGCAAAGAAGTTTGAGATGCCAGATACAACCTTCAGAGTCTAAAATATTGAGTCAGCAATTTGTGTAAGAAGATATGTATACGTCTGAACTACTCACTTCTTTGAACAGCGTACCGATATCCTTCAACAGCAGATTGATGTTATGACACGGGTCGTAGACATTGATGATCCAAGGCGATATCCGAACGAGAAGCTGCTTTCCCAAGCGAACATTAGGGCCACCATCCCCAGCAACAGCGCTGAACATGGTCGGGTTGAAGTGCGCAAAGATCCGCTGCTGAATAACCTTGAGAAGAGCCTTTCCAGTGACCGAGACGCCATTGAAAACGCGACCTGCAGCAAATATAGATCGTCAAGACGGAAGAGTGATGTGGAATGTATATATCTCGTCCTTTGCACGTGAAGACCAGCCGTTGAACGAGAGCGTGAGATGCTCTCGGCCTTTCAGGAAGTCTTCAAGAACAAGGGTGAAATCACTGAGCTGGTTGGTAATCTTGTCTGTAAAGAAGGCGGTGCGCTCCGGAGTGATATAGCTGGGAGCGAGAAGGAAGAGGAGGTTGACCAAGCCACGGGTTCGAGACAAAGGCAAAGGGGAGAGTGGCGCAGACAACAAGCTGGAAGAGCGCGAGGTCGATGGACTCCTGACGCTGTGCATTCATCTTGACAGGCTCGTAGTACTCTTCTAACTTGTGGGACTCGCTGCAAAGAGTGTCGGGTCGTGTGGCCTCACTGTCCGCAGCGTCTGAAGTGAGATCCATAGGTTCGTCATCACTGGTGGCGACAGGAGTGCTCTTGAGAGTGTTCCCCGGCGTGACGCCAGGCTTTGCTTTCGTTTGGACAGCGCTCGTCTTCTTATTTTCGGACGTGCTCGCCATCACTGCTTCCCGGTAAAGACGCGAAAAGTCGCGCATCAGGCTCTGGTAATCAAAGAAGCCTTATAAGCTGAATAAATGGGAGGATTCAGGCGAACGTGCGTACAGAACACTTCACAGCATGTTCAAAAATGTGCTTGGGGGACCGGCCAACAGTCCCTTTCAAGCATGATATGCACCATACTTTTACGACCATCTTGCCCGTCTTATCGCTCTTCTCTTGCCCTTCAATGATGAGGTCGTCCGCCATAGCAACACATGGTTGGCCCACAACACTGGAGCCCTCGCTGCGGTGCTGTTCAACTGAATTGTTCCTTTCGGCCCAGAGCTCCTTGGGCCTGGCTCGCTCTACTTCTCGAGCACGCTGCGCGTCGCCTAGAGAAGGCACCTGCTCTCTTTCCTTCCCTTTCTTCCCACCAGAGCCGCTGGCGGCGGCAACCGTGGAAGCGGCAGGGGAATACGGGGGCTTCGAATGCGCGAATAAGTGCCTGATAAGCACCGGTGAACAGTGTGGGCTCACCTCAGGCCAAGCAACCATTCCATCTGCATTCAGTTCCGCCTCCAGAAGTGAGTCTGCATGCCGCATCCATGCCGTTCTCTCGGTAGTCATCTCCGCAGTGTGCTTGCTGACTGCATCAAACAGCTCGGCCGAAGTGAGCTTGTTGGATGTGTATAACTGATGGGCATTGAAGAGCTCCCGCAGATCGGCCTCTGAGGACATGGCTGGATAGAGACTTTTGTGATGGAGAACAGTGGTTTGGGTGGAGGACTCGTTGTGGCTCGGGGGATGCGTCAGGATCAAGCCTCCGGAGTCCGACTCGCATCACAGACTTGGTAGGAGTGGGCCATTACTGGCAGAAAACGATTAATGAGATATGGAATATCTTGAGAATCTATGAGGGACCTTAATAAGCTATATTAAACCTTGTGTTGAACATTACTACTATCACCATAGACAGCCAAGAACAGAACATATAGCAGAAGTGCAAACATTGTGGAAGCTGGTACTAAATTGCTTACTATGCAGATCAAATCCAATACAGTTATAACACCTTGTGTTATTGCTGCCCTTCTGAATATAGTCAAAGATTGAGGTGCTGTATTTGATTTTACAGAGGCAGAATACACACTATCATTCTACAGTGCTAGACCACCTGAAGAGGGAACTAGAGTGTACAAAGAGGTTGCAGCCATATAGGCCTTCTACATAGCTTTCTAATGCATATACAATCACCCCAAACAGACAACAACTGAGGTCACAGGAGTGATTGAAAGTTGGTAGGAATCAGTGATAATATCTACACTGTGCCTGATCTAATGTGTTTAAAGCCAAGCTGTAAGCATATTAGTAACATACTCTATAGTAGCTGCTTTCATGAATATAATCAGGATTTTAGGCAATTGATTGGATTTTACAAAGCCTGAATACCCCTTGTTACAACCAGGCCTAAATAGCACAGCCACATGCAGAAAAAAGCGGCACTGGCAGGGATTGAACCCAAGGCTGCAGGGTCCACCACCCAGCAGCTGGACTAGCTGAGTTGAGCTGAGTTTGAAAAAGCGTTCAAAATAGGCACCTAGCTGCACTTTCAGCCACTGTGGCAGCTGTGTAGGCTCGATCATCCATCCCCTTTTCGTCGTACCTCCTCAAGGGGCTGGTCCATTTGGAGGGGTTTTTGGCAGGCGCACCATAAAAGGCAATCACGTGATGTGAGTGCCCTCCCCTCGCTCCACTCCCCCGCCCAAACGGGCTCGTTGGGGCACGCCGCTCCCCCGTGCGCGACGGCTTGTGACGGCGGTCGCGTCGGGAGGCGTCACGAAGGGCGCGCGCGACTGGCCTCTCTCGCGCGCGCACTGCGCGGATGCGCGGACAGCGTCGTTCGCCACTAGTGCGCAGTTTCGCGGGGCTTGAGCAGACGGAGGAGGTGTCGCGCGCGCATACACCCGCTGGAGGCGCATGCCGTAGCGCTCTCTCCTAGACCGGCATGTACATTGAAAACATAATGCATGCCTGAGGTCGCTACAGGTGGTGGGAGTATAGTGACTGATGTGGAGTGCATGGGCCCGGTGCAGACGCTGCACGAGACAAGGCCGGTTGTGAGACGACTCTGTTGACAAGTGTTCGAGGATGATCCGGAGCTTTTTGGGCGGGAGAAGCGTCAACACGGCAGGCTGCAAACATTGGTACTGGAGCGGCCGTACTCGAGGCAGTGTGAGCAGTGAGAACACGGCGCTGCAGAGGCAAGGGCGGAAGAGCGAGGGAAGGTCCGTATGATATGAGAGTTCGGAGTGGATGATTCAAGAGTAGAAACCTATGGAGAGGATAGTTGAACAGGCTGGCTATATTGCGGCCGCACCTGAAGACTTGAGGAGGCGGCAGAAGAGGGAGTGACTCTAAGCGAGCCGCAGCATCATCAAGGCGAGCCTTTCTTCGGCACCGATGGCGTAGTTAAGGATGGTGAAGCGGAGGAGCCCTTCGACGACCGTGCAAGCAATACAATTAATCTGTCTTCACGAGGGGGCATGGTGTACTTAATGTACATGGCAGCATCCGCGCAGCGCGCGCGAGAGAGGCCAGTCGCGCGCGCCCTTCGTGACGCCTCCCGACGCGACCGCTGTCACAAGCCGTCGCGCACGGGGGAGCGGCGTGCCCCAACGAGCCCGTTTGGGCGGGGGAGTGGAGCGAGGGGAGGGCACTCACATCACGTGATTGCCTTTTATGGTGCGCCTGCCAAAAACCCCTCCAAATGGACCAGCCCCTTGAGGAGGTACGACGAAAAGGGGATGGATGATCGAGCCTAGCAGCTGTGGCAGGGGCAGGAGGGGGCAGACAGTGGCAAACAGTGTCCATATATGGTGAAGAGGCATGGGAGGGGCTGCTGACAAAGATTGGGGAGCAGAGCCCCACTAAAAGAGGATGGATTGCAGCCAGGGCTTGTGGATGACAATTTTAGGTGGCTGGGTGTGGCTTGCAGTAGCTGGCAGTGGTGGCTGTGGCTGAGAGCGAAAATAAGCGCCCAGGAGCGCCTAGATGGGCTGGGTGGCCAGTCCCAGGCTCTAAACATGTTGTTATGGGCTCAAAGCATACAAAACAATGAAACAAAGTACGTAGATTATGTGGGCAGTGCTACTAGTGCCTACCTACCAAAAATGAAGCAGATCCAACCATGGGAAGGGGATGGATGGCAAGTGAGGCTTGTGGATGTATCAGTGCCATGGGCGCCTCTGAAATAGACGCCCATGAGTGCAGTGCCAACCCACACCATCAGTATGTGCACAGAGGGGCCAAAAATGCGAAGTGGGGGATAAATGGGGGGTCTACAGAAAGAGCACACACCTGGGAACAATCTGGCTGTGTTCTAAGGGTGAGAGGGCATGGGAAGGGAGGCACAGTGACATCAAAGTACCATGGGAATGAGCATATCAACAAAGGCACACTTACCTAACACCCACAGACACCCAAAGCTTACCAGAGAGTTGAAGAGAATGCTGAATCCATCTCACACAGAACTCGGTCTGTGCTCCAACAACCAGGCCACCCAAAATGGCAATGTCGCAGGCATCCCAGGCTCAAGACCACCGCTCTAAATCGGTGCACCGAGTAGGCATGGTACAGAAGCACAGGGACTGTAGGGGGGCATCTTCCTACTCATAAGCACTGACTTTGGCCAAAAGACAGGCAACAGAGGTGAAAGGTGGATGAGAGTCCCCCAAGAGAGGAGGAGCAGTGGCAGCAGCAATGAGAGTGCGCTGGTGGCGCTTATGTAACAGTTTTCTCACACACCATATTAGGCAACTGCATCTGGGAACATTGCTTACACTCTCTATTGCTCATTTCTTGTCCGTTTCTTATGATTTAAACTATGCCAAGTACTTCTTCAAAGTGGCTTTTGAACGGTGCATGTTACATAAGCATATTCTCAGGCACAGTGCTATAACCCAGTCAACACTACAAAGCAGTAGTTGCTACAACATGATAGGTGGAAAGCACCAGACATACTATGACATATGTAATCTGGTGGCCCTTCTTAGAGGTCTCATAATGCATCTACATATGTAGTGATTGAATCAGAAACCAGCTTATAACTAGCCATACACTGTACATATAGTGTTCTACAAGTGTTACTCAAACCATTCCATCGCATCTGCTTCCACAATCACGTGACATAACCTATTAGATCCCTCTGATCAATGCGCATCGAACGCACTCAAGACCATCCAAAACGGACATCATCTGAGCTCATACCAACAGTTACAACATATGAACCATATGTCATAGACCTTGTAGTCCTTTCAGCACTGCATTGATATGAGCGCTTTGTTCACATCTACACTGGCTCCTATGTGGACTAGGTTCACAAATATAACCAACATTATAGGGAATTGATCTGATTTACTAGTAGGCAGATGTTGGTGTAGTAGGCAGGGGCAGGGCGCTACAGCCACTGGGCGTCTAATAACTTGCGGAAGCCTCACTTTTCTGAAAGCAGCTCTTCAAAAACTGAATCAATTCCGATAAATCCTGAGTATATTCCTAGTAGTAGTCCACATAGAGTGTGACTGAAGCCCTGAAAGAGCGCCCATCTCAGTCTAGTTGAATAGGTGTAGACACTAACAGGCACTACAAAGTGTAGAAAGGAGTGAAGCGCTGAGCCCAAGTGGCAGTGCAAACCCAGCGCTAGTGGAACCCTACAGGGGGACCCTAACCCAGAGCTAGGGTGATGGGAGTAAGTAGCAAACCTATGCGTGGGAAGTGGCTGTGCTAGTGAAGAGTAATAGGAGTCTGAAATTTTATTCCCACGGGTCGCACTAAGGGTGTCGCGCGTCGCAGCCAGAGCCCACCCCATAAAGAACGATTCATTCATACCTCATTAATCGTAACCCGGTCACAACTCAACACAATGTACACCTCAGCATCCAGGGCTGGGTCTGGAGGGCTCATTTCATAGCTGAACATGCTTATATCGCCATCAAAACCTGCATCTATCCTTTCGTTTGGCTTGGAAACATAAGCCATGGCTCACAGAGGCCGATCTTCAACAGAATTGACATGAAAAGCGCGAGAACCGTGTGAGCGCTTGACGCGTGGGACGGATAAGGTGCCTATCCGTTTTGGGCTCATCACCCTCCGGGTCTGACTGTCTTTGACGACATGCCGTATCTTGTTTGTAGCTCGATATCAGACAGCATCCAGAGACACAGGGCCATATACCGATATGATAAAGCCTCGTGAATAAATGACAATAAATGACATGCGTTCTGGACCCCCCGATGTCAGAAATGTTATTAACATGTTATTAACATGTCAGAAACACCCATGTTAATAACACCCGGGTTTCTGCCACAGCACTACTTCTTGGCCTTCTATGAGGTCAGGTGGTGGTCTAGGCAAGTCTGGGCCGTGTTCCTTTGTCGTACGATATGGTGTGAGTAGCGTGGCGTGGAACACGGGGTGTATCTTCCAACTGCGTGGAAGCACGAGTTTGAATGTGACTGGCCCCATGACTTCGGAAATAGGGAACGGGCCGAGTCGTTTTGGCGCCAATTTCCGATAGGGGTATGGAAGCCGGAGATTTGTTGCTTCTAACAGCACCTTGTCACCCTTCTTGAACGTGATTGGGCGCGCTGGTGACCGTCGTGCCATTGCTGCGGCAGCCTGATTGTGCGCGGCGATTGTGTTTTCCTGATCGGCCTTGAGCTGTTTTAGCCGTTCTTGCGTGC